GATCAAAATCAAGATCAAAATCAAGATCAAAATCAAGATCAAAATCAAGACCAAACTTACCAGCGTAAACCCACACCAACGACCGAGTTTAACCCATCAGACGACATACCGTGGCTTAACTGGACTCTCTTTCTCGAGGACATGAATGGTCCGCTGGTTCTCGACCCCCTATAGAACCACCTCGGTTCGAACCACCCCTAACGGCAAACCTCTGACAAACCTCTTGCTTTCTACAAGTGCGTTTGCCGTCACTTGGACCCTCCGAGAGGCTGTATGTAGCACTCTTAAGCCCATGCATGCGCGAGTCGGTCGTTTTCAATCATGGACCAATTCGCGAGTACGATTGCCATTTACCATATACCATATCGTCATTTCAATCATTCATCTAATCATCTACTGTACACAGTTGTCATCCTCTCCAATACTCAATTGATCGTCCAACTCAAAAGGCACTCTCACTCGTTATACCACCAATGAAGTTTCGCGTAAGCATCGTGCGTCCCCCACAAGAGAGCGTAGTGATGTTTGTCCAGGTAGACAAACGGTCCCACCGGTATCAGGATGGCCCCCCACGCGGCACAGAACAAAAACACGACCCATTTGCCTTTGGGGGCCTCGTCCATGAAAAGCGCCGTGGCTGACCCCGCGACGGTCAACATCGCCGTGGACAGAGGGGCGTGCGTCCCGGCCAGGGCGGCTGCCAGGAACCCCAGGGAGCACAGGAACAACGCCAACGTGTACTTGTGTGCCGGGATCCATCGCTTCAAAAACTCCTTCTTGTTCGTCTCTTGCCAACGCCTCTTCGTCTCGGGCCAAAATCGCCTCATCTTCTCCCTTTTCCCGGGCCATTCCTGTTTCTTGTCGAGCCACCACAGGTCGAGAACCGCGCGACGACTGACGGGGAGCCACTTCTCGTCCAGCATCTCATACGTGATCTGTCCACCGTTGAGCCCTTTGCGGATCTTGTCGTGCAATTCCCCATTGGACATCATCTCTCTGCCACCCTCGTCAACGTCTTGGTTCATGCAGGCAGCCAGGTCCAGAACAGCACGGTGGAGGCCCATGGTCCGTCCTGCTCGATCGAAACGCGAATTCAACCAGGCGTCCAGCCAAAGTATGTACATGCCGAGACACCAAACGGTAAAAGTCATGATGACATTAAACAGCACCAGGAACGAAAAGCCCCACTTGTAGCTCGTGTCAAGCTGTTGACATTTTCCGTTCAGGTTGAGGTCTTCCAGGTCGTAACTGTATTCGCCGTCACTGAATATGGGACTCGTGCTCGTGTTGTGAAAGGGACGGTCGCCGGACGGAGTCTCCCAGTTGAAACCATAGGGCCAGTAGTACCACTTCGTCTCGTTCATATCCGAGAGCCAGGCCTCGTTCCAGAAAATTGCCCTGATGTCCAAAGTCGGCGGGTCGAGGTGGATGATTTTTCCGCTGTTGTTGAATGTCGAGCTGACGTTGTTCAAGCCGAGAAAGCCATATTTGAAGCCGTATTCGGAAACATGCTACACGAGACGGATCAGTGCCGAGTTACATACTGGGTTCACGACGATGGGTTCTCTTGAAGAGGCTGAAAGGTTCAAGGTACACGGGACGTGACTGGGTCGAGGTGGGAAAGATTCTCATACCCAGTAAAAATCGCAAATCCCCCAAGGGTCGGCGGCATCAGACCATTCCAGCACCGTGCTGTTGCTGTACTCAGATGTATCACGTGGATACCACTGAAGTTCACAAGCATCGGCATCACCGTATCCCAAATGCACAGTGTCGCCGTATTGAGCGTGACTCGTCCTGACCATAAAATCCCTTGTGAGGCTGTCATTGATGCGATGCGCGTCGTGGATGATGTATCGTACTGTGCTGAAGGACGAATACGGCTCCATGCTTCCGGATGGCAGTTGAACGTAGGACTCGATGTTCGCGGTATATCCCGCCATGGCACTGATCAAGGTTTGGAATGCGAGCACGAAGATGCCTGATACAATCATCCATGCCATAGCAAGTCTTGCCCGAAGAGTTCTATTCGTGACAAAGTCACGGCTGAGTTTAAGTAGAGAGACCAGTGTGCCACCTTGTAAGGTAATTGCTTCGAAAGATCCATAGGTCACCGGCGACGACTCCATTGATCGAACGAGTGCTTTGGAGTACACAATGTAAGATACCCACACCATAAGCGCCTGGCCGCCGCGTCCGAGGATAATCTGCAAGCATCAGTATTGTACCGTGACCAAGATCATTCAAGGGCACTGACATCCCAGGAGACGGTGAGAGCTTTGGCCGCTGAGAAGGATAGTCGGCCAAACCCCAGTGTTATCTGAAAAAATCCTGCAAGCGACCAGATGTTATAAGTGCCGTAGCCAACCGAGAACCCAGAGTCCCTAGGAAGTGTTATCAAGAGGTGTGCTGGTGAAGGAGAATGCCCCAAAAATCCCTTGCTTATAGGTAGAACTTACGGTTGACACGCGTCTGTATCGCGGAAAAGCCTTTTGGATGTGATGACTGGCAATATAGACACTAGAGCGCCAATGAACAGTAATGGCCATATGAGAATAGCACACTGGCAGACATTGTGGCGCCAATTGGGTATTCCGAGCTCTGCAAAGCCTTGGGTAAAGAACCGTTTCGTATTGGATCGGAATGATCGCCATAAATATTTGACAGAACGGCGATGCGTCCAATGGAGAATACTGGAAGTAGGTGTATAATCTCCTCCCTGTATCTTGGAACTCAGAAGAGTTTTCATTGAGGATTGATCGAGTCTGTCGTCTGTGGATCGCGCACTTTCAGGCTCGAAATCATCCAGCTCGACGCCGACGTATGCCATTTTGTTGGTGTAGGCCATGGCAGGCATCGGAGCTCGAAGTTGTCGCGCACTTCAAAACAGTCGAAATCCGCCTCGAGAGTATGAAATAGTGAACTTGTTGAGATCATTTAATATTGAATGCCAGATGACTCCTTTGAGGTTTCGTTAAGAACCGTGATTATCGACCATAGCCTTACAGAAGCAAATCGTTATCAAAAGCCTGGCTGTGCAACGTTCCAAAGGCAGGACAGGCACGAGTAGCTTCAATCATCCCGCCCCCTGTCTAAGTTACATGATTTGCAGCGTTTGGCACTAACCATCAAGTTTAAGGCTTAGGTTCGTGGGCCAAACAATACAAGCAGGGGTCTGAAGCACCTAGCCTTGGGGCCAAAAGGTTGCTGGACACGATCTCGCCAGTTCTGGAGACTTGACGACCTTAGCCTCATACTTGGTCACTCGACCTTGTAATTGAAGCAATGCGTGAGGACTAGTCAGGCCCAGGCCTAATGAGCCGGGCCTCCCTGCAGAAGCAAGACATGATGGTCTTGCCGCGTCATGTCGCGCAGACTGCACATTTCCGTCAAGCATGGTTGGAACTGTAGCACTGGATTCTGTACGAGTACATGACTCAATGAACAAGTCAGGGACCGTCGGACCGTGTAAGAACTGGCGATGGGAATTGTACTTGCCCTGCGGACGCTTGGCGGTCAGAGTGTGATATGATGGCCGCTGAGCACCGACAACTTGTCTGATCAAAACATTACGTCCGTATTGTTGACCTAGTTATCAAGAAGCCGACATAACATGGAGGAGGCTTTTTGTTTCAAGCCTGATCTTGAGTTAGACTCAGGCCTCCCAGGTGGCAAGCAGCAATACCTCTAAATCTAGCTAATCATGTGCCAAGAGTTGGGGCAATGCACACGGAGTACCAAGCATGCAAATATCCTATGTTGGTATCTTGAGGCTGTCGCCTGGTTGGGGGCAGATGCTCACTTTGCTGACTCTCATCTATCGGATTTATGACATGCCGTCGGTCGCTAGGGGATCTCGACCCATGAAGACTTTGAATAGTCTTTTGCTGACCATAGGGCCAAGTCTCTTGTCGCTCCAACCTCCATCTTTGTTAACACTCTTCCGCACATCTTCGAGAAGCAAGTTCCCGTGCCGGTCAAATCCCTGAACGAGTTTCCTGACACTGTCAAATTTGTCAACTATGCCATAAGCCATACTCGGCGTGACACGTTGAACCTCCTGTAGCATTTTCACAAACGTATCTCTAGGGTCGTCTCCGGTGCGAACTTGGCCAGTATCCATGCAGAATGTCGCCGACTTGAGGTTGAACTCGAGCTGAACCTGTCGATATGGCCGCGTCGCCAGATGCTGGGTCAGTGCAGATATCTGAGAGGCTGTGGTTGCAGGTGATGTCGTATGATGAATTAGAACTGGTTGGTGTGCGATTTGAAGGTGCAAGAGGACATCTTCCACCACCTCAGGCGTCACTGAGGAGAGATCGAGGGTGTCAGTGGACGGCTTCTTGCGCTTACGAGGTCTAGCTTGAGTTTTCCGCACGTTGTTGGCCTCGGATGGATCAGCATCGGCCATCTGAGACCTCACAGCAGCAGTGTAGGTTCGGTTCTTGGCATTTGCATTCTTCTTCAGCCAACCATTCAGTCCCTCGATAAGGTAGATAGGAGTACACCTGCCAAATCGTCGCCGGACGCTAGCGACATGTGTGTCTAGATTGGATTTCATGTCGCCTTCCGTAATTGACTCGCTTGCCTCTGCTGACTTCGGGACGCTGAGCATGGCGGCCAATTCCACCGCAGGGAGATGAATCAGCACATGCTGCTCTTTGACAATTCGACTTGTTGGAAGGGGTTCCCATCTGTCTTCCTCATCGTTGTAAGAGGACTTGACCTTGCGACGCCAGGTGACGAGGTTGCCGTACTGCATCTGCTCCGGAGTTTCACCTGGCAAGTTCACATCCGTTTCGGAAAAGGTCACCTCGACATCCAGATTCTTCATGTACTCCTCCACTTGGTTACCTACACTTGTGCCTTGCAAGCAGCTTGCCATGTCAACAATCATCTCCGGTACAGCCTCCTTCTTGTTGGTCCGTGATTTTTTCGCCTCCGCAAGGTCAGCTGCTTTTTGCTTTTCCTGAGCCCGGAGTTCTCGTTCAAGTTTCTTCCGCTCCTTTTCGGCCTCTTTTCCAGCCTCGCGGCTCGCTTTTGCCGCAGCTCTTTCTTCAGCCTTGGCGGCCTTCTCTTTATCTGATACTTTGGCAGCGTTCTTGGTGTATGCTTTGGGCGGACTTGAAGAGTGTTCAATATGGTCGGGCAGGGGTGACCTAGTGTTTCTTAGCTTTGATGCCATCGCCGCTGTCGTCAGTGGTTGCTTATGCTTATGCTTCCCTTCTGCAACGGTGTCTTGGGAAAGAACCGCCAGTAAGTTTGCTGTTCGGTGCGAATACTGCTTCTGTCTCTCATCCGTCATACCGGGGTGGGGCAGATTGACATCGACATCTGCGAGTGCTTCAAAGGGCTGAGACTTGCTCGGTCTCCCCTGTGCACGGCGTTCAACTTCTGGAATGGACGAAGTGAAAATAATATCGTCAACCTCGTCGGTCCTGTACAACCCGGATGGCTTTGGCTGGAGGAGGCCGTTTGTACCGAATTTGAGCTCTGGTACAGATGAGGCCTCCGAGGATAGTTCGTAAACAGGCTGTGTCGCATTTTTCCCGACGCCAAAAACCTTGGTCGCTTGCATCGTGATTTCAGGCAACTCTGGGCTCAATCTCGGTTTTTTGGACAGGCGGTCGATGGCAAAGTCGATGGATCCAGTGTCGACAAGGTCGTCTACATCTTCGAAAATGTGATTCAATATTGTCGTAGCCACCGGCTTCGAAGAAGGGTCGAGGGATAGTTGCGTGGGCGGTGGCGAACTTGATGACAAGAGATCTATAACTTCGGCCATGGTTGAAGTTGAGACAATGTTGCATCTATAAGCATACGAGGACACTGCGAATGAGAGTTTGCAATAACAGTGACTCCTTGGATTGTGTCCTGCGGCGAAGATGCTCCAGGGAATGGACGAGGGTGGTACAAGGGATAATGTAGTTTGTTCCAGACGAGGAAAGCGCAAAACAATCTTGGCGCGTCACCACTTTATCTCGCGCGCGTCATGGGAGAAAGTTGTATAGGAGAAGTCATTGACCACCTTAACCTCACATTAATTGATAATTCGAATGAGACTGACAGGACGACTTAGATTTCAATGTCAAATGTGTTCTGTAAACTTGAGTTTATCATAATGTGTCTAATCATGGCTCGGCAGCTGGAAATAATTTGACCACCTCTTCACCGTCAGAATGCATTCTCCTGGCGCGTGCAAACTCGGTCACTCGTCTATCTCCACGACCGTATCTGGCTTTGATGATGGTCGCAAGCAATGCTGCCGCGAATGCCAACACAAGCCAGAGACCAAGTACAATATCTTTTCGCTCCAAAAATTTGCTCCTCTGCTCCTTGAGCATCCGGTCCATCTCTAGACTGAATTTGCTCGCCATTATTGGCCGCGAGAACTGCTCACGTACTCTCGCCTTGCCGTTCAGGCCGATTTGACGAAGGTCCGTTGAACTCATGGTTCGGACCGTTCTCATAATTTCAGTCCAATCTTCAAGACTGGACACATCGCGCAACCAACCAGTCTTCCCTTCGACTATGGTCTCCAGGGGACCTCCGGTGTTGGAGGCTAGGACCGGTACTCCATGAAGCATCGCTTCTACGGGCACGATGCCAAAGTGCTCATTTGTAGGGGTGTAGAGCAATAGTTGCGCATTGTTGAGCAGTGTCTCCTTGAATGGACCGGGCACAGATAACAGAAACAAGACTTGGATGTCATCAGGAATAGCCAAAGCTGTAGGGGCTGTTCTTGTCGTTGCTGTTGACAATCCCAATTTTTCAGCCAGCACAACTAGTTCTTTGTGGTACTGAACATTTTCGGTCACTCGCTGATCGTACCCACCAGCTAATACCAACCGTGTTCCTCGACGTTCTTTTGAGGATAAATTATGATAAGCTCTAATGGCCAGGGCTATATCCTTTTTGCGCTCAAATCTGTTTATACTGAGAAAGATCTTGAATTTGCCGTCCCAAAGAGGCTTCTGCAGCGGAACAGCCTGACCTGTTTCATCTGATACGTCGACGCAAGGATATATCACCCCGACCGATCCTGCCAAAGCTGGCCAGGTGCGAGCAGCCACTGACTTTGTAAATGTGGAATTTACGACAACTTTGTCACTTGCGCTCATGCTCCAGCCTTCCAGCCAGTCAAAAGGCAGCCTGTATATGGACTTTGCTACGCCAAGGAGGCCTGATGTCTGACGATCTGCAAGAAGCTGATCAGGGAAGTGGCAGTAGAACAGAGTGCGTTGTCGAGAAGGGTATAACCATCTTAGCAGAGGAACACAGGCAGAGAGTTGGTCGATCACGAAGACATTCGGCTGCAGCTTATCCAGCTCATTGCTGAAAACTGAAATGGCGAGGAGAAGGTGAATCTGACGGAGGATGGCAAGAAGAATGTGGAAGCGATTGAGTAGAGTGGGAGGGAAGAGGGTGTTGCCGCGAACTCGGACATCTAAGGTGCCTATACTCACAAATCTGTCAATGCTTAGCCAACATCGTAGCGGGACAAGTATATAGGACTGACCATCTCGAGCTTCCTCGAAGCAATGCTGGGGATCACAATGGGAAGTGAAGATGGTGACTTTGTTCCCCTGCTCTTGTAAGCCTACAGCAGCGTCGACAATGAGACGCTCAGCACCACCGATACCGAGGTCAGGATGGATGAAGATGATGCGTCTCTTGGAGTCTGTAGATGCTCTGGACACCTTGCCAGGAGTCGTCATGGTCAAGAATGGTCCATCTATGACAGGAGGATCGGAAGAAGGCTGGCTGATATCACCAAGAGACAGATTGCGCCCGCAGTCTATGCAACATGTTGTCTCGGCCGACCTGCTATTTGTGTTTAGTATCTTACATAAGCAACGCGCCGATGAACAATTTCTACTGTTGATGCCGCGTCGAGTACTCGTACTCGTACTCGTACTCCGTTTGAAGTGTTCGTTTCAAGAGAATAACTGCGATTAGTCCCTATGATGGACATTCGTATGCCGAGCACTTATTCAGATGGTTTACTTCCTCAAAATATCACTTCCAAGGCTTGGAGTCTCCTGCCGAGTAAATAAAAGACGTACAAGTCCCTGTGATGTTGCGCGTCTTTGTCTTGTAAACATGCTCGGCGGTGGCACCGAAGTCTTGTCTATTTCTTGACCAAGTACGGACTACGAGTACGGAGCAGATAATTACAAGCCCTCAGTACCTTATATTGTACCGAACTCTGTGGTATCCGCATGTTTCCTCTATCTTATGGACCACAGAGTCTTGTCTGCTGCGGTCGTTCTTGGTGCATCTCTCCCAGGAGGAGCAATTTCCCGAAGCCGATGTCTGGGCTCGTATTACAGAGATAGCTTCCTCCCACTGAAGCATCCCATTGGCGGCGATGAGTAGAAGCGTAGGACATATCGATCATCCCTGTCAAAAAAAATGCACCAAGTCATTCCAGATTGCGACAAGCTCGCATCATTCTCCGGCCCTCCGCAGCATCTTGAATGACTTGAAGTACGAACCACGGTACGGGAGTGCTAAACGAGAAGAGATAAGAAGCCCCAGAAATAATAAAGTCCGCAGCTTCGGCTCGATCGTTTCTTCCATCATCATTTTACCGTCGACACCTTCGTTCTGCGCTCTTGCACCTGCGGGTGTTCAGCTTCTTGACTTTCGCTTCTTGCCCTCGTAGGCTCTTTCTCTCGTTGGGAAACTACGCCCTTCGTTTCTACACCTCTTTGTCTGGTTCACGGCCGACTTCCCCTCGCTCATCTCAGTTGACCGCGTAATAATTCCAGCACTTCTCGATACGTCTGTGCTCCGATAACAACTTCAGCATGGCGCTGGTGAGGCTACTATCACAATAGCGGCGATCAGAAGACTGACCAAATGCAGTTCAAAGCTATGTTGTTTGCGCTCGTCGCGCTATTTACCTCTTATGCCTCTGCCGTGGCCCCTCTTGTCGTCAAAGGCGCGGATTTTGTCAACAGTATCGACGACACTCGCTTCCAGATTATCGGTGTTGCGTAAGAGATGGTCTGATCCTGATACCGCAACCGATCGCAGTACTGACACACTTCCGATGCAGTTACCAGCCCGGTGGTTCCTCCGGCTTCAACCCCGGCTCTGGTATCGATCCTCTCAGCGATGCTTCCGTCTGCCTTCGTGACGCCGTCCTCATGCAGAGACTCGGTGTCAACGCGATTCGTGTCTACAACCTAGACCCTGATTTGGACCACACCGACTGTGCCAACATCTTCAACGCGGCCGGCATCTACATGATCCTCGATGTGAACAGCCCATTGCCCAACCAGTCCCTGAACCGAGGTGCTCCGTGGGAATCCTACAGCTCGGACTACATGCAACGTGTTTTCAAGGTGGTTCAAGATTTCATGGTTTTCAACAACACGCTGGGCTTCTTCAGTGGAAACGAGGTGATTAACGAAGACTCCGTGCCTGAAGTTCCAGCGTACATCCGCGCAGTGACAAGAGATATGAAGGACTATATCTCAGCTCAGTCCCCACGCGCGATTCCTGTCGGGTACTCGGCAGCCGATGTCCGCCCGCTGTTGATGGGTACATTCAACTTCATGTCTTGCGGTTTGTCGAACGAGACCAGCTCCAAGATTGATTTCTTTGGCCTGAACTCTTACTCGTGGTGTGGTGATGCCACCTTCCAATCGTCGGGCTATGACGTCCTGGTCTCAGACTTTAGCAACACCACCATTCCCATCTTTTTCTCGGAATACGGCTGCAACAATGTCTCGCCTCGAATATTCAGCGAGGTTGGGACCCTCTACGGCCCTAAAATGACTCCCGTCTTCTCAGGTGGTTTGATCTACGAGTACAGCGAAGAGCCCAACAACTATGGCCTGGTCAACCTTAACGATAATGGCACCGTGTCAATCCTCGTGGACTATGATAATCTTCGCAAACAATATGATGACCTGGACGTTGGCTTGTTGGAGAAGGCCAATGCCACCGCGACCTCCTTGACGCCACCCAACTGTGCCACCAGTCTCCTGAGCGGTGCTAACTTTACCAAAAGCTTCGATCTTCCCGCCCGTCCTGACGGCGTGGACGATCTGATCAAGAAGGGTGTTGATGGCACCTCTTCGACCAGCAACGAGGCTGTCACCGACACCAAACCCAACCAGACAGTCTATGCCACTAATGGCCAGGAGATCAGTGGTCTCCAGTTGAATGTTCTTGAGTGGGACCAGAGCAACTTGCCCGGTAATAACACCAGTGGAACTACCCCGTCATCTCCATCAGGATCCACCACCAGCAGTGGCAGCTCGCCATCCAAGACGAACGCAGCTCCGCGGGTCGACGACGTCAAGTTTGGATCTCTCCTCATGGGCGCGGTCGGTGCCGGCATATACTTGCAATTGTAAGGGAGGACACCTCCTTGATATTGTCAGTGTGCTATGACAGTTGCATCGTAGCATTGCCACAAGCATTCAGAGGCCCAATTTCTGTTCTTCTTTTTGGCCGAGATACCGTTCAATGGACATATTAGTGTTAGGACTTTGCAGGATCCGAGGCCTGCACAAAAACATGAAATATGGTAAATAATGATTCTATGAGCAGAGAGAAGAATACTACTTAGTGAATTACTGAAATGAAGTAATTGCTTGTCTCTTGTCTCCCATATCTTGTCTACGTATCTAACTCAGGTAGGTACACCAGGCTCTAGGATCTACCCATACTCCTGACTCGACCCGTTGACAGTACTCCGTACTCGTAGATTATTTCCTCCTGGTCTCATCATCGTCATTCAGGGCCGTGCATGATTTCCCCGGCCCTGATCGTGGTTTGTGCATCCAATAGCATCACGAAGCCATGTCAATCTTGCAGTCAAAACTCTGATGATTGACACTAGCGCTTGGCGCCACTGTCGTCGCCATCGCGCCAATTACAGCGCGACAAAATTTTCTGTGGCTGAAGCCTAGTGTCGTCATTTTGTGGCTGTACTGACCCAACTTGGGCAGGGCGAGTGTTTTGATTGGCAGGTTCCCTGATCTCGATCTCCCCAATGATGCATGGATCGACGCCCAACACGTCACTGCGCCGCATTTCAGCTTGATTCAACAGATTCGACATCACAAACACAACACAGACCCTTCCCCATTTTGACGTGTTTTTTTTCCCTTTTTCCTTGCAGAAAAGTCTGGTTACACCTGGTTACTGGGATTTTAGCCGCCCGCATTGGCCCCCAAAACTACAAAGAGTCCAGCCCCCCCCTTCGCATCCCAACCATCCTTCCTTGTTCCCCCTGTCGAGTACTCCCAGACGAAGGACAAACGAGACTTGTCGACGACCTACCTGCCTTCCCACCTCACGACCTCTCGTGACTGATACCACTCGTCACACGACATCAACGACAACCAAAATGGCCTTTGGTGGTGCCCTCCTTCGCTTCGGCCAGACCGGCCTGCGCATCATCGAATTCGCCTGCGCGGCCATCGTCCTCGGCATCTTCAGCTACTTTTTGGCGGTGCTGTCCAAGCACGACATCCACATCCCGACGTGGGAGAAGGCGGTCGAGGGCATGTCGGGCGCGGCCTGCCTGTACCTGATCTTCTGCATCCTGCTGACCCTCTTCCTGGGGGCGATCCGGTTCTTCGCCGCCATCGCCATCTTCCTCGACATCTGCTTCGTCGGCTGCTTCGCCGCCATCGCCTACTACACCCGCCACGGGGCCAACTCCTGCAAGGGCTTCGTCAACACCCCCCTCGGCAGGGGCGCCGACAACCAGGACGCCCCGGGCGCCGGCGACTGGGGCTACGTCTGCAGCCTGAACACCGCCGTCTTCGCCGTCGCCCTCGTCAACGTCTTCCTCTTCCTCATCACCGCCATCGTCCAGTTCCTCCTGGCCCGCCACCACCAAAAGGAGAAGCGCTTCGGCCCTAGCCCCAGCAACAACTACACCAGCGGCACCGGCCGTCGGCGACCTTTCTGGCGCCGCAACAAGGCCGCCCGTGGCACCCGCGACGCCGAGATGGCCACCGGCGGTGCCGTCGCCGGTTCCCACCACCACGGCCACGGCAACACCGTCAGACCCAGCCACGAGACCGGCATGACGGGATCCACCATGAACAACACCGGCGCCGCTCCTTACGCCACCGAACCCAAGTACGGTCAGCCTGGATACGGCAACGCCGGTTACAATCCTCCCGCCACAAACTATTAGGCGGGTCAGGTCACTGCTCGTGTGATGACTGAAGACGAACCTCTTTTTTTTTGAGGGGACTTGCCACCACCACCACCACCACCATAAGTATCTCTGTCAAAGTCTAAAGTCATTCATTTTACCCGATCCTGATTGTGAAGAATCAACTACGACAAATGTACGATTATATTAATCAACACGAGAAGTTTTGTCCCTCGCGGAATGGTGGTAGAGTGGAGAAAAGGAGTTTATCATGTCACTTGTTTTCCCAAGGTGACGAATTTACCTGTTGTACCACCACCACCAACAATAACACCAACACATCTTCATCAGACTGACGTGCCGGAGTAAGGAATGAGTTGGGGACTAAGGACCAATGTCAACAGAAAATGGAGGAGAAACACAGGCGAAACAGGATTTATTGCAATGCCCAAAGTTTGGTACGAAACGTTCACGATAGATATCACCGCCCCCCACAACCCCCGACGTGATTTGGCTTATCAGCCAAACCCTTCCCTTTAATGAAATTAATCAAACTACACTATTAAAAACAATCATGACCATACAAACTTGATATAAAACATCTCAACTGCGCACCATCTCGTGAGTATATGTTTTACTTTTGTCGTGGTAAGCTTGATTTTGGGGTTTGGTCATGCATCATGGTGACTTCCAAATGCCTACACGATGAAATGTTCACCGTCAGTCTAGGTACGAGTAGTTCCTCATTTCGGAAAGGGAACCCTCAAGTCAAGTAATTTGATCCGAACTCCCCCACAATTGTCCATGTCTACTCCGTGGCAACTAGCCCGTCTGATATTTGCATGGTTCTCAAGTGACTGCCATTCTAAAGATCTTCCAGATCGCCTTCGTTCAGTTCATGTATCAGGATGGGAACATGTCTCGTATGCTAGAATCAAGCATGGTTGTAAGAGGGTAAGCGGGCGATGAGTCGGGGGTTGGGGTTCCAATCGCGCTTTCTTCCACGAGTTGTATTGCCAACGATCCCTCCTCGGCGTTGTGCCAACCGCGAAAATGCTGCGTGAATTCGTCTTTTCGGTAAAAGGTGCGTTCGCCCTTTGATCTGGCCCAACAAGCCTGGGCGTTATGTTTTCTCGCGCAAGTCTCTGAATTGGTCCCACCCCTCGTTCGACGATTCTGTACCCCTACCTCAGAAATAGCACATCCCTGGGGTCAGTTCAGTCAGGCGATGACAAACCCATAATCTCTGTGGCAAGTGTATAGACTGCTCGTGTCGCCTGCATGTCGACTTTCTAGGGAAGTCCTTGCCGCAGAAGGCACACCGATAGGGAGGTGAATTGTCCGTTGGGCGAGTGGTTTCGGTGGTGGAAATCCATCGCCTCCGTCCTCGCCGACTGCCCACCGACGTGTAGCTGGACGACGACACCCCAGATCCGACCGTAGAGCTGGAGGCGACCGACTTGTTGTCCTGGTAGGACATCTCCTGGGGGCTAGGGTGTTCTTCTTCCCCTGGGAGATCGGGGTCTTCCACAGGGAAGGAAATTGTTTCCAACGCGCGAGAGCTGTAGATCGGATCAACGATGTCCCTCCGGGGTGGAAGTGGAAATGCACGCTGGAGGGGAAGCTCTTTGACCCCAGTAGAGCCACTCAATTCGTTGGCCCACCCACCTAGGGCCACTGCTATTGCTCCTCGCACATCGGTGTCCTCGGAACTTGGGAAAGAATTCACCAAAGGCTCCCCGCAGAGCTGTGCAAAGCTCGGACTTAATATTCGTATCAAGATGGTTTTCATCTCGTCAAATTCACACGTTGGAGAAAGCGACCTTTCCAACAGATCATTGAGACGTCCGGATAGCAGCCGCAGGCTCTCACGCTTCAACGAGTAATACGCATCCTCCAGACTTTTCACACAAAGCATGAGCTGAGCAATGTCGAGCTCCAACAGCACAAGCAACCTCAAGAATGCTTGATTGTCTCGGGGAAAGAGTTGTCAACGACGTAAGGAATAGACTGAAGCATCTTCTCACACCTTGCCTGTTGTAGTTCCCAGAACATCTCCAAGCGGCGTGAATAAGGATCTTCCCTGTCCACCATATCTGGCAGGTGGTCAAACCACCATTCTATCATCGAAGGAGCATCTTGAGCTTTGTTGGTTTACAAATTATGCCCTCCGCCAGAATTGAGTGACAGGCTCTCAAGGCTGCAGCTGTCATGCCCAAGGTCGGCAGCTGGCGCAGATGATGCGGACACGTCCAAGGACCGAGCCTCCTGCAAAGACTCGGAGGCTTGCGAAGGCCGCCGACTCGACGGACTTTGGAGTTGGGTATCAGAGTATACTCGTGTGGGCTGGGTTCGCTTTTCTTCAAGATCAAGCGGCAATGTGCTGGTGACTTTTGAACATTCTTGTGCAGGAATGAGCTTCCGTTGGCGGATTCGATTCAGCCGACGCCTGACCTGCTGGAACTTGAGACCCGTTGTCGCTGAAAGAGCAGAAATGGTCTCCTTATCCGCATAAGGATAGTCGCCACGCGAGGACAACCAGTCACATAGAATTTTGTTTGCCGAACACTAAGCCTGACTCTCTTTTTGGGCAATGGCTTGGCCTTAACCTCCAGATTTGTTTTGTACATCTTTGGTAGATCCTGATCTCGCACCCCAACACCGGTAGCGTTATCAGATGTCCCGGCCATTTGCTGCCCGGGCGTAACTGTAGACAAGTCCTGGTCGATGTTCGAAGTTCTGACGAATCCCTGTTGTGTCAATCCCAAGTTCGGATCTTCGCCTACTAGCGCAGACTCGGAACTGGGTGTTGTGCAATTACGTGTGAAAAAAAGAAACTGTCGTCGAAGAACTGGTTCAGGGAGTCCGCAGCCTCTGGTTTCTCGACTGTGGGCAAGGGGGTATGAGCATTTGGGTCGTTCATGGGGCCATAGTCTGCCCTGAAGAGGGCATGAACATCATGCTGATCAAAAATGCTCGATGCGTAGCCACTACCTAAATCGACTCCGAGTCGATCCACGTTAACCTATCCGGCATCTCGCACTTCATAATAGTCGGGACTCTAGAATTCTGTGAACAGGTCGTCGGTCTTGTGTGTTCCAGCCGGTGGTCATCTGGTGTTTCTAAGCGACTCCGACGAGAATGTGAAGAAGCCCCCCTTCAACGAGACCGTCCTGAAGCTCTCGGGGGATTGCACATGTGCAATTTGAAAGTAGATTGATCAGATCATGATGAAGCAAGGCGACGTTTGAGGTTCACGGTGCATGGCGGGGTCGAAAGAAGCACCGTGTTGCTCTGCACAGCGTCCAATGGCAACCCTTTCATGAGATGATGGGGCCAGCATATGAGACTGTATTAATGCAGGAACACATAGACTTGAGAGGCTTGGTGGAGGTCATGCCGGTATGGTAGCCGTAGACATTGGGATGTGAGCTGGGTGTCATGGACTGATCGTCAACAGGTTCCGAACTGGTCTAGATACAACAACGGGCTTTCTGACCAACTTCAGAAGAAAATACTCGGCGTTGCAGTGTTTGCACCAAGTCACCGGAGTCGTAAGCGTACAGAACGAAGGACTCGACTTATGGGTTTGAGGAGAGATTGGCATCGGCCTAGGTAGACTGGTGGACGTGTGATGTGATCATAAAGTCAAGGAGCGAAGTGTTCATCGACGTCGATTTGTTTCATCAAGGAAGATACACGATTCCGCACAGTACAGTAGATGACAAGGTCTTGAAATGGAATACGCCGCCTTAAAGGAGGCTCATTAGGCTTCGATTAATTTGTTCACTAAAATGCTGAGCCCACTGAATGATGAACCTACTGGATGATAAGCCTTTTTTAGCTGCGACCTGCCACTAAATCCATCTAACGGCTTGCCGCCAATTCCGAAACCCACCCTTGGGTCCAAACCCTTACAAAATACGGAGTACCTCCATCTCTCCTCGAACTTCCTCTCCTTCCCATCCTAACCATCGCATCAGAGAGTCCTGGTATAACTCATTCTATTTGCACCGCGACTGTGATGGACGACAGGATGCGGCTTCAGGCGAGGCCGCCGCGATGAGCCAAGCTTAACTCTCCCTGCATTCAATCCACCACTCGAAGCCATTGCTGAACCATCATCATGCCACTATCAAAACGACCACCACCGTACGTGGAGGCGGAAGATTCCAGGAGACCGCCTCTTCGACCGTCTCAAACCGAGGACCTGAATCACCACTCGTTGCCCGGCGATGAGATCTCCGTGGATGAGCAGGCTGCGGTCCTGCAAGCAATGTCACTAGAATCGCCGCCGGGCCTGGTCCAGTCACCGAGCAGCTACTCGACGGAACTTAGCCCCGTCAGTCCTACTGTGGTATCTGCCCCAACTACGACCTTGACTTCACCTTCGCCGACATCATCAGCGACGCCATTGAAGTTCAAGTCGGCATTGCAAGACATTCGGCATTTCGCCGGTGGCCTGATCGCCCACCCCTACGAGTCCACCAAGCATTACTCCATCCTGCGCCATTCTCACGGCTTGGTCTACTATAGTGGCTCCACGACAAATCTGGCCATCACCATTTTCTCGGACAGAGAGCTACCCTCGGATCGGACACTATGGCTTCAGCGCAAGGGCTTCTCCGGCAAGACAGGCCTGAAGATTGGCGGCCTACTCGGTGCCAGGAGTACGTGGATCGACGTGACCCCCACCGTCAAGGCGACCCCTGAACAACTCAACCCGACCGACGAGCGAGCGTGGCAGAGGGACATCAAGAAGTTCGTCAAAAAGGCACCCAAAGAGATCCGCTCCCACCGAGTTCGCGAGACCGATGTACTCCGGATCCCATGCGAAGCCGACGACGGTTACCTCAGAGTCGTCTTGTGTACGGCCGAGGGTAAAAAGGTCTTGTGCGGAAGTCCCATATTCCGACTAGCATCCTCGTCCACTGAGTTCAGCACTCTTCGTGGAGCTTCCATCAAGACTATGCCGCTGGAGATGGGCATCAAAATCGGTCAAATGATTGGAAGCAACATCATGTCGGCCACCCTCACTCCGCTCGCTGACCAGGCCAAGTCGACAGTCACGAACCAGGTGTCTCAGATTTACAAGCCTGGTTTTGCCGCGCAGGAAGCGGCGACTCTGGCTTATGATAGCAGTGGCGTGTCGGACAAGATTGAAAATGTCAATCAGCAGTACGACAGTGCTCGGGAGAATTCGTACAGCTCGATGCAACCGACGACGACGTATGACGCTTTACAGCGGCCGGACATCGTGGGTCCCGAGTCAGGTCCAGTCGCTCCATTCCCTGTTCGCTTCCACGGGAAAGTGGTGCCCGGCACGGGGCGAAGTAGGGCAATGTTGAACATCCCTACTGCGAACTTGTCCGGCGTGCCCGAGGATATTCTCGTTAGGTACAAGGGTGTCTTCTTCGGCTGGGCGGCGGTGAGTCTGCCCAAGAAACTGGCCACTGAGACAGACGTGCCGAGTGACTGGCTCAAGGCTGTCGTTTTCATGTCTCCGGATCCCGATAGGAGGAGGACGGTTGTCCACAAGAACACCGCGAGGGTGTATTTTCTTCATGACTTTCGGGGCGCTCAACTCGTCGAAGCCAAAGTTTCAGTCATGTTGATGGGGTATCTACGTGCATTGCAGGATCCGAACCCCTATGAAGAGCCGGATGTCGAGTCCATGCAGTTTGACACGTACAAGGATATTGCCATCACCACGGCGAGCCTGAACCGACCGGCCTGGGCGGCTGAGGCGACTTTGGACCGTGTCAAGTCAGCGGCGTCCAGTCGAAACATGAGTGAGCGGTATGTCGATTTCCGTCAAACCACGCAGAGACAGATGGATCGAGTGCCGGTGAACAGACTTGGGATCAGGACGGAAGGGGCCGCGTTGAGGGATAAGTTGATCGGGGTTGGAGGTGTTTGGGTGCCGAGAGATGGCTTGGCGTATAGTTATACTGCTTGAGTAGTGGAAGTGTGTCACAGTGTTGCCAGATGGTCATCATATGAGGTAAAGAGATGGTAAAGAGGTGGTAGGATGTAATGTATGGGGTACAGTGAGAGAGAGATATCCGGCAAGGTAGCAAATGCTGTGTTGGCAAGTGGTATACCATTCGGAGGGTGGTAAATCTAATGGTATATATTGGATGATGATCAGAAAGACATGAGTTGTTCAATACCCACCCAACTCCTTTCATCCATCATTCATCAGTCTTGACTCTCTCCGGAGTAGTCATGTTCTTCAAAGTGACACCTACGAGTACTACCCGTACAGCTTACATAATTCTTCTCGGCCAACCTTCCCTCGTGTTGATTTAGCCACTTCCCCAGATTCGACCTGGTGCTGATAATCACAACGAGGTTCCTATTCGGGTCTAGTTCGATTCGCCTCCTTCTTTTTTGCCCCTCATTTTTCCTCCTCCTCGTTGCGGGACCTTCGGGCTTCCCAATTCAGGAAGCCGAAACGTCCATCATTGATTCTCACTTGTCCTCGACACAAATTCGATGATCCCGCCCGGCATGTCCTGTTTGGTGTTCACTTTGTGGTCTCGCGCCTGGCCTCGAGCGGGGTGAAGTAGCACCAAAAAACTTGGTTTGCTCCTCGTGGCTTGTCGTGGTTGTCGCCAATGAGAAAACAACACACTCCTTGGTGTGTTTGTTGTACGGCCCTTTCGCGCCATGTCACGGCTTTTTTGAAGAGGAGGGAGAGGGGCGGGGATCCTCTCGAAAGCGGAGTTACTGTTCAGTCACGACCACGGTCGTTTGACCGGTGATGCCGTTCTCTGTCGGATGGAATACTCGTTACGATCAAAGGTACATGCGGGAAGGTGTAACAGTATGTAACAGTAGTAGAATTACTATGAGTTCTGGCCCTGGTCTGGTCTGATCTGACTTCTGACTCGGTACTTTAAAAAGAGTCCGTCAATCCATTCATCCACCCCCGAAATCTCGAATCGAACTGGTGTTCATCTCTCTCTCTCTCTCTCTCTCTCTCTGCATTAGCATTTTAGCAATCTCTCGTCATCCTTGTTTTTCTTTTTCTTTCCCTTTCTCTCGCTTTACATTTCCCATCATCTTCTCCATCCTTTTCACCTTAGCATATCAGCCCCGGGTGATTCTCCGGCCAAGCTATAACACGGGTGATTTACATCAACCAAGAGTCTGTCTGGAAAACCCGGTACTACTTCTCCAACAAAGAATCACAATCTCTACACCCTCGGCAAAGTCTTCCCGATTGACCTCCAACCCAACAACACCACTGTCACCACCACCACCATCGTCACCACAATGTCAAAAACCATGAACGCCGTCCGTTTCTACGGACAGCGTGACATCAGGCTCGACCAGATCCCCATCCCGACCGTCAAACCGGGCCAGGTCAAGATCGCCCCCAAGTTCTGCGGCATCTGCGGGTCCGACCTGCACGAGTACCTGGGGGGCGCGAACCTGATCCCGAAGCCCGAGCACCCGCACCCGATCACGGGCGAGACCCTCCCGCTCACGCTCGGCCACGAGTTCTCGGGCATCGTCGAGGAGGTGGGGGAGGGGGTGACGCACGTCCGGCCGGGCGACCGGGTGTGCGTGCAGCCGACCATCTACGACGGCGACTGCCGGGCCTGCCGCCGCGGCTTGGTCAACTGCTGCGACAAGAACGGCTTCGTCGGCCTGAGCGGCTGGGGGGGTGGGCTGTGCGAGCACATGGCCGTGCCCGCGAGCTGCGTCAAGCCCCTGCCCGACGGCATCTCGCTCGAGGTCGGCGCCCTGATCGAACCCTTGGCCGTCGGCTGGCACGCGGTCTCGATCTCCCCCTTCAAGCCGGGCGACTCCGCCTTGGTCCTGGGGGGCGGACCCATCGGCCTGGCCGTCGTCCAGGCCCTCAAGGGCAAAGGGTGCGACAACATCATCGTCAGCGAGGTGAGCGGCCGGAGGAGGGAATTCGCCCGGGAATTCGGTGCCCACCACGTCATCGACCCGACGGCCGCCGACGTCGTGGACGAGGTCGACCGTCTGACCGGCGGCGAGGGGGCGGACGTGGGCTTCGACGCCGCCGGGGTCCAGGTCGCCGTCGACAGCGCCTTCAAGGCCATCAAGGCGAGGGGGACCCTGGTCAACATCGCCGTGTGGGAGAAGAGAGCGACGTTGCAGATGAACGACGTCGTCTTCAGGGAGAGGGGTTACATGGGAGTGTGAGTGAATTTTTCCTTTCTTTTTTTGAAAAAAAAAGAAAAAAAAAAGAACAACCATGCAAAGAATCACCCAGTGCTAACAATGATCGAAAAATAGTGCGACGTACGCCCTGGGGGATTTCGAAGCCGTCATCGAAGCCATCTCCTCGGGTAGGATGAAGCCAGAAGGCATGATCACCAAGACGATAAAGTTGGACGAGGTGGCGGACGAAGGATTCAAGACCTTGATCGAGGATAAGGAGAATCATGTCAAGATATTGGTCGACGTCGGGGCTGGAATATGAAACCTGGATCCTAAAGTGAAGGAGCAATCCAAAAGTGGAAAATCAAGCCCAGAACGTACCATTCTATCTCCCCTTGGAGGAAAAGGTAATCTACCAGATCATTCGGATGGTCAGGCGACAATGACAATCAGGCGAGCGTCGAAAGCGAATGGACATGTTTTGTTGTCAAAAACCAACACGTTACGATAAATAACGACAACATGACAAAAAAACAAACAAATGTGAACAGGATCATAACGTGTCTCGAAATGGAGTCTTAAAAAGATACTTGGTTCACAAGATATCTCTGTTCTTATTCGAACGTCAAGTGATGATGATAATGACGGCCGACAACGCTGTCATCGGTGTCCCATCGCAATACTTGCCCAATGCTCACTGTCTTTTTCTTCTTCTTTTTCAATGCCATGCCACATAATGCCATGTCGTGAACTGACGTACTACGCGCCACTATCGAGCTCGACCGCACAATCTCTTGGCCTACCCTCGACGGTCCATCTGACCGGGCGTCCTACTCCGACCCAATCTGTTCAAACCCAACGCCAATCGACTGTCTGTGTCCAGGGTGTGCTCCGTGACCAGCTCCTTGTCAATCTGGAAATGTTGGACCAAGGTCGACGCCGCCAGCGCCAACCCGGCCAGGCCACAGAAGAAGGAGAAGACGCCGTGAAAGCCGTAGACGTACGCGCCCAGGACGTCGGCCGGTCGCGGGACCATCGTCGACCCCCCTAGTCGTGACCGTCGGAGACCCTCCGCAAACGCCTCCGCGTCACTCGCGATACTGTCGGGCAAGCCGAGATCTCGGATCTTGATCTTCATGACGTTTTGAAACACCGATCCACCTATGCCGACACCCAGGGCCATGCCGAAACTCCGAAGGAAGGCGTACATGGCCGCCGCGGCTCCCTCGTCGCCCCGCAGGCACACGGCCTGGGACGCCGTGTTGAGAGCGTTGAGCAACAGGCCGTGTCCGAAACCCAAAACCACGAGGCTGACCACCCACACCGACGCGCTCGTTCGGGCGTCCCACGTGACGGTCAGGCCCGTGCCGATACTGACCAGCGTCCATCCCGTCCAGATGGCCCAGCGGTACGTGCCCGTGCGGGTGATGACGCGACCGACGACGACGGCGGCCGGGATGAGTGTAAGCATGACGGCGAGGACCGACACGCCTGTCCGCAGGGGAGACTCGGATCGGACGGACTCGAAGAAGAAGGGGACGTAATACAGTTGGCCATAAAGCTGGGTTGGGATCAAATTAACTTGGCAATGGTTTTTGGTGTTGGCGGTTGCACGGAGAACACAAGAGTAGTTAAAGATAGAAAACTTACAAGCAGTCCTTGGACAAACGCACCAGCGTAGACGGCAAAGGATGACCGAGAGTGAAAGAGAGAATGTCGGAGGAATGGTTCCTTTGCGAAGAATCTCTCATAGACCACTGTGGACGCAAGACCTAAAAACCCCAGGGCCAAAGGGACAATGACCGCTACAGCGGACCAGTGAAATTGAGTACCACCCCAAGATATGGCGACGAGGAATCCGGTGGCCGATGGGATGAAGAAGAAAGCTCCGATCCAATCGACCCGAACAAGCATCTCGCGCCACGTAGCCGATCGAGGTTTCAGGCTGACGACGAGGGGAACAAGAGCTAAACCGATCGCGCAGAATGGGAACATTAGGTAAAAGATCCAGCGCCAGAGAGTTGGGGTTGCAAAAGCTCCGCCGACTAGGTGTGCCATTGTCAGTATACATCATCAAGTACGAGTTCCAGATTCTCATCAGATAGCAAGTTTGGAAGCAGAGTGGATGTAATGCAACGTACTGAGGGGTCCAATACACGTTCCGATTGCCCATGCTCCTTGTCTGTGGGAGAATGTGTCAGCACGTATAGATTTGTAGCGGGCAGTATGGATTCGGACCACGTACGTTATGCCGATATATTGCGGACGGGACCTCAAGGGAACAATATCGGTAAAAATCACCAGAGAGAGTATAATGATCCCTCCACCACCGACACCCTGAATGGATCGACCCGCAAGAAGGACTCTCATGGTGTGTGCCACGGCGCATAAGACGGTACCGGTAGTGAAGATCAACAACGAGGCGAACAAGCAGCGCGGTCGACCAAAGATCTCGCTGAGAGAGGCAATGAATGGCATGGACACTGCGCATGTCAAGAGGTACGACGTGCCGATCCAAAGGCCCTGAGTTGTGTCCGTCTCGAATGCTTGGATGATGGTCTATGGACAGCATTGTTAGAAGCCATGTCAATGAGACAAACACCTCTCAACTGTCTTACCGATAGCGAGGTAATGATGATGGTTGCATCAAGGCTGACCATCAAGGAGATGATGGCCAATGTCAACATGATGGCGAGTTCATGTCCAGATGGTTTCCATGCTGGAACATCAACGTTCTCCGGCTCTGTTGATGGAAGATGGACATCTTCATCAACATGCTGTGCTACATTAGCCATTTTGTGCGGATATGATGCGTAGTCTCTCATGCGTGAGTGCGTTAATAGAAATGCAAGAGTTGGAATAATGCAAGAACACAAGACGAGTGATGTAAATGTGCAGAGTACAAACACTTCCTTTGTACCATCACCATGATGTCGCCAGCGCAAGTCCAAACCTGTAGACCTACTGCATTTTTCCAGTATCAGCCAAGATAACGACAGTCTCCATCACTCATGTGGTGAATGCCAAACGCAAAGGTGATACATTGAATTTGGGAAGAGTAAGAGTAAGAGTACGAAAGAGCAGCTCTTTCAAGAAAACGAGTGCAATCAAAAGGACATGTCTGTGGTCGGATATATGAGAAGATGGTCTCAGTCTCAGACCTTGCATAAAGATACTGATCAAATGCCCATACACTCAACAACTGCTTGACGCTGTCCCTCTTGAGGAGTCATTACACGAGCTGACTGGAGTGGTCTTTTTCTGACGCGAGCTTCCATCTGCTCCACCCATTGGGCTTCTGTAAGCGCCTCATTGTCGCAAGGCCGATGTCCGAGACGCCTATTGTCGACTTCTTGGCTCAGGATATGGATCGAGTTGATTTGAGAATTGGTGGAAGAATATAGAGAAAGGAAAAGGGCCCAGCTGAACAATTGTGAGATGTTGCGATACCATTTTGAGCTTAGTGAAATGTCTACACTTCTGCCCAATCATGATTATTGAATCTCAGCCTCGTCACGACTAGAATGAAGACCCCTGTGTATCGGGTATCGTGTATCGAGTATCGAGACATCAAGTATATTACAGAGAGTCCACCTTCTGCCCGTCAAGCTTGGTCTCCAGCTACACTATTTAGACCTGGCTACATCGACCGAGAGCCATCTGCCGCCATGCCTCGTAAGAAACCGATTGATTGGTATCAGATGAATGTTTGCAATTCCAGCAGTGGATCAACTTCATCTCATTTCTGGAAAAAAAAGGTGACATCTTGCGGCACTATGGTGGGCGAACATAGGAGTATGGTCCCGCTATCACGTCCTCTTCGAGGCACCAAAGAGAGCGTCGTATATAACGCTGACGATGGTCCTTCTCCGGGCGCTGGGTGCTCCTCCAGACACCATTCTTCCATATCCAGAGCAATCTCCGCCACCTGAAGATACTGCGCACGATTTAACACCCGATAATATCTCCAGCAGTCCCGACACAGAGACAAGCAGACCACGGGATAACGCCGAAGAACCCAAGATGGAATCTCGACATAGCTCAAGCAAGAAGCCACAGCCTGTGCAAATGTCTACGACGTCGTCTTCTCAAGACCAGCAGCGTCCGTCTGAGAGCTCTCAGCATGTAGCGAGAACCAACGAGAGGACTTCGGAAGAACGGTCGACCGCATCACTTGCCAGCGTACTCGCCAAGCGGGGTGATACGCTCCCTTTAACCATGTTCAGTGGATTGGTCGACGCATCGCCAGAGCTCGATAAGAAGCCAGAATCTAAGTTGACCTGGGTGAAGGAGGAGCCTCGATCGAAATGAGAAATTCTCTGAAGGGGTCCTGACATCTCGGCGAACGGTGATCCAACCCCGCTGCGCAAAGCAATATCAATAGCAGCCAACTTCAGAGACGGGCAGAATGATTGAATAGGGAACGTCTTCTGCATCGAATATATACCGTTAGGCCCCTCTGAGATGAGCTAGTCGCATGTCTGGCTGCAGAGCACTGGATATGACCGGTTGAGAGCGCTGTGACTGTTTCCCTCAATAATCCGGCAATCGAGCGAGAGGTCGGCTTCGATACTCCTCTGTCGGGTACGGACCCCTCAAACCTGTATTTCGCCGCTGGTGTAGAAAGGGCTGCATAGTGTTCCGGGCTAGTTCAATGGAAGTCTTTCTCAGCCCTGTCACTTTTCCTTGTGGGAATCTTTTCTGTGTTCCAACTTTTTCAATTCTTCTCTCAGTATCGTCTCCAAGCCTTCGTTTCTTCTGGTCAATAACATGACATCGTCGGTCTTGATGGTGGTCCTCCCGGCATGTTTGGCGAACGACTCGAGGTCAACGGCAATGTTCCCTAAATTACTGTGTGTTAGCAAAACATGCCACAAGGTACCGTGAGCGAATGGTCGAGGTCTAGGGTTGTTACCAATTTGTGCCCAGACCAACTCCATCAGGCTTCCAATGAACTGCGGCGTGGCATTCACACCGAGGTTGATACTCTCTTCGTCGACTATCTTGCCGACCTGGAACCACAGGGCGGAGCGCAGTTTCTGTGGGTGTCAGAAAGCCGGCGACTGTTGGGGCGCGTCTGGAATGCTGCTAGGCCTAGCAAGCATCGTCTGCCATGGACTACTGAACGTACCTTTTGAAGAGTTTCTGCATCTAATTCAGTCGTCGACGCCATGGTCATCGCTATGAATGTTACCGCAACTGGTCCCACGTTTGTCAGGAAATGATGGTCTTGTTTGACGCGTCGAGACGCGATATGAGAGAATCAAATGTTCCACCGTAGAAAAGGCTGGGGTCGACCATTCGCGCAACACGGCGATTGTTCAGGAGGTAGATGAAGTATTTATTAATCCCATCAATGTGAGCACGAGCCTGCAATGGCGTTATTATTCTGGGTATCTCTGCTTATATAAAAGATTATCACGCTGTTGACCAGTATCATGATTTGGTGGAGTCGACCTGAGCGCCGCAATCTGGCCCGTTGTGAAAAGAACAGTACAAAATCCTGTCAACGGGCCTTTAATGACGCGAGCCAGCCGATACAGGAGGTGATGGTCCTCCATTAATATGTATTGCTTGGAATATCCCCTTGTCTCTCGTATTTCCCCTCGGTCTTCTCTCCTCCCCAGTCTCGATAGACGCATGGAGAGATCGTCCCTATTCGAAGTGCACTCGCTTGACATTTTTGCCGGAGTCTTTACTGAATCTTGTACCCTGGACAATACCGGTTTGAGACGAAGGCTAGCAGGGATGTCGAAGTGGTTCGTCGGTATCGTGTCGGTCGCTAGGGAAGACAATCTCGGTGTCCAATCATATACTGTCGAATTATGATCGGTAAATCCCCTGGTGGCAAGTCGTGTCTTTTCATCGTTTAGTGAAGGTGTACTTTTTCCACTCCTTTTAATGGAAAAGTAGAGCTGATCTTCTTGAATCAAGACAAATCTTCGGGATGGCCGACACCCGCGCCGATCTCTTCTCGCGTCAACTGAATTTCTTCATTATAATTATTCTTGAATCTCCTGGAGCCGTTGATGAGCCTCTTCATGTTGAGACGGGTGGAGAAAGAGGTCCGGTTCGAGACGGGATGTTCGAAGTAACCTTCATGGACACTGATGTCGCTGCTTCTGCTGCGCGGGCCTATCGGTCGACTGACCCCGATCATCGCGGGGTACGGTGAGATGCAGAGGGCATTCGTGTCCTTGTTCTTGCAAAGGCCATCATAGCCCCTATAATACCAAAGTCAGTCGTGAGATTTGAATGACAAAGTCACAAGAACACGAGAAACCGCACTTACCAGTCGACTGGTGCGTTGAAGGGCGACAGGCTCATGTGAAAGAGTGCCTTTCGAGCCCCGGCAAGTGAGATGGCTAAACCTGCGGTGCATACTAAATTCCAGTAACCATGTCAGCTAGGTATTCTCCAGGTGTTCGATTGGGCCGCTGGGATGGTTGAATTTTGGATACAGGACTGGCCACAGGGAAGGCCTGACAATGACAAGAGTTGACTTACTGCCGCCAGAAGATCGGAATATGATGCGTGTATCGTTGACGGCGTTGGATGGATGATCCCATGTGGACATGTCGGGGTTTTCCAACCAATATTTTCTGTGCACCGTCGGTTCGACAGTCGGGTCTTCAGTAATGACGAATCGTCGCTTGTCTGAATCCATCGTGAATTGGCCGCAATGTCCCAGCCACAGCATGTCCCAGCTGTCGCCGTACGGGGACCTTGTAACCGCGTCTTCATCCACCTTTTGAAGGTACTTTGCACCACGAGCCAGTTGTTTGAGTTGCGCACGGAAGCCGATATCCCAGTCCGCATCATCCTCGAAGATGAGTGCCGATTGGATGTTCTCGGCCACGATCCTAGACGCACACGTTAGATGCTAGACCACAAGGATCGGTCTAGAGTTGATGCCTCATACATTTGTAACACGTCCATGTGTGCTCGCCAGCAGCCGACCACAGCTGGTTCTTGATCCATTGTCTGGGTAAGGTCGTTAGCTTGAGTTCATGTGGGTGGAATGACCGCAGAACCAGCAGCTCGTGAAGACTGCGTTGGGGTCCACAAAATTGACTTACCCATGGAAGACTCTTCTTGTCAACAAGATCGCCCGGGACACCATCGACGAATTCCATGTCTATGTTTGAAAGTGAGGCTTGGACGGCAATGTTGTCCCGTCTGTCGCCCCGCGATGGCATAGAGATTGTGAATATCTTTTCGAACTGTTTCCTCTCACGAGGCACTGATAAGTAACAGACCTCTCAAGTATACTGGCGAAGGGCAAGCCTACCCCAAGGGTCCTGTTCATTATATCTTCCATGGATCCGGTTGGAACCGTCGCTGCTGACAGCGCCGGTGTCCGCAAGCCCTTCACCGCCGATTCTATCTCGGACAGGTATGCCTTCATGGTAGCCCACTGCTCAGAAGAAGGTTGTGAATTTGTAGAGGTCATGTTTTTTAATCTTTGGAAGTATGTGGTCGTATGTGCCGTAACTTCATCGCTGCGGTCGATACCAACCAAAATCAGGAAGAGGAGGAACGCAAGCGCGGTGATTGCACCGACTACAACCCGCTTGTTGCTGTAAAATATTGATGTCGACATGGTGATGAGGAGGCTCCGAATGGTATCAAATGTTGAGAGAGAGTCGAAACTACTCGTAGCGAGTTCGGGAGTCTCATCCTGTGGTTGTATAGCAGAATCTTGGGGCCAGAACTTTCCTTTGCACGCGACATACCCCCTTTCGCGGCTCGATGTTGGCACATGTCGGCTATCTTGACACCAAGATTGAGCAATGAACACTGGATATGATAGATTTGACAGCCACGTCAAAGCCTCGGCTTAGCGAGACATGACGTTGTGGGCTCTTTGAGGCTCTTACTGTACGGAGTACTGTACGTTTGTAAACTTACATTTTTTGTTCATGATAAGAACGAATACTGGTCGACTCATGGAGTTGTAGCTCACGCTATACCTAACCCAGATCTCTCAATTTAACACAGTCAGTCTCCATACTCGAACGTGTGGTCTACCATAACGAAATAATTGATTCATGCTGACTTGTTGATAAGGAGGCTCCAAGAGGCGAATTAAACGTCAAGTTGTCTGAAGATCTTGGCAGGTTGTCTTGGCCCACTAAGAGGCTCTTAACTGCATTAGCGCGTTATCTGAGGCTCTGAACGGTTTCTGTGCACGTTGTTTGGGGTTCTTAACTGCCACTAACAGCCTCGCTAAGAGCCTCTTAGTGCGGCTCATCAACCCCCTTTGAAGTATCCATCCATTAGGGGCTCATGCGGCACGTACCAGGCTGTCTGTGCCACCTCCAAGATATCGCGATCCTCATGTTTGCAAACAACAAGATGCGCTTTAGCCATCGTGTCGCCTATTATCGCCCCTCATTGCCACGTTGGCGGACTCCCTTTTTGTTGATGAGGATCGCTCCCCCTCGGGCTCCTTGTGTACGTATTGTACAAGATACGTCTGATCTCACGCCGCGTCGTCTTGGAACCAAAATGCTGGCTCTCATCCAGAAGCGCGGAAGGACCACTATACTTTACCTGCTGTACGGTGGCCGCCCCCACAAGTAAGTCCATGGCCGAAACTCAAACACTAACAGTGTCCTTTCGCCTTGATCGCCCAATGTCTCGCTTTTGACGGCTCCATTGGCACCTCTTACAAGAGACAGTGGCGCGTAGAAAAGGGACATGTCATCTTTTTTGGGCTAACGAGCAGGCTACACAATCTGACCATAGGAAGCTATGAGCCGTGATAGCAAACCTTACTCGGATCTCCGGAGTGTGTCACAACATGATTGCTTTCTGGCTTTCCGTTCTCGTATTTGCATGGCAAATTTGACGTCTTGGGCTAGATGGCGTGACCGCGCTTCAGTTGAAATGAGATTTGCTGTTTGGCTTGGGATGAACATTCTCGGACGGATCCTATCCGGTTCCTGGGCTGTGATGGAAATGGCATTGCAACAGGCCATAGATCGGTGGCGGATATGATGAAATCAAGAACTTTCTCAGTACTTACGAAGACTTCAGAGGTACTCAATCACGAGCTTGCTGATGGTATGATATACATGGCTTAAACCGGAGAAGGAACACCAGGCACATCCGCTCACAACTTGTGTGGACCTTTCCCATCAAGACCCTGGACAGGATGTACAGACTCGGGGTAAGGCTTGCCGCCAAACTGTCCACCTCCCTTGACTCTCCACGCCCCGCCGTCGACATCCAGGCAGACGCCGTTGATAAAGTTGCCCGTGTCGCCGAACAGAAATACCGTGGCGTCAGCTATTTCCTTGACGAGACCAAAGCGTTGCAGGGGGATGTTCCTCCTCGAATCTTCCCGCGAGTCGGTGGCTACCAGCCGATCCATGCCCTCCGTGCCCGCGATCGCCCCCGGTGCGATGATGTTGGAGGTCACCCCTTGTGGGCCGTATTCGAGTGAAAGGACGTCGGAGATGGCATTCACTCCCGCTTTGGCCGCGCAGGCATGAGCCTGGGCAACTCTGGCGTTGTGGTAATTTGTCGAGCTCACGAAGATGATCCTACCCCCGGTGCCTCGTGGTACTGAGCAGCAATATTCAAAGTCAGACCTGAGACAAGACTTTTGAAGACGGCCACTGCGTGAGAGGCAACATCACATTGATGCCAAACACATACCTGACTTTCCATCACCCCGATGCCTCCTTGCAGATTCCAAGAGGTGTGGTATCGTGGCCTTGACCGTGACCCACGAACCGATGAGATCAATGTCAATGACTGCCTTGAACGCATTTACTGATAGGTTGTCCATCGAAGCCAAAAAATTTCCTGCTGCTCCGGCACTTTTGCTCCGTAAATGAAAATGTGTCAGCCTTGTCACACACCCATCGCTCACAACTTGGTTATCAGAGGGAGGGAGGGCTTGTGTAAGGTAGGTGCCTACATGACGAAGTCGATGCTGCCCAGTTCTTTGACACAGCGATCGACGGCAGCCTTGACGGTATCAAAGTTTCTCACATCGACGTTGCCAATGCTCAACACTTTACTCCCAGGTCTCTCAGACGAAATGTCCGTGGCCATTTGTGACGCCTTTTGCTGGTTTCTCCCAACGATACAGGCGTTGGCTCCGAGCGCGACCAAGGCGCGTACCTGTCCTGAACATATTGATCCAGATCCGCCAGTACAAAAAACGACCTTGTTTGCTATTCCTTTGCCGTCAGAAAGCTTGTATATCAGCTTTTTGAGAGGTTTGTGTTTCTGAATACCCACCGAATGTACCCTCCTTCCAGTATGGGCTGAGTACAGTACCCCGGGAACCAGACATGCTAGGAGATTTGTCTGGGGAGGTAGGTATTGAGGGATGAGTCGCTGATATACTCTTGAAGCAGAACACAATGATACAACAACAAAGAAGACAATGCGGTGCAATTATTCCCGGACTTACAAAAAATTACCGCGGACCCTTCGATAATCTCGGAGTTCTTGAATCTCTTCTGGATTTCGACATTCCCCTCAAACTTCAGCCTCGGCCGAAGGTGAAACTCCGCGTCGATTTTTCCCCAGACCATGTCTCCATACTTACGAAATACTACCGTTCAAGGGTTCACCGCAAGTATGTATGGTCCGAGTCAAACGATCAATGTGAGGTTCTCGAGTTCCTCTTGCAGGACTCGGAGATTTCAACCTGAAAGTTATTATAGATTCCTGTTGTGCCATTACGATCCGTCTGCCATCACGTCCACTCGGTACTCAGTGTTGAAATGGCTTCTACGAAGATAGACCCGTCGAGTTTTGATCGCACCGATATTGTTCGTTATCAAGATGAACCAGACATGCTCCCCAGCGATATCATGTTCCAGAGGCTGCACTATTCAGCGTGTCACCAAAACGGGTCGGCTGTGAGAGAAGAACACCTCGGACTCGACGTCAGCTATGCACAACTCCTCTGCGACGTGATCCATCAGAAACAGAAATTGTTAAAGGCACTCAATGAACAGACACTACTGAAATTGAGCGCGGACGAAGAGGTGGCCTTCGTGATTATTGCTCGAGGTTATGATTTTGTCGCCGCATTGTTTGCCGTTCTTGCCGTTGGAGGAATAGCGGTCCCAACAAGTACGTCTACATGAAACTTTCCGAGGGCTGCAAGAGAGTGTTTGGCTTGGTTAACAATCACAAATAGGTCACCATGTGACTTTGGACGAAGTTCGCCACATCGCCAGGACCTGCAGAGCTCATGGGGTCGTACACTCCCGAGGTTTCGAACAGTTGACTGCAACGATCGATGACGGGACAATGTTCCATGGCCTCGCACATGTCCCCATTGAGCGGATGATTCCAACGAAGACGCTTGAAGTCCTTCGTACGGTCAAATTCTTCGCCGGAAGGTCAAGGGATCCTAACAAGCCAGCCGTCATCATCTTCACCTCGGGGACCACGGGGAAACCCAAGGGAGCTGCGCTACGACGCCATAGCGTGCTTTCGATATCTTTGGCGCAGGTGTGGAAGAATGACATCAACGGCCACTTCGTGGCACTACAGCTCCTTCCGACGCACCACGCCACGGGTCTCTTGGTGAACACATTTCCCACGCTCATTGGGGGTGGGTGCGTGGAATTCACCAGACCCAAATTCGATGCTGCCATCACCTGGGAACGGATCCGGCGTCGAGGGATCAAGTCTCTGTCTGCCGTACCGACAATCTATGTCCGTCTCCTCCAGCACTGGGGACAAGAACTCGAGAAGAGCGACAGTCGAGAAGAGTACCGGGCGGGGATGTGCGCTGTGGAACAGTTTCATTGCGGCTCAGCAGCCCTTCCAAGACATATTTCCAGCAAATGGAGCGAGGCCTTCCCAGGCACCAGGATCATCGAAAGATACGGTGGGACGGAGTTTGGAAATCCCTTTGGCAACCAGAGAGGAGGTCAACTGGTACCGGTAAATGATAATGATCGTCCTAGCAAGTTTGAGAAATTCGACCTGCTGACTTGTGTGATCAACTTCAGGGGTCGGTGGGTGCCCAGAACCCAGGAGTAGAGTCATACCTCGAAAACGGCCACGAAGGAGAAATTCACGTGAGATCTCCCACAATGTTCTCAAAGTATGTATGCCCTTTCCAGGATAGAAGATTCCTTCCCCGTGGCACGAAATCCTGACCCATGTCATCAGATATGTTTACGATATCGAGGGAACGCGAGCATCGCTCACGCCTGAAGGCTTTTTCAAGACAGGTGATGTCGCAGAGAAGATTGACGGGCACTTTTTCATCAAGGGTCGGAAGTCCGTCGACAGTACGTAACCCTTTTTCGTCAGTTGTACAAGAAAGGTACAAACTGTTCTGACCGATGACAGTCCTCAAGACCGGTGGCTACAAAGTTTCAGCGTTGGATATCGAACGAGAGATCCTACAACATCCAAAGGTCGCCGAAGCCATTGTCGTGGGACTTGATGATGCGGAGTTTGGTCAACGTATTGCTGCCGCCGTGGTTCTTCATGAGGTGAGTACTCTCTGGAGGTACGAGTACGAGAGCCAACCAGACCGCTGACCTTGTTTCGTTTCGAAAATCAATCAGCTCTATAAGTCGCTGTCGTTGCAGGAATTAAGGGACGACCTTCGTCCAAAGCTGTCACGCTATAAATTGCCGACTGTGTTACGTGTCGTGCCTGATCTCAAGAAGACGGCTTCCCTCAAGATTCCCAAGGCTCTTATCAAGAAGGAACTATTCGAGACAGGTCACCCTGATGTACAGAGATGGGAAAACCCGAGCGCCAAGCTATAAAGTAGATCCAGGTTGCTTGTTTGTTGGACCAGGTAATAGCGTAGAAATTCCCGGGAATGGAACAGCAAGCTTTTACCAGCTCTTCCGAGCCCTGCTTACTTTCTTGGAATATGCCAAAGAACAGGCCGGATCTGAATTCTCTGCTTTCGATTCCCTTCCGATCCTTTTCTCTTACTTTGTGGTTCAACCCCCAAGGTCTGGAAATGATTCATCGGCAAACAGCCAGCTCCCAAGAGTATCTGAAAAGTCTAGAGATGGGTCATTCCAGAAATTGTCCTCGGGCCACTGGGACCCTAGGTCGTCTGATAACCCGGTGGAAATTTCCTGCGCAGGAAGCGCTTCCCACGACGACGATGATGGTGATCCTTGGAAGGCGTAATCGAGCATTTCCAGACGTGCGCAAGTTTCTGTAGAAAATTCATTTTCCGTTACACTCGCCAGCTCTGCGACTTCGTCAGCCGCTCTTCTTGTCGTCGTGGCCCTGTCGTCTCGTATATACGTCCAAAGCCGACAAGCTTTGGTGTCAAAGTCTTTGAAAAGGAGTCGATCCTCAACATCAGTGAGTGTCGGCGTCTCCTCTCCAGCTGCACAAGTACATGGTTTTTTGGCTCTCAGCGCTCGCAAAGTTGTCACTCTGCTTGCCGCCGACGGCCACTTCGTTGAGAGAGCCGTCAGTGCATCTTCGAAAATCTGCAAGTCTAGTTCGATGGCTGGCCGTAGTCTCTTGTATTTCCGTGCGGCTACTTGGGGTATGGCAGCCGCCAGCGTGTAAAACGTGAACATTGCCGGGAGGCGGGCGGCTTCATCTCTTGCCAGAAATCCTTCCAGTAGAGTGGCCAGGAATGAAGACGCTCGCAGCGCCACCGGCGACACGGAACCGACAGGCCTGGGCTCCGCTTTGGACAGGAGAGTAACTGTGGCAAGGTAGATGGCGAATACCTGCCTCAAGATAAAATTGTCCGCTGTCTCTCGGAACTGCGCCGTTGCATCAAAATAACGTAAATGCGGAGGCAGATCCTTCAGCCACGAGAGCAGTCGATGTTTGACATCGGCTCCGAGGCGTGCAAGCTGCTTCCGTCCCTGTTGATAGCCCTCACAGAGATCACCGATGATCAAACAAAGTCTGACGTAGACGACGAAAGTCGCGGCGTGTTTGTCACCCGGTTCAAAGTCTTCGATCGAAATACACGGTCGGTTGGAATATCTTAGATCGAAGATGCGAGGTCTCCCATGTCCGCATGCAACCAGACAGTCTCTTGCCTAGATCAGGCGCACGTCACGCATGTCAGTCTTTAAGTAGTCTGCAACAAAAGTGTATAAAAGGGAGGTGATCATGACAGAAGGGTTCGAAGAAAACGCACCACCAACGTCCACCATAGCTTTCGCTTATACGACGACTGCAGTTCACCCACGACCTCCCGATGCAGGCCAACCTGATACACAATATTTGACGCGAAATGAAGCCAGTATCGACTCGAGTCGTGCGTGACCGCCCACGGGCTTGCCTGGTTATACCAGCCAAGAAGGCACGCCGCGACAATATTGATGATGGGATTCTTCTCATATTGGTCATGAACCATGGCCTTGGCCGACAAATAGTACTCCTTGCAAAGGGCAGGCGAAAAAGTGGCCGATGTGCGCCCACCGGAGAGGAAGACGGACTTTAACAATATCGTCGGCACAGTGTAGCCCTCTCGAGGCATCAACCAACGTTGGGGCACAATAGGCATCAACGGATGGACATAGTTGAGCCAGTTTTCCATCAATGTCGAGGTCCATACCCGTGAAGGCATATCAGATACCTTGTAAAGAAGCCTTGGGCCAGTGAGGGTGTCGGTTCTAATTAAAGGGTCGCCCAAGTGACCTCCTTCGAGGACTGTAGGTTCAGTTGAATCCTGGGACTCGCAGAAAACTTCTCTTGGATAGTACTGGGCATAATTTACCGTTGCAGTGGCGCAGGGAGGTTCATCGGGAGTCACGGCCTGACTCGTCTGCCTGAGAGTAGGCATAGAAGTTGTCGAGTCCACCGTCTGAGCCCGCGACGGTGGTCGATTCTCACTTGCTTCCGGGGAAGAGAAGTGCATTGTCAATGGCATTCGCGCTTGTTGCTTCCTCCGTGATGTGATGGGTTCCGATTGGATTGTCTCGTCATGCTTACGTTTCCGCGTACGTGGACTGAGAAGGGCATACTTTGATCAGTTTCATTGTATAAACTGAAGCGTTGTGCTTTTTTTTCCCTTTTGGGGCCTTACATGCACGGACTCCCATGGAGGAGACAGTTGGAGCAAGATACTTGCATAGCAGGATCAAGATTACACCTGATCTATGGTACATGTACTGATTAGTTTTATGATGCCTGGGAAAAAATCTTCTGGAATTCTGACCTTCTTCTGATGACATGATGTGCAGGCGCGTGCATATCCTGTCTCTTTTTTGTGTTTGTTCTGCATTCTGTAGATGTAGAAGTCTGGACATGTATTGTCGATGGCAATATCTCCAGGGACAGACTTGCCCGGGTTGATGTTCTACGGGCTTTTGATATCCGGGGAGGATCTCGCTAGCCCTATAGATTCACGAGTCCGGGGAATGGCTCTGGAGGGAAGCGGTTGTCTGGTAGATTGCCCAACAGACTCACTGTAACAGCGTTAGATGGTAACGATGCGTTGACCATTGGACCGAGTCCGGGATGGTGCAATGGTGAGTGGAAGAGAGTGTTAAGAACCGCCGAACAAGTCCTCAAAAACGCCGCGGAGATTTTGGTCGTTTTCCTTCCTAATTTGGGCATTTATGGCGGATCGCCGAGAATCGACTCGATCTATGCGTTTTCATTCTAACCTAGAAAGACAGAATCGAGATTCAAAGACAGACGGACGTCCGACATGACAAAAGTGCAAAGTCCATCAAAGCATCCATGTTTATCATTCTACAGAGGTAGAGCATCATGATACCTCCTGTAAGGCTGGTGAGCCTCGGTACAATTACTTCCCCACCACCAACGGAAACAAAAGGTGAAGAGCTCGATGGAAAGTCAGATGCAGCAGATCCGGTTCCCCTTCTTTCTTCTTGCCAATGTACAATGGTGCTGCAATGCCATCACCGTTACTAAGACTTTACTCCGAAACTGTTCGAATCAAGGCCTTTGACAATGGAACGAAATGAAGCACGATGGCCTCGGTCGACCTCACATCGGGCTTCCCCCCTCCTCTCGAAATCCGTCCGACCTTGGTTCTTGTTTCGTTGATGCAACCACGCCATAGTCCAGCTTCCGAATACCGATCGGAGTGATGCTTGAATGGGGCCAAAGACATGCATCTTCGAAATTTGTGCTCGATGAACGGCGCGATCGTCTCGTAGCGACTATTCTGCCCGATGTGCTATAAATTCCTTCTCATCCCAATACTCTCATTGCCTTGCGTCGCGAATTCAGGCAAGTCACAAAACTATAATGGCGGCTGAGGCTCACAAAATCGTTCGATCGCCCTCAACAGGCATCGATGTCGTAGTCGTTGGCGCTGGAATCGGCGGGCTATTCTCAGCTGTCGAACTATATCGACAAGGACACACTGTGAGGGTGTTGGAATCTAAGCCGGAATTGACCACCATCGGTGAGCATCGGAGCACACATACGTATACCTCAAAGGACACATCTCGTTGACAAACTTTTGTCTAGGTGACTTTATCGGCATAGGACAGTCAGCCACTCGTCAATTCTCCAAATGGCCAGGGATGCAGGCTGCCTTCACATCTGAGCGCTACGAAGCGATGATGTCCTTCCTCAAATACGACGGCGAGGTCCTGATCAAACCCTCGCTTACCTTGGAGCGGGTACCGCATGCTATTCATAGGGCCAAACTTCTTCGATTGTTGTATGACTATGCCACTGCTCTTGGAATCAGCGTCACTCTCGGTCAGTCGGTCTCGGAGTATTTCGAGAAGCCTGACGGGCTTGGTGCGGGAGTCGTCACTACGAAAGGAGAGCGATTCGAGGCCGATCTTGTCGTCGCCGCGGACGGCGTGGGCACCCAATCGTGGAAGCTCATCCAGGGATCCCAGACACAGGCTAGGAGCAGTGGATTCGCGATCTATCGAACTGCATTTCCTACGAAAGTGGCACACCAGGACCCTTTGGTGGCTGAACAGTTCCCAGTGCTTGAGGGCGTTGACGATTGCAGAATGTGGCTGGCCCCGAAAGGTCACGGAGTCACTCTCGTTTCAAAGGACATCACGACGTGGCTCTTGACTCACAAGGATTCCTCGACAGCGGCCGAGTCGTGGTCGAAACGGGTCTCGGCGCCAGATGTTCTTCGCGAGGTCGCCGCGTCAGGGATCAAATGGGACCCAGGTTTTATGCGTTTGATTGCACAGTCGCCTGAGAACAGTGTGGTGGACTGGAAGTTACTGTGGAGAGATCCGGTGTCGAACTGGGTCTCCGAGCAAGGCCGAGTTGTCCAGCTCGGGGACGCTGCACATGTGTTCTTGCCCACATCGACCAATGGTGGGACCCAAGCTTGTGAGGACGGCATATCTCTTGCAGCGTGCCTTGCTTTGGCCGGGAAGAACAACATCGCATTGGCAACGAGAGTGCACAACGCTCTACGTGCGGATCGGGTCTCGTGCTGTCAAAGAGGCGGGTTTCGCAACAGGGAGAAGTGGCATCACACCGATTTCGAAAAGGCGAGGGAACATCCCGAGGACATTGGGGAGATGATTGGACGTTGGGTGCAAGAACATGAGGCAGAGCAGTACGTCTTTGACAACTGGTCGAAATGTGTCAACGCCGTCGTCACGGGGAAGAAGTTTGAGAACACGAATATTCCTCCGGGTTACAGATGCAGACCTTGGACTGTTGATGAGTTGGCTGCACAGGGACCTGGTATCGCTCAGGACGAAGGCGACTGGTCATGATAATGTGTGAAAGCTGAGTGAAGATGCCAATGAACTTCAACCACGCAAAAGGCTCGATCTCCTCAACTATGTCGGGTATATTGTGCTTTGCAAAATTCCGTAATAGTTTTTGCAACACTCGACACTTCGAACCGACCAAATGTGACAACATAGGATCCTGTGACAAAAACCCTTCGATTTCATAAAACTTAGGTCTACTTATAATTCGACTCTCTGTTCATCTGTATTGGCATTACTAGTTATGAGGTGTAGTCGGTGTTTAACAATAAGAGAATATCAACACTCGATCAAATCTAAAACCGTCTAATGTGATAACTTGAGATCCTGTAATAATACCCCATTCATTCCATGATGTCTCTGCCAATAGATCAACTCAGATTGCAATTATCTATTTATCTATGTTGAGAATACTAGTTACAGAGATGTAATCAGTGTGTAATCATAAGAAAAGATCAACTATACTACAAAAGAAGAGCAATAGTTATACTTCGCCATCGCACTGCATATTCAACGCTTATAAGATAACAATGTTTTTTGGATTTGTATAAAGAAGAGTCTCTATGTTCCCTACTGGTTTTAACCATACAATCCAATTTGTAGTTTTGCTGAAAAGACACACACAAAACTACATTCATTACTCTATTCATTCCATGTTTTAAATGTTGAGTATACTAAGATCTACCTTTGTAAACAGAATTAAGTCTTAAATATTGTTATTTTTCGTAGTGATAGAGAACAATACAGTCTTATAAGTAGCCAAATATCTTCAATTAACGTCTATTGCTTCATTAGAGATCAAAAAATCTGCATCTATGCAAGCGTTAAACGTGGAGTGCGGTAATAAAATATAACGGTTACTCTTTTTTTGTAGTATAGTTGATATTTCTTTATGGGATGAAAGGGTTGTTGTTGCAGGATCTCAAGTTGTCACATTTGGTCTGTTCGAAGTGTTGATTATTGCAAAAAATAATACTTATGCGGGATTTTGCAAGCACAATAGTCTCACCTGGGCCAGCGTGAGGCACAATCTTTTCGGTGTGGATCCGGGCGTCGGGATAAGGCCTCATACTAGGGGGAGGGGGGGGGGAGGCCGACTTGATCTCTAAAACCCGATAGGTGAGGCGGATAGTAAGTAGACAGGAACTTCCAACAGCATTCGCTCTTTCACTCTCCAGACGTAGGGATTATCTCGAGGGTCTAACTCACAGATTTTGAATGACTTTGAAGTACAATGAACTCATCCTCAGAACACGGTCGCTTTATTCCTAGATTCTCGACTAATAGTTGGAACAATGTTTGACCGGGGTTCAAGATGGAGAACCCGAAACAATCAAAGCAGATGGGTGGCCACGACACCCTTTTTGACAGCAGCACACCAGCACCTTTCAAATGCCGTTACTGTCACCATCGGTTCAAACGCAGTGATCACTTGAAACGACATCTCAATCTACATACCAATCGATCCAGATATCGGTGCCCGTGTGGCCAGATATTCGTCAGGCCCGAAGTTCTAGGTCGACATCTTCGATCATGTCCGCCGGCACAGAGTCGACGGGGACATGATGTTTCGGCGGGTACGAGGATGAAAAAGGCATGCGACAGATGCGCATCCATGAAGTTGAAATGTGATTCTCAACAACCGTGTGCGAGGTGTCGTGCCAAATTTGTCGAGTGCAGATACACCCGAGGAGGCTATACCGATCGATACGAGGCGTATCGTGTGAAACACGACGATGAAAACCATTGTCTCGTCCATGCTGATCGGCCAGAATGGACCACGACATCAGCATCAGGACCGCCTGACGTCGAAAAGGGACTTCAACAAACGGAGGGACATTCTGATGACCCGCCACACTATCCCCGGTCTACTTCTGTGGTCTTGTCGGACTCACCACAAGTCCCTGACATGTCCAATGGCTTCTCAAATGACCTCTTCCCAACCGACCACTATGGTTTGGTACCATCTTCCTCCACCTTACCCGGACTTGACTTTGGGATGGGAAATGATAACCTCCTCTCACCAACCCAGGACGCTTCTTCATGGTTCTTTGCACCTTTTTTGGATCTGGATCAAACTGACTTTTTCGGTTTTACACAAGGCAAGCTCATTCACTCACGTACCTGTGCGCTAACTGGGTGTAATTTGAAGATGTCCACTGACGGATCGAACAGACCAACCTCCGACCGTTGACATTATCTCGGCATCGACAGAGTCCCACAATCACAAACGAGGGTTCTCGTTGGGACAATCCGACCCTGTCGAAGCCCAATGTACCCTCGTCAGAGATTTACTACAGAAATGTGGTCCAAAGTACCTTGAAAGTGCGGCGGCCTTGTCGACACGCGAAACATTTGTGCAAAGCCACAAACTTTACGGAGCTCATTTCCAGTACCATTATCCTCTCATACACGTTCCGACACACAACGTCGCAGATTGTCCACCGGTGCTTCTCTCGGCGATGGTTCTTACCGGCGCTCTTTATTCCAAGGCCACTGTTCCCGCCTCACATATCTCGGGAATGGTCCAGAGACTTCTTTTGGTCATGTTCAACGATCCCGTGCGTTAATCTCGATCCTGTGGGCAAGGCATTTAATGTATCATTTTAACTGACATGCACAACGTTAAGGCCGAAATGAGTCTGAACCAACCAGATATACCCACTGTGCAAGCATGTCTGATACTGTGCATGCTACTCGCACTTTCTCGTGACTCCGTGGCAAACCAGTCATGGTCGTTACTCTTCCCTCGGGTCCATTCAGTAGGTGGTTTTCGTTGAGGCTGAACCCCCAAAGAGATCCCCGCGTGGTAACAATTCGCAGATGGCAGAGAGACTGGGGGCTTTCAGAATAGAGGAAGATCCAGTCGACTACGACACTTTGACATTGGAGACCTTTGATTGGGTCTCCTGGGTTCGACAAGAGTCTCTACGGAGGTAGTTTCAAGCTTTTTGATCCATGACCAAGGATGATGACACGGGCTTGCTAACGCCTTTCTTGGTTGCAGAATTGCATGTCAACTCTTCTGTCATGATGTAGGAGGAGGCATCATGATACGTCGAGGGCCTTCGCTGCCTCCTCTTTCCGTCCATGTGATGTTGCCTAGCTACGAAAGCGCATGGGAGGAGAATGTCTTCGTCAGTTACAGACCCGTCCTTCGCAGGTCACGATATCGACTGCGCTCAGGCGTCTAATAGAGAGACCTTTGAGGAGAGGCTCTCATTCACGATCCGATTTTGAAGTCTCGGGGTATGGAATGTTTGTGTTGGTCCACGGTAAGGATTCCCCGAAAAAGCTGCATCCCGCTACTCTAGGGTGCCGTCTACTGTCATATTGACTGCGCATTGAACAGGACTCCATGGCGTCGTCTTTCAGCTCACTCGAGAAGAACTAGCGCCTTTTCTTGTGTCTGGTCAGTCTGTCACAGCTCTGGAGTTTGGCTGTTGTTCCACCACAGAGGAGGCAGCACAGGGCATGATGGAAGATCTAAACAACCATTTCTCACGCAGCACGGTGGAAGGAGTAGTCGATAAGATTTTCAACGCTGGGGTTGTGGCACCCAACAAAGCGCTCCAAAGCCTCAACTTGGCACTCGATGCTTGGAGGGAAGCGTGGGACAAGAGAAAATTTTGTGATCGGTTCAGCGACAATCGAAGCTTCTCCGCTTCCCCCATGCCTTATTGGTGTCTGGCGAAGTTGTTTGTGGCCCTCCATCTCCTTGGCATGGTATGTCCGAGACCAGAAAGTCTACAGATATGGAGCAGTCCCGTTGGCTATCCTGAAGGTTCAATCCTGATCCAGGACAAGATTACGTCCTGGCTTCAAGAGTTCAGGTGTGAGGAGGAGCACAGAGAGACGACGAGTGTCACGGGTAACGAAGCGTCTGGCAATAATGGTGATGGTGCCTCTGCGGTGGAAAGCCGCGTCGTCACAATCATGAAACCACTTTGATCTCTCAAGTCAGGTCCCAGTTCAAGACAGCTCTTAAGAGATATCAATACATCGTTGGATTTTTGCAGTTCTGCGATTAACAGACGTTTATTATTTCCTGCTTTGGCAAGGGCGCAATATAACACGACTTCCAACAACTGTTAAAAGGTCAAGACCTGCCAACATTTCAGTTTCAAGACCTTAGAAACTCGAGCAAGTCCTGGTTGACTTGACCGGCACAAATGTTTGGCAACGCGTGCGGCGCCCCAGGGTACACCTTGAGGGTTCCCTTGGGCAACAACTTGACGGTGTTGTGAGCCGATGCCCCGATCGGGACCACCTGGTCATCATCACCATGAAGAACCAGGACGGGGATATTGGCCTTTTTGAGGTCCTCGCGAAAGTCCGTCTCGGAAAAGACCTTGATGGATTCGTACGCGGCCTTGAAACTGGCCACCATGCCTTGCTGCCACCAACTCCAGATCAAGCCTTGACTGCTTTCCGCGTTGGGACGGTTGAAGCCGAAAAAGGGACCCGACGGGACGTCCAGGAAGAATTGAGCTCGGTCTTTCGTCATGGCTTCCCGGAAACCGTCAAAGACCTCCTTGGGCAGTCCTTCTGGGTTGGTGTCCGTCTTGATCATGATGGGTGGAACCGCGCTGACCAGGACTGCCTTTGATACTCGACTCGTGCCGTGTCGACCGATCTGTGACGCCGGGAATGTATTAGTAGTGATTCCTTTTTTTAACTTCCATGCTGCATTCATGTTCTGTGAGAGCAGATGGGTAGAAAAATGGAGGGGGGGACCCCGAGAGAGGGTGAGCAAGAGATAGTCAATAACTTACAAAACGAGCAACTTCACCACCACCGGTCGAATGTCCCACCATCATCATGTCCTTGAGGTCCAGGTGTTCAACGAGGGTCAACAGGTCATCACTCCAGGTGTCCATGTCGTGTCCGTCCCAAGCTGGACTGGAACGTCCGTGACCCCGACGGTCATGGGCGACGACCCTACAGCCGTGGTTGGCCAGGAAGAACATTTGGTTCTCCCAATTGTCCGAATTCAGAGGCCATCCGTGCGAGAACAAGACCACGGGGCCCTTTTTGTCACCCCAATCCTTGTAGTAAATCTCGGTACCATCCTTTGTGGTGACGTATGGCATGATTTAAACAGTAGACAGTAAGTGGAGGGGGGTTAGGTCTGAGTCTCTTTGTGGTTTGGATGAAATATGAAGTACAGGGTCACTCATAGATCCGTAAAGTATTGGTGTTTTCAGACAATGAACAGTGCTCTGTGTTTGGAAATCAAAGAAAGGACATGGGTAGGTAGTTGAAGTAATCATCAGATCAACGAGGATGGCATAATGGCTCCTCTTTTTATACAATTTCTCCTTCTACTCGTACCCCCCCTCCCCTTCCATGCCGGCGTTGACTATGTCAAAGGGGCCGGGAGCTCGACAAAAAGCTTACCTGACTGATCCTTGTCGCACAAGGAGTGATTCCGTTTCTCTTACTCGTAGAGGTACTCGGTTGACCATGAATGGGATCGGATCGACAAAATGGGCGGTCACTAGTGGCGCGTTAGTAATCAGATTCGATGGTGGAGGGGGGTATTCACTTTTTGTCATGATGAGTTGGTCCAATGCAATGGCACATGTGAAGAATAGGTAAAGATGCAACTCTTGACTTTTTTTTCATCCGCGATACGAAGCACGAGTGAACAAGTAAGCGGGACGAGACAAGGTAGAGACGGTCGTTCGTCCATGCAGAGGCAATGCAGAGGCATGTACGCATGTCCAGGTTCGTGCTTGTCTTGACTTGGCAACATCCTGACATACTGTGTAGCAGAAGTACAAGTGCTCAATACAAATACCTAGCTAGGTATACAATTACTGAAAACATATCACAACTGGCGGGGTCAGACAAGTTGCAGCTCGAAGAAGATGAAGAATCATCCCAACAATACCCGAGTCTAGGAAACTGTACGTGTAGGTCCCGTAGACTGCATCACATCATGTCTCGGGCTTCGACGGGTTCTTACAGAAATTGTAAACATAACCATACTCGACGAGTAAAGAACGACTACCAACACTCCAGAGAAGGTCATGTACTTTGGGCAACGTATACCGAACTGCAACGGAGGACACACACAGATAACCCGCGGTTCCCGGTCCCCGCCCTCGATCCATACAGTACTTTTTCAAGTCCTCAGAGGTGTCTACTACTTTGTACGGATACTCTGTATTGCCACGTATGTAAATAATGGATGGTGGTACACGCTGGCGAGGATTGAGGTTTTCCTTCGAGGTTTGCCATTACAGGCTCAATGATGTGAATCATTCATTCATGCACAATGTTGTAGGTGTATCGTTTGTCCCAGGCGGGCGTAAGTACTAGTAGGTGGGAAGAGGGACCGGCAATAGTACGGATATCGTGAGCCGGAAACTATCTGACTCAATACAGACCGGGGGGACACGGAGTACCGAGCACTGGAAAAAGGGTCCCGTCGCGCTCATTCGTTTTCTATCACGGTCTATCACGGCATTATTCTTTTTGATCCTTTTGATCTTTATTCTTCGCTAACCTCCTCCTAGGCGGGATCGCTCGATATAAATGGCCTCACCACAGACTCCTCTCCCTTTCCTGTACAATTTGTCGTTTTACTGCTGACTTTAAGAAAGTAAGAAGTCGTCTGTACAGACATCTCTTACCTGCTACGTGTGTCTATAGTTTAGATCTGGTAGTTCACATACTCCGTACGGATATTCTGTACTGTACTTTGTACTCTTGTATATATACCCGAGGACGTGTTAGAGCGACACGGCCAGCCCGGACTTCTCTGTACTTCACCTCGGAGAAGTGCGGGACCAAACGGCACCACAAAACAATATCCCGGGGAAACACCCTACCACAAGAACAACTTGGGGGTGGGTTGCCGAGGCTATAAGCCACCTGCAATTACTTCTCGTCCTCCGTGGAATTCGACCACTAGTACTCTTTGAACCGGCCAAAAATCAGAAAGGCACCGACTCATTACGGAGTAGAAGACAGTGATTCTTATTGCTCATCCTTTTGTCTTTCTTTGTTTGTGAAAACGGTGTTGTTTTGCGTTGTGGCCGTCGAGTGTGTTTATCGACAACCTTTTGTCATTGTCACGTTCAAAATCGACATACCCAGGTGTGTGCAATAACAGTAACGACAACCTTCTCCATCACCGACAGATCAAGGGAGAGAGATTATAAAAAAGAGCTCCGCGTGACAGGTGTTTAAGAAGAACATACAACCATCACTGTCTAAATACATCCAACATAATGTCGGAACAGAATCCCATACCTCGAAAATTATGGCAACACCCAAACCCGCAAAGTACAGAAATGTACAAGTTCATCAAGGCGGTCGAGAAAAGACAGGGTCGAACGTTCCGCGACTACGAAGAAGTGTACGACTGGTCATGCACGAATCGTTCCGACTTTTGGAAATCCGTCTTTGAGTATTTCCCCGTCGTCTACTCCGGCACCGTCCCAGACAAGGTCGTCGACGAGTCGGCCCGCATGGACTCGATCCCGAAATGGTTCACGGGAGTCAAGATGAACTTCGCCCAGAACGTGTTGTTTTCCGGTTCGCGCGACGGCAAACCCGTCGTCGCCGCGGCCAAAGCGGACGACAAGATCGCGTGCACGGAGGTGCGAGAGGGTAGTTTCCTCGAACCCATCCGCCACATCACATGGAAGGAACTGCGCGAGAGGGTGGGGTCGTTGTCACAGGCGATGAAGTCACGAGGGGTTCGAAAGGGGGATCGGATCGCCGTCGTTTCGAGTACGAGCATCGACACTCTGACGGTGTTTCTTGCTGCGACGACGCTGGGAGCTATGTTCAGCTCCAGCAGTACAGACATGGGCGTCAAGGGCATTCTGGACAGACTCTTGCAGATCAAGCCCCGATATTTGTTCATGGATGACGCAGCAGTGTACAATGGCAAGGAAGTCGATTTGCGACCCAAGATGAAGGATATCATGGCTGGCATGCGAGGCGTGGCTGAATTCCAGGGAATCGTGGCACAGGTGAGGCACCAACACTCTCCGGTCGACATTTCTTCGGTGCCACGAGCGCAGACCTGGGCTTCTTTCTTGTCTGCGGCCAAGTCGTCGGCCCTTGAATTCGAAGAGATGGACTTTGCCGATCCTTTTCTCGTCGTCTACTCCTCGGGAACGACGGGGCAGCCGAAATGCATTGTCCACGCAATCGGTGGCGTCGTGCTCAACGGCCACAAGGAGGCAGCGCTCCATCGCCAAATTGGGCCCGGTTCGACGCAGTTGCAATACACCACCACGGGCTGGATCATGTACATGGCCAGCGTATCGGTGCTCTTGATCGGTTGCCGGATGATCATGTACGATGGAAGTCCGTTTGTGCCGGAGCCCACCAACTTCCTCAAGCTGCTGGGACAGGAGAAGGTGACGCATTTGGGTATCAGCCCCAGATATTTGCAGACCCTCCAGAATAGCGGCATCGTTCCCAAGAAGGTGACCGACCTCAGTAACTTGACGGTGGTGTCCAGTACAGGTATGGTCTTGTCGGAGCAATTGTTCGAGTGGTTCTACGACGAAGGGTTCCCGCCTTCAGTGCAGTTGGACAACATCTCCGGTGGGACGGACCTCGTGGGATGTTTTGGCTGCAGCAATCCTATCTTGCCACTGTATTCGGGTGGTTGCCAAACCCGTTCTCTCGGAATCCCGGTTATGGTGTGTGATCAGACGGTCGATGGTGGGAAGCCTGTCCCCGTGGAGGATGGCGTCCCCGGCGAATTGGTGTCTTATGGGGCATTCCCAACCATGCCCATAACTTTCATGGGAGACAATGGCCCGAAACGGTACTTTGACAGTTACTTCGCGCGGTTCGACAATGTCTGGACCCATGGTGATTTCATCATGATCCATCCTGTCACGAAACAGGTCATGTTCCTGGGTCGTTCAGACGGCGTGTTGAACCCCAGTGGTGTCCGTTTCGGATCGGCTGAGATATACAACATCATTGAGGCCAAATTTGCCGACAAAATCAGTGACAGCATCTGTGTCGGGCAGAGGAGGCCGCAGGACACGGATGAACGAGTCATTCTGTTCTTGTTGATGAAGCCCGGACATGACTTCACACCTAAACTGATCAGAGAGGTCAAGGAGGCGATTCGAAAAGAAACCAGTCCCAGACACGTCCCCAAGTTTGTGTTTGAGACTAAAGATATTCCGGTGAGTGATCGAGGATCGGACATACCTACGGTCGAATGCTAACGGTTAATGTGGCAGACAACGGTCAACTTGAAAAAGGTCGAATTACCAGTCAAGCAAATCGTGTCTGGCAAGATCATCAAACCATCTGGAACACTTGCGAACCCACAGAGCTTGGAATATTACTATCAATTTGCAAAGGACGAGAATCTGGTCGATCTGGCCGAGACAAGGGCGAAACTGTAAGACGGTGGTTAATACTCTGTAAGCGGGTAGATAGATGGATAGACGCAAGGAATGAATTAAACGGCATTAGTAAAACAATACGGGGTAGAGCGTTGATGGTAACCTGAGACTGATGCTCCTCGACTCCAGATTGAGGCTCAAGTGATTCGGTGTCGTGTATGGTTGCAGCATCTGACGTGCATAAAGAGTGAGAGAGCGCGGGTGTTCTTGACTTAGACGCCGTCGCTATAACTGATGAGCGAAATCATTAAACCTGGCAGTCGGAGGCTTGGAAATAGTCTCAAGTCAGGCATCAAGACGCCGGGTATGCTGCGCAGTCCAACTAGTCAATTGCCATGCGCCGACAAGATCGAGGCCAGACAGGAGCGACGGCCATGACGTGATCGCGTTAATCGTGTGTGAGTTCATGGAGACATTTATTGGAGGTGAGTTGTTGCTGTGAGATGTTGGTGAAACAGTTGTTGATGGTCGCCGAAGAGGTCGTTGATTTTGTACGCGTTGTACTCAGAGTACCTAACAGTGAGTACGGGTACGAATACGAGTACGAGGATAGCCTCGTTAATTCACTCGAGTTGTCAACAAACACCATACTCTGTATACATACCCGATATCTCTACAACATATCAACCACCATTGTATCGTTAATGCTTGATACCCGGTACAATCTGTCATATTGTTTACTACACTGACAGTACTCTGTAAGTGGCACTCCGTAGTACTTTACGCGCCTCAAGGCCGTTGCATTGCATCAAATTTCCAGTCGCGTCTCCACTTTGACGCGTCCATCGTGTCCTGCGCCCAGCGAGACAAATTCACGACTTCGCCCCCTCCACTTCCTGGTCGACAGCGACCATCTTTTCCCTCGCGAGAACCAAGTCTACTGCGTCTCTTGAATTAATTCCCGGGCATCTCACATTTCACACTTCACTGCGACGCGGGCCAACCAGGCAACGGCCCAATCACTGCCCTCGAACCGCAGCTTGACATTCACATCTCGCTCAAGGTCATGCAGTAGTTCATCGCGCTACAATCCCCTTCAGCCTCTCCACGCCACCTGTCGACCTCCTTGTCAGCTCTTCGGTCCCGTCCAGGATCTCGTGTCTTGCATGCAACCAAGCTTCGCGTCCAGAAATACGTCCTACGTCCTACAGGGTCTGAGCTCCCCTCCATATACCCGTCCATCTCCCCCATCCCTTTTCTTTGCTGCATCCACCTCGAAATTCCTCAACGATCTTTTTTCTCTTCCATTGACCTCGTCTTTCTCACCTACAGACCAGGTCTGATATCGACAAGAGACCATTTGTAGAAGAAGGAAGTTCAACCATTAAATCAACACCTGGGAATACCTTGGTTACTACACCTACCCTTGGCACAAACAGAATGGCGACTCTAGCTCCCATCGCCACACCGGCCCGTCAACCTTTTGGTATCTTGAGTGACTCCAAAGTCCGAAGCCTACAGAATCTCAAGAACAGACAAAATGGTAAGTTTGGCTTGACCATGTCTCGCATCGCCATGCTCACACATACCGTCTGTAGCAATCACACCCAGTTCCGCGCCGTCTCTCAAACGTCGAGCTGCGTCCCCCGAAATGGGATCAGACAGCGAAAACATCGACCCCAATATTCTCGATTCATTGAACAAACGCAAGCGGTCAGCCTTTGATGACGACGTGTCCGCGTCCAAAGCCAACCGGTACTCGTTGACCGTGACCCCGACGGTGACCTCGACCTCGACCAAACGACGTCTCGAAACCCGCACTCCACGACTTGACACGACATATATCAGCAAATCATCTAGCACTACTCCTTCATCTGCCCCTGCCACGGCCGCGGGACGATCACCGACACGCCATCGCTCGAGCCTCTTGAAACCCAACGGTAGACGTCTGAACCTACCTTCCTTCCCTCGCGGCGGGAGCACACCATCCCCTGCCCTCAGCCTGTCCGCGGCATTGAACGGTACTAAGAAATCATCGTCATCCTCCCGCACCACCACCAACAACAATCACCACCTCTTGCACTCTCGAAGATCATCAAGGAGCGGCCAAACTCGGACTTCGCTTCGATCAAGCAAGCCGCAGTCATGGTTCTTCGACATCTACGAAGAGACCGAAGAGACACAAGACTACCGCATGAACGAGTGGACCATGACGCAGAGTGCGACCGGTCTCGACATCAGCGACGACGAGAGTAGGGCATCTTCCAAAAAGTCCGAGAAACTCGACAAGGGTAAAGAGAATGTCGATCCAAACCAAGTCATGTCTTCTTCTGCACCTGTCACTCGATCCATGGCTGCGGCGGAGGCGGTGGCGGCAGCAGCAGCTGAGGAAAAGGATCTCATGACGACCGATGTTGACGAAGAAGCACGCACTCCCCTAGCTGATCTTAACCCGGCCAAGTTTTACGGCGATGGTCTAGACGCAACGAGTGTGGTGCTTGTTCAAGACGACGACGAAGCAGAGGCCGAGACAGATATCGAAGAAGACGACCACGAGGAGTATGTCAAGCCTCCTGTCGGAGGGTCTGGTGACTTTACCTTCCAAAATTCAACAACCATGACCGCCGAGGTCCTCGAAGAGCTGGTCGGCACACCATCCCTCAACGGAATCTTGAGCGCCGCCTCACCATCTTATGGTGTTGGCATCATCGGCGCTACTGCTGCTGCTGCCAAAGCGTCCCGCGGGGTCGGCGAAGCTGGTCTCGTCGATCTTGAGATCGAGAATGGTCACGACTCAATTGAGATCTGGGAGAGTGAGAGCGCCAAGGACGAGAATGAAAAGGTTGACGTTGACGTTGACGTCGACCATAACGTCAACTGTCCAGGTACTCCTGGTTCTATCGGTGTCGGTGATGAGAATGTCTTTGCTCTGCAAGAGTTATAGAGGGAAAAAAGCCATGCGGGGTTTGATGACCTATCAATGCGATTCACTCTCTCCCTCCAATCACCGTCGGTCGGCATTAGCCTAGTTACTCTATCACTGGGTATCATGTCCGTCGACAACTCTCTAACACCTCACTCTCTCGACATTGATTCTCACTCTGTTACCTCACCTTTTCGGGATCTTTGGTGACATGTATGACGGCCTTTTTTTCAGCTTTGTGTTCTCTGTTGGTGTTCCTGGACCGTGACTGTTTTCCAATCTCAAAGGTGCGAGGAGTTGATAATTAGAGTCCTATCTGCGCGTGTTACCAGTATCGGGATCCATCTAGGGCTTTCAAAGGGTTTTTTTTTCTCTTCTAGTCATTCTTGCAAGTTTGATTATGTGCTGGTATGTGGGATGGTATTGGGTGCTGCTTTTCGCAAAGGAAATCTGAATGAAGTTTTTCTGTGTTTTTGTGCTTCCTTGATAGCTCCCAAAATTGCAATTGCTTTCTTCCGATTAAATCTCGCTCACATCATCCTGATCTTCTTCTCTTTTCCCACATGTGCGAGTATTTCGAGGTGATGCAAATACGGCACTACGGTCCAAAGAAATCTAGACCCCATTCCTGCTGAAGGTCCGAACCCACGCCGAGTCCATTGCCGGCCCACATCCAAGCGTCCGACATCATATCGCCCTGCGGAGGATCAGTGTCGGTGCTGGTATAGTCGACGACGCCGTTTCCCCACGCCACATTCGGAAAAGCCACCACTTGGTCCAGTGACATGGTCATGGTATCAAAGTCTCCCGGGGTAGCTGGGCCAGCTGGTGGTCCTGTAGTTGTGGGCACAGCCGTCGGAGACACATCAGCGACCCTCGACGTAGCTGGAGGTGCCATGTTGACAGGCGAACCGTTGAAGCCGACCGTACTGGTCCGAGTCCCCGTGCAGTCTCCGAGACAGCGTGGGCCCCTTTTGCCAGGGGCGATCTTGATCTCTCCGAAGCAAGGGATGGTGACTTTGCAACTCATCCCGGTGTCGAACCCGTATGGGCACGGGCCGCTGCTGTCGTCCGGTCTCGATGCCCGCATGAGCATTTGCAAAACCGGAACGGCTTGTTTAGAGACGGTGTTGATGTCACGAAGGTCCTGAGAAGCTTGTTGCAGAATCTCGGTGGTCTTGCGGACTGCCTCCCACGCCGCGTCATCCTCGGAGGGTGGATTGGAGCCTTCCTCCTGGTTCTGCGTAATCAGATGTAGCGTCAACAACACCGACATGATGAACGCTTGAAAGTCAAACGTGGTGCAGAGGTACGGGTCCAGTGCGAGATCGACACGCAGGACCTTGTACGCCGCAAGCGCCCGCAATGATGACCCGACTGTCGTATCGTACGAGTACTGGTAAAGTCCCGGGCCTGTTGATTTGAGCATGAACGGCAGATGCAACAGAGCACGCATAAAGTGTTTGAGTGTCTGAGCTTCGAAGCGTTCAAGATTGACTTCGCGAGTGTAGAGTATCAGACTCTCTAGGCTAGAGTCCCACCATTGAGTGTCGATATCCTTGATATGTGATTCCAGCTCTTGGTCGATCTTGAGCGTCGTCAGAAATCCGTCTTCTGAGGGAGAATGTTGGTTGCGGTCAACAACCAGACTGATCATCGAAGCCATGAATGAATAAAATTGAGCACCATGCCTCTCGTCATTGGTCAACGCGTGCAAATCTGGTTTCCACAGATATGAGCTGGGAATGCCATAGGGAAGTCCTAGTATCATGCTGATATATCGATCCTTGAAACAGATTCTTTGCCATATGCGGACGTGACGGAGGTCGGGGCCTTGGGACGTTGAATTAGTGGCCTTGGTCAACTTAGATCCACGATGGAGACCTTCGCTGATGGCATATTCAAGCGCTCTTCGGCATATATGCCAGGACTTGCGTAATTTGCCCACGTTGCAATAGTATCTCGAGAGGAGGAGTAGGCATTCGAGTCCAGGCAACGTCCTAGCAACTTCATCGTTTTGCAGCACGATCCGTTCGATCGCAGGCAGCGTTTGATTACTCAAAGCAGCAATGGCTGTAGGAACCACGAAGGTGTCGTTACGAAAGGTATCTTGCGAGAGCCGCTCTGCACTAATTGTTGTCCAAAGCAACACCTTGACTGTCTCGGTAGGATCTGGGAGAGACAGCTTGCGAGACAGTTCACTCCTGATATTTGCAGGAACAGGATCGTCGAAAAACTCGGGAAATCTATGAGGCGCACAAAGCCACCAATCCTGACTTAGGTTGATAAGAGTGTTAAGGTCTGGTTCATGTGGGAGGAGGTTCAACAGTTCATATCTCGTAGGATCGAATGTTGAACATGTTCGAGTCAGGGAAGAAGCCTCAGTTTGAACAGAACTTTGTTGTTGATCCACCTGGGCGATGACGCTGTTGTTGAAAAGGCTGAGGACTGCACTATCTTCTGCCCCTTTTGTGGTCGCCGATCCTGTCTGTTCTCCAATTAAAGTACCTATCCTAGCATGTCAGAATTGCTGAAAGCTGATAGCATCCCCTCAGTAACAACTTACCAGGAACAGTGGCTTCAGCGGTTGATGTCCTCTGATTACCGACGTCACTGGAATTCTCATAGGACACTTCGGAATTCTGCTTCCTGAGAAAGGTTTCGATAAAGTCTTCAACCCGGGCAACTCTTTCCCGTAGGCTGTATGTTGAAGAGTTCGCTTGAACAATAGTACTCTTTTCCGCTCTGGTGGAAGGAACTGAGGCCTTGTCTTGCTCGACACAAGTAGCACCCCGAGAGTGGCATTCTTTACACTTCCGATGGTTTTCAGTAAAGACACATTTGATTTTTCGGCGGCGACCTGGCAAAGTGATTGGATTAGCTTGGAACCAAATCTGTCTCTTTCAGGGTAATGTTACATTCGTAGCAACTCTTAGTGCCTCGCCTGAACTTCAAGGGAGATGTCATCTCTCAAAATCGTGAATGACGCCGAAAAGCCGTCCGAAGGCGCGAGTGAGGTGCGTACGGTGGTGGGCCGCAATCACTCCAGTCCTTTTTGATTGCTACTGCTCCGTACACGGGAGCGATACACGCAGAATACGTCGGAGATTCGTCCTGCATGGGGGACAAACAAAGAGGATGCTCGGATTCAACGACGGAGAATATCGTAGGCGATGGTCCTCCGAATCCGAACATTCGTGCGGCGACTCCGGGCATAATTACTCATCATCATGAATAAGCTGGATGACAGAGAAGAGAATGCTGTAATACTTTGAGATAGCGCAGTGGACTTCGTCAATGTCTTAGGGACGAACAACTTACTGGACTCTACCTAGACATAGTCTCAAGATCGAACACTTACTCGTATTGTGCTCGACACCAAGCTGTACCGCATATCGTTGTCAGGCAAATCTGGGAGGATGACATCTTGAAGATCTTTCATTCACGACGATGCGAAGTACCGTAAATAAGAGACCAGAGGAATATATACCTTTGAAATCCCTTGACGGGAGAAGTCATGCTTATGGCCTTACCTTGTATATTTTCACTATATGACTTTCTATTACTTTGAACAACCGCGAGCTGCAACAACATGAAATTCTGCATTTTACTGTATTTATGCGTCACCTAATAGGATGATAGAATCCGGTGAACCCTAGATAACTATGTGCAGATTCACATTCAACATCCCGAGCGTTTCGATAACCAGTCTACATTTAACAATTCTAAATATATCAACATTCTGGTTGCGGCATCTCCTTATGAACGATATCTAGTCTCTGTCAGATTCATACCATCATTCAATCTCAAGAAGTCTCTTCGCAGTATCAATAACTGTCGCCCTCAACGATCGATAGATTTTGTCCCCGAAGACACCACGAGTCTCTGAATCGTCGACTTTGAAAGGGTGTGCCACATCCTCCTCGTTGTTGGCGACAATTGCCGCTGCATGGACTGAAGCTAGACGCTCGTGGAGTTGAGCATATTCATTTTCCAGTATCTCCAACACTGTCTCAGCGAAGAATGGTTCCGGATTAGCTAGCAATAACCTCCGATTCTTGTCCGTCGCCTCAGCCAAAGCTCGAACATGTAGTGTGGCGAGATCTCGGACGTCAATGTAGGTACTGAACAGAGGATTACCGGAACTCTCAGTGCCAGGCTTCAAAAAGGTGTTGTAAAAAAGATCGGAGCTCATATTTGTGCGACCCTTGCCAAATGCATGTTCATCGAGTCGCTGTAAGGGAGGACCTATGATCAAGGGGCTGACGAAGACTCAGTATCTCAATCAATGCTGTCATGGTAAGTTATACTGACGCTGAAATGACGGAGACGGTGAACTGTGGTTTCTCATCCTCCACAAACTTCCACAGAGCCTTTTCGGCCAATGTTTTTGCGTACATATAGCTTACATGTCCGTGCTGTGCCTGACGAGCCACATCGGGGTCGACCTGTTGATGCACAGATATTTCATCAGCAGCAGACTCAAGGGAGACAGTGACGCCAATCAAATACCTCATTCCAGTCGTTTGCAGTCAAGACTTTACCAGAGAATGGCTTCGAAACGTCGGCGACAGACACAATACTACCAGTGAAGCAAAAATGTTTGAGATCCTTGGAATACTTACGAGCGGCGTGGAGCAGCTCGAGATTCCTGGAGACATTTGTAAGTGTTATCAAGAAGAAGCTGACAGGAGGCTCCCTCACCCCTGGACCGCAGGAACCAAAAAGTCCTGATCAAAGTCCTTGCCACTTCCATCTGGTACAGGAGATGCAGTATGGACAATGTAATCAAACTGTGTTTCTTTGAAGACCACGTCATATGCGCCAGCTGCTGAAAGATCAGGGATGACGACGAGCTTGACTTTCGACTTGAAACTGGGATGAGCTAGGAAGACATCCTCGGCTTTGGACTCCGTGCGGACGGTACCGGTGACTTCGTAGCCACTCTGCTTGTGGTCAGTGGCAGCGTAAAGGACAGGCCTCTTCGGACTTACGTCGACGAGTTGGCTCAAGATATGTGTGGCTAAAAAGCCATTCGCCCCGGTGAGTAGAACTTTCGACATTCTTGTTATACCTGCAAGGCTCAGGGAAGAATGGAGAGCGAAGTGCGACTTTCTTGTTCGCAGACCAACGCCTTTTATGTTCCCAATGCGCACACAGCGTTAAAAAATTCCTCCCTTGTGAAAACCCTAGTGATCGATGTGCCACGGAGCAAATATCGGCATTGAGAAAACCTCGACATCATCGTCCAGGACAGGGGTCGGACCAAAATTCGGCAACACCGCCATCGTGCAGGAGAATATTACCAACCTTCAGGCTTCTCCTGTCCTTCCTCAGAGGACTACCAGTCGCATTACAAAGCTGCCAGAGCCGTCATCGAGCCTCAGCGTGCTATCAACCTGAGTTTGAAGATTTTGCTTAGTGCTCGGGACTAACATCGGCACGCCTGTCTTCCACGGTTACAAAGACGGCGTCAAATCGGTGCTGAGCAATGCAGGGACTGCGTTGTTACAATGATTTTGCATTGCCAAGAGCAAAATGTGTCTTCAGACATATTTTAACCTCGCTATGTACGTTGGTTTGTTGCACGCTTCCTGAGACATTCTCCATGAATCTCGTCCCTCCCGGATTATAATGTATCCATCAACTCTTTTATTTCCATTCACACTAGTTCTCGCGGCCTTTGCAACCCCCAATTTAGCCTGACATGGCGCACCATCGGGCCCCCTCCTGGCGCAGGACTAGACCGTGATCGCGCTCGACAACCGCGGCGCCGGTGACTCGTCCATCCCCGCGGACGGCAACTACAGCGTCATGGCCTCGGCCATGGGCACCAAATCGGCCCTCGACTTCCTCAACATCACCGCCGCGTACGTGGTGGGGCACGACTTTGGATCCGGCATCTCCGCCGCGCTGGCGACGATGCACCCGTCGCTGGTGCGGCGACTGGTCGTGACAGAGTTTGCCATACCGGGGTTCGGTTTCGAGGCGGCCCACGACCCAGCTCCGTACTGGGACCACTACGCCAACTGGCAGCTCGCCTTCTTCTCGATCCCCGAGGCCGCCACGTTCTTCATCTCCGGCAGGGAGAAGCAGATGCTGGAATGGTTCTTCTTCCACGGTAGTTATTCCGGCCCGACGAGTTTCCCGGAGAACATTGTGAATCGGTACACGAGCCTCATCTCGAAGCCCGGCTTTCTCAGGGCGATGGTGGGTCCATACGACCTCCAAGCCATCGCCGCGGCCGCGAGTTTCTTCCAGGGGACACTCGGACGACAACCACTGTCCATGTCGACGCTGGCCATGGGAGGAGAAGCGAGCTTCGGAGCGTCGACTCGGTCGTTTTGGGCGAATGTCACGACAGACTTGGACGTGGATGTTGTTCCAAAGGCGGGCCATTGGATTGGTGAGTCACGACCTCCTCTATCTTTCTCTTTCTTTTTTTGTGCTCTCAAATCCGCTACGTTTCACTCCCCACGGGCCTCATGACTTCTGAAAGCCCATCGTGCTCATGGTGTATTGGTTTAAATAGCGGATGAGAACCCAACATGGGTGGCGCCACGAGTATAGGAGTTCTTTGAGGAAGACGAGAACCCCCCCAACCCGCGATCGATTTATCCTATCTAGACGACAGAGTGACGCTGACAGTGGGTTATTTCAGGACGTTGGGTAATGCTGCATTGACCGCTGAAGGACTGTAGAGAGAAGCAAACTACCATAGAGCCATGCTCCCACCACCTCCCGGAGGGGACATCGCACCGATTCATCACTAAGTCATCCTGTTGAAAACGAAGTCTCGAACTGCTCTTTTGAGTTTTACAACTGAACAAAAAGTTACGAATAAAAAGTTCCACTCCTCAGAAACCAAAAACTATCAATACTACCGTGATACGACATGCTCTTCTTGGAGTCGTCATCATCGCCATCGGCCGTCCAGGTAGTATAGTATGATATAGCATGGCATAGTGCTTGGAATAATCTCAGGACCCCGGTGGCGGAGGAAACACTCTTCTCAACATACTCCCCTTTTTGCTTCCATTGTTGCCCACGGCCTTGCGGGCGATCCTATCCGACAAGACGGCCGTGCTGGTCGACGATTTCGGCGGCGGTGCAAATTCCGTCTGTACGTTCAATCCGAATTCCTGCCTGCGAGCGTGTTCATGGCTCGTGCGGCGGAGCTGTGACGACGACGCGTCCTCCCCCATGGACAGCACTGCAGTAGGAGTGTACAAGCCAGTCGTCGGCGTGCGTGTCTGGACGTGCGAGAGCGTAAAGGTTTCAGCCGGCGGTTGTTGTGCCTGGAGCAGCGGCACGCCCGTCGCCGGGGTCATGGGGGCGGCGCCTCCGTACGCCTCATCGACGGTGCGGAAGTATTCTTGTGCGCGAATGGCCGAAGAGGTGGTGGACGATTGGCGTTGGTGTCGAGGTGGTGACCTGCCCTGCTTGGTCTGTTGCTGCTGTTGGCGAGCCAGGTATGTTTGGTAAGCCTGGTGCGATTGAGAGTTGAAGTCGAACGCGAATGTGGTCATTTCGGAACTCCCTCGCTCTTCCTCAGACAGGGACGAAGGGCTACTGCTTTTGCCCTTGACGTGGTTTGTACCATCGAGAGCAGCATGGTCCGACGCGGCCGCCGCAGCCTGCGCCTGCCTGCGCATCCGGCGTTGCATGTACCTCCGAAAACACCAGAAGCACGCGAAACTGAACCCGATGCCGCCTATCACGCCGCCGACGATGGCTCCCGTGAGACCGGCGCGTCCAAAGGGGGAGACGTTGGTCGTCTGGGCCGCAACGGGCAAGGTGTCGGGGCAGAGAGTCTTGGTTTGGAGGTACAGGCCGTGCGGGAGGGCCGAGGCCAGTTGGAACGTAGGTGGGTGCGAGTCGTAGTTTGCCATGAAGTAGACATTTGACAAGAATGCAGACCCTAGGACATTGGGTTTTGTGGTACTTGAGCTGTTGTTGTCAGGAGATGTGGAGGACAGAGGACTGGCAGAGATGGGTGAATTGTTGGATACGTTGCGCAGCCATTCGGAGTCGTACGTGAGGTTTAATCCACCTTCAAGCGTGATGGTCAAGATACCGTCGAAATCGGGTGGAAGACGGAGAACGTCCTCTGCGTCGTTTGAGGGACTGGCTCCGGTAATGTCGGCTAGCTTCTTGGTCACGCCGAGCGGGAGACTGAGTGGGTATTGTGATGTCGTGATGTAGGCGTCGAATCTGTCCAGGAGTTCCGTCTTGCTCCCATTCCCGGCATCCAGGGTTATTTGCGTAACGAGGACTTTAAAAGGACTACGGTCCGCATCAGGGTTTGGCTCGGCGATGGTAAAGTTATACACTTCTCCCTCGAAACGACCGGAGTCGTATCCACCCAGCGTCAACGACCCGTTGATGGCTCCGTTTGATTGATCGTACGCGGTTCCCATATACAGACCGAACGAACGGGAAGAAACTAGATTCAGATCGTACAGATGTCGGAGAAGAGTGCTCGAAGGGCCGAGGCCGACCAGACCAGCTGGACCGAACCATGGTGTGGTTTTTGCCGAGTAGTTCGAGAGTACCGTGACCGGAAATTTCGAGACAGTGGTAAGATTTGGAGGTGACGGATCGAAGTAGTGAGTGAAGAGATTGAAGGTGTCGAAAGCACTCTCGACGACGGTGGCGGCTATCGAGCCTAGGACGTCCAGTCGCTGATATGATGCTGCGGACGAGTATCTTGAAATGTCTTAAGTATCAATGACAAGAAAGGAAGGAAAATGTACCCACGTATCTGATAGGTCTGGCGAATAAAAGCCATGACTTTGGTTGATGCAATTCTGGAACGGACTGTTCGTACAATAGTTCAAACCTCCCACTGTCGTCTCATTGTATGATAATGATGGCCACAGGGATAGATTCTGTGAGATGGGGCTACCGATGCCGGTAAAGAGTCCATACTGGAATGTTATTCCTCCATCGACTGCTCGGTTGTGAAAGTCGACGTAAATGGGCTCGATGCTGCAGTTATTCGCAGCCACCACAGACACAAACAAGATTGCTGTGACAAAAGTGATCATGGTGCATTAGGAAACTGAAATCTGCCAATGTTCGATGGAGATAGAGAAGGCCTCGGCCTTAGCAAAGGCAAAATATGAAAGGAATACGTTCAAGATGAAGAATGACAAGAGAGGAAAACAGCAACGACAACAACGACGACAGAACACATAGGAAGGTTAATGAGGCGGCTCATCAAGCAAAGATATGGTTATTCAGTCTGGACCCAAGATCCATCATCTGCCTTGCGACAAGCCAGAGATAGAGTATCCTGCACCAAAGCTAGGCAAATCCTGAAACGGCTGGGTAGCGGCAGACGCCGTGCGGAGATGGGATCATGTATCGAAGCAGGTCGAGTGAGGTCCATTTTTGTCATTCTGTCAGGCCTTTATCAAGGTCAGTCAGGCATATGCCATCGAGATAGATGGTCGGAATTTTGGTGGCCTCTTGGGCAAGGCCTGGTAGAGGTTCGAGTTAGTCCAAATTTAGAAGCCGACGTTCTCGCTGGCGCTTGTCGAGACCCAATCGCCAGTGTCCTTGGCGCTGACCAGGTATCGGGCCAGAACATGCGCCAATCAATTTGTACTGCCGCAGTCTGGAGTTTGCTAGAAATAGCCATTCAAAAGGCATCCAAGAAATCCTGATCCTGCACAAAGCCGTTGTCTACCGCCGATCCAAAATCGTGTAAATGCTTGCAAGATTTTTTTGTCCAACATACACATCCAATAGAATTTAACGTAGGTTAGGTGGACTCGTTGACAGCGAAGGCAGCTGTTGACCTACTGCGAATCATGTTTCTCTGGAGTTCATCCTTTGGGTTTCTTCCGGACAATCGCAGCGGAGAGAAGCTCGACAGCGGATTCAGAATTTGAATCCACCATTTGAGGCTTTACAACATTCTCGTCAATATTGTCGGCTTTTCGTTTCTTTCGTACTGCTGTCAGCATATTGATCGGTGCTGCGGGTGCTTTTTCGGGCTCGCTAGGTTGAGTCAAGATGCGATCCCCTCGAATAGACACTCCAAATACGGATTGCGCAGTCAGCTCTAGGGCCGTACCAATCCAGAACCTAGTGCTCTCGGCGGCTTTCTCCTCACCAGCGAAGTCCATTTGTAGAAGATGATCCATCAATGTTTGATATTGACTAGTGTTGAGCACAAGTTGACCTTTTGTTGCACTCGACTGCTTCGCATGAGTCTGAAGAATGTGTTCTTCGATGGTGTTTGCAGTATGTGAAGCATCATGATTGTTGGACAAACCAATTGCACTATTCGGCAGAGAAGATAGTTGCTGAGAATCTTGAAGCGGTGACGATGAAGGTGGTGAGGCCAAGTTTTTGAGTTCACCACCTCCATCAGCCAGTGGAATCTGATTAATCTTTCCTTCGCTATGGCATTGTGCTTGCGAATTGTCCGGTGTTGGCATCGACGCATGGCTTTGTGATGTTACTGCGGATTGTTCTGTGACGAGCGGATCTAATTCTGCCAGTGCGGTATGAGTCGTCTGGCCTGGTGAGAAGATGAGCCATAAAAATCCCACCAATCTGCCAGCAGAGCATTCCTGTCGATAAGACATCATCTCCCAGAATTGGTCGAGAGTCTTCACACTTCGCCAATGTCCCTGGTCATCAACAAAATCTCCATCTAGATCATCTAGAAATCGTGCTTTTGGGTCGTCTGGGAAGCGAGGCACTAAGTGTCGTGGGGCCCGTGAGGTGTCTGTTGCAAGAAGCTCGACTGGGTAAGAGTTGTTCCATTTGGGCGAAGATGTCGGGTCTCGACGGCTTGACGGTGGAAAGAAAGCTCTGGTCTCTCCTTTGTCGCATCCTGGAACGACCAGATGGGCAGAAGATCTGAAAGGCGGATTTGAGGTGTTGCTGTGAAGGCGTAATACCTGATCCAGCACTCTACACCACCACTTGACGAGCTCACGGTCATCCAATACGTGTTTGCCGGGGTTTTCGATGCTCCCGGGGAATAGATATTGATTCTGTGATCGTGCAAAGAGCGACAGAACAACCCTCGATCGGTTGAGCCTCGGTCCTAGTAGATAATCCACAAACGTCGAAGTGACCGTGGATACTACGGATGGGAGCCCTTTCGAGGCTTTCACCCGTGAAGAGAAGCCAGATGAGTCGGCCTTGGAAACAAAGAGCGTGGTGAGATTTTCGGTAGTGAAGATCAGAATTTCAATGGCGAACACCAAGACTTCCTTGGCATCATCTTGCTCAGGTGAGGAGATAGCAAGGAAATGTGACTCGCAGATGGTGGTCTCTTCAGTGCCTCCAGGCAAAGGTGAGAAAAGTGCATTTGTCGAAGTTGGTTCAGAGGACAGATGGTAGGCTTTGATGTTTACATCCTGTGGAAGGGCGGACTTAAGCCTAGTTACCAGGTTTGGTGAGGCTTCCATGGCTGCATGATAGATATGCTGTGGATATCACCAACTCTTAGATAGCCAAACCGAATACTCAGCACAAACACATCGAGGGTAGAGAGAAGACATACTGTACTGTAAGGGGGACGCACGCATGAAGCGCTTTGCCAGAAATAGTTTAGTGTCGAATGTTTGTAACCAATGATATGATCATTTTTTCAAGCCTGATCATGACAACGAGCCAGAACAAACGGACAGAATATTCCAAGAGTTGCTCGGGGGTATGAGAGTTCTAATTCAACTCATTGACATATCAGGTACGTGATGTTCACTTTATGACCGAAAGATGCCTTGTCTTTCTTTTGAACAAAAGACAAATGTGGTTAGGCGTCTTCGGCAGACCTTCCTCGTCTTGTCCGGCGCATTTTTGTTGGACTTCGATTTTCCTTCAGCCATGAACCTCAAGTCATGTCTGATTGCATAGACTTAGGCTTCTACTCACGTCTAACGACTCATCTCTGATCGCATGCTGTTTTCAATGCAGTCCAGTCTTTGTTGTATGTCCTGAAAACAACATCACTTGATGAAGTTTGGAAAGTCTTGACTCTAGGGCAGGCTGCGAACAAACTCATTCGTTGCTGAGTACACCTCCATCGTGTGACCAATTCCATCATGCTGTAGCTGACCACCAGGCCGTTTTGTATCCTACTTGTCTTGCTAATGTGTCATCTATATCCTCAGTTCCGACAATGAACCGCTTCCCAAATCGCCTCAGCGCCTAGACGATAAGTCGGCAAAACCAGAGGATGGTGAAATCAGTGACCACACCCCATCTCCGTCAGAAGCAGGAATCTCCAAACCAGCCGACCCTCCATTGCCTACAGATGAAGTACCTCCCCCACTCCCTGAAGAGCCACCGCCTGGTGCGCCTGGGGACGATGGGTGGGAACCTGTCTGGGATGATTCAGCGCAGGCCTTTTATTTCTTCAACCGATTTACCAATGTCACACAATGGGAAAATCCAAGAGTGCCCGAGGCTAAGTCGACAGGCCCACCGGGAGTAGGCAACCATGACAGAATGGCAGGGGCAATAGAACCACCGCCAGCAAGGTCTGTTGGTGGATACAATCCAGCTATACATGGCGACTATGATCCAAATGCCGATTATGCGAAAGTACACGAAACAACATCAGCTACAACAGCTCCTGGTTCTGGAGCGCCCGGCACAGACCCTGCTGAAGCATATGCAGCCACCGGGCACTTTAATCGGTTTACTGGCAAGTGGCAAAATGCGGATCTCAACAACCCAGAAAAACACAGTGATGAACAAAAGAGTCGAAGACAGATGAATGCATTTTTCGATGTGGACGCGGCTGCAAACAGTCACGACGGGAGAAGTCTTCGAGCTGAACGAGCCAGCAAGAAGCTCAGCAAGGCCGAGCTCAAGGCGTTCAAGGAGAAACGAAGAGAAAAGAAAGAAGAGAAGAGACGAGCCTGGTTAAGAGACTGAGCAAGGAATGAATGAATTTGGATAGTCCGGAGTGTGGTTTGCGACGCTCGCTTGCTTTACTTTGGTAGATTATCTCAACACCATTATCTGGCCTGTACACAATATTTGTAGCGATTGGAAATGAATTTCATGATACATTGACTCGACTATATTACACTCTTCCTTCGTCTTACTACTGGTGATAATAAGACAAGGACCATTGTCGGTATCTACCTTCTCATCTCCACAGCATCAGCGGAACTGGCGGCATTTACTATGTAAAAACAGACGGAGAAATAAATACGCATCAATTTCCTTCACCACACACAAAAAAAACCACCTGTCACGTCAACATTCATATTGATATGAGTGTAACCCACACAGTCCTTGGTACAACCTGAGAAGTGTCTCGTTTCTTTTCCTTTCTCTTTCCGTCATGCTATATCCATGTTCACCGAGACTGTTGCGTTGGTCGGCATTGGCTGGTACATCTTCATAGCCTGTGTCTGCGCAATCGGTTACATCAACCTGTAAAGCCCTCTCTTCCTCGCAATACAATGCCCACGGCTCTCCCTAATGCATCGTTTCTAGATTCATACACTACCGAAAAGTCCCTGCGCGCGCCGCCGTTCTATCAAATAACGAAACAGGCATCCCGCATGTTACTGTCATTCGACCTTGCAAGGGCCTTGAGCCGTACCTCTACGAATGCCTCGCTTCGACCTTTCTCCAGGACTACCCTCCCGACAAGATAACAGTGTACTTGTGCGTTTCGTCGCGCTCGGACAGCGCCTACCCGAGCCTTGAAAAAGTGGTGAACGACTACCCCGACCACGATGCCAGGATCTTCATCGAAGAGGAGGACGATGACACCGCGGGGCCTGACAGTCCCAGAGCCTACCTTGGCCCAAATCCCAAGATCAGGAACATGAGCAGGGCCTATCGTGAAGCCAAGGGCGACTTGATCTGGATCGTCGACTGCAATGTCTGGGTCGGGCGTGGGATCTGCGCTCGCATGGTCGACCGGCTTTGCGGCTTCACTCACGCAGGGCTGCCTCCGGCGACACCGTACAAACTGGTCCACCACCTCCCCATATCCGTGGACGTGGACACATACTCGCAAGGTCGACCGCGAACAGACTCCTCGTCGTACGACGAAACACCCACGACGCCCTTGCTCGCCGACACAGGCGGCCAGCCCAACGGCACGCTCAAGCACCTCAATCGCTACGGAGGACGTCTGGAAGAACTATTTCTCTCGTCGTCGCACGCAAAGATGTACGTGGCAATCAACATGGTCGCCGTCGCACCCTGCATCGTAGGAAAATCAAACATGTTCCGCCGTTCGCATCTCGACCACCTGACCTCCGAGCGCGCAAAGGTTGAAGATTCTCCTGGGCCTGCCGGGGGCACCACGCCGGTCCACGCCCGGACAGGGATCGACTACTTTTCCAGCAACATCTGCGAGGACCACCTCATCGGCGACCTCTTGTGGAAATCCAAACTGCCTCGCCTCCCTGGCTTCCCGAGCCGGATGCGCAACCACGGCCTCGTCCTGGGCGATCTGGCCATCCAGCCCATCGCCGGCATGAGCGTGGCCAACTACGTGGCGCGACGTGTTCGCTGGCTCCGAGTTCGCAAGTTCACCGTCCCCGTCGCCACGCTCGTCGAGCCCGGCACCGAAAGTTTCCTGTGTTCCGCCTACGGCGCATTCGGCGTCACGACTCTGCCGTCCACGAGGCCCTTCTTCGGGACGACGTGGACGTGGTTTGTGGTCTGGTGGTTCGTCAGTCTCACTCTCTGGGCCGCGGTCGACTGGACCAACCATCTCCTCTTACACTCTAGACGGACCGTCGACGATGCAGACGACGGTACGAAAGTCCCGGAATTTGTGCGCCACCCCAAAAGTGGTGGTGGCGGTGTGCGGGGGCTGATTCGGGCACGACGTCGTCCGTTCAAGGAGTGGCTTTGCGCATGGCTCGGTCGTGAGGCTTTGGCACTGCCGATCTGGAGCTGGGCGATCTGGGGTGGTGTTAGTGTGACGTGGAGAGATCGTCGGTTCTGGGTCGGGCTGGACATGAAGGTTCATGAGATACATGAGACTGGCAAGACAACGACGACGACAGCTACAACAGCAACAGCACCACTTGGAATGAGCAATGGGCATACGAATGGGAATGGTTATGCGAGTGGGAAGAAACGCACCGAGTAGATGGATGATAGAGTCAGGAGTCTCGGGGTAATCAATCCGTAAAAGCCTGTGAAACAAATATAATGGTTCGTTACGCTTCCTATCATTGAGTCCTTTTATTTGTGAATTGCGACTGTACATACATTTTGCCACCTGAATCGTGACTGTGCGTATGGGATAAATCGCACGTCAATCCATGACCCATTTCGCAGATGACTTCCTCAATCTGCGAACCATTGCGGGAATACCAACAATCAGGTAGTTTGGCTTTCTAGCTTGCCAATAGCAATTCTCCTTCTTGACACCTTGAGTGCATTGAACGGTGTCTCGACAATACAGAGTAAAATATGTCCGTATCGAGGGGTCGGCGGAGGGGCACAAGGCGACCTTTCTCGGGAGGCTGGTGGTGGTGGTGGGAAGTGTCCGCGGGCGCGTGTGCCCTGAAGAACGGCCATTCTGTTCGCTGAGTTCGTTTGTTGGAAGTAGTATTCTGATGGTCCACGTCCAACGTTTGACGGGGTGGACATGTCAGTGTCGTCTGAAAGAGAGGGCAGACATGGTTTTGGTGGGGTTTTTTGTATCCCATGGATGGTGCATTGCTCAGCTCGAGAGTGCAAGATCATGAATGGCGTCGTCTTTCCAACCTCGACGTCTCTCTTCTAGACACATCCATTCCAAGGTTGAACATCCCTCCATGGATCAACCCGAGCGAGCTGGTCCCATTGGATATCTATCTTTAGTGAGGCATATGACATATCCCGCCCGCAGGACTACTGTAGTAGTCGTTGTCGTAGGCAGTACCTCTTTCATGAAGTTCTCTTGGAAAATCTTCGAGACTTCTTTGTAACTTTACGAGTTTTATGTTGTGCTGGTAAGTCACTAGGTTAGGTTCCGTTTCATCTCTCTGGCTTTTGCGAACGACAGCAACACTGTAATTTTCGTGGCTTGACGGCCGCTTGAAACCCATGTAGTTGAACAACGCGCACCACGGGCTAAATTGGCAGTGTTAGCAGTGTCCATTCAAAACAGACCAGAACTCGATCGATAAGTGTGCAAAGGGAGAAACCCACCCATTGCATGTTGACCTCGTGATGACAAGCCGGTTCCGTGATGGTTTTGAGTTCGGCTTCTCCGGCCACAACGTTGTCCAAGACCTTGTAGTACTTTAGAGTCATCGTGCCATCTTTCCAACGATCAACACTGTCGAGCTTGATCCGAACCGTCTTTCCGGGCTTTGCTTGGTTGTTGACGTCTTTGTCGATTTCGGTGGCCGTTTTGGCGATGGCATAGGCGACACAACTGTTCCAATGGCCCTCGACCACTTTCAGGTCTCGGAGCGCCTCCAACGCATTGTGACGGAGATCGCGTGCTCGGCACTCGGTGGCGAGAAAGAACAGGGGTGCGATGAAGCCCACGTGCACCTTAAGGATCAGGTTGTCGCTGTACTTGGGGACCAATTCGGTATATCCGCCGCGAAGGAACGTCCGGAGCTGGGCGAACATTATGCGGAAATCGGCGGCGGCGCGACTGTAGCTCCTGTCGTTCTCGGGAGGGAGGCTCTTGAGTATCAGCAAAGCCATCCGATGATGAGCCAGTAACAAAAGCTGCCAGTCCTTCAGCAAGGGGTCGTCCACTTCGTACGTCACCTTCCACTGGCCGAAGGACGTGGCCCAGTCGGCGACGTACTTGCGCACGCCGGGAGCCATGGAGGTGGACAAGTGGTTGGGTTGGCCGAGCTCAAGAAGAAGAACCCAATAGAGTGCCTGCTGGAGGAATTTGTTCGCCTGGTCTAGGTCTCGAAACACCTTGGGCATCTCCGGCAACGAATATGTCGTCCCTCCTCCTCCATTCGTCCCGGCTTCGACGTTGGACGTCTCGGTCAGCCGGTAATTGGCGCTCTTCATTATGAAACCCTCAATGACGGGTTGTATCAGCTGACGAACCTCCGGTGACAGTTGTGCCTGCTTCTTCTTGCTCTCCTGGATGATCCTCTGGCCGGATTTCAGATGTGTCAGCCCGGCGGCGGAAGCGCCCATGAGAAAGTCACAGTGGGCAAACAGGACGCAGGCCACCAGGATGATTTCGAGTGGGAGCTTGCCGTGGTTTTGATTGATCTCGGTGATGGCTTTGGTATAGTGCAGCGTGAACGAGTGGTTCTGCCACGGCGTACGTTTGGTAAACTCGAGCCATTCATGGAGGCTGCTAATGGCTGCTAAGCTATGACGGATACACTCGTTGGCCTCACTCGCCTGAATCACCAATCTGTTCCAAAACGTCCAAGCTTGCGTGTTGATCTGGGCCACCATGTTTTTGTCGTCAATGATTGAATCCATCATTTCGGCGAAGTAGGATGCGATTCGTGGCGCGGTACACTCGAGGAAATATTGACTGGGTCGATTGAAGTCAGAATCCTCGAAGAAGTGTATCGAAGTTGCATTGCTGAAGCTTTGACCGACTTCATGGCTAGTTGCAGCTTCGTTGGATTGAAAGTCAAGAGCCCACGTCTTGGCCTGAGTATATCCTTCGCAGAAACGGCCGGCTTTGGCACAGCGTTGGCATCGAGGATGACCTTCATCGCCTGTTCATGGTAAGTACAGCTCTTGGGAAACGTGTTTCAGGGTGTATGAGAGGGAAGCGATGGTGCTTTCGTTCAGCAATTCGACTGACTCGTGAGAGGCATTGCGCATGTACATGGGCATGTTGGACCTACATTTGACTCTTCGACGCCTATTGCAATCCAATTAGCTTAGGCACCCAACGAAACACTCAGGTGCCAAAAGAGTGGCAAGTATGATGCGCACGGCGTACCTGCAGGTGAGACAGCCGGTTCTAACCTTGTTGTGAGTGCGTTTTATTCTTGTGGGTGATTTGTCTCTAGATTTATCAGTGGTAGACTTCTGCGAAATAGTGGACGAAGGTGTCGTGCTCTCTGTGCGTCCTCTTATCTGTGTTGAGGTCGGCTGGGCCTTGGTGCCTGTATCGGCCACCACAAGGGCTTGACGGACCATGATGGTAAGTCTTGCCGGGGCATCGAACTCGCGTAAAGGACTATCGTGCTGGGATCAGACGTGAAGAGAGTGCTGATGACTGTTCTCACAGTCAAAACTTTACGCGGCTTGGTTGGCAAAGTATTGATGGAATTGGCTCGCTGAGCGGAAACGATGAACCCATGAGACCGGCAGAGGCATCAGCAGGATATTGATCTGATCGAAAGGCTCGAAGAGGAAGATTAACAGCCGAGATGAATGGTAGTTCGGACTCAATCGGCCCTGTAACACACGTGGTGGAGACGCCGTTCAGCCGCGTCTTTCAGCTTCAGCCCTCTGTCTGGGAATTGTGTTTCCGCTGACCAAAGATGGTTCGATCCATCCGTGTCTGCCGCTGAGCAATGTGTAACCACCCGGACACACCAGCTGCAGGCCTTGGACTCGAAAAACCAAGCGTAAAAGACTCCGGGTACCTGAATGGAGCGGGCTTATGCCTGGTGAGTGATAAAGGCAGCAGGAGCCTTTGGGATGGCCTGAAGGAAGCGAAAGGAATCTTCTCAAAAGTTTGCGACCAGGGATGCAACAAATAAAGACAGACAAAGATAAATTAACTGCCGAAGATGCCTTGGGCGATGGATGTGTAAGAAAAGTGCCTGGGAGGAGCAAAAGGAGTCACTGAAGAGTTATTTCGGCTATGAATTATTGATTAGTTCTCAGCCCTAAATGCATCGCTAAAGTTCGGTCCGCCACGGACGATTCGTATCGATGACAGTACATTGTACAGAGGTTGGCCTGACCTTTATCCATCTACAACATCCGTACTCACACGAGCGAGTCTCAGCGTCTGTAACACCACTCGACGGCCCCCTCGAGACTGACCCAAAGACCACCACAGACAGTTCTACCAGCCATCGTCCATCATACCGTGGTCAGCCTTGCAAAGACCCTTCGGTCGTCACAAGTCGCACCAAATCTACAGGCGGTGACGGATCGCAGTATTCCTGGACTCATTGATCCTGGGTGTGACAAGGCTTGGGCCGTATCCCAGCTTGCTGACTGGCTGAGTACACGATGTTCCTACGTATTCCTCTACGATTGGTAGGCAAGATGACGCCCACTGGATAGTGTCCTGCAGTAGTAGCTTGTGGTCACTTGCCTTGTAGGTGAAAAATGATCAGGTCCAGACCGCAATGTCGCGAGAAGGACTTTCAAAGCGACAGTCCTAGGCCGGTGGAGAAAATTGAAGCGCCAAATACCACGAACTGGATATGTTGAAGCCATAGCAAAGCAATCAAGCTGCAATCTGATCGAAGAAATCGCAATGTTCATTTCCCTCCAGCCAGGAACGCCGAAAGGTGCGTAAAGTCTCAAGAGCCACAATTTTCTCAATGTCTAGACAGACCACCAGAGCCACAACAAGCCTTTCAGATATTCCACAATCTCTTCTCCGCCCAATTTACTCTCACCATACAGTCTGTCGACAAAGGTGATGGGGCATTCCTCCACCTTGAGTCCCATGGCTTTTGCTCGGACCATCATCTCCATCTGGAATGTGTATCCTTTGGATTGTGTCCTCTCGATCACCGTCACCAGCGCCTCCTTCCTGTACAGTCTGAAAGAGCCGGTCAAGTCGCTCACGCCAGGGTTGAGGAGAAAGTCGGCGAGAATGTTCGCGCCACAGCTGGTCAGCTTCCGTTTCGCATCCCAGCCATACACCCCCCCAATCAAGCCGGGTCTTGACCGGTATCGCGTTCCTGTGACAATGTCTGCGCCCGTCTGTTTCTGGATTTTGACGAACTCGGGAATGAATTTGGGGTGATGAGAGAAGTCGGCATCCATGATAATGACATAGTTGCCACTGACAAACTGAAGGCCATGAACGTAGGCGGTTCCCAGACCAAGTTTGCCGGCTCGAGGTTTGAGGACAATGTGGTCAGAGCCGAAAGACTTTTGTAGTTGTTTCGCTCGTTCGAGGGTGCCATCTGGGGACGCATCGTCGACAATAATGATCTCCCAGTTCAATTTCCTGTGAAGCAAGAGTGGATAGTTAGATAGGATCTTTCTTTCACATCGTCCTTCCTCAAGGCTCAAATGCGCAGTTACTCACTCTTGGATGAAGACATCCGACAGCATCTGCACCAACACTGGCAGGTTTTGTCGCTCATTGTAGGTCGGCAGAATGACCGAGTATTTGTCCTTGGATGCCATTATGAAGAGACTGTAGAATACCGAGGAACAAAGGAACGAGATGAAGAGCGTAGACCAGAGGGAAACTTCAATCTGGCTGGACTGTGATGAACGCGACAGATTGTCAAAGACCGCGACAAAATCATTAGGGGCTCCGATATTTAGCCGGGAACATGAGCCTCGTCCACCTTCATTGTCAGCGTGTGTCCATTCAGACTGCTTCTATCGTTGTATGGTGGACATGACAATACCCTTCGCCAGGACTCAACAGGAGCGCTCCCCCATCAATATGGCCTCCTCTCACCACAGCCGAAAGCCTTCAAGTCGAGCTGCTCTTCCTCGACGGACAACTAAAGGACCATTAGACGCACCGAGCGACCCTCTCTCTAGTATTGAAACAAGCCCAACATCCCCTGATCCACGGGCAGCATTACAACCTTCAAGCGAGGATGGTCCCAGATCTGAACGATCCTCGACGAACCAAGCATCCCGGACATCAAGTTCTACAGGAATATCCGCAATCGAAGAACGAGACCTTTCTTTCCTGCTTGACGCATCTATCTACCACCCGCTGTCACAACTCGAGGTCCCTGGCCCGTTCAGAAAAGCCTTTCTCCCAGGCCCGACAGCCGACACTGTCGAACGATCAATGGGACAGCTAGATTCTCTTCTCTCCCAATGCGATTTTCTACGTGCTGCGCAATTAGCCGGCTCGATTCTCACTTCGGGGACCATACGACCGACGGACATCAAGACAGTCTTCAGGCTACTCGCTATTCGTTATTCTTGCCTCGAGCTCTCTGGGAACCTTCTGCTCGCGGCGCAGGAAGCGAAGGCTCTCGAAGATCTGAGCTCGGCATTCTACTATGATGACCCGAATCCTGAGGAACCCGCGAGCGAAGACATCGATCTGCCACGCAAGGTGCCACATCACATTATGCCCTTCTCTCTCAGACTCCAGGCCTTGCGACTCCAAAGTATTGGCTTTTCTGACCCACGTCGAGGCGTGACGACGCTCTATGATCTAGCTTTCGAATGTAGAGAACATCTATCAACGCCAGGAATTTCTGTGGAAGATCACTCAATCTGGACTGAGAGGCTGCAGGAAATGTCCATCCGGGTCGTCAATGCCTTGATCGAGATGGGTGAGCTAGATTGTGCTGCTCGCACCTTGGCGACCATGAAGCCTTCAGACGACAAATCTACAGCTCTTTGGACGTCACGAATGGTCTTGCTCCGGATCAAAATGGGCGACTTTCAACGGGCACATGACTTGGTCGAATCCACCACCTTGGCGACTCATGATAAGCTCGCCCTCAGATCCTTACTTGCCATTGCGGAAGGGCGATACGATGAAGCTTCTCAGGCGTTTTCAGAGTGTGAAGAAGGGACAGATCCTGCTTTGAAAGCTCTCATCAAACAGAACCTAGCCGTTGCCCTTCTTTACAACGGCGAAGTGTCGAAATCGAAGAAAATCTTGGAGGAATTGATTGATAATGGCTACTCTTTTCAGACTTTGACCATCAACCTTGCCACGATATACGACTTGAGTTCAGACACTTCCCGAGATCTTAAACTGTCTATGATATCCAAGATCGCTAGCGAACAGAAAACGACTGGTCAACTCCGATCGTTCTTGAATGCTGATTTCAAGTTATGATCCAAGTGACTGATCAGATGCATATGGACCCCATTTTCCCATGTCGATAATCAAAGGCTTTCAACAGTCCCCTTAGGTGTGACATTGCTGCCAGGACAATGAGGATGTGAAAGATCTGGTGGGAGCTCCCCAACGTATCGAATTTGCCAGGATACCATGATTCCGGAATGCGGGCCTATGGAGGTCAGAAAGAGCACACGACGAGAGTGTCCAACTTACGGCATAGAGAGCAGCGCCCGCGATGTACAACACTCCCTGCAGTACTAGCCAAGATAAGCCAATCTGCTTCTCCATTGCTTCCATACCGAAGGTCAGAAGACCATCTAGTACGGGGAACACCGCAGACACTCCCATGCCGACGAACATCAACGCCCGATATGGTCGCCACGCCGGCGTTCGAAACTTTGGGAGCACCGATGTTGCTGTGCATGCAATGCCTAAGGAGCAGATCTGCCTATGGTTAAAATTGACTTATTCCAGAAGATGATGTCTGGCTCACCATAGTCCAGTACACCAGCTGTCTATCAGGATTGCACCAGAAACCATAGTAGACACTTGGGATGAAGGAGCCGGCTACCAGTAGAGAAATGCCTGCATAGTCCAACTGATTCCACATCCGAGCTACTGCTGGCGAATGATTGGAGACAGTATGGTAGGTGGCGCTCATTCCAAGACAGAAAGCTGCGCCGATAAAGAAGCATCCCAACGCAATGACATCCGCCGCAGACGCTTGTTCGTATCGGGGTTCGAGGATCTTGTACAAGATGACGCCGACGGGAAGGGCGAGGGCACCAGGGATCAGATGTGACCAGATGTTCACGCTCTCATTGTGCCAGTGAAATATACTTTGCCATGACCTCGCATAGCTGTAGGATGCTCGTCGATAGCTGGCGTGTATGTGATGATTGTCTTGTTGCCAATGCGGTAGATCTTTCCAGTGGACCAAAGACCACCACATGTCAGGACTTTGATGGGTAGGAGAAGGTGTATCCTCTTGACCACCCACCACGTGCATCGAGTGCTCGTTATCTAGCATGTTTAGCTCCGAATTATGAGACCGATATAGTGAATCACTTGAAAAGACAAATTCATCAGAGAAATTGCTCATATTTATCCTGATAAATTGTTGAGTGATGGGAAAATAAATGGCGCCAATTGCTCCGTCAAATCCGAGGTCCACAAAACACCGGATTCGGACCACGCCACATCGCGACTTCTTCTCTACAACCATCACATTGTCCTCTGTGCAACCACCAAACATATTCCCAAGACCGGTCGCCGAATTACATTAGTTGTCTGACGATGGCTGACAAGTTGTTGCCTCCTTCATTGAAGACGCGGAATCGCTAACGTCCCTGCGAGCAATGGCTCTACGTCCGCCACATTTGGGGCGAAAGTCCTCGACGCCATGGGATAGATTGAGGCCTGTCAAGCAGGACCCTCTGGAGAGCATGGGATTTGTCTCGAAAGGCGACACCCGGTGAGCGAGGATAGATGCCACAATTACTGATGGTTGTTCTAATTCTCATAGTCTCCTCGAGACGAAAGCGCAAGAAAACTTCTACAACAAGATCGTCGCTCGGTATATGCAATTCTGTACAAATCACTCCAAGGACCTTGACAACGCGTTCGCTTCTTTGTCACTTGAAGACGACGGGTCTGCCTCGTCAGCACCGACCGGGTATTCTTCAATCGGCCGTGGTCACCGGCCCCTTGTCTCGGCACATCCAGATGCAGAGCTACTCCCTAGCGCCCAACAACACAATAGCCCGACGCCGTCGCCCTCTGGAGAACTTTCTACTATCTTACTGGCGTTGCGTAAATTGCGGGAAGGACTCCTCGCTACTTCTACGTCGGCTCCATCCCCCGTATTCTCACAACGAGTCCATGTCTTCAATATCAGAACTGCAATTCTCGCCTTCCACCCGCCGGGGTACCATCCATCGCTATTGCACCTTCTGTTCGTGTTACACTCACCTACGCATCCACTCCCCAAGTCGGAACTGGTCGAGATGACCACGTATCTTATTCTTGACACAGCAATTCGCCAACATGATCTTGGTCAAGCATTTGCGCTTAGATACAATAGCAGAGTCAAATTTGGCTTCAAGAGCCGAGTAGTTGACAGCATTCTACGGGCCGTCGTGATGGGGGACTGGGTCACGTTTTGGCGTGTGCGACAGACGGTGGATGGCTACGTCCGGGCGATCTTGCACTGGCACATTGAGACACAACGCAAGTTGGCATTGAAGGCCATCGGGCGTACTTACCTTGGCTGCGACATCAGATACATTTTGCAGAGTGCCAGTGGAGGCGAACTTAGCTGGGAAGATCTGGTCAGAATTGAAGATGTAGGCTGGGAACGCGATGGTGATAAGGCTGTGATTCGCAAGCCCAAGGCTAGAGTCGCAGCTAGTTGATGACGCAAGAACTAAGCGAGGGCTTGATAGCATTGCGGAGCATCATGAGACAGATCTTCAGCATCCTAGGGTTTCGGAGGTAGGGTTTTTTACATCAAAGGTCTGGAACATGCATCGTGGCTTCAAAAGGTCAATGCATCCAGACGCAGTGTTTCGAAAGTGGCGCCGGACGCATTGTCAAAAAGTGCCAGCCACCTTGTGGCGTCTCCAGCCTCGCGCCCGCTGAGCCAATCACATGTTCCCATTTGGGTCTTGGCATTGTTTTGACTCCAACTGCGCTCTTCCAGCCTCGCGCATTTCCCTCTTTACAACACCAGAAACACCTCGACAGCTGCAAACCAGCGCAGTTTTGTCGCACATGCTCGACGCATGTATATCCATGCACAAGGATCATGGCCAGCCTCTGCTTTTCCTCACAATATGGGTAGGTACATGTGAGACAATTTCTCTCGCCATCTTTCCATTCTTCTTCATCCATCCTATCCAAACCAACAAACCAAAACACAAGACCAATTTCTTAGTCCTACCAAATACAATCGTTGAGAGACATTTCACATTGAGGATACAGACCTCAGGTCGTTCAATATGACTTCCAGACCAATTTTTTCTTCTATTTCCCTCGCTTCGCTGTTGATTGCTGCCCATGCCCTTCCTTTGTACCCAAACGCGATCGAGCGAAGAGATCCAGCCTCATATTCAGTTGTTGCAGTTGACGGTGGTAGCACAGGAGGAGACGCCGCAACAGCGACGACAGTCACTGACGCTGTCACGCACACACAGACTGTGATGGCGACACAACTGTCGACCATTGTGGTCACCGAATCCGAAACACCATCCACCATCATATTGACCGTCACCGCCCCTTCTCCAACCACAATTACCGAATACCCTCCACCATCAACCGAAATAGTATCTGTGACAGCCACACTTACCGAAGAAGCGCCAGTGCCCGTCGTGCCTATCTCTACCGCCTCAAGTACGTCAAGTACGTCGAGTTTACCAAGCTCGTCGACTACCCCGAGGACGTGGGCCACTACGACGGAAACTTCATCACAAGCCACCGTCACTGTGACACAGTCGACTTCAAAGGCTTCGGTAAAAACATATGATGATGGAATGTGGCATACTTGGTACTTTTACACGGAGACATCAGCTAGCTCTCAACCTAGCTCAACTGCTTCTTCGACTTCCGAATGGATGCCACAGTGGACTCCAGCTAGCAGTTGGACCACGTCTACAACAACGCAGACCACGTGGGGACCGTGGACAACTTCTCAGAACGGCTTTTGGACTCCTTCACCTAGCGTCGAAGCCACTTGGACTTCTTCTGCCGCGGAGGACAGCTGGACTCCTTTACCAACATCTGAGACGATGTCGATCAGCTACCCTAGTTCGGGAATGGCACCGACTCCTTCCCCGACGACTACAGAGTGGACTTGGACTCCTCCCTCAACCACCACCACTACCGAAAGCGTGCTTTATACCTCCTCGACGACCGAGAGCAGCTCCGCGGTTGCAACGCAGGGATCTAGTACTACTGTGGCTCCTCTACCTACCATTTCGTCCAATTCCGAGCCTACTCCCGCTTCCTCAACCCACGATTCTCTATCAGCGGCTCTTTCGTCATTCAGCTCGCTGACACCAACGGGGACGATGGGGTTCTTTGGAACTCCAACCGGTGTTTGAAATTAAACAACAAAACATCCAGTAACGAGAGAGTTCGGATCTCATTTGCACACAATCATCTTGTATATTATACACCACAGCACATTTTTATGCGATTTTTTATTTCAAAACTTTCAGCATGTCGACTATCACACGAGAAAAAGGACGGCAACGGAAAAGCGAGGGCGCATGGTATATTTATATGGGATGGATCTGACAACATGATGATGTAATATATAGGTAATATCACGGAGACTCATTGAGAATATTTTAGCGTTGGCGTTGGATGGTTTTGTTTGTCTTGCTGCACAAACACACAACTTATGAATAACTCCATAGATGAGTCGAGAATGAATATGAACACTCTGTACAGAGTAATGTGACAAGTATCAATGCGTATCAATGAATATACGCAGCATTCACCGTCTCCATGTCTGTATTTCAACATCTACTACCGAGTACTCCGTACGGAGCGTTGTCATCCATAATCTCGCAGTTGTTTCTGCTCTTCCTGATGCACTGTATTGCTTCGGATCATACGTTGATTGGTGGGTTTTTGTTCTCTCACGGGCCCGAACACACTCCCCCCCTCTTAATGACCCGAAAGCCTTGTTTTTGCTCTCTCCCATCACCGAAAATTACCTTACCTCGCCTTTTAGGTATCTTCCCATACGGAGCAGGACAGGTCCACCCTCATCCATTCATGACTATCACTCGTTCAAAACCCATGACGGCCTCCCTTCACTGGCTAATCAACTAACCTGAAAAAAAGCCAAAATATTCGAATCTCGTCCGACCCGAAGAGCATTTCGGGTGCAACAGAACTGTTGTATTCTCGCACATACCAGTGACAATGGGCCCGAAATTGGTAACAGGTAAGGGTAAGAGGTGTAGTGATGATGCTGGTGGCGCACATGTCAACATTGATCCCATTTACCGTTGATGAAGTATATAAGTAGTCTGTGATGTTCTTCTACATAGTCTCTCCAGAACCATGATACATGCTCTTCAAATCAGATCGATGGCTCCTCTACAAAACTAAAGAATCAGATATCTCATACCCCTTGTCGTTGCAAGAACAAGCATGTCTACCCTACACGAGGAAGAATCTCGTTCTCCATCGACACATGTCGATACCACCTCCTCCACCGACACCGACGCCAGACCCGGATCGAGGCAACACCCTCCTAACCATGTTGACCTCGCTGGCACCAACGCCGACTTGGATGGACAAACTGGGAGTGTTGCCGGATCGGACCCGGACTCCAAAGAAGAATCAGAAGAACCAGAAGAATCAGACGAATATCCATCCTTCACCAAAACAATGGTCATCATGGCATGTATCATGACCACCACCTTTCTCAACGCCTTGGACAAACTGATAGTCGGCGTGGCCATTCCCAAAATCACCGACGAATTCGATTCTCTGGGCGACGTGGGCTGGTACGGATCGGCGTACCTGCTGACGACGTGCGCGTTCAACCTCAGCCTCGGCCGACTGTACACCTTTTACGACCCGAAATGGATGTACCTCTTGTCGCTCGTGATCTTCGAGGTCGGATCCGCCATCTCCGGCGCGGCAGGCGGTTCGTCGGCCTTCATCGTCGGCCGGGCCGTCGCGGGGGTGGGCAACGCAGGTCTGTTCCAGGGGGCCATCACCATTTTCGTCTACATCGTCCCCCTCCCCAAGAGGCCCCAGTACATGGGGTTCTTCGCGTCGGTCTTCGCCGTCGCGAGCGCCGTGGGACCCTTGCTGGGCGGCGCCTTCACCGACGGGCCCGGGTGGAGGTGGTGTTTCTACATCAACCTACCCTTTGGCGGGGTGGTGTTGGTCGCGTTGGCTTATTTTCTCCGGATCCCTGCGAAGATGATGGGACGAAACCCAACGACCACGTGGCGTCAAAAGGTCGCGAGACTAGATCCGATCGGCACGGCGTGTTTCTTGCCGTGTGTCGTCTGTCTACTTTTGGCCCTGCAGTGGGGTGGCGTGACCTACCGATGGTCAGACGCACGCATCGTCGTCTTGCTGACCTTGTCGGGAGTGCTGGCCGCGGTTTTTGTGCTCGTCCAGGCGTGGAAACAGGAAAATGCACTCGTGCCACCTCGGATCTTTCTTCAAAGGAGCATCTTCGCGGGAATCATCTTCTCGTTCAGCAACGGCGGGGCGATGCAGACCCTCCTCTACTTCCTGCCGATCTGGTTTCAGGCGATCAAGGGTGTATCGGCCATCAAGTCGGGCATCATGGTCTTACCCATCATGTTGTCCATGGTCGTCACCGGCATGGTGGCCGGGGTGGTGACCAAGAAAATCGGATACTACGCCCAGTGGTTGTACGTGTCGACCTTGTTTGCTTCGGTCGGGGCAGGGTTGATCACCACCTTCACCCCCTCCACGGGCCACCCCGAGTGGATCGGCTACCAGGTTCTTTTCGGCATGGGCATGGGCTTCGGCATGCAGCAGGCGTCCCTGGCGGCCCAGACGGTCCTGTCGAGGCGCGACGTGGCGACGGGGGCGGCCCTGATGATGTTCAGTCAGACACTCAGCGGGTCGATTTTTGTCAGCGTGAGCAACAACCTCTTCGACAACACCTTGACCCAAAAATTGGCCGGCGTCCCGGGCATCGAGGTCGGCACGATAGCCAAAGTCGGCGCCACCGAGTTGAGGGCCATGGTGCCAACCCAGTCCTTACCGCGGGTGTTTGTCGCGTACAACGCCGCGTTGCGCACCACCTTTTACACGGCCACGGCTTTGGCATGTGTCGGGATCGTCGGAGCGGTGCTCATGGAGTGGGTCAGTGTCAAGAAGGATGAGAAGAGGAGGAGTAGTGAGTCTGTGGCGGAGAAAGGTAAGAGTGGGAAAGACATTGAAGCTATAGACAGTCAAGTTTAGATGACTCGAGGTTGAAAAATGGGCGCCATGGTTTGTTCAGCATGCCTCGATGAGGTTTTCATACTATCGTATATTGGATCATTGTAATTGTAATTATCAAGAAAGTATTATATGTTGATATACCGCCAACTTGAGACCTCGACACACAAGTGACTGACATTAACTTTCAACACTATTGGTGGCAATGAAAGAACAAACCATGGAATAAGGTCCGTGCAGCCAAGTGCATGTACATGATGAGCCAGGAAAAGAAGCCGGGTCAGCATGCGTCCTCCCTTTCCTCAACCGCGAGAGACGAATAAGACTCCCCGCTTGACCCTGATCTCTTCGCATTCCTCCGTTTTCTACTGAGCCACCTCACATATCTCGCGTCCCGTCTTATCCCTGTATACCACTGGGACGGCTGTAGAGGTCCCACGTCGATTGCCGAGAACGAACAATGACCCTCCGGGCTGAGACCAGGCTTGTTGTCGTTTGTAGGGTTCGACGTCAGGCTCGAGGTATTCAGGTCAGACGCGGTCTCCGTAACCGAGACATCGCCGGCCGAGAGTCGTGTGTGATGACCACCAGATCCTACGGGCTTCCTCCGGATGGTGAACGTGGTGGGCTTGGGGGCCGGACGAATATCCAGGTCAGAGTCATTGCCGTTGGCGTTGTTGTTGAGCCCCCCTTGGGCTGGTCGGGGCTGGATGAATTCCTCTTCACTCACAATCACCTTGTCACTCGGGCTCATCATGGTCAATCCTCGCCCTGTGTCGTTTCCGGTCAAGCTGGCAGCTCCAGAATAGGCGGAACCTCGTACGACACCCCACATCAGAGGCTTCTTGCTGATGTTTTGTCCTTGCTCGCATGGCAAAGGGTGGCAAGCGACGGAGACCACGAGCGAGTTGGTCCCCGGGCCCGGCATTTGGAGCGGGACCATGGGTAACTTGTGTTCAAAAGAACCCATCTTCCGCTTGCTGGGTCGATAGCATCGGAAGCAGAAGAAAATGTTGAGGAGGTAATGCTGGACGTACGTGCTCAGATCTCGGACGTGCAGGAGTCGAACATGGACGACGAGGGAGCACATGACGTTGATGACGTGGATGGCAAGGAAGGGAAACAACACAATGAGTGCGATGATCGTGGCGTTGACTTTCCAATTCCGGTCTTCGTCGCTACCAAACCGCATGAGGAACGCCGGCGAAAGATAGTCGTCCGGATCTTGAGGTTGCAGCGGGTTGATCCACTGTGGAATGACAAGCTGAGAGACGATGAAGGCGTATAGCGTTTGGCATAGTGTCATGACCGCATACACGACAAAGTTCATATTGCCGAAAAAGTATGGATCGCGCTGTGCTGAATTGATATCAGGTGAAGTGACGCGCAGTCCCTGGAAGCCAGTTGCAAAGCCGGCGAACTCTTGTAATGAGTTTCTTTCGGTCAGGATACGGTTGTCCATGTATCCTCTGAATGTGGCGAAGAGCTGAGGAGCGTTGACTACAATCGTAGGCTAAAATCGGTCAGTTACAGGGCATGTCGAAAAAGGAAGTCTAACATACCCATATCATCCAGCGAAGGTCACTGTTGGACAATCGTCAGCCATGTCAATGCATCGTCATATATACTTGAAGACGAAGGAGTGGCTTACACATCATCGTTCGGATAGACGATCCAAACCTTTTGCAAGGCAATATACGTGAATATCGCTCCACAAACGCCGAGTGTCAAGAGGTACAGGCTGAACCACGTCAAGCGTTCGTGTGAATGCATGGTGCTGGAGTAATTGATGATGTCCCATTTTGGAACACTGGACAAACGGCAATCGTCCTTCTCAGGCCACACCATTCTCCATTGTTTCTCGAGGAAGTCGAACACTTTCCCGTACCGTTTTGGCTTTCTTGTCGATGACGTGTTGTCACTTTGGGGATAGGTCTGCAGTGGTCCAGTCACCTTCCATCCTTTTTTCTCATCCCACTCAATAGATGATCCCTTGGTAGTGGAGTCTTCGTTCTCGAGGAACTCTGCCATGGCATCTCCAACGGTGGTTATTGGACACGAATGGACGACAAAGTATGTCACAAGCAGTAGAATCAACTTGATTACCAGACAGATCATCACAACCACAAAGAAGAAGACATTGTAACCCAAACGACATTCTGAGCCTCGATTCCTCAGAAGACAGCCAAGTGCAACTGGGGTTTGTTGAGGCTGATAGTCTTCGATCAGAGGGTAGCTGGACGGGCAAAGCCGCCCAGTGGGGTGGAAACTACCACTCGCGCTTCCGGCTCCTGGCCCATTGAACTGCTCATGGCCCATCAAACCGAAGATGAGGGGAGTCGACAGAGGTTTCTCGTATTGAATCAGCTCGTCAGCAGTTTCACGTACCCAGGCTTCTGGGCAGACCACAGAGACGCCCGTTGTGTTGTAAGACAGATAGGTGAGACCCAGTACATAGTTTTCCTCGGGTGTGTAGTTTGCAACCACAATCAAGGATCCTGCATAGGGCCGGTACCGAGCTCCAAAGCGACCTATACAATCATCAAGATCTAGCTTCTGCCAGTCCGAAGATAATACCGTGACACTGTCCCAATCGAGTGATGATGTCGAATTGAAAGTCGTACTGACACCGACGCTTGCCCACAAGGATGATAAATCTCTCTCCAGTCCGTTCAAGCCACTCCACTGTGAAGAATCTGTGGCGTCCAGGCTAGAATTGCTTGTCCAGGCCAAGTAAGGTGACATCGAATATGCTGTCTTCCACCAGTCGTTATCGAAGGAAGACTTCAGGATATCGACCCCTTCCAGACTGACGTGACCGTCGTCGTCGCGCTTCAAGGCACTCGGTGTCGTATCCATGCTGTTAGACTCACCTTTGATATGATCTCTTCGTACTGTTCTTCGCGTGATCTGATCATCAATGCAGTAAGCTTCACAGGCCAGAAATTTGCAATCGTCGCCGTCTACGGTCACTCCAGAGTTCCACTCTTTCAAATCACTGGTCCTAAACTCAATATGTAACATTTGTGAGACATTACCCGCGAAATCAGCGCAACCCATCGCTGGCTTCATTTTAGGGACAACAGCGCGGAGCCAGCAAGTCGAGTAAGAGTTGTCCTTGATCCCTTGAGGTACCTCCACATATAGGGGAAGAGGTAACGAAGTCGGACATCTACTGTCTGATGGTATAGTCGATGTTGCACTCGGGGCGAAGGTAGTGGCAGTGGCCGTTTGTTGAAGAACTGTAGTTGCAGCCGACCCGCTACTACTAGTGGCCAGTTGATTCGCAATATCAGTGATAAACGGATCCGTGGTGACTCTGTGCTTGTCAAAAAAAGCCTGCGACAAAGTGACTTGGTAAGATTCCGATGCAGGGATGGACAGAATGATTATGCTGTTGTATCTGCGGCAGTGATTAGCTCGACAGGTCTTTTTTGTTCAGTCTGAAGTTGCTCACAGTAGGTGGAAGGGTAAACACATGAACATCAAAAGAACCCATAAGCTTCTTCTCTTCCAATCCATCCAGCGTGACCTGACATTATGGAACGACTGGACTCCAATTTCCATATATTCGTGTGCAGAGTGGCAGGCATCGAGTTGTTTTCGATTCGGTGCAGATAGGGCTTGGAGGGTATGACTGCTAAAAATTGAGATCAAAGCTGCGATAGCATTGACTATTGGCATGTTAAGTGATGATCTCAATGTATGAAGAGCAGCTTACCGACAAAGGACCATCCAAAACGTTGATGTTTGAGTTGATCACAGTCTGTGACTCTGCTAAAGACCTCAAAGCCATACTGGCCCCAAAAATCAGTGTTTTCGGGCTTTCTGGGTTCCGCCCAGGTGAAGAAAATCAAGTGCGTAATGAAGATGGTGGCAGTCATCACAATGTCCAAGAACATTCCATACTTGTGGTCTGGAACTATTCGACGGAACCAGCTCGGCGATTTGGCTAGCAGCTCTTCAGAAGCCTTTTCATTGCGAACGGGCAGACGCTCCTCCACGAGGGAGCCTGACATTGTGTCTGAGACTGGACGCTCCATCAGGCTGAAGACGAAGGTTGGGCGTGCGCCTCACCACAGTCTTGGGAATGCTGGCATATATGAATATCCACACCCGCGTGAATATTCACCTAATAAGGACGGGCTTTTCCTGTCCACTTGAGAGGAGAGGACGAATAGTCCAGAATGGTATCTCGAGTGAAAGTTCCCAGTCCAGCAGAAATGGGAGTGGGATCAACAGCAAGGGTAAATTAGGTCAAGGAAGGGTACTTCGAAGGGTCTGGCCAACGCAGCATAGCTTCACTAGACTAGCGAAAGTCATTGTCATGCGGCTCAATTCATGCGCTGTGAGCTCCTCAGAAACACACTATCTTGTTTAGTCAGTTCAACACGGCCAGCAACCTAGCTTGAATTCGAGCCTTGACGGGGTATCGCAGGGCTAGTCGCGAATGGTAACGGAAGTGACTCGGAAGTTCGAAGTAATTGTACATAAGCGAGGTGATTGTCAGACGTGCCACATCATTGGAGCGAACGATTGGGCGCCAGAACTGAAGGTAGGGATGCTGAGAGCTACTGTAATGCAGCGTAGTATCGAGGCTTGTCGCATGTACAGAGTATTGCCATTGATCTCGAAGTCATCAATAGCATGATCAATCACGGAACAGAGCATGGGCGAATGGTATGCATCCTCGATGCCGAGGATCTTAATGCTGTGACGCCCGACATGGCTCTGGAAGAACTTAACGAGCCTGAGGCGGGAATAGCGCTAGAAGGAATGACTGTTCTGATCAGGCTGAGCTAGCTCATTGTGTAGATGATGGGCCGGTAAGTAGGGTAGCAACAGCCTAACGGTGCGGTAAGGTGTCAGTGTGAAGGGTGTGTTAGCGGTCAGCCTCATCACAGTGATGAACAAGGATTCTCGTTGTAGGCCTTTGCCGGTGTAGACATCGCAGGTGTTTCTAATAGATGGAACGTGTACAATACATTCACTCATGATGATAGTACCAGGTAGTGAGCGAAGTGAAAGACTGCCAAGAGAATCCAGTCTTGATACGGAATAGTGCCGGTAGTCGTAAGTCATTGGTCCGCAGTTGCTGCTCCTGCGCTTGGGGAGGTCGATTGTAGTGGCCTGGCCTATTCGTATGTACATGCATGAGCTTCACCATGCACATGTCGCGACTGTCATAAGACAACCTTCCTCAATCACCCACAACACACTCATACGCTCCCTCCGTCTTCCCCGGCATTACTTTTTCTACCGGAACTGGTCGTAGAGCAGCCCATCCGTCGCAATGGCCGCGGCAGGCCCAACGGCCGTCGAGGACCAGGGCAGGCTTCTGGAGGAAGCCTTGGGTGTGGTGCGCCAACAGTCCCAGCAAATGCGCCGATGCCTTGAAACTCCCGGGAAGCTCATGGATGCCCTTAAGTGCGGGTATGTTTGCGATCTCCTATTGCTTTGCCATCATCATGCTGACTGGATATGTCATTGATCAGTTCAACCTTGGTTTCCGAACTCCGGACGCCGACCCTTGGACCTAAACAGTATTATGAACTATACATGGCAGTCTTCGATGCGCTCAGGTATCTTTCCGACTATCTACGCGACTCTCACCCGGTCAATCACCTCGCAGACCTTTACGAACTTGTTCAGTACGCAGGGAATATAATACCGAGATTATACCTAATGATAACTGTTGGTACGGTTTATATGGGAGTTGAGGATGCACCCGTCAAAGAGATCATGAAAGATATGATGGAGATGAGCCGTGGTGTACAACACCCCATCCGAGGACTATTCCTGCGGTACTACCTCATGGGTCAAGCGAGAGATTATTTACCGTCTGGCAAAGAGGAGGGGCCTCAGGGCAATCTCCAAGATTCGATCAACTTCATTCTGACCAACTTTGTGGAAATGAACAAGTTGTGGGTTCGTTGGCAACACCAGGGCCATTCTCGAGAAAGAGAGCAGAGGACGCAAGAACGGAGAGAACTTGAACTGCTCGTTGGAAGCAATCTCGTCCGGTTGAGCCAACTTGTCGACTTGGAAACGTATAAGGCAACCATAATCTCTCCATTGCTGGAACAGGTGGTGCAGTGCAGGGATGTACTGGCGCAAGAGTATCTACTTGAAGGTATGCACGCGGGATGTTGACCCGAGACACACAAACTGACCATCCTTAGTCATCACAAAGGTCTTCCCTGATGAATACCACCTTCATACTCTGGATCAGATGCTGTCTGCCATTGCTCGGCTGAACCCACATGTCGACATGAAGAAGATTGTTATCGGCCTTATGGATCGCCTTTCGACATATGCGCAGAGAGAATCCGAAGGCTCATCTGAAGAGGACAAGCGGAAGGCGGAGGAGGAAGCGGCCATCCGCATGTTGGAGAAGGTCGACCTGAATCAAGACGCGAAGCCGACGCCTGCTGCCGAGCCAGAGACTCCCAACTCGAATGGCACCGAGCCAAAATCACCGACTGAGTCGCATCCGGTCGAATCTGAACCAACAACTCCTGCTACTCCAGCTACCAACGGTGAAAAGACTGCCGCTGGTGTTGGGGAGGTGAGGTTATTCGAGATATTTTACGAACAGGTGGTAAGCCTGGTCAAGACGAGAAGCCTACCAATCCAGGATACGATGGCTCTTTTGACTTCTCTCGCCAACCTCGCCCTGTAAGTGATGCGCCATCTGCCCGTCCGTCCATTTTTGACTGACCATGCGAAGCAACATTTATCCAGACAGATTAGAGTATGTGGATCAAATTCTGGCATATGCTCGTGAGAAGACTGCTGAGTATGTCGATTCTGCCGATCTTCATTCCGCTGCTACACAAGCGAACATGCTCAACCTCCTGCTATCACCAATTCGTACATACTTCTCCCTCTTTACTGCGTTAACTCTACCCAACTACCTTCCTCTGTTCCAATCACAAACCTACGCCACCCGTCGTGCTGTTGCGGGTGAGGTGGCCAAGAACATCCTACGGAGCCGGATCAAGATTACGACGACGCAGCATCTTGAAGGCGTCCTGTCTCTACTGAAGGTGATTATCAAGGAAGGCATCCAGCAACCTGGAGGATATCCTGGTCTGAACCGGCAGAGAGGAGGTGAATCCGACGAGACGGTCGAAGAGCAGGGATGGCTTGCACGGATTGTCCATTTCATCGCCGGTGCCGACAACGATACTCAACTCAAGCTACTACAACAAACTAAGAAAGCCTACGATGCCGGCAACGAGAGAATCAAATACACCATGCCAGCGATCATTACAGCCTCGATGAAGCTCGCTCGGAAACTCAAATCACGAGAACACTTTGATGACAATTGGCAGAGCCAGTCTTCCACGTTGTATCGTTTCATGCATCAAACCCTGTCACAATTGTACACTCGGGTCAATCCAGGTGCCGCCGAACTGTGTCTCCGTCTGTTTGTTGCTTGTGGTCAAATAGCCGATCAATGCGGGTTTGAAGAGTTTGCGTATGAATTTTTTGCCCAAGCGTTTACTGTTTATGAGGATAGCATAAGCGACTCAAGAGCTCAGTTCCAGGCTGTGTGCATCATTGCTGGCGCATTACAAACAACTCGAGGCTTTGGAAAGGAGAACTATGATACGCTCATCACAAAAGCAGCCCTCCACGGAAGCAAACTATTGAAGAAACCGGATCAATGTAGGGCTGTTTATCTGGCCAGCCATCTCTGGTGGTGTGTTGAGATACCAGGCAAGGAGGAAGATCCCAAAGACGTAAGTGGAGATTTTGGGAGTTTATAGAGAGCGTGCTAACAGAAAACACAGTTCTATCGGGACGGCAAGCGTGTATTGGAATGTTTGCAGCGAGCACTTCGTGTTGCCGATGCCTGCATGGACACTGCGGTATCAGTGGAGTTGTTCGTTGAGATTTTGAATAGATATGTCTACTATTTCGATCAACAGAACGAAACGGTAAGGATGCTAGGTTGTTTTGTTTGACACTTTGTATACTGATGATAGACAGGTGACGACGAAATATCTGAACGGCTTGATTGAGCTCATCCACTCCAACTTGTCAACCACCAACGCAGAGGGTAATCCGCAGACTCTAGAAAACCCGAAACGCCACTTTTTCCGAACATTGGACTACATTAAATCGAGGGATTATGAGGGCGTGGTTACCGAGGCGCGACAGTGATTTGACGCCCTGGTTGAATTGTCCTCTCATGATCGACTTCTGTCGATGGCATATTAATGTCGTCATGGAGAGACACACTTTGACAGTGGTCGATGGACTTTTTTCATTCTTTTTCGAACGTAAAAGTTCTCGGTGCAGAGATGTTTGTATAGAAATTGAACAATTAAATTTTCTGCCAGAAAGACCTTCTTCCCTTTTCCAATTCCGAACTCAGAGTATGAACGAGTATGACTGTGAGTATCCATGAGGATAGTGAGAAGAGGTGGATTGAAATATTTCCTCATCAGCAGCGATCCGGTGTTGTTGATCCCTGGATCTAGATCAGATCCACCCCGGTCACAGTATACTCGTACAGTTTCAAGGGGAGTCATTATGTCACGACTTTTTGAGCTTAGACATGACTTGGTCGAGAGAAGCACAACTAGATATCCACTCGTCCAGCAAACGTAGGCAAAGGAGACGTAGTACCTAGGTAGATGGTATGATCATACGTTTGTTTCTCTGTCTGTTATAAATGAAACTATTCCTTTCTCACAGTCGACTCCCTTTGACCTACGTAAGAAAGAATTTTAGCCATTCAATATGGCAGCCTCGAGAGCAATTTTACAATGGACCCCTCGTCATGCTGCTAGTACTACGACTCGCATGGTCACGGGCAGAGTTGGAATGCGTCGTGTGATGCCTGTGATTACAACAAGGTCATTAAACACCGACACGGCGCCGGTTTTGTACTCTGCTCATGCAAAAGTGGTCGGTGCTAGGACCGGGTGAGTTTTTTTTTGGTTTTTTGTTCGTTCATTGACGGGACCTTTTGTTGTTTTTGGGGGGGGGGGGGTTTGAGACAAAAAAAGAAAAAGAAAGGCAAAAACTGACATGAGATTTCCTGTTGCCAGTCATGTCGAAGGTGATGATTTGAATCTCGGTACGTGTACAATATCTCACCCACGTCGACATATGATGTGATGTGGCGATGTGATGATATACGGCTGACTGGATTGAACGAATGACTGACACACTTGGGGGGGAATTTCTCCAGACCTCACAATGGCCAAAGCATTAGGAGGCCAAGGTGATGTAGGGAAGACCAACCCCGAAGAATTGTTCGCCGCAGGTTACGGTGCTTGTTTTCAATCAGCCGTAAGTTTTTTTTTGGACTTGTTCGAGTAAGAAGAGGAGGGAAAAAAAAGGCGTCTTCATCGGTGTCGGTTCTGGTGTCGGTAACGTCACGACCAAAAACAACTAACCTTCATCTTCACATCTTTCGCAGATGAACGCGTCGGCCATATCACTCAAGATCAAAATGCCCGAGAGGGAAGAAGATTCGGTGGTGGAGACGACGGTCCACCTGGTGGGTGACATGAAGAAACTCGACATGGGTATCCGGGTCGACATGAAGGTAAAGGTCAAGGGCCTGGAGAGGAACCAGTTGGAAAAGGTCGTGGCCAAAGCCAAGGAGGTGTGTCCTTATTCGAGGGCGACCAAGGGAAACGTCACCACCAACATCGAGGTCGTCCATGGATAGGTAGAACCGGCCGGGGTGTATCACATACGAGACCACCTGGGACGGGAACTCCGAGTATCAGGTACAGAATGGGATACTTTTGTTGATCTGAAAACCCTGTATCTTTCATTACCTACGTATCAACAAGTACTCAGAACGAGTATGGAGCATCGTGACCCCTTTTTCCTCCCTTTTCCTGCCTCACCCATCCTCACATATTAGATGCACATCTTTTCATATCAATATCCCTGCCCGACATAATCATGAACTCTGCACATACAATCCACTATTAACATCACCCATTCTCATTTGCATGCCCATGGGTAACAAGATGCTCGTAGCGTTTCCCATCCCTTGATTGCTGTTTGCCACGGCAGCCTGATACTTGAAAGCAAAGTTCAGAATCAGAGCGCAAGCAAGACCAATAGCCACCACGAAAGGCCCAATGGCATTATCAAAATCCTTACCACTTCTCTCCGTGATCAACTTGCTTCGCCACATGTAGACGCCCCATCCCCATATTGCCGCAAAGGCCGCAAATGCAGTGTAGACCACTGACAGAGTCCGAGCGATGTTGTTGTGTACACCTGCAGCATTGTACAGCCCCAGGGACAAGGTGGCCAGGAGGACCGCAATATGCTGCCATTTGATAAATGTTCGTTGATTGGCGAGCCATACCTTGGCCTCAACTTTCAATTCACCCTGATCCTTGATCCAGAACCCAGGTTCTTTGACTCCAGGTGGAAGCGGCGCATTGTCCCAAGGGCTTTTCTGGCGGCGACGGCGGGCGTATCGTGAATTCGAGAAAGCGGGCAGGTATGCCCGTAAGCCACCTTTGGAGGTTTCGGAAGTGGCTTGGATCCCGTCTTCATCGGAATCATGTTCCTCAACTGTAGTCTCGAGTTGAGTGGACTGTCTCAGCCTGGATTGAGATTGAACAGATTGTGAAAGTTGACCCGACATTCTCCGTTCGGGGAACTTGCCAGGCGACTTCCCAAGCGACCCGGTCTTTCCTCTAGGAGAGCTGGCGAGCTTTGAATTAGCCAACAAGCTTCCGACGGCCATTTCGTCTTCTGCTCGTCTTTGTTCGCGTTCTTGCTCTTCTTGGTAGGCTGTGACAGGATCCCTTCGAATTTCCGTCTCAAGATCACTCAACCAGAACGGGAAGCTGTTGACGTAATCTTCAAAGAGCTGCGCAACACCATGTACAAACTTGGAAAACCTCTTCTCTTCCTTGACAAGATGGGAATTCATGAGATCGTGTAGCCAGGCATTGTTCCTAGTAAATTTGGAGTCCTTGACCTTGATCTCAAGAACGGCGTGAGGGAACCGGGTGATTTCTCCTTTCTTGATGGCAGAGTATGGATATTCCATGCCGTTTTTGTCGATATCAGATCTGTGCCAATCCTCCGGGTCGCGGCATGGCCGATCCTCGTCCAGTGCGTCCTCGCGGATGAACGCCAGGTCGGTATCGAGAGAAACTCTGATGCGGTCGTCACCTGGAATCTGGAAGGCTGTACGGGTATAACTTGCTCGCAGGACTGGTTCAAGGTTCTTCTCCTTGATAAAAGATTGAATCTCCTCGACATCGGCTTTGAACTCTGCAACCTCCTGGTGATCAGGTCCAAGTCGTTCTTCCAACTTTTTGATCTGCTTTTCCATCTTGTATTCGCCCTTCAAGAACGGAGTGACGTATTTCTCTTTGATGGAAATTCTGGTGTCACTGCTTTCAGTGTCTTCTCCGACTGTCTTTTTCTCCAGGATAATCTCTGGCTTGTCGTTGAGAAGTCCCGTCCATCGAAGTCTCACAGAGTCACCGGCGCTCGTCGTCCCAACCTTGCTATTGTACAGGTCAAAGCTTTGGTTATCAAAGTAGATGGACGTGAGGGTGGGGTCCTTTTGTGCCGAGTCAACCACTTTGACAGACTGCGGGTTGTAGACAAGAACAGGCAGACGACGCAAAATATGCGTCTTGACCTCGAGGATGTTGTCGACATGCACCCAGTATTTGTGTGCCGTGTAGACATCTTTGGGTCGGATATCTGTGTCGGCTTCCTTGCCGGAGGCTTCCTCTCCCAGCATCTGGCGGGCCCAGGAGTACATGGCAGACAGACGGTAGAGCAACGGAGAGTAGTCTTCCGAATTGAACGGGGTCTGAGCGAGGCGGACCTGCAGTATAGGTCGGACGCGGTACTTGAGTCCTCTCTTCCTGTCGTGTTTCTTGGCTGCCTTCAGGAAGCCAGTGTAATTTATTCTGCTGAACTTTCTAAGTTCGTTCAGGTCCTTGGATATCCCGTCCAGCTCTCTCAGCATGTCCTTTGCCACGGCCTTCCACTCTTCCTCTGATATTCCGGCATCGTCTTTGTCCGGGCTAGGGACTTTGGCCTCGCAAGCGGCGGCTCGGTCGCGGATGGAATTGAAGGTGTTAACTTGGTGCTGGTTGACCTTTTCCAGCTGAACCACGGTCAGTTCGTGGACGAAGTTTTCCTCATCTTGCTCTGTCCAGCTTTGCCCGCTGCCGTCACCGGCCCGGCCTTGAGGGGAGGTTTCGTCCTCGCGCAGTAGTTTCTTAATCTTGTCATATTCGAGGTACTTATCCTTCCACGGCGGGTAAACGGAATCGGAGAGGGTTTTGCCGAAACGCATTGTCAACAAAGGATGGTGGTGAGAAGTGTTCACCAGGTGGTCAACGTTCGAAGATTACGGCTGCGTACCATATACTCGGGCAGAATGAGAAATCTTTGCAAAGTACAGATATAGGTATCGATATAAAACTACAGAAAAAAAGCTCCCAGCTCGATCGGAGCTCAACGTGGTGCAGTTTTCCCTTTCGTTCCTGGTGCATGTGGTGGTAGAGCAAATCCCCAACAGCCAATGGCAATGCAACCTGTACGACACGTGCACATGCTCTCCTCTTCAGCATCTCCGTGAACGTCATTGCCGGTGTTTATCCGTTCCCCGACGAGGCTACGAGGCTACGAGGCTGAATGTCTCGAAAAGAATAGTGCCATATCAGACCTCGGCACCTCAGACGTGTCTGCCTATGGGCTTACGGAAACACCCAACAAACATAACGATATAGTCCCACTATACTGAGCTGCTCCGCGAAGTTCAGACATGTCAGAAGATTCCAAAGCCATCACCAAGGCTCTCGAGAGCGTCTTGGTCCAGCTGCGCCAAAATCCGTACCCTCATGTGCCCAATCCCGAAGGATCACGGAAACGAGCCAGCGTCGCAGCCATAATCCGCGTGCGCCCGGCGTTCACCCCAGTCCCTCCGTCCCACGGCTCGGTCATTGCGGTCGACCAACCCCAAGCCTCCCCTCCGTCGTCCATAGAAGAATTCTTCTCACAGGACTGGGTGCAAGATGGCGACCCGGAACTCTTGTTCATCAAGCGCGCCGGTCGCGCCGGCGACAAGTGGTCGGGACACACGGCGCTCCCTGGGGGCAAGAGAGACCCCGAGGACGCGGACGACCTCGCGGCGGCGATACGAGAGACAAGGGAAGAGATCGGGCTGGACCTGGAAACGGCGCACTGCCTCCACGCGGGCAACCTCCCGGAGCGGTTGGTCTCGTCGTCCTGGAGCAAAGAGGTCCTGATGGTCCTGTGCCCCTACGTGTTCCTGTTGACGGGCAAGACGGTGCCCGCGGTCCAGCCCCAGCCGACCGAGGTCGCGTCGGTCCACTGGGTCTCCCTGCGCGCCTTGCTGTCGCCGACCCTGCGGACCAGAGAATCGGTCGACATCTCCAGCCGGATGGCCAGGCACGTCGGCCCCGTCGTGCACAAGTTGATCCGTTGGACCATGGGCAAGATGATGTTCAGCGCCGTCAGGCTCCTCCCGACGGAGTCCGTCTACGCCAGCTCCATACCGGGTTTCATCCCGACGGAGGGTGGTGACCACCTGTCCACCGTGTCCGGTTGGGCACAGGCGCCCTTCGGCGTCCCGTCGTCCTCGCAGTCCCTGGGTTACCAACAACCGATCCTCCTGTGGGGGTTGACCTTGGGCGTCCTCGCCGACTTTCTCGACATGCTCCCGCCCTACAACGCCGTCAAACTGTGGAAGTACCCTACCTTCACGGTCCCCGACCTGCGTCTCATCGTCTGGGCCCTCACGCGTTCGTTCAGGAAGAACTCGGCAGAGACCTTTTCATCCGGGTCGTGGCCCGGCCACAGAAGGCGACCGAGCCAGACGGCCATCGACGCCAACACGCAGGCACTGGCGGTGCCTACTTCCGAACCTGAACCTGTTGGTGGTGGTGGTGTCGTCACCGCAGAAGTACCGCTGGGTCTCAGAAAACCCCGGCCTTCGTTCGACAAGAACCGCGTCGGCATCGGAGGCTTAGGCGTGGGCAAGGATCCGCAACACGCCGTGGGTAAGCTGTTGCACGGTTATTACGAGCGTGTGAATGTTGCCATTGCCATTTTCCTGACCTATCGTGCCTTGACCACGGTCGGAATCGTGTATTGGGCCTACAAGTTTTGGAAGAGGCGGACAGGTGCAAATCTTTGATTTCTATGTGCGTGCGTTAGGGATACGCTGTTCTGAATATTGGGGGTTTAGACTGAAATGTGTTTGGGAAAAAATTGCCAGTTTGTGGAAGAGATGGACCAGCATCAAACCGTTGATCAGATTGTATGGGTACAATAAACAAGACATGTTTGGGGGTCTCAATCGAAAACAAGTACACACTTTGCCGAAGAGATGGAGCAGAGAACCAGTACAAGAACCATTTATCAGACGGTATAATATACATGATCGTCACCAAGAGGAAGTTATCGACTTGCTAGGAAAGAATTATTGGTTCAGAGGGCAAAGCGTTCACGTATCACGAAGAGTGTCATCTCCTTTGTCTCTCTTCATCTCTCATCTTTCTCGCCCGTGGCGAGCACTACCTCGTCATAAGGTTGTCACTAAACAATCTTACGAATCAGTCTCCATACCTCGTTAGACCCCTTAATGATCACAATACCGCCCTTATCAGGGTATCAACAAGATTCTCATTTCGACAAAAAGACAGACATGGCATTCCTGGGTACCTGACCTATGCTCCGAAGACTGGAGCGAAACATTCGTTGCGAGATAAATAGATTCCATACTCTGTGTGAGACCTCAAATATAAATCACTCGCATCTCTCCACATAGTACCTCAACACGCGCAGCACTTTCAGACACCACTTCATGCCCATATCCAAAACATAATCATCTTCCATTCGCGGACCAACAGTTGAAAGAATTCTTCCTCGTCAGGTAACAAACCCACTCACCATATCGCAGGATCATGAGAGCTAGTCAGCCCAACCCACCATGCTTTGCTCGACACGCGTCTTCCTCTGGAACCCCCTTGATCGCCTCTGTACTTGTGACTCGACAAAGTGGTCTGGGTCTGGCCAGAAGCGCCAGGCAAGCAGGGATGTCACAAGATACACTCTCGCACACGCACCCGATACCGTGAAATCATGACTCTGGCTGCCAAACTCTTGGCCCGCGCGAGGCTCGAGCTCGAACACGGTCTTTTTGGGCGCACTCTAGTTTCTCATCGGAACCGCAAATTTCAAGCAAAACAGAGATATCCTCCCAAGATGGGAGGACCATGTGGATCTTGTCTTGTGTGAAGAAAAAAGAGTTCTTGTTCCCACTGTCACTGAACCCCGTAAGCTCGGGTTCAATTCGTAATGGTCATGGACCCGAGAAACCCGCCAAAAAGGGGAAGAATGAAATACCAGAATATCACATGTCAGTATCTGGACTTTCCACGAATATGTACTCGTATATGTGTTCTGGGCGGCATTTCTCCGCGGAATGTTAGCAAGAACTGACCAAACTTAAAGCACATCCTCATGTCAAGACGCCACTCTCTCCAAGTACGAGTATGGAGAGTGGAGTTGTTTCACCGAATTCCAGATGGTCTTGTCTTGTTCGTGTCAAGACCAGCACGACATCAGGAAGGGCCCCCGATTGGGAACGAGCACGTAATCTCGGAAACTTCCAGTTTGGCTTGCCTCATCGAGGCAGTGGTAAACGAATAGATCTTAAACCACAAAACTGGATGCGACGAACCTGGGCTTGGGACGTCTCGGCGGGGCTTGTTTGCCTGCCATCGACAAACTGTGAAGAAGGTTTTCATCGAGGCGCGGTAGCTGGTGTACACTCCATCCTCGTCATCACAAAAGAACCCGGCATCAAAGTCAACATAACGGCTGGTGTAGGAGATTGATAGGGGGCACGCCGCAGATTGGATTCAAACTTCCACACCTGAAATACCTCGATGAACTCTCTCAAGACACGCACAGGACAAACTTTCAGGACCAAGCCATGTGACTCGAGCCATACCGAGTGCAAGGATGAAGCATTCGATGACGGGGCATAGCTAAGAGAGTTTCAGCCCACAAGCTGTGGCAATTCGTAGTCGTAGGACAGGGTGACGATGGGTCGTACTGTCATGGGTGGAAACCTTCTCCATCTATCATAAGCAAGATTGGGTTCGAAAGTCGGAAGGTCGATCGTGGGATGATGGATAGCTCTGGCGGTGCTCATCCTGTCTGCCAGCTTGACACACTTCACACTTCACACCCTTCGCGCAAAACCTTACCCAGAGATTCGGTATTTGCCAGATGGACCTCTTCTCTAATCCATTTGCGTTTCTAGACATGATTGGTGTACGAAGGCATCGTCGTGGACACTGCAGTCATTCCAACGCGGTAGGGTTGAATACGCGAGGGTGAATCGCGCTCAGGAACTACGTATGCAGTGAGTCCAAGTTGCCAAAGTTCATGATGACTGCCAATTTTGGTCTCCTTTCCCGTGTCGTACTTGGCGATAGAGACGTGATTGAGTAAACCAAAAGGTGGACCTTAAGTGCAAGGGTCTGGTGGCCGGGGTGTATTCAGGGTGATGTGGCACCTTGGTGTGATATAGTCTTACCAAGTAAAGCATGATGATTCTGGGTGTTGGAGGGTTGACGTCCTCCCCAGTCACCACAGTGAGCGATCTGAAGGCAATTCAAAAGTCGAAATCGGAGTAGGCAACGCATGTGCGTCGTTTACGAGTCTTGTTTTCTTTTCAGGCCCAGCCTTCGACTTCGACTGGCTTAGTACGCACAGTGTAAGCCCTAGAGGGCTGAAAAGTCAAACCTTGTGGCGGACCCCTGTGAAAAGGAGTCGCCTGACTGACAAAATGCGGCAAAACGACGGCACCGGGCCACAAGGACGCTGTTGCATTGCTAAGGGGGGCTTGTTCCCGTTACCACCCAAGAGCTCGAGATGCGTCCGCACCTTGCCAGAGAACTGGAAACGTCTTCAAGGTGCGCGCCCTTGTATTCCCCCATTCCATGTTAGTGTAACCATGGCTGGACAATGATGATGATGGGAAACGCAGATCATCATGGAAAGTATCATGCTCCGTTCCTGCAGAAGTCTTATGCAGCAGCAACCACCACGAGATGCAGTCGGTCTGCTTGGTGGCAGTTTGGCCGAGGTGGGTTTTGACAGGTGCGATCGAAAAAGTAAGGAAGAAGCGGAGTTGCCGGGGGTTGGAAGATCGCTCTGAGATCCCCATGTTCTTTGGCGGTCCTAGTGCTCGGAGTCTGACATTGAGTACCGGAATTGAACCACCTATCAACGAGATGGGAAACATCCTGCCTCTGTGGCCGGAGTAGGATAGTGCTGATGCTGCGGGAAGCATAATGTATCTAGGTGGACTGGGGGACGTTTGATTGGCAACCTCCAAAGACTTTCGTTCGATCAATGACGCGTACGTCTCTTTTCACCTAGACTACAGAGCATCACATTGCTACGAGTTGAAAAAAAAAGGGTTCAACCCAAAATGCAACCGAGACGCAGGTGTCCGAGTTCAGTCAGTCTCGTGAAGAGCAAAGGGCGTTGGTGAGAAAAGGTAGTACTCCGTAACACTTTGTCACATCGGCCTTGTGGATCTCGCAAGGGTCGTCGACGAGCTTGAACTGGGTGTAAAGCTACTTTACAGAGAGAGGTTGACGGGACAAGGATATCGTAAGCCTGTGACAGGACAGGGGAAGAGGTGCATGCTTGACTCGCACCTGATCAGTCCGCCCTGAGTGCTCATCAACCACCAAATGAGGTAGGTAGCAGGGGATGTTTTGGAGGCTCAGGAGCCTGTAGTCCATGTCCCGTCACTAATCAGAAATCATAGCTGGCTCTACTGCTTCAAACCGTGGCTGGAAGCTACCTAGGTAGGTAGGAGCTGAACACTCTTTCCGACGGATTGTCATCGTGAAACGGGCCAACGAGCAGAGGCAGATCCCGAGAGAAATTTTTACAGTAGACCCGGTCAAGGCATCGCGCTTTCTCCCCCCCATCCCCCTCCCCCCGTCTCGTTCTAGCTATACTCTCCGTGGTGTGCTTTCGTTAGCCGTAGTCAGTACTCCTTGGACATATGTAGAGTATTATCCTTCGGATACCACAAGTACAGTCTCAAGCGTATGCACGGAGTAGGAGAGGCCGCTCTTGCATTCCCCAACGAAAGCGTATGTGGGGGTTATGAAACGCCCATTGCACCGTAGCGGCGATCCTGAGAGGATATCAGGCCTCGGGGAATAGCCTCAAGAAGGTATCTTAAGGTTAAGGCCCGCGCCGTCCTCAAGCTCCCAAGAGAGACACGGAGTACGGAGTAGCCAGACACCCAAATTGCGTTGCCGGAGGGCCGCCGCCCACAGCTGAGACTCTCTCCGGCGAGCTGCAGGGGGGCGGAGGGGTGTTCCATAGTCCTACGAGTGTACTCGTAGGGCAGAACCGTGTTTAGGGTCCCACGAGTACGGAGTACGAGTATTCGGTTTGACTGTGCAATGAATGGACGCCGTCAATGACGAACGCGCATGAATAATCCGAGTTCATGCCAGGGGGATCCTGCAGGATGCCCGGCTTCTTCAAACGCTCCGAGGTCGTTCGGCTCTGGAAGGGAGAACCCTTGTCTTGGTGGAGTTTTGGCCTCCAGGATTGCGAAGCCCACGAAACCCCCCATGTCGCTCTAATCATTCTTGCTCATCACCCCTCCTTTGTACTGCCCAATCTGGCTTCGTGGCGTTGGGGGTGGAATGAAGCACCCGGCGCTCGACTCACGACTGAGACACTCATCAATCACGGTCTTCTCGGCTGCAACATTTTCCCGTGTAGAGTCATTGCACTGGGCAAAGATGTTGAAGAATGGCCTCATCAACCTGTTTTCGTAGATTGTGGATGCGGTATCTCGTCCTTGAATCTGTACAGTAGAATGATTGCACCGTCGAGAAACCAAGGCACGTGCAAAAGGGCCCATCCACAGTGAAGCATTGTCAACATTATCACGTCACCTCCACCTGGTATTGTAGGAGTTACTGGAGGATGCACGGGTACAGCGGCTCATCACGCTCCGCATCTGCCAGGAGCTAGCGCCTGTCACAACGTGGGTAGTGAGCCATGCAGCATTCCAGAAATGGGTGCGCCTTCGACACATTGATGAAGGGCGAGTTTGCTGGGAGAGCGAGAGGTGCACAGTGTCGACAGCATCTTGATTCGTCCAAACCATTCGCGCGCAGTCTGGCAATGCTCGCGGACTCCGGTCAAATCCATGCGAGACTATTCGACGAATGCAAAGAATGCCACACACACAGGTCAGGATATCCTGTCACACTGCGGGCAGGGTCCAATGTTTGACAGGCGCCGGCATTTCAAGAAAAACGTGGGCTTTGACCACAAAACACCCATGCCACGAGCAGCATGTGGGAACCTTGAATGGACTCGTGCAGTGCCTCTACTCTTGCCAAAATGCCCGGGCAATTTCTGCGGACTGTGCCCCTGTCCAAGGGCTTGTAAGGGTCTGTAGATAGACGCTTGATCAAGTATTCGTAAACTACTCGAGTAGGAGACACTTCTCCCCTGCATGGCTTTACATTCCATAATTTAAATGTGGCACGTTGCTGGGATATGGTGTGTGTTAGTTTCCACCTGTGCACCGAAATTGAAATAGCAGATAGTGTTCCAGGATCGAAATCCCTACCGTACCACTACCCAACAACCTTCGACTTGCATCCGTTCAAGTTAGCAATCCCGAAGACATCCAATGTGAGAGCTCTCTACAATTCACCGGCTAAGCCGTTCCTACTGTACCAGTCCTTTGCATGGTGAATATCCAAAACTGGGACAAGCGTGGCGTTGAGGGACGGCAGCACCACCCGCCCAGTTGTCACATTGGCTTCTGCCCGTTAGGAGTAGTTCCCCTCGGTTCGGCCGGCCTTGCCCTTTCACAGGAGAGGGAGACTCGTGATATCGTAGTCCTTTGGCATCAGAGTCGTGATCTCGAGCCCAATGCTTTTCACTCAGCTACTTCCAAAACAAGGCACTGATGACTCTTAGACATCTCTGGGTGGACGACGATCAGATGATCTGACCCCGAAGCCATCACCGGCATCTTGACGCGGTGTCTTACTACTCACTCACCAAGCTCGATCAAGAGCTGACTCGCATGCTTTTACGAGCTGTCTAGTCACAGGCAAGAAGTGGTGGCGGTGGTGTGTGTGTGTGTGTGAAGGGGCCATTGCTGAATTGCAGATGTCTACAATAGTCTTGGACACTCTCCCGCAACTAACTTGCATTTTGTATGATGACATGTGGCAAGCTTGTCCACGAGCGTCGTTTGCCTAGAGTTCGCTTGGGTCACAGAGAGTGGGCGCGGCTGGAGTTTGCGAGATGTGGAGACGCCTAGGCAGGTCACAGTTGTTGGCCTTTAACCGAAGTCGACAACTTTAGAGGCTTCGACTACGAGAGAGTTTCTCCTTTGCGTCAAGGAGTGTGTGTGGTGGTCGTCGTGCGGCGTCCGATCGGCGAAGCAACATGCTAACTCGCGCCTGGACCACCGTAGAGCTAGGGCCTAGCGGACATGGGATGAACTAGACAACAAGGCTAGCTTTCCTGTCCACCCTTTCTGACGTGATGAGACTGGAGGCCCAGCAGTGCAAGCGACATTGCACTGAATACAGGCGTTACTGAGTTCGCCGGGGGGTTGAAGGCCGCACACCCTCGTCAAGCTCACAATGTGTCACTATTCGCCCAGGGAAGCACTAAGCATGACGGATCCTTGAAAATAGAAAAGGTCATGTGAGGGAGCAAATCTGCATTGGCTGTGAAGCGACGTAGGACAGCAGCAACCCAATCGAGCAGTTCGTAGAGTACGAGGCTCGAAAAACATGCCAGAGCCAAGGATCGTCTGCGTCGGATGCGACGTGAAGGAGAATCTGGGGGAGACCTTTAATCTTGCAGAACATGAGGACCCTTGCCTTGTTTGGACCTCAGAGCTTGACTTTTTTCCGCGCCGTCCCTGCCGCCAGATGAAGCGGAACACGGTTGCCGTGTAGCTAGGGGCAAGACTAAGTGCCGGCCGGAGTATCATGAACATGGTTACTGTAGGCCTGTTGCGTGACACTACTGCCTACAGTAGCAAGGTAATTGGAGGAGGAGGGCCTCAAGTCTCGGCAAGGATACACTCCTCGGGACAGCTAAGTGTTGAGGTACTCGCTCGACAACGGAGAAGGACCACTGCGACAATTTCTACCGACCTCTTCAGGCGCAAAAGAGGGACAAGGCTAATGCATGGTCGTCCTCACCTGCTTGCGTGGTGGGTTTTGTCTCGTCTGTCTCAGGCCGAAAATGTCACCCTTCATGTGCGACAATCCTGTGATCACCACCACTAATTCGCTTGTCCCCTCTGCGCTGTTTGGGTTGGATGAGTTGGTGGCGTCTCTCCGTGTCCTCTTTGGGGACATGCTTTTACGTGAGCATGGCCACCCCGGTGGTTAGCAACTGTCCGGACCATTTAGGCTGCACCTGTTAGGCGAGAGCGGGTCCCATGGAGTCAATCGGATGGCCAGCAGTCCCAAGAGTAGTTTGCCTGGTGCATCTGCTGAACGGTGGTCCCCTTCGATCTGATACCTTTGTAGTAAGTACACTGTAAAGCAAGCCGCGCGGTCCCTCACGATATCGAGCACTAAAGTGCGTGCACGCTTCTCTGAGACACGATGGCTGAAGCGGATTGACGATAGATTGTCGACGGCTTCCCGGATAGATAACCCGTGGCATGGCCATGTGCCTTGGAAAAAATGCTACTTGAACAGTACAGTAAGTTTCCAGTAGTGTCAGATGCTGGACCAGTCGAGGCCTCTACCAGCAGCCTGTTGCAGGACAACATACCTGGGGAGCAGGGCAGCAAGTAACTTGGCCGACCAGCGCTGGCAAACACCTTACGTACCAGTACAGCTAGTGGCCCAGGCTTTCAGGCTTATGGCACGGATCGTGCGCATGCAATACTCCGTACTCGGTCCATCTCGAGCATCTCGATTGGGGAGATGGCGGGAATGTGCCACTAGAAGGGCTAGGTTGGCACGAAAACGCAGCCTGCCATCCCGTGGCTCCGAGCGGGAGGAGGCGTGCGTCTGGCCAGGGTCTGATTGATACGAGTTACCTTTCCGCGCTGTACAGATCCTCTCCGTACAGAAGAAGGGGGAAAGAAAATTCGTCCGAAATGCCGCTTGACTAGAGTCTGGCACTTGTATGCAAACTGCCGGTTAAAAATGGGCTGTAGTGCAGGGGCGTGGCACCGATAGTGGTTGTTTTATCCATTCAAGGTCGACTCCATACTGTTCGGGTACCAGATATCTGCAGCACTTGACGCACACACAAGGCTTTCTCGCCATTCGAAACACCCGGCAGATAGCGTCTCGCATACCCCGAGAGATTGTCATGCATGCTACTGGAGTACCCGAAGCTGAGGTGGACAGTGCATGGTTGTCACTAAACAGCTCTCACTTTGGAATGTAGGAGTACCTTGAGGAGGACTCGTGCCCGTGCAGCATTCACTACCTAGACACCTAATTCACGCACGAGTACTAGGGCTTTGTAACTATTCACGGTGTACGACAGTATCCGCAGTAATAAGAGAGATAGAGCGCCAGAGGGAGAAAAGCGTGCGACAGCGAGCTGTGTGCTCCACGTCTCTGAGGAATGGGGGCTTTGGCTGCATTGTGTCCTCCACTCAATGTGGAAATCCCAGCAACGCTCATCACCCCCCTGTCTTTGGCCAAATTTCCCTCTGCGTGCCAGCATCAGTAGGTGTCCTGTACGTTACCTGGGCCTGGCTAGCAACATTTTTACCCAGCATCGAGGCTTTTCCCTGAATCACCTCGTGTAACACCAATTGAAACCACCGCACTAGCACCTCATGGGTCTAGCAGAAGCCAGCATAACAGTATACGGAGCATCAGTGCCTCAGTAGTTCGTTACTGCGGCCCTTTTGCTCGAGTCGACTTCTGCCACCACTCGTTGCGTGGGTGATCCACCATCGGCTACAGTGTGACTTTGCTGGTGGGCTCTCACACCATCACCCTTGGTGGTGATTCATCTCAACACACACAAGGGAGGAACAGTCGCGTGTGGCTACAGCTTAAAAAGAACAGACAAGGGTCTTACTACCCGGCGAGCCCATGGTGAGCAGACTGACGCCCTGGTCCAAACTCTGCCTCAACCCGGCCGCTCTCTCCACATCATCCTCTCTTCCCGCCGCCACAACCCTAGTCTCGCATCCTTGCAAGCGATCGACCAGGGTCAGAGAAGAAATGGCATGCGTCTACTCCGTATTGCTCGTAGGTTGTCCGGAATCATGCGACTCCACGAGGCCGCCATCCCTCGTCGAATCCATGTCATCTCCCCTCTGAATGGATCCGTTCGCAGCGCCATTGACCTGCCTGCCTGCTTCCCTGGGGGACCTACCCGTGCCCTTATGCCCACTTTTTTTTCTTCGACAGAGAGAGAGAGAGAGAGGCTCCCACCAAGAGAAATCTACTCTAACTGCATTCTTATTCGATCAGTTATGTGCAGTTGCTCAGACAAAAAGACCACCCACATACGAGTAAGAGGGTCATCATCATCGGTGCAGGCAGTCGTCCGTTTCGTCTGCTGATACTTGTTTACTCCCTTGCCTACCATAGCAGGTCACCTCTCACATCACAACTTTTGCTCTTCGGTGCTCTTCACCAACCTGACTGCCGGTTGACTTGAAAGGACTAAACAGGCTCTTCTTCTTCTACTCGGTGCAATAATAATAAAATATTGCTGGTCCTTCTGGAAGTATTTGATCATTCGGCGCTTGGGTGGGCGGTCATCACAGACACATGCATATCTGAGGCATGTAATTTCGAAAAGCAGTATTCCCCGGCGTCTCGACTCTAACAGTACATTTTCTCGACACGACCATTCGACATCGACACCTCGACGTCTGCTGTACCACCGACAAGAGTGACACCCGTTGTTGAAATTGAAACCAAGCTCGGGAATTGTTCAACACAGTAACACACGCCGGGAATCGTTTTGTGGCAATGCCGCAAGTTTCTCCTTGTCCACATAGCAGCGACACAGTCCAGACCTACGACTACTGAAGCCGACATTTGGCGTCAAAGGAAGGGAGAGAAGGACGTCGGCATTTCCGACGAAATCGCTTGGTTCTCTTCCTTTCTTCAAGTCTGGTAGACTCGAACGGGCTGAGTGACTCGAAGTATTTTTACTTGTTCTCAAACATTGGGAGTTACAATCCTAATGCATGACAGGGAGCATAACGAGTCCATGGCAACGAGTATCGTGCTACCTTCTGACCTGCACATGAGGCGGTGGCACGAAACCCAACAACAACAACTCTCCCAACAACCCTGTCCCACCTCGTCGTCATTCTCGTCCAGCAGTCCCCCGTCCAATCTGACGTCGAGCGCACAACCGCCACCACCATCTATGGCCACGGGCGATGCACCGTCGCACAGGCCTCGTCTTCCGTCATTTGGGGACTTCCTCTCCGGGGCCTCGCACAACAATCTCGGGCCCTTCCAGCCTGCCCAGCCCTCGCCTTATCATGCTCCGAGCAGCTCGATCCGCGGAGACGGGCCCCCTCCCGCCAACGGCACGGGGGTCCAACACCACGTTGCTCAACACAATGCCTACGGCCCCATGTCGGAGAGGACTTCGATGCAGACGCCCGGCCTCCCTGGTCCTTACCACCAGCTTCCTCAGGTAAACAGACCCGATGCAAATCCAGCACAATACTGGGGCTATCCCCAGTCGTCCTCTCTCGCGCATGACAATCGTGGTGCACCCTTCCCGTCACCCGGCATCGGATCGCCTGGCCCCTCGATCGACCATGGCTACGGCCGAACGGTGATGAGAGAGGAGGTGCTACCCGGCAAAGGGCCGTGTTACATCTACGACGACGGCACGTTTTGTCAAAAGATGATCAACGGCGACACGGTCAATCCGAAATGGGGCACCACCAAGGCGGGCAAGCCTCGAAAACGGCTGGGCCAGGCCTGCAACACATGCAGGGAGAAGAAGATAAAGTGCGACCCCGGCGTGCCCAAGTGCGCCCAGTGCCAGAAGTTTGGCCGTGATTGCAGATTCGACACGACGTGAGTAAATAATAGTGCTGTATTCGTTGGTTCGTCCGCCCGAGGACATGTGCTAATTTTTACTTTTTCTCCGTCTACCGCAGACCACGCACGTCCTCTTCGAGACAAGCCGGGACCGGTTCGAATTCCTCGACATATTCACCTTCTCGTTCGTCGCCGCCTGAAGTGCAGCAAGACGCGCAATCGTTTCGGAGGGAATCGAACGCATCCACAGACTGGGCTGGCGTCGGCCTGAAGAATGTGCGCAGGTCCTCAATGGCACTCGAGAGCCTCTTATCCCCTGCCACCGAAGACGGAGTGGCCGCAGACGACGATTCCTCGGAGATCCTTCCCCCGGCAAAACGCGCCCGCATCTCGATGTCTCCTCGACCCGGCTCAGAACCCGAGAGCCTGAGCATGGGGACACTGATGAGCACAATCGTTTCCCCGACCACCGTGTCCAGATTTTCCAGCGCCACGGACCCGACTGAAATCGACCGTAGCCTGACCTTGCACTACGTGGCCAAGTACTTTGCCTACGTTGAAAGTGCCACGTACGGCACCCTCCCCACCAAGGACTTTACGCGATGGGTCAAGGAGTGCCCCAGCAAGTCCGGCGCGGACCGCATGTTGCTCTATGCCATGATGGCCATGGGGTCCGTATTTGTGCGGCGTCCCGAGGCCGAATCCCATCGCGTCATCTTCGCAAAGATCGCCGAGGAAGCATCGCGCAACAACGCCGACGAGCTCACGCTGCAGCTGCTGCAGACTCGGCTCATCCTGGCCCTGTTGGCCTTTTCCCAGGGCCAGTACAACAAGGCGTGGGACCTGTGCGGTTCGGCCCTGCGGACCGCTTTTGGCCTCAAGTACAACACAGAGGTCGGGGTGCGTGCCGTCGCGGAGACGGGCGCGACCGAGTTTGGACTCGACTACGACACGCTGGTGGAATGCAGGAGACGGACCTTCTGGTCCGCGTACGTCATGGATTGTTTCGACGGGTGTTGTTCAGCCACGATCGCTCACCTGTTCCGATCCCAATGCCACATACGGCTGCCGTGTGGGAGAACTGCGTACGAGGCCGGTAACATCCTAGCCACACCTTTCGAGCTCGGTGGTTGTGGTGGAAATAACGTTCAACATCAACAGCAGCAGCAGCAGCACGGCGCCGGCGATGTGTCTCGCGTGGGACTTTTGGGGTACCTGGTCGAGATCGCCACCATCTTCCACGACGTGGTGGACAAGACCAGCCGCCTCAGTCCCGACAACCCGGAGAGATACGCCGCAGAAATGGAACACTTTTACCACCACACCAAGGCCCGGCTGTGCGCGTGGGAGGATCAAGTGCGGACCATGTCTCAGGGAAGTCGCAACGGCGACGAGGTGGTGGACTCGGTCCACGGTCTGCACATCATGTACCACTACACGGCCATCACGCTGCACCGATACGTGCACCACGCGGCGCTCGAGCCCAAGGCTGTGACGGAGCGCATCACGGCGTGCCACGACCACGCCGAGGCCATGCTGAGGACGGTGCAGCGGCTCAGCAACCACGAGGAGCGCGACCCCTATTTCCGATTCGCCACGACCAGCCCGTTCAACGGCTTCGCCATCACCGCCGCCCTGGACGTCATCACGGCGGCAGGCACGCTTTCGGACCTGATGGACTCCCAGAGCAGGACCATGTCGCTCGTGTCCAGCGGGCTGGAGGCGCTGGAGAGCCTGGTCGGGTTCTGGCACAGTGCCCATCGACAGCGGGAAATGGTCAAGAAGCGGCTGGGGACGTTGATGTCGGCCATGAAAATGGCCTCGCACATGGCCGGGGCGTACTACTTTGGCGAGTCCATGGAGAGCCCCTTTAGGCCGGAACAGGATGTGGTGTACGGGGTCGGACGTGAGCGGTACTTCCAGGCTTGGGGATGGTCGGGTAGATTTAACGAGAGTGATTTCCATCGGCTGGATTGAATTCCTGGGGAGACAGCGCTCAACAGTGCGCACTTTGAGAGAGACAGAGAGAGACAGACCCCAAAATTTTCCTCGGTAAGCAGAAAAACGACGACACACACACTCTCCGGGAAGGATGACGAGAAAGAAAATTTTCATATGATGATGAATTAATTCAACGGCCGTGGGAGGATGATGACGAAGTGAGTTTCTGTTTGGTTTTTGTGTTATTGCATGAGGAGGCGAGGGCATGTTCAGTTGGAACTTGAGAACAAAGGAAAAACGGTACAGATGATACCCCCAGTTTTCTTTTTACCTCAGGTACCAGCACGCAACACAGTACAGCACAGCACGGCACGGCACGGAATCATGGCGGCCAAATGAATGTTTTCTTTAGCAAGGTCAGGCATGATTGATTTGATGGGAGGGGAAAGATGAGATGTAAGAGCGTTGTTAAAAAATGCATCTCGTATTCGTACAGGGCCTCGTTGAGGTTTTCTTTTTTGACCGTGGTCCAGGTATTTACTGAATACCAAGTACAGTATGTAGAAGGCTCCTCAGGAACGTAACCTCTATTAGGTAGATATCGATGGGTAAGGTAGCTTAGGGACTCTTTAGGTATGTAATTTAATTCTAGGGATGCAGTTGAACATGTCATTGACAATATTAATAGGTACTGGCACGGAAACTCAGCCTGGTGAAGCCTGATGGGGAACACCAAACACCCCCCCTTCCCCCTTCGGCCTCTTCCCCCACTGGTGGCCCCCGAAATGAGCCCACCCGAGGCCCATCATGCTTATCCCACACCCCTCCCTGTTGTTAAAGGGTCCGTGCTTGGGGCCTGCTGCGGGGGGTGCACGTTATTGCCTAGAGTTACGGAGTACCTGATGGAGTTCTGTAGACTTGTGGTGGGCACTACCAAACTACCTAACTACAAGTAGATACGTGGCACCTACTGTAGACAACCAAGTTCTTTAGGCACTTAGGCCCGGAGCAGGTAGGGAGTTTGTTACTGTAGGTGGCTATAGTTGGGTTTTTAGACATCCTTTGGAAAGCGAGGGTGGGTTGACTAAGGTAACTAGGTCATTTACATAACCCTGCTGTACTCCGTACAGTACCTGACTACCCTTACCCTGGTGTACGGAGTACTGCCCCTCGTACAGTAGTATTTTACAGTAGTACTTATTGAAGTTGGCGTGGGACACTGGGCATGGATTGGATGAATGGACGTGGGTTGAGATCATCTCAGATCGTCCGGCAGTTGTTCAAGGCAAATCGATCAATCAATCTCACCCAAACGCACCTTTGACGACAAAATCATGGGGAACTACGGAGTACTTACAGTACTGAACTCCAGGTACTCCCTACTTTTATCATCATACAAACATTGTACAGTAAATAGGCCCGGAACGACTCGAAAAGGACGGGACGGAACTACCCATTTATCCGTTGCTTCTTTGCTTCTTTTTTTTCCAGTCTCCTTTTTCTTCCTTTCGATATGTACACAACACAGTCAACCACCAAACAAACAACTCGACTTACCGGCCATCTCGTCATGCTCTTTGGTCCTGACCTTGTCATCGTCGCTACTGTTCTAGAAACATGTTGAATTTCGTATGACATTCGACTTCTTGTTGTGTGTTATTCAATAGTTGTCACACGGTTGCCATTTCAATCAACATCATTTACGTCGTACTGATGATGTCTCTTTGTGAGAGAGCGATGAACTTGCCTACCTACCTGGATATGAATCTCAAAGCCATCAAATGATTCTTCTCAAACACCTCCCCACAGGAGTGTCGATGCGTGTCATTGACGAGTGGCCTCTCAAGGTAGGCGTGCGGTACACTGGAAGAACAAGTTCCATTCAGCTATCATCTGTGAAATATCTATCTTCTTCTCCTGGAACGACCAAGATGATCAGGGTCTTGAGACTGTCACTTCGGCTCTCCCTTCCGTGCATACAAAACAACGCAGAGCCTCGTATGTCATACAACGCCTCCGTCATCTTGCAGCTTCCTCTGTACACAATTTCTCTCTTCTTCTGATCCATTTTTCAGATTGTCTTTTCCGTTTGAATGTCGTTCTTTCTAGAGTAGAAGATCCGGCACCTCGATTTCAATTCATGGTCAATATCACATCCGTCTTGACCACATCGACAACATGAATCCCCATCAATTCCAGATAGATGAACCCCTCCAATGTAAGCACCTGGCTCAGCCGTCCATTCCGCAATTTGTCGTCTCATGGTACGTTGCTGTCTTCGTTCGTTTGAGTTAACTCTACGACAATCACCATGACTGACACCACACCGCAGCTCATTAATGGGCTGGCTACTCATCTGTTACCTTCCACAATGGGCCCGTATAGTCTCCCGCAGGTCGGCAGAAGGCTTGTCAACCTATTACATCCTTCTATGGTCCCTCTCCGGGGTTTGTGCAGTGGGCAACATCATGATGCTACCGTCCAGTGCCGTTGAAATGGGTTGTTGCAGGACCAGTTCCCGCTTCGCTTGTATCAGTGGCCTTCTCGGCATGCTTCAAGTCATCTTCGGCATCGCCTGTTTTTGGGTTGTGTGAGAAAGATCCCACCACTTGCATCGGCATCTCTCTTGGCTGACAAGTCTTTTGAACAGCCTCTTCAAGTACGTTTATTACTCCGAGGAAGAAGCCGAAGCAGAGATCCAAGGACGCCGTGCATCCATCTCCGGTCCAGATCGAACGTTCCGCCGAGCAAAACGAGCGATCGCAGTCCTCCTCGCAGCATGCAGCTTCGCCATGACAATTCTCTTGATCTCGGCCATGATCCTGCATCGCTTTCCGTGGGTTGCACAGACGTGGGCTAATATCTTGGGTAATGCCGTGGCTTGCTTTGCATGTGTCCAGTGGGTACCACAGGTCCGAACAACATGGCATCTGGAGCATCTCGGAAGTCTCAGTCCGACGTCTCTTTGTCTGATGGCTCCGGTATGTTGTGACACACAACCCCTAGCAAAACTTTCCACCATTCATTGACACCTTTGACAGTACAAGTGGATCTTTGGAATCAACATAATGATTCGGGTCGGGCTCAAGGACTGGAGTGCCTGGATTGTATATGTCTTGGTGGGGACTATGCAAATCGTTCTCATCGTGATGGCTATTTGTTTCGCGGTCAGAGATCGCAAGTTGGCCAAAGAGGGTAAACAGCATTGTTCAGCGGCCCCCGAGTTTGAAGGTTGGAACACTGTGACCACCTGGACATCTCGTTCTCGTCAAACATCGATCCTGTCGCATACGGCATCTAATATCGCCCCCGACGAACGCAGTCCTCTTATTCGAAATCAACCAAGTCCTCACAAGAGCTCATCTAAGCAAGTCAGCCATCATTCACAACGACGTGAGTGTCGCGATGACGACTCGGTCAATAGCTTCAAAGCAGACATGGCGTAGAAGGGTTCATGACGTTCAGTATGAGTAAGCTGTTGTTACACAACTTGTCGGGTCAAGACTCCTCGGATATGAGAAGAAACGTGTCGGTCATGGTGCCATTCGGAAGTGGCTGACTATGAGATATGCAAGGAAAACCAAGTAACCAACCAGCAATCTGGTGGTGAGATATATTCGTACGCTACTATGTTTTTGATGTTTGTGTGCCAGTGCATACCGTGGACGCTTCAAGCAATTCTACGTCGATACAAGTACTGGTACTACCAATGATGTCAAAGTCATGATCCTCTTCAATCATGTCCCTCTCAACACTCGTCATGGCAATATGATCGTCGTCGTTGGGAATATTCATACGCCCTTTGACTATCTCCCCCGATGCCCCCGATGTCGCGTGCCCAATTGCCGCAACCGGATAAATATTGACCAATGATGTAACATCCCATCAACCGTGGATACTGAACATTTTGATCGTGTCACGGATACAATTACAAGTATTTGACTCGTTTTACTGTTATCTGCCTGTGGGAAGGTGTGTGTATCATAAATATCACCTGTAAGGCTCAATGTCTTGACCTTTCGGGCATATCACAGAACATCAAGTGCGTGTGTACACCGCAACCATGGCACCTTCAAACTCGATCGACCTCCGCCAGCAACCGCCTTCGTCCTCCCCCATACCGACAGGCATCATCGAAGCAGGAACGACGAGTCAGAATGCCGACAACGAGGAGGTCGTTGCAATTGAGGACCGGGACATCGATACACCTCCACCCCCACCGTCCACAAGATTGTCCAACGGGGGTAAAGCGAGGGTGATTGCTGGGAATGCTCTTCTTCAACTTCCAATATGGGGTGAGTTTTTCCCCTCTAATCACCCAGCGACAACCAGGTCTTGCATTTTGATCCATGTTTTTGTTCAATACGTGTCCTCGACCGTCTCGAGACCTCAGAGTGCATGGGGGGTCAACCTTGAGAGACACATTTTACCAGAGATGAGCCCGACTCTGACTCTGCCGTCTGGCGAGAATTAGGCTTCCCAATGACCTACGGTTTATTCCAAGACTTTTACACCTCCTCCTGGCCACTTTCCGGGTCACCCTCGGGCACGGGGGTGATAGGTACGACGTCCAACGGTATCATCTACCTCTGCATGCCATTTTTGTTCGCGGGACTCAGTCGAAGATGGGCGCACTTGCGACGCGCCGTGTCTTACCTCGGGGTCGCCCTCACGACGCTCAGTTTCATCCTGTCCTCGTTCAGCACGCGGTCGTGGCACCTCGTGGCCACGCAGGGGGTCCTGGCCGCCCTCGGGTCCGCGCTGTTGTACAGTCCCACGACCCTGTCCCTGGGCGAAAGTTTCACCATCGACAACCGAGCTCTCGCCTACGGGGTCATCTTTTCGTCCAAAAACGTCGTGGGCTCGACCTGTCCGTTCCTCCTGCGTGGATTGCTCGACTCGTACGGGTTCCGAAACACCATGCGGATCTGGACGGCCATCATCACCTGTACGAGCGTGGTCGCGATGTTCTTGTTGCCTCCCGACACCGCCGCGTCGGGGATTCATTCTCGTCAACACACCTCCCGTCTCCAGACCCGAGAAGACGAAGATGAAGAAGAAGAAGGTGAAGATTCTCACGGTACGAGTGGTGGTGGTCGTCGTCGTTCAGCGACACAAGCTCGTCATCATCGACCCCGCCGCACGGCGTGGCACTTTCTCACCTACCGGACGTTCCACATTTACGTCGTCGCCACGGTCCTCCAGTCTTCTGGTTACGGCATCCCCCAGACCTATGTCAACAGTTACGCCCACGAGGAAGCCCGACTCTCCACGACCTCGGCCACGTTGTTGCTCACCCTGTTCAACATTCCCGGTATCCTGTCGAGTTCCTTTTTCGGCTATCTGAGCGACAACCGGTTCTGCCCGCTGTCCGCGACCACCACGACGGCCCTGTCCAGCGTCACCTCGGCCCTGAGCGTCTGGTTGCTCTGGGGCCTGGCGGCTCGGCGTGGGTCGATGACCGCCCTGGCCCTCTTCAGCGTGGTGTTTGGCTTCTTCGCCAGCGGGTACAGCTCCACCTTCGGCGGCGTCTGCAAGCAGCTCGAGAGGGAGGCGGCCGCCCGGAACCAGGCCCTTGACTCCGGCGTCGTCTTTGGCATGCTCAACGGGGCCCGCGGCGTGGGCTACGTCGTTGGCGGTGTCGCCGGCGTCGGCCTCCTGAAGGCCGGGGAGAAACTCGTCGCCGCCGCCGGCGAAAGCAGCGGAGGAGGAGGAGGAGGACTGGGCGTCGCGGCCTACGGCACCGAGTACGGTCCCTTGATCGTCTTTACCGGCCTCACCATGGCCTTTGGGGGTTGGAGTGTCGCCTGGAAACTTTTCCACAGCGTCAACAAAAGGCTGTCGTCGTCGTCGTCATCGTCTTCGCCATGTATGAGAATATAAGACTTGAAAGAAAGGAACGGCTTCGCTGTCATTTGCAGATAAACAATCAAGGTTGCATACCCTGGGTGCAACGTATTAGAAGTACATGAATGACAATGCAGACATGTCGGCTTTATGACGAGGAGTATTTCCATGAGATTCTTCATCATCTTGAAATAGTATGAAATCAAAGCAACAACCCCAAACGCAAGGACTTGTACTCGTATATACATAGACACGTACACATCCACAGAGTACTCCACAACACGCACAAACACCATACACATCATCAAATCCAAAAAAACCTTTCATACCTCGTCACGGTGAGTCAGTTGTTGTCACTACGACATCAAACACATCGCCTTGACTCCTTCGACCACACTAGCCAACATTCTCAACCCGTACGCCGAACTCACCCGCTCCAAAACATTCACCTTCTTCCTGATTTCCCTTCGGTCCAAAACACCCACCCACTCCCCCCCACACGCACAGTGGTCGCTGAAGACGGCGTCGTCGCCTTGCAGCGTGCCACACTTTTTACACTTGAGATCCTGCACCTGCCAACCCAGCAAACTCGCCTGGACGCGAGCGATCAACGTCTCCTCGAGCGCGATCTTGCTAAACTCACTCTGGCAAGCGAGGCAGGTCCACGGTCTGTTGGCGCCGGCCTGCTCGTCAGGCAACACGTCCTCGTCGCGGCAAAGATCCAAGTCTCGCGTCATCGTACACGTGTCACAGACCAGATTGTCGAATCGCAGACTGGCACTGGGGTTCTCGAAGCGTGCTTCCTGTCCGAACTCGCGGACGTCAAAGAGCGTGAGGAGCTCCTTTCGCAACAACCGTGCTTCGAGCTGGAGTGGCTTGGACAACGATACAATCTGCATGAGTGACTTGACGAGCTCGAGCACGGGATCCCGAGGGTGTCGTGCGTCTGTAGATTCGAGTGTGCCGCCTGGCAAGTTGGGGAATGACCAGTCGCTTGCGAGTTCTGGGTGCAAGAGTTCTTCACGTTGTCGTCGGATCAGGGCATTGATTTGTTTCTTCAAAGGCTTGGAAAAGTCATCCTGTAGTACTGTCGTGACTTCGGTGCTCGTTGGATCCTCGGTCAGACTGATGAACGCGGAAGGTAGTTGGGTCGCTCGGGGAGTGGATGAATCGCCAGACTCGATCGTAGGTCGTTTCAAATTTTGCATCACTTCGATGAAGGTAATGACCCAATCCTCAAACACAGGTTGTAGCGAGAGCGGGAGAAACTGTGAGAGTTGCCAGTGGACGACGGTTTCAAGGTTCGACGTGTTCGTCTGCTCTGTGATTGCCGAAGTACCCTTGCCTCCATAGTTGTACGCGTCGTACCAGACAAGGACGTCCCAGTAATCCTTGACTCCGAGCCCAAGGAAATGGAATAGTGGCTTCTGCTTGATCGATTTCAGGATGTACTGAGAATAAGCGTACGCGTTCTCAACCTCCTGTTTCGACGTTTGCAAAAGGAGTCTCGTGGGACTCGCAAACACAACATGCGAGCCTACGCGGCGGAAGTCTGTGATGAGCTGCTGCATAGCCTTCTTCGACATCATTTGCACATAGTAGTGCAAATGACGGTCGTACAAACATGAAGCAGGGGCCTCGACCCAGCGTACCAGGTGTTGGACCATGACATCTGCAAGTCTATTGCCCTGGCACGCTTCGGCCCACCATGATTTGACCATGTCTCGAAGCACATCCAAAGCAGCTTGGGCGAACCCACCATTGGACCTTGAGATGCCACCACCAGAGAGTTCATCATCAGCGGCAGGATTGAAAGCAACCGAATCTGCCGACCCTTCAAGATCATTGATGATCGACGACGTCAACAGTGTATTGATTGCCAAATTCTGAACAGACACATCCACACAGACCGAAGTATAGGCCCCTGGATTATTAATCGAAGGCATTTCGACCACTTCGGTCAATGGCCCAATGATATCGTCACGCTCATGGCCAGCGTGATCCGGACGTGGCTGTTCTGACCACCATAAGACGACGTTGCTTCTCTTAAGCCGGCGCGCATAAGCCAAGTCGATCAAGAAACGTGGATCGTCCTTCTCCAGGTTGCACAAAGGCACGTCTCCATACCGTGCCAGCTCAGTCAAATGTGCCAACCATCCTGCAGCACTCAGGTAATGTGAAATAAGCTGCTTGAATGCATGAGCTTGCCAGCCAAGAGGAGGGAGGTCAACATCTGCATGCTCGCTGGGTAAAGATAATATGGGATAGTCTCGCACTATACGAATGTCATGCGACAACTGTTTGCTCGAAGTGGACTGCATCAAAATCACGGTTGGCTTCGACTCTTCCGACCGCCATTTCTTGAGAATCTCGCCCAGTTCTAGATGAGCTTTTCGTCTGGTGGTCACTTGCGACACTTTGAAATGTAGACTAGCCTGGTATTCGAGAACACTGTCCACCAAAGCCTCTTCTGCAGTCTTTTGCCGGTACTGCTCTGCATAAATCTTGTCAGCGTTCGGAAGTTGAGCATCACGTGTTCGGCTCAGAATGATAATGTGCGCTTCCGATCTGGATGATGAGAACAACGCAAAGACGGTTCTATCTCCTGACGTGATGTGATAGAAGTAGACATAGCCAAACGCACTGAGATCTTCCAGATAAGTCGAATGTGAATTGCTTCTCAGGAGTGATGAAAGATCAAAGCCTTGTTCCAGGCCTTTGCCGAGGACGCCTTTTTGGCTCTCGTCGAAAGAGCACATGTTGCCTAACTTGAGCATAGCACGCATGAAAAGAGGCAGTTGTCGTTCGTAGACACCTTCGACGCTCGGGTGGTTACACAGCAATGAGACAGATTCAGCTTCCCGCAAGTAGGTGTCTTCAGACATGCTCAACTGAAACAGGTGAATTGAAGGGTGGCCATTTGGCAAGGCATGATTGACTTTCTCCACCTCACACCCTGGAATCTCGACGTTAGGTAACTCCTCGCCCTTCAGATTAAGATACAAGGTTCGTTGGACCTTTATATCCAAGGGATGGATTTTCTTCCCAATCAAAACAAATGCCTTGACCTCTCCAGGCGATTCACCTTGTCGAAGTTGGAGTATTTGCCAGGTATTGATGTAGAGCATCTCTGCTTGATTCCGGAAAAAGCTGCCGATTGAATCCATTGCAGAGTTTGGTTTTTCACCAAACAGCTGACGCCTTCTGGCTCTTGCTTGCTTCTGGATCTTCCATTTCTGTTTTTGATGTTGTAGCCAGCCACTGTAGTCCTCATCCGCAGCAGGGGCATCCGCCGGTAGGGTTGCATATGGATCAATAACAGTCTGATTGGTAGTATCTGGGGATTTTCGCTTCGACTGTTTGGTGAGTTGTACTGGTGTCTTGAATTCTGCATCTAGTGCATCCTCAATATCACCTGTTGGTGGAAGACGATGGTCGAGAAGATTCACCGATCTCTCCCCAAGAGGTTTCTTTTCGAAGAGGTCACTCATCTTCTTCTGTTTGAATTTATCATCCTTGGCTGTGATACGCTTCTGCAGCCATTCAGGATGAGCAACCCGAGGCACAGGGTTTCTTATCTTTTGAAGAGCTGCTGGGATAGAGATGAGCTTTTGGATGACAGAACCTAAGCGCTCGAGATAGTAGTCCCAATCAATGACTGTTCGAGGATCCATATCTCCCGGGTCCTCTTTGAGCCATTTTCGCAAGAAAAATCTCTTTACGTTTTCATCTGCTGAGAAAATAGCGACAGGAATGGCTCTCTCAGTCACGGGGGTGTTTCTCGGCTTCGCTGAAATAATGTATTTACAGTTCAGCCCTTTATCCTTGATCATTTGTTCACCCAAGAACTCAGCCAGGCGTTTCGCAGTAGTGATTGAGGTAGACTTCTGAGCTCCATATTCCTCCAAGGTTTTGGTCATGCTCTTGTTTTCACAAATCAAGTCGATCAGCTCTTCGTCAGCAAGCGTCGATCCATGTTGGTGAAGCACGTCGAGCCATCGGTTTGCAACACGGGCAACAGCAGCGTATGTCTCTGCCAGCGTGGTGCCTTCCAGAAAGAACTTGAAGATTTGAGTCTGGAATATTTTGATGAGCTTCAATTCTCCTCTTCTCTTGACTTCAAACCCTTTTAGTTCAGCAAGACTGCCATCATGGTTGAACACGGCGTACCGCTTCTTCAAGTTCTTGTCTTCTTCTTTAGATGTGGGTAGGATCATGGCTTTATAAGGCCCGTCAACTTCGAAGAAGATCGAATTGTCGCTGTGGGTTTCGTATTTGAATATAGTCGGGTCTGTCAAGGTCTGGTATTGATGGTTTGTGTATGAAGCATGCACCAAATGGTTGAGCATCACACACGGGTACGACACGGCCATCTTCTTTCCATTCTTGAGAGTAAACACAACATTCTCTGGAAATGTAGCGGGAAGCATGCACCAGATACCATCAGTGTCCAATTCCAGCGGTCGACCAATACGTTCGACAAGTTCTCGAGCCATTTGGATAATGTGAGCACCCGTCAGGCAAGTGACGCCCGCCATCTCCAAAGAATACCATCTTGAACCCTTGCGCATCACGTAGCCATAGAAAGAGTTAAGAATGACCTTATGAGCCAGTTGCAGCGAGTCGAACAGCACGATCATCTTTTTGGCCTCCTCTATCTCCGTCGCAGAAGCCCCGGACGATTTCAAGGCTTCCGTTTTTCCTTTCCAGACTTTCTGCTTTCCTTTGAAATCGTACCGGCGGTCTCGGAAGTCTCGCACTGTGTCCACGTAGAACGGATTCTCACGTTGGCAAATGATAGCTTCACGTTCAATCGTTTTGGAATCGTGAATCTTGTGGTAGATCTTCTTTGAATATTCTTGGAGTCTGTTTCGTACTGCCGACGCTTGCTCGTCCAAACTCAACTCCTGGAATGTTCTTCTCATCGATTTCGCATGTTTGCCTGGAAATGTCTCGTTGACCATGGCTCTTCGAATCATGTTGTATTCATCACGTTTCGTAGGCAAAAACTCGCCTCGCCATGCCCATGGTAATCGTCTGTCACAGGTTTTACCAGGTCGGTTGAAATCACAAGCCGCACAATCAGACTCGGATATCATCGAATCGGGTTGCAATCTGTTTGTGGTCATGATATTAGGATACATGGAAGCCACGTCCAGGTGATATATTAGCGGACGTTCGTTTCTGTGGGGTGTGGTCTTTAAACTGTTCAACTTTTCAGAAATTTGTGCTCGTACTTCATCGTAATTCGTAATGTCGTCAAGGTTCTTCTTCTCTTCGACCGTTATGCAAAACTTTAAAGCTGCATCGAGGTCTCGTAAAAGTTCGTCAATAGCTGCAGGATCAATAGCAAAGTTGACGGGAATATCTGCACGAAATACGCCCGCCTCAATACTCTCGACGTGCCCACCAACATAGGTCTCTGACTCGAGCAGGTGGCCTTCCCAGAATGCTTCTCTCGGTTCTTTATGCTTGTTCGGGAGGACGATGTTTTTATGGTATGCTTGAACCATAAGCAACATCTCGCAAAGAGTACCAGTTCCTTTCCGAAGAGTGTCGTCTGGATTGAGCGGAAGAATTGTGCAAAGTGAGAAGATAAAAGGGTGTACATATTTCATGTATAGGTAATAGGTCGCGACTGCATCGGAAACTGAGTATTCGGCCAGGATTTGCGGGTGTTCATTGGCATAAGGTGTCATCAACTCTGGGTCGAGCTCATCCGGGTCATAACCAAGTTTTGCAACGGTGACAGCTTTCAAACCTCGACTTCCTTGAGGTAGATAACTATCTCGATTGACCCAAGCGAAGCAATCCAAGTGTGCACAGTAGTCACTCTGGTAGATGTCTTCACTGTTCTTTCGGAAGCCAATCTCCGCATACATATCGATACCTAAAACACTGGCTCTCGCTTCCACGAAGGGCCAATCGAAGAAGTCACCGTTGTATGTTGCAATGACATTCGGTCGTGCCTCTTTGATGTGTGAGAAAAATCTCTCAATGAGTGCTCGTTCATTCGGTTCGTTGAAGATCATGAAAGGCCCTTCGTACTCTTCTTTCGGGGTGTAATCAAAGTCTGAAATGTCTTCCGAGACGATTTCTCTGTTCGTGATGAGGAAACCTTGACCATCGATCATGTATGAAATCATCATAATCTGGTCAATGAGGGAATCTGGGAATTTGAGCGGTAATTTTGTCGTTTCAATATCAAATGCAAGCACAACTGGATCCGCACGCTGCAAACGATCTTCCAGGCACGTCAGTTTGACCGAGCCGTGTTTCGCATCCACCGTATACCACTTTCCGAGTCGGATATCCTCATCAATCGTCACTCGAACATGATAAGGAACGTCGTATTCACGAATATCGACAATAAAGTCACTGGCTTCGGCGATCCCGTTGGTATGGATGTCGTTCAGCTGCTCCTCGTCGTAAACATCGAATCCAGCTGTCGCGCTGGCGACTTCCGCATAAGTATCCATGGCGTTGACCTTTTCTTTATTCTTCTCGGCGATGGGCAGGACTGACTTTCGCACCGCCAGCAGGTCTGTGACATTGGCGAAGTTCAACCGCAGGAATGTACGCTTATAGCCTAGGAGGTGGTTGGGCATCTTCAGATCCTCCTTGGTGACCCGAGCTACCGACTTGACAAGGCCTTCAAACATTCTCTTGCACCATTCTTCGACTTCTGCCTCTCTTCCTCGTTTCACAGCCAGTAAGAAATACGGGTCGTACTCGACAGTGGCCTTAAAGTTCTCCTCATCTTCACCAATAAAATAGAAGTCGACGCCAGCTCTGCCTCCTGGTACTTTCGGATCTTCAATGACCGTACTATGCATGTTGTATAGCCATCCTACTCTTCTCTTGCCCGAGTCATATCTAGGGAAGCCCATTGACTCGTCGATGCTGTTTGCCAGCCGAATTGCCTGGAACTTCTCATCTTGGGACGTTGCTTCTGTGTCGCGCAAAGATGCAGAGTCTATTGTTTTTGTTCGTTGATTTCGAGAGGAGGCTTTGGAAAATCTGACATTGGAGCCGTATCTGCTGGGTTTCCTGACAGGCATTGTAGGGAGACTCGAGATCAAGTGAAACGTATAGCGGTTGTTCTATGACATGTGTTGCGAGAGAAAGCTTTTTCTCATGCTGTCTGTGCTGAAGTACTTCGCCTCGAAATGCATATGTATGGTGATCGCTAAATGCGCAGTTGTCCAACGTTGATACGGAGTATGTGGACGAGGAATTGGACGTTTTGGGGGTCGCGTTCGAAAGACGCGTCGATCGCGTAAAGCATCCGCGAAAAATCGGTTAAACATCGGCCATAAAATCTCTCCACTTAAAGATCTTGGGCAACGATTCAATGATCATGAGATTTCCAGGCGCAGTTGATGCTAGGTCAACACCATCACAACCACCATGGCCGACGATACACGAGAAGAACAAAATGTGACTCCAGATGACCCAGCGCAGCCCGCGCGCCGTCCAAAGCGACGACACGACATCCCTAAATCTCAAGCCCAGAAGATGTGGGATGCGCTCGGGAGCCCGTCAGATCCTGCAAATGAAATGCCCGGAGGTACATACAATTCAGCTGGCGGCAGACCGGCAGAGGTGTCTTGGAAGGATGCATTCAAATTCTCGTATCAAGGTAAAGGCCCAGCCTGGTATCAGACACCTTGTGCGAGAGATTCCTTGCTGGTCGGCATCGCTGCTGGGGGCGGAGTTGGAGGCTTGCGATTTATTTTAAAAGGTATTTGGCAGTAACATGAGGCTATTGCTGGATCTCAAGTCTGACACAATGATAGGACTTTCGTCTATGTTGGTGACCTCCAACTGGGCAGTCGGGGGGTTTGTGCTCACAGCTAGTGGCATGTACGCCTGGTGCGAACGTAGACGAAGGGAGGAGCAGCGAGGCATTGCTCAAGCTGTTATTGGAATGAAAATGTTACAAGAGAAGAAAGCCCGAGAAAGAGCTGCCGCAGAAGCAAAAGCGAAAGAAGAGGAGGAAGCTCTGAAAAAGCAGAGCCAGAGATGGTACAAGTTCTGGTGAGAAAAATTACTGTCTTGCTTATCATGCATCTGCAGGCGTTCTGGGATGATAATGTACACTATTTGCTGCTGGACGCAGTTAGCGCATCTGAACGTTGGAATATCTCGAATATTTTGAAGACTGTTTCATCGCGGGTGTCCTGGGAAAATCAACCATCCTCAAAATGGACGCGGACACTTTTGCGTGGAGAGTTATCAAGAGACGGCACATCCTCTCTATCGCTTATGAAGCGTTTTCTCCTCTCACTTCTCTGTTGCCTCGCTTCGCGTGCCTCTCGATTTTTATACTCCTCCAGTTGTTGTTTCCTCCGTCGCGATCTGGACCATGCGATAGCAGGCGTTGGGCGAAAACCAACCCCGTTGATGCCATAGAGATCATCATCGGGATCATCAGGGTCATGTCCAGTAATTTCAGAGTCGTGCCAGAACTGGTCTGATAGTTCTTTTGCTAGTGGCGGGGATCCTGACCTTGAAGTTGTAGCTAATGGTGCTGTTGATGTGCTTTGTGATTCTCCCTTCGCCGCTAGAGATGCTTTTGAAGGCGACTGCGGCGGCATTCTAGTCTTTGATGATAGATCCATTCGCATACCGTCGGTCAAGCTTGCAGTAAGGCCAGACAGTTGCGGTGCTTGACACGGTCGCGGGGATGATGATGTGCGATCATGCTGCAGTGTGAGCAGGTCATTGTCAATGTCCAAGTCGTCGAATTTCCTAGCGACTTTCGTCCGTGGACTTCCAGTCTCCTGCTCGTCGACATCGGGTGTCAACAGTTGTTGGGAAAGAGGACCTCTTGTTTCCCGATGGTGATCTTGCTCACGCTTTCTTTTCGGTGAAGCTGAAGCTGATGCCATATTCGTAGTAGAAGTGTGGGGTACGGCGGTAGACTGCGAGAACTGAATCACCTTCGATCTGTGATAGAGAGGGACTTAACCTATCAAGGTAGATGAAGGCGACGTAAGATCGACAACCATGTTCAACCTGGCCATTCGATTAAGAAATCGAAAGTTAATCACCGGAACCATACCAGCTCATCCTGCTCTCATCGGTGAAGCATGGTCTTGATTGGCGGTCCGTGCTGCGATAGAAAATCTATCAGAATTTGGTCTTAACAAGAACGGCGGGATGGAAAAGCCATGAGGAAAATATTGAGAACTGCGCCGACTTTAACTCACAAATTGGAAAGAAGCTACGATGGGTCGGGTGTGCACGTCGTGAGCAAGTAGCGATGCCCTTAGGTATTGTTTATGGACTTCTACTTGTACACCTTTGATTCATGTCTGGATTCTTGCCCATGTACAAAACACCATCCAGCGAAACCAACATAGCAACCATTTCCTACCAACGCCATGCGCATAATCTCATTTCGTCCGTTATTCTGACTTGGACTTCTTCTTCTTTTTCTTCTCTCCCACTTCACCATCCGTGTCCATAGACTTGCGCTTCTTTTTCTTCTCCTCGCCGTCAACCTCGCCGCCTTCAGACTTTCGCTTCTTGTCTTTCTTCTTCTCCTTGCTGTCCTTATCCTTCTTCTTCTTTTCCTGCTTTTGTACAGCAGTAGGCTCTGCGTCAAACATCTCGACATCAGCTTTGGATGGCTCATCTATGTCCATGTCTGCAAGGATTTTGTCCATTGCGGATTTCTGTACAAAATCATTAGCTTACGCATATCGGTAGAGGCGCACGTCACATACCATTGCAACTTCATTTTTCGTGGGCTGAGCTCCTGAAGCATAGAAGTCAAGTCGCTCTTCGACTTGCTTCTTGAGTGCCTGCCCATATACTGTTGACGGTGTCTCGGAGAAGTTGTCGATTCTAGAAGCAATGGAGCATTTGTTGGCCAAGAAGCGAGATATCCTGCCCTTGTTCTTCTGTCCGGCGCGGCCAATGTATGAGGAATGGTAGAGAAGACCATATTTCGGCGTGTTGCCTTTTGTCTTCAGGGCTCTGAAAAGAGCCTTCTCGGCACCCAAGATCTGCACGGTCGAGGCTGGGTACTTGGAGAGATTCGTCAAACTACCAGCATGTGAGATCAGCCGCGCACCGACAACCTCTCCAATCAGGGCTGCTAGGTTTGGCGCTACCACGCTCATCTTGGAAACCAAGTAGCTGTAGAGTGTCTTTCTGTACTTTGCAAGGCTGACAACACGCTCAGCAAAAAGTGTAACATTTTCCATGTCGGACACCGAGATTTCTTGACCCATACTTGTCTTTGCGGCGTCAATGATACTCTTTGCGACGTCCTCGTCGTCGTCAACCACTGCAGCGAGATCGTGCAAGCTTTCATCAGACAGGGTCCTCTTGTCCTTGACGAACAAAGCGACCTGTGCGTATTTGTTGTTTTCCGAAACGATCTTGACTAACTCGGGGAAATGCCACGAGTACCATTCTCGCACACGCATGGAAAATGTGTTGATCGCCTTGTCAAGCTGGTCTAGAATGGCGATGGCTTGAATGATGTGGTTGTCGTTCTTCTGAACGGAGAACTTGACCTTGGCTCTTGAGTACGCATGACCCAGACCAAGCTGTGCCGTTGCAGTGTCACCTTCCCGAAGTTGCTTGAGAAGTTTCTCAGAGTGCAGTCTAAGCCCTCTCAGCATGTCTTGAACTACCTCGCTTGTATCGCCAGTTTCACATTCAAGGCTGGGAAACGCGGTCTTGATACTGCTGGCCAGGATCTTGTCCGAAACACCCAGGGTGACTTTGTTCTTCTTTCCGGCTTTTGGGAGATTGAGCTCGAGGAAGGATTTCAGGTAGTCGGACGCAATGCCCTCGGAGATGTCATGGAGCTCTTCAAGCGCTTGTTTTCCATTCCTTAGAAGGTTAGTGATGGCTTGACACTTCCCACAGAAGGACCCGCATACTCAAACGGTAGAAAGCTGACCAGATCGACCATTTTTCCGAATCGCGCGAGATCTTGCACACTGTCTTGCACTTCCTTCAACCTATTGCCCACGGTATCTTGCTGGTGTGCGACCTTGAAGATGGAGTAGCCCATCGGGCCTTCGTGGAGGAGATAGTCGGCCATTTTTAATTGACGCTCAAACGGCCAGGCGTCGGTATGTAGACCGCTGACTCGACTAAGAATACAGTCCTTCGAATATTGATCGCTAAGATGTGTCCTAAAAGAATACTGTGGTGTGCTTTGGTGGACGCAAGCTACATTAACGCTGCCGCAGAAATTCTCATGCTGGAAGAAATTCCGGCCTTGAAATTTGGAGAAGAATTTCGCGGGCTCCTTGGCAGCCAAAGCAAAGTAGAAACTGCTCTGAGTTCACGTGCGACTCACCCCGAGCGTGCCGCTTTTATAACCACTCACCTGCCCCTCTAGGATTTACCTTCACACTCACCCTTCATCCTGAACCTGCTCCACCGCATGCAGCGCCAGCCAGGACCCAAATATGGCAGCGCGTGACCCTTTCCCTCTCTGACGCCTCTTCGACTTTCGACCACTTTCTCGTCCCCTCGCTTAGACAGACACTCCCTCCTAGCCAATAGAGTACAACACCCCCCTTCCCGACCTCTCAGGCCGCTAGCTTTCCTCCTCCTCCTCTAGCAGAATGTAATCCCTCTCCCACCATGAATCACGTACTCTAGTCACCTCCAGCACCGCCATGAGCTGTGTCAACAGGAACTCGCGGCGGACGAACTGGTCCTTGCTCGTGTTCAGGCCAATGGTTAGGACATCAGTTATGGGCCGGGTAGATGGGACAGGCGTCCCGTCGCAGCAGGTGTCCTGTGATCCCCCCCGCAGCCTAGGTGGAACGTCCTGGAGATCTCATTGTCCCAGGCTCGTTGTCCCAGGACAGATTCCACACTAGAACGGCAAATCGCGGGGTATTCCTAAACCAGACATGCACAAATCGATCCCTAGGATTAGATTTGCAAATATCACCTTAGTGAGGGAGTTGTTTGAGGCCACTTTTCTGACTAAGCTGCTGCCTGTCGGAGGTGCCCTAGATTGGCCGCTGGCTGAAAGTTGGAAAGCAAGTGGAAGATGAACGCTATTCTACCCTATGAAAGTGATAAAGAACGCCTGTTTCTGTAATGCACTGCTTTTTCCACTGTCACGAGTTTCTTCTCAAAACTAGTATATGACACGTTCATTGCCCACCCGGTCGTGACTCAAAAAGCGCCATGTAAATTGCCCTGGATCCTTGCTCATGATGAGAATCTATAACCGTCGTCATCAACTCGCCATTTGCAGAAAGTAGATACGGGACTCAGAAATTAGCTCGAAAACACATTGTTTTACACTGCTCCCAGATCCACTGACCTAAACGGCAGCGGTCGGGTGCAGGTCTAGGTTCACGATTGTTTGAGCACACAATTCATCACAGTCCCTCGAAGAGAACAGGGCGTTACCTGAAGTCCTCACTACAGCTTTTGCTTGGAGAGGAGAAAGGGTTGAGGAGAGGATGAACCCTTGCTTAAATAGCTGCAAGCTCCCTAGGCGCGGCTTGGCGCGGGTACCGCCAAGAGGCCTCCCCGTCTTCGTCTTCGCCCCCACTGGCAGAACGCTAGGCAACCATTTAGCAGTTGTGTATGGGAACACAACTCTCACCAGCCTACTCCGAATCATTGTTTGAATTGTTTTCCTTTTTCGATTTCGGACGACAATTACTATACGCGGTAGAGCTATACACCTTAATCTTCACGATCCGTCTCATGGACCTTCCCAGGTAGATCATCCTAGAAGACGGACACGAAAAGAAGAGTAGAGGAGAGAAGACGGAGCCAAGAGCACCGTATGTATCGTAGTTTATTTGTGTGAGAACTGTCCATTGCTATGTGCAAGGTCTTCAGACTTGTCACACTTACACAGGTATTCCAGTTGTCTGATAGCAGCTCCACCCTGTCACCAGCTCTTCTCCCTGTTGAGAATAGAGGGAATTGCTTTGTGTCCACACGTTGCCCACCCAAAATGATATCGGCATTAACCTTGAAGACACTCGTCTCATCGCTTGGGATCTGTCTGAGGGTTTATTCCTGGCGAGACGTTAAGTACATACCCTTGACTCTAGTTGCTAATTAGATGCAGGAATTGACGATGCATGGAGCCCACAACCTAGACTCGAATGTCAGCAAAGTTTCACAAAGGAAGGAGCTGCTGAACGGATACTCGGACGGGATGAGATTGGGGATTGACCAATAATGATGTGTTGAAGAGTCAACAGGAGGCTTTGGACAGATCTTGGCTTCACCAGCATGCTGGCTACTGACACTCCGCACCACGAGAAGGTGTCTGTCCTTTGCGGAGCAAAAAAGAGCCAAAAATTGGTGCCACTCTCCCAGTCGGGTTCACCGAGGTCCACGCGCGACGCGGGCTGGGCTGGTGTGTTTGTCCTCTCGGTATAAGCAATGTAGTGAAGATTTCAGGCCATAGGTAGCCACCTTGCGGTGACGAACCTCACCCTGTTCTTTTTTTCCTCATCGAGGCACACCGGTATGGAGAGAAGAAAAGAAGAAAGAAAGAGTAAGAGGGAACGAAACGCGGATAACTTCTCGGCACCTAAGTGAGAAGGAAGGCGCGAAACCAGTACACTCTACGCAATCTGAGAATTTAGGAGAAAGGCAGGTGCACCACCTACACCCAAGGTTGAGGTCAACCTTAGGGCTCCTGAACAAGCAATGCGAACTTGGAAAGGAATTAAGGAACTTCATAGCAGCAAAAGTTTCGTCTTATTAGCACACCACCACAGGCGCACAACTGGGCTTGGATAGCCTTCGTACTGCAATTCCATCATTGCAAGCATCATTACTCATGCTGTCGTGATAACGCTCTTCTGTGACCAACTTTGCACTACTGAGGCCAATTGAGCATCGTGATTTTACATCGTTCTTTTGCACAGTACTTCAGAACAGCCAAGAAGTCGAATAGCCAGACCACGTCGCCAATCTGAAGATGTGTACAGTACTGGATCAGTTGTCTCATTTCTTCCTGCAGCAACACCAATCCACTTGCCTCCACCCCTTTTCCCTCTTGGCTGCCCAGGCGGTGCATTCGCAGCGAATGACTCTTGACCACGTGCTTCTGAATCAGAAGGCATTCAACTTTTTGGGTCTGTCCAGGTGTTGATGGCATCGCCAAGGCCGCGGACGGCCCGCAATGCTGAGGTGAGGCTACGGAGAGCGGGACAGGCTTCATGTCCCTACGAGGAACTTACTGGAGGGCAGGCGACGTCCTGATAACTTTAGGCGGGTAGACGATAGACAGTGCTATACAGGGAACTCAGTCAAGCCGTTATCCCGCGTGTCGTATTCAGCAACCAGATTACGATAGCATTCAAGCCATGTTGTTGTTGTTGTCACTGGGCCAAAGGGAAAGAGGTATAGAGTATAAGTGAGTGCAGCACGAGGCTGTAGTAACGGCAGACATCTTCACAGCCTCGAGCGATTCAGCTGCCAGGCGCTTAGGTAGGTATCATTGCTTCGAGCCTTGTGTAATATGGCGGAAGGCTGACTCAACGGTGCGGGTGGAGAAATCCTACTACAAAAAATAGCAGTCAAAAAATATCCAATACATTTCTTACGGCAAAGCATCTCTTATTCTCTGCTACGGCTGACTCGGGAAAGGGAGCTGATAGATGCTTGTATCACGTGAGTCACAGAGTTCGCACCCGATTCGGGTGAGACGGGGGTGAGCACAGGGCGGCATCACCTCTTCCGAATTAGGGGTGAGTTTAGAGCAGTTTTTACTCTGCTTGGCAAAAGCTCAAAGAACCGTCCAACTGCGCACGCAGACGGCGCCGCTTTAACAGTCTCTAGAAGCGTCTCATCCTACGATCGATTTATTATTGCGCTCTTCACTCATCGTTGCAGTAACTATCTTGATTTCTATGGAATACTGGAGTCCCTTATCAGTACGCCATGTTTTGTTCTCAGGTGAGTTCCATTATTGATTAGCGATAACAACAATGAGGACTTCATTTGGTACCCCTAATGCAGACCTCTCTCACACACGACCACCTTCTGGTCAAAAGACTTGCAACGACTTGCCCAATACGTTCCCGGAGATAGATGCACTCCGGGACCCCAAGCTGGGTGTTGAGAACTCGTCATCGGCAGTGGACATAATCTAGACGAGTACGTCCTTCGGCGACCAGACACCGGACTTTGGTCGAGATGTCGATCAACCACCCTATGCATTTCCGCCTTTTTATCATCTAGATGCTCTATCTCCGGGATCTACCGATCCCTACATGCACTCAGAAAGGCAACTTCTCGATGATTTTGTCGCGGGCCCTGAATGGGAGTCTTTCTTCTTGCGCAGGCCAGAGATGGGACAACAATCGGACAGTCTCTCGGGAGGTGCCCAGGCGCCCGCAAATGTCCACTCACAGCACCTGGTCTAATTTGCAGGATCAATGTTCGAGTATTATGATGCATTTGCACTCAGATCCAGCGTCAGAGTCCTTGTCTTTAAGATCAGGTACTCACCAATGGCCACATCCTCCCCCCATTTTTCCTCGTAGCCAGCTTCCATGATTCCGCCTCATGGTGATCTTGCACAAGAGCTCTTGCCGGATACTTGGCCAACAACACGTCAGTGGAGGGTCGTGGAGATAGACCATGCCCCGAGGGTTTTCAGGAGTCGCCACACCCTGTCCGCATCCTTGGGGGAACAGGTATGAGGCAATGCCAAATGTTTGTGCCATTAGCTAGTCTGACGGCCTCTTCCTCTGTATCAAAGACATGCAAAGCTAGGAAAGGAGACGATTTTGGACTTGTGACCACGATATCCTCGGGAAAGGAGAGTCTTGTCGAATGTATCATATACTGAACCCGAATGCCATGCCCGCCTTGTCATAGTTACCTCCTCCACTGGTGATGGTGCAGAGCGTCCCGGCCGGGTGCTATCACGGCCACCGTCATGCAGCCTAGAGTTCTTACCTGTGGTAAGTGGGAAACGTCGTCATGAACACCACCAGGATCCGGACCAACGCACCCTGGCCTTACGAGTCTACGACTATTGTCTAGAGATAAGGAATGCGCACCGCCATTTGATAACATGACTTTCTTGCCGGTGCCAACGGCCCAAGCATGGAACCCGGGATACAGTGTAACTCAACCACACGGGCCACATCCAGCCGGAGGCTGACGTGAAAGGTGTGCAGCTCTTGTTCACGGTCAACAGCTGTCGAAGACGATCCTTAAGATGGAGTCGGTGCCAACTTTGTTAGGCGAATGCTGTTAACATGGGTGATCCGGATGGCGGGACCGGATCAGATTTGCCGGTCTCGGTAACGCCATTCATTCGCTCTCGTCTTTGCATGCAGAAGGACCAGTTATCGTGCTTGGCATAACATACCCACCCCTATCGCTTGCTGGATGCAAGGTAAACAGCCTACCTCGCAAGTCTTTGGCCTACTTACGATCCAGGTAGCGGACAGTATTCAGTTTCGCTCCCAAACATGGCGCCCAGCCAGTTTCCCGTCAAGGATCCAGCACCCTCCGTGTGGACGGCCTCGCCTCATCCTCTGGACGACTACCAGTCCACAATTGAATTACCAGGACAGTGTGACGTGTTGATTGTCGGTTCAGGTTTCGCTGGTGTTTCTACAGCATACCACATCTTGAAGGATGACCCGGATCCCTGGTCGATAGTGCTTCTTGAAGCACGAGCTCACTGTTCAGGTGCGACAGGCAGGAATGGAGGTCACATCAAACCGGACACGTACTATAGCGCTCCAAAGTACGAAAGGCTCTATGGCACGAGGCAGGCAGCGGAGCTACAACTCTTCGAGAGCTCGCAAGTTTGGGCCGTGAAAGAGTTGGTGGATCGAGAAGGCTTGGAGTGCGACTTTCACTTGACTCGGGCACTTGATGTCTACCTCGATCCAGATCACGCCGCTCAGACGTACGAGGCGTACCAGAGAATGCTCAACGATGGTTACTTCGACTTGAGGGATGTCTCTTACACGGGTAAGTCAGACGCTGAGCGGGTAAGTTCCTGAGCCCCTGCCGAATGGGAGACCATATACGTTCAGAACGTTAGCTAACGTCCGGTGGCGAATGTCGTAGATATCGGGTGTCAAAGGAGCACAATGTTGCTTCAGCTTCACGGCAGCACACCTGACTCCAAAGCTACTGGTGTTGGGCCTACTAGAGCGTCTTATTAACCAAGGCCTCCAAGCCTACGCCCACACCCCGGTGGTGAAAGTCTCCCCAAGTAGGGACAGCGCCGATTTTTGGACTGTTTCAACCACTCGAGGAGACATCAAAGCACGGAAGGTCATATTTGCCACGAATGGCTACACTGCCTCATTGCTGCCTCAGTACCATCGAAAAATAGTTCCCGTCCGGGGAGTATGTAGCCACATCACGACACCAAACGGCAACTATTCGCCCCATCTCCCTAACACTTATAGTCTGCGTTTCGGTGGTGCCAACTACGATTACTTGATCCCGCGGGCAGACGGCAGTATCGTGGTGGGCGGTGCCCGGCAGACCTTTTTACACCATCAAGATCGATGGTTCAATTCCGTTAGCGACAATGAACGTATGGTACCGGACTCGGAAAGGTACTTTGACGGCTACATGCAGCGACACTTTAGGGGCTGGGAGGCCAGCGGAGCGTCTACCGAGAGAGTTTGGACCGGCGGTAAGTCATCATTGCTGAGTAACCGGGCAGGTGACACGAAGGCTGATCAATGACCGAGATAGTGATGGGCTACACATCTGATTTTATGCCCCATGTTGGTGAAGTTCCGACCAAGCCTGGGCAATACATCATTGCAGGGTTCTCAGGTCGAGGTATGCCTTACATCTTTTTGGCAAGTGAAGGCCTGGCCCGGATGGTCAGGCATGAGACCCGATACGAAGAGACGAAATTGCCCTCTGTCTTGAAGTCTACGAGAGAGCGACTAAGCAGCTCAGAGAGCCCTCTCGAAAAGGAGTTTGGGACCGTCTGGAAGGACCGCGCGCAGACGATCCCTCCCCGGCTTTAGGATGGAATGGCTATCTTAGATGACCTTGTCCAAGGTTCTAGCTCTTCGAGTTAATGCTTACACGATGAAGAAAGAGCACAGGCGAGTGCCAATATTATTCTGATGCTTGCAGGAACGTGTAGTCGCTACGGCGTCAGCCTGACCTCTATGCAAACGGACCCAACTAGGCCCCGACGATGCCTTGCGCCATCTTGGGGAGTGTGTCTGCGATGACTCGCATGTCCACACCAGCCATCTCGAGGCACGGCTCCTTTTCGTAGATAGTGCAATAGGCCCCCTGAAACCCTGCCTTGACGGCCGCCGACACATCCCACATGTGTGCGGCCGCGAACCACTTCTCATCATCTACACCCAACTTGTCGAGCACGGATCGATATGAGGCTGGGCGAGGCTTCACCACCCCGGTGCTATCACAGCTGATGAAGTTCTCCAGGGGCATGTGGACCCCGGCGCGTTCGAAGTAGCCCCGAACGCGTTGAATGTCGCCCGTCGTGAAGCACCACACCGTGAATCCGGCGTCACGTAATATCTGGAAGGACTCGAAGCAACCAGGCCGCAGTTGAAGACTCGAGTAGCCCTGCACACAGCGTTCGCACTCTTCCTCGGTAGCAAAGGAGCGAGGGTCCGTGATGCCCGCAAACCATAGCGACCGATAGAACATCGACCGGAGCACGGATTGATATGGCTTGTGGCGCTCCGATATCGACAAGAATGTGAACTCGAGCTCCGCGAGCGTCTGCCACGTGAATCCAAAGTGCTTGGGAGTGATGCAGTGCTGCCGTAGTCGGGCCCCGAGAACCTGGTCAATGCAGTCGTAGTAGGCATCAAACGAGACGCAGGTACCCACGATGTCGAACACGACGTGCTTCTTCTTGGTCGACATGTTTTACAGGTGGTCTGTCAGCGGGCCAGTCGGAGTAATCGCAATGTGGCTGGTACAAATAACAGTTGGGATATGTTGCGCTGTGTCGACTCTCTGGGCGAACAAAAGCCAACGAGAAACCCTGACAACACTCGATATATATATTTAAATGGTCCAATGTGTAGAATTTGAACGATAGGGTTTGACCTCGTGAAGCACATGGGCTTATCAGAAGATCCAAAGGAACCTTCTCAAGGGGAATGTCATCTCGTGAGCAAAGTCGTGAACATCCGCACCCAAGTCCCTACCAAACCAGCCTTGACAAGCTTCACGAGGCCTTGACGGTAAGTGGGACCGGCAACTGACATTGTGCCGGTCTGACCAGACCAAGGTCCCCACCACTTCGGCCATGGTGCATCGTTGCTGAGCTGGAGATTGTTTTTAACAGCAACCGATAGATAGCATCGAGCACTGGAATAAACTGGCCTCACGTGAGCCACAGTGCCCTCAACATGCTCATCATTGCTTGAGGGCAACGGAAAGCTTGAAACCCCGTCGAAAAGGAATGTTATCTCACCTCGATAAAGGTGCATTCTGGCCGCGCCCAATTCGCTTGAATTTCTTGTGGCAACACCATCGTCCGGTGTGAGTTCAGCGTCGTCTTTATCTTTCATCGCCGCATAAAATCGAGGGTCTTAGCGAGGTCAGTAGTCTTTTCCCGCCATGGTCCCAAGTGCAATTCAGGATGATGTCGGCGCCCATGACGACTCGACGGGTCATTGCATTCTCCCCGTCAAAAACCCATTGACGTCGTTTTGGTTGAAAGAACCCCATGAACTGGGCGACTACAGATCGACTCCAGACCTCCCCGAAAGGAGCGACGTGGTCATCATTGGAGGGGGCTACGCTGGGGTGGCCACGGCTTACCACTTGTTGAAGCAGAGCCCGGGGGAGAATTTCTCCATTACTCTTCTCGAGGCTCGAGGGGTTTGTACGGGTGCCACGGGACGCAATGGGGGCCATCTCCGACCAGACATGTACGGTCATATAGGAAAGCACATGGCCCGCGCCGGGAGGGAAGCCGGGGCAGAAGTGGCTCGATTCGAGGTTGACAATATGTGGGCGATCAAAAAGGCCATCGAAGATGAAGAAATCGAATGCGACTTTACTCTGACGAGGAGTGTCGACGTCTGGTGTAATGAGGAGGGAGCAAAAAAGGCCAAAGCTGCGTACGACTTTTTGGTTAGCCAGGACCTCGAATACATGAAGGATGTCTTCTTCATCACTGATCCCAGCCAAGCCGAAGGGGTAGGTTCCATGGACTAGGATGACGCGCGCTTTCTTGTCTCTTATCAATCATTGCTAATGGGCTGTTATAGTATTCAGGTATCAAAGGGGCCAAGGCTGCTGCCTCCTTCACAGCCGGAACGGTCTGGCCGTACAAATTCATCCTCAGTCTCCTGCAGAAGATCTTACAGACAGGTCGCTTGAATCTACAGACCAACACCCCGGTAACCTCAATCCGGCCTGACGAGGATTGCCTTGATCTTGTCGTGATCGAGACGGAGCGCGGAGCGATTGTGACCCCAAAGGTCGTGCATGCTTCCAATGCGTATGTGTCCGGCGTGCTGCCGGAGTACGTGCACAGCATCATTCCATGCAAGGGCACTTGCTGCCACGTCGACACCTCCAAGGATTCCAGCAGCTCCGCCCGGGCGCCGCCGCCCTGCCTCACCAACTCATACATCATTCGTGATGAAAATCAGATCGTCTCATACCTGATCCCACGCACAGATGGCAGTATCATTGTCGGGGGCGCGCAAACGACGTTTCGACCATTTCGGTCCCAGTGGTACGGGAACATCGACGATAGCGTGCAAATTGACGCGGCCAAGGGCTACTACGATCACTACATGCAACGGACGTTTCGTGGGTGGGAAGACTCGGCAGCCGCAGTCTCCAACACCTGGACTGGCGTTATGGGCTATTCGTTCGACACGGCTCCCCATATTGGCCCCGTTCCATCGAGGCCTGGTCAATTCATCATTGCGGGATTCAACGGGCATGGCATGCCCGTCATATGGTTGTCGGCCAAAGGTCTTGCCGAGATGATTTTGGCCGACAGGAAAGGACAAAAAGTCGCCTTCAAAGAGACTGGACTTCCTCGACTTTTCGAAACCTCCCAGCTGCGTATCGACCGCTCACGGAAATATTCAGAGGAAGAAGGCGACATTCTGGGATCGGGGGCTATTTTCTTACCACGAGAGCCAACAAACGATCGAGGCCACGAGGTCAAGGGCGCAGTACATGGACGTGGACGAGACATCGCTATTCCGTATCTCGGCAAAAACGATTGAAGGACAAAACATAGCTGTAGCGATTTCTACTAGAATGGTCCATTACGCCAATGGCGATGAGGCAGTATTGTACGTAAAGTTTTGACGGGTTTGAGCTGCCTTAGACAAAGCCCGAGTCCACTTGGCCTTCGCTTTTCACCACCTCCATTCACTTCTCGCCGTCTGAACCGATGGTCAGAGTTCTCCATTTCGAACTCATCGGACGTCTCTGAGCATCTGCTCTCCATCCACCACAATACGGAGGACAGTACGTCCATGAGGACCGGCACGAGAACATTGCCGGTTCAGGCTCCACCAGTGTCCCGGAACCAATCAGCCTCTTTGCCGGGCTGGGTGCCGGTTGCCTGTCTGATACGAGAACGGGCGTCGTCATTCCACCTTCACGTTGATCTTCGTCCTCCGCTCAAAGAAGAGAGTGATCGACTATAGACGCTTGACCAACAAAGGGTGTAGTGTAGGTGTTGGCGAGGCCCCGGCTTCTTTGGACTGTGTAGAATCGAGATAACAACTCCTCCATCAATCGACGATCAGATGGACAACACTACAAAAGTGCCTGGGGAGATGGACGTGACTCTCCAGGGCATCAAATACCTTCAGAGCCCCCGGCAGGTCGTGAAAGGAATTCTTCTTTCTGCTCGGAAAGGGAGCGCCCACACTATTTGACATCGAGTCCAAGGCTGATTCCCGCACTCATCCTACACTTTGCTGGGTTCTTGCAGAAGGCAATCTTCCAGAATGTCGAATTCCGTGGCACCCATCGACGGACATTCCGTGGAACCCATTGACTTGGAAAAGTCCCCGGATTCCACCTTCGCCGACGGACACGACAACGACAAGGACTTTGGCACGCAGACCACCGCCGACCATTATGCAGAAACCGGATCCATCTATGACAGTGACTTCGAGGAGATCGGCCTGATGAAGCAGGGTCTTCACCAGAGGCACATTCAGATGATTGCTCTCGCGGGGTGCATTGGCGTTGGTCTCTTCCTCAACTCCGGACGAGGCATCGCCGCCGCGGGACCGCTAGGTGCTTTCCTGGCGTATTCCATCATGGGAGTGTTTGTGTCCTCGGTCGTGCTGACCGTCGGGGAGATGGGTGCGTTGGTGCCGCTCAGCGGCGGTGTCGTGAGATACGCCGACTACTTTGTCGACAAGTCCCTTGCTTTTGCCATGGGTTGGAATCAGATTTACTCGTACGCCGTTTCAATTCCCGCAGAACTGGTTGCGGCATCGGTGCTAGTGGAATACTGGACCACCTCCATTAGCAGTGCCGTCTTCATCACCATCTTTTCCGTCGCCCTTCTGCTCGTCGCACTGGTCTTTGTCAGGGTCTATGGAGAGATTGAATTCACGTTCGCGATACTTAAAATCATGCTCATTATTGGTATCAACATCATGGCCCTGGTTATCACCTGTGGCGGGGGCCCTGAGGGCGGAGCCATTGGCTTCCGATACTGGAAACACCCGGGGCCGTTTGTTCAGTATCTCGGTATCTCAGGATCTTTGGGTCGTTTCCTCGGTGAGTTAATAGGATTGATTCCAGTTCGTTTCGACCTCTTACGTGACTGTCCCTGCTGACACGTATGCGTGCGTTGCCTGAACAGGCTTTTGGAAGACCTTGGTCAACGCCCTATATGCATTCTCCGGCAGTGAGAACATCAGTCTCGCGGCCGCCGAGGTGAGGAACCCGCGCCGAAGTATTCCAAAAGCAGCGAAGCGTATCTTTGCGAGGATCCTGATGTTCTATGTCATCTCCATCTTTATGGTCGGCCTGGTCGTACCCTCGAACGATCCGCATCTGCTCAAGTAAGTATTCTCCCTATACCCTGGCCCCTCTCCCCCTGGTATTTTCTCTTCTACGGGTTTCGCTGACAAATATCATCACCACCTCAGGAGCACCGGCACAGCCTCACAGTCCCCGTTCGTCATCGCCGCAGTCCGCGCGGGAATCAAGGGGGTACCAAGTATCATCAACACCATCGTCATCACGTCCGCGTGGTCGTCGGCGAATTCGAATATGCTCGGTGGACCGCGAGTGCTCTACGGACTCGCCAAACACGGACACGCGCCTCGCATCTTCTTACGCCTCAATCGATTTGGCGTGCCATATGTGGCGGTTTCCTTCCTCGGCATCTTCATGTGTCTCGGATTCATGACGCTGTCGAGCAGCTCTGCCAACGTGTTCGGCTGGCTGCAGGACATGGTGGCCATCAGTACGATGGTGAACTTTATCCTAATTCTGGTCATCTACCTGCGCTACTACTACGCGACCAGAGCCCAGGGTGTCAACCGTCACACCGAGCTCCCCTGGGCAGCCCCTTTTCAACCGTACGCGAGCTGGGCTTCGGTCTCTTGCTTCCTGTTGCTCTACATAACCGGTGGGTTCAACACCTTCATCCACGGCCAATGGTCGACCGAGACCTTCGTCTCCAACTATCTCAACTTGCCCGTCGTGGGCATTCTGTACGTGGGCCACAAGTACTTGAGGCAAACCAAAATCAAGCCTCTCCCGGCCGTACCCCTTCGCAAATTTATCGAGCACGCCCAGAACAACCCGGAGCCTCCTCCAAAACCGAAGAAGGGCCTCCAGAAACTGAATATCTTGTGGGGTTAATGAGGAAAACGAGCGCCCGTAGGCGACGACAAGGCTCACGAGGTTATCTCGAGAGAGAGCCTTCCGGGACAATGTGGGGATCCTGTAGTATGTACAATGGCGAAGAAGGGACGAGCAGGGCTCTGCAAAGGAGTGTAACGAATGACTGAAAAGTTCTTCAGACGTCGACTTGTTGATGAAGAGAAATAGAAGACACGCTGATATCGTAGCCAATTCCCAATGTTTGCTACAGCAGCGGCTTCCGCTACGCTCAAGTCATGATTACTGTGCTCGGTCACTTCATCATGATCGATGAGTTCTGACCAAACTCCGCTATCAAAGTCGTAGTGGTAAGCTGTCTCGGTACGATACATATTAAATAGACGTCGCATAAAGCCTGCTATAAAGCAGCATCGCCCCTAGCCCCAAAGAGGAAGTGAGAGTCAGGCGTGAATTTACATTTTCTCTTGGCATCAAATCCGCCTGCGGGATAAGTTTGTGATAGAGACTCCCAGGTACTGTATGTATTTCCCAATGACAGGCTCCAACACAACCTCAATCCAGTCTTGATCCCTCCCTCATACATTTTTCACCAATGTCTGGTATGTCTTCTCGTTCGGTACTTTTCCCATCAACTCTCTACTAACTTTTGCCGATTGCAGCCACACAACTCCTCAACCCCAAGGCCGAGAGTAGGCGCCGCGGTGAGGCCCTGCGGGTCAACATCAACGCAGGCGAAGGCCTTCAGGATGTCCTCAAGTCCAACCTGGGCCCCTCCGGGACGATCAAGATGCTCGTCGACGGCAGTGGACAGATAAAATTGACCAAAGACGGAGCGGTACTACTCAAAGAAATGTCCATCCAAAACCCCACCGCAACCCTCATCGCCCGCGCAGCCACCGCACAGGACGACATCACGGGCGACGGCACCACTTCAGTTGTCCTCATGATCGGCGAACTCTTGAAACAGGCGGACAGATACATCCAAGAGGGACTTCACCCCCGTGTATTGACGGACGGCTTCGAGCTGGCCAAGACGGAAACCCTCAAGTTCCTCGACACCTTCAAAATCACCAGACCCATCGACAGAGATCTTCTCCTCTCGATCGCACGCACGTCTCTCTCCACAAAGATCAATCGAACCCTGGCCGAACAATTAACGCCCTCGATCGTCGATGCCGTCCTGGCCATCCACCGACCGCCACAGAAACCGGACCTGCACATGATCGAAATCATGAAGCTGCAGCACAAACTCGCCTCTGACACACAACTCATCCGCGGCCTTGTCCTCGACCATGGCGCCCGGCATCCGGACATGCCCAAACGACTCGAGAACGCATACATCCTGACCCTGAACGTGTCACTGGAATATGAAAAATCCGAAATAAACTCTGGCTTTTACTACAGCTCCGCAGAGCAGCGCGACAAGCTGGTCGCATCCGAGCGAAGGTTCGTCGACGAGAAGTTGCGCAAAATCATCGCGTTGAAGAACGAAGTCTGCGGATCCGACCCAAAGAAATCCTTCGTGGTGATCAACCAAAAGGGTATCGACCCGCTGTCGTTGGATGTGCTCGTCAAGAACGGCATACTGGCCCTGCGCCGCGCCAAACGACGCAACATGGAGCGTCTACAACTCGTGTGTGGCGGACAGGCACAGAACAGCGTGGACGACCTCGACGCCAGTGTACTCGGCTGGGCCGGCCTCGTCTACGAGCACACGCTGGGCGAAGAGAAATTCACCTTTGTCGAGGAAGTCAAGGACCCCAAGTCCGTCACCCTTTTGATCAAGGGCCCCAACCAACACACCATCACGCAGATCACGGACGCGGTGCGCGACGGCCTGCGCAGCGTGTACAACACCATCGTCGACGGGTGCGTCGTCCCCGGTGCGGGATCCTTCCAGATCGCGGCCGCCGCGCACCTCAATTCCGAAGCCGTGCGGAAATCGGTCAAGGGTAAAGCGAAATGGGGCGTCGCTGCTTTCGCGGACGCTCTGCTTATTATCCCCAAGACTCTGGCGGCGAACAGCGGTCACGACATTCAAGATGCCCTGGCGGCCCTGCAGGACGAACAGAGCGAAGGCAACGTCGTGGGCTTGGACCTCGTCACCGGCGAGCCTATGGATCCCGTGCAAGAGGGCGTCTACGACAGTTTCCGGGTGTTGAGGAACAGCATCGCCAGCAGCCAGGGAATCGCGAGCAACTTGTTGTTGTGCGACGAACTCCTCAAGGCCCGACAGATGGGCAGACAAGGAGGGCCGGGAGGCATGGATCAAGAATGAGGGTGAAGCCTCGAAACCAGACCCGAGCTTGTTCCCAAGTCAGAAGACGAGAACGAAGGAGAAGAAAGGAAAAGCTCCCACATTTTGTTGGTTCTTGACGGCTCGCTCGACTTTCCATCCACTCTGACGGATCAATTGCTCGTTGCAAACATGAGCACCGGGGGCTTGGCCAGTGGTTTCAAGTCCACGTCCGACCGGGGAAAAAGCATTACCGGGAACCACACATATGATTTGACGACGAAAACTGAAAGATTCAAAAGGCCAGGGTGTGAAGGAAGGAAGAAAAGAGGAGTCTGATGATGAACCCGATGTGAGATATATGCCTGAAACGGGACAAGACCGCGAGGAACCATTTAGTGGGTTGCGGTACCTTTGTAAGAATACCCAAGATTCCCCAAACTCCAACCTCGGAAAGTGACGCATGCATTGTACTGCATCTACTGTGTTGTACGGAGTTGCCTCATCTGTGTAGAGTTAACAACGGGATATACTCGTGCGCTATGTACGGTCCCGATACTGGTGTTGGGGCAAAAGAGCAACGGCAGTCATGGTTAGCTGGTAACGTCCTCGTTGCGCCGGGGGTGTCTCAGTAGAGGAATACTCTTGGAGAGCGCCAAAATAAATAAAAAGGTTTCATCATATTCGTCATATTCTCTTTTTTTGCTTTCAAGAAGCGTGATTCACCTTCTCTTTTTGTTTCGAATTTTGTTTCTTGGTTCTTTTGTTTTCAGGGCTTTCTATTGTCGTTCAATCTCATCTGGGCTCTCACGGGCTGGCTAGGCTAACCGATCAACTCTCCACAGACCCAAAACTCATCGAATCAAGATCGATTTAAAGCAATTCAGTGCTTGTTACTCCCCCACAACCCACGAACCGTGTCGGTGATCTTCTGCTGCTGCCGCTGAATCTGGTCCTCGGTCTGACCCCGGGCGTTGCCCCTCGAGTCGACCTCCATGGCGTCCCCGTCGTCGTGCTGCTGCTGCTCGCCGCCGCCGCCGCCGCCGCCACCCCCCACGGCCTCCTCGCCGTGGATCTGCTGACCCTGGTCGTTGAGCACCTTGCTCCCGTTGACCATCTCGGCCTTGGGTTTCGGGTCGACGCTCATCGCTCCGTCCATGTGCGCCCCTCCCGCCATCAAGCCGCCGCCCTCGCGGAGCTTGTTGATGGCCCTCACCGTGTCGATGGCCTTGTGCAGCGTCCGACGCGCGTTGAAGTTCTTCTTGACCGTCGGCAGGAGGTCCTGGCCCTCGCCGGGGGCCTTCTCCGGGCTGGTCGGGTCCTCGGGTTTGATCCAGGGGTGCTGCAGGGCCTGGTGGGCCGTCATGCGCGCGCGGGGGTCGATGGTCAGGCACCGGTTGATGAAATCCCGGGCCGTCTCCGACACGTTGCGCCAGTACTCGACGGGCGTGAAGGAGTAGTCGGCGGCGAGGATGGCCTGCATCTCTTCGAGGTTGCTGTCGTGGTCAAAGGGGGTGTACCCGCACAGCAAAAAGTACGTGATGACACCTATGGCCCATATGTCGCTGTCGGTCGTTCAAATCACATGAGAAAAAGTCAGTATGCAATTTGGAAAGAAGAAATGACGACAGAAGCCTAAGGGGGGTGCATAGGTAGGTACCTAGGTAGTCGTGACAAACTTACACAGGCTTTCCGTGACCCGTCTTCTTAAAGATCTCCGGAGCCATGTATCCCGGTGTTCCACACGTGGTGGTCAAGACGTGGAATCTTTCCTCGTCCATGATCCGCGACAATCCAAAGTCGGCAATCAAAAGGTCTGCATTGTCTTCCGGCGTCCGAAACAAGAGGTTCTCGGGTTTGAGGTCTCGGTGCACGATACCGTGGTCGTGGAGGTAAGCGACTGCCGACAAGGTGGCTCGAATCAGGTCGGCGGCATCGGACTCATAGTATGAACCTTTTCTGCAGATTCGGTCGAACAATTCTCCTCCGAGGGCGAGGTCCGTCACGAGGTACACTGCGTTTGTTTTCCCAATGTCAGAACTTGTGCGCACGCACATAGTACATCAACTGGCGCGAGGGTTCTCGTACAATTGTTCATGGTTTCAAAGTAATCGACCAAGGTCAAAATGTTGCGATGTCCCACGGACACTCTTTTGAGGACGGCGATTTCGTTTCGGACCTATATTCGACGTAAATCGATCAGTCACTTGGACCTTGACAACATGGCATGTCATGGCCCAGGGGGGGACTCACCATGTGCTCACGTCCCGCCATCAGTCGCTTGTTGATGACTGTGTGTGCCTGCGATCAGCCCGGACATTCATTCTCTTCCTCCCTCAAGGGACCTTTCCCTACCTTTCGCGGCATAATACCTTCCCGTGTCGATGTGCACGCATTCTTTCACCACCGAGTATGAGCCTGCTCCTAGAGTCTTTCCTGTTGGGAAGGGTAAGCGCATGCCTCACACGTTACGGACGACCGGTTCTCGCCGCCCCGGCCCTCCGCTCGACGTGAGTTTGGAAAAGCCGCACCTGTCTTGTAACGACATGGCTGGATCTGAGGCTTCTGTGCGCCGGCCTGCGAAGCCATGACTGGGTCTGGGTGCGGGCGTTCGCAACTACGATCGAAGTACGTAGCAAATGATGAGTTACCTCCGGGGGACCGCAGCGGCGGCTCGTTCGTTCTGTTTCGAGAAGGAAATTCAAACAGGGCCGGCCTGTTGGGAGGGGTACTATGTAGATGGGTAGGGTCGTCTCACGGGTGGGAGAGGAATTGGAGATGGGAGAGACAGAGAGAGAGAGAGAGAGAGAGAGACAGGTAACAAAAAGGTTCAGGAGAAAGGGTATGAATGAATATCGAGACCGGCGATGTTTCCAAAGTAGAAAGTATTTGGGAGAGAGATTGATGTCCTGAAATAGAACAAAGGTCGTTCGTGAACCATCAGCTGGGCATGAATGAGTGTCTCGCCGTTCTGAGCCTAACGAATGGAATAAGCTGGGGGCGGCTTATGCGTACAGCAAAGCAGTTTGGAGTATTAATACTCCGTAGAAATGATTAGCTATTCAATTCGTTCATTTTACCCCTCCATTCATATCGTAGGTAATTAATCCCCCGTGGACAAGTTGGTGTTGGGCACGAACCATGGGGTGCTAAGGACATAGGACATCACTTTCCACGCTGATTCTATTCTACTCTCTTCGACTTGTCACTTCAATCAAACAAGAATCTCTGTTGAATCGCCGCCTGTCTCATAGCAATAGTCCAGGAGTCATGACCTTGAGAACAGCCAATTCAGAACATGATGAAATATATTATACTGCTATTTACTTTGTGTATGTATGTACAGCTAACGAACGTCGAGGCCAACAAAAAGCCAGATCAAAGTATTGCTAGGTAAAAAGAAAAATCATTAATCCCATATTCATCACTCTCCCTCTCTCTCATTCCTTCTCCTCATCTCTATCCAACCAAGGTCCCATGACCAGAATTGACCCTCCAATACTTGTACTTCCCGTATCAGTCGGTCGGTCACTCAGGTCGCTCAACAGGTAATGATACTGCAAGCGTTCGGCCTCGGGGCGGAGAGAGGGACTTGATTGGCGACCCCTTCGTCCTCGGCGGTCGACGACCAGAGGGTGTCCAGGTCCGGGAGGACGTTACAGCAGCGGAACTGGTTGATGGTGTGGAGGTTGCCGTTGACCGTGTCGGCGTCGTCGGGCGAGTTCATGATGTTCATCAGGGGGACGAGGACGTTGTTCCCGAACCCGGCGAAGAGGTCGTCGGCGGCCGCCTGAGCCGCCGTGCCGGGCCCGACGTCGCTCTCGCAGGCCAGGACCTGCAGTTGGTTCGGTTCGTCTTGGGCCGCGGGGAGGGCCGTCTGCAAAGCGGCCAGGAGCTGGTCGGGGTCGGAGAGTACGATGGTGCTTGAATCGAGGAACCCGTTGACGGTCACGACGTCGTTGTTCCAGGCGTTGATGGCATTGACCACGCCGACCTGACCGGGGTCCCCAGCAGGGCAACCGTTGGGTCTGTCACGTTTGGCGAAGCGGAGAGTGGTGGTGGACGACGATGATGATGGAGCTGCGGTCGAGTAACCGACGAGAGCGGCGAGGAGAGAGGCGGCGACGATGGACTTCATTATGAATTTGAATGGATCGAATGGTTTTTTTTGTCTGGTGCTGAAAATGAAGGTGTGATAACAGATCAAAAGGAAAAAGACACAAGGAAAAAAAAGGGTAATGTTCAAGTTTTGTTGTTGTTGTTTGGAAAATGAAAGATGATTCTGCTGTTCTCAAAAGGTTCGAGTCTTTTCTCACCTTTATATATCTCATGGTGTCCTCATGTACCTCACGGTGTTGTTGACGGTGGCCAGCCAACCATCCTCAGCCTCAAGGCTCGAAGTCCAATTGTCAGAAATGCCTGTCCTGTTTTTGAGTTGTTGTTCACGCTCACTTTCCGATAAGGATCAGATGGGGGAGTGTAACAAGGCTGTGTATAGTATCAACAGAGATTTGACTTTGAAAAGGATCATACTCTCTCGTTCAGACATGACTTATTGTGCCGACTGCGCGTGATGGGCTCTTCTTCCACCTAGGTAGGTACTTACATAGTACCCCCATAACATGAATGGTTGTAATCGGTAATCAACCGGTATGTACTACCTAGGTAAGCAGTGCTGAGGATGGTGAACTCGCTACCAATATGCTACTTGTAAGCAACGTATTTTTGCGTCCCAATTCACCGAACCCAATCAACCAACCCATCATTGAGGCGCAAGAATAGTCACAAAAAACGCGCCGCCACGAAATCAACAACAACTTCCCCGTGTCTGGGTAGCAAAAAGGCAAAAGCGATCGGTAGGGCTGCGAGGATTGATTGACAACAAAAGTGTAGCTAAAGTAATAGTAATCAGAATTATTTGTTAGCTGTAGGTAGACAAATTGCTACAAGTCGTCATCATCATCATCAATCAAACTGAGAGCCTCGTTTGAGCCTACATGCTGTACTCCGTAGAGATTGCAATCTTTGGCAAAGGATTTCGCGAAGTTGGAGCCCCAAGGAGAGCTGACCGTAAGCCAGGCCATTCCATACCATGTACTCCGTACTCCGTACCTAAATAAAAATACCCAGTCATGTTTCCACCGAGTTGACTAATGAAGAGTACTACTCTATGAAAACACTTCAGCCTCAATGCTTTTTAAAGATACAGAGTACGGAGTACAGAGTAATCATTTTGTCAAACCCCTTGTTCAAGAATATTTTGACCTTGTTGAGCCATATCCTTGTATCATTTATTTCATACCTTCTCGTGTCCCTGCGCTATACCTAGGTATACATATATCCTTTGCTCACCACCCATCTTCAAAGAGAGTTGTCCCCGTAGTAGAAGGATCTAATCTCACCATCTTCTTCGTCTTCTTTGTCCGTCTGTTTTTATTTTTAATTTACTAAAATGGTCATCTAGGTTGGTTTCTCGAAATAAAAGTCTTGTCGTCACACTCCAGCAGTCACGAGTCCTCCTTACATCCCACAGAGTTCTTCACAACGAAGCCCCCGAGAACCGCCCCCCCTTCCTTTCCCCCGGGGTGCCATGACAATTTTAAATGCCCATGATGAATTAAAAAAAAAGAGATCCCCGGAACCCGCTCACCGTCAGTTGTGTGCCACAAAGTGATCTGACATCAACACCCCGACAAGAACTAGAAAACTCACACCAGATGGCGACTTACGTTTTCCATTTCTCTCGATTGAAACTGAATACGGCAACCGGTCCCGCGTGTGTGTGAGAGGGGCGCATGTCCAAGTGCTATTTTGCTTTTACCGAGACGAACCACCCCCCTGTTCAGACCCCTGGTCACCGAGGGTTCGTTCCAAGCCCGCGGGCCTACATTTTGTCAAGTGCGTCAAAAAAGTCCAAGCAAAACTCGGTACAGCAATCGGTCGAGGTGGAGTGAAAAATAATGGTGCGTTCCAGCAGCCTGCTCAACGACTCGGCGTGCCGTCCTGGGGTCCCGTAATTTTTCTTCTTTTTTGTCGACGTCGCAAAAGGATGATCTGGCTAGTGAGGTCCGGCTAGAGCAAGACTTCGGATCTCGCAATAAAAATGTCCCCTAATGTTTGTCAAGGAGAACTTTGGGTCAATGTCCCAGGAGAGTCAAACGCGGTCAGACTTTTGCGACGCCACTTACGGCCCTCGAGGATCGTTTGGACCAGTTCACACGAGTCCGAGTTGCCTCCGAGTTTGCCCGGATGCCCCCGAAAAACTCAAAGGGTTGATCGTGCTTGAGTGAATCGTGCAGCACCACCAAAGTCGCTGTGCGTTGCCCCGTATGCGACCAAAGCTGGTCCAAAGTCACGCACACCGGTAGTTCGCCACCAAAAGCATCATCACCTTACCTATGATTGATCAAAGCGTGCGATGTGTCGAGTCAGAGCAACTTAAAGATCGCAAGTGTGCGAGACACAGATCCATCCTCTACAAGATCGACCGGCCGCGGTAAGTTTTTGGTCAACCAAACCCGAAATCTCGGATCATTTGACGTCAAATGATCGCTGGGTACGGAGTACCTCGTACGGAGGAGAACAAAGTCCACGAGACATTTGCAACATGAGCTTCCCTATGTAATTGACCACCTCTCGCTTGGAGATTGTGTGGATGCCCTCAAGATCGACCAACTACATCAGTAGCCCGTAAGGAGGAAGTGTATCTCGGCCCATAGCTTTGGGCCTGCCGTCCTGATATATCGCAACATTGCCTGCCTGGTTTCAGCTTTTACCAATGTGGTTTGCGTGCTGATAAATACTGTGCGTGTTATTCTCTTGCGACGGGAAAGGGCTTGTCGGGAACACAAGAAGACTGCCGCCTCTGACGCGCTGCTAGTCACCCTCTGTCCCGCGTCATGTCTTAGATGTAGTACGAGGGCGAAGGCGCCGAGCTTTCGATGGCCGCAGTTAGAGTTCCCTCGTCGCATCGGTCCTTGAAGAATGCATGGAATTGAGTTCGCGGCGTCTGCCGTACATGGGGGAATTGTATGTCCGGGAAATTTTTCTCGTCCACGATACCTTTCCGGTGGCCGAGGGAGACCCTCCGCAGCGATGGGAATTGTCCATTATGTGGAGGGCAAAGTTCAACTACGTGAGGCAGGAGTCGAAGACGGCTCGACGATATGCTTAACCACAGCTGTCAGAGGATAGCGCGTACCAGACTGTCGGTGCAAACGGCTTTTTTGGTGACGATGTCGTGCAGCTTCGTGGTGTCACCTTGCATCGAAGGGCAGGACCCAGTCTCTCCCGACAGGTTGTTTGGTTTCATGCATTGTCCTAATCAAGACATTCGATCCACGCACACGGTGAAAGGTGTGCCCTTGGAAAACGATACTTTCTAGTGAATGGCGATTCATGTTGCGAATACACTGGTGGGCAGGTTCAACGGGGTTGTAACGTGTCACAATACTACCACAGCTCTGGTCTGAGACCGCAGTGCAGTGTCATCGTTTGCACTTTTGGCGCTCCTTGCCTTGTATGGTCTGGCAGCGTGATCGCCGATGTTGTCGTTGTACATCGAAGTGGTAACGGAGAGTAGAGTATCCCATTGGCCTGGCATACAGCCGAACAGCCAAACGAGAGGCTGGGAGTAGAAAAAATGCCGCAGCCGTTGGCATGTTTCGAATCAATCTTCAGCTGAGCCGAAAGACCAACACATTATTACGGAGAACCAGGGGTCAACTCTGACCTGGTTGAGCTTAGGCCCGCGAAGAATGAAACCTGGCGGCCCAGGGGAATGGTACACCGCACATTTTGGCTGGTTCCAAGAAGCTTCTAGCCCGGTATTTAGCCTCAATACCAATGCAGCAGGGGGCCACGCGTGCATGCGGCGTGGACGTAGGGGAACACCAGCCTTCCCACGGCACGACCCGCCGCGAGAGAGCGTCGACGGGTGTGATTGTTTTTCGCTGTTCAGCAAGGCAGTCCTCGCCAACATTTCATCACCCGCTTTTGAGATATGCATCCCTGGCTCCGTGCCTTGCTCACACCTCGGAACAAGCACATGAGCTTCCCCGTTGATCGAGATTAAGCCAATTTATACGTCGGTTGGCATTGCCGCCTGAGGTTGCCTGATATGGGAATGCATGTGTTTAGCGAGCTGATGTCGGTTCAATGACCCTTCGTCTCGATTACGGCTGACCGGCGCCATAATGATAGACACTGCACTCAGCCCCAAGGCTTCTCGCTGCGGATTCTGCTCTGAGCTGTCTTACATGCCGTAAAGGCTGCTTAGCACCTAATGTGTTTGACAGCCCCCTTGAGTTCTTTGCAGAGTTGGCCCATATCACAACAAGCCCGCAAAGAAGATTATCGTCTCGGATCCATTGGATCTCGTGCAGCTACTGTGTTGGTATCCAACATCTTTTCCGACTTCGACGATAGGGAGACGTCATAGCCACGTATGGGTCGACGGTAGAGTAGTGGAACAACCTTCCAATCGCAGCTATGGGTCACTCCTTGCGGACCACCGTGTTTGTGTTTCGAAGAGCAGTATCGGTCCTCCCATAAGCAGAGTAGCACCTGTCTATTGATACTGGTCGGCAAAGTCTATTTGACGAAGGGCATTTGAAGCACTCGCCTGGTCTCTTGAGTAGTCGCTGTCTCCACCGAACCCGCTCCTGGCTGAGTCCACCTGTGCTCCAAACTTTGCATAGTATCCCAAATTCAAAGGCGAGCTTTGAGCGAACCCTAGTGATGAATGTTGTGGAGATGGGACAGAACAATGTTCAATTGACAGTAGAGGAATGGGAACACCTCGAGAAGGAGAATCGGTTTCAAGGATACCTAGAAGTTGATGATGAGATTTAGGAAGAGGTTGGAGCAAGTTCTTCGTTCGGAATATAGCTCTGCTCCATCGAGTGTAGTAGGATGGGCCTACAGTACTGACGTTGTCCCGGTCATGTGCAGCAGCTGATCTGCTCGTGTACAGTATAAGATCCTTGTTCTGGCGGGCCGTCGCTTTTTGTCCAATTTCTCACATGGAGAATGACACAAATGGAACCGAATGCAAGTCGAACCATGCGTGGACATCTCACACCCTGGTCTCTTGGTCCAAGTTAGGCTCCTTAAGGGTGTAAACTTTTCTCGAAGGAATCATGGCGGTGGTTGCTTGATCCGGACAAGGGCATGGGTCTTACCCCTAGCAGCCCAGAGAACCTCCAATCAGGCCGGCATAGAGTAGTTTGCCTTGATTGCGACGTTCACAGTTTTCTCGAAACTGAATGCTTTGCGTGCTAACAGCCAGTGGCCTTTTAGCTGAAGTTTCTTGACATTCAAGGACCTGTCAATGCCAGACCCTGAATCTCTAGTCTCTCGGTTGTTCATGGGCGTGTTCGTGGCAAGTCTTGAGCCTCCCCCCATCCTCTCCGGACAGGTTCCCAATTCTTGGATACCTGTATGAGAGCCAGTCGCCTTTCTCATGGCTTGATTCGCGCCAAGCAGCATCATTAGAGCCTGTGAGGTGGTTGCAGACTGGTCCGGTTTATCCCTGACCCGCTCTATTTGATGGACACACTATGGTCCCATACATCCGTGACCTTTGGCTTCAGCTGCAATTCTAACAGGCGCACACAGCCTGGTCTCGGCAACTAATCGCCCGCCTCTATGTAGAGCTGGAAATTCCATACTCTCTTCCATTCGTCTGCCAAAGCCCGCTTGCGATGCTCTGGGGTACTACTGCTTAGCAGAATGAACTTATTTGACCATATCCCTTTTGCCACGTTGATATAATCCTGAGCATATGGCATACTTCAATGCAGCCCGGCCCATATCGTGAAGACGTCTGCTTTTCTTTCCTACAGCGGTTGCTTTGTTGGGCTGTACTCCGCCCTGATGACGCCTCCGCCAACAGTAGGGGCTGCCCGTAAATTACTTTCACCTATGAGAGTCTCCATCGCCATCTGGCAGTCCTCCACACTTGCGAAGAAAGATAGATCCTTCATCCTGGCTTCAATAACATCGTGCAAGACTCGTTCTTGCGTGGCGTGAAAGAAGCACCGTCGATTCTCAACCATGGCTGCGAGGTCAGAAATCACGATTCTCCCTTTGACTGCTCCCTGCTTATAGAAGCCACAGTAACACAGGTGACGAAGATTTCGATCGGAAGCTTACCTATTGTGATCGAGAATATCAAGAGCACTCGCTGCGTTATGAGATCTACCAGGTCCCGATCGATTCTGTAAGCCGAGAATTCCAGACTGTGGAGGCCGAGGCAGCAACTGAGGTGCGCAGGAAGAAGAAACCAGGCTGCTCGAGCAGCATGAGATGCTCAAGTTGATCTACAGCGATTGGAACAACGGGCTGTATGCGCCAATCGTCGGAGACCCCGAAGTAATCCTTGACTGTGGGTTTGGGACCGGTACTTGGGCGTACGACATGGCAGAGTATGATCCGAACTGCATGGTAAGTCACAGTCGCTCGCCTGGTACCCAGAGTCTGAATTTTCTTTTCTCTCTTCAGGTTACCGCCATTGATATATGCCCACTCCTGGCGCCATCAGATCAGTTGGAAAACATTGATTTCCAGGTACAGAGTCTCGTAGGGACCGTCCTAGGGAGATTCGTTGGCAGACCATCCATTTGGAATGTTTGGATCGACCGGGAACGACCTATCCTGCCCCTATAGTGTCAGTGCAGAATGAGGGAGGCTAATCGATTTGGTAGATCGCTGATCTAAACCACCGTTTAGACTGCGCCGAAGCAGAGACCTTTGACCTGATACATTCCCGCTTCGTTTCCAGTGGGATTTCTGCAACACGCTGGCCCAACTACTTCCGCGACATGCATCGGTGAGAGCGTCGAAAAAGCCACATTCGAACAGTATCCCTGACTTCGGAGTATAGCCTTCTCAAGAGAGGTGGTTGGGTGCAGATAACTGAATGGGACCTTTTCTTCCGTTCGGACTCTGGCAATAGCGATGCCTTGCAAGCCCTTAATGAATGGACTAGGCTTTATACTCAAGCCTTGGGCTCATCGGCACGTCCGGAAGGCAGGAAGAGATCTCGTGTTGTTCAGGACTGTGAAGCCTGGATGCGCATGGCTGGTTTTGTCAACGTTAGCACCGACGTTCGGGATGTTCCCACGTGTGCATGGCCACAGGGTGCGCACTCTTCCTCGAAGTCTTTTTGCTTTCATCCAACTGATAAAGAACTTGGCACAACAGACGCACACAATCGAAGCATAGGCGAAGCCAACCTGACCAACATGAAAGGGCTAATACATTCGCTGGCCTTGTATCCTGTCACGAGTCGTCAGATTCGTGAAATTGAAGGTTTCCACGAGCTGATCGAAGCAGCATATGCCGAATTGAGCGATGTTGGAGCGAAACCATACATTAGACTGTACGAAATCGGAGTCTCGCCGGTCACCCTGTCCCTGCTAACTTTTGGATGCTAGTCACACAACCTTTGGAAGGAAACGGTGAACAAGTGGCAGAAAATATTGTCGACTTCCAACTTGTCTAAATGCCTGAGGTTGAAAGGTCGATCCCAGCGGCCAAGCAATCATGACGGCACGAATCTCGAGTGATGACGCTACAACACTCCAGAGTTCAAACCCTGACATTCCGTCCAGGGGTACGGGGTCTATGCTGGGGGCTGGGACAGGGATGTTCCTGCCGTGTGGAAGGCAACATTCGGTGGCTGACAACGCTTACCGGAGGTCGTAGACGTGCGGCTCGCAGTCTAGATCGACCCTCCAGGCATCGTAGGCGCGCACAAGGCGACAGCCACAGAGCAATATGCCGGCCCCCGGAATTTCGATCGTGCAGAACACAAGTAGTGACGGCGATGGGAGGCCTGGGCCCGGTCAGATGCGTCTTTCTGCACGAATTTCATCATCAGAGTAGCCGGTGACTGTGCAAGTCACTGCGTACTTGGTAGATCACGGGCCAAAACAACCACAGCTTCGCGCCGAAGGGTAGAAAAGTTTATCGTCTCTTGCGAGCAGGCAGGACAATGACAATCTGTGCTCAGGAGCCTAGATAGAGAGCGTTGAGTAATCGACTTCGACCTTAGGTTCCAATAGTTCTGTCTGTATGCACTATGCAGGGCCAATAACTCGATCGTAGACTCATTACTCAACGATTGTAATACCTGAGCTTGAGTGGCGCCTTGTGACAATTAGAAGACAAGATGAGAGGACATTCTGAGCAGGTTGTAAGTATTTGATGGGCTTCTGTCTGCTGTTAGGCTCCTTTGCCAACTTTCATCGCCATCGCGAGGGAGTGTCTGAACTTTCAAGCTTGCTCTGTATCCCTGCGATAAAGCTGTCCAAGGGTTCATGCATGGCATCATTTGGCAAAATACTTTTTTTTCCTCTCTAGGCACCAGTTACTCGTGTCAGCGGGATTCAAGGGAAATGAGTTATAGGAAATAGCAGGTGCTTGTCAACAACACTAAGCGAGGCCTCTGGCACTATTTACCGCCTCACTTTGGATCTCTTTGCTGATGACTACTGCGATGTTGCTTAATTCCATAGCCCTCTCTTGCCGCTCTACTACACAGAAGATACTATTTGTACTGTGGCACGGCTTATGGCTCGTTTGTCAATATGTCGTGAGCCCTAGGAGATCCCCCCGTACGCGTTTCGGGTAGAAAAAAAGCTTACCAACAACATTTAGGCGTGGTCTACCTACAGTGGGAGCTTCAAAAGACATTAGATATCTATATATTACCTCTCTGCTCTACAGCACGCTCTTTGTCATGTTGATCGTATAGAAGCCGTTCACGATTGGCAGCGAATGAGAGATACCCAGTGGGCTGTGTTTGAGATCTCTATATGCCGTCAGCCTGAGCGTGACTGTGAAGACTTTGGTATTCAGCTCCATCGTCTTCGACACATCTCTTGTGCTGCCATCAACTTCACCAAAGACAGAAGCACAGTATGCTAGATCCGGGGCGATAGTGGCTGGTGGAGGAAGAAGTTGAAGCTCGGACGCCGCTGAATGGAGAAACAGTGTCTCCGTCTTGGCGTTGCGTCCCCACCGCAAAAAAGTTTCTCCGCATACGTTCATTTATTTTTCATCGACGAGAACCAAGATAGGCACAGCATTGCAGAATTGTTAGTGACTGCACCCTTGCTTGTATGCCTGCGGAGCCTACGAAATAATGCCTTCGACGCACAAGAGAGACAAACCCTGGGACACAGACGACATAGACAAGTGGAAGGTCAGCATGCGACTCCCCACCCTCACATGTGCCAACACCTAACACCCCGAACAGATCGATGACTTTAAGCCAGAAGACAATGTCGGTGGTACTTTTGCAGAAGAGTCTTCCTTCGTTTGCCTTTTTCCCAAGTATCGCGAACTCTACCTAAAACAAGCCTGGCCCCTTGTCACGAAAGCACTAGAGAAAAGAGGAATTGCATGTACACTCGATTTAGTCGAAGGCAAAATGGAAGTGCGAACGACCCGGAAGACATTTGATCCTGCTGCCATACTGGACGCAAGAGACCTTATCAAGCTGCTTGCACGGAGCGTTCCAGCGCCACAGGTAACCCAATCGACCACATGTTGCCCTTGGCGTGGTTCACTAACGGTGTGCAGGCGATTAAGATTCTCCAAGACGATACCGCCTGTGACGTGATCAAGATACGGAATCTCGTGCGAAACAAGGAAAGATTTGTGAAGCGACGGCAGCGACTTCTTGGACCCAATGGTTCTACGCTCAAGGCTCTCGAACTCCTCACAAGCACTTACATCCTGGTGCAAGGCAACACGGTCAGTGCCATGGGTGGTTACAAGGGGCTCAAGGAAGTCAGAAGAGTGGCCGAAGACTGCATGAACAACATTCATCCCATATACCATGTCAAAGAACTCATGATCAAAAGGGAATTGGCCAAGGATCCCACTCTCAAAACCGAAAGCTGGGACAGGTTTCTGCCACAATTCAAGAAGAAGACGTTGAGTAGAAGACGAACGCCCTATAAGCTTACCGACAAGACAGCCAAGGTCTACACTCCCTTCCCGCCACCGCAAGAGAAGAGCAAGATCGACCTCCAGATTGAGAGTGGCGAATACTTCCTCGCAAAGCAGGCCAAGGAACGCGCGAAGGAGCAAGAGAGGAGGGAACGACAGAAGGAGAAGAATGAAGAAAAGCAACGCCAACGAGAACAGGCCTTTGTGGCTCCGAAGGAGGACCTCCCAGAGAAAGCGAAGAAGAGGAAATCGTCTGCTGATAGAGAGGTCCACAAAACGAAGAAGGCGAAAACAGCTGTATGAGCGATGCAAAAATTCACCTTTGCATCATTAAGCGCGACCACAGCGAGCAAATCCCGACCCACGTACACTTTCGACCGCTGACCGCCGGCCATGACTTGTATCTTCATTGAAGCAGAAGCACTCGGGCCAGTTCATGCTACTGTCGAGACTCGAGCGGAACGGTGAGCCTGTCAGCTGCTATGAGCTTTCAGCATCCCCATCGTCCGAATTTCTGGAAACCTGGAGTTCTCCCTGATGCATTGCGTACAGCCAGTGATCAAGAAGGGGTTTGCCTGACGAACAGAATGCGAGGCACCGCGCTCGGAGCAGAGGACGCCAAAACAAGATCCTAGTAATCAGTCGGATCTGCTCGAGTCTCGATGGAGATCCGAAACTCCAATCCGCAAACCCGTCACCGAGTATCGCACTTGTATGGCGTTGGCCCCCTTCCGCAATCCTTTTGCAAAGGTCGCCCCAGCCTGATTTACGCCTAGATCATGTTAGAACATGGATCTCCTTGGCGTATGACCCATAAAACACCCAGGTACAGGCAGTCGACTGCAGCCAGCCCTACCGTCTGCCGCTGATGGAGCTTCACCTTTTTCGGTTTGCCTCTACTTCAGGCACATCTATTCGGTCCCTGGGCGTGGTGGAGTGACGCGACAATGAAGACAAAGTGTATGTCGGACACTCAATGACAGTGTCTCCTGCGAGCAGAGAAGGTCTAGACCTGTACATGATGTCAATTGGGGAGGATCGGTATTTGCTCCGCTTACCCACGTCGGGGGAGAGACGGGGCTGACGGCGAGCAAACAAATACGATTATGCAATCCATGATACAACAAATGGACAATTCAATTAGCGACGTGCATGCCAATACGACGAGGACCAAGGTCATTCTGCAATGGGCTACTGCTTCTTCTGTTTGATTGGGTCTCTGCGGCGAAACCCCCTTGCAAAACCAAAAGCCGCACAAACTCTCGAGGAGAATAATTTCTCCGTTCCGGGCCTCCACATTGGCTTTTTCCAGCCATGTCCAGACCAAGCACACAACCCACCAGTACACCACCAATGGATCATGCTCGCTCCAATTGACTGAGCGGAGAAGCGTCTTCTCGGCGAAACGAGCCTCACTGGCTGCCCCTTATATCACTAGCATTCGAAGCGTCAAGCTTTCTCTCCATTGGCTGAAACTCCTCTTCCACGAGCCTTTTCGCTCAAACTCTTTGCATACTCAAACTTTTGAATCTCTGCTTGACATCTGTGAAATGCTCGCAACAGCTGACTTTATGACCAGGGATGAGCTTCAGCAACCCGTCGTGATAGGCTCACCCGCTTCTTGGCCCCCGGTAGATGGACTTGCTTGAGAAGATGGCGGGATCGTGTCCAACAACAAATAAGTGCCTCGTGACAAGGTCTATAAAGAGTAGCCATGGCCCTCGTCAATTGTAAGAAGGATCCCTCATCATCCTCTTCAGGTGAAACAATTCTCGAGACACCTTTCTCCACGTCGCGACGAGTATCTTCTCTGTACGAACGGAGTATATAAGCGACCGAACTTCTCAACAGGTGGAACCTTCCTCTCCGGTCTGTACGACATACGTAGACGGCAAAACCCACCATGGATCATCAGCACCACGACGACGTGATCACCGAGCGCCAGGCGTCCAACGCCGACGCCATCGCCAACCAGAAGCGTAAGAGCGTGGTGAACCAGGGCCTCACGGGCGCCTCCGCCCTCACGGTCCGACAGTCCATCTTCCCCGTGGCGCTGGTCACGCTCCTGTTCTTCCTCTGGGGGTTCGCCTACGGGCTGCTCGACGTCCTCAACGCAAAGTTCCAGACCTCGCTCAACATCACGGCGGCCAAGGCCGGGGGCCTCCAGGGGTCGTACTTCGGCGCCTACTTCATCGGGCCCCTGACGTACTCGGGCTGGATCGTCCGGCGGTTCGGCTACCGGGTCACCTTCATGACGGGCCTCTGCATCTACGGGGTCGGCGCCCTGATGTTCTGGCCGTCGGCGGTCTACAAGTCCTTCGGCGGCTTCTGCGGCAGCCTGTTCATCGTCGGCAGCGGGCTCTCGACCCTGGAGACGTCGGCCAACCCGTACATCGCGACCTGCGGGCCCCCGCGGCTCTCCGAGTTCCGCCTCGAGCTCTCCCAGTCCTTCCAGGCCGTGGGGTCGGTCGTCGCCCCCCTCCTGGCCTCCCGGGTCTTCTTCAAGGACACCCACTCCACCGACCTCTCCCACGTCCAGTGGACCTACGTCGGCATCGCCGCCTTCGTCTTCCTCCTGGCCGTCGTCTTCTTCTTCACCCCCCTCCCCGAGGTCACGGACGCGGACATGGCCCTCCAGGCGGAGCAGTGCGCCGACCTGACCGGGTACGAGGAGAAGCCGCTCCGCCGGCAGTACAAGCTGTTCTTCGGCGTCGCCGCCCAGTTCACCTACGTCGGGGCCCAGGTCGCCGTCGCCTCCCAGTTCATCAGGTACGCCCAGGAGTCGGCCGGCATCAGCGAGTCGGCCGCCTCGGACCGCTACGCCATCGGCCAGGCCCTCTTCGCCATCGGCCGCTTCGCCGCCGCCGGCCTGTTCATGTTCGTCAAGCCCCGCCTGGTGCTCCTGGTGTTCATGACCATGATCATGGTGTTCATGGCCTGCGCCATGGGCGTCCAGGGGGAAGGGGGGGTCGCCGTCCTCTCCCTGGTGCTCTTTTTCGAGTCGTGCATCTTCCCGACCATCTTCACCCTGAGCATCCGAGGTCTGGGTCGTCATACGAAGAGGGGGTCCTCCTGGATCGTGGCGGCCGTTTCGGGCGGAGCTCTTTTCCCGGCCCTGACCGGCTTGGCGGCCGACAATCTCGGCTCCTACCACCTGGCCATGTGCGTTCCGCTGTGTGGCTTCTTCGTCAGCTTCGTCTACCCCATCTACTTGAACACCCTGTGCAGGAAGGAGTTGGACGGTTTCCGTGAGACCAAGATCGGATACGTCGACGAAAGGCGCGGGACCATCATCGGTGATGTGAATGACATTCAGACCTTCGAGGCCATGGCCAAGAGACAATCGGTGAATGTGGAAAAGGTGTAGTAGGGTCTTGTCCAGAATGAATTTGTGGACTTTAGAGAATATCTGTGGCGCTCCGGGGGTGGAAGGGGTGTTTGTGGTCTGTCCCGATCAAGCTGTGACTTTGGAACTTTATCTGCCAAACGGCATTTTGCCAGAGGACTTGGAATGGATTGACAATCAATGATATGACGATACCTATGTTTTTTTAATGTTTTTTTTATGTTTTTTTTGGCGGAAAATTCGCATATAGAAGAAATTCATGACCTATCACTATATACCTGTCTGCTCAGAGTCAAGCCGATCCTACCCTGTAACATGAGCCTTGTGATCCGATGAGGTCAATACGATACTAGATATATTGATGACAGACAGGAGGAGCTATCACTTCTGCTGTACTCGGAAAATCAAATGCAATTTCGACTGGAAGATCCGTTTCCCTGGAAAGCATCGAACGGATTACGATGCTGTAGGAGCAGGGCACTATTTATCAAACCTCTGCCATATATATATAATGCCCAAGCACTTGTCACCGAGAGCAGGAAATGTATTTTGGGTCGCTTGATTCACACAAATAGCTATGAACCACTCTCATGACAGCCCTGGCCGTGTTTCCTTTGCCACAACATCGTCTGAGACGTTCCAGCATCAGACACCAACACATGAGGCTTAGGTAAACGTTTTACCTAGCAGATTGCAAAGGACCAAACGCCGTGACATTGTCGTCGTCGTCGAACCAGAGAAATGGTGCGCCCAAAGAGTGTAGAAACCCTGACGCGGATAGCATCTTGATAGCGTGAATTTTGATAGGAGTACATTACCATACGCATTCTGGTGGATCTACCAGGAGTGCTACTAACACACCTTGACGATACGGATACTCACTACGGAGTAACACGACTACTGGTACTTGGTAGCTTGCCATGGTTTCGTCATCCCATGTCCTTGGTCGTTGTATGTGTACTGTATTGCTTCTAAACCGTACATAATATATCCACCTCCGAGATACCGCTCGAAGGAAGATTCTGACCAATGAAATCTTCGTTTTGCCTCAGCGATGAAGTGTTCGTCTGTCCTTGGTGATATCGTCCCGATTGTCTATCCGTCCCATAAAGCAGTCATACAAGCCCCGAGTGACGAATGGAGATAGGCCAACAGTGGATGAGATATGGAACCAACGCACAACAGCATAGACCCAGTCCATAAGCGGCTCCCCTGCTGATCAACTGGGAGCCAAAAAGAAACCTCTAGAGGCATTTTATTGCCGGATCCGTTGCCGGACGCATTCCTGTTGGTTCGGCTCCGCGGCTTCACCGCTGCGAAGCTCTGCCAGTAAATAGGCTCCTTCTCGTCTTCGTTCCTGAAACCTGTTGGCGAAGAACAGTTGCAGGTTGAAACAAGATACTCACTGACTCGAGAGTATTGCCAGCGAGCTTGGAAGATTCGACATGATCGGAAAAGGGATGGGCAGCTGCGACAGAGACATGCGGCCATCATCCTGTAAACCGATATGCCGTCCAGACCAGAACGTCGACGCATCTCTCAGCCTCTTTGCTGGCCCTTCTTTTCACAACATATTCGAGAATTCGTTGTATCGAAGGGGTTCATCTTGCTATGTAGAGACCAGCATGCCGTCGTCCCTTTTCGTTGCTGTTGTTCCGTATTCACCTCGTCGAGAAGTAAATGGTCCAGAAAGAGTTCTCCTAAACTCCGAGACCAGACTCGTACGATAAGGTTCTCAAAATCGTCGCATCGTTACCGTCACGTTCAGTATCTCCTTCCTTTGGTTGTGTCTCCTTGGTTCTCTCCATCCCTTTCTCCTTCCCAACCACGCCAACCATCTCTGGGAGATCCCCCTGAACCGGCGCCTTTTCGAATCGATTGTTCTCTCCATTCTCTACTTGGCCTTCCTTTCTGGCTTTCTCCTCCTTTTCCCTCTTCGCGCTCCGCTCTCGCTCTAGCCTTTGCTTTCTCCACTTCGGGCCCAAAAAGTACACAACCCAAAGCATGGGGCTCGTGGCGACTAGAAACAGAGTGAGAAAGGTGAAAGTCCAACCCCTTCCCCAGGCATTGATCATCGGGATCACCGCAGCCGTCGCCCCAGCACCCAAAAGGCATCGGACGACATTGTTCGCAGCTGTTGCCGTTGCCGGACTTTTCGGGTAAAAGTCGATCAACAGAGTACTCGTCACATTGAACGCAATGCCCATGCTGAGACTCATGAAGAACAGCACGACCACCATCGCCGCCAGGGGTCCATTGATCTGCATGATCCAGCCAAACAAGCACACCAGGACCGCAGTAGAGTAGACCGCGGGCATCGCCACCTGTAGTCTCACCCTTTCAATGGGAAAATTGGACAAGTCCTGGTCACGGCCTTTCTTGATCGCGACTCCTAGTCTCCTGCACCACCGCGCGAAATTGCGATCGAGAAGTTGTCCATTTACCAAGGCTGCGCACATCGAACCCACACCCATCGGGATGTAGCACAGACCGATTTGCAAAACGCTGAAATTGTAAATCTGCTCGAACTGAGAGGGTATGGCGGCTGTGACGTCGTAGAATGCTGCAAACAGGAACGCGTTGTAAAACAGCAACAGGAAATTTTCCTTGTCGAGGATCAAGACCATCGAGCGTAATGGGTTGGGAAAGCGGAATTTCTGCCTCTGTGTCGCCATCGTCTCTGCCTCATCCGTCGTAGACATGTAATCCTCCGACCGCATATTGCGTGCTTTTCTGATGGCGAGGTAGTTCATCAGCGACATACTCCACCCCTTGGGTGGTATCGAGCCATTGCCGACTTGATTCCGTGCTAGAGATATCTCCGTTAATTTCACATAGGGCCAACAAGACCGGAAACCATGCGCACCTGTTTCGGGGAAGAAAATCCCAAAGACGATCAGGAAAGCGGCGCCCATGATTGTCAAGAACCAGAAAATTGCCCTCCAGCCCAGAAACTCCGCCAGGAGGCCACCGACGACAGGGCCTATCGCCGGTCCCAGCAGGGATCCTGCGAGGGTGAAGCCCATGTACTTCCCACGCTCGGCCGGCGTGGCGACGTCAGACACGACGGCGCTACACATTGCGATGGTCGCCCCACTGCCTGTGCTCTGTATGCACCGCAGTACGAACAGAGCCGCGTAGCTGTTCTGGAGCGCCAGAGCGATGTTCGCGACGATGTAGACGACGAAGCAGACTGGGGAGCCACGATCAGCACATGGGCAAGACTGGAGGGGCCCCACTCGGGGACGAGAAGAAGAAACTCACCGGCATACGCAGGACGCCGTCCGGCGGCGTCTGCAAAGTCCCCGACGAGCGTCGGAGCGAGGCCTTGAAATATCTGTAATAACAATCGCCCACCGATGATTAGTTGTTCAGTTCACACGAGACGGGGAGTTGGGACGGCTGCCCACCATGTACGATGTCAGAGTCAGATTGATAAGAGAGTCCGAGACATTGAGATCCCTGGCCAGCGGCACGAGGGCGGGGAAGTAGATCTGGCCCGAGACCGGTGAGAAGAAGCCGGCCCACGAGGCTATGAAGACGATGAACCTCTTCTGGTTCTTGGTGAAGACCGAGTAGACCGGTCCGGCGGCCGAGGCGTTGGTCGTCGTCCGCTGGGCGTGCATCTGCTGCCCGTCCCGTGTCGGTTCGTCCTGCTCGGTGCGGATCCTCTCCATGGCGACAGGATGCCCATCGTCGTCGGCCGTCGTCGCGGCGGGCACGTGCTCGGAGGATCCAGACGAACTGGACCGGTACGGCTGTTGTCCTCGACCGGAATCGTTGTTGACCTCGACCTCCTTGGTCGGAGAGCGTCGTCTGCCACTCAACGATTGTCGACCATCGAGACCATCTTGTTGTTCACGTTCAATCGTCGACGGCGCGCTCGACATCCGGCGCGGTCAAGCCTCTTTTCCCCGGTTCAATTTTCCGACTCCCCCGCGGTGTAAGTAAGGCGTCCAAAGAATCGATCCGCCTTGATTGCTGACTCAGGCTCGAGACATACAATCTCTTTCTCTGATACGGAGTACTGGAAAACAAGCCTCGGCTAAGAATTATCGTTGGCTTCATCCACCAGACTTTTGGACGTATTCGAAGTAACTCGTAGAACAACTCTTGGATGTTCTTTATTGTGAGTTTGAAACACGCGGGACACGATGATATCAACAATAAAAAAAAATTGCCCATCGAAAGGCGGTCGAGATTTCTCTCTCTCTATCTCTTCTCTGTCCCCCACCGATTTTCCCGGAGCATCTGCTGGTCCATTCAGCGGACGGCAGTTAGAAAATGTAGCGTCGTGCATTTTATGGCCTGTGCAACATTGTGTATTTCTTCGTACGTTGTAAAAACCACCGTCTTTGCCGGTTCATGTCGTCAAATACAGCCGTCATTACAATCCATAACAGCCTCATCTGTGCCGCAATAGCCGATCAACAACGGACTTTCTCCGCCCGGTTGAATTTCCCTTTTGACCCCAAAAAACTCCAAATCTTTGTCGACGCGACGCCGATGCAAGATACGGGGAGATTGATTTGTTGATATTACACGCGTTTGATACACCGTATTCACCTTGCATATTACCCGAGTCACCCAAGTGTCTTGGATTCGACCTACTACTTTGTTACTGTATGGGTGCATTGCGCACACACACACACCCCTCCAACCGGGACCAAATGAATGCAGAAACCTGACGTCAAAGTCCACCACAACCACAACAACACCGACGACGACGACGGCTCACCCTCACAGCAAACCCTGACCTTCCACCCGGCCTGGTCGTTCAAAGCGTCAGAGACCTGGTCACGATGGGTCAAATTGACGGCCCACGAGATACACCATGTCCTCAAACCACATGAAAAGTACGCCGAGACGACGACGACGACGATAACCGCCACATTGACGACCCCCCACCATCATCACCATGGCCATGGCCATGGCCACCACCGCCGTCGTGACGCACCCTTGTTGCTCTTCTACCTCAACCATCCCATCCAGTTCGTTCAGATCGTTGGTGTCGTGGTCGCGTTTGACGAATACTATGAGAAATTTTGGCTCTTGACCATCGACGACAGTAGCGGATCCACACTCGACGTGACTTGTCCCAAGCCAGAGAAGGAAAAGGATAAACAGAAGCAGACGGGTGGTGGTGGTGGTGGTGGTCGATCAAATGCTACAAACAAGAATGCCGTTGATGAACGAACCACCAACGACGACCGACAACGAGTCGGAGAAGCAGAAGAAGATGAGGAAGAGGTCCTCCTCCTCCACCGAACCCTCCCGCACCTGAAAATCGGCACCGTCGTGCAGGCCAAGGGGACCCTCTCGACCTTTCGGTCGTGCCGCCAACTCTCCCTCCTCCGCCTGAACGTGGTGGCCGACACGGCGCGCGAGATGGCCCTGGTCGCGTCTCGCACCTCGTTCCTGACCTCGACGCTGTCCAAGCCTTGGGACCTGTCCCCGGGCGAGTCACAGAACCTCCGGTCCGAGGCCGAGGGCGAAAGGGCCCGAGAGACCGAGCGCGCCCACCGCAGGAGGCGGAGGGAGGTCAGGGAGAGGCGGCGGGAAGAGCGCCACGCCCGGATCATCGCAAAGGCGTACGAGAGGGACGAAGGTCACAGGGCAAGGGCCGCAGACGAGGCCAGGATCGCCGGGGAGGCGGTCCTCGAGGCACTTTGAAAAGAAAAAAACACAGAATACACTCAACTCGCTTTCATGGTCGGTTTTGATCACAGGCGGCAGGCCACAATAATGGTGGACGCTGGGCGACGCACATCATCAAGCCATGATGATGGACCCCCAGGGGTTTTCCTTGAAATACAAATTATATACAGCCAATGTCATGTGTACTCCGTATAAATGCTGATAAACATCAAGTTGACTGGCACGGCACATGCCTGTACAGTGTACCACGCCTATTGATTCCTCTTCTCACCTCCACTCCCCAAACGTTCTTCAAGAGTCCGATGGAATTGTACCATTCATGGAAAGTTCAAGAAAGTCCTCGAGAAAAGCAAAAAAAGAATTAAAGAAGAAAGTCTTTGAAATTCTGACAATGTACAGTACTAAAGAATCGTCGCCCTCACCAAGATTGCTTGCTCGACCCTGTAGCGTGGCTGTGGCTCTCACACCACCCAACCTCTCTATCGCGCTCCTCTCCGGTGGTCGTCTCCCTCTCTCTCTTCTCTCGCGCTCTGAATTAACCCCGACAAGCCTTGGAATGGGACTTCAAAAGACCTAAATAATCATGGAAAACATGGCGAGCCATAATCAGGTTCTTTCTCCCATCGAATCCGCTCCCTTCACTTTTGTGTACTACTAAGACACAACGCCGAAAAAAAAGTAACTCCACCCAGCCAGTAGATGAAGGCGCAATGTATTTGCTGACTAAAACACATTCTCTCTATCGCTTTCGAGTGCAGTCGATGGTCTCTCATTGAAGTATTCTCAATGGTAAGGAAATTTTGTTCAAGAGCCCAACCAATCCGCTGTGCTGTAAATGCTAAAACATGGTGGCTCACGCCGGGTATCAATGCACATCTGCTCAACCTCCCCACAAGCGGCCGTCAGTCAAGTATTAGTGTTCGAATGGTATTCTGTTATACACATGGATCATCCTAAAGGATTTACTCCGGTTTGCCCGGTGATCTTGGTCGTTCTCCATCGACATTCGGCTGTGCTTTTTGTGTGGGGGGAGAGGCAGGGTTTGACGGCGGTGAGCCTGGTGCCTCGTTCTCAAGACCTGCAAGCGCACTACATGAACTCGTCAGTATTTAGTCATATTGAGCTCGAGGGATCTGGGTCTTACCTGAAAGCATTTGTGCTCGACTCATCCTTCTTCTCTTTACCGGCCGGAGGTGTGCCAGTACGGCTACTGTTAGCACTATCGTCTCCACGGGCCAACAAGCCTCCAGGTCCAAGACCGCGTCGGCCGCTGTTGGTACGTCCGCCCAGCAGGCTGGGCGGTCCAAGTGTGCCAGCACCAGTGTTGCTGGGATTGCGGGCATTGCGGTTACCAAGTCTCCGGAGGTCGTCGGTGCCAACGCGATTCGACGTGTCGGGAGGTGGCATCTGTCCTCCGTAGCCACTGAAGCTTCGGACATCGCCACGACCCATGGCAAGTCTACCTCCACCACCACGTCCACCTTGCTGAGCAAGTCTCTGAAGTTCAGCTTCTCGGGCCTTTCGTTCAGCCTCTTCGTGGATCTCGGTAATGGTCTTAGGACCTTTGTCGTCCTCTTTCGACACCCAACCCTTGGATCGGAGATCGACCACATCCATGAGCATGAACCGAAGACGACTGGGTAGATCTGGTATGGCAATCATGTGGTTGATGCGGTCGAAGTAGACATCCATTCGACCCTTGCCCTTGCTTTCTGGATCATCGAGCTGCTTTCCGACCGTTCGCAGCAGACTCGTCAGACTTTCAATCTCAGCCTCCTCAGGGGTGCCTTCGTAGTCGACCAGTTTCTTCACGCATTCGTGCATAATGCGCTCGGTCAACATCTGGAGCTTGAACAATTCACCAATGAACTTGACTAGACCAAGACCCCGTCTCTTGGCAGCTGCGGCGATGTAGTATTCATCGGACAGCATGACGGCTTCCTGGTTCTCGCCCTCTTTTGCGCTAGGTAAGTTGATCTTCCATCCTCGTTCGAATTCCTCTTGACACCGATTGAGAAGATATTTTCGGAAAAGATTGCCGCCTGTAACCACATTGCCAAGCTTATCCTTGATGCCCTCATCTCTAATGTCTGGACTCATGCTTTCCAACATTCTACGACAGAAAGCAGCGTACATTGGCGCCCAGTGAGCTTCATCGGTTGCTTTTTCGAAAGTGAGCTGGATGACTTGACGTAGGGTACGACCATCCGTCTCATGCTTAGATTGTGCAGCAATATCCAAGATTTGATCGGCAATCCTGTCGAATTTCTCGGGAGTCATCTTGTTGAGTGCTGCCTTGACCTTGCGCTGCACCACATCGGGCTCCATCAAGCCATCGCCACCAGGAGCTGGGCCGGCGCCTGCAGCACCTTGACCGATACTGCGCGGTTTCCATCCGGTTGAAGATGTTTCCAGAGCAGTGATGCTCATGCCTGCGGTCAAAGGCATTGACTTGTTTTCTTCCTGGGCATGCTTAGCATTTTGCTTACCACGCTTGCTCTCGGCACGAGAGCCACCTCGACTGGCTCCACCAACGCGAGGAGAACCCGGAATGGGGCCAAGCGGACCGCTGGAGGGAGTGCGACCCATGGCAGGGGCCATCTGGCCAGGTCGACCAAACTGAGCGAACGGATTGCTGGCCATTGCTCCACTTCTAAGAGCCGCATTGGAAGCCGCAAATCGCTGCTCAGAAGTCGTACCGGGGGGCAGACTTGGACGAGCACCTCCGAAGCTGCCCATGGGACCACCAAAGTTGCTCATCGCGGCCGGCCCACGGGACGAGGGGTTGCGACCACCCATGCCCGAAGGAGTTCTTGCAGACGCACCTGGTCGGGAGGAAGTGTCGCCGTCACCCAGTGCATCCCTGATACGAGTGTCCCAGTCCAAAGTTGGCTTCTCTTTGAAGATAGACTGGAATTGCAATAGGAATTCCTTGTCGTATTTGAACTTTCGGTCAGCAGGAGCACTTGCGTTGAGGGCGGGGTTTGGCGACGCAATCTCAGAGGGATATTGGACTTTTGACAGATCCGCAAGCTTCTGGGCTGATTGAAGAGCTTTCAATGTCGCACTTGGCTCAGGTGGCTCGACAGGCTTCTTCGTGTCGAGAGTGAGCTCTGCGGCCTTGCCACGCTTCGCTGGAGCCTTTGCAGTAGGAGGAGGCATGGAAACATCCGAAACCGGGGTAGCTGTGCCGCTTTCAGCAGGAGTATGCGCAGCAGGGCTTTCAGTAGAAGCTGGAGTGCCGAAGGGGTTGGCCTTGAGTTCTGCAAACATCTTCTTGCTCGCATCGTCGGTGGCTGTTCCGGACGACTTCTCTTTCTCTCGGGCGAGCTCTTCCTCTTCGGCCTTGCGCTCCATTTCTTTCATGTTGGCCTCATAAGCCGCAGCATCTTCTTCTTCCTTCTTTCGCTTTGCTTCTACTTCGGCTGCCTTCTTCTTTTTGTACTCCTCTTCACGGCGAGCTTCTTCCGCTTCTAATGCTGCCATCTCGGCTTCAATTGCATCAAAGTCGATCTCGTCCTCGTCTGGTTTGGCAGGCACTGCAGGTTCATCTTTATGCTTCTCGTCTGCCTTCTCAGCTTCGGCCGTCTCTGTCGGCTTTTCAACTGTATCGTTCGTAGCGCCCTTATCGGAATCTTTTGCCTTGGTCTCGGCTGGGGACGCTTCCTGCTCAGGAACATCGGAGGTGTCTTTGCCCGTCTGCGCAGACGGCGCAGACTCCTTAGCCTCAAGCTTGTTCTTTGCCTCATCCTCTGCAATTTTCTTCGCGATGGCCTCCTGCATTGACTTCCTGGCTTCCTCAGCCGTCTTCACACTCGCACTATCGGTGCGATTATGGGTGTTGTCGGCAGCACTCGCCGTCCGAGGAGGAGGCGTGGGCGCTGTCTGTGAAGCAGCAGCGGACATTGCTGTGGCGCTCGCAGGAGACGCAGGTGGCTTATTGAAAGAAACAACCTCACCAGCAGTATTCTTGATCTGGATGGCGGCACTTTTCTTGGGGGGAATAGTATAGGCGGGTTTCTGGCCAGATACACTGGGGGTACGTGCGGTTTGCGCAGGTCCAGAAGGACCAGGAGTGTGAGGAGCTTGGCCTACACTTGAACCAGGTCGATCAGGAGCAGACATCTGTGATGACTGCCTGGACATCGAAGGTGGCCCGCCTTGATTGCTGTAGGCAGCTTGCATGTTTGGCGGATATGCATTTTGTTGAAACGGGGGTCGGGGAGACTGCGGTGGCATGTATTGGGGAGGGTATTGTCCCTGCATACCTGCTTGTCCATGAAACTGTTGCTGATAATGCATCTCGATGCTTGGATCAGCTCGGGTTGGAAGCCCAAAGCCCTGTGCTCTTGCAGTCAGAAAATGTTCAAAATTACCACTTTCGGGAGAAAGGTCGGGATAAGAAAGACAACTAGGGGGAGGTGCAGCAACGGGAAGATTCGCAAGATCGGGGCGATAGTGGTCCGAGGCGGGATCTCTGCTGAAAAGGGGTCCTTCCTCAAGTCCACCCCTACCAGAACCTCTGCCGCGGCCACCTTGACGACCACCGCGGCCTCGGCCTCTTGTAGGTCTGCCACCTCTCTCTCTCGAGGGTTCATCACGGGAAGAAACTTGCGACGGGTGGTGCTTTACATATTGGGGTCCCATGTAATATCCATTGGGTTGTCCGGGCATTCCCTGCATACCGCCGACCATGTGCATCTGATTCATATTCGGCGTCCCAGGGGTGGCATTGACGAGGGCAGGGCTTCGGGTGCCCATGGCGGGAGAGCCTTGGAAGGGCATCTGTTGGCCTCGACCAGCGTACTGGCCTTGCATGGCGCGACCATTTGGTGGCTGGCGGAACGACTGATGAGGCGAGTATTGCATCGGCTGCTGGTATGGAGGGTTGAAATTCTTGTTTCCTCTGCCTCCTTGGAAGTTGCCACCCCGGTTAGGAGCGGATGGCATACCAGCATCACTATGAACCGACTGCGAGGAGCCTCGTCGCATGTGTTCCTGCTGAAGACCAAACTGTGGGTGAGCTCGAGGCATCATCTAATTATGTCAGCGACCGGTATAATCAATATTTCTTCTTGCGTCTACTTACCTGATCCCCTGAGTCTCGCGGCACAACTGGCATATCCCCAAAAGTATAACCGTTACTAGAGCCGGTGATGGATGTGGGGGGACGACCTCCAACGAGGTGGGAGGGCTGAGGAATTGGAGATGGCGAGTTCGAAGCAGCACTGTCTCTTGGATTCAGTTGGCTCACACCCAAGTTTGATGTGTTCTGATGAGCAAGAGACGGCGTTCCCATTGCGGGAGAACTGGAGGGATTGCCGAACGAGCCAAAGGTGACACCGGGTTTGGTTTGAGGGCCGGTCGGTACAGTACCGTTGGGTGGAAAAGCGCTGGCACCGGCGGGGGTGACAGTCGTTGAAGTTTTGCGTGTGTGGTCAGGCAGTGATACGTTGCCGTTGACCGAGGGAATCGCGGGTATGGTGGGATTTCTTCCGTTTACAGATTCGCTATGACCGTGTGCTGGCGGAGCACCTCCAACTGCTGCAGACATCTTGTTGGGCTCCGATGCATTTGGTTTTGCGGAAGAAGGGTTGGTGGCGGATGGAAGCGAGGTTCGGCCTTGTGAAGCCAAATTCGATCCGTTCGCAAGGTTTGGGGTTTGAGCAGACGAAACAGGTCTCGATCGACTGGTGGAGGACTGCCTAGGCGTGCTAGTCATCAGATTCGATGATGATGCCGTCGGAGGAAACGCAGTGAATGCGGCGAGGTTGACTTGAGAGGCTGAAACGAAGTGGATGACAAACGCAGCCTTTTTCGCTGGAAATGTCGTCCGAGCCTGCGGTTTGATCAAAGGAACAGGATTATTCTCTGGATCTCGGCTTGCGACCACGACGCGGCGACTGTCTCGAGTGAACGGAAGCCGCTCTGTGTGCTGGTGGTTGGAGGGAGAGGAGATTTGATCCTGAGATCAGTTGTTTTTTTTTGGTTTGGGACAAAAAAAACCCGTGAGAGGAGATTCAGCGCAGGCAGATTCCGATGAATGAGATCGGAGCTCTGACTGTGGCGAATATCGACGAGATAAACTCCGCTATGAAGGGAGATGGGGGCACGACAACAAAGATGTCGACGGTGCCAGATGAACCTCTTCGCGATGGAAAGAGGCGCAAGGGGTGTGTTGTTGTAAAGGGTTGGGTGGAGGGAAAAACCGCTGATGGGAGGAAGGAGCAAAAAAAGTCATAAGGGGAAAGAACGACGGTCTTGGCTTCGGGGGAATCAAACAGCGTGACTTGCTGGCTGCGCTAAGAATTATTTACTTCCCTGCATTTATTACTGGCACAAAGGCAGCAAATGCGCCGCTTGAGAAACTCGCTCACTCGTCACTCTTTCGTAACCGGTGAATGCTCCTTAATATTCTTTGGTAGTCCCATTTCTTCACTTCCTGTTACCTGTTAATGTTTCTTATTTGGTACGTTTCTCTAGGCTTCCTCTGACTTTGCCCTTCACTCTATTTACCGTGCGCAGTTCACACAGTGACAATAAACTCCCGGCACGGAGTCTGCCCGACGCATCTACCTGAGTCAACTGCTCACCATCTCTAGGTACCCTCACAACTTCTTGTCAAGACGCTTGCGAGACTACCCAGATGTTTCTCTCGAGTCTGATTTCACTCAGCATACCACAATACTAGTCAACTTTGCCATTGTTCCGTCTCCCAGTTTCGGATCTCGAAGTCAAGTCTGCGCGTCCACTTCCCGTTAGTTCCTTACAGAGTGTTATAACTCATTTTATCCGTATATCTTTATGGAGTAGATTTGTTCTCCATCTAACAATCATCCCTATGCCGTACTTGCCGTACTGCCTGACGTCGTATGAACTGGCAGTTTGCGCTGCACGATGCAGCCACTTTAAAATCGCACCCCCCAATTTGCTGTACGTCTTTCAAATGTCAAAACACGGGCCAACTACGTCTAGACTTCGCGTCACTTCTCTTGCCTCTTCACCCAGGTACTTACGAGTGACTCGGTTTGCGACTTGTCCTCTTTCAAAGGGGGTTTCTTGATGATTGTTTCCTTTCGGAACGCGCCACTGCCCATGAGCATCATGTCCCATCTCGTTATCTTGCAAACAGATCTGTTCTCGGTCACGAAATGCAATTTAACGCCTAATTCCGGGTTCAACTCTCGGATCCTTGTCTCTCATCAAGGGTTTCCGTTCGGCTATTCTTCTAGCGATTTGCCTCTTTTCCACAGTAGCCTGGCTCCATCTTCGGTCATCAGCAATCGGATGGCTAGTTCTTAAATTTTTTAAATAGTGCTGAGGAGCCCCCGGGTTCATAGCCCGTTGGAACGCCCCGAAGACCAGCTTCAAGACGTCCCTCGGACGCGTACTTATTGGACCAATTCTTGCATCTCATCGCCATCCTTCGTATTACGTGCATCGTCAACCTAGTACAGTGCATGTAGTACGAGTCGTTGTGACTCACTCTTGCTTGCAGAAACACAAGACTTGGAAGGCAGTCAGCGCGCAGCATTGTGACGCTTGTGCTCTCAATGGCTCGGCACGGGCATTTCGGGTTGGCTCTCGCCGTGTTATATCGAGTGAGACATCTCGAATAAGCACAAAGGTCTTGTATTGCCTATCATCCGTGAGTCATGAAGACTTTGTGAAGAAATGTAGGATACCATCGGAGCACCACGGTCGCATATCTGTGCAGTGTGTCCTTTCGCCTTTTGATCACTTCCAACCGACTTTTGTGTCATGTCATGACTGTCGTTACTAATAAATACTATGCATAATTTAGGCCGCCATGTCCAACGCCGCGCTCAAGAATGGTGACAAGAAAGCAGATACTGTCCTGAAACCCGGCAGAAAATCAAGCTCGTGCGCTCCGTTTACCCTTTTTCGCATTCTTCTGAAATGCTTCCTCCGGTGGCTCGTCCATTCCTTTGCGTTTGCCTTTCTTCGAACCGCCTCCATACTTGGCTTCTAGATCATCGAAGAAGTTCTGAGCTCGTGACTGTTGGCGCTGTTGTATGAGGGCTTGGAGAGCATCTGTATCGTCTGCTCCCTTCTTCGATTTCTTCTTCGCACCATCCTTCTTGCCGAACAACTTGTCTTCCAGTCCCAACTCGCGAGCGTACTCCCGAGCCTCTTGTGCTTCCTTTTTGGCGGCTGCCTTCCGACGTTGACGACTCTGCTTGCCCTCTTTAGTGTACGTGTCGTATGCCTGTACTTCGCCCTTGGAGATGGCCTCATCGATGATCTTCCTGAAGCGGTCTTCGTCCTCTAGGATCTCACTGCACATGACACTCTCAAAGACTGCGTCCATGTCACCTTCGCCCTCCTCATACGCGGCTAACACGGCGTTCCTCTCTTCTTCGCTGCCCTGGTATTCTCGCTTGACCTGCTCAATCAACTCACCGTTGACGACATTGGCGGATTGCTCGCGAAAGAAGTCTCCCCAGTTGAAGTCGTCATCTTCAATGTTGGCACTTTCTGCGGTATTGCCCGTGGCGTCGTACCGCTTGCGTCTCCGTTCATCAATAAGTATGGCATAGGCAAAGGCAATCTCTTGGAACTTTTTGTGAGCCGTGTCTCGATTTCCGGGTTGGGTTTTGTCGGGGTGGTGTTTCAGAGCCAGTTTGCGGTAAGCAGACTTGACCTCGTCGGGGGTTGCGGTTCGTGGGAGTTGGAGGACATCGTATGGATCAATGGTGGGAGGGTCTGAGACGGTGAGATCTTCTTCTACTGAACTTGTCTCGCTATGTTCGATGTCTTCGACGGGTTCAGGCTTGGACTTGGTTTTGCGAGGCATGGTGATGGTGGAGAGGAGCTTGTCGGAGATTGTGTCGAGTGATTATGAGAAGACTGTTTTGAAAGGTAGTGAGAAGACGGGGTGTTGAAAGGTAGTGAGAGTTATATGAGTACCTTGTAGTGAAAGTCAAGCGAGGTTGAACCGTTCAACGAGGATCATGGAACTTTTTCGCAATGTCAGAACGAGATGAGGCTAAAACGAAGACACGCGCCCGAGGCTTCATCAATACTGTACATACGCGTTTCCCCCACACCCGAAGCGCCAAGCTTTCTGGGTCCACTCGACTTTACATATGTATGTTTCCGAGCTTGCGATGGATCTGTTTCAACATGTGTTTAGGAGGTCCGAGCGTGATCGAGTCAAGAGAGCTATTTGGTTTACGAGATCCCAGAGTTGAGAGTAAGATGATTTGATGGCAACTCGAGGGAATACCGTTCTATCAAGTGCCATGACTCAACGTTGAGCGCAAAGTGAAAGCGTTCCCTCTCGCGGATATGAGCAGTCAACACCTCGTGCTCCTTTCCAAGTTTGAAGAGGGTTAACTTGAAAGCAGTACAAGTACACACAGACCATCACCAAGTCTTTCGACGGGGCCGAGTCCCTGAAGTGCTTGTGGCAACGACATCCGTCCCGTAATGCGGGATCCGAGCCATCCAAAAGACCCAAGACGAAGCCATCCAAGGGTCCTATACGAGTATTGACATCATCACCTGGTGCTTCCATCGCGCGCTGCATTTCATCACCACTTTTTAATGTTATCTGATAACTCGTATAGTTGCTCTCGATAATGAGTTGTGTCATTGCTGATACCTTTTCCTGCACCGCTGTAGACTAACTCTACAATCACAGTCTTTATGTCATATTCTCGTCACACGAAACCATTGATGTTGCAATACAAGCATATAACTCAGCACAGCAACTGTCCCAGGAGCCCTTGGGCCAAACTTGTACCGAACGCCCATAATACCTCATAAAGTCGACTCCATTCCTCGTTCAATGCGTGTCCCACCAACAATTCCTCCAACCATCTTTGAAACTTTCCCGCGTCCCTTACAGAAGCAGATCTCTTTCTCGGCCACAGGAACGACAACCTTCGCCCGTCACCGCCCGATCATGTCGACCTCGACATCACCCTCGTTCACCGAGTACAAAATCCAGTCATCCCTCCCGTCATCCCCTTCCAAGCTCTCGGACCGCCAGGCTCTCCTGACCGCCTCCGTCCTGGACCTCTTTGCGGGGTACCCCAGCAAGAGGAAACTGTCTTTGTGGACCGATGACGCCGTGTTCAGTGACAGCCTGACCATCGCCACAGGCCGCAAACAGTACGAGGCCCAGTGGTACGGCCTCAAGGCGAGCATGTCGGACATAGTGCAGGAGGAGGTCGCCATCAAGAACGTCGGCAACCCCATGGAACTGCACCTCAAGACAAAGTACAAGGTCAAGGCCGTCGGAAAGGAGCAAGTCATCGATTCCACGGTGCTCGTGCACATGACTGATGCCAGCGACGGTGCGAAAATAACAAAGGTCGAGGACAAGTGGGGTGGAACTCCGCCGCCGGACGGATTCTTCTCAAAGGTGCGTTTTGACACATTGCTTTGCGCCCAGCAAGAACATATGCCTGTGTGCTATTGTGTGCCTGACTGCTGACGCCTCGATGCGCTAGGCCATGAGGAATCTCAATTCTGTCACCGTACCGGGATTCGTGACGGTGCCCAAGTCGATTGAGGAGGAAGAGGGCACTGCTTGAACGGTTCATTCCCGCAGTCATGAATTCGCACAAAATGCTTGGTGGACCATGAGGACGAGTCGTATTAGTACGTTGTAGACTATTGACATATGAAAGATTATGACGCTCAAGAAGCATCACATTTGCATCACCCTGTGAGACCAAGTTCGGCGTTCACACAAGTCAATCTCACTTGACCTGGTGCATCCCTCGTAAGACCTGAATGATCAAGGATAGATTGGTGTCCATATCCTTGTCCAGCAACGACCCAACCACTGCTGTTCACAAGGTCAGTACACTTCGGCCGAGTTCAAAACCTGACCATATTCATGGACATGTTCGACTAAAGCGTCATGATTGAGCACTTTTCATTAGAACATCCGGGGTTCGTCAGCCATACCGTCCACGTACGAGCATGCGCATGGACCCGGACTGGCAGTGCCACGAACAACCCAATGGGAGCTTTATTATAATTCAGTCCAATAGCAAAAGTTGTATCCCTCAGCCAATAATGCTCGCACAGTCCGAACATTACTTCCCAACACCATGAAAGTTGGCAATTATCCTAGATGACCTTGGAACCTATACAAAGACGATGGAGAACAGTGAAAGAATCACTACCAATATACAAGTCTCCATGCTGGTTCCTTTGCTGATTGCATCGCTGCTGACTATGATGACTCCGTTGGCAGTAGTCTGAGCAGGTGGCTGTTGGGTTATTGTACTCGTGACAGGCCCCCACCCAGAAGTTACTGTACTAACAACACACTGATGGCAGTTGTCCGTTGTTGTAGTAATGATGACTGGAGTCGGATTAGGAGAGGTGCTAGTTATCACAACCGTCGTCGGGTTGGGATGCGTGGAGGTTGTCACCACATATATCGTGGTAGGATGGACTGTTGGAGTATAGATTGGATAGGTTCCATCGCACCATTGTCCTGCGGGACAACATGCTCCGTTGCCGTTTCTTTCCCAGTAGCAGACATTGGGGTATGGACAGCAAAGTTGCTCAAGAATACTGTTCCCGGCACAGTAGGGGTTCTGATTTGTGCCGCAACCGTTGTTGACTATTGTGGTTGAAGCGACTGCCAGTGAGAACTGTGTAGAGAGCAGCGTCGCAACAACACCGGCCAACCCGTAGAACAGCATTGCGTCTTTCGATAGGCTGTGCGACGAGTATTGACGAGGGTTAGTAGTGTTGGGCCAAAAAATGGGAAGGCTGGGGGTTTTGTAGCTTTCACAATGCGCTGCATATAGTACTTGGGTGTTCAGCCTCCATTTCTTCGATCAAGCCATTGACAGCGTTCCCGGGAACTATGGTCGAGCAGCTCAGGTGAAAGACGAATGAGATGCGAGACAGACCTCAGCGAGGCATGCCATGCTGACCCAAGGCCAATGAAGGAGCTAAGAGAGGGGTGTTTGGAGAGGGACGCAGGCGGGAGCTAGGGACTTCTCGAGGGCAGCTACGGAGTCTTGTTCTGCAAGGGAAATGCCATGATGACGGAAGATGACAAGCGCGCCTCGTTCGACGAGAAGAAGTAAAACAATAAGCGGTCGAGGCTACTGTGATACGTTCCCAGGTACCTACATGTCATGCCTCGAGGCAAGTAAGACCACCCTGGGTACCTTACCTGAGCATCAAGGTACGTGGCTTACTCTTACTTTGAGAGATGCTGGACACATTGGCGATCGTCAGGTGCGTGGCTGTGCGAGTAAATGAATACGTGTACCTGGCTCCAGAGGTGCTGTGCGCATGGTTATTCAAGGTACATAGATAGGTAGGAAGGTAGATAGGTACACTGACAAGTCCTCGTACAGCCCAAGTAAGCCCCGGAGGAGACGGAACGAGGGGCAGATAAAGTACAATAGGCGATAGCGATAATCGATAAGCCCTATCGACACCCTTCGACCGGCTATCGATACTTGTCCGGACTGTCCCTCTAAGTACCTGTAGTACGTACTCCGTACAAAAACAGTAGCAGCACAGCCCGCAGGACTGGAGCCGGCAACTGAACTGGACTCGTCCTGTACCCCGCCAATTCAAGGGAAAGTCAGGTACAAGTGAATCATTCGTACGTGTGTCTATTGACCTAAGGTACCTGGTATCCAAGGTAGTAACTACGGAGTATTCAATCCGCAATCCGAGAATGCGTCAACTTGACCATCTCAAAAGACACAGAATAAGTCCATGTGTACGGAGTATGTAATGCATCTTCTCATTCCTCTTTCTCTTAATCTGTCCTCACCCATGTCTAGTTGGTCTAGGCATTCTGGCTGTGCTGCGCCCGACTTGTCCAGTTTCAACCCCACACTCCCCCTAGTCACAGCAGCCAAGATGCAAATCCCATCGTCACAAGCCACTCGCCTCGCTATTCTACGCACTAATTCAAAGATACTCGAACTCAGGCTCGCGACCAACCCGCCGCTTGATCTACACAAACGTCCCGCAATGCTTCTTCTCTCGTGACACTTCTTCTCCTCACACGAGCACTCTGTTGCTACTTGTACCGTGGCCAGCTCTACCGAGTACCACCAGATCACTTTTGGGTCTGTCTGCCAACGATCGCAGTGGTTCTAGCCCTCGTCCGCCACCGCAGTCATGGACAGACCGCCTTCCAGATCACGAGCGCCTATGAGCCTTGAGGCTCTTATTGACGAAGAAAACAGAGAAGTCCTTGCTGCCATCGATCGCTCCAAACGATCCTCATCTCCTTTACCCAAAATTGCCCACGCTCGAACCGCAACTCCTCCACCTCCCATCCGAAGCATGCTCGACGTGGACGATCCTACACCAAGACATGGCTCGATCGCAGGCATAGGAGTTGGAATCACAAGCCCCAGGAAATCCTCTAGATTGGATCCCGCAGACCCTTCGACCTACACCTCACCTCACTCGAGTAAGCCCAACTCGCCCGTACTCACCAAAGCCGTACCCGTCAGCACGCGACAACGAGGTTCTTCAGATGCAGACAGACCGGTCGGCCTCCCCAAGATACAACCGGATGACAAACGGGATTTTGAGCAAAACTATCAATTTGACATAGCTTCTATACCTTCCAGCGCAGGAATACTGTCGAAGGCCGAAAGCAGGAGACCACGCGAGGGTTCGAGTCCATCAATGGCTGCTGCCATGTCCGGCGACTTCTCGAATTTATACGTGACCAAGCCGAAAGGAAGTGGCAAAGGCTCTACAAATCCTCACCACTCGAGATCTGCTTCCTCACCGACAACAAGCTCCAAATCAGATTTGTTCAATCCTCCCAGTCCCAGTGGACAGCTGCTGCTCGACCCTCGGAATTCTGCCGGGAGTCAAACCTCCCAGAAATCCGATAGCTTTTCAACAGTCAATGACGATTCGGAAGAACCATCTGGGCGAGTGCCACGGGACGGGATGAGCGAAGAAGACGCTGTCGAAAGCAGTGACGACGAAGAGGTCATGTCTCCCAGTAGCGACGAAGACGAGACGACTAGAGGTCGCTCAGAACGACGACCAAATTCGACCGAGGATCCGCAGACAATAGCTCAAGCGTTGAGCAAAGGAAAAGAGAAAGCATCAACTACAGCCCCGACCGTGAAGTCGCTCTTGGAGCCATCAATATCCGTCACCAGCCCCTCAGGAGAGAACATGCCTGAAAAGACGGAACCACAACCACTCAGTAATATTTCACAGCCACCTTCCATAGCATCTGTGGAGGACGAGGATGAAGACTGGGCTGCAATTCAAAAGGCCAAAAGGCTTGCCATCAATATCTCGCCAGTCGATTCCAGCGTTGCAAACCGCGATTGTCGTGTGATCCTCCGTGGTGACTGGCTTGGCTCTCAAAAGAAAGCGGAAGCCGGGCGTCGAACGAGCAGACTATTTCTTGTGTGCAGTGATCTCAGCGTCGAAGCAAGCTATGCCATGGAATGGGTTGTCGGCACGATGGTGCGTGACGGTGACACTATCCTCGCCATGTATGCCATCGAGGACGAGTCTGCTGGAAAGGCATCGGAGGAGCAAAGAGATGCACTTACCGCAGAGGGTGCTCGTGCGGGCCAGGAAACCGCAGATGTAATGGAAACACTTACGAGGCAAACGACACAGGGTGGTGGGACCAGTGCTGGCTTGAGCAATAAAAACAAGTATATCCCAGCTACCGAGGCGGAAAGCTTGACAGGGTCAGTCGATGCAAGGAAAACGTCAAAAAAACAAATGGAGCGTCTTAGAGCGATCGACTCGGTCATCGAAAATTTCCTCAAGCTCGTACGGAAGACGCCATTGGAAGTCCGGTGTACGGTCGAAGTGATCCATTGCAAGAGCCCAAAGCATTTGATCTTGGGAGCGGCAAGTTCAGCACTGAATGAATATGTGGCTTGTTTCATGCTGATATGTTTTAGATTGATGCGCTAGAACCGACCCTTTGTGTTGTAGGCACCCGTGGCCGCAGCTCTCTGAAAGGTGTACTCCTAGGCTCCTTCTCCAACTACCTGGTGACCAAGTCTTCTGTCCCCGTCATGGTCGCGCGTAGGAGATTGAAGAAACCACGGTCAGACGTCAAGATCAGCAGCACAAGAATTCGGCTCAGCAATAATCTTTCCGCTACCCATATTCCAACGAAGCGAAGGAGTTTGACACAAGCCAGAATCGATTGAGTGATTTCTTCGAGCAATAGATCGAGGTTCAAGTGACAATGGTTCCAAGGCATCAGATAAAAATTAAGGAGGCGATACAACAGGGAATTTGTCCGCCATCTGTACATTTGTTCCGATAAACATTGCCCTGTGGACCACTGTACAAATAGCCATTGGCGGTTCAATGATTGACATCCGAAGACCAAACAACGGATAGTGGGCGTGAAGATAAAAGGAATAACGAAAACATCTATGCCATGACAGATATGATATTTGAGATGAGACATCATTATGGAAAAGGCGAACGTAGCCAACGTGAGGGAGAGGTTGACTTATCAGGTGCAGCATTCTAAGAATTACAGGAGGAAGCGTAGCATTCGCGTGCATAAGATACCATACAATACTGATAGCTGGCTCATAACCCTTCCTCTAACAGCGAGTACAAAACTGACGATTCAGAATGAAACCTTGAAGGAAAGCCTGCATTGTTTCAAGTCTTGGAATTCTGCCTAGTTACAGTTTGTTGTTGTTGGCTTGGACTTCGAAAATCAATTGTCCATGTTTTTGTTCCCCTTCCGTCGCTGGTGATCAGTGGAATCATCTCGACAAAGACTCGAGCCCTTGCACAATGGTAGATCTAGGTCGGCGTAAGGGTAACAGTGTGTGTGTGTGTGTCTTGACAGGTTGTAGGCGGAACGAAACGCAAAGATTTCTCTTCATCTCTTAGAACGAAATTCATCCAACCTGGCTCGATACATGATGAAACTAGGAGTTTGAAGCTCTCGCCGATCACATATTCTACATACGACCGTACTAGGAATCTCACTACGGAACAGCGGCAATCATAACACGCCTCATGATGAATATTGGTGGTGTCGGCCTGTCTTCAGTTGGGGGTTGGAAGTGATATGAAAGGAAGAGGAAATTGAAGTTTGGGAATTTGTGATATACCATAATTTCGGCGATTCTGGCTGACGAAAAGATAGGCAGCCGTCCGAATCAGGCAAGTACATGGTACGATTTAGGCAAGTCGACTGATGTCATTGAATTCGGATCGCCGTCCGTCGGGGGATTCTTGGGCGCGCCGGAAACGTAGGAAAGTTAACCAAGTTACTACTCCGTATACTTGAGAAGCATTACTTGTGTCGAACCACTTCAAATCTTGCTTGAAGAACGAGTACCGGTGAGAGACAACAGACACTCTTTTGTTCGTTTGCATCACCCATACTCTTACCTACATAGTGTGTTCTCATTTCTCGATACACCAAAAACAACGACAACAACAACAACCATGTCAGCCAAAGTTCCCACCGACATCCATCTCTCCTACCTCTCACAGGCCCTCGACCTCGCACGAAAGTCACCTCCCAAACCCACGAATTTCCGGGTGGGCTGCGTGATTGTCTCATACCCTTCTGACGACAACGGCGGCTCGTCGACGACGACGGCGGCCGGCAAGGTCCTCTCGACGGGCTACACCCTCGAACTCCCGGGCAACACCCACGCGGAACAGTGCGCCCTCGCGAAACTCGCCCAGGCCCACGGCACGGACGAATCACACCTTCACGAACTCGACGTGCTTTCGGCCGCCGCCGCCGACGACGTCACCCTCTACACCACCCTCGAACCCTGCGGGCACCGACTCAGCGGGAACAAGGCGTGCGTGGAGCGCATCATCGAGACGAGGAAGGAGAAGGAGAAGAAGTCGGGCGGGGTCTCCGCCGGTGGTGGGATCCGCAAAGTCGTCTTTGGGGCCAGAGAACCCGGCACGTTCGTCAAGGACAGTAAAAGTCTCCAGAGGTTGGACGCCGAAGGTGTGCAGTGGGAGTACGTGCCGGGTCTCGAAGAGGAGATTTTGAGTGTGGCAATGGAGGGACACGATGATGCCAGTGACAACAAGAGTGAAAACGCGGCACCACAAACGGCGACGACGACATCGACGTCAAAAACAACAACCAAAAGCATCGACGATATATCACCCGAGGAGAGGAGACGACAGGAAGCTCTACCCAGAAACCCAAAGAAAAGGATGATGGAGACCGTTTGACGATTGAGCACCGCGGCGCTCGTCACTCGATGATCAAATAAAAATTCCATGAGGATTCGGCAGGCAGTGTGCCAAACATCCAAAAGATTGAAAAAAAGACACATCAACAGCCCACCACATCGGGGTGCTTGCGCAATGACGATTCTCCGCGACAAAAGGCATTCAAAAACTCGTGTACGACTCAACAAGTTGCCTCGAGGCTTTGACAAAGTGGCCAACTACGTACTAGTTTGTGCAGGGTCTTTTTTTCCCATCTTCTTCTTCCCTGCTGGAACGACCACCGATGCCTCCACAGCGACATCGACACAGGTTGGCCCTCCTCGACAGAGAGGCAACCCACGCGAGGGCAAAATGACCACCGATGTCATCGCCACGAGTCCAAGTGACACAAACCCGCAGACTCGACCCATCGAATGTACTCGAGCGCGCCATCACAAGGTGTCTTTGGCCTATCAGGACGGACTCACCTCTCTCGACGCACGCTTTACTTCAAATGTCGGGATCGTCGACATACACTCCTTCAATCAGCGTCCGCTACGGCTCGAACATGAAAACTTGACATGACCGCTAAAAGAACTGCCGCAACGACTTGTCATGTCACAGGATCAAAAAAAGAGGCACCACCCGAGAAGTACTAGGGTGGTCTACACGATCTTAGACAATCCGATGACCTTCTCAATACCTAGGTAGTTCCGGGACCTTCCCCGTACACTGCAGCTAGTTACGGCGTGAGGTGGTCCTGTATTTGAATTCAACCCTTCTTGTCTCTCTCCTCCGACAAGATTCCTCCTCATTCGTCCTGTTTTCCCTTCTGAAGCCGGCCGGTCTCTCTCTCTGTCTCTCTCTGTCTCTCTCTCTCTCGGGCCATGCTGATCTGTACCAGGCGTAGGTTTGTACTATACAAGAAACGCTCACCACAAATTCCAAAAAGAGCCAAGGGAAAAAAAAAACCAAACCCGCGCATACCTTGCAGCGTCATTAGGAACTCGCCGCTGTCATGCATGCTCTTTTGATGGCACGTTTCGCTCCCCATTTGTGAGAGAAACAAAGTAATGCTTGAAACCCCCAGAATGGAAAAATGCCCAAAGTCCGTAAGATAAGTATAAACGCAAAAAATCCACGAAAAAAACCAACAAACAAAAATTCATTCCTCGGCAGAGATACCCTGGCCTTTGGCCTTCATTAACGTCATTGATGATGGCGGTACGTCCGCCATGTTCGATCGTTCCAGGAGCACCGTCAACTGCTCCACGTCGCCCTCGGTCGCGGCTTTGGCCTGTGCCCTTCTACCGGGCCCGCCCACCGCCACCACGTTCGACAGGTCCGGTTTCGACTGCGGCAACGGCGGCCGGTCCGAGGCTTTTCGCTCTCTGATGATCTTCAGCAGCGCAGTGACTTCGTCCTCCAGGTCGTCCAGGTCCACCTTGTCCTTGGCCAGGGTCAACTTCTTGCGATACGTCTTCAACATGCGCGCCGCTTGCTCCGTCGCCATGCCCACACTGCCAAAGTCGGACGCCTGGCTCATGCTCTGCCTGCGACTCGCGGCGAAAGATTGTGACCGAAGTTCCGGGACCGAGGGAGGCCGCCGCAGTCGGCCGTTGTTCGGCTTCTGACGGCTCTTGGGCGTCCCCGGCATCGACAGGGGCACCGGGGGAGGAGAGTGCGAACGCTCGATCGCTCCTGATGCCTTCTCCCCTGTGGCTGCATCCTTGGCCAAGTCGAGCCTCGACCGTTGCTTTCTCGGTCGAGACGTAGTCCGAGCTGGCGGAGATGGGGAACGGCGTGGATCTGTGTGCTCGGGATTAGGTGACTTGGCCGGCGCAGGCACATTGACCGACTTCGTCGGGGTGTCTTCGACGTCTTCCATCGTAGTTGACAGAGCAAGCCTGGAAGTTTTACGTTTCAGCCGGACAGGAGACAGTGACCGGGGTGTCGTGGGCGAGGGAGCACCATTGGTCAATTCTGCGAGATCCATCTTTGTCAACACCTTTCTCAATGGCGGGAGAGATGCAGGAGTCAGCTTCGGTGCCATCTCGCCATCAGATTCGTCAGTGGATATCCCCAACCCAGGCGTGCGCGGGTCTTGCGCGTCCAGCGACAACGACAACGCTGCTCTGAAGATTCTCCATATCATTATCGTGCCATCCAAGCCCGTGCTTACGACAGTGCATTGGCGAGTGCCGTTGGCTTCCTGGACGGTTTGTCTCAGCAGGGCGATATCGCTGACTCCTTCTGTGTGCCCAGATTCTCGACCCAAAAGAGCCATGTTTTTCTCGTTGTACACGCGTATCGATTTGTCCATAGAACAATAACCGATCACAAGACGATGCGAACTGTCCGCGCTTTCGGGACTCGCGGAGCAGACCATAGAGTTAAGGAACACAGTGTCTTCGTTTTCCGCATCCCCGACCTTGAACGAGTCGTTCAAAGTTCCCGCCGAGATCTCAACCTGGGTCACACGGCGATCCATACTGGACACCAGCAACAGATCATCTGTGGAGATTGTCATCGACAGAGGTGACCCTTTCAGGGTCAACACTTTGGTGTTCAGATATACTGGTGTCTGAACGCCATCCTGGTCGCGCAGAACACGATCTCGGATGACAAGTGAGCGATCGGCTGAGCAGGACAACAACTTTCCCCCTTCTTGCACAAACAGGACTTGGTTGACCGACCCGACATGATCATCCATAGTTTGCAGCAATTCAAAACCATCCCCGGCGATTCGATACAGTTGCACCATCCGATCCCTGCTGCACGTCGCTATCAAGGATCCAGCGTCATGACTTGCGATGCTCGTGATTTCTGCACTGTGAGCCCGGATCATCTGCACTTCTTCCCACTCTGACACCTTGATCAATTTGAGTAAACCGAATCGATCTCCCACGACGAAGCTGTTGAAATCCTGTACGTATCGTACGCGAGTCAACTCGTTTTCACTGTCGTTCGAATCTGCACTGCTGTTATCGAGGTCGACAATCTCATGCTTTATGAGCGCCCCTTGAGAGCTCCAAAACTTGATGTCACCGTTCTTAGACCAGGTGAGGAAATCTCCCAGAGCACAACCGTCCGAAAGAGTCTGCACGCCCAGTACTATACTGTTGTGGGCAGCGAAAGTGGGTTGTGACTCATTGGAGTCGCCTGGTTCACAAGGCTGAATCTGCAAACTGCCGTCGCTGTCAAGTGTGATTATGTGCTCGGGCAAAGTGCCTACCGCCGTAACACTTTTCGCAGTTTGTTGGACCAGGCCGAGTGATCGTCGGATAGAAGAGAGTCGAGGGGGTTTACGTCGTAACATTCTGCTGGGCGAATCAACGCCGGACTTCATCAAAAGTTCAAAATCTTCCGACTGTAAGCCGTGAGATGTACCGAGGAGCAACCTCTTAGTGTCTGTCAAATAGGCAATGGAAGATATCGAGAAGTCGGTCTTCCTGAGAAGTCTCAATTCAAGCACCGTCTGAGAAGTATCCACCAGGCAAAGATGCCCGGTTTCGGTTCCCACGACTGCCAGACAACCATCAATGGCAGCCACGCAGGTGAAGGTTGAATCGACCATGGAACCCAACAGACAGTTCCGGCCTTGTAAAGGGGCCGGTCCCGAAGGCGCACCAGGGCTCGTGGCGTAAGCGTCCGATGCCCTAAAGAATCTGGGCTTTTTAGAGGGGGATTGTTTCGGTGTCTCCTTCGCTTGCCAGATCTTGATATGCCTTGTACCAACGGTTATCAGGCTGGTGCCGCACCAAGTCATGTCACAGACATTGGTCGTGCATTTGTTCGCCGAATGAAGGGTTAGTTGCCCCGTCTTGGAATTCAAAGACCACACAAATAAAAAGCCATCATTGAGGTTGCCCAAGGTTGCGAGAAACTTCATGTCGGCACTGAAGGCTATGCAGCGCACTCCATAGGTGTGGTCACTGACGACAGAGGTCGGTGTCTCGGTGGAGGCGTCTTCGGCGGTAGAAAAGAGGAGCACCCTAGGGTTGTAGCCAGATTCGCCGACCGCAAGCCATCGACCATCTTGGCTCAGGGCCACACATGACGCAGACTTGATCCTTTCTCTTGCCGTCCATGTCTGGGACCCGGACTCGTCCAGCCATTCTCTTCCAAATGAACCGCCTCCTGCAAAGTCATCCTGCCGCTTCCTGGGGGTAAATGTGGCCGTCCTCCTCTTCGAGGGTGTGGTGGCAGGGGAGCTGTCGTAGTGAGACGTAGGAGGATGTAGTGAGTGAGCCGTCGGTCGGGCTTTGAAGTATCGGTGGGAAGGAGTGGTGCCTGGTTCCAGCCTTGCGAGGACGGCGACGGCACCGGCGCAATAGGCATAGCTGCTCGTCGATGCGCAGCATGTGAGGCCATTTGGGCTATTCGTGGTGGTCCCAATGACTCGTTGCAACTGTAGGGTAATGTCTGACGATCGTGGTTTCCGATTGATTCCAGACGGTGTTTTGCCAACGACCGGTGACCCTGTGGGAGTCGCACGAAGGGAGGGTGTCTGGCTATTCAGGCGACTTCGGAGGCCGTATGGGTGAGCAGCCATGTTCGGTCGTCATAGGGCGGAAGTTCGCTGACTTGTATAGTTCGTGTCGCGGGAGTTCCAGGCAACTGCTTATGGGTGCTAGTCCAACTGCGACCTGCCGTCCTATCCTCCCGTGGTCGATTCTGGGGTGTGGTGTCTCGAGGATACGGAGAATGTGACAAAGTTTCACGCGTCGTCCACCATGTGTTCATGTAATGTTCCCACCCATTTTGCAACAGACAAAACTCCAGAACTACATTTCACGTCAATCCGTTGGCAAGAGGTCGATTTGTTTGCGAATCAGCAAGTTAGTTGTGGTGTTTATCGAGCTCTGTGCACCATGTTTACATTCCTCAATCAGAGATGCAACAGCCACATGAGGCTAGTGACCCAGAATCCAGGGACCGTGTGGCTGTGGCTGTGGCTGTGGCTGTGGCTGTGGCTGTGGCTGTGGCTGGAACAAGTGGCTTACTCATATCTTATGTTATATGTATGTCCCAGCGGGTAGATCAGAGAGTAAGGCGTGTTGACGAGGATCCTCCTTCACATCCATCACATCCATCACATAGCAGTACGAGCACAAGTATCATGTCCCATGTACCCTGTCCAAACCCCTCAAGTCTGCATGGTGACATGGACAAACCACCGTCGGATTCAGTCGCAGTCGCAGTCTCAGGAGCATGGTGTGCTTGTCTCGGAGTTTCACGGATCCCATCGTTGCATGATCAAAGGTGTTCTCTCAGCCATCGATGTTCTTCTGTCGCCCACAGTAACCCAAGTATCCTCGCCGTCAGAATCCTCTTTTGGTGTCTTGGGGTGTGATGTCACGGCTCTCTGCGGATTTGCCCAGGTTCCGAAGATCCAGGGATTTTGCCTGTAAGTGAGTGCCAGTGAAATCGAAGAGCATTGTTTCCATTTTTGTTCAAGTTGCAGACATGATGGGAGTGATAGACGACAGTCAAATTGACAATTGCTTGGATTTCCGGCTCTTGGAATGCAAATTCATCTTCTGAAGGAGAGGAATGGCCTCACAAAGCATCGACCACGAATGGACAACGCGAACGGAACGCCATGGGAAACAATCGGCATGATTGGTCCAATGAGATGATTCTCGGGGATGTTGATCATACTCAAGGGTGTTCAGACAATCTGTGGCCTCACTCCGGGGCATGAATTCGAGGTGTAATTTATGTCAGCCATGACCGGGATGACAAAACAACTGTCTGGAATCTCTTAACCAGCAGATCTCGAGAGCCGGTCGATTATGAAGAGCCAGACATGTGTCAGATCAGGACAAGTATGAAGAGTGAGACAGGCAGCAGACCAGCTATCTGAATGGCCAACACGGACGAAGCTCGTTCAAAGTTCGTGCAGCGAGCATTGAAAGTCCGAGAGCTTGCAGTGTCGAAATCGCTTGTACTACCTACCTCTTGAGTGACATTTCGAGATAATCCTGGCCATCTCGAACAAGAAATCGCATTGCCGAAAGGGTCCGGGAGGGGGGAGGGCGCTTGGGCAAGAATATGTCACGGTAGGACAGCCAGAGCAAGCACAGGGTAAAGACGAATGTGAATGCAGGCTGACTGATCATGGCCCTGAAAGGACAGCCGGGGATCGAGCCATGCGAATTTCTGGTAGACGATTCGCCAGAAGCAAGAAGAAGAGGAGGGGGGGTTCTTTACTCAGTGTGGACCCTCTTTGCCTAATCTGCACCCTTACTCATGGAAGTTTGAAACGCGGTCTTTCTGAACCACGTGTCGTTCAGGGTTGCTTGGGTATGAATTGGGACGTCTCGGATACTACAACGGTGGTGACGACAGGTACATGCGACGACTTCACCCACAGCATCAGTCAGCGGATGAGGCTGCATTATTGAGCAGCTTATGTGATGACTTACTGTATTCGTCCACTTTTCTCTCCCGGAGAACATTCCAGAGACTCACCAAAGTGTCCCGGTAGGAGCAATAAACATTGCATTAGAGGCGAGTCCCCCCCTCCGTTGATCAAACGGTCGAATTTCAACCACAGCTTGCTCCCTCCTCTCCCATCCATGCCAAGATGTTGTACTGCTTATCACGCAGATTGGTCGATGGGGACTTGTACAGCAGGGTCAGTGAATGGGCCTGCACATCTCCAGTCAAGCGCAGTTCGGATCGCGGCAGTTGAGTGGCAAATATCACAACGGCGAGTTGGCAACTACAATCTTTCTGTTTTCAACAAGCGGTGGGAATGTTGGAGGGATTCACCGGAATGTTTTTTTTTGCAGAAGCACGATTCCACGGAGTTGAGACAGACTCCGGCAGTCTGATAATCTTGTAGTACAATTTCATGATTGCTTAAGTACGAATGCTCTCTTTTCGTAGGCAGGACTTGGTGAGATCTACCTAGATAGCGAGTATCTCTGCTGAGCCCCTTGTCTCAGTTATTTTTGCCTTCCAGTGCTCGGCCAGATCCATGGCTTTTCATTCTGCATAGGCCGACAACTCATCATCACAGTCATGAAACCTTTCAAACATACAACAGCACGCAGTACATTGTTGCTGGTCAATAAATCCTGGCACATCACACACACACACACATGTTCATCAAACGTGGGAACTTTCAAGGATAAGGTACCACTCCCACACACTCGATGCAGCTCATCCCTCCTTCGCTAAAAGTGCATAATCATAACATCACAATCATACCTGTGAAGGTTGGTATCTCGCCGCCTTTCTGATAAAACGCCAAAGATCAAAGTCAAAAACTTCCCAATCAAAAGTTCCAGTTTCGAATGAATCGCGTAGTGTTTTACAATGAATCTTCGAAGGAGTGCAATGCAAACTCGGAATTGACATCTGCGGCATTCTTGTCAACGTACGAGTCTGTGCCGTTGTAAAGAATGTCTGTTGATGAAAACGCGTCGAACTTGTCGAATTTGTCGGGCATCAACATGTCGCTGAAGGACTGATCCTGACACGAGCGGAGTGTGTTGAGCTCGGCGTTCAGCTGCGAGATGCGGCCAGTCAGGCGGCTCACTTCGTCGGCTTGCCGGGTATACGACTGGAGTAGATCTTGGTGCTTCTCATGGAGATCTTCCAGCTGTTGTTCTAGACCTTTGACGTGCTTCTCCTTGCGTTCTCTGAACGCTCTTTGGGATGCTCGATTTTGAGCACGTCTTCTCTGTGAAAGTAGTCAGTAAGGATGAATTTGTCATGATGCGTACAAGGCCAACCAACCAAGTGCATGTTTGGAATGGTGTCCTTTTCCTTCGCCGGAGCCGACGTACTTCCTCTGCGTCTTCGCCGTCGCTCGTTCTGGTCCAGGGAATCTGAGTTGCTGTAATCAACAGGCATTTGAGTTGTTTGTGTGGTCGAATAGTAATTCGATGATGCTGGGTACTGAAACATGTCATACTGCATAGAAGCAGAGTTGAACATCATCTGACTCATTTGCTGGAATACGTGAATCAATGGCAAGTTCGAGTCGACGGCCACAGGAAGCTACTTACGAGTGGCGAGTTGGGACTAGAGCCCTCAGAGGTACTATCGAAATACTGTCCGGCTGTAAAAATTGATTGATTCGGCGATTGCGACGGTGAGCTAGCAAAGCCAAAGTCCATGTTGATGTCTGTGTTGTACAGCGACGTCATTCAAGAATGTGACGGCGCTCAATGTCTTTATATCTTGAAATCAGGTCCAAGGCTGTGAGATCTGGTGAGTTGAGTAAGCGTCGAGTAAGTCAGAGTGGACAGGAATGCGTAGAGTATTTCAGCAGAGTCAGATTCCCGGGGCAAATCTCAAGATGGTAAGAGATTATCTACCCTACGAGTAGCTTCGTGAGGCTACCCTGGATCTGCCAACGCTAGCATTCAGGACGGGGTTTATTGTTCTGCCATTGTCACAGCCGTCACCACCAAGGCTCCAAGGGTTGCAGATGTCGGCCGTTGCGGGCGCAAGGATTGTTGACCGACGGGAAAATGAAGGGACCGCTCAGGTTCCACGTTGGAAAAGCCTCGCACCAAACTGTGTAGGGCAGTCGGAATTGCCTGTCCGATTGGCGCATTCTACGGCTGGCACGTCAATCAGCAAGCTTCGAGCCTCTAGTTGGAAAGGTAGAAGCACTGGCCCTACCTAGAGTCAGCACCAGAAGACCCGGAGGGACCACCGGAAAGAGACAGGTGCCGGGGAAAGACTTTGCGAATGAACGAGCATCACTGTAAGACTTTGGGACCTATCCGGGCCGCGTCTGGCAAGGTAATGCTCGAACATCCCGTATTCTCAACGCGGGGCCACTGCATGACACGGATCAAGATTGGTGACTGATTGGTGATGCAAGTTGTCGAGGCTCGGAACCTCTCAGGAGGGAAGAAATCCTGAGAAACCGCAGAGGGGACTGCAGTTTCCTGACCAGGAAGCTGCCCTAACCCTGTATGGGACTACGCACAGATCGATCGCTCTTTAGCTCAAGCTCAACCTCGGACAACCGCCGGCTGCCACCATCACTAAAAGAGTCCAACGTCCGGCTTGCTGAGTGAAGTGTCTCAAGGGAAGTATCTCTTGGGAGATGTGCCTGGTGACAGATCCCCCGCAAGATAATCAACTTGACCGTTGAGAACTCTCGACAAATATGCGAGCCCTCGTACGAAGATCCGGAGAGAGGGGCGAAGGGTCAATCCCACGGCCCTTGGTTGCACAGAACTTAGCACAACCCACGCGGAAAGGCGTCCCACCTCATTTACAACATGGTGACCAGGGGATCGTGCCTTGATCATGTAATACAATTTCTGCTGACCGATACGCCTTGGCAACACTATCGTCTCGCGAGATGCACCTGGGATCCATCAAAGACCCCCGTGTGCTCGGTGCCGAGTGGTCAGTTGCGATAAACTGTCTTCACATCCCGGACACTTTCCTCATGCGGCAGTTTGTGGCGTTTTTTAGTGCTGTGAGTCGACCAGGCATGTTGTTGGTACAATGATGAAGGTGTGGTCCATCGACATTCCAACCCGTGCCTCCGCGGTGTGACAGGGTGTCTCGTTCGTAGCCCGCTTGCACCCATACAGTAATGGGTATACTTAGACGTGATTTGCTCTTTGTGCCATCCTCAGGATCCTGGAAGCAATGTAATACGGCTCAGATCCAATGGGCGAGCACCGTGGGCGACATGCGTCTCTGGCGCCCGAGACCTTTGTGTACGGCCGTTCGATAGTCATGTGTCTGCTCTGTAGCCCAGTCATGAAGAGGCTGAGAAGTCGATCCAAAGACGTGCCAAGCAAGACACGTTCCTTTTGCAGTAAGCGTTTCGATAGAACTTCCCTTCTAGCTAATGAAAAGTGATGGTGATAGTCTAGGATGCTTCGTGCTTCGTGCTTCGTGCGAATGCTGGTCGGCGAGGCCCTGTGTTCTCCCAGAAGGGCAGTTACTTAGCGGGACTCCTACTACTCTTTTTCTTACTCGTGTCTATTGACTCGAAACACTACCCAACAGATATCCGGGATACTTCTATGGTAGTAGTGCGTTGCCGGCGCCCTGCAAGCTGCACCTCGGGCTTTTGGGTGAAACGTCGTTTTGGATCGGATCGTGCTGAGGCGAGCACTTATCTAGCCTCATGGTTCGCCTTACGCGTTACGTCGTGATGTGTTGGCAGGGCGTTCCACTGATACTTGTAAGTGGTAGACAGGAGACGATCACCATCATCATCATCATCCAAAAGACTGGGTCAACATGTGAAAGTACAGAGTAGAATGCGTAGAGACCTTGGGGATTCCTTTTCCGCCTGTCAAACCGTTCCCCCACACGACCCTGATTCTCACCGGTTCAGCCCTGGGCAGGAATAGTGTGGGCTTCGTTTCTAGAAAAATAACTTCTTGTCTGAATGACTCATTCAGGTGCAACATTGCCGAGTCCATAAAGTGTTTGAGCATGTTCCGGCTTTGCAGAGAACGGGTAATGGCCGTCTGGCTCTTCCCAATGCAATAGTATCTTCCGTTCAATCAAGATATCGCATCTGATGTACACGAAGGAACGGAAAGGGCAACGAATCCCAACCTGTAATACTTCGTTCTGAGCTTTGACACTCGGAACGCATGAAAGCGTTCGACAGCCGCAGTTCCTGTCCGTGGCGGAGAGCGCTAGCGATGTTCAGAGGCCCGACTAACTCCAAGTAGCATTTGATAACTACGGCATCTGGTAAGGTAGCAGGGAAACATCTTGAGGGGTCGTCCTTACCTAATATCTGCGTAATGGTGTCTGCAGGTACATTACAAGCGTGGCTGATGAGTCAATCGAGACTGACAATTGGATGTGGAGGGCATGGTCGTGTGCCGGAATCGATCCGTGGCACAAAAAGCGACGGATCTCTTCCTCAGCTCAGGCTTGCTTATGTCTCGAATTCCACTCACATTCGAGGGTTCTCACCGACTCGGTATTGCATTCGGCGCTGGATTTGGACGAGAGCAAGGTCATGAACATGGACCCGTAGATTCTCCGAACGGCTGCCCTCTCTCACCACGAAACAGAGCTTGATTGACATGATGGTTGTCGGTAGGCTAGAGCTCGTCGGCAATCCTGGTTGTTGAATAAGACTAGTGTTATAGATCTGAGTGGACGCCTCAAACTTCGAGAACTTCGAGCATCTGTTGAAGATTTTGACATCATGTGGAAACCAGTCCCGTACTTCTAGAATCGAACCAAGGTTGGTTCTTGTACCTTGTCCAGTCTTTTGCAATCTACAAAGCGTCGATATGTCAACCGTAAAATGACTGGCGGAGGATTCGTCCACTTCTGCAAACGCATCTCATTTGCCAAGTGTGTACACTCGATATAACACAATCGTGGGGGACCTACCGCAGTGCGCACCAGTCTCGATAATGGAAGGTAAAGATCCGTTAATAACTCCGATACACTCGATGACATCCTATGCAACACAAGATTACGGCCGTCCTTGTCGTTGAATTTGAACAAGTGGGCGTTAACCATCTGATTGCGCTTGAGAGAGACATGTTTCGAGCGATTTGCCATGTGCATTTGTGTATTCGTGTCATGAAGCAACCCAAAATACCCTTGCCAATGGGTCATTGACGATCTTTGAGAACTTACCTGCGGGACTGTAAGGCCATCACGAGATGTTTGGCATGTCTTCTGCAGGCCAACGGTGGGATCTGTATAGAGGAAAGATGTTTGGCACCTCTCGGCAATTGATACAATTGATGGGTCCAAGCGCCACGCGGTGACAAGAATCTGCATATCGTAGCTGTTTAGCTCTTGATTCAGCAGGGATAACCTCAGGGGCCAGGGTCTGGTACGTGATCATCCTACGGGATATCCATATATGGTGAATCAAGTAATGTCGGGGCCGACACGTTTTGCAGGTGTCGTGAATCTCATCACTTCCCAGTTGGTGGGGGCGAAAGGGCAACAATGATTAGCGATTTGTTTCAAGGGATCGCGCCAATCGCCTATCGCCTTGATCACGGACCGGCCCAGAAGGCGACGATGAACGCCACAAAGAACAATCTCTCTCTGTGTTCCAGAATAAAACATCACCTAGCCAGGGTACAATGATTGTATCCGTACTGTAGGTACTGAGTATGGGGTATGGTGAATGAACCAGGCCTTCTAGAAGACCTGTGCTGGTGGAGGTAGGTATCCGCAGGCAGTTCACACTTGATGCAACATGGATGATTTCGTAACAAGAGGTCGATGACGAGACACCGGCGTTTCTGAGCTCTGCAACCCTAACACACTCGCTACTAGCAATAACGAAGAACGTAGCGACCTGTCCAGGTACTGCAATCATGGAAGACGACGGGGTAACGTTGCACAAGGAGGAAAAGGAGAAATGGGAAACACATGGGCATAACACGTGCAATCTTGTCCTACGCTAGGCCCCGTAATGGTCTAGCGTGGTTTGGCTGCGATGGTGAGCACAATGGCATGAGTTACACAGAACTGGGGTTGGGTATTGTATTCGGTAGAGGCCAATGTATGACAACAGCATCATAGAACACAGACAAAGACACAACCTTCTTTGACAAGGCCATCGACACCTCCTTCGTCCATCCCCTTTCTACCCGCACCGAATAAGAGAAATCACAATGTCCAGCTGCGGAGATGGGTGTCGATCCCTGTGCGCCGCCGGCGCGTGGTTGTCCCCTACTAGCTGTCCTTTTAGGGCCCTTAGGAGGCTCTTTAGGCTCTGCAAGTACCTAGATAGACCGTACCAAACTCCGCTAGGGCTCCCATTCCTGTCAATCAAGCTACCCCTTCTCTCCATCTCACTTTGACGGCTCTTACCACCACCTCCCAGAGCCACTGGGTCCTGCTCTTCCCCGAGCCATTCATAGCTTGACCTTGTGTCAATCACTGGGAGTAACGACTACTACCATTCCACCGCAGTTCTCCATCCCAGCATTCTCTCTTTTCCGACCCTGACCACCGCAACTCCTTGCCTTGTTGCCTCTATCGAGCTATCCTTCCAGACCATCGAGACGTCGACGAGCACCCCCCAGTTGTATCTCTGAAATTCGGAGACAGGGTGTGCTTCCACCACAGGTTCATCTCAATTCCCAGCTTCTCGACGGTTTGCTAATGAGCAATCTCCAGCGGTCTCCTTCCTTGCTCTTTTTCGAGCGACGCGAATCGACTGTCGGTCTTCACCTGGCCCCATCTCCGACCATTTGCAAACAACCCCTGGCGCTTCTTGAGTGAACATGAGAGAAGACTAAATACAATAGTCTTGCGTTGGACATTGAATCCTACCTCTACAGTCATACCCTGAGTGCACCTGTTTCTGGGTGTCTGCTGTCGCAGCTCAAAAGATGGGGTGCACCGGGTCGAAGATCGACCCTCGGGAAAAAGAAGCGTCACAGCGAAATGCCCGGATTGAACGTCAACTGCGCCATGACCGGAAGACGGAAACTCGCACGGTCAAAATCTTATTGTTAGGTATGATTCACAACAGGCGCAGGCTGGGTGGGAACGATATTGACTATATACATAGGAGCTGGTGAGTCCGGCAAATCAACAATCATCAAACAGATGCGCATAATCCACTCGAACGGTTTCCAAGAAGATGAAAGAGTCCAAGTGCGAGCGGTCATTTACTCTAATGTTGTCGTTGCATTTCGTGTCTTGTATGAAATCATGCAGGATGAAAAGATCGATTTCGAAGACGAAGCCAATGAAGCCCAGGCCGAATTTCTCGAGAGTATCAATTCCGACGTCGATGCTCACGAAGCATTCCGGGACAAGAGAGTCAAGGAAGCAATGGTGACTCTGTGGAAAGATGCAGGAGTACAAAAGGCCGTTGCCAAAGGCCACGAGTTCGCCCTGCATGATAACCTCAATTTCTATTTCCAGAATATTGATCGAATGTTCGAACCAGATTGGACACCCAACGACCAGGACATGTTGCATGCACGACTTCGTACCACGGGCATCACCGAAACTGTCTTCGAGCTTCGCGAACTGACCTTCCGAATGATGGACGTCGGAGGTCAAAGATCAGAACGTAAGAAATGGATCCATTGTTTTGATGGCGTTCAGTGCTTGCTTTTCATGGCAGCTCTGTCTGGATATGATCAATGTCTGGTGGAAGATGTGAATGCCAATCAGATGCATGAAGCTCTGATGCTGTTCGAATCCCTGGTTAACGGCGAGTGGTTCAAAGACAAGCCAATCATTTTATTTCTCAACAAGATCGATCTTTTCCGCGAAAAGTTGCCTGTTTCGCCGCTCTCGACCCATTTCCCAGACTATACTGGAAAAGATGGCGATGAAGAAGCATCCAAACAATTCTTTGCCAACCGCTTCAGGTCAATCAACAAAAACAGTGATCGAGAAATCTACATCCACTTCACCAACGCCACCGATACCAACCTACTAAAGGCCACTATGGAAGACGTGCAGGATATCTTGATCCAGAAGAACCTTCAGCGACTTGTTTTGTAGCCATGGCTACCAAAAGCTTTCTATGTCGCCTGGTTTAGGCCCATCACCTTGGGCGGCGCGAATGACTCACATGTAATCACTGAAAATCATGACAAGAACCATGTCACTGATCCTTGCACAATGTTCAACGACATATGCTTTGGATCTATGGAATGGGTGAACACTTCCGGGAGGCCGGTCTTGACGCCAAACATCAACAACGACAGATCTCCATCATCAATTTCTCAGCAGCGCTGGCGAAAAGGGCTGATTTATGGGCGGATCACCACGTTTTTTTGATTTCCAATTGGAAGTCAGGATATTGGTCGCGCACAGTACGAAAAAATTGGTATTCATCGTATGGTGTACGAATGCATACCAAAAGAGAAACAACGATTCGACCAAGGTGGCAAGCAATGAAATCGACCGCAAAAGCAACATGCACACCTTGTACATCATTTTTTCGATTTTTGTTTTGGTCCCGGACATAAGAAAGAGTGGTCGAATTGATGGGCAAAGTTTTATGACGGAGCATAATTGGGTTTTTTCCTTCTTTTCCCCCCTGCTTGTTGCAGGGGAGAGGGGCGCTGCTCTCAAGATGCCCCCAATATTCGAGATGACTGTAAGCAAAGGAGTCGGGTTGTGGAAAGGATGCGTTTCTTGTTGTTTTTCCAAATCTGGGGAGATGAAAAGAGAGAGAAGAGAGAAAGAAAAAATTGTCGAGTTGCGTCTCACCAACAGTGACGACCACCATCCATCTCAGACGACGAATAATGTGCGTTTTCATCTTCGTAATATACCTTGATTCGCCCTTGACTCTTTTTGTTTTTTTCTCTTTTTTTTTCGGTGTATTTTACAAGGAAAAAAAGAAAGAAAGCAAATCAAATCAGGTCAGGTCAAATCAGGATGGTCCCAAGACCACGAAATAAGAAAAACCAATCCCAGCCTCATTTTCACACACAAACAATGATACCTTCCCGACGAGTATATGTCAGGTAGGAAGTAGACGAGCACGTGAGTACGTGAGTCGAGAGACACGAGTCCTGCCAGTTGGTGTTGGCCCGTAGGTTGTGCGTTTCAATCATGATCCCATCGATGTTGATGATTTTGGGTGTCGGGAGAACGGAAGAGAGAGAGAGAGAGAGAGAGAGAGAGAGAGAGAGAGACGGATCGAATTCAAAATGTATTACCAGGGTACAGATCAGTTACCTCTCAGTATCATACGGAGGGGTACGGCTGGCTATTGAGGCAACAACCACTCAAACACCCACCCATACGGAGTGCTTTGGTACAGGTAAATGACGGTACTGGAACGACCATTTCTCCAACAAAAGAAAACACCACAGACACACCAAGTACTACCCTCTCATCGTTCCTCGGGAAGACATTTCCCACGTTGTTTGTCCGTTTACTCCGTAAACGGCCGATCAGATCCGTCAATGACTAGTCTTGCGGTCCCCCTTGATCTTGTGGAGCAGGTCGCTGGCCAGGGACGTCGAAGGGCGCCGTTCTTCCGACATCCTCGGCCCGCCCGTGGGCTCGAGGCCAAAGATGCTGTCTTTCCTCGTGACGTCGCTGGCGACGGCGACGCTGCCCTTCCTCGCGTTGGCCGTGGCCGCGCCACCCCCGGCGGCGGTGACGGACCCGCGGCGGTTGTTCAGGCTGTTGTCGGCGGCGACGTTTTGCACGGCCTGCGCCGCGGCCGAGGCGTTGGCGTCGAGCGAGGCCTGGGACGCCCGGCGGTCGCCCTCCATGGCGTTCGAGGCCGCGCTGTGACGGCGGTAGAAGCCGCTGTGTCGGCGGAGGAACTCGTCGTACGTCGCGTTGGCCTTGTAGCCCGCCCCGCCGGTCAGGGCGTGGGGCATGGTGAATGCGCCAGACATGTTTGGACGTTTCAAGGGGACGGGATACGGAAACAAAACCCGGAATTCGACACGGGGGCGGTGATGCGTTCTCGGTAAATCTTCTCCTCGTCGTCGCACGGAGCTTTGAATTGTTTTACTCCGTTTGACGATGGTCGGACAAGGTAAGTCGCAATGAACCTGGCTGGGTCCTGCGTCCGGGAGAGTTGACGACCACTATGCTTCTACTAGAGTACTCGTGGTAAGTACCAGGTGAAAACAGGATCGTGTATCTCCGGGTTCGAGATCTTCTCTAGACCGTGAAGTAAGAAACGCACTCTCGGCTGGGCCTGCTGCGAGGTCGCTCTTTCGTCGGTGGTCGAAGATTGGGAGGCAGAGGTAGGATGGAGTGCGACCAGAATAGCAGAGTCTTTGGATATCTGGTTTGAAATGATTCGCGGGACTGTGCAGTACAGCACTGGCTTAAGTCGCGTCTCTCAATGCAAGTGACCTGAATTGTTCAGTGGCACGTCAAGAAACATTTCAACATGTGCGCAGCTTTTGAATTATATCTCATCTCCCTCCCTTACCGTCGCTAAATTATGCCTTTCAATTTGAGCCAGCATGGCTGACATGGTTCAGCCACAGAGAGAGTGGTCACGCTCATCGATGGTACCACCCCGCATCGTATCAAGGCTGGAGCTGGACCGTTCGATGGACGAGAAGGAGCGAAAGGTTTTGGCATTAAATGACTGTCGCATTTCTGCGAGCCAGTAAGGTGGCAGCTGGCGCCGGAATTCTCGGGAAAAGTGATCTCGAGTGGTGATGGTGTGTAGCAAAGGAGGGGAAGCTGTGACCGGGGTCAAGGGGCTCAAGGCTGCGAGGACAGGGCCGAATCCTAGTCGGCCTCGTGTTTGGTCCGGAGGTTCCCACACGCCATGACCACCACACCATCCCGCACGAGGAAGGCTTGACATCCAGATGAGAGGATGCTGAGCATCATGACAGTAGGCTGGCCGAAGTATATGACGAGAACTACCCCATACGTCGGCACGAGTTGCTCATTGAAAGCGACAATGATAAGATAGGCCAGGGAAGTTTTTATGACACTCGTTTAATCGTACGCCATCGAGGCAGTGGTCAGGCCCTTAGAAAATGGCTTCCAGTTCTGCCGTCGAACGACTGGCAGTGGTGACATTGGCATCGTCGTCGTCGCCATCATCGTCGAGCCTCGTGTTTGATGAGACGACTCATCAACGTAACTGTAGAAAATATTGATGGCCACATTCGCTCTTCTCAAGGATACACCAATAACTCCTTGATTGGCTGAATAGCCACTGGAAGTGGAATATCTGAAGCTGCCAAAGTTTGAGTGATATGCGCGAGCACCATCGTTGAAATTAGTTGTTCCGGGTCTGGTTTTATCACAATGTGGCAGATGAGCGTGACCCAATACAACAAGCCTGGATAACGACCCCATAGATGTGCCAAATCGGTCCGGCGAAGAATGTGGCTCAATGATTGGGACTCGGGTACGAGATGAGCGGCCTCGGATATAGAGCAACCATTGGCCTCTGCCTCGAGCATCAGGCTGATAGTAATACAACATGCCTCATACCTCAATTCAACTTCCTTGTGCCGGCCAAGTGACTCCGTATGGGATTCATCGCTCACGTCTATGTTCAACCGCTCTTTTCTGAGGAGGTCTCTCAAAGAAGCAGTATGGGTAGCAATGTCCTCCCCGCTCCGATACAGTCTGTACCAAGTTTGAAAGCTCTGAAGAAGACGCCTGAATGTCGGCGACAAGTCAGCATCAAGATTATTGCGCCACTGCAGCACGTTTGGACAGTATAATGGCGAAAGCCATTCCGGCTGGGATGGAGCTTTGCTGCAATACAGTTCAAACTTTTGGATGATCTTGGACCATGTCTCAGACATGACCTCCGAATTCGCCAACATCCGATGGGCGTATGATAGTACCTTGGTCAAGAAGATGTATCGTCCGTCGGTGGTCACGAGCCAGGTGGGATCCTCTTGCATGCGCATGAGTTTACTGATGGCCCCATAATGCATGTCATATTCCAGAGCAATCTTCTCTTCAAGTACCCTTGCACGAGGCCGCTGCGACGCATCTGACATCACTTCCACGGACAGTTGCGATTGCGAGTTTTCATCCTCGCTGGAGGCTGTGACCTGGCATACCATGGGAACTCCCAAACTCATGACTGCGATCATGTTGTCGAGAGTAGTGGCCTGGCCTGGCTTCGCCAGGGCGGTATTGACTTTCTGGATCACTATGCCCTTCAACGATAGAAGGCTGGCACGCGAGCCATCGCCGGTCACAGCGTGACGGTAGGTAGAGTATAGGAGCAGGCAGCCGGCATATCTACTCTCGCAGCAGTCGCCACTCCGTAAGATAGTGTTCCGGACAAAGGCCTCTCCAAAGAATGTGTGCATGTCATGTTTGAGGGAGGCAAGGTAACCAGGGTCCTCACTTGAGATTGATATCTGAGGAAGGATGCGGAAGGCATCGGGGGTAGACCCCAAGTAACAGTTAAGGGGTGTAGGACGTCGCGGTGAGAAGAGACCTACAACTGGGGGCGATCTCTGGCGTAGCGATGTACTAGAACTGCCTGAGGACGAGGGGGTCTGGCTGTTATCAGGGGAGCTCGTGTTCGACGAAGCATTCAGGGTCGATTCGTTGGGGACCTGTTTTGCTCTGGACTTCTTGTGTCCCCACCAGGACGCATGTCGTCTCGCAAGCCGTCGGGCCTGAGGGGTTAGCAGCTCGCTCTGTGAATTGATGAAGAGGATTGGCGGTCGCGAGCTATCTTTTCGGGCCTTGCCATTAGGCATAGTTGCCTGAGTCTGCTTTGACAAAGACTCAGCCGCGACTGCTTTGACCTCACAGCCAAGATGTCGATACGTGACCAACTTTGTGGTAGCAGTTGAAATTCCACAGATGCTACGACGCCTCGGAGGGCCAGAGAGACATGGTTCATGGAAGTTTTGATGTGGTGCGAGGACGAGCTGGGACTCAAATTTTACCAAGGTAAGGAAGTCTGGAGCACTCTTCGTAAGCCAGAAGACATCGGGCGAGGCTGAAAGACGGCGAGACTTTTCTCGGGACGAAGTGATCAGGTAATAAGAGAAGCTAAACTATTTTAGGAAGTTGCAAGGGTGTCGTCAACATCAAAGCTCTCCATCTGCTCCACTCGTAGCCAGGGACCATCTCAGACCAACATGCTACGAGCGAAACATGCTGATTCGAGATATTGGACTACTCAGCACATTGTCCCTCAAGCTCCATAGGTCTTGCCAAAAAGCTCCTCGTAAATTGCTTTGCCTAGGCCAAGTCCACTAGCCGGGTTTTGACCAGTGATGAACGTCCGTCCATCGGCACTCTTGCTAACCACAACATGCCCATCGAAGGGGTTCTCAGCCTTTTCATATTTGCCGCCGGTGGCCTTGTCAAGCTCGGTTTCCACGCTCCATGGCTCCACGACGCCGGTGGCTGGGAACAATAATTCACACTCTTTGTTGCTCACTCCGACGGCCTTGTGGCCATCAATGATGAACTTCCCGCTGGATGGATCCCTTACGTGCGCGAAGGCAGCAGAACCGTGGCAGATACCGCTGAGGAGCTTCTTCTGGTTGTAGAAGTCGAGAATCACCTCCTCCGCGGCTTTTGAGTCAATCACGTCGAACATGGCTAGGGAAAATCTGGTCAGTCATGTCTGGCATGAGGCAGGCGAAGAAAGGAGATCTTACGTCCATAACCTCCGATGAAGCAGATGGCGTCGAATCTTTCCGCGTTTCCCTTGAAATCTTCCAGCTTCTGTGAGTTCTTCCAGAGATCTTGCTTGGTTTCGTAGAAGCGGGCACAAATCTCATCGTTCTTGAAGAGTTCAACCGACTTTTGGTCTGGCGGTGCATCTCCTCCAAGATGAGAAGCAATCGTGATGTTGCAGTACGGCTCCAAGATGTCAAATGGGTGAGCCAACTCAGGCTGCAAAACACGGTTAGCTCTAATTTCACGGACGACTGGAATGACTTACTAGATACCATCCGGGCTTGTGGGATGAGATGACCATGAGGACAGCGGGCTTTGCTGCAGACATTGTGGGAAGTAGTAAGTACTGAGGTTGTTGTTGTAGACAGTTGTACTTGTGGAGATTTAGGATATGCGAATGAGAAGCTATTTGCTCAGTCTGAAGCGTTGTTTGAAGTGAAGATTGAAGTGAAGATTGAGTAGGCTGCAGCGGTATTCTGATTGTCTTTATACCATTGCAAGGTAAAACACTCGTGATGGCCATGTCCATATCAAGCAAGTCCGTCAACATAGTGGTTCGGGGCTACATCTACGTTTTTGGAATATCTGAGCATCTTCAATATGCCAAGTGCAGATATCTTGAGTATGGCAAAGCCTTACTGACGGTGTTTTGAGGGTGCTGCTGGAGATACGAGACACCCTTCTTGGTGGTGAAGATCGATATCAAGTGTATAGCATAGTACACGTACTCCACCTCTAACACCGAAGCCGATGGATGGCTTAATATCAATGGTAGTGATCACCATAGAAGTCTCAAGAGGGAAATATTGTAGTTCCGAACAGCATGTGGTAGTCGAGAAATGGAGCATGCCATGAGGATACAAACAGTCGGATAGTTATCCTCGGCGGCCACAGGAGACAAAACTCTGAGATACTATTCGCAATCGGTCACTCACGCCAATCGACGCTGGGGCCGCTGTGGCTCATCATGGCTTGTGCCTTATGGGCACTTGGATCAGTCGATGCGAGGCGAGAGGACTGGTTGCGGACGTAAAAGCATTGATAGAGTAGCCCTTGCAAATACCTGAAATGGGCATAGTGTGCTTCATGCAGGAACACTGAATCTCCAGCTGACAAAGAAATGCCCGGCTTCTTTCTCGAGAGGACGAGTATGGATACGGGTACTAAAGGAACGTGCAAACCTTGCGTAGTACTGGATCCTTAAAAAAACATTCACTTTATCACTGAGACAAGTCGAAGTCGTCAGGGATACAGACAGGACAATGTTTCAAGTGTTTTGAGTTGGTAAGAAATTGCTGATCACGTGGAGAGGGCAGTTTTGACGATGCTGCGGGTGTTTCGGCAATTGCCGCACCATCAACGCATGATGAGGTGGCGGTGAAGAAGGTCACATGATCCTATATCCAGCCTTCAACCTCGGATTCGCGATGAATGATTGTTCGCTTTGTGCACTGCACATGCCCCAGTCGTACCATCCGGAGAAAGTCATCGATGCAACACGCTCGCAACTTATTCCAAATCTCCCGACACCTTAAATCTCGGCCTTGCACTGCATTCATCTCTGTATCGACTTCAACTCTCCAACGCCCCATTTCAAACCACAGTATCCCTCGGATCGTTCTCAAGGCACGCCCTTTCTCACACGGTCCTGCGCCCTCGTCGTCCTCACGTACACCCGCATCCAAAATGGCATCCGCCACCACCTTTTTCGATTTTACGCCGAAAGACAAGCGTGATCAAGAGTACCCCCTTGCTCAGCACAAAGGAAAGGTGATCCTCGCCGTCAACACCGCCTCCAAATGCGGCTTCACCCCTCAGTTCGCCGGCCTCGAGTCCTTGTGGAAGAAGATTTCTGAGAAATACCCGGATCAATTCGTCATCATCGGTTTCCCTTGCAACCAATTCGGTGGTCAAGATCCCGGCTCGAATGATCAAATTCAAGAGTTCTGTCAGCTCAACTATGGTGTTACATTCCCGGTGCTGGGCAAGACAAACGTCAATGGTGATCATGCCGAGCCAGTGTTTGAATGGATGAAGTCGGAAAAGCCAGGCCTGCTGGGTCTGAAGAGGGTCAAGTGGAATTTTGAAAAGTTCTTGATCGGCCGCGATGGAAAGGTCGTCCAGCGATGGGGCAGCATGACCAAGCCGGAAAGCATTGAGAAGGAGATTATCCAAGAAATTGAGAAATCCAAGTCGGGATGATTGAGTTCAAGCCGGCTTTATTTGTACAGCAATCACAAGAGATACCCAGATAACTCCTGCTCCTAGTATTTGGGCGGTGGCCCTGAACCTTCGACTGGATTTTCAAGATCAGGTACACGATATTGTGGCGGGACCTGCCCTTGAGATCGTTCATGTTTGTGCCCAGAGACCGCAAATTCCAGCTCCATCTCGTCGTCGATAGCCTTGTGTTGTGCCGCCTCTTCTGCCTTTCTCTTGATGCGTTGCTTCCTGACAATGACAAACAGAACAATTCCCAGGAGAAAGAAAAGACTATATCATGGTCAGTCTCTCATGTTTGTACACGTAGAGGTGTTACTTACGTCAAGCCGATGATAAGAGGTATGACAGTCGTCTGGAAAGTAGTGGTGTATTTCTCGCAGATGTCGTCCGTGTCATTGGGGTTGACGCATTTTCTCTTCCACAACATGGTGTTTGTTTGTATGTAGGCGGTATCGGGAGTACTTCGGTTATGCTGGCTGAATAGACTGGAGATTGTAAGGAAAGACAAGTCTATTTGACGTGCTCGATCTTCGGAGGATTAAAGAGACATGAATGAGAGTGGCTAGGTAGGAGGGAAAGTGATGTTTCAAAACAAAGAGTGTCCTATGCGGCGGGCGTGAGGTTCATCACAATGAAGTGAATTGGGGGTTTACCTGGTGGTCCGAAACAGGAGTGTCCCGGGCAATGACAGGTACGTGCACGGGGTCGAGCCCTTTGAAGGCGTGGGTTTCGTAGTACGGAGTACGGGTACAGTGATAGCCGATTGTAGCCCCCAGACTGGCGCCCCATAGTAGATCGAGACCCCCTAATTTCACAAACCTTTGAGACGAAATCTCAGACGCGCAATGCACTTGAGTCGGGGCCCCTTCAATCGTAAGCGCCTGTCAGTTGGCTTCCAGCCCCCGTGTCAACAACATTCTTGCAAGCTTCTAGCCTGCATTGCATCACAGTTGTCAATAAATGCTCTGAACCCCAGATCTCGCTCTCCAGCTACAAGCATAAGCATTCCTCAATGATATCTTTTGCCATCCTGATTCTCTACCTTCAGGCACTTATCCGGGCGAATATGGGCAACACAATCCGGCCAAGTGCAGCGGGACTAAATTATGCCCAAGAATCGGCGGCTTCGCTAGATGTGAACCGTTGGCTTAAAATCATTGTCCTAAGATTGCACCGTCTCAGACTCGATCCCGCCTGTTCGAGTACTCCGAATAACTTGAGGAATGGGCAAGGTGTGTGGCAGATGAAAATGTTGCTCTTGAAGAACGTGCAAGTATTCCGATCAGATTTTTCCACCTGTTGCAAATGTACTCAATATCTGCACTTTATCAGCAGCTGCGAGGACATCTGTTGGCTCTACATGGAAGAAACAAACCAAAAAAGATCTTATTCTGCTCAAAAACGCCAGTATTTTCGGGGTATTTTACATCTCTGTGGTTATTTTTCTAGTTCATCAACGTCGCCTCGCCGGACTTGTTGTAGCGACTATTTCGATGCACGGAGTTTGCATTGACTCAACGGCATCAAGATGGCCTTCCTAAGGACATGCCCCAAGGAAACAGCAGAGTTATATATCTTCACTCATACTCAGAGTTACAGCTTTCATTATATACTTCCCTGAAGACCGCCGAAGTCCTGCGAAGGCCATTCAGGAAGCTGAGATGTCTTTGCCCTCTTGAAATCAGCTTGGACCTTGATGCAGGTATGGCAGCAGGATGACGAGGCGTTCGTCCAAAGTCCAAAGCGCGCCTTGTCGTGTTCACCGTACACTGTAAGTATGCAGAAGACCGCTATATGTCCAACTCAGTACGAGCCACTTCTTCCCGGCCGTTACGAAGCAAGAAATTGATCAGGTAGCTTTCAATGGCTGACGGTATTGCCTGCGCTGGATACTTTATGCTAGCCTCCTCTCCATGCTGCCAGAAAACATTCGTCAAGAGTGTGGCTTATTGTAGGATCAGTCAAGGCTCGCTAGGTTTCTGCCGATGACCTTAGTTTCAGGAGATCTTTTGCTCAGACATGTAATTGCAGGTCACGACTACTGTAACGGTGATTGTGAATACTATTATAGGCTTAAGCTGTCGAGTTCTGGCCCTGTTCCTGCCTATGCTGAGGGCTTTGTTGAGGGTTTTGCTGAGATTGCCTGTGTCGGGTTACACCTGAGGGAGGACCGCTAGGATTTCAAGAAGGGAGAAGAACGAAAGACAATAGCATCCATGTCTTCTAAATGAGGCCTCTTCCGAAAGACAATGAGAACTGTCTTCTTTTTCTTCTGCTGCTGCTGCTGCCGCCGTTGATCTACTATGAGTACCGCGCAGACTGGCGCATACCAAAGGCTACCTACCTATGGCTATTTCACTTGTACCAGGGAGCTATATGCCTATGACCCCTCTTCTCTCGTCCCATGTCATGTCGTAAAGTCGTCAATTTTCAACATGAATTATTCCACCCCAGACCTCAGATCAGTTCACTTATTCATTGTATGTCATTACAGTCGCTCACACATACTGTAAAAGTCCGGGTGTTAAAAAGGTTTAGGCGATAAGTCGGCAAACCTGCCCTGATCGTGAGTGCAAGTGCCAAGCGAGGAAGGGGATCGCAGGTCGAAGCTTCGAAACATCATCAACCTGTCCAACTCTCGACAAGCACAATCACCATCATTTCTGCTCACCTCTATCCCACCAACAACCCTCTTTCTATCGAAAAGACGGCCACTCACCCCTCCGGAACGTACTAGTCTTTGAGAAAGGAAGTCAACGACACAAGCACCGTCAAAATGTCTACAGATCTCTGGTCAGTTTGCCCCCCATACCTGTAGCCTGCAGCTCGCGTCGATAAGCTGGCCTTCCCTCGTGAGAGGGCCAGTTTCATCAATAACTTGGATCGCATTGTGCTAACATTGTTGAATTATAGCCCCGTATATGCGGTATGCTCGCCCCCCCTTTACCCCCCCAATCCACAATCCTATCGAGCAGCGATGCTGTCATTCCTCCTCAGCTGCCTGGAAAAGCTTCGAAGAATGAACACTGACATACATCTCCTAGCCCTTCTTCGGTGCCATGGGCTGCACCTCTGCAATCGTCTTCACCTGCTTCGGCGCCGCATACGGGACTGCAAAGTCCGGCGTGGGTATCTCAGCGATGGGTGTCCTCCGACCAGATTTGATCGTCAAGAGTATGCGACGCCATTCAAAGAGGGGATGGGCCACGAACTGACACATATTCCAGACATTGTTCCCGTCATTATGGCTGGTATCATTGCTATTTACGGTCTAGTCGTCTCAGTCTTGATTTCGGCCGGCCTGTCACAAAAGGAGCCTCTGTTCACCAGCTTCATTCAACTCGGTGCCGGTCTGTCCGTCGGTCTGGCCGGTCTTGCTGCTGGCTTCGCCATCGGCATTGTCGGTGACGCCGGTGTCCGAGGAACCGCCCAACAACCTCGACTTTTCGTCGGCATGATTCTCATCCTCATTTTCGCCGAAGTGTTGGGTCTTTACGGTCTGATCGTTGCCTTGTTGATGAACTCCAAGGCCTCGACCGATGTCACCTGCTAGATCAGGCCCGAGAAAATATTGGCTTGGACTCGATGGCGGCTGCGATGAAGCGCCACGGGACCACCGCGCACCAATATCGGATCAGAACGGCTTACTAGACCTGAGAGAGAATCAGACTCGGAAACTCTTTACGACAAGGCATCCAGTTTCTGAGACTCGAAGGAACTTGTCGAAGCAAGTCAAACCGGGTAAAAAAGAGGAGAACCACAAAAAACCAATTGAGAAAATGTACCGAGCTGGGTGAACGGGATCAGACCCTCCAGATGAGGTTACTTTTTTTCGTGTATGAATGTCATAGTTTATCAGCACAATCGACGAAGGTGGGCCATGGAGGTGCCACGTTATCGGGCACTGCAGTCGAGGAGGTGTCTGCAATGCTTTTTAAATCATGTATGTACACTTGTTCGGCACTGAATTAGATAATGCTTTTCGTAAACAAAGTTTGCTTCGTTTTTGGTTTTGTTTTCTTTTTGCGACGTCTACTTCTTCTCTACTAACCCAGGTACGTACCACTTTGTTGGCATCGACGTTTGCGGTACAAGAAGTATGGCTAAAGTAGAATAGAGAAGGAATACGGAAAACGTAGTCGATGGTTGATTGATTTCGTAGTACATGGACCGGATGGGTATCACTCGGTGTACGGGAATGACAACTGGGCGCTCATTGATGGATGAGCTCTTAAGCACAACAGATATGAGGACAAGCACAAGCAGATCAGTGCTTGAGAAGACCAAAGAGTGAAGATGTGTGGATATTTCATCAGGTATATTCTTGTGTCTTATAGGGTGACAGTTGTTCTCAATCTATCAGGACGGTAAATGTCGTGAACCGGGGGCGCAGAATCGTCGTGGGAGAACGAAAATCTGCGTGCTCTTAGTCCTAATGGGTACGAGTAGTGTGGTAAACTTTCGCTCATGGTATGAAAGCCGCTTCACAAGAACGCCCCAGTGTCAAGAAGCAATATACGCCAGATGGTTGCGGTATGGTGACGATTGAGAACAAACGACAATCTTCTGTGCAATGCTTGCATTCGTCTCCCCCCCCCCACCATATTCTGCACCAGAACAAAACCCAATCAATGCATAAACACGACTCGGTCTAGTTGAGATGCTGGTACCCTTGCGTATCTCTAAATGCGAGAAGAGGAACTTGCCAGACATGCGATAATGTATACCAAAATAAAAAAAACCCCCCAATGTTGAGATTACTTTATATCTGGCCCAACCTCCGCCTGGCGTTCCGCGTCTTGCGCATAAGCTTCCTGTACTTGTGCTTCTTCATCTTGAGACGACGTTGTCTCTTGACGCTGATGGCGTACATTGCCGGCCTTCGTCGGTGACCGAGGCGTCTGCCGCCGATTTGCTCTTGGATCTCGCGCATGTTCGAGACATCCTCGATCTCCATCATGGGCGCCGAGTGAGGGGTGAAGAAACCGTCGTGGTCTGCCGAGTCTTGTTGTTCGATCACGTTCATGACGACTTGCTGGACGTACGGGTCGTGATCCTGGTTTTGGATCTCCACCTCCAAGGATCTGGCTTGCATTTCTTCACCGGCTTCTTCTCCGGCGGCGGCCCGTGCTTCGGCAGCTTCGATCTCGGCATCACTCAGCGGCGTCGGTGAGGGGGGAGCATTGAAGGGTCTGAACCGTCTTGCAAACTCTTGTAGCACAAGTTTGACGTTGCCTCCGTGGATATTGATGGTCTGCGGCGCCCCGTCCAGGTGGTGGGTGCGGTTGGGATCGGCCGTGTTCTCGTTACGCTGCATCAAGGCCTTGATGATGGCCGCCTTTTGCTCGGCTCCTTGGCTGTGATGTTCGCCTCGCCTGCTTGCTATCTGCTCGTCCAGGCTTTCGACCGCCGATGAGAGAGTGTAAATGACGTCTTGTGTAGCTGGACGAGATTTCGTCTTGGGCTTCGGCTGGAACATTTTCTCGATCGCATCGACGCTCGTTTCTGGAGGCACCGGGCCTGTGATCGATAGCGGCCGATGAGTCGAAAAGAAGGAGGCTACGTAGATATCTGATAGCCTCGGTTAGCTGTGAAGACTTTGACAACTTGAAGATTTGCTCCATACCCTTCGGATTCAGATGCTGTAAGCTGGGTACCGATGGCAGTTTCGATGTCCAGTCATCTTGTACCTCTTGTTTGGCATCAAACTTCTCCTTCGAAGATCTCTTCTTTGATAAGCGTGACTCGGAGCCAGGTCGCTTTGTTTCCGATCTCGGAGTCCCAACCTGTTTGACTGAAGCTGCTGGGATAGCCGAAGAGCCATTGTTGGGCGGGACGGGGGGCTTGGAGGACGAATGCCGCCGCTGGTGTGCGTGGGAGGTGAAGGATGCCATCGATGGCGTTGTAGGGCGTGAAGGGACAGCGGCGCCATTGGAGCAGTTGCGCGCCACTCGGCGCAAAGAGGTGTTGAACATGTGTCCGACAGCTTACTCGAGAAGTGCAGTGCTGGACACAATATCAAAGTAGAGGTTGCCAACCGCGGGCTGAAGAGGGTATGTGACGGTGTGAGCGTCCAAGTATGAGGTGATAATGCAGTTCGGGAAGACCAAGAATCGGACTTGGTCCGCAGGCGGCAAATCAATCGGAGGCAAACGCAAACTCGTCAACAATGCCAAGGCTTAGCTAAACCTGAATTTCTAAGCCCTGTTCAACTGGTCCTCCTACATATCTCGGAGACTCCTTTGCTCCTTACCTGGTATCTCGAAGACTTACCCACAACTGACGAATTGTGATTACATGGCCAACCATCTGACGGAGGTTTATGAACAAAAAAGTCCCAGGTCGGCGTAAATCTGTCAACATTCTGAGTTATCCACAGCTTCCAAACAATGACCTGCCATTATCCTAGGTTTCAGCCTTGCCTGATTGGCGTAGTGTACTGCTTCTGACCCAGGCTTACGGTGACCCGATCACTTGGTTCTCTGTCAAATTGGCTTTCAGGATGAAGTGTGTTTTCCGACTCTGTGGAGGTAGGCGACATGAGAACCGATTTCTCAACGCAGAAGGGCGCGAGATGAATAGCGCTGTGCAAACTTTTAGGTTGATCGAAAGAGGCCTTTGAAACTACTATACGACTGCCTGGGCGATACAAAAGGAGCGAAAATGAGGCAGAAATTTTACTACTCGGAAAAGAGGAGAATGGCAATGTACTGATGCCGCAGACATAGTGAGCAGATATCGTGAAAGCCGAGCGCCTAACTTCAACACTTTACTCATGAAGCTCTGAATCAAGCATATCGCTTTATATCTTTAGGAATCAGATCAACGCTGTTTTCGATTCTTTGGTATGTGTTCAGATGGACATATTCCTTGCTCCTTACCAAACGCATCTTCCAGACCTGCCTTGAGGAAAAGGTCTTTTCCATGGCGCCTATCATTGACTAGGTATGTACCATTCAGTGACAATGCATACCTAGTACATTGGCCATACTCATGATCGGGGGGATATTTCATACTCTTCTTTTGGTCGTCTTCACACTAGGCTGCTGCTGGTATCAAGTTGTTGTCTTATTGCAATGACTTATCAAGCATTCCCACTGGATGGGGGATGGGTTAGAAATCCTGCAGCTTGCGACACACCTCCAGAGGCATTCATCTATGGACTCTTCATATTCGAAACTGCGCATGTGGTACACTCGATCTCCTGAACCATTGAAGGTTACCGGATATGGACCTATGCGGTATCTGCGTTCCCAGTAACTCGACCCCGTGTGCCAGCATAGCAGAATCTGTATCGCTTCGAAGCATAGTCGATGTACAGAATTCGGGAGTAGTACACACACACATATATCTCTTTTCTTACTCTCTCCACAGCCAAAGCGTGACCATTTATATGTATAGCTCCACAACACATTTACCCGAGGTCATGGGGGGATGTCCCATTGTCAAGCGGGAATGATTCCGTGGGTTGGTTTCGGATAGTGCACCGTCGACACAAAAGCCTCAATACCGAATAGACAGAAATATACCCAACGTTTCTGTTCGGGCAAGTCATCGAGTCATACCAAAAAAAACCTGCTCTCGAAGATCGAAAGCCTACCTTGTATATCCCTGTTGTATTCCAGATTCACAAAAACCTCAAACCCGTTCTCTACCTTTTCTCTCCACCACAATGGCCCCCAAGTACGTCAAGAGAGTCAGTCTCTTCAAAGTACCCAAGGAAGAGGACATTGACGCCATCATTGCCGAGTATGCCGTTTTGAGAGCTACTGCCCAAAAAGTAGGTTTACAATTTCCTTCCAACGCAACAGCAATGGCGTGAATGTAAATGTAATGTAACCGCGATCCGCGAGCTGACCATTGCTTTTCTTTTGGATAACAGGACGGAGCACCATACATCATCTCGAACGAAGCTACCCGAGTCACCAACTCGTCCGAGGAGAGAGCACAAGGATTCACCCTCGTTGCCGTGACGACCTTCAAATCCCGAGAGGACTTTGAGTACTACGACAAGCAGTGCGAGGCCCACGCAAAGATCCGTTCGTTCATCGCGACGCGACGAACGGGAGTCGCTACGATCCAATACGAAAGTGAGTTGTGAGGGAGTGAATGTCCTGGTTCGACTCAACACGGGCCTGGAGTCAAACACCGAGGCCGAAGCCGATCCAGAATCATCGAGAGAGCGAAAAAAATAAGCACATCTATTGGTCATCTTCACATCGTCCAGATGGTCCATCTAGCCGGGTAGTCTTGTCTTTGTCTATATCTTGGTATCTCTAGGCTCCGACTCTAAATCTCTGAACCGCTTGAACCATGCAATCGTTTCTTGGTTTTGTACCGTAGCACTCGGCTTGACGTCCTTTCCGCTCAAAACGTTCTTGATGGCAATCTCCACCTTTTTACCATTGATCGTGACGGGGATATCGGGCACTGCAATGACGAACCTAGGTACGTGTCTGGGCGACAATCCATTTCTGATGGCGTTCTTGACTTGCGACCTCAGGTCCTCCGTCAGGGGAACTCCCGGTTTCATCACGAGGAACAAGAAGACCTGCTCGTCTGGATCTTTTGGCCTTCGACGGCCGACACACAGAGTGTTACTGATATAATCCGTAAACGGCTGGGTCTCCACGATGGCATAGATTTCTCCACTGCCAAACCGTATACCAGAAGGATCTATACCATCGTTGGTCAGTGGACGTGGGGTTCGCTCACTCGCCAGTTAGGGACGAATACTTACTCAGGACGCCGTCGCTACGACCGTGCATGGTGTAGCCTCCTGTCACCGGATTTCTACTGAGCCAGTCGTGTTGCGCCCAGACGTCGATGTGTTCAAACCGTTCGAAATATGCGGCACGGTATATCTTTCCGCCCTTGTCGCCCCAGAAGAAGCACGGCATGCTTGGGAAAGGTTTCCGGATCACCATCTCGCCCGCCTCGCCCGTGCGTGCTATCGAATCGCCCGTGACCGAGTCCAAGACGTCGACGTCCATCCCGAGCGCGAGTATCTGCATTTCGCCCGCGTACACGGGTCCACAAGGGTCCACACTGAGCAGAGAAGTCGCCGTGTCGGTACCTCCGGCGGTGTTGCATATGTGCACTTGCGGCGGGAACGAGCGATAAAACCATCGATACTGCTCCAAGGACAGCGGCGCCCCGGTGGTGTACACCATCCTCAGGGGTGACAGGTCGAATTCTCTCTTCGGCATCGTCCGTGACATTTCGATCTCGAGCAGCAGGCGAGGAGATGCTCCTAGAAAACTCACGCGGTACTTGTCGCAAATCCTCAGTAATTGCTTCGCGTCGGGGAATAGTGGACTGCCATTGTAGACGACCAGTGTCGCGCCGACGGACAGGTGCCCACACATGACGTAGAAGACCACCCAAGACGTACTCGAGTACTGCATGATCACGTCTCCGGGCGCCAGGCCGTTGTGCAACGTCGATATCTTCTTGACCTGCATGAGTAGGCCGTGTTGGTGGACGATGCATTTGGGTGCCCCCGTCGTGCCTGAAGAATAACATATGAGAAGGGGGTAGCTGAATGGCACACGAGTGAACGTGAGCGCATCCGAGGAGCTTGATCGCTCGAGAAAGTCGTGTGTCGTGGGAAATTTCGTTTCCAGGGTCTTCACGACAGGTACGATGTAGACCTGTGGCTGTGACTTTAGTTTTTGCAGAATCTCGTCCAGTTTTTGTGCTGTCGGGACCGCCTTGCCTTTGTACACGACGTGACTATCGACGAAGAGGACACTCGGTGTGACTTGCTGGAGCCTGGACACGCAACCTTCAACGCCGAGTTCCGGACTGACGCAGGTGAAGATGGCGCCTAGCGAGGCTGTGGCATGGAAGAGAACGATGGCCCAATTGGACGTGGCGACCAGTGCAGCGACGCGATCTCCCCTTTTCACACCGCTCCGTCCGAGGGCGCTGGCGGTCTGTCGGACCTTTTCGCGAAACTGACCCCAGGTCAACGTGTCGGGCTCGTCACGGTGAATGTCCTGGTCCTCTCGAATGCCGATGAGAGCGACATCCTCGGAGTTTGGATTGGCGAAGAGCACATTCTCTGCGTAGTTGAGGCTGTGACCGGGAAAGAACGGCGGGTTACTGCTCATGGGCACCGTGTCGTCGTAGGCCTTTTGCGTCGAGGGTGGAAGAGGCGGGGTGAGGTTCAGATAGCTGTACAGGTTTGTCCAAAAAGCATGTGGGTGGGTTACGGACCACCGGTGAAGTTGCTGCGTATCCGACAGATCCTGGCCATATTTTCGATTGACTTGCTGGCGGTATTTGTCCATTGGCGCTGTGCCACGGTGGCTCGGTCGCCAGAGGACCTCTGGTTCGGAAGCCTGCGTCGGGGTCATGATTCCGCAAGAAGCCCAAAGGAAATTAGGAACACCGTCTAGTGAACAACCACAACAGTCACCCTCTGAGGATATTGAGATCTAAAAGGAGAATTTGCTCATAGCGGCCCGAGAGTTTTTGGCCTTGATATCGGATATGTAGGAACAAACCGAGGTAACCAGTGCGGGGTGACAAGGCTGAGTTGCAGCCTTGTGTGATGCTGCCATCGCTCTATCTGCATCTGCAGGCAGCATTTGTCCTGGTCCTCCTCGGGGTATGTCTAATCCCATTCGTTTTGAGCTGCATTGGCCCTTGATGTATCAAGAGCGGCTCCAGATAACAAGAAGTGACACAGAGCCAAATACCTGAAGAGCAGCGACTGGAAGCAGAGAACGTCGTCATAAAGCTTTGTCCATCAGCTTCAGTGGTGGCTTTGAGAGGACCATTTCAATAGACCTTTTTTAAGAAATCTTCTGCACGCTGCCGCGATGGATGCATAGTAGTGTCGCATCATCTGAGATCTTGTCGACTCCCAGCTCCGATAATGGTGCGTCTGGCCTTCTTCAGTAGGATTGGTAAGCAGATACGCTCACAAGCCTGGGATGTGGGCGCTCTTGGAGACCCTAGGAGCGTGAAGAGACAGTACCCAGCGCTCTACCATATGGAAAAGGCCATATTCAATAATGTGAAAGTGATACAAGACATCAGGGGTAGATTTCATCCTTGCCGGAAAAGGGAAAAGAGAGCCTTGTCGGAGCGTGGGGGGTCGTCCTTTGGTTGGCTGTTCTTGCTCTACACAGTCCCAAAGAGGGGTTGCTGACATCTATTCATGGTCCCGCTCAGAGTCTCGAGTTTGTCAGCTGTGCGTATATGGCCAGCCTGACGGATTGCGGTTCCGACTCGTAATGGAATTTTATGCTCAACCTGGTCGCACCGATGTCTCTGCATCTACACCTCGATACTCCGACATTTTGACCAAACACCACAATGGCCAACTCTCTACCCACAGAGAGACAAGCCTGGCGCCGAACAGATGACCTCTCACCTGGAGCGGCTCGTCTCAAGCTCGTCACAGAGCCTTTGCCCAAAGAGCTGGCTCCAACAGCCGTCCTGATCAAAGTCCACGCCGTGTCCCTCAACTGGCGTGATGCCAACATCAGTAATGGAGGAAACCCCTGGCCGGTCATCCCCAACGGGATAATCTGCAACGATGCCGCCGGTGAGGTGCTCGCCATCGGCCAGAACGTCCGGCGCATCCGTGTCGGTGACCGCGTCGCCCCTACGAATGACACGGAATACTTGACACACCGCTCCACCGGCCGATCCTGGGTGGCCGCGAACGAAGACGGCGTGCTTGCCACGTACATCGTGTACGACGAAACGGTCCTCGGCCACCTCCCCAAGTACCTGTCATGGGAGTGCGCCGCGCTGATCCCATGTGCCGGCGTTACGGCATGGGCGGCATTGCGGGATGTAGGGATTGGGAAGAGTGTGCTGATCCAAGGTACGGCTGTCATGTGTTCCGCAGCTGTCGGGGAGAAGGGTTCGTGAAGAGATATTGATCGTTCAAAGGCACTGGGGGAGTGAGCAGCTGGGCATTGAAGCTCTCTCGTGCGTCGGGGCTCAAAGTGATTCTCACCTCGTCGAGCGACAAGAAGCTGGACCAGATGAAGAAGCTGTTCGGTGCGCCGGAGATACGGACGATCAATTATAGGACGACGCCAGAATGGCATGAGGAGGTGCTGAAGCTGACGGATGGTATTGGTGTAGATCTTGTCATCGAAAACGGCGGCGCGTCGTCTTTGGTCAAGAGCCTGAAGTGCACGAGGCGGGGCGGCATCGTCAGCCAGGTCGGCTACTTGGGCAAGCAGCAGCCGGATGATTTGCAGGAGCTCGTGCCGACGATCATTGACCGAAGGGTGATCCTCAGGTAGGTCCCATCTGCTCGGATTCGTAAAACAGACTCGGTAGATCTTGTTACTGACGTGAACATTCATTTCCAGGGGCATCAACTGCGGCCCGCCCGAGTACATGGAAGACATCTGCGCGGCTCTAGAAGCGACCCAGATGCAGCTCGACGACATCATTGACAAGGTCTATCCATTTTCGGAAGCCGAAGAGGCTGTGCAGTCGCTATGGGAAGGCAAGGTGGTAGGAAAGATCGTGCTACGTCTTTGAGGCGGATTTAGAATCGTTTCCATGGCATTTGATTGCTTTCGTAGGGGGAAGCATCCTAAGGAGCTATCACAAGTACCATGGCCAGGCCACCCTGGCATGTTCCCATGATAGCTTTCGGGTCAACACCCCTATGTGGTATAGAAGAAATCAGGCCTCTTGTCGCCTTTAATCCACTTCTCCTCTTCACTGAGACCATCATGTGCGTTATTCCGCAAGCCAGACCTCCTTTTCATATTCTCTTTTCTCAAGGCGACGTGCATGAGGACAGAACCTCCCAAGACGAACAGAACCTGGAAGGCCAAGACGACTCCGTGCCCGGTCCAGTACCTTGGCCGTTGACTCTGTAGGTAGATGTTGGAGGAGACCATACCAGTGAGGTTGCCCCATCCGACAACCATGCCAAGTACCACTGCGCGTTTCAGAGAACCCTCGGTGTTGTTCGAGACCCACGAAAGAGTGTTTGGGATGGTCGGGTAGATTCCCGCCGCACCCAGGAACGTGCCGGCGTATTGGACGTGGATGTTGGAGGTCGACAGGAGTAGGGCAAACCCAATCGCTCCGATGGTCGCTGTGACCATGTTACAGTAGCCTCTCCAGCGTGTACGGTCTGCAAAGAATCCGACCGACACGGTCACCACGGCTGCAAAGACATATGGTGGAACTGTGAGTAGCTGTGCGTGGGTGCCTTTATAGCCCATTCCTCGGACGATCGTGGGTAAGAACAGAGAAAACGCGTATAGCGGAACCAGACAGCCCATGTAGATAACCATGTAACCATAGGTCTTCCAGTCCTTCAGGGCTTCGTATATATGGCGTTTGTCGAAGTCTTCAGCGGTCCTCCCTTGTCGATCCAGAATCAGGCGGCGTTGAACTCGGATCCGGTCCTCGTTGGTCAAAAAGCGCGCGGTTTCGGGCCAGTCATGGACCATCCACCAGGAGGCGACACCAGCGAGGGCGGTGACCAAGCCTTCAAGTATGAAAATCCATGCCCAGCCTGGTTTGCCACCAATGCCATCCATTTTAGATATAGCCGCAGCGAGCAGACCGCCAAAGGATCCTGCAATGGCCGCAGCCGAGAAAAAGACCGCTGTTCGCGCGCCAATCTCAGAACTCTTGTACCAGCAAGACAGATAATATGTGACACCTGGTTGCAATCAGTAACGTGAGATGACGGGACTAGGAGAAGGGGAGAAGGTACCGGGAAAGAGACCCGCCTCGGCAACACCAAGCATGAATCGGGCGGCTAGAAGACCTCGATAGCTGGTGACGAGCCCCATCAATGTCATTATAGTACCCCAAGCCAGAATGATGGCAGTGAAGAAGATTCGAGGTGTTAAGATTTTGAGCAAAGTGTTCGTGATCGGTTCGAAAAGCGCATAGGAGATGAAAAAAATGGTAAGTGAGATGTTGTATTGTGTGCCTAAATTTGTGCGTCAGCGCCCAATGTCTTGCCTTTCGAAAGGATCGTTCTCACCGGACATTTCGAGGTCCTCTTCCATTCCTGCGAGACGGGCATTTCCAATGTTCGCCCGGTCCAGGAACGAGAGCAGGTATCTGAAAGCTCATGTTAGCTCTGATGGAAAACGTGTGGTTGTAGGTTAGAGTGAACAAGGCTTACAAAAGCGACAGCCATGGCACAATCCAAAGATCAACTTTCCACATCAGCTTTTTGTCAATCGTCTTCCTCGCCTCCTCTCCTTTCCCTTCGTCAGGGTCAGGCAGTCCAGAGAGCAGCATCCCACGCTCGATTTGGATATTGGACTCCTTTGAGTCCCCATCGATAATCAAGCAGTCGGCATGCTCGGCTTGTGCTAAAGCCTCGTTCTTCTCTGGGATCGAAGACATTTTGGTCAGGGAAGTTTGGTGGAAATAGTGTAAATCGAATATTGGTTATTGCAATAAAACAACTTCTCCATGGGGAAGAATCAAGTCTTTTAAAGGTATCTCAACTTCCCCTGACCCCAGCCCTTGAAGCCCGCAAGTTGATGGCCTCCAGTGGACGTGTGGTCTGGCCACCAAAATACGCCGAGGAGTAATTGACGCTCGGCGGAAGGCAATAAGGCACATAGCCAGGAAGTTTACTCTGGTGTAAACAACATCATGATAGGATCAAAATACCCATATCTCGTCGTGCTGGCCCGTCTACTGCCTTCAGTAGGCATTGCCCCGAAACTGAACTGGGGCTCCATTCAAGCGGACGAATTAGCTGGGAGCATTCTGTCAGCTCCAGAATCGGTGCATGAGAATCTCATATCAAATTTCATTGACTTTTATTTACCATGTGTTTAATTCTCCTCGGCGAATTGGGCTCATGCCACGCCAAGGCCCGGCACATCGATATTTGCCACTGTAAATGCTCGTAGCATCGTTGCATTTGGACGGCTATCAGAATCTCACAGCAATATGCAGTCTCATTGACGGGAAGAATTAACGAGAGGTACTAGAACTGAGTACAGAGAAGGGCTGTGCGAGGCAATAGGCGAGCAGAGAGAGTGCTGTCCACAGCACTACTCCCAATTAGGTAGGCAATGCTGAATGCGTTAGAGAGGATCATAACGATCATGGCTCTTCTGCGGCTACGCACTGCATCCAAATACTCTCGATGGAAGTCCTTTCGGCGACTTGTCCGCCGTCCGTGTAGTCCGCAAATAGACCATTGGTATAAGTAACGTTCGCCGTCCGTTGAAAAGTGGTATTGATCAAACGTCAAAGAAGAAGTACATTGACGTTTGATCAATACCTCTATCGTTGCAGATTCTGTATACCTATCACTATACGGCATATTGACCTCGAGATCTGAACACTGGTTGACTGCTCGTGGCGATGGAGCACGATTTGGACTGTCTCACGATAGCCGAGCTCGAAAAACTGGCTACGCAGCGTATGGACAGGCAGACCAGGGACTATTATAATGAAGGTGCTGACAGCGGAACCACTGTGCGGGAAAATGAGTCTGCTTATCAAAAATATCGCCTCAGACCAAGAGTTTTGAGGAACGTGTCCAAGGTGGACAGCTCCGTCAATGTATTCGGTACGCGATGCAGCGTGCCCTTTGGAGTAGCACCTGCCGCTATGCAAAAACTTGCACATGAGGAGGGAGAACTGGCGACAGCACATGCTTGCCAGGAAAAAGGAGTGGTCATGGGCTTGAGTTCCTTTTCGACAACTGCGCTGGAAGATGTGCGTGCAGCGAGTGGAAACACACCCAACGTCTTACAACTGTATCTCTTCGAAGATAGGGAACAAAGTAGGAAGCTGATTGAGCGCGCAAAGAAAGTTGGTTACAGCGCTGTTGTGTTGACTGTCGATACTCCTTTGCTGGGCAGAAGAAATTTGGAAATTCGTAACCAATTTCGACTACCAGGGCACCTCAGAGCCGCCAACTTCGACTTGGACAACGAAGGGAGGGGCTCTCGTTCCAGCAGGTCGGAGTGTTCAGATACTGCGTTCTCGAAAGACCATTCAGCGGCGGCTAAGAGCACGGCTGCCAACTATAGAGAGGGTCGTCGAGTCCTCCCAACCGGCCCCGTCACCTTCCACACTCATGGACCAAATCCAACTCTGGAGTGGGATGAGTGCATTCCATGGCTCAAGGCGCAAGCATCGCCAATGCAAGTCTGGGTGAAAGGTATTATGACCGCTGAGGATGCCGCGTTAGCGGTTGGCCACCATGTCGACGGTATCATCGTCTCGAACCATGGTGGACGCCAGCTTGACGGTACGCTCGCTACATTGGATGCCCTTCCAGAGATTGTCGCCGCCGTGAATCACCGCATACCCGTCCACATAGACGGTGGCATCCGCCACGGTACCGATATCTTCAAGGCACTCGCTCTTGGTGCTGATTTCTGTTGGATTGGTCGGCCAATGTTGTGGGGTCTGGCATACAAGGGACAAGCTGGCGTCGAGCTCTGTCTTCGGTTGTTGACCGATGAGTTCCAGTTATGTATGGGGCTTGCCGGCGTGGCCAGAGTTGCCGATATTGGCCCGCAATTTTTGTACAGGGTCAAAGCGAGTGAGTTCTTGAGTCGGCTTTGATGGAGACATAGTCCAGGGCGACAGAACTGTTCTGTAGACTCAGATGAAATTAACTTCACCGGATGCAACCAAGTAGCACCTGTATTCGAGTCAAATTCTCATCCTTTCGCATATCGTGGCCTGAGCTGGTCTAGAACCCCTTGGCCGCAACCCCAGCCCCCCTGTAGCTGGTGCCGCGGTTGCCATCCGCCCGCCCGAGTGAGACTCTTCTAATGGTGCCGAGCCACATGCTTTATGACAGCGACTTGCAAAGAACATCCAGCTCCAGAGTCAATCAATTGTCAGGCAGCTGATGGCAAAGCCTGCGCTAGACCTGACCTTGCTTCTGCGGCACTTGACCTCCGTGTGACACGCAAACCGCTCTTCGTCCTCTGCTTCCTCCCCGTGATGTTGCACATCTCGCACCACTTTGCCGCCCACAAAGATGCAGACAACACGACGAGAGCATTTCATTAATACCGGTGGGCCAAAAGGTTCCCGTCGTTCCTGCGAGTCCTGTCACAACCGTAAGGTACGATGCGATGTGGACTCCTCTGGGATACCATGCAACAATTGTCATTTAGATGCTCGCCGTTGCGTGATCAGAGAACCATTGAAAAGGTAAGCTGTGTGCTTTAGCTATGTAGATATGGTGCGGCTCTGTTCAAGACCGTGTTTTCTAACAACGCCACTCATTCAGAGGGAGGAAAAGTAGACTTGAACGACTTGCACGCGAGAGGGGGCCGACCTCCGGCACTGATGCTCCTATCGTGCCTAGGGCTGACGGTCGACGTAAACGTTCGACATACGACGATATTGAAGCTTGTTTGTCGCTACCGAGGATAGCACCCCTTTCACAAGGCCTGGACGAAAGTATGAGAATATCTCATGTTCCATTGATGCAAGTCGCTGTGACTACATCCTAGCTCATGGCCGAATCAATGCTAACTTGGAACATCTCTCTTATAGGTGATGATACTCCCTCGACAACGGATGTATATGTTCCTTTCTACTTCCACAAGTTCTTGAAACTTGGAGACATGCAACACCTGTCACCCACTGAGATTCGATGTCTCGAACGCGAGTATTGCCTTCAGGTTCCAAGCGGCCGAGTATTGGATGAATTTGTACGACAATACTTTCTCTACGTTCATCCTTGTCTCCCTCTGCTGAACGAAGGGCACTTTTGGGCCCTATACTCCGGCTCTGGACGTGATGGGAATTGCAGTCCTACTTTCTCACTAGCTCTTTTCCAGGCGATTCTTTTTACTGCGTGCAGGGTAAGTCATCAATACCCGAGACGTGAACGACCCAGATCTAAGACAGGTAGTTCGTCTCGATTAGCTCGATCAAGGCTTGCGGATTTAGGGATCTTCAAAGTGCACGTACGACACTCCATCGCCGTGCTGAGGTATGAGACCCCTTGGATTGCGCACACCTAGTAGCTGATGACCGGCTACCAAGCTGCTGGTAGAGCATTCTCTGGAACGTGACAGCGTGGCGCTTGCCCAAACATCGCTATTGCTGTCTTTGCAAGCCACTCTGGTTGATCAAAGCCTCAACTCGATGTGGTTATCAAAAGCAATATCGTACGCCAAGGAGGCTGGTGCCCAGAACTACTACCGTTCGACTCGATCAGATATCGAAACAATACGGGAACAGAAACGTCTCTGGTGGTGCTGTATTCTTCGCGACCGGATGATAGCCCTTGGTGTTCGCCGCGACATTCAAATAAGTCCTGAAGACTTCGATTTGGACCAAGGCGGGCTGACCGAATCTGACCTCGTAGGCGAGGCTCACAGTCTCCAAGTCTACGATTCCAGATCGAGGTCAGCCTTGAGCAAAACCATCGTTGCTCATTGTGCCCTTGCAGTTGCCATCACATGGACGATGAGTGCCGCTTATGGCGCATCCTCTTCCTCCCTTGAAGACCGGCCTACCGTATCTCAATTGGTCTCGTCTATGGTAGAGATCGAGCGAGCGAACACTGAACTCAAGGTCTGGTCACGCAGATTTATGTCTGACCTGGTGAATCATGGCGATAGAGATCTAGGATGTCGCACACTAAATCCTTCAGTGACCTTCTTTGCGGACATGACATTGATCCACTACTAGTATGAAGTTTTCTCCCTGGAGGAACATCTCATCAAGCTCGTGCTGACGAAACATCCAGCTCCGCCAAAATTGCACTCTGCAACCACCAGGCTTCCATCCTGCAAAGACACCAAGTTCACCTGGACGATCACGAGTTTCGCCTTGCCAGCCTCAACAGAGACTTGCGGAATGCGATCACTAGTGTAGCGGGCAAAATTAAAGAACTGAGTAACCAAGGGCTAGCACACAATCTGCCCATCACCGCGTGCGTCCTCGTGATTCTCATACCTAAGGGTGGACAGTACTCCTGAGTATCTGCTAATAACTTTTCCCTAGACCATCATGCTCGGCGCTCCCCTTTATCCTCGAAGCTCTCAACCTCCGACTCTCGGCGGCGGCGCAAAAGGACATCCACCAGCAGCAGCTTGAACGATATGCGGCCATAATGAGACTCTTCCGTACTCAACACGACCATACCGAGTGCGTCACCAGCGCCATCAACTACCTCCTGCAAGTGGTGGACTCCGAGATTCAACACCTCGGCCCGTCCTCCCAGGTCTCGCTCCGGGGTGTTGAGCAGCGCGATTTTGAGAACGGAAATAGCAAAGCGCTCTTGCATCGGCCCTCCACTTGGTCAGATGTATTCACAGGGAAACCGACGGTTTATCTGCGCCTCTCGCTCTCTCTGGACTTCGCATTGTCGCGAGGACGGGCGCCGCGTATGGCGGACCTGCAGAGCTGGGTTCTTGACACAACGCCTGCTAGTGTGCCGGGCCCGCTGTTTATGCATGCGATGTCGCCGTTAATGATGCCGCCTGTCACACCGCCAATCATTGTGCCAAATACAGTGCTTGATGTCGTTGATGACAACAATCAAGAAGAATGTTTCCCGACGCTGACAACCGAGGACACGACAGACTCTGACCTTGGCTTCGTGATACCTTGGTATCTGACCGAGGTGTCGGACTCCGTCTACGGAGATCTGCAGTTTTTGGACTCGGTCGAGCCATGTATTTGAATCATCACTGAATGGCTAACCACAAACCTTGTGCCCCGATGCAATCCTGGCGGCTGCTTATGTTGCCAATTCTGGCCATTGTATAGTATATCATTGAAAATAACATGACTGAAATGTATGAGACCGACCTAGGTCTGACGAGCATCCTGGTCATTGATCTCTCACTACTACTGCCGGAGAGTAAGGGGAAGTTGTAGCTTCATCACAAGGTGAACGAGTTGAAAGGCGGCGAATCAATACAGTCAGTACCTTGTTTGCCGCTGATCCACTCGTCGCAGTAAGATCATTTGAGGCCCCAGCGACCACGTTGTGCTGTCTAAATTTCAACCCATGATTCGGTGAGGCGCGAGTAGTTCGATTCCTCCTTGGCATGTTTGAGGCTCTACTAGAAAGAAAATACGGGGAGAGTATTGACCTCCGTGCTCATTTCCTCACGAATATCTGACACAAGGGACCGCGAAGTCCAACGGATCTCAACGCAGCAAAGCGGAAAGATCTCTTGTTTTGCTCGCTTGCACCGGCTCGAGATACATGCTAAACCTTTGTTCTAAGGGACATGGTGTCTCAGGTTGGTCGCAGCATCAACCTCCTCAGGGGCTTTGGGGCAGAACTCGCACGTTTCAGGTCCCTCAGTCATGGATTGCTTCAAACATTTAATGATGAAGATGCTCCCTCATAATTTCATCTCAGTAAGTCTGAACCTGAAATTTGCTCTCACTTTTTCAATACTTTATCCCGCAATTCCCCTTCGATCCTACCTTTAAAATGTGGACTCCCGGACATCTACAAAGAACGTCATCGACACATTCATTCGCCATGTCCGTTGCTTCGAGCCGCGGATCTACATATTCCGAGACCTTCGATGAACAACAATCTAGAAGCACGAGTGGAATGTGGCATTCTGAGAAAAGTCTCGTAACCATGACAAGTCTGGACCTGTCGCCTGAGCGTCAGCGACGTGACTCGATATCAACAAACGCATCCAACTCCACGCTCGCTATGGATGTCCCCCATGACATTGTTCATGACGAGCTGGACCTCAAAACTCCGACTGTGCAACAGATTCCTTTGGAGCACTGTAGTGTATCATCTCTCTCGGATACATCCTCGGAACAACAAATCTCCCCGAACCATGTGGCTGGCCCAATGGAGCAACTACTGCAATCGCTGCTCTACAAAGTCAGCGAGGCCGAAAGTGGTCGTCCGACTATCATGGCAGATGACTACGCCATACTCCAATCTCGGGTCGACACCCTCGAAGCGGAAAGGAAGACTTGGGAACGAAGATACCAGGCCTACTTCGAAGTCCGCGACGAGGACTTCACCAACATCCTCAAACTCCGGACAATGTTGGCTGAGGAAAGAAGAGAACATTCGGCCATCCGAAAGCTGCGAGATGAAGATCTGGAGAATCTTCTCGCCGTTCGCGAAAAGCTCGCGCAAGCCTTGTGGTCCAAGCCTCAACCACCACCACCGACCAGACGGACGTCCACGTTCTCGGCACGTCAATCACGGAGCGAAGGGGATGATTTGTGGCGGGCTGCGAAATCTGCGGCAATGGAGCAGAGGATCCTAGAGCTCGAAGCGGCAAACAAAGAGCTGCACGAGCATGCCACAAAGGGAAGCGTCTCGGGTGATGTGAACACGATGATGAGTCGCATGGAAACCATGTTTGATGAAAGCATGAAGCATAGAGAGAAGATGGCCGTCAAGATGCAGCAGCTCAGGTCCGAGAAGGAGGCGTTGCAGAAGGAGGTTGGGCTGCTAGAAGATCGCAACGCCGAGCTAGAGTCAGTCATTGGAAGGATGCAGAGGAATCTCGGTATATGAATCACGTCTCGCTTTATTTCTTTTTATTTGGCGGTTTTTTAGTTAGCGTGGCATGGAGTTTCGTATTGGAACACGTTTGTGCATCTGCTTAGATAGATTAGAAAGGTGTGTGCTTCATGAGGTAACAAAAGCATGGCATGACTATGAGTACAAGATGTGCCTCATCGGGAATGGATACAAACGAAAACAGAAAACTCCATGAACCCGGACGAGTTCTTCCGCTGACCATTGACTTCTTATTACCTGTGATTAACGTATCAAAACAAAATTTTGTCGTGTTCAAGGACAGTGCTCGTAATTTCAAGAGGTGAGTGGATAGTGTCGATATCGGCGACAGCACAGACTGACAGCCTCGTGCTTCCGGAGTAAATAGCGAAGACGTCATCACCTGAGTTGTTTTTTTCTATTGAGCTGTTGGTTTGACCTTTACACTTTCAACATTTTGTTTTTAACATTTTATTTTTGAAGAACTATTTTTTGAGAACAACAATCTTGAACAGTAGGCACGGTGGTCAAAGGCCCCAGCCCCTTGAGAGAAAAATGTCCACTCGGACAACCGGGACAGCGTTGTTGGTCTTGGGAGGAGCCTTGTTGGCCGCCGCGTTTCCCACTCCGCCGCCATCATCATCATCATCATCATCATCATCATCATCTCAACAAGTGCCGATCACGGTACAAGACCACACGCAGGGCTACAAATTCGACGAACTTTTACATCTTCCAGGGATTTCACCGTACTTTGACGCCGTCGGGTTCGGTCTCGAGCATACGGCGCCCGTAGGGTGCAAGGTGACGGCGGCGTCGTACCTCATCCGGCACGCCGCCATCTACTCCAACGACGACGAGTACGAGGAATACATCAAACCGTTCCTGTACAAACTCGAACAGCACCGCTCGGGATGGTCCGGACCACTGGAATTCATGTCCACCTGGGTGTCTCCCATCCTGGAAGACAGGCTCGAACAAGTGACGCCTTCCGGTAAGGAAGACGCCAGAAAAGTGGGCGCGCACCTGGTCAAGCGTTACCCCGACCTCGCCCCCACCGTCAAACGAGTGCTGGCCGACAAGAAATCGCGGACGTACGACACCGCCGAGGCAATGGTGAGGGCCTTCCCCGAGAACTCGGACATCAAGGTCGTGCGAATCACCCAGAACAAGAACGGAAGCATGGACTCGTTGGTGCCCCACAAGTCGTGCCCTGCGTTCAGCAAGAAACCCGGCACCGAAGAAATGGCCGACTTCGTGTCTCACTACGCGGCGCACGTCTCGGGTCGCCTGGCGCAATTCATGCCTTTCAACCTGACCGACAACGACGTCGTCGGTCTTCAGGGTCTGTGTGGCTACGAGTCCGCAATCAGAGGCGAGAGAAGTCCCCTGTGCGCCGTCTTCACCGACGCCGAGTGGATGTCGTACGAGTACGCCTGGGACCTCAAGTACGCCCACATGGTCGGTCCCCTGAACCCCTTGTCGCCGTACCTGGGCTTTCCCTGGCTCAAGGCGCAGAGCGAATTGTTCCAAAAGGTGGATGGCACACCGGACCCGGACCCAGACCGAAACGGAGACGACGACGACGATGATGCTGGCTGGCCTCCGGAGCAACGGCTCTTCCTGAGCTTCACGCACCGCGAGGTCCCTCCCTTTGTCGCCACGGCGCTGGGCATCTTCAACTCGTCGTCGTCGGCGATGGAACAGTTCCCGACCGACCACGTCAACTGGGTCCGCGCCTGGCGCATGAGCGATCTCATCCCGTTCCTGGGCCACGTGGGCATGGAGAAGATGACGTGCACGGGCAGGCCGGGGCGAGAGGGTGAATATATCCGCGTCATCGCCAACACGGCACCCAGGCCCATTCCCTTCTGTCAGGACGGACCTGGCGCCAGTTGTCCCATGAGCGAGTGGGTGAAGATCATCGCCGCCGGGGCCGAAGAATTCAAGGATTATGCGCAGGTGTGTAAGAAGGACGAGAAGGACATGAAGTAATATAATTATACCCCGATCTACTAGATGGGAGATGTCATGTGTACCAAGTATTAGATTAATTCTTCCCTGTATGTACCAACAAAAGTGTCGCGCCGTATTCAGAGTTTGTGATTGAGCAGCAAGCATTTCGGTCGAGATTGAGATTTTCCCAAAATGATGTCAAAGGCTTAGTACGGAGTAGATAAGTACCTACCTAGGCAGACAGGCGCAACAGACCGGACCAAAGTATTCGTTCACCAACCCGAGGGATCCCTCAAAAACGGTGGATGTTGAGGCTCAGTTTGCATGAGTGGCATCGAGGCCTCCTGTAGTCTACATTCCATCTTTTAAACCGTAGGTAGCGAGTCAGTGGTGGTACACCGTTGTTATGCTCCTTCTCCTTCTTGTCGTGTCATTAGTCGTCTCGTAACGACAACAATGTTCAAGGAAGAACAAACCAAAAACAGAAGCCAGAAATCGTGACTCGAAGTGAATATCCGGAGTTCTTGGCAACCAATGGCCGCAGCTTCACGTCGATGACGTACCGGTACAGATTAGTTGTTGCACCAAAGAAATTCATACTGTCTTCTTCTGACAGTAGCACAACATTACTCATCGACCATGACAATGGCACCGTCACGAGGAATACACAACGTTGACCTTCATAACGAAAATGACGAAGCCGCAGTGCAACAACAATCCAAGTCCGCGCTCGTCAGCGCGAGACGCAACCTGAATTACCTCATTGCACCCGGAAGCGCGAGCGCCGATAAGCCAGCTCGCTTACGCACAAGGGCCCTCCTCCGCACATGTCGATATGTTGGACAATTCATCATTTGGCGACTGGTGCGTTGGGCCAAATACGCGGCTGTTGGGTTTCTCGTCGCCGCAATTGGAGCTACTGCATTCGGAGGCGTCATCACCGGGGTGGGCTGGCTGGCGGCTCCTCCAACCTTTGGTGCGAGTATCATTGCAGCAAGTGTCTGGGGCGTGGGCAAGTTCGCAGCACGGAAATTACACAGGCGGTGGAAGAAGGAAGGTGGCGACGATGGCGCTGAGATGAGAGAGCGGATCGAGGACGAAGGGCCTGTCCGGAGAGAAGGATCCTACGGTACCGACATGGGCCCAAGAGCGGTTCCCTGGTGATGGACGACGTGCTATGAAAAGCGGTGCCATGGAAGCAGGTGACGGTGTCTGCACGTCTATGTGCAGCAGCCAGCGATGGTAAGGCCACTGTGCGAGCAAGTGTCGATGGTGATGATTACGATGCTGCCTAAGCCACGCAGCCCTGCATCTCAACAGATTTTCGGAAAGGAAAGAAATGTTAATACATGTGATAATGTGGTATGGCATTGGTCGGGAGACATATGAAGAGTTATCAGGATCATATGACGACCCTGGAGGCAGAAGGCATCAGTTGCAAAGGCAGCCAATCATATACTCACGGATCTTCATATGGGTATTGTTGAACATTGTGTGGTGTGCATCGCTCGAGCCAAAAGGTGATGTGGCCACAAGGGAATCGCAGTTGGCTATACGAAATACGACGGAAGATCTGGCGCATCATCCTCTTGTTGGGGCCTGTCACAACTTTTGAGGCCTCGGCTCATTTTCTCCGAGACGCATTTGGTTTCCGATCGCCTGGACCCAATCCCTGTAGTCCGTAGTGTCCTCGTAAGTGCCGAGATTTCTAGTCCGGCGTCAGCACGGAGGATATATTTTTAACAGAGAGGGTCTTCGACAGTGGTCAGAGAGAAGCTTCCCTTGTCGAGCGTTTCTTTAGATGAATCACATCTACGACGTCACGACCATGGCTGGAGCCTCATCGACAACTTCGCAACGAGAAAAGCCACGATACGAGCTCTTAGTACTTTGCAAAATACGCTAGTCACCAATCCTTGAACCGTGAATGGCCGAAGTTCTCAGGGTCCCGATTCTAGCTCCGTTCTAGAGCTGTCAAACACTAGAACCAATAAGGACTAGCCGGGACAATCTTTGGGGATCTGTGCCTGAAACTCGCCTGACGTCTCCCCAACGTTTTTCGCAAGCCCAGAGAGCTCAGGGCAACGTGAGCCGCCTAGTGAATTTCTCGTGTCCGGCCCTCACCAAGAAAGGGTCAAGATTCGCCAAATGATGTGCAGTTCTAGAGCCTGGAAAATCTCTGCGCCATTCGACAGAGGCCGACCAGCTTCGAGGTCCCGGTCCCTGGCCACCCAGTCCCGTCCCCCCAAAAACCCCCCCCATACGCCTCCCGATACTTGTTTTCACACCACCCACTGCCGCCTCAAAAGAAGTGGGGAACTTCTCAACAACTTTTTGAATTCTCGTTGGGCTGCACCGTCGCCCCCTTCTAAATAAAACATCGACCCGTCCTCCTCTCTCGTCCTCAATCCCTTCATCCTCACATCGACCTTCATTCCCTCCGGTATCAGTCGACCTTCATACCGACTTCGCCATGCCGTCCTCACAGCCTACCGCCGGTGACCTGGCAGTCAAGCCAGAGTACCTCTCCTCCACCCCCAACCCAATGGCAAAACCCTCGGAGCCAAACCGAAGCTCGAAGTATGACCCCAAGAAGCCTCACATCACCGAGACCCCAATGACAACGTCGAACTGGTATAAACACGTCAATTGGCTCAACGTCACCCTCATTGTCCTGATTCCTATCTACGGCTGCGTTCAGGCCTTGTGGGTGCCTCTCCAGTTCAAGACCGCTGTCTGGGCTGTCCTCTACTACTTTGCCACTGGTTTGGGCATCACAGCTGGATACCACAGGTTATGGGCTCACACCTCCTACTCCGCGACTCTTCCCCTCAGAGCGTTCCTTGCCGCTGTCGGCGGTGGTGCCGTCGAAGGCTCCATCAGATGGTGGGCACGCGATCACCGAGCACACCACAGATATACCGACACCGAAAAAGACCCATACTCCGTACGCAAGGGTCTGCTCTACTCGCACTTGGGATGGATGATCATGAAGCAAAACCCCAAGAGAATCGGTCGTACTGACATCTCCGACCTCAACGAAGACCCCGTGGTCATCTGGCAACACAAGAACTACCTCAAGGTTGTCATTTTCATGGGTCTCGTCTTCCCCATGATCGTTTCTGGTCTCGGTTGGGGCGATTGGTTCGGTGGCTTCATCTACGCCGGTATCCTCCGCATCTTCTTCGTCCAGCAAGCCACTTTCTGCGTCAACTCCCTGGCCCATTGGCTTGGTGACCAGCCTTTCGACGACCGCAACTCTCCCCGTGACCACGTTATCACGGCTTTGGTCACCCTGGGTGAAGGCTACCACAACTTCCATCACGAATTCCCCTCCGACTACCGCAATGCCATTGAGTGGCATCAGTACGACCCTACCAAGTGGTCCATCTGGGTCTGGAAGCAACTCGGTCTTGCCTATGACCTCAAGCAATTCCGTGCCAACGAAATCGAGAAAGGCCGCCTCCAGCAACAACAGAAGAAGCTTGACCAGAAGCGCGCCAGACTCGACTGGGGTGTCCCTCTTGATCAGCTACCGGTGTTGGAGTGGGATGACTATGTTGAACAAGCCAAGAATGGTCGTGCTCTTGTTGCAATTGCTGGCATCGTGCACGATGTGACCGAGTTCATCAAGGACCACCCCGGTGGCAAGGCGATGATCAACTCTGGTATCGGCAAGGATGCCACTGCCATGTTCAACGGCGGTATCTACATGCACAGCAATGCTGCTCACAACCTGCTGTCTACTATGAGAGTCGGTGTCATTCGTGGTGGCTGCGAGGTGGAGATCTGGAAACGAGCACAAATGGCAGCCAAGGGTGAGGTTTCTCGAGACAGCTCCGGTGAGCGAATTGTCCGAGCTGGTCTACAACCCACCAAGGTTCTGCAAAACACACCGACAGCTGGAGCTGCTTGAGTGATTCGATGACGGCACGAAGTATCTTTTGACCTGATGCAAAAAACAATTATCTGCTTAGCGAATGTATATATTGTGTTATGGCGTTTCCCTTTCTGTTTCGAGGATCACGGTTGTGAGATCCATAGACCTTGATCTGTGGGCTTGGATGGATTCAGCTTTAAGAAGGTTATGCTGTGAAGCAATTAAATACCCCCAATTCTAAATAGTACGAGGAATCAATCTTATCTTCCCTACCTCACATTTGGACACAAATATTTCTGGTGGTGATGCTTGTAGGTTGATTGCTAATGTGGATGCTGTACACACTGTGGGTGGTATACAATAGTCTCGGCGCTGGCAATTCATTGCTCCGCACTTCCCGGTCTCCGCCTTGGAGCAAATGTATCGAAGAGCATCCATGACTTTCTGAGGCCTGACTTGTCACGGATAGAGGAACACTGATCAATTGCAGGTCGTGCAATCGCTTGTCTTATTAACTATGAGTTCCATCCTGCCTTCCTCTTTGTCGCCGGCGACTTTCTTTGTTCACTCTTGCTCCACTTCCCATAATCCATTCGCCATCACCTAACCTTCTCAGTCCCTAGATCCTATTACACGTACCTAACTACCATGACAAATCTATCCTTTCGTGAGCAAGGCAACGATCGCTTCAAGGCCGGCGAGTTCAAAGAGGCTGAAGAGTTATACAGCGCCGCGTACGTTGTTCTGACCCGGAAGTACATGATCATCTGTTGACCGCGTGACAGGATAGCCGAGCATTCTCGCTCTGATCCAAAGGTCTTTGCGAACCGCGCCCTCACGCGTCTCAAACTTCAAGACTGGCAAGGAGCTGAATCGGATGCCAGAAAGGCAATCGAACTTTATGGCCCCAAACACGAAGCCCAGTCGATGAAGTCGCATTACTATCTTGCACAAGCCCTCCTGCCGCAGCGGCACGTGGGCGAGGCTCTCGCCGAGGCAAAACATGCGTACACCACGTGTCTAGAAACCAAGGACTCCAGTGCAGAGTTGATCGGACAATTTATTCTCAAGGCAAAGCAGGCACAGTGGCAGGCGAGAGAGACCGCACGGTTACGAGAGTTGAATTCGACTTTGGCGCTCGTGGAGGACATGCTCAATCAGCAACTCGACCGAGACAAGCAAGACGTGGAAGAGAGGTTCACCAAACAAGAGATTGGTGAGACTGGCCGACAAGAAGAAATTGACGAGCTGGAGAAGGAAGCCGAATCAAGGCGGGAGAACATAAGGAAGGCATTCGAGAACTCCGCCGTTCCAGATACGGTCGAGAGGGTATGTTCCGAATCGTACGGTCGAAAATGCGAGGCTGATAGTAAACAGATTGTACCGGACTGGATGATCGATCCCATTACCTTTGAGGTTATGCACGATCCGGTCGTCACCCCGACAGGCGTTTCGTACGAGCGCACAAGTCTACACAGGCATATCAAGGCCCACGGATGCGACCCACTGACGAGGCAACCTCTAAAGTATGATATGTTGATCCCGAACGTTGCATTGAAGAATGCTTGCTCGGATTTTCTAGACAAGAATGGATGGGCTGTCGATTGGTGATATTCTTTTGGGCGATGACAGTGTCAGATTTGGCATGACAGTACGACCTATTTTCTCAGCTCTGATCGGATTCGATGCCTCAGAATGACTTCCAGCGCCGGCGTTGTTGGGTGCAATTTGATGCTTGGTAGATCCGTGACCCCGTCTCAAGTCATCTATACATCCGTTCAAAACCCTAATATTTTCTCTCCAGAATGTGCATTCTCAATTCTCAATTCTCGGTTCTCTTTTTCTTTCCTTGATGTGATAAGCCTATGCTAGGAGTAAGGACATACGCATGAGGACACTGGCTCGTTGTGGCGGTGACATGCAGCGGACAAGCGGCCGTATTCGTTCTCGTACCCGTAACTAGGTACTGTAAACACAACAGGGACTGTAGCGCCGGAGGATTTACTTATTACTGGAGACTTTGCCCCGCCAAATGTCTGACGTCGTTCCTCATCAACAATTTGTTGAGTTTCAATCCCCGTTTACACTCAGTTCTCCATCTACAATCTTTCTAAACTTCTACAATTTTACGGCACAGCTTGACATCAACAGTAGGTATAGCATTTCTTCTTTACTCTGCTTGAAGTAGTCGAGATTTACAGGGACTGACTCAGCTGGGAAAGGTAGACTCTACCACACCTCTCCAACCCCACCGACATCGACCTTTTTACTTCTCGATCGAAACTCCTTACCGCCCGGGCCTGCCTACCATTCACCTAGTTCCCTGCAGCAGAAAACAATTCCGCAAGCAAACACGATGCCTTCAGCCGCCTTCACCAAAGCTGCAGAGGATAGCCGCAAGCTCAAGGCGAAGCCGAGCAACGACGAACTGCTTGAGGTGAGCTGACTCCTGGTACACTAGCGAGCTGGGTTTCACATAAGGGACCGGGCTGGTCTGTGGTGAGGGCATGGACATGAAGAGGAGCACTGCTTCAGTCTACCCTTGTAGGGTAACAGGCAAGCGAGAGAAAAAGAGACCCGACACTGCCTCTCCATGATCTTTCCGTCCCAAACCTCGACCGCCCTTGTCAATAAAAGCCTGTCTGTCAGGGGGATTGTGGGAGTGAGCACAGCTAATGTGTCGCTATAGCTCTATGCCCTATTCAAGGTTGCCAATGGCGAAGACATCTCTAAGGCACCAGCACCTGGAATGTTCGATTTGAAGGTACGACTAGCTTTGCATCCGGCAGTCTCCATGTTTTAGATTGCTGACCTCTCTGTTTTAGGGCAAGGCAAAGCACAAGGCGTGGCAAAAGGAAGTCGATGCCGGCACGTCCGCCTCCGATGCAGAAAAGAAGTACGTCGACTTGGTAGAGAAGCTCAAGGGACAATATGGATTCGACGAAAACAAGGCCCCAGAGGCCGTCGGGTCAAACTAAGTAAAGAAGTCCAAGCATGATGCTGGGAGACCAAGAACATGAACGAGATGCAACGAAACATTGTGGCCTGGCATAAAGAAAATGAACTTGCCATGGCAGATTTTCACACATACATAGCGATGCTTCAATCAAAGCGTGTTACGTCGTTCTGTTTTTCCTTACAGGGTACGGACAATCTGAGCAGCATGTGCTGAGCACTAGTCTCACAGCTGTTGTACCTCGGCATCCGTGATCGCCTTGAAAGCGAGGCTGACCACGTAACAACTACCTTGCCACATCTTTAACCAACAAAAGAAGTAGCGGATGGTAGAGCTCGTCGATTCTACTGGCTGCTATTGTATCACGTAGTATTTCTCGAAACTTCTTTACCTTCACAACGACTGAAGTTGCGCCTCTAGGACGAGGATCGTGAGTACTACATGTGCGGTCATTTACTTTACCGTATGTAGATTCCTCCGGATCAGTACCACTGCAAGTGCAATTCTCCACGACTTCCTCGTACTTTCATGTCAGTGGAAGAGCCAACAACAACGTCTGGTCACTGTCGTCAAGCACCTCAAACGCATTATCTTCTGTTCTGTGCTCAACTGTACATTCAGAACCACTGAGTTCCTGGTGGCTGCTTCAGCCTTGTGCTCTTCTGCCCAAAGCTCCCGGCAACTCAGATCGACCGCCTTTCTTTCGGCCTCTCTTGTTCTTTGCCTCCTATTCTTTCCCCTGGAAAGCCACAGCTGGGCCTCTTGAGATTGGTGTTCGGAGGGTCTGACAAAATTCCGGAAACTTCTACGCGTGGAGACTCCTTGCACTCCTTGCTATGGACCTTGTTGTACAGTGATTGAATCGCTCTCTCTCATATCACAGATTGTGTGGCAAGCGGTGATAGGTGGTACAACTTTTCGGGTCATGTGCGCATGATATTTCCATCCTATTTCACCCTACGGCCCTTGAAAAAAATCGAAGAAGTCCTGGAAAAGAAAGAAAAGGATATCTCTCCACTGCCGCGTTTCACTGTGTGTATATGAAAGAAGTTTCTTGCGCCATACCCTGTCTCGATACGAGAAATCTCGAAACAACTCACTCTGTCACTATCGCAAAGGCGTGGGCTCCGGACTTGCCACCCAACTTGCCCTGACCAAGATGTGTATCGCGCTCATCTCGACCGCCCACCCTTCCTACCCACTCATCCTCATCGACAACCGCGACGAGTACCTCAACCGTCCGACGGACCGCGCCAAATGGTGGCCGGAACCGCACTCCCACGTCCTCGGCGGGCGGGACATGCTCCGCGACATCCACGGCACGTGGCTCGGGGTGACGCGCGACGGTAAAATCGCCGTGCTCACCAACTACCGCGAGGACACGACGCCGCCTCGGTCGGCGGTGTCGCGCGGCGCCATCATCAAGCAGTTCCTGTCCGAGGACGTGGGGCCCGTGGAGGCGTTCGTCCGGGACGTCGTCAACACGGGCATCGCCAAGGACGCGGGCGGGTTCAGCCTCGTGTGCGGCGAGATCGGGGGCCAGCTGGCCGTCATCTCCAACCGGGCCGAGGACCAGAGCCAGGTGCCCTGGATCGGAGGCGACGTGGTGCAGACGGTCGGGCTCAGCAACGCCGCCTTCGGCGACCGGACGTGGAAGAAGGTCCTGTTGGGCGAGGAACTCATGCTCGACACCATCCGGTACAGCGTCGAGCACGGCGAGTCCGAGGACGAGCTGATCCGCCGGTTCCTCGACCTCCTCAGCCACGAGACGCTGCCCAGGGAGGGCAAGGCCGACGACGCCGGGCTCGAGGCCTACATCATGGACCTGCGGCACTCCATCTATGTGCCCACGCTCGGCCGGCGGGACGGGTCGACGGTGCCGAACCGGACGCCCGACGACGAGGTCGCGGCGGCCCGGTTGCGCGAAAAGGTCGACGTCGTCGGCTTCAACACCCCCGTGAGGGACAACAGCCCGTCGACCGCGAAACCCGTCGCCGCCCGTCAGCTGGGCGTGAGTGGCCTGTACGGCACGCAGAAACAAACCGTCGTGCTGGTGGACCGAGAGTTCAACGTCCGGTTCTTCGAGAGGACCTTGTTCGATCAGGACTCGAATCCTATACCTTTTGGGGAGGGGGATGTCGATGTGAGGTTCAAGATTGAAAAGTCAGGCGGCGGCGGCGACGTGACGACGTGACGAGTGTGGTCAGCAGAACTCACTTTGGCTATACCTGGCCAGTTGTTGCTTACACGATGGTGAGAAATGGATCGAGGAATGGGGGATCAGGGAGGACGGGCGGGTGAAATTTGGGGACCGTCTAGATGATTCTGAACGATATGAATCGAATACTCTTTTTTTGTTTTTGGAACGTGTCATGGAGAAGTTAGGAATCTAGATGGTGTGGTGACCTGGAAACCAAGAAGAGGAAAGAGAGGCAAACCCCCGAACAGAAAACAATAAACCAGATAGATACCCATGGCATTCGTGGTGATCGACCTCCAGGTTGTCTATAACAACATTCACAGACATTTACTAGTGATCAATTCTACTCGTACCTTTTTTTTATAGCAATACCCGGACGAAAGAAGGCCCAAAAAAGAGAGAAAGAAACAATGAGACACTCGATGATGATGATGATGATGATGATGATGATGATGATGATGATGATGATGATTGACCGACGGAACTAGAAAAAAAAACCTCGCAGGGCGACGGGTTTGTTTTTCGGTTCGAAAGAAACGAACCCAGAAGGAAATGGGAACACGATAACAAAAGTCGTCCGTCACCACAATTCACAAACCGGTTCCTTCTTGTCGCACTTGAAACTCTCCCTGAAGTCCCTCGAGTTGGCCATGGTCCCGAGGACCCTGGCCCACTTGGGGGAGTGAGGGTCGGTGTAGATCCTCTGGATCGCCGTCTCCTTGCGGGTCTCGCCGCACCACCAGTTGGCGTAAGAGACGAAGAACAGTTGGTCGTGGGTGAAGAAGTCGGACAGGCCCGGCAGGTCCATGTTCAGGTCCCCACCCCCGGGGGAAGCTGCGCGCCTCTTCCAGGCCGCAAACGCCGCCGCCACGCCGCCGGCGTCGGCGATGTTTTCACCCAGCGTGAGCTTCCCGTTGACGTGGAGGGGTTCGCCGTCGCGCCCCTCGACGGTGAAGTTGTGGTACTGCGACACAAAACACCGCGCCCGGCGCTCGAACCCGGCCACGGTCGCGTCGGTCCACCAGTCCGTGTAGTTGCCGTCCTGGTCGTAGTGCCGGCCGGTCGAGTCGAAGGCGTGGGAGAGTTCGTGGCCGCTGACCGACCCGAACGCGCCGTAACTGAGGTACTGGGGGACCCGGACGTCGAACACGGGGAACTGCATGATGCCCGCGGGGAAGACGATCTCGTTCCCCGGTGGGTTGTAGTACGCGTTCACCGTCGGGACCGTCATGTCCCACTGGTCCCTGTCGACCGGTTTGCCCAGTGCCGACCATTCCTTGACCACTTCCGACCGTGTCATCGAGACGGCATTCTCAAAGAACGTCGAGCCGTTGACCTTGACACTCTCGTAATAGTCGTGTAGTGCGTCGGGGTTCAAAATGTTCGGGCTCTGTTTTCGGTTGTCAGTAGGCGCCCCCCCCCCCCCCAAAAATACCTGACACTCTAGACTTTTGGTTTTTGAGGTGCTTCCCGCCCCTTTCCTTGGAATTCGACTCACCTTGTCAGGATACCCAATCTTTTGCACGATATTGTGAACTTTGTTTATAGCAAGGTCGATGACCTCCTGCTCCATCCACTCGGTGACTTTGAGTTTCTCGATGAACTGGTCTTTGATGTCCGAAACAATTTGGTCTCCAAAGGCTTTGGATTTTGCGGAGAAGGCCTTTTCGACGAAGAATCGACTGAGAAGCCAACCCACGCCACCATCAACGTGATTGACGCATTTTCTCCAACGTTCAGGTGACGAATCAGGGTCCTAACGAGTATACTATCAGTCTCGGATACAGTAAATAGTGGCTGCTCGCCCTTCACGTCATACCTTGCCTTGTAGTTCATTCTGGAAACGCTTATAAGGAACAAGGGCATCCGCCTCGACGTAAGAGTTGAACGTCTGAACGACTTTCCACGCAATATAAGTGTCAAGGGTTTCCTTTGAGGTTTGGTCCAAGAGCTTGCTGAGCTCTTTGAGATACTGTGGTGCCATTACTATGATTCGGTCGATATCATAGTCCCTGGGCACGAGGCTCTTCAGTATGCTGGGAAGGTCGATTTGTGGAACGAGTTTATCAGCTTCACTGGGTGACATCGGATTGTAGTATTTCTGTAGAAGCACATCAGTATAACGACATAGTTTCTCAGAGCGCAAAAAGACTGACTGTAACATCGTCTCGGTCTTCAGCGTCCGGTGATGCGGCGGCAAGCTTCTTCTCGAATTCGACAAGACCGCGTGAATCGACCTTGGTAGCCTTTTCAGGGTAGAGTGCAGACATGACTTGAGATACTACGTCTTCGTATTTTTGGACGATCTTCTCGTCGTTGTACAGCTCTTTGGCAGGAAGGCCGATCGAATAAGGGGCGGCAACCGAAATGACGACGGTGTCGGGGTCCCGATCGTCCGCACCAGTGCCGGCTGCCACGAACGCCGATATTCCTAGATTGGCAAGATAAGTAATGGTATCGGTCAGAGGCTTCTCCGATTCCGCTGGTGCAACAAACAACCTGTGACTCGTCTCGTTGAGCATGTGGAGCAACGGGGCGACACCACGACTCTTGATTGTATCTTCGTCCAAACAAGCATTGTACGCGGTTTGAAGCTTGTCGAAGTTCTGTTGATCTACAGACCCCGTGACGTGGTTCAAGTTTGGCGAGAAATCAGCATTCTGGATTCGTCGTGAGCCAACACTCGACGGTGGAGTCGAGTAGCATATGATGAAATTCACGGAATGAAACTTACCGTGGCAGAACTCGGATAAGGGGCCTCCAGGATATGGCGAAGGAGCATTTCAGAGGTCTCGGACATGATGGTACCAGTAAAGGCGTCGCCCTGGTCGGGTCTCAGGTCATGACGGTCCCTCCACCCTCCACAGACCATTTCTTCAAAGTCGGTGCAAGCATCGATGTTTTTGTAATCAGGTGACAAGTTGTACAACAGTTCGGACGAAGCGTGTACGCACGCGGGAGTCAGACAAGTTTCAGACCCAGTCGTACCATGTTGTTTCCGAGAAGAGCCTTGAGAATGTAAATAAATCAACAGTCATCCCTCACAGAAGACGGAGGAGGAAGAGGAGGAGGCTGGCCGGCAAACCTTTCAGACAACCCGGCAACCGAAAAGAAGAGTGACCATGATGGAGATTTAGAACCGTCAAAACAAGTAACAATCCCACACCAATAAAGGCGGCCTTGAGGATTGAAGAGGCATTGCGCCTCGATCGTGAATCCTTGAAGGTGTGACTCTCCTCATCCGCCATCAACGGCACCTGCTCCAGCATCATCACGCCTCCCTCCTTTTCCGGAAGCTTGGACTCCATGATGATGATGATCTCCCAGGAGTAGATGGGAGGTTGTTGTTTGTCAATTAGACACAAAAAGATTGCAAGTTGATATGCTGCCCGTCGTCATGAGACATGGAGAGACGAAGCTGGAGCTGCCTGGTCAGCAATCAATTGGAACCAAACAAACCGTCAATGTCGCCGGGCGGGGGATGAACTATACCCAAAGTAGACTAGTGACTCCGATTGATGACATAGCCTCGTACCTAGTGACAGCCTTGTACAGCCTTGTACAGCCTCGTGCACCTGGCCTCTCAGTCGGAGGAATTCACGAATCTGCCACCCATGCATTCAACGGGGTAACAACATCCCCGGAAAGACGCCGGTACTTCGCTAAGGACGTACGCATTGAACATGACTTCATGACTTTTTAAGCTTGCTCAATATGTGTCTTAGCAAATTTCATCATTCGAGAGAAGGAAAGGGACGACGGAGACGGACCTTTTTTTCAAGTCTCGGAGGGTCGGAGGGTCGGACGCTCGACCGCAATAGGCAATGGCCTTCACTCGACGCCTTCAATGACAACCATTTCCCATGGCATATATATAATACAGGACTTGCTCATTGTCCAAATGGTAGATTACAAGAAAGATAACCGTTAAGAAACCGAACTTCTCATAGAAAGAGAAATACGGAGTACATTCCGTCCATTAGCTATCTCTGCAGCGACAACGACCAATATTGTCCTCATCATGTCGGCACTTTCGAACCAAGCAGCGTATCTTGTTGAGAAGAATGCGACACCTCTCCAGGTCCGATCAGCCCCCTACACGAGTCCAGGACCAGACGAAATCGTCATCAGAACACACGCTGTCGCAGTCAACCCTGTCGATCACATCATCCAGGACAGTAGTTTGATCTATGGGCATCTAAAATACCCTGCAATCCTCGGCTTCGATGTCTCAGGAGAAGTCGTCGATGTCGGGAAGAACGTCACACGTTTCAGACAAGGCGACCGTGTCGTCGGCAGTGCTCCTGCGACCGACGAGAAAATCAACTCGCCCGCCTATGGAGGCTTCCAGCTCTATACGGTCCTTCTGTCGCACATGGCCTCCCCTCTTCCTGATACCCTTTCATACGAAGAGGCATCCGTCATTCCACTAGGCCTTGACACAGCAGCATGTGGTTTGTTTCAAAAGAACCAGTTGGCCCTGCAGTATCCCTCCGTGCCAACAGCAAAGTCGACGGGCAAGACACTTCTAGTATGGGGCGGCTCAACCAGTGTCGGGTGCAATGCGATTCAAATCGCAGTAGCAGCTGGCTATGAAGTCATCACCACATGCTCTCCACGCAACTTTGATCTGGTCAAAAGCCTCGGTGCAGTACAGGCATTTGACTACAACAGCAGCACCGTTGTCAGCGACATCAAGAACGCTTTCAAAGGCAGGACAACAGCTGGCGCCATGTCCATTGGTCACGGTGCCGCCCACAAATGTCTTGACATTCTGGCCGCTTGCAAGGGAGACAAAGCTTTGACCATGGTCAGTTATCCAATGCCAGAGTCCACTCCGAAACATTTCGTTGTCCTTCAGACCATTTTTACATACTTGACCGGTATGATCTCGTTGTGGATCAAAGCCAAACGACATGGTATTCGTACAGGTCTCATCAATGGGTACACATTGATACATAACGAGGTCGGACCGATGATATACCAGGACTATCTACCCAAAGCTCTGGCCGAGAATAAGTTTGTGCCGGCACCCAAGGCGGAAGTTGTAGGACATGGTCTCGAGCATGCACAGAAAGCAATGGAGATCCTGAGGGAAGGCGTCAGCGCAAAGAAGGTCGTCATAACCTTGTGATCTTACCTGTAGCATGTGCGACTAGTCCTTGCTTTTGGCTTGGTTCATTCAGGTAGTAGTATATCAGTGGCCGGCGCTGACGTTTTTCTGTTTTTGAATTTTATTCATAGCTTCTTTGAAATCGACAACCATAGAGAAGATTCACCGAACTTGACACACCCAGAGCATGGAGTAGCTGCAAGATAGATATTTGGATCATAGAATTTTTTTCACTTTCCTTCACTACTCCATGCTGGATGTTTGACCATGCTAGCAAGGTGGGCCCGAGTGGGTTGTTGTAGTGGTCCGGCCGCTTCAGGACGAGACACATAGTCACCGGAAATGTTCACCTCACTCGTTGCCTCGGTAGGGTTATATTCGCAGAGCTCGACTTGATCTGACGAGTCATCTCTTGCGACGTGTCTCGATGAAATGAATGACTTGAAGTTCTTGCCGTTGCTTGTGTCCGTCAAGTTGACCCGTCGAGCTTGAATGTCATGATCAGAAGCGGTTCGCTCGCGATTAGTGGTCGAGATACCACAGCCTGGGAAGTATCGCCGTAACACGACGCGGACAGACGGCATGCAGATGCAAGCAATGCCAACATTGAATTCCAGATCCGAGAAGTATCCAAGTGGTACAAAGTCCCCTAGACGTATCACATGGTTAGTGATTGAGACATGATGAGTTCAAGGACGATTGCCTCACATGCGGGATTCCAAGTGTTGTTCAACTTGATCAGACTCCAAAGTCGGAGGATGCTCACGAGAGTGACACTGTGTATGTGTGAGCATCAGTCGGCAAATAATGATTCTAATAAACTCACAAGAATCCCACGCAAAACATGGACAACACTTGAATCTTCTTCTTGTGGGAGAGGTTCAATTTCCAAAGTTGAGTGATGGGCAAAGCAAAGATCAAGAAGTCCAGTAGAATATTTGTTATGGCATGCAGAACAGCACCCAGATCAAAATCGAGGCACTTTCCTTTCCCTGTGCCATCCCACTGGGTCCAGGCATAAGATACTGGGCTACACTGGAAGATGAACAGGAATGTGAAGATGAGGCCGTGTAACAATGTGATCGCAAGCAGTGGGAAAGCGACCCGGCGAAGTATCGGGGAGGGGAAGAGCCTGATATAGAATAGCAAGAAGGCAATCTTGGTTGCAGACACGCCCACGGCATATAGAATTCCACCAATATAGAATAGCTGCAAAAGTATTTAGCATTTGTTGGGATCGTATGGATCACATGGAAACGGCCCCGTACCATTTCGACAGTCTTTGTATGGTCGAATGGGAGGCGCCATGTATCGCGACCGTACCCAAAGGACCGCGCTTGAAGGACGTCAGCGGTAGTCTCTTGCTGTCAAATCGTTCAGCTTACAGATAGGATTGCATATAGCATTGCCAATCATCAAAAGCTAAGGCGACGTCAGTCTTGCACCTTTCGGTATTCCTAGCCCGGGATGACACTCACAGTAGCAACAGCGACCACAACGTCATCCCACCCCCAACGTGTTCTAAAGTCTCGCGACAGGTTGACGATACGGACTCCAACTAGGAGTAGAGCCACAGCCATCGAGGTGAATGTGATTGCGCTGCTCAGAGGACCTCTGTTGCGGTCGGGGAAGTTGCAACTGATGGATGTCACATTTTGCGCAACTGAGCACGTCAGTCATAATCATCATGGGACCCAAGGGGCCTGGGCAGTCCGCTCACTCAATCCTTCGTGTATTGTGCAATTCGATTGCCAGCAGTTTTGTACAAGCTTGTATAGGTCATTATCGTTGCAAAAGCACTGAACGCCAAAGCGACAAGCCGAGGATTGTTGTGTGATATTCGAGATGCAGTTGTTCTGTGGTGGAAATCAGATTTAGCAGACGACTTAAGGTCCGTCCGGGTTGCGAAACTCACAGCGCAGTCCGATAATTCCAACGACTGGGCAAGGGCGGCTTGCCCAAAGGAAAGCAATGCAAAGCAGGCGAGCAGTGGCTTCCAAGCCATCGTTCTCATGATCCTTGACTTGACAGGCGCATCGAGGTCGAATGGGAGAGGTTCGTCAGCAGCTGCGAAGGGAGTGAAGGTAGTTAGGTTCCCGTCATATTTGTTCTTGACCACGACGAAAGATCAATTCCCTTTAGCCCCAATCAGCAGGCAAGAGTGTAGCGAGAGACACAACTCTGCGTGTTCCAGAACTGTCTGGACTAACTCAGACGGTCCTGGGTGAGTCGGGGACACCCCAGCGGGCTCTGGAGGGGTCATCAAGGCTGACCACGCAGACCATGAAGACAATTCAAAACACTCGACTACCATTTCAGGTACAGAACGAGGGTCCCAGGGGGATGACAAGGTTAGCTCAGAAGCTAGATATTTCTCCGGTCAGAATTAAGGCACGGGAAAACCATGTGGTTGACTGGGGGGTTGAGTTGGTTGTGCCTGAATCCCGCAACGCCATTGTTCGGAAGGCGTGCCGCAAGCGACCAGGTCAAAGTAATGAAGTGGAGTTCGCAGCAGAAAGTACGAGTAATGAATTGTTCGTTTGTGGAAAGGCGGAAATGATTTTTCGAGTCGACTGTTGTGATGGAACGAGTCATATAGGCAGGATCTTGTCATTCTTACCATGATTGCATTGTTCTGTCTGGCGCATCTTTCGACGTCCGCAAGGTAGTCAAGTCAAATCCCTTTCAGCATACTCCATAACTGTTATGCGCAATGCGATGGAAGCCAGGGCGAAAGAGTCGGTTGCTGAGTCTTGCTTGTCCAACTTGTAAAGAGGTAAGCACAAAACACACTATTGTGCCGTGTCTGCAGCCACTTTGCTTGGAATGAATCATGGTGGTGACTTTGGCCCCCGATCATAAGGTGCTGATACTCGTGCTTGTGTGCAAAGAGGTTCCCCGCCCCAAAAATAATGCGGTTAGGCTCACCAACCTGAAGATCTTTTGTAGTCTAACAGACACCTGAAACGGCCTATCTTTCCCTGGGCCGGGATCATGCCTTACCGGCCTGCAGTTCTTCTTCCTTGACTGAAGAAGACCCTCAGGTGACCGGGCTCTCCCAAGTTGTGATGTCCGATCGCGACCGCTGAAGGAGTATTTTCGTCAAGTCTCTAAATAGCGGCGCGTTACTCCGTACTTACTCCGTTTTAGTTGTTGTCCACTTGTTCGAGCAAGCGAGGATGGAGCCGAGAGTCTGGCAGAGAATCAGCGGAGACATTTCGCTTAGGAAGATCATTGTCTAAAATACAATAGTCAAAGGTCGGCAAGCCCTGCGAAAGACGAAACACTTTGTGTGACCCCTTTCTTTTCGATGACGAGGCGAGTCAGGTCTCTGCTGGATTTATTTGGAGACAAGACCGTCGTATGGGAGGTTTTCGCGATAAGAGTCCCTTGTGTCGACATCTGTTTCGCTGGCAATAGTGTTGAGGCAATGATCGCCAGAAGAGGCGCGCTCGTCAATGCTCAGGTCATGAACAGGAAAGATTGATATCAGTATACAATATCAATATTGGTGTACTCTGGACGGAGAGTACTCGCAGCTTTCTCTGTCTGTTCCAGAGGAAAGGCAAGCTACTGTACGTCCATCGACCGCGGCGCTCCTCCGGAAGGGAAGGCACAGCGAGGCTCAACTAGGTACAAGTATCTAATTTATTAGGCGGTCTCACTAGGCTTGGCTCGCCTAAAGTCAAGGGGGACACCGTTCGAGGTAAGCGCAGCCTTGTCGGCGACTAGTTTAGGTAGTTCCCTACACCACCAGCACACACAACTTCATTCCTTTTCAGCCTTGCTTTTTTCCACACAGTCTCAGAGATTACTTTGTTGTACAAGCGTTCGATGCCTCAACGCCAATCCACCTCCCTGCCCAAGAACTGGCCCAAGGACATCATCTTTCTCACCACGCTCCACATCCCGCTTCCCTTGACGCCCGCATCCGTCCAACGTCAACCCACACCGTCCCCGACCCTCCCACTCGTCAACCCAGTACCACTCGTCCCCAATCCCAACGTTCGGATCACCCCCATCACCACACCCGCGCACCCGGCCTACACGCAGCACGGGCTCTTCTCGACCCGCGCGCTGCCGCCGTCGTCGTTCATCATCTTCTACCTGGGTACCCTGCACCCGTCATCCACCGCGGACCCGACGTCAAACTACGACCTCAGCCTCGACCGGGAGCTCGACCTCTCCATCGACGCCACGCGCCGCGGCAACGAGGCCCGCTTCATCAACGACTACCGCGGCGTACGACCCGACGGCCCCAACGCCGAGTTCCGCGACTGTCTCGTCGAGGTCGCCGTCCCCGGTGGCGGCAAGACGTGTGAGCGGAGGATCGGCGTCTTCGTGCTCGGTCCCGGCAAAGCGGGCGCCAAAAGCAAACGCGGTCGAGGTATCGCCAAAGGCGAGGAAATCGTGGTAAGTTACGGCAAGGGTTTCTGGAACGCCAGAAAGGACGAAGACGGGGAGGAGTGAAGGTGTTTGGTTGGCTTTTCTTCCAAACGAACAACTCCCGTCGTAGGGTCCAGGTAGTGCTCGGCGTGAAGCTTTACGGTTTCTAGACACGACCAAAACTCGATCCAAATTTCATCAGCGTCGCAATGATCCTGGTGGTCAGCTGGTGTCATTCACTTACTGGGGTTCATCCTTGAGGAAAGCCATCAGCCTAGGACTACTCCTTTTGAAGTGTGGAGGGAAAAAAAGGAAAAGCTTTGCTAATGATGGTGATCTCATTCATAGTCGTGAGGCCCTCATACTTCGTGAGTCCAAGGGCATCTGGAGTGCTCACACAGAGGACATAAAAATGTAGATATCTATTCAGATGTGATACAAGAGTAAGTTCCTGAGTAGGTAGGCAAGCCGTCAGGTGACTAAGAGCTTTTGTCTCGTCTGATCTCTCATCTTTTCTTCAAGTGGAAAATAGATAGCACCTAGAGCCGGGCCATTGCGTATAGATTGAACCACAAGAGGAGCTCATATTACTTCTTGACAAAGATCGGACCGTAGCCTCTGTCTCACAGTACACTATGAGTATGAATACTCACGTGCGCTGGACCAGTCATTAAAACAAAGGTCCCATTGTGGTGGTCTGCTCTTGGAATCCCCTGAATTCTCTCTTCGACGTATAGTGCTACAGTTTAAAACACATTCTCGCCTGACCGAAAGATTTTTTTGGACATCTTGTCATGAGACGGTGGTGTGAGGTAAGCCCGACAATCCGCGGTCGAAAGGGAGTCGACTCATGGCGTATCCGCTTGCCAATAGAAGCCGTTGCTGCGCGTGGCAGGGCTAGTATGTTCACTCCAAGTGCTCGTCCCAAGATGTTATCCAATGTGAAAACAAAGGGCGAATAGCCCATGTTTTCAATCAAAGGAAACAGACTGGCGTACTAGCTGCAAAATTCCATAGCACATGATGTTACTGTGCAGTTTCATTCAAACATCGTCATCGTCATCGTCGTCATAATCTTCTTCTTCATAATCATCTCAGCCAACGCAGCAACGCATTCGTGAGTAACCGTTTGTCGACAGGTTTGGCCACATAGTCATTCATACCCTCGGCAAGATACGTTTCTTCATCGCCCTTGAGGGCGTTCGCTGTCATGGCAATGATCGGCACAGTATGTCCGAGGGATCGGATCTTCTTCGTTGCTGTAACCCCATCCATGACCGGCATGCTGATGTCCATCAAGATTAAGCTGTAGGTAAGTGGTTTCGCCTGTATTGAACGGACCGCTTCTGCGCCGTCACTGGCGACATCCACCTTTTCGAACCCGAAAGCTCGCAGTTGTCGGACCATGATTGTCTGGTTGATGGCGTTATCTTCCACCAGAAGCAACTGCTTGTGTTCGGACAAGTCTTTCAAGCTCAGATCTGGGAGCGCGACGTCTCGCGGGGTAGTGGGTACCGCATCGACCTTGTTGAGTCTCAAGGTAAAATAGAATATGCTGCCTTGGTGGTCCGGATTTCGTGCGAATCCGATAGTGCCGCCCATCAGCTCTGCCAAGCTCTTGCAGATCGACAGGCCTAAGCCAGTGCCCTTGTATCTTTTAGTAGATGAGTTGTCGAGTTGCGCAAACGGCGTGAAAAGTACATTTTCAGCCTCCTGGGAGACCCCTATCCCAGTATCAATCACTTCGGTCCTTATATCATATGACGTGTCATCTTCGCCGGCTACTACGACCTTAACGCGTACATAGCCTCGTTCTGTGAATTTGATGGCATTGGATACCAGATTCTGAACGACTTGTCGGTACCGCAAGGGATCGCCTTGGACAAAGGTAGGCAAGCGATGATCAAGTTCAACTTCGCATTGCAGGTCCTTCGAGCCGATATTGACACACCGCCGAACAGCGGCAACGATTTCGGCCATATTCATCACGTCCTTGCCGATTGAAAAGGAGCCAGAGCTCAACTTTGAATAGTCAAGTATGTCGTTGATGACTTGCAATAGTATGGCGCCGGACTCATCGATGATATCCGTCAATTCCCTTTGCTCCGTAGTCAGGTCAGTCTCATTGAGAAGTCCCAGGGCAGAGAGCATTCCATGCATTGGGGTTCGGATTTCGTGGCTCATGTTAGCCAGGAAGTCAGACTTCATTTTGGAGGCTTCCTCATAGGCAGCAATCAAACGTGCTTCAGACCCCTTTCGTTCGGTCAAGTCCCTCGTTACTTTGCTGAAGCCTCGTAGTTCTCCATCACGGTACACCGGCGTAATTATGACATTCGCCCAGAACCGTGTGCCGTCCTTTCTTACGCGCCAACCTTCATCTTCCACCTTACCGTCACGGAGAGCTATTTCCAGCTCTCTCTCAGGTTTTCTGGCCCTACGATCCTCTTCGCTGTAAAAGGTGGAGAAATGTCGGCCAATCACTTCCTCCTGGGTATATTGTTTCAGAAGCATTGCCCCAGTGTTCCATGTCGCTATGCAGCCTTTAGGGTCGAGCATGAAAATAGCATAATCTCTTAATGTGCTGACCAGGATCTTATAAGTCTCAGCGGTTGATAATTGAGCGTAATGTTGCAGCTGCCGTTGAACTTCCTCACTGGCGTCTTGTGCCTCTACAACAAGATACAGCAGCTCATCGCCGTCATATATCGGTGCAATCTCGAGTCGCCAATAGCCTGGTAGCGCGCTGCCCAGCAGAGGCTCTGTTCTTCGTGGCTCGCGGGTTCGGATGGAGTCTTGTAAGAGTCTTGCTGTGACTGCAAAGTCTGTCGGAGCAAGTACCTTGCCAACGAGTTCGAGGAAACCTCTACCAATCGCCGAGTCGAGGTTGAATAATTTGAGACATGCAGCAGAAGCAACGATGACATGCAGTTCTCTGTCTAGCACTACAGTCGGCTTAGGCGAAAATGCAAATATTTGCTCCATCCCGATCGGAGCCTTGAATTTGCGTGGCGATGTCGGGCTTGGTGGTGGACTCAAATTGGTGTCCGTTGCAACAGGCTTCATACGCGAGGCTGGGTAGAAAGCCTTGCCGCCAGGGACGGCGTTGGCGTTGTCGAGTTGATCAACAGCTACGCGTTTTCTGGACTTCATTGTGGTAAGCATCAAAACCAGCAACAACAGTATACAACTCCTGGTGAAGAGAAACTTGGATTTCAACAGGAACAGGTGGTAGAAACGAGAGGTGGGCAAGGTGTGTGTGATGGATGGGAAAGTGTAGGACGACTTACCAAGAAGACTGGAGCCACCCAAATCCAGGGTATTGGCTACCGGTAGCGCCAAATATGCCTCATTGTTTGCTGCATGCACAAACCAGGGACTATCCGTGGTCGAGGGAAACGCTGTGTGACGGTGACCGGGCCTGGGATCGAGTGAGGCTATGGGAATGGCGTAGTCCAGACAAGTGCGGTTGCACTTCTTAAAAGTCGACTCAAGATGGACGCCCGAAACGTGTCATGCAGGGATTTAGCGTTGAGATGCTAGGACGGTTAGGAAATCCGACCGACTATCGATCTGGTTTTATGAGTTTAGGGTGAAGCAGATTGGAGACAGTCAAGCCCCCAGGGTACGTGGCTGAATCGCGCAAACCCGGGTTGTAATTGTAAGGAGTGAAAGGAGCCGATTTCTCACGACAGCTAGGCGCAGTCTGTGTATTGAAAGAGCAAGAAGAGCAGAGGATTCGATGCTGTCCTTGTAAAATCCGTTCGCATTCGAGGATCAAAGCAGTCTGTTGGTAAAAGGCTGGATCGGAAATACACTCTCGAGCGGGCTGGACGCCGCTGTCAATGAAAGGTGCCCAACAAGATTGTGCGGGAGATGCCTGGACGATCAAACGCGGGCCCCAGGGGCTGCGAGTACTCGTCAAACGGTCCAGGATCTCAGGGTCTGGATTTACGGGCTCTAAGCTAGCAAAGACAAGCTTTCAGACAGGGGATTTTCGCTGTGCTGTGCAAAGGTGGTCTGTAGAGCCAAAAACACTTGAAAAATGGTGTTGATCGCTGCGGGGACAGAAATATGATCAAGCCAACAGGAAAAGGGCATTCCTTGTATGCACCGAGGAACAAGAAAGATATGTACAGAGTGTGGTTTTGCTGTGCTTGTACCCAGAAGAATGCAACAGATTGCGGTGGAAAAATCAATGAATGACGTTGGTTGTGGTGCAGAGTGAAAACGGTCAAGGGTATTGAGAATACAATGCGACTACAGGCAGGTGGAAACGGAGGGGCTGAGACGAGGAGCTCGTGAGGCTTAACTGGGCCATTGTTACTGGTGGATGAGATGGATTTGATTGCAATGGCTGCAATTCTTAGCTACGCCTGAGTCAAGAATAGCCGAGTGAGTTGACATACTGTACAGTATTTACTGTAGAAGAGACTGTCTCGCCGAGAGAGGCACTGTAGAAAGACAATGCAAGCATCGTAGGGGGTGATACAACTACCATTTCGGGGACTCTGTTGTACTCCGTATTTGAAAATCATATCGCTTTACGGAATACTGCTTTGATGCACTCGATCCCTTTTGGCTTCAGGCATAGTCCTACGTCCATTCTGACCTCTCTCCACCGTCTCGGGAGGAGCAGAGCAGGCTTGCTTCCCCGTCAATAGTTGAGTTGCAAATACGAGTCTCAGAGGTTGGTAAGTGTAAAATTGGACGGGAGTTACCGTCTCCTCGGTTAGGGATTCAGTAGAAGGTGGTGAGAAAGAGAAGAGTGGTGTCCATACAATTAATATAGCCGCTACTCGTACTTTTTCATTCTGGATCGACGATCCTGAGGCTGGTCATCGCCTGATCCTGCTTTTGTGATCCTGCACATCGCTAACAGTCCCGAATGGCTGGACGAAAATTCTGTACCACTCATATTTGTGCTGCAAGTTTTTTGTACTTTGCAGGACAATTGGTTGATTCTGTAGTCCGTCACAGTGTCTTCCAATCTTTTCAACGTGCGGGATACTCTTCCCTCCCATGAACCACCATTCGCGAACCCCAGGACCCGGCTCTGACCTCCGGAGCCCACAATCACCGCCAACTGTTCCCTGACTCTCGAATACCCAAGACGCATATCATTTTTCTGTATCGAATAAGCCCGCGTAGAAGGTGCTCAGTCCCAATTTACCCAATTGTTTCAGCCAGTGGCAGATAGCTCGCAGCCAGAAGGCTGCCCTGCGGACGCCCAGCGCGATCTCTCACATTCGCCTACGAGTGCGAGCACAGGAGGGTTCATAGTCACGGTGAATGGAACGCGCAGATAGAAGATCAAACCAAATGTGGTGTCTCTCCTGCTCTATAACAGGCAGAGACAATGACCAGGGTGCTTTTGCAAGACTATCTTGCGTATCTGCAAAGATGGCAACACAGGACCCAGCCATCTGAAACTACAACCTGTGTACAGACATCGTCTGTCCGTCAATGTAGTATGCCGACTGCTCCTTCATGCGTTTGAAACCCCTTAAATAAACAATATCCCTTTTCAGCAAAATGTTTCGTGGATCCCACGTCGCCTCATGCTCTGTACAATTGAATACCTAAAATGGCGCAGGTAAAAGTCGTAATATGTATTTCATGTCCTTTGTTCGTTGACCGACCCTTCATCACGTTCCAAGGCTCAAGCGGTCGAGACTGCGTACTCTTTTCCCAGTCCCGCCTGTTACCAAGCCTAACTTATAAAATGTTTCTTCACCACCTGCACTCCGACCTCCAATGTACCATTTGTCAGGCCCCAGGGCATCAATAAAACCCCCAGATGAATTTGAGCTGTCACTTCCCCGTCTTTGCCTCCCCCGTGTCATTGGGGTCGACGTACCTGGCGGCGACATTGACAGGTTCGGATTGGTATGAGAATGCGAATGGGGTCCGGCGGGCGAGCTTGGTCCTGGTGATCTGGACAAAGGAGGAGCATATCGATGCGAGCTCGTGTTCGATGAGAATGGTAGTGGAGAGGGAGAACCTGGTTTGGCTTGCGATGGTTGTTGAGAGAGTGTCGATGTATCGACCGAGGATTTGGTTGAGATGGTCCTAGCATTCGACGCGGTCACTGTCGCGTTCGTGGTCGATACATGTGGGGTGGCCACGAGGGTGCCTTGCAATACTGTATCGTATGTTGAACTTGACTTGGCTTGAAAGGTGGGATTGGTTCGGGCGCGGAATGCAGAGAAGAAGTTGGCGAAGAAGGGTCTGTTGGTAGGCATCGCGTCGCCCTCTATGCTCCGAAAGCAAGAGAATAAAGGATCGGAGTAATCGACTTCTCAGTTGTGAGCGTACTTCGAGGACGCTGCGAGGGGCTAGTAGGGTCCCGTACTCGTAGTACTACTTAAGAGACGACGAAGCCGCTCTCTTCCGTGTGTCCTCCACCTATTACCCTATTGTGTGTCTCCCCGCAAAAAAGGCATGCGTGGTCAAGAATGAGTTGGTGAATGAGGGAAACCAGTCAGCCACTAGAATTCTGTGCGAGTTGTGCTAATATGCTTGCTCAGCTGCATGCAGGAGGATTGATCGCCGAGATGTGACTTGAGGGAGATCCCGAGATGGATGGATATCGGAAGACAGAAGTGGAATAAGGGTCTCCGGAAGGGATGCGGCGAGGTAGTCAGTGAGTGAGGATGCGGTCGCTGTTGTCGTCAATAGTTTGCACATTCAAGAGAAGGCTGCTGAGATGACAATAGAGTTCATTTCGTCAAAGAGGAGTTTCTTTTCATACTTCGTCACTGCCTGTCGGGCCATGATGGAAGAAACCGGGCGTTTTGAACCGAGCGAAAGAGGTTGGCTGACATGCGCAGCCCGCGCATAGATCTGAGCCCGCAGGCCCACGTTTGCGCCTCAACCGAACGAGCCAATCAATGTTGTGATAAATGCTCTCTCGGTGGTGTCTCGGATGGGGTAGCACTCGTACTGGCTCAGCGATTCTTGTTAATGTGAAAGCATCAAAGGGCAACGATTGAATAACAGTCACTCATAGATTTGCTATCTGGTGTGGCTACTCGTGCCTCTCAAATCTCGTGACCTTTCTGACCTTTCTGCGATTTTCGTTACAACTACAGCAATTTGTCCGAGAAGCAATTCTCACACGAGTAATGCAGTCTCCATTGGCCGAGAATCGTTCTCCCATATCCATACAACAATACCATATTCTCTCATCATCAGACCTCGTCACTGCCAGCTTGATCTCGTCCTCAAAGTCTCCATTGTGTACTCCATCACCAGATTGCCATTCTCTGCAACTCCGCTGCATCGGCCGTCTCTAGTCGTCATCGTCGTGAGTAAATTCGAGAATCTGTCTAGGTCAGTGATTGCCAATCAAGTCGCCATGAAGCAGCACGCCTTACCATGTTATTCCACCCGGTACCGCAGGATGTCACTGTGCTAGGGCCCATGTTCTCGAATCCAAGGCTGGTGTAGAACGGAATGAGATGGTCATGGGCAAGCAAGGCAATTCTTTCCGCACATCGGGAGTCCTTCATCCGTTGAATATACGACTTCATCAAAACCGTTCCAAGTCCCATCTTTTGAAACTCGGGAGCAACGGCTAAAGAGTGCAAGCAAATCGTGCCTCCAGTTTCTTGATGGCCTTCGGGTTCCCCTTCAGTGCTCGTCGGAAGCGAAGACCTCCTTGTTCTCCAATTGGATGGAACTTTCATGGACGCCTCAGTCACGCACGGCGCTGGGCTCCGGGTCGAGACAATATGTGCCATCAATTTCCTCTTTGCAGGGGTGGAGGAATCTTCCACTTCCGCTTTGGTAGGCTGAGTGAATAAGCCGAGACTCAGCTCTGGACATCGGGTGAGCCGATAGTGAAACTAGAATACCCGGGTTAGTCTGACAGTTGTGGTTTCCGGTGGCCGGAAGTTGACAATGGGCCCGGAAGGGACGTTGATGGTGTTACAAAACTGACCTTTTCTCGACTCGCTCTCTCCTCTGGAGGAAACACCGACTCTTCGACAGAAAAGCATTCATCAGCATTGGCAACTGACAATGCCTGATTTTCAGGATGAAGATGGTCCCATTCGTGCGAAGAGCCACGACGGCGTGCGCCCAAGCGTCCGGTGAGCATACTTAGCAACGGATGATTTGCCATGGCATCGTGCTCATCCTCAGAGTCGTCGTCCTGGTCGTCAACGGCGTCGTCGGGATCTTCTAAATTATTTGTGAATCGCTGAAGTTCATGGGGCGCAGTTGATGAATGTGTGGCATCATCCGCCTCACTATCTGGCATATCGACGTCGGCGTGATGAATGTCGATAAAGCCATCTTCTTCCTGCACAGATTGATCTTTTTGGAGATCCATCTTGGCAGGGTTCTCTGCCTGATTTGAGGTTGCTGATTGGTTCATTTTGGGCCGTTCCTCGGCGAACTTCTCGACTGGCTTGTACAAGGTGGTGAACTGGCGGCTTGTGTGCGGTGTGGCCTGCAGGAGCTGCAAGAGAGCGGTTGCAATGAAAGAGGATTGGCTCCTGTCAAATATTCCTGGTATGTGCCCGATCCTGGTCTCTCGGGATTTGAGGGCCTGAGGAAAGTGTGTGAGGCGAAATAACGGTATGTGAAAATTTCAGTAGTAGCGAGTTTCATGCAGGAACCATGAGAACAAGGCTTTGTCGCCGGAGAAGGATTGAATGGCCAATAGACGAAAGGGTAGTGGTACAATCAGCAGTGTGAATACCGAAGGTTGTGATCGTTTGAATGACAATATAATGTCTTGAGCTTTAATCGTAGAATCTGAGATGATAGCATGGGGCACGCGACAAAGCGCCTAGAGATTTTTTAATGGACAGATCAAAGCAAAGTGTTGGAGCCATTTGGCAGTGGGCAATAGGCATTATTGGGCGTTGGGCATGCATCAGGTAAGTTTCGTGGGGTTTACGGAGTACGATTTTCATTTACAGTACCTGAAAATTCACATGTCGCCATCGACTTAACTCTCAGACATGCAACTGAGGTGATATGGAACCTTCAACAGTTGAAAGAATGGGAATGATCAGCACAGTGAGGAAACTACAAGACGATTCCGAAATCACTATCTAGATTCATCGTCCTCCTACTCGTGCTTGTAGCCAGACTATCAATTTATTTGTACGGAGTACCTGCAAGACAAGATCACAGATAAACATCAACTGACCTTTGGACTGCAGTGGCAGTCGATCCCACACTCGCCCCCGCCATCAGTTCGTTTACTTGTACCCTTTCGCGAGCGTGTTGTCAACCGCAAAAAGCCCCCCAATCGCTCTATTTATGCTTAAAATTTGGGCTGATCGTGCTCTCCATATTTAACAGCTTAAGTGGCCATTTAGGTAAGGAGTCCGCAGCCCTAATCAGGCGGGATTGTGCGGCGAAGTTGGCGTCATTGTCGCCGTGCCTGAGCGTTCGCGTTTCCACCGCCATCCATTCACTTTCGTGATGAGAAATCAATGCCTTCGTTTCTGCTTGAAGAAAGTCTCATTATTTTCCTTTGAACGCATTACCAACTGTAGTACAGCGACAATTACATCTCTCTCTTCCATTTCCCAGCCTTGACACCGCCTGCAAACCTTGAAAAGCCTAGTTGCTTGGTTTCCCTTCCAGTACTGATACACCTGGCGAACTCGCGGCCTGCGTACCGGCAATAGAGCAAGATGTATAATGGCATAGCAGTGGTCAATATAGACATCACTAACAGCATTACAGGCGTATATCGATATCGATCATCACCTCCGATGTTGACCTACAATCCGATTTCCTCAATCTGGACGTGAGTCCTGATATGAGCCTCAATGATATCAAGGCTTTCGTCGAAGCCGAGATCAATATTCCTCCCATAGCGCAACACTTCCTTCACGATGGTCGACCGGTCACAGATACCTCTATCAGTCTGGCGCAGATGAATATACACGAAGGAGATGTAGTGGCATTGGCAGTTCAGACGAGACAAAGAAGAAGACCGGCCACCGAAAATACCATGGGTCAGCCCGCCCAGAGAGTGCGAAGTGGCAACGACCCCGAACAGCTGAGACTACGTATCTTGGGCGACTCACACATGCTGGCAGAATGTCAAAGACAAGATCCTGAACTCGCCGCGGCATGCTCAGACCGACAAAAGTTCCACGATCTTTGGAGTGCAAGACAGAGACAGTATGAGCAAGCCCAACGGGAAAAGGAGCAACAGATTGCTTTGCTAGAAGCTGATCCGTTCAATGTCGAAGCCCAGCAGAAGATTGAAGAAATGATTCGACAGGAGCGTGTCGCGGAGAATCTACAGAAAGCCATGGAAGAAAACCCAGAGTGTAAGATAACCCTACCTTGATCGCCATCAAGGCTAACCGTCCTGTAGCTTTTGGCAGAGTCACGATGCTGTACATCGATGTCACCGTCAACAACGTTCCTATTAAGGCATTCGTCGATTCCGGCGCCCAGACAACCATAATGTCTCCACAGGCTGCAGAACGGTGCGGGATCCTACGACTAATTGACAAGAGATATGGCGGAATAGCCAGAGGAGTCGGTACAGCGACGATTCTAGGACGTGTACATTCCGCCGATATTCAAATCGGCCAGTACAACCTCGCCAGCAGCTTCACCGTCATGGAGGGTAAGGACGTGGATTTACTGCTAGGACTCGACATGCTCAAGCGCCATCAAATGTGCATTGACCTCCAGAAAAACTGTCTCCGGGTACAGGAAGACGAGATTCCATTCCTACCCGAAAGCGACATTCCCAAGATGATGGAGGAAATCCTCGAGAACGAACCCAAAGTGGCAGGCCCGGATGGATCAACGATAGGGGCTACGACTGGCACAGTTGAGCCACACACCGAAACGCCAACCAACTCCAAATCGACTGCTGGGCCAAGTGGCACTTCCGCACAACCGTCCTCGTCACAATCTGCTGCAGCAGCTGGTAATTTTGGCCAGTCGCAGCCAATAACTCCAGAGTCCGTCGCGAAGATCACAGAGCTGGGCTTCTCGCGAGAGGAAGCCATTGCTGCGTTGACACAAGTTGACGGCAACGTGGAATTGGCAATTGGACTTCTTATATGATCCTCAGAAGCTTGCAACAGGACCATGTGCAGGATGACAAGGCTTCGTCCACGAAATTGCATTTGGTAGTAAGAAACAGATCTGCAGGGACGTCTGGCAGCATATGCCAACCGAGTACCGTGCTTACATCATGGCACGTAAAAGCAATTAGTAGATGTCATCGTTCCTCGACGATTATAATATTGATATGCCATGAATGGTAGAGAATACCGATACAGTAGTGGTGTTTTCGCAGAATTGACGTCCACCACCATTGACTCTGCCTACTCCGGAGTCTGTAGGTTAGCGAGATCTTCGGAAAGATACTGCCAGAACATCCGTCACTTAGGTACCTCCGTAGGGCCTATGAGCCTCTGGCGCGTCCTAAAAATGAGCTACTGTAAGGTGAAGCGTATCACTAAAGTTTAGCGGTTGGATGAGGCCAGTGCGGCAATACCTGCGCTGCCTCTCAGCGCCAAGCTTCGCTCCACCTGCGTCTCTGGGACCTGAACTGCAGCCGCAGTCAATCGGATGCGCAGTGCAACATTGAGACATCGCTGTTTATCACATTCAAAGCCTTGACAGACACCGACTCCTGCTTCTCAAGAGAAGTCGTTCTACAGGCAAGGGCTCGCCCGGAGAGTCAGAGCTGCGACATGAACCGACAAGGTTGGTTTGCCTTCCTCCCCTTCTCCCCAGCCCTGGTCAACACATCCATCACAGCAACTCGTGTTGGACTGTTTTTGCATGCGCATGGTGAAGCAAGCGATCTGGAGGACCTCACGATCACGAAACGACTCTCGGCGGCCGAAATAATGCGAGTACAAGATTGCGGAACTTTCTGAGAGGTGGAGGGCTCCTTTCTTCTCGAGCACACGCTGGGCAGAAGCGACGTAACAATTGCGACGATTGACTGCACGAGCCCCCAGGCTCTCAGACAATACTCGAATGCTTGATCCTGACTTTCGGTCTCCGTTACTTTTCGCCGATACAGTTTAGAAGGAGGCATTCATATTGGTCCGCGGGCGCTGAACAAATGATCAACGCATCTGAGATGTCACTTCAAAGGAGAGCAGGTTGAGTCTGTGATAAGAATGATCTCAATTGACACGCTGCCCTCTTAAGAAGCCACTCATGGACGCCGGTCTTTGAGTCTGCTATTCAGAAGTGCAACATAGCGTTTACCTCAACCCTTATCGACAATCGAATTGCGAATGATCTGGATTCTCCATATCGCAGGCTGCCCACATGGAACTACTATTCTTACACCTCACCAAATGTGTTGTTTCTTCGATGTAGATGTGCAAAGGCTGATACAAGTTTTATAGGGCAAGCACGACCACCATCAGCTACCAATAACATGAATCAACAACAAAGAAGTACGACCAATCCGAGGATGGTTACCAACAAGCCTGGTTTGTTTAATAGGAAATTTGAGTAGGGAACAGGGCCTAACTCTGCTAGGTGCATGGGCTCAACAAGGCCTCCCAAGTGCGCCAGGTGCTTCTCAACCATCACGAGAGACCGTTGCTCCAGACAATTGGGCCCAAGCCATGGGTTCTAGGTCCAGCGGTCCTCTCGATCTCTCCGCTTCATCGTAAGTGTTACTGGTCTGGGTATCTGCTCGTACTTCGGCTGCTTATGCTGTTCCAGATTTCCTAGCCTCAATAACAGTGGTCTTCAATCCCAGAGTCATACGGTTGGCTCTAGTGCATGGCAGACTGGCCCTCCGCAAAATGAACAAGGACAGAGACAGCAGCTGAATTCATCTCGAAATCAGATATCCTCACGGCAACAGCAGCAACAGCCGACTGGTGGACGCGAAGGATTTTATCCCACGGATACCTATTCACGGAATGCCCCCATGGAGTATTCCACTGAACAGCCTTCGCAACCAGCGAGACGGACAAATCCAGCACCCAGTGGTCCACCGGGCCTCGTGCAACGACCGAATCAGCTAAACGATACTTCGTCAAACGATCCTAGTAGAGTGACATCGCCTTCAGGCCAGGCACAGATATGTATGTTGGCTATAGAGGCCCTATGATCGTCTCATCATGCTGACTGACGTATCCAGCACGTTCACCCATGTCGCAAGGACTGAGTTCCGTGATAGGCCAAGACCGATTTCTTGGACAGGACACCAGACCACAAGGCAAAGAGTTCCAGGAATCGCCGTCACAATCGATGGGACTGCAAGCGGGAAGTATGTTTGGGGATCGAGAACCAGGATCTCAACCAGAGCAATCCGCTGAATCATTATTCGCTGGCATGAGTGATAGAGACAGGTTTGGCATGAAAGGGTACATTGCCGAACAAGACAATGCAACTCCAGCATCCCGAAGCCTCATGCGAGGACTGGATCTGTCGACACTCGGGATAAACATGAGCTCTGAGGGACCATTATTGCCATCATATCCTGGGCCGTGGGCTGATCACAACGCCCAGCCTCTCCGACCACTCGATTCCGGATATACTATTCCGGATTGCTATACGGTCAAAAAGATTGCGCCTCTATCTAGCCGCATCAACGGTTTCATGGATGAGACTCTGTTCTTCATTTTCTACACAATGCCTCGGGATTACACCCAGATGCTGGTGGCTCAGGAACTAGTGGCTCGCAAATGGCGGTATCACATGAGAGAAAAACAATGGCTGACCCGTGACGAGGCGTCCCCAAGTCCAGTCCTGTTAGAAGACAAGATGAGCGAGCAAGGCTACTACATCTGGTGGGACACCAAACTATGGAAGAAGGTCCGACGGATCTATACCCTGAGGTATGAGGATTTGGAGGAGCAACCGAGTATGGGCAATCGAACAATCCATGCTGGAGCTATGGGAGCCATGGCAGGAGGCATGGGAGTTGGTAATTTCAATGCTGTACCCAGCCTTGAGAGAATGGCCGCCAGCGGAAGAGGTTTTTGAATTTGGTGGTGTTGCTGCTCCCTGCGATCGAACGGTTGCCTCCACAAAGTTCGACCTCGCCTGGGGGATGAATTGTCGTTGTAATCATAGGAACTGCTCGCAGACAGCTGTATGCAAGAAACATGATCCATTCTTAAATACATTTTCTCCTAATCTGTAGTCGGTCAACCTGGACTATGAGTCTGGAGGAACGCCTTAATGGATGAGACTATAATGGCTGCTATATAGTACTTTAACACAAGGAATTAAAAAACAAAAACGAAGCCTGTTGATAGGAAGAATTGCTTTTGTTTTCCCTAGGTTAAAAGGAAACCGCATTTTGTTTTGGTTTGTAGAAGAGAATATGAGGCGACATGTTTTTATTTTCCGGGCAAGGGGGGGCTGAAGAAGGGGAGAGGAGAGAGGTTTTTATTTTGCGAGCCTGGGTATTTTGAACCCAGCCTTTTTGTCCTGCTCGCCTAGTGAATGGCCGTCCACCACATGATCATATGATTTGGACTGAGCCATCACTGAGGGGCCTTGGTGATTGTGATGAAAACATTCACTAATTTAATTGATAGTGATTCTTTCCAGGTGCTCCTACGGGTTTAGTACCGCAGCCTTGTCGACCCGGGTTTTTTATGTCACGTGCGCGGCTGTGTTGGAGATTCTCTATGTACTCGTATCCCACGGTCTCTTAGTACCGGATGTTTCCACCTCAACCGTCCCATCATCATGGAGGGTCAATACTCCGAAGCCTCACTCTCGAACTTGTCATGCTAGCATGGCTTGTGTCCTTTTCTTCATGTCATAATCATTGTAATAGACCATCCATTCATTCCGTTCACAAGGTGTTCGAGGACTCGGTCGCATTGTCTTTTACGCGGACTGAATCGCAACATCAGCATATTTTCCAACTTCGACAACACAATTTCACCCACAACTCGTTGGTCACGCTTCATCATTCCCTGTCAAACCCCACGAGGAAACCCTCAAAGGTTTTCAAGTGATCATTCCGTGAGCCAGTGTTTTCAGAGTAACACCAGACATCAAAGCAGTCAGGGCCCAGACTAACGTGGCACTGAGTGCCGGGAAGTTGCTACATCAAGTAGCGCCTGGCGAAACGGTCATGTCTATCTCATCTTGGTTCTTTCCCTCTAGCAAAAGCTCAAAGTCAACTCCGATCAAACGGGATGCACCATCTGATCAGGCAGCAGCACGACCGTCGACCGATGATAGTTTGGATTTCGAGACTATCGCCGAAGAGGTCGAAACGCTTCAACGCGAACTAGCTTATACTCGTGACTTGTGCGAGAAAGCAAATTCACAATTCGAGAAATACCGTGTTGACATCTCGTATCTCAAATCGGACCTGGCCACTGAGCGATCTTCAAATGTGATTCTGAAAGAACTACTGACGCACGAGAGAAATAATGGTCATGCCCTCAAAGCTCAGATGAACGCGCAAATACAGGAGTTGAAGAGACAGAGATTGTTGATGATTCAAATGCAAGCGAGAATTGACAGTGACGCTGCTTCATTGTCACTCATCACACGACATGCTAAAGCCCTGGAGACGAGATATGCTGAAACCCAGTTTGACCTCGAATATTTACAGTGCGTTACGGATGCAGAAAGGTTGGGGCAATCGCCAACAGTTCAAAACACCGATTCTCCCCTCCCCGCACAACCGTTTGTCGTTGTTTTGATTGATGGGGATGCTTACATGGTAAGTTGGTAGCGGAACAGCTCTGCACTATCCTGCTGACGCCGGGGCTCTATATAGTGGTCGCATGATATTTTCCACAACGACAATCGTATCATCGGAGGAGCTCGGGTCGAACCAGGCGGCCTTGCGGCAACACGTATCAAGAATGAGGTCACCAAGTATATCATGGAGCAGGATTCAAACATTCCTGCAACGGCCAAGATCATAACGAGAGTGTTTTGTAATTTTGGCACGGCAGAAGGTCGAATGATAAGACGACAGAAGGCTAGGGGAACTGCTGTCGGTTTGAGAGATTTCGCCGTCCAGTTCACGGAAAGACTGCCGTTATTTGACTTTTTCGACTCCGGTCGGGGCAAAGAACGGGCAGACGACAAGATCAGAGGTATGATCTGCCCAACCAACAAACGAACCAGCGTGGGATCAAAGAAAGGAGCAAGCTGACTCTCGTTTTCTAATTTTGCAGAAAACTTCCATCTCTTCTTGTCCACTCCGAACTGTCACGCCATTTTCATCGCAGCGTGTACCGACAACGGCTTCGTCAGGATGTTGGAACAATACGCCGATCATCCTTTCGCCAGACAAAAGATTGTTCTGGTTTCTCCTGGTTACATTGCGTCCGAATTCCAGAAATACAACTTCAAATCGGTGACGTGGCCGAGCGTGTTCAGTGTCGCGACTATGCCACAACAAATGGCAATGAAGCTCGGTTTGGCGGTTCGAAGGGAGATGGTTCAGAAAATACGTGCACACCGAGCCTTTTCTGTGAGTGCCCTCCAGGCCGAACCGGAACTCGACTATCGAGACTTACTGCTTGCCATGTTGCCGAGACGGAACATCAACGAGGCCATGGGTAAAGCTCCTCAGGGTGTTGGGTTGAGGATGAAGGAAAAGTACACATTTGAGTGGAGGATCCACGAAAGTCCTGTCAATGGCATGCTGAACGACGATGTTGACTGAATGGGGTTATCTTGGGATGCAACAGTAAACAGATAGAAGGATGGCTCACAGCCACTACTCTCAGGTACTGCGATGACTATTTGATGATTGACGAAACAGACGAAAAGGAGTATTGATGGAATGAATTCATGCATATGGTGGGAGATCTCATCAACATTTGATATTGACGCCTGCGATAAAGGATCGTGATAAATAGAATAAGATTCGGGAGGAATCCATTCTCAGATGGACTCTCCGGCCTTTTTGGTGCCCGGCGTTTCTGTGAGATTCATCGGCTTTGATCTTGAATTTGGTCTTCTACATTCATGAACTGTACATCTCTTACGATATCATAGTCCGCCTCCGTACATCGTATTGACGGGGCTGCCTTGGAGAAAGTGCTTATCGCAAGGCTGTGGGCGTCGATGTCCGACGGCGATATTTCGTACGATGATGTTCATTTCTTATCAACAAACTCCTCCTCCCCGTCGTGGACACTCATTCTCGTACAGAACAGATATAGGAGGAAGTGATATTTCGACTTTTTGACTTTGAAAAAACCATACATATTAATATATTCTTCTCGAGATATTATTTGTATTGGGGGAAAAAACCAGTAAAATACTCCCTTGTGAATCCACAACCTACTACGAATACGAGAAGTTGAGAACCGGTCGATTTGAGCTGCCACAGCCAATACCCTTTTTCCCTTTTCTTTGAAAAAAAAGATGCATTCGACCACCTTGTCGACCGCGTTACTCGGGGGGTTACTCTTGAGCGTGACGACGCCGACGCTGTGTCAAGCCCAGAAGAAACAAGGCGGCAGCAGTCCCGTCCACCCTTCCATCTCGCCAGAGGTGGACGACGCCGACCTCACCGCTCCCGACCCTGTCCCCGCCGAGACGAGGACGTACTGGATGCGTCGTGCCGTTGCCTCTTTGGAGGAAGTGGGCGGATCGCCTTGTCCCTTTGCGGCGTTCGGGGCCGTCATCGTCAACCACACGGTGACAGACGTCGGCGGGGGGGATGGGTAAGTGTCACGTTTGTGGCTTTGACATGATACGGCAAGAAACAGACGGGAAAAGCTGACGGGGACTTTCCATCAGGTCTTCATCGTTGGGGGAAGAAGTTTGTATCGGAGCGAATGGTGTCCAAGGATATGGAAACCCCACTCTACACGGTAAGCTCCTCACCATGATGACGGTCGAGTGTACTTTTGGAGCCCGAACTGGTCGAAGGCATCCTCGTGGTCGCGGTCATGATCATTTTGGTGGCCGCCGGCGACGAGAGAAAAGAAGAGGATCGACGCGAGTCGAATGCCAGCTAACCTTTTGTGATTCAAACGGATCGACAGGAGAAATCGCCGCGATAAACAATTGTACCAAAATCCTCACGGACCCAGAAGGGAAATACAACCTGTCACCGGCAGAAGCTTTGAAAGCACTCTCCGATCTGAGCTTGTATACGACCGCCGAACCATGTCCCATGGTACGTACTCGTTTACTCACTTCTCCACCTACCTTGTACTCTCCCGTGATATCAGTTCACCCATTCGGTACACCTCTCAATCTTGATGGGGGTTCGAAACTTTCCCGTCGACTCTCTCTCTCGAGGTGGTCCGACCTGGCCACGATCTCCGTCGTCTGACGAGTATGACAGTGTTCGAGTGCGATCCTCTACGGTGCGTTCAGGGAGTACATCTACTCGACGCCGATCCACGGGGACCACGGTCTACTGGCGCACGGATGGCCGCAGATCGACCTGCCTTCCAAGGAGATATTCGGCAGGTCACTGGGCAGACCCGTGAGGACGAGGATCGTCCCGGAAGTTCTGGTCAACGAGACGGAAGGTTTGTTCGTCTGGCAGTTCGAGGACGACGGTCCGTGTCCCGCGGGTTGTGTCAAGGAGGAGGACGAGGACGGCGGGAACGGGCGGTGTACCTACAACAATGTCGAAAAGAAAGGAAATGATGTGAGGGACGAGTTGTGAGTTGAGTTGATACTTTTTCCCAAAAAAAGGGGGTGCAACACCCCGGCCCAACCTACCCGGGGACAATTGTAGGGGTGGATGTACATCCATCGTTCCCGGGGGAGGGGGGAAAGATTTGTAGATTCGGACAGGTATGGTCGGGCCCATGTCAAATTTGTCAACGTCAACAAAAGTACTACTCCGGGAGTAGAGATCAAATCAAGAAATATGGTGGGTCCGGATTCGAGCAGGGGCTGGATGCTCACTCCCGTGCTTGCCCTCGTGTCCATGTTCAGTACGGTCCCCTTGCCGACGCACTAGCCGTGCCGCCTATTCATACAGCATAGTCACGGGAAGGATGGAGATACCTACTGTACCTCAGGTTTATCTAATGTAAGCCAAACTCTCCGCGTTGGAATGACCAAAGTAGGCTGCTTATGCCGCGTGCGCGCGGACGAAGCTACGTTCGTGTAATAGCGGGTAACTCGTTCGTTACGATGGTAAGGAAATGGGAATTTACCCGGCCATGCTCTCTCGGCATGGATCGACGGCTCTTTTGTAAGGTAGTCTCTTTTGTCTTTTTTTTGGATTACTCCTATACTCAGTAACACTACTGGGTGATACTTGTCGAATAGTGGGAGTCATCCGCAAACGTACATTGGACATTGTGGGTCGAATAGAGACGGCTAGCCGATGATAATAGATCATGGAAATAGATCATGGATCAGACTCAATGACCTTTTTGACCAGATTGCAGTGCAAATTGTATCTCATTCAATATATTTCCTTTCCTCACCAGGATACTTTGTCCTTCGTAGGTATTACAAAGCAATAAAAACACTCTTCAACTCGGTCCAGTAGTCTGTGGCGTACTTGCTCAGTTCTCTACCATCACCACTTTGCTTCCAACCACCAAAAGGCAAATCGAAAGCCATGGTAGGACTCGTGCAGTTGACGCCGACGGATCCCGCCTCGAGCATCTTGGCCACACGCAGCGCACGTGAAACGTCCTTGGTGAAAACACTGGCGTACAGACCGTACTCGGTGTCGTTGGCACGCTTCAACACCTCTTCCTCGTCCGTGAAAGTGTTGATGCAGACCACGGGACCAAAAATCTCCTCCTTCATGACCTTGGAATCCTCGGGCGCGTTGGCGATGATGGTGGGCTCGACGTAATAACCGGTGCTGCCTTCTCTGCCACCGCCGATTGGCATCTCAATCTTGTTGTCCTTGGCGTAATTCAGGTAGCCCATGACCCGGTCGAATTGGAGCTTGTCTGCCTGCGGGCCTCGCGCGGTGCCCTCGGCGAGAGGGTCGCCCGATTTGCCCATCTGGATCATGGCCGCCTTCATGCCCTCGGTGAATTTGTCGGCGATCGATGCGTGCACGTAGATCCTCGAGCTGGCGATGCATGCTTGGCCCGAGTTCATGAGAATCGATATTGCGCTGGCCGGAATGGCCTTGGACAGATCCGCATCCTCGAAAATGACGGTGGGACTCTTTCCTCCGAGTTCGAGCGTGACGTTCTTGAGGTTGGACTCGGCGGCGGCCTTCTTGACAGCCCGTCCAGCCATGGCGGACCCAGTGAAGGAGACTTTACGGATATCCATGTGTTTGGCGATCGCTTCGCCGCAGGGTCTTCCGAACCCGGAGAGGATATTCAAGACACCCTTTGGCAGACCGATCTCTTGACAAATTTGGGCGACTTTGAGACAAGAGAGCGGTGACTTTTCGGACGTCTTGAGGACGAGTGTGTTGCCGGCAGCCAGAGCAGGGCCCGCCTTGTTGACGAACATGAGAAGGGGAATGTTCCACGGGATGATGGCACCGCAAACACCAAAAGGTTGACGGAAAGTGACGTTGACGTGTCCGGCGGTGTTTAGAGAGGAATCACCGCTGACATCTAGAGCTTTGCTTGCAAGATATCTCAAAATCTCAACCCCGAACATGCTTAGCACTAGATTGTGATCAGTGTGAGGCCAATCTGAACGATGACATAGTATATCTTACTGTCGCCAACAGCCGGCTTGCCCATAGTTATAGCTTCGAGGTAGTTGATTTCCTGGATATTTTTGGCCAAACCATCGGCCAACTTGAGTAGATAACCCTGTCGTTCCGAAGCGGAAAGTGCAGACCAGGAGGGGAATGCTTCTTTGGCAGCTTTGACTGCAGCATCGACATCTTCGACCCCGGCTTCGTAGACCGATGCAGCCAGCTTCTCCGTGCTGGGATTGACAACGTCGAATTTCTTGCCAGAGATTGAGGGAACGAACTCGCCATTGATGAAGAGGCGGTCCTCAATGCGCTCAGGTTTAAAATCAGCCATTTTGTGCAGAATCAGTGGTGGTAAATGGAGCAACGTAGAGTGGTAAAGGTGTAAAATGGGCGAAATGTGACAGAAATTGGTTCAATGAAGGTTGCAATGGTCCTGAGTGAGAACCGCAGAGACAGAGAACGACTGTAAGGCTTTATATGCTTCCACATCTTCCCAAACTACATTGGCTGAAACGTCGTCAGCATGAATGACATGAAAATAGAATGGTTGACAGCAGCTTTCTGGGATAGGCAGCCCCTTCGAGCCATGGTAAATTCCATTGATGGACCCATAATGGTCCATTGGACAAATGGTACGTTAAGATGGCCTCTATCCCGCGTTCCCACCTGGTCTTCCGAGGAGGCAACATGTACCCACTAGCCAGGATTCTTGGATGCACGGTGTAGCTATGCTATGGCAAGCAAATCAGCACTGTATATGACACAGCCGCCTCCCAAGCGGGAATGCACATCGACCAACTGACTGTAGTATTGTCCTTGTAACCATTGGAGTGGACCACACCACCAAAGATTCAGGCGTCAGACCTACCTAGGTACTTGTTGCGGGGACATGCATAGTTGGTTTCTGCTTTGACTTGTGCTCTGTGATGGTTGGAGCGTCACAAAACAGACCCGGAGTACCGAGTCAGCATCCACTGTCCAGTGTTGAGTCGGCGGCGACCCTGACTGCGTAAAACCTTCAAGCTTCCCGGGAGTGGAACGTCTCTCTCACGATATAATGATTAATTAAACGTACCCTGCTCATCTGAACAAGTACGACGGGATGAGCGTAGATCTGGTGGCACTTCCGTACGAATGACCGGTGCGTTTGACCTTTCAGCCTCAGCTTCGCGCCAATTGAATATTCCTTGCTTTGAGGCAAAGACTTTTGGGAGTCGGTATCAGGTGGAGTCATGTAGATAGTGCGATCGCTTGGGGTGGGACTCATTGTGTAAGAAATTGCTTCGTCCGGTCAACATGGCGAGTTGTCGTAGCAGTCGATCTGTGGAGGGCCTTTGATTACGCATCGTCTTACCCGAGGCGGGGGAGGGCTGGAGGCAGCACAACAATGCAAGGCGAGGTACCGAGTCCAGAGTACTCCGTACAAAAGATCAATCTGCTAGACCCTAGGCAGCTGGGAAATACCTGCGTCCTCGAGGCTGGCCTGATCTGCGTTGTGGTACACCGCTTCGTATTGCATGCCGTATTCGAGATATAGTAAAACAGATGTGTGTTGGCTGGGGACGGGTTTCCTGATCGCCACTTCCTCAGCAGCAAGGTGGCTCCTAAATGGATCAATTGGACCGCATGGAACAGGATCCTGGCGTTCCATGTCATGGCCAGAAGAATCGATAGTGAGTGGGTTACATGTTGTGCTGTTTAGACATACTCACGTCAGCAATGTACAAGTCGGGGCATTCTCACTGCTACAGCCCGGTTCACAAATCAGAAAACGATCATGGTTCAAGTGCCACAGAGTTAAGAGCTTGTGAGATTGTGGATTCCATGGGGGCGATGCGAAGGTATCATCAGTGGCATAGCACGGACTCTTTCAGCCACGGAGTCTTGCCGTGCTGATTAGAGGATGAAGAGTAGGTAACTGGCTGACTGTTCGGAGTTAAGAGGGAACGAAAGTCTCATTTCATGTGAGAGAGCAAGTTTCTGCAGAGTATTAGATCATTCAGTTCGAGTGCCAGACCGATGGCAGCGTGATGTGTATTTTGTACAGCCTCTGAACGTGTAGTCTATATTCGTTCAATTTTCCCTTTTTGGCATCAAATCTTCCACACGCCATCATGAGTTGCTCCATTCAGCCTTCTTCTTCTCGGCAAAGGCCTTCATTCCAATCTTCTGGTCCTGGCTGCCAAACAAAGCGTGGAAGATGCGACGTTCATACTCGACGCCTTCGCGCACGCCCAGATCTTGACTCTTGTTCACAACCTCTTTGGCAGCAATGGTGGCCACTCTCGAGTAGCTGGCAATCTTGGCAGCAGTATCCAGGGCTCCCTCAAGGACTTCTTTGTTCCCACCTTCAAATGCTTTTGCCGCCAAACCATGCTTCTCTGCTTCCTCACCGCTGAAATTGTTTCCCGTCAGAATGAGTTCCATCGCCTTACTCTTACCAAAGGCGGCAGTCAGTCTCTGTGAGCCTCCAGCTCCTGGGATCGTGCCGAGCTTGATCTCCGGCTGGCCGAAATTCGCTGTTTTCGTGCAGTAGAGTATGTCGCACATCATGGCGAGCTCACAGCCTCCTCCCAGAGCATGACCGGACACCGCTGCAATCACGGGTTTGCGCAATGTGGTCATATACGACCAGGGAGCAATAAAATTATTCACATAGGCATCGGAGAAGGTCAGAGGTGCCATTTCCTTGATGTCCGCACCCGCTGTATAGGACTTAGCTCTGGTCAACGTTGCCCGGGTGGCTTTCCATACCTGCAAAGGCTTTGTCACTGCCAGTCAGAACAATGGCACCAATCTCTTTGTCCTCTTCATATTTTTTCAAAGCATCGTTGAGTTCGACAAAAAGGGCGCTCGAGAGTGCATTTAGAGCCTTGGGCCTGTTCAGTGTGACTGCGAAGGGGATTAGTATGCGTTTTCGTCTAGAGACCTTAGATGGCCCTGTGATAGGTGACACGCGTACTGAGACCGACTCCAGGTCTAGGTGACGAGACTAGGATATTCTCATAGCTGGACGAGGTAGATTGGAAACGGACCAACCGGGGAAGCGTCCGGGGCGCAGATGAGACGACGGGAGCGAGTGGTCGTGCGAGAAGCCTAAAGGGAGTCATGTCGAGAAGTAGTCGCAATGTTTGACAGAGAGAGGAAGCCGGTTTTCCTTCCTCGACGACGAGCTCTACATATTATTATGTACTGTCTCGAGCTATGGATCACCGAGTATACAGCGAAGTCATGGCCGCAGCTTCAGAATCGCTTATCCTCGGTTCCTATACTCCGAAGCTCAAAGCCCGACGATTCTCCTTGGAGAGTCACGGGACTTTCACATGACCTCTTCACTCAGCCACCGCGGTACCAGCCACGGGGTTTTGTGGCGCTTTTCGCGGGTCGTGTGAATCTCGAATTATGGACTGCGGAAAAAAGACAAGGCGAGGTGGCTTTTAACATTCGCGTTCTCAACAAATCTATCAGCCTGTCTCTCGTTCTGTTCCCTCACCCGACTGAGAACTCCATTCAGCCTCCTCTGAATATTGAGGCACTCTTTGCGACAAATACGAGTGTGATCACGTCGATATTTAGCGTTTATTCATCGTCCAGCGCATGCGAAGGCCTTACGTCTCTGCCTCACTACCTACCACTACCGCCACAATGGACGTGCCTGAGCCTGAGACGACACCCTTTGACGCGATCACAGTACAAAGTAATAAATTACTGAGAGTATGTTTTGTTTTCTTGTCGTCGCTGGTGTGACACCGCTGACTGGATCTCCTACAGCAATATCAAACCTACCTCGACAAGTCGACTCCATATGTGACCTACCGATGGTCTGGGACCGGAGCGCTCCTCGTGCTATTCTTCCTGCGCATCATCATCGCGCAGGGCTGGTACATTGTCGCCTACTGTCTCGGCATCTACCTGCTGAACTTGTTCCTCGCATTCTTGCAGCCTAAATTCGACCCCAGTTTGACGCAGGATGAAGGGTTGGAGGACGGCGAGCCCTCTGGACTTCCCACAAAGCAAGATGATGAATTCAGACCATTTATCAGAAGACTTCCCGAGTTCAAGTTTTGGCACGCCGCCACAAGAGCCGTAACCCTCTCTTTCTTCTGCAGCTGGTTCGAGATTTTCAACCTGCCAGTCTTTTGGCCCGTCCTGGTCATGTACTGGTTAATTCTATTTTTATTGACGAGTGCGTATAGCCCGTGTATGCCTCTCCTTTTGAGCAACTGGCTGACAAGGTTTTTTTCTTTCAATAGTGAGACGACAAATTCAGCATATGATCAAATACCGATATGTCCCATTTTCCTTCGGCAAGGCTAAATACTCTGGCAAGTGAAGGGGGGCACGAGGTATTTTTGCCTCAAAACTGAAGCCCCGAAAAAAGGACTCTTGTAACAGACACACGGGAGCAAAATTGACCTCACGCCAAAGGCAAACAATGAGATACTGCTGGATGTACAATAGAACAGGATGTTTCCACCACACGATTGAGATTGACGACCAATTTCTCACTAGACCTACTTAATGTGGTTTTCTGGCGATACGATTTAATCTATTCGACAGCCGGAAGAGCTGGTCAATCAACTTCGATCCCGTCGATATTTCGAGTTCACTTCTTTTCCAGTGTTGTTTGTTTTTTCTCATTAGATTTCAGATTACCATGACAGCGTTTGTTGAGGTCGTTTCTGGAATGCCACTCTTAAGTATCACGCCGAATCAACCGGGTCCAGAAAGCCCAAGGGCATTTGAATGACAACCCTGGACATGCCGTACTTCGCGTCACTAATTTCGATATCCACAATCCTGGTTCTCATACCTCCGTTTCGTAACCCAGGCATCCCTTGTGGAGTATACATACTTCAAGTTTCCGGACCATAGCTCGATACCCGGTATGGACCACACAAAGAACGTAAAGGCATGAATATACACCAATTTCAGTGTCTGCCGGTCACACTTGACTACCTGCGAAGGTGCTCTGTACCTACTCATAACAACAAGTTTTGCTCACTAACAACTACTTACTTGTCTTCTAGGTGCCAAAGCAACATCAGTGCAAATCAGGGAGTCTTGTCGCCCTGGCTCCGCATCGGCATCTCGCCCATTGCACAAGGCACACGAGGTACTCTGTACGCGTGTGAGAAAATACACGAAACGAATCAGGCTGTCAAGGAAGGGAATTCAAGGAGAGAACACTGCTAGTGATGATTTCTTAGACTTTTCAATTCATCCTGGGGTTGGACCATTTCTTCATCGTGAGTAATTTCCTTTCACCATAAGGACCTCGCCAGATATGTGCTATATCATATGCGTATCATGCTGTGCTAATACTGCTTACTGCCCCTTTTTGGCACTTGAGGCTCTTCATCCGTGTTCCAGATGCCAGCAGCACCGAGTGCGCAAGTACTAAACACAAAAGCTTCCGTCCTCGATTGACATTCCTTTATATGACATATCGGAAAGAAATATGGAGGTCCTGCAACTCCTCCAGAGACTTGGACGCATGTGGGTGCACCTCCCCGCGCTCCCGATATTCCCTCTCGACAGCGTCCCTCCTCTTGTTCTCCCGGGACATGATCCACATCAGCATGGCGGCGCAGAAGATGCTGTAGACCTGGAAGCCGAGCAGGATGGCGTGGCCCTTGATAAACCTGGGCGGCTGGTCGTAGATGTGCGTGCCCAGGATGGAGAAGCACTGGCCAAAGATCTCGGCGCCGCCCCAGGTGGTACCGCGCTTGGTGAAGCCGGCGATGTTGACGCCCAGCCAGGAGAGGAGCAGTATGACGGACGGGTAGAAGAAGGCGGTGATGAGGCACGCGGCGAACATGCGCGCGCTGTCGTTGGTCACGCTCATCAGGATGATGTAGCCGACGCTGGCGGCGCTGAGGGTGAAGATCAGGTAGGGACCCTTGCTGTTGCGCCGGTCGGCGATGTAGCACACGGTCAGGGTCACCACCAGCGCACACGCGTAGGGAATGATGGTGAACAGGAGTGTTCTTTCTGTTCCGGATGTCAGCCAGACCTGGATCCGTACGGCCTGCCATACATTGGAATGTAGGTGCTCAAGGCTTGAAAGGACTTACCTGTCGAATAACCAAATTCCTTGACAAAAGTGGGCAGGAACAAGCCGACAGATGCAATTCCAAGAGCAACACCAGAGTTCGCGCTGGCAAAGAGCCAGCACTTGGGGTCTTTTGCTGCTGCCCACATTTGCTTGAGGTCGACCTTTGCTCCGACCGTGTTGTAAGCTACATGCCAGAGGTCAGCCATCGTGTTTATTCCCTCGAGGGGTATTTTCCAGACGTTCTGGAACTCTTAACTTACATCTGAGACGGTTGATGGCCACTTCGATTTCGTCCTGACGATACAACCAATGCTTCTTCCCTCTCTGTTGTTCGGGGAAATTTGGCAGCAACAAGAGCGCAAGGGCACCGACAAACATTGCCAAAGTACCCTCGATGATGAAAAGCCATCTCCAGGATTCCTTGCCCGTGGCTTCTAGGGTCAAATTCTTCTGGATACCGTACGCGATGAGACCACTGAATGAGCCTGAAAGTGTGGCACAACCATAGTAGATGGCTTTTTTGCGGTGCGAACAACCCACATCGTCAGCATGTCGAACGGTGACAACTCAATGAAACACAAAAACGGCCGAGGGTTGGACAAAGGTATCGGAACATACCTGATCTCGTGGCGATTTCATCTCTCTTGTACCACTGGGTAACGTACAGCCCAACACCTTGCATGAATGCCTGTGCAGATCCGATCAAGATCCTCAATGCGAGGGGCGTCGCGTAGTTGTGAGATCCGGCCATTGCAACCAGGAAACCACCAAAGAGCAGGGAGCAGCACCCAAACATCCAGCTGGGTCGAACATATTTGAGGCCAATGTTTCCTGGCCATGCGAAGAGGGTGTATCCGACGACTATGGTACGGTTGAAGACGTCAGTCGATGTGGGCGAAGATTCATCAACAAATGTGTGTGCGTTTGATATCACACGTGCCGGATTGACTTACAAAACATCATCAAGCAGTTGTAGTACTGATTCGCCGTCAGGTGGAGATCCTTTGAGAAGCCTTGAACATTGGCAAGACCAATACTGTTTCGGTCCTGTCACAAGGTGGAAAACAATCAGCCATCGGTATGCGGTATAACTTGCGTGTAATACGTACCATGTATGCCGTAAAGTACATCAGTCCGGCAATGGGGACGATGATGAGGTCTAGTTTCCGCACCAGTCTCCTTTCGAGGGCCGACTTTTTGATTTTTCCTCCTCCTTCTTCCTCTCCCGTGAACGTCTTTTCTCCGTAGGCCGACTTTTGGTCGGCAATGTCGACTGCCATTTCCTCATTCTCGACATGATTGAGGTTGACCTCTGTCTTTTCAGGTTGGATGTCTGTTTTCTCCATGTTGGCCTAGGTAGAGAATTGTTGCTGTCCGGAGTGACGCTGGGTTGTGTCCAAGGCAAAAGTTACTGAGTATTGTAGTCGCTGGGATCTTTCTGCCAGACTCTGGGTGCAGGGGTTCAACACTCGAGAAGGAACGAAACCTCTTGCGACGACGTCCGGAGTCACGAGTATCGAAGCTCGACACAAGGAATGGGAAAGAGTCTGGGGAAAGAGAAGAGCCCCAGCAAACAAATCCCGAGATATCAGGATGGTTTTATACGTCTCGTGGCCGCACCGCACGCACCCATCCTCCCAGGCGAACGAAAAATCGCCACTACTCCGTACCCCGTCTTTGGGAAGAAGGGTTCGTGAGTGACAAACTCCACAGAAACAAAAAGGGACAATAATGCTGGCCTCGCGTAACTCTGTAGTGTACGGAGGAGGGCAAAAAGGTGATTCTCAATCTTGCCTACTACGGCCCGCTGTCGGCTTACGAGATGATTGGAGGACCGACCACCCCAGGTCATTTCCTCCTCCTCCACGTACCTAGTCATTGGGCCCGGGCCAAGATGTGTCCAAAGGAGCGAGACCGGTCCTCGGACATGGCGATCCAATTATTGTCAAGTCGTCTTTGGAGAACAAAGCCGGATTCTGGGACCATTCTCGCCCATATTGCCATATCATACCACGCGGTAGATGACCAGGTGCAGAACAAATGGCGGGGAACTTTTACAGCCGGCCACAATTTGGTGTCAAGTACATCCGTCGGGTCTACCTGGGGAACACGCGTGAGTCTAGAAGCATCCTTTGTTCCATACATCTACGTTGAAGCTACACGGAGGGGCATGTTATTCCGTCCAAGTATAATAGTGACCTTTTCACTCGGCCCACATGCTGTGGTGAGCCAATCGGCCGGCACACTACCCTCGCCATCATACCACAGTTTGTGTTTTGGCCAGGGGGTTCTTGGTCAGTGGTGCCAATAGAGCAATCAGAGCACCAATGTCCGAGCACGTCTCCAGGTTCAGGACCAAGTCTTCAATCTTCTGTCGTCGTACATCGTCAATGACCGTGGCGGCCAAAGCTCTCCACTTCTCGACGATTTCCTCGTTGGAAAACTCCGGGATGATACCCTTGGGTCCGGGCAGCTCCACGGTGAGAGCCTCTTGGGCCCGTCCTGACTCGTCCTCCACAAACGTGACGGTGACGCGTTGGCCGAATTTGAGCTCAAAGTCGTGACTCTCACGACACTCTGTCTTGGCCACCAGATCCCAGATTTCGTCTCTGTCCAGCATGTCGTTGGCAAATTGTGGCGGAAGGACCGCTCCGTCGACAAGCTGTGTGGCCCCGACGTAGGCATTGTTCATCTGAGCCCCGGTCGCAGTCAGGGGCCTCTTGGCCTCCCACCCTCCGTGATGGTACGCCGCCTCCGCCATTTCAATGACGATGTGTTTGATGCCCCTTGTGTCTTTCATTTGTGCAGGGTACTTTGTCTGCAACTCCCGCATGCAGTCTACGGTGCAGTGCGTCCCGGCCATGGCGGAATAGGCCTTGACCCGGACCCCGTCGACTTTCCACACGTCGCCCAGGCCTTTCGAAACTTCTTCGGGCAGGGCGTTTGGTTCTCGGCCATTGCCCCTGGTAAAGCACGTCAGGAAGCCCCCGTAGTCCTGCTCATACACTCTCTTGATGCCCGAGTATCCCGTCCGGGCGAGCAAAGTGCCCATGAGCCCATTGCGCGTCGCGAATCCATGCTGCATCCGCTTGACGTCACTTTCGTATTGTGCTGACATAAGGCCACCTGCTTGAGTGCAAGCTATGCCGAGGGCGTCCTCTATCTGAGCAGGTCTCAATCCTAATATCTTCGCGCTGGACGCTGCGGCTGAAGAAGGTCCGAACACTGCACCAGAATGCCATCCCATCGTCAGCATGTGTGTGCCGTACATGCCGAGACCAACCCGAGGTCCGACTTCATAGCCAACGATGCTGGCTAATAGCATGTCACCGCCTGTGATGGTCGGGTGAGTAGTGTCGGAGCATCTTGATATGTCGTGTTCGGCGGCGGCAAGGATGGCCGGGATTACCAAACTGTTGCTGTGTAGAGGTGCTTCGGAGTGCCAGTCGTCCAGTTCAAAGCCTTGGATAAAGGTGGAGTTCAGCAATGCAGCTTGAAGAGGACTGACTTTCTTGTCAGCCCAGCCTGAGATGGTACAATGGCCAGGTGCCTCCATATCGAGTATGGCGCGCACGGCAACCTGTGACCCCGGGAGCTGAGCGCCAACCAGAAGGCATGCCAGTCCATCGAGTATGAGATACTTGGCTCGATCTCTGACATGCTGAGGAACGTTGTCCAAGGACACAGTATGTATCCAATTCGACAACTTGCCCGTTGGACCAGTAGGGTCGCTGGGTCCATCGGCCTTGTAGAAGCTTTTGTCGAGAGAACCCATGATTTATATCTCCACCGATTGGACTATGTGAATTTCGATCTTAGACTGAACCGATGTTTGGAAGGAATTCTTGGAGCCAACAACAGTTTTTCTCAGTCACAATTATACCATCTGACCGCAGCGATGTCGGGCACTGTTGATCCGTGTTTCGGGAGAGAAAATACCTCTCGCCAGAATTGTAGAAAAGTCTATGCAGAGGAAAGTTCAGTACGCTGAGAGCATCTTGCACGACCAATGACCCCGAGAAATGAGAGATAGTATGGGCACCCGTAGACCTGTACAGGCTGCTTGTATGCTTATGGGGTGGAGAGGTAGGGAGACGCAGTTTGTGATTGGCAGTTTGGCCCAAATCCCGATGGCGGCCCGCTTCGGCCATGTCGAATGAGATGTCGTGTTAGGCAAGCAGACCACCTACTCTTTTAGAATGAGTTCTAGACATGCTGCGTTCTGTTCCAGAAAGAACCATTAATGCTTGAACTTGAAACCGCGTCATCGTTCATGTATCGCAAGACAAGCCCTCACAGCTTGCATATCCTGAGGACAGTCAAGTGTTTTACGGTGCTCCGGTCAAGTTTTCATCCCACATCCAATCAGGGTAGAAAAGCCCACTCGCTTCTATGTCTGGAGCTAGATACGTGTTCATCATGTCGAAGGGGTTCAGTGATAATGGCAAGCCCAGCTGTTCGTTATCAATGGACATTTGGTCAAGGTTCGTAGCAGCACCTGGATCTGCTTGAAGAGATGCGGAGCCACCCGTAGTCCCTAGGTCAGATTCCGGTTGCATAACCTTTCTGCTGTCTCCTGGGGAGGATGTTGCCACTGAAGGGGAATGTTGCACGATCGATGGAAGTGCTCGAGGTGGTCGTCCGAGACGTTGAGTGTCCAATGCATCTGCGGAATAACGATCGCGCCACATCCATAATGTTTCGTCTGCGGATCATCAGCAATAGTTTCAGTGCTTCAGGACGTGAAGACCGGTGGTCACAAACATATGGGCGGTTGGGAAAGAAATGGCTTCATAGTACTTACGTAGGAGACTGCCACTCAGTCGAGTGTTGAGCTTCAATATTGGATCTGCTCGAGTGTTGAAATGAGAATCTCGATGCAAACTCCAAAGATGTCCCAGAATTGTACTTGCACGGTCGTGGAAGTCATTGGTCTCTAGTGTCATATCTCTATGCATTGCAATCGCGAGATTGAAAGCTTGTTTTCCAGCATCAACATCAACCATGCGAGCATAGCTGGAGTGGAGTATCTTCATAAGAACCAAAGCAGCATGCTTCAGCATCTGCCCGAAATATCGTGGCGCACAACGGCGAAAATCGACACTTGCAGTCGCGGCCTTCATTTGGCTAATGACCGTCATTGCAGTATGGTATAGCCGCAACAATCCCTGTTTTCGCGTGACCGATTTGACGGGCTGAAGGAAGTGATAGGTCTGGAGCTGCATTTTCGCAGAGAATAGCCAAATCAGTTCCACGTTTACATCGTAGACAGGAACACGTGAGATTGATGAATCAGTATGCAGCTCTGAGGAGCCCTTTTCCATAGTTTGTTCAAGCATGTGAAAGTCTTCTTCGAGATAAGCTAGCATTGTCTCTGCTTCGTCAGAGGGGCCATGTCCGTGAACATTAAGAATGGAACTCATAGTAGCATTGACTTTGTTGAGATACAACTGAATCCGCAATATGTGTAGAAGGCGCTGGGGTATGTTGTAGTAGTTTCCTTCGTTTGAAGCGAGTCGTAGAGTGCAGTCAGTCGAGGAAAACAATGGCTCCTGGCCGTCGCTGGATGTTATTCTTGGGATAGTCAGCAAGGGCATCAGAAAATTCTGGTAAGAACAGAGGCTACTGACGTCTCTGCAGCAATGAAGCAACTGGTCCAGAGTTTGACAGCCTCTTCCAGTTGCTCGGACTGCACTTGGAACCTGACACGATTGAAAGATTGCATTATCTCCGGCCTGTGTAAGCCCAGATGCATACATCCTGTCTTAGCAATGGAAATAAGCATGAGTGTCGGGTCGGTGATCATAGACAGTGTCGAGAATGGCCAGATACAGAGGAGAACGATCGACTGTGTTGTTAGATGAGAATGAGGCATGACCGATATCTTCGACCATAGTAACTTGAACAGTGCGGGGACGAGACTGGAACAGACGGTCGACTCTTCGTGAGAAGCCCTTGCAGCTATTGCAAGAATTGTCCAGAATAGCAGGGATGACCGATCATAATATTCATCAATCGAGAGCGTCTCGCTGAGTATTGGAAAATGGGGATGGAAAGACTCAAAGAACCTGCGAGAATGAGTGAAAAGGCGACCGAGGGTGAACTTGGGTTTCTTACAGGCGGAACAGGTTGCTGATTTGTCCTGAACCCAGGTGAACACCATCGATTTGCCGTCCTGACATAGTCGTAAGATGAGAGAATTCAACACTGTGGCGAGTCGAATATGCTGGCGATCCTTCCTCTAACCCCTGACTTGAGAGCCGTTGGTGTTCTTGATTAGTCAGGTCAATGGCGTTTACAACGATATCTGCAGTCTGTGACCCAAAGTCGACGCCGGTAGCATCAGGCGCAGAGTCGGTTGTATCTGGATCTGAGGCAAATACCTCTGTCGAAGGCAGGTTATCGCTACCAACTGGATGCGTCCTGGAAACTATAGATTGAAGGTGCCGCACCTGCGCCGATAAATCCTCGACTTTACTGAAGCCAGTCAATTGATCAAGCTAGAGTGGTAAGATGCCGACATGTATCCATGGTGACTTACAGTCGCTTGTTGACTCGTTTATATTCTGAGTCTACCTCGCAATCTAACGATCTGCTGATACAACGTGTGCATGCCGGGCCTCGCTCTAGTCCCTCGCATTTGAGCTGATATCTAGTTAGATTGATCGCGATGCGCTGCTTAACATCGTACCTTTGCTTGCCTACATGTCACACATGCAATCCTTTTTGTCCTGCTTGGCGTGGGAACGCTTTGTCGATTTGCTCGACCAACTTCGCGGTCCACTGCTGTAGTGGCAGCACGGATCGGTCTATAGGGCGATTTTCGTGGATAAGAATGTTCATCCATGTCTTCATATACATATCCCCCAAGGCTTGGGCCGAAGGCTCATATTGCAGGGTTTTGCTTCTCGAGTGAAAGATAGATCGAGACTCTTTCCGTCAGCCGAATTCAACGTCTGATCCGATTCTCGTCCGAAATGCGGAGTTCCGGGGTGCATTCGGCGAAAGCGATGTGTTGAGTCGCTTGGCTTTAAGACTTGAGCATATATGAATGATGGAGACTTGTACTTAGCTAGTGAATATCAGTTAATGTTTCTTATAGGCGCCAGAGATCAAGATCACCAAGTCGACGTGGTTGATGCAGAGCAATTGGAACAAGTTTCTACGTAAAATGTGATTTGGTCGACCCGATTTTAGGGTGAATGATTCAGACCATGAAACGTAATATCTCTTCCAACATCCACGATACAAGCTGATACTTTTGTCTTGAAATGCTCATTACCCAGGCCAGAAAAAGAGTTCCTACTTACCGAAATCCAGCAATAGGGACTTGCTGGATTTCAAGAACCCAATTAAGTGCCCATCGCCAAACAGGTTCAAGGACAGCTAAGTGAACGGGAAGCCCTGATGCTGTGATCGATTGCGCTATATTTGAAGTGTATGGCCCACGCACGGAGTACATGCAGTCCTCTCTTTCTTGCTCTGACACATGCTCACACATAGTTGCTATACATCTGCAGACTCAAATACTATCAAACATACAATCTCGCTCACACGCAGCTGCTAACTTCAACACACTATGAGAAATCAATTTTGCCTCGTCAGTCTTCTGTTTTGGTTTTACAAGACCTCGAAGAGATTATCATACAGTTGTCGGGTTTGTTGAGGTTGAGAATGTGAGATGAACATCAAGTTGAGGTGAAATATATCCAGGCGCCGGCTGGAACCAGCACTGATTTTTGTATCTTGATCTCGTGCATCGATAATTCCACCGACTGTGTGAGTTTCCTTCGAACATTTTCGCTTTTTCTATACCGATGAGGTATAAGTGTTCGACCAAGTCTTCCGGTTCCAACGTTTTGGCAGCAGCCTTGCCAAACCGAGAGCTTCGGTATTGATAGGCGATTCACCAGTGAATAGGAACACATCATACAAGAAGCCTCCGAATGTACAGCCAAAAAAGGGCGCCACCATGGGAACTTTCAGCAGGTTAGCGGTCAAGGAACTACCACAGAATAACATCACTCACCCCAAAAATAGTAGTCACCAGCACGCCAGACATTCATACCATACCCTAGCATGTACGACATGAGTCTGGGACCGAAATCTCGCGCAAGGTTTATGGCATAACCCGTCTGTAGTAGAGTCTGTCAGCACGTACACTCGACTCGAACCACCTACCGAACTTACCTCCCAGCCGAAGCAAGCACCGATGCCAAAGATGACGAAGAACAATCCCAGTGGGACAAGATTTCCGGCTCCCAGATTAGCATCATCCTTAAGAGCATAGATGAGGAACATCAAGATTGTGCTGGCAATAAATTCGGAGAAGAATTGTCCGGTCTTTGTCATGAACTCGGCTGGGTAAGTGCAGAATATTCCTGCTGATGCTGTTTCAGAGTATCCAGGAACTGTTCTGATGTTCGGTCCGCCTTCAAAGACGTCAATGGCCGATTTGTAGTTCGCGTATACCACTCCAGAAGCACACATGGCCCCAAGGACTTGAGCCAGCATATATACAGGAAATTTACGCCAGGGAAACTTCCGGTAAACGCAATTGGCAAAAGTCACCGCAGGATTGATATGTGCTCCTGATATACCGCTTGTATACACACCGAGCATGACTCCGAGGCTATAGATAAGTTAGAAATGAAAAGTACTTCGAGGGGCATTAATAAAAAGCAAGGTGAGAAGACTCAAGTCATTCATGGTTGCTTCAGTAGCTGCATTCATCACCGACGTGACAAAACAGGCAACAGAAACGGACAATTTGCAAGGCTCAATCCTGGAAGGAAAATTGTTGAACTTACCCCCAGCCCCATGAGATGGACTGATAGTCGCCCTTCGTAGAGTTGCTAAGAACGACCTGAGCAACCACTCCGTCTCCAAACAGAATCAGTATAAAGACACCAAAGAACTCCGAGAATGGCTCGCGGCAGAAATGGCGGACCCTGCTCCAGAGAAGGTCAGGTTCTGATTGCACGAGGTCCTCTTGAGGGACTTTGTGGTCGACGAGAGCACCATCTACCTCCAGTCAGTCTCAGTCGAACACACACACCTCTAATCCATTGTAGGTATCAAGTTTCGGCACAGGATGTATGATTCACTTACGTTCAGCGAATGCTGGTTGTCCGTCTACAGTGGTGTGTCGATACTCGTGGGGGTGAAGGTGATTGTGATGGAGGTCTTCATTGTGCGTAGCGGGAGGTGTGGATGATATTGATTCTTTTTCTTGAGCCATAGTCTTGGTCTCTTTGCCTGGGTTCTGAGTAGGGCGAACTGGACTGATCTGCTCGCTGGCCATGCTGTCAGCTTTGGTCGAGAGAAAGAGAGAGAGCGATTCAGAGGATTAAGACTATTTCAGCGGTGGATCCTGCACGACTTGACTTTGCCGCTGCGGAGGCTCCAGCTTATGGTCGGGGATGGGGATGTTAATCGCGCGAGTCATCGAACGAGACAAAGATGAGTGAGAGACCGGGGTATATGCAGGCGACTAAGAAGCGTGTTACGAGGTGGCGCCGCGCAAATGGAAAGCCCTGCTAGTGAAGCAGGAATGTATCCCAACCTCGGGGTAGCAAGACCGAAGACCTCGCACAGTGCCTTCATGATTGGAATCAGCTAACCCGAGGCTGACGAGCCTTGTGAACAACAGCTTGGGGGGTCGACGCAAAGACCATCTGCGAGAAATTGTGCCTCGCCGAGCGTACGGAGTACATTCGAGCAATACGGGAATCGCGGCAACGCTGACCGAGGCTGACGTACTCCGTACTGTCCCAGCAATCACGGATGTGAAACCTGACTATGTGTGTGACGAACAGAAGACATCACGGGATACCCTGTCATCAATCAATTCTTTAATAACGGATATCAGGAGAGCCTGTCGCCGGTATCATGGTCAAGGGATGCCGATGGAGCACGGAGTCTGTACTACAGCCTGGCACTGCAGACAGGGTATGGGGGAAGAATTATCTTCTTGTCACTCTCGCATTCTCTCTGGACGTTATTGGAGGTCCCGCGCAGGACTAGGGTGTTCTCCGTTGGCATGTCACCCAACGACATTGACCATGTTCTTGCGAGCATTCACGAGACTCGTCCCCGAGAAGGATGACAGGTGTGCATAGCCACCTCCAGGCTGTCACGACATATCTGTGCCCCGCAGATAATGAACGGCCCTCTGGGTGAAGTGTACGGATATTGATCTCGAATACGGCATGCTCGTACGGAACACCGAGGAAGCAGAAGCAGTGACACCTGGACCTTTTCTGTCGTATCATGACAGCTTGATCTCGGCTGGACGCGTCTATATGCGCTAAAGTGTGCTGATGTTGCAGTCATTTTCTGGGCTTTCGCAACCCCCCTCATTTCGTATTTCGCTTCCAACCAGTACGAGCCAGGATCCGGAAGGCCTGACCACCATCAAACGTACCGTTGGACTAGCCCGGCAGAAGTGGCTGGGTGAGCTGTACATACATACAGCAAAAACGGAGAATCTCGTGCACCTTGGTCTTGTTCACCTTTTCCTTAGCCCGAAACTAGACCCTTTGGCCTGCGCCTCGCAAGTTTGATCGGCAGTTGATAGAATCTTGGTGGCTCACTAAACACATTCCGGACCAGGAGATATTCCTCGATCAGGCCCATCAATTGCCAATCGCCTCGCACTATTTCACGTGGCTTGAAGCTATCTCCACGAACCCCGGACTTGTCAGACGTTGCTGCACTTCGGTATCCGGCACCCCGACGCTTGTGTTGGAGGGAAGGCAAACCCCCAAGGACACTCCGTAGCTTCATTTGGGGTCTTGAGTATCTCAGATCCTGGAGAATAGCCCAAACGCTTAACTCCCACTGGACTTTGGCCTTTGCTGATATATTGAGCTCGATTCGCAAACCCCATCCTAGGCCAAGATCGATTGGATGTTGGCTGCAATTAGGAACAAGATGGGCGATACCACGAAAGGCTCTCACGATGTATTCGTGGGCTCCATTGATCAGGGAACCACATCAACTCGCTTCCTGATCTTCAACCGAGATGGCGAGCCTGTGGCTTCGCATCAGATCGAGTTCAAACAGATCTATCCACAGTCAGGGTATGATTCTACCGTGAAATTATTTTCCTACTCCTGTTCTCGTTTCGTTTGGCACTGAAACAACCTCCAGTTGGCACGAACACGATCCACTTGAGATCATAACGTCCGTAGAACAGTGTATCGAAGGCGCTGTCAAAGACTTTGAAACTCAAGGGCATTCTAGTGCAAAGATCAAAGCCGTGGGGATCACGAATCAGCGCGAGACAACAGTAAGAAGACTACTTCCCCTCCCACTCTGTGAGCATCTGCAAACATATGTCGATATCTCGAGCCAATCAAGCTCGATTCCTCGGCTGACATTGTCCGCATCCAGGTCGTGTGGGATTATGAGACGGGCGAGCCGTTGTACAATGCCATTGTCTGGACTGATACTCGCACTCAAGCATTGATCCGCAAAATCAAGCTCCGGCTCGGTGCCGATCGGCTTCAAGAGTTATGCGGCCTGCCCTTATCGACATACCCCTCTGTCGGCAAGTTGTTGTGGCTCCTTGAGAATGTCCCCAAGGTCAAAGAGGCCTATGAGAAGGGCAACTTGGCCTTTGGTACTATCGATGCCTGGCTGGTCTACCGGCTAAACGGCGCGACCAAGAAGAATGTCTTCGTGTCGGATCCAACCAATGCCTCTCGCACCTGTTTTATGAACCTGAGAACACTGGACTATGATGATCAGCTCATTGATTTCTTCCGGCTTGATTCCAGTAAACTCCGCCTGCCAAAGATCGTCCAGTCATCCCATCCGGAAGTTTACGGAAAGCTCGAGTCCGGAGTTCTGAAGGGTGTGCCTATTACAGGATGCCTGGGTGATCAGTCGGCAGCATTGGTAGGGCAGAAAGGGTTCACCCCAGGCCTAGCGAAGAATACCTATGGCACGGGATGTTTCCTTCTGTATAATGTTGGCGACCAGCCTGTCTTCTCCACCCATGGCTTACTCGGTACGGTGGCGTACGACTTCGGCAAGGGTAAACGCATGTATGCTCTCGAAGGCAGCATCGCTGTTGCCGGATCAAGTGTGAAATTCTTGGTGGACAATTTTGGTTTCGTGGAATCTTCAAATAAGATTAGCGAATTGGCATCGACCGTCGAAGACAATGGAGGCTGTGTCTTTGTGACTGCTTTCAGTGGACTATTTGCACCATATTGGATTGACGACGCACGAGGAACTATTTGTAAGAGCCTATGGAGACTGGGGGTAAAAAGCATTGGCTGACGATCCTACTCAGATGGCATCACTGCCTACACACAGCGCGGCCACCTCGCCCGTGCTACACTCGAAGCAACATGTTTCCAGACACAAGCGATTCTGAGTGCAATGGAGAAGGATTCGGGTCACAAACTTGCCGAGCTTGCTGTTGATGGTGGCATGAGTAATTCGGATTTGTGCATGCAGGTAATAAATGATACTTACCCCAACGGCCTAGCCACTGAACCACGGAGCTGACTCTTGCCACAGACACAATCGGACCTGATCCAGATCCCGGTGATCCGTCCCAAGATGCGTGAGACGACAGCATTGGGAGCGGCAATTGCAGCTGGTTTGGCAGTGGGTGTTTGGGACAGCATTGACGAATTGAAAGACATCAACGTCGAAGGCAGAACTGTGTTCAAGCCGCAAATGGAAGAAGCGAAGAGCAAGGAAATGTTTGGACGCTGGGAGAAAGCTGTTCAGATGTCAAAAGGTTGGTCGTCATAATGTGCGTCTTCAAGTCTGAAGGGCTTCTGGGGTCGAGATGGGCCGCGACGATGATGAAGATTCCAGTTTTGGTATGATGATACAAGGACAGGTTTGATGATACAGAAACGAATAGTATCTGATGTCTCAAAAACACATTCCGCGCCCAACAGTTCCCAGGTCCATTTGACAATGCTGCTGCCCCTGCCCCTGCTACGACAGTCTCGAGACGTGCCACGACATTTCTTGAGGAGGTGCGTGCTTTATGCAATCAACGCGCTGCTCATTGGTCACAGGTTTGACGGTGACATCGTCGCTTGTTTGGTGTTTGGTATTTGCTTCGCCTTTGAGATACGGAGTACCAGTTGATGCGGTGTAAGGAAGTCTAGTAGGTGAGACACTCCATACTCTGTGTTCTTAGGAGGCCGATACTTGATTCATTGGAGTTCGTCGGACTTCTTTCAGCTGTTGGGCCTGCCAAGACCGGCAGGTTGTGCGAGATTGAAATCATCATTACAACGTTATTACGTTCACCTCCGACCTATTTTATGCGGCGAAAGCACCTATCAATACGCGTCATTACACGTCATTATCATCTAAGATACTCCGATGGTTTTGTTAGGGCGTCGCCAGAATGTCCTTCATCCCCTCGCACGCCCCGGAATATCGGCTATACGGCACAGATAACGTCGAACAAATGCCCCAAATACGGACGATTTCAGTGGACAATCGGGGCAGTCAAGTCAAACAGTGGGCGGCACAATGTGCATTGTTGCAGCCCTTCGCCTCGCGTTGGAGAAAAGCTGCAGGTGTCAAATGGGTCGATGACGGATATCGTTTACGCCCTATGCCTTTTGGTACGGAGTAATTGATTTCTTCTAGTTTTTTTGTCACCTCGAGTCTATCTACTGTACAGTATCTGTATGCCTGGACCAGCGAAAGACACGACCTCGCCTCGTTCCGTCCTCTCTTTGGCCTTTCCACTCGTTACGACGGCACACAGGTGAATGCATACATCTAATCTTCGCACTCTTCCTCTTCTGCTCGGACACCGATTCACACAAATGACCTCCACCTCGGGATGGACAGTATGTCAAGCCGAGATACGTCGGACAGCGAGAAACATGGAATTCAACGTCATGCTTCTTCCCCTGAGCACGAAATCGACCCTTACGGCGACGAGCTCACGAAACAGTTGAGTCGAGGATCCGAACTGAAAAAGGTCGCCAGCAATACTCTGGGGAGAGTCGCGTCACGTCTAACAACCCGAGACATCGTCGACCCTGGACCTCCACCCGATGGCGGCCTCAAGGCATGGGTTCAAGTTGCCATGGGTTGGCTGGTATGCGTCTGTACCTGGTATGTGTATCTCTCGTTCTCTCTTATCAAGAAGGGGGTGAAGGGGATTTTGGTTTGGCAAACTGAAGAGTGAAGAATGGACGAACCGAATCGTACATGTCCGACGCCGGAATTCCTTCCCCGAGCTCAGGAGCGGGTTACCGTTTTTAGTGCACATCTTTTGGTTGTTCTATCATGAGCTCCCGCTAACCTGTCCGAACTCTCAGGGGTTACATCAATTCCTTCGGCGTGTTCCAGACATACTATACCGACACCATGGGTGAATCGCAGTCCACCATATCCTGGGTAGGTTCGTTGCAACTGTGGACAGTGTTCTTCACATCTGCATTTTCCGGCCGGGCGCTCGACGCAGGACTGTTTGTCCCGACCCTGATCTTTGGGTCGACGATTCAACTGCTAGGCATCTTCATGACAAGTCTGTGTAATGAATTTTGGCAACTGCTGTTGGCACAGGGGATTTGTACGGGCTTGGGGAGTGGCATCATCTTCTGTCCCACCATGGGCTTGGTCACGACTTACTTCAAGGACAAACGTGGCATCGCCGTGGCCATCGTGACCACAGGCAACTCCGTCGGCGGTTCGGTGTATCCGGTCATGATTCGTCAACTGCTCCCGAAGATAGGGTACGCCTGGACGGTACGTGTAGTCGGGTTCGTGAACCTGGCCCTGCTCGGGACCGCGCTGGCGTTCATGAGACCGCGACTGCCACCCCGGAAGGCGGGCCCCATCATCGAGTGGAGGGCTTTCTACGAGGTGCCGTACACCAGCATGCTCGTCGGCATGTCGCTCGTCTTTGGCGGCATGTTTTTTTCGTATTACTACCTTGGCTCGTACGGGAGGGACATTCTCGGCATGAGCTACGCCGACTCGGTCACGCTGCTCATCATCTTCAACGCCACCGGCATCCCCATGCGGTTGTTGACCGGCTGGGTCGCCGATCGGGTCTCGGGCCCGTTGAACGCGATGGTGCTGCTCCTCTTCTTCAATGGCCTCTTTGGTCTTTGCTGGATCGCCGTCCGTTCTGTGCCGGGCCTGTACGTGTTTTCGGTGTTTTATGGCTTCTCCGCCGGGGCGTTTCAGTGTCTTTTCCCGACGACGTTGACGAGTTTGAATAACGATGTGAGCAAGAATGGAACGAGATTGGGCATGGCGTTTTCGATATTCAGCTTTGCGGGACTGGCCGGCCCACCCATCGGGGGCGCCTTGCTCACGACGAACGGCGGCGGTAGAGGTGGTTACCTGGCCGCGCAATTGGGACTGGGGTTGGCGACATTCTTGGGAGCTTTGTTCATGGTGACTGCTAGAGTTCACAAGGAGGGCTGGAGTCTGACGATAAAATGTTGATAACTGCTGCAGCGTTTTATAGGCACGATTTTATGAAAAATATGGCAACAGGAGACTAGAATTGATGCGTTTGACCTTGAACACAGGTACAAGGAAAGTATGAGCAGAAGATACCGAGCTCTTCAGCCCTGTATATGTAGTCTGACCCCTGTCATCGACATACTTCGCTGTTCGTGCAGTATAGCTGTCATCGTTGCCCTTCAACTTGTTAACAAGGGTATTGCGTTCTGGTCCGCGCAGCCCAGCAATCAATACAAAATGCAAAGTTGGTGATCGTACAGAGATCGATGCTTTTGCATACGGGGAGTGATCATCCTCTGCTTGCCATGATATCTCCTGCGTCAATGACGACATCGTCACGATTGTCCTGGGGCTAGAAAAGAGGAGGCATGTATAGACCAGTATGGTGGTGGATGGCTAAGCATTGAGCAAAGATCACTCTGGGGCACGGCGGAGGGTTTGCGTGGCTGGCGTTAGAGAGGCAACTGGGCGTCAGTGCTTTTCAGGGTCACGCACATAGAGGGTCCTGCAGAATGGCTGGAAACTTGGCAGAGCAAAATTGTCTCGGTATTCCTCAGGTAACGAGTCGAGGCTTGATGAGCAAGGTGGTAAAGATTGTGCTCCTTGTCGAGGTAATCCCCGTAGGAATGACTAATCAAGGCGTCGCTTAACCTTCCACTCAGGTCTTAGTCTGATTTGGGTCTGGGTTGTGGTTGTGGCGGGCCGCTATATACGTAAAAGCATGTAAGCCAATGTAGTAGTCGGAAATAAGTGTCTCCGACCCGTCACGCTAGAGCCACAGGGGAAATTAGAGGGCATGGACTTCGACTTCCTCTTGCTTCACGACGTAAACAAAAATATCGCACAGTGAGCCACCGCACGGCTGATGTCCTGAACACCACCATCCTTCATCGAACACGAGGAACCCTTGGCCGCTCCACGTGCACATGAGCTGCCTACGCAAGCGCGCTTCAGTGGCTGAACCTTTCCCATCTTGATGGTTTGCGCGGGACGAGTTCCTTCTCCAGGCTAATCGGCAGAAGAGCACTGGAGACGGTCCGAAGACGCGCGACTTTTAGCTGAAGTTCTGTGAGTTCTACCTATCCACATCTTGAGCGGCAGATAGGTCGATCAAGACTCTGTCAGCTGCTCATGTATCTCGACGAGCATTCAAACCCGTGATGCCGGGGTCTGTTCAGATTGCCATCACCCTGTCAACAGGTCTCATAACAAACGCTGCCACGATCAGCATGGCGATCTTGTGGCTTCGGTTGACGACACCTCACGTCCCAGCACCCTCAAGATGAAGTTGTGGTCCATCATGAGATCTTCGCGTTGTAGCCGACCTCCCACCGACTTGTACAATGAGGCTCAAGAGTGTACCAGCCTCATGGCATGAGCTCCCACGCTCGGGACTCGACACAATCTGACCACAACCAACCGCGTTGCTACGTGGATTTCCTCGCTCCACTTCTATACTTGCTCGAGCCAATGGTTGGCTACAATGACAATCCATGCTTTGACCTTCCTGCGGCAGGACCCGAACTGGAGTCTGAGCGTAGACAAAGCTCTACCTACCACCTGAATTATTTCTGGCCGCGTGTGCCCTTTGTCTTTCCAGCCTCATTGTGTGCCCATTGACAAAGAATGAAAGACGCGCTATATATGTACGGTTTGCACCGGGACTTTCGAAGATGTTGGTTAGTACACTTCATTCACACGCTTCGTGCATTTGTATATACCATTTTCCCATATACATACCGTGCAGTTGTCAATCTGCAATATGCACATCTCACTTACCACTCTCACTTTGTTTGCATCCGCCGCCACAGCCTCATACGTGATCGAAGATGACTACAGTTCGAATTCTTTCGCCGGCATGTTCGACTTCTTCACAGACAACGATCCCACGAACGGTTATGTCAACTATATCGACTACAACACAGCCGCGAGCTCAGGTTTGTACAAGGTAGAAAACGGGCAAGTATACATGGGGGTCGACTCGACGAACACTGCCTCCGGACGCGGCCGAAACAGCGTACGGATAGCCAGCAAGAACACATATCAACACGGCCTTGTCATCCTAGACCTTGCACACATGCCTGCCGGTGCCTGTGGAACATGGCCCGCCTTCTGGATGCTCGGCGCCGACTGGCCCAACAATGGAGAAATCGACATCATCGAAGGTGTCAATGGCCAAGCCGCCAACAACATGGCCCTTCATACCAATGCCGGCTGCAGCATCTCCAACACCGGAGCCTTCTCCGGCTCTCTGGAAACAGACAACTGCGACGTCCAGGCGGCCGGCCAAGCCTCAAACACGGGCTGTTCCATCCGGAGCGGCGACGACAGCAGCTTTGGCGCCGGCTTCAACTCCATCGGCGGGGGCGTCTTCGCCACCGAATGGACCAGTGAAGCCATCAGCATCTGGTTCTTCCCCCGCGGAGGCATCCCTTCGGACATCACCAGCGGCTCCCCCGATCCCACCGGCTGGGGTCTGCCGCAGGGCCAGTTTGCAGGAGCCTGCAACATCGACGACAAGGTCCACAATCAACAGCTCGTCTTCGACGTCACGTTCTGCGGCGACTGGGCCGGCAACGTCTGGAGCACCGACGCAGTATGCAGCTCCAAGGCCTCGACGTGCCAGGCCTTTGTCCAGAACAACCCGTCCGCGTTTCAAGACACGTACTGGCTCATCAACAGCCTGAAGGTGTACAGCGACAACGGCGCCGGTCCATCCCAACCTCCCTCTTCATCTTCCTCATCCGTCCCGACTCAAACGACGGGCGGCTCGAGCTACACCATCACCGGCACCGAGACGACCACGTTCGTCACCATGACGACCTCTGGCGGCCTGTCCACATTCACCACCCCCGGACCAACAACCGCATACACCACCATCACCTCGATACCGATCGAGACAACCCAACAACCGACCGTCGTACCCACGACGGCACCTCCGGTCCCCACCACCACGGAATATACCTCTGCGGTCGTCACGACAGCTGTAACTGCCCCTGCACCTGAATCATCATCGCCGGACAACAACGACAACGGCGGCGGTGCCGGTTGGAACTGGGGAGGTGGCAATGGTGGTGCCGGTGGTAACTGGGGGGGAAACAACGGCGGCGGACGATTTGGTGGTGGCGGTGGCGGCGGCGGCGGAGGATGGGGTCGATGGGGACAGTGATTGATTCTGTCAATGTCCTTGTCCGTTTCTTTTCTTTTCTCCATCACACGCATCAACTCTTCGATTTGAGATTTTAGCGACGACCACATTGATGACTACACACAACCCTTCGGTACGACAGGGTTCGGCGGGATTTTGTTGCCTTGACACAACAACGGGGTGGCGTTTTTGGGGAGGGTTGCATCAAAGGAAAGGAAGGAAGGGAATGTCTGGTTTGGTTTTTTTCTTTTTTTAATCAACAACCTTTGTATTTACGGGGGTTATACGACAATGGCGAAAAAGGGACAGGGAAAAAAAAGGAGGTAATGGATGGAAACGTCGCGATACGATACCCCCACCCCGAACCATGGGTGGTACCTATTTAATGAGACCACACAAAGATGACGAAACAATGAGAACAGTATAATATATATACACACACACACACATACACCCCCACACCTACATACCACGTACCACGTACCTTGTGGGCACGAAGAACGAAACGCGTATGATATAGATACACCCATATATACACCAACTTGGTCAATGAATATGAGAAACAAAAATACGAGACGCAATACAAATAAATATAGCCTGTTCCGAGTTCTGTCGTCATGGAAGAAGTTGAAAAGAAAAAGTCCCATAGAGGAAACGTCTAGGACCATATAACACCCAAGTAGGTATACAGCATAGAACACGCGCGGCGCGAGCATGAGAAACTGCAAAGACAGCTTACGTAGTTACTCGTGTTCATCATGTCCTGCCGGATACAGGCAAACATCGTTCTATCAGAGAGAATGCCCATCCGAAAAAAGTACTTTTTCAAAATTCTGGATGACCGAGAGAGTCCTCCCACAAGCCTCCAAGGTGGTGTCGTACAGTACACACATATGCTACAAAAGAAGTACCTAATACAAGACCATGTATTCAATAATCAAATCGCCCTTTTTTTTGATCATCCAACATACATCTTTCATGGCCGACCAGCATCTTATGTATGAAGAGGGAGACAAAACCAGGCTCGGACCCTTTGACATAAACATCGTTGGGCAGTCACGCGACGAGCAGCGCCATTCTCGTCACAATCATACCGAGTATTCGTCTTGAATAACCCCTAATATTAGTATAGCCGAAACACCAAACACGACAGCAGGATTCAAACACCGAACCGAGCGCGAGAGTTCGTCCGGAAAAGGCCTCGATACGTCCGCTGGGAAAGTACGGAAGCCTCCCGCCGACAGGTCGATGATTCGACCGGATGTCGGTTGGTGGTCTTTCCGGGAAGCTGTCTCAAAAGGTGACCCCTGGTATTGGCCAATCCGACCCCGGAGAGTCGCCGCCAGCTCCGGACAAGTCACAGGCTTTTATTTGTCGATTATTGCTTGGTGGCCCGAAGCTCAAGGGCCACGTCACAGCATTTCCCAAGGCCGATGGTGGTCACCGGAGAGAGGCGAGTTCACTGCATGAGTGGTGCATCGACGCCGAACCAATTCCAGCCTTGATCAAGGTCAGGGCCACTCTGACCAAAGGGGTAGTTGACGAAAGGAAAGCCTTGCTGAGCGGCTATACTTGCTAGGCCACCAGTGCCTATTCCAGTGTCGAAATTGGTGACAGCATCGGTATATGGACTTTGAGATTGTTGTTGTGGAGTGAAACCTGAACTGCTGGTTGCAGTGCCACCAGCAGACGGATAGTCTTGCATATTCTGAGGTGCGAAAGACATGAAGCTATCGAATGTAACCAAAGGGTCGTCGCCTTGAGGCCAATTTTGGTCAAGCCCGGGGGCTATGAAGTCTGTGGACTCGTATACTGGTAGTCTGTGCGCTTGAGGGGGCTGCAGGTGAGGATTGTCGATGGTAGTGGTGATGGGAGATGGCTGCGTGCTGCTCGAAGTGATGGATGGAGGAGTGGGTAACCCTGTGTTGGGGGCTCCCCTCGTCGGAACAGTTACAGTAGAATTAGATGAACGTTGAACATACGTTCCAGGCTTGATGGGAATGAACTGCTTGCCCATGCCGATTGATATTGTGCCGAAATACGGAATGGAAACTTGACAGGTTCCAGCAGGACGATCTTTGATGTCTGATTCTGAGCAATGTCGAGCACGAGCAAGCATCTCAAGGGCTTGAGCGCTTTGTGCAGCAACAACTCCTCCACCTTCTTGGGTGGCATCCTTGAGCAGGCCTATCGTCTGGTCAATGAGTTCAGAATCTCTCTGGTCTTGCTCGAGGTCCGGTGGTTGAGAGTTACTACCGCGGTGTTGCTGTGAATAGCCACAGAGGTTGAGCAGTAAGAGCATGGCGGACGTGAAAGCCTGGAAGTCCACTAATTTGCAGATAAAGGGGCCTACAGCTGGATTATTCCGCAGCGCCCCGTAAATCCGAATCATCTCTCGCGCCGCTTCAAGGGCAGCACTGTGCGAATACTGGTATCTTTTGTCAGACGAGGATCGAAGCATGAACGGCATATGAAGAAGCAACCGTGCCTGATGGTGATAAAAATGGGCTTGTAATCGGTCGAAATGGTCGTCGATCACATCTCCGGGAATCATTTCAAGCGACCACCAGGAGGGATCCTGCGCACTATGCAACTCTTCCAATTCTTGGTCGAGTCTTAATGTGGCAGAGTAGCCCATCGGAACGACGCTCTGATTCCGGTCATTAATCTTGGTGATGACCGGCATCATCTTTGCAACGTAAAGTTCGCCAGCACTGGCATTTCCGGGGAATGGTCCATTTCCTGGGATAAAGGGAGTGACAAACTGTTCTGCAACAGAGTACGGCAGTCCAAGAAACAGCGACATGAATCTGTCCCCGAGGATCAAATGGGACCAGATGCTAAAGGACCGCTGGTAGTCGCGAGATGTCTTATCCACGCGAGCTGGCAATTTGTGCAGCCCAAGCAATTGGGCAAATGCAATCGCTCGATGGAACAACAGCCACGCACGCCTTGGACGGCCCATGTTGATCTGATATTTGGCCTCCAGTAACATACATTCAATGCCGTCAATCGTAGCCGCAATTTCATCATCAGACGTGATGAGCTTGTTGACAGTAGCGATGTACCGTTCCATCAGAGCCGCTGGCTCTTCCTTTGTCTGCAGCCTGGACCAATCGAAAGAACCTGGGAGTTGATGGATTCCGATGGCAATACAAAGCATGATCTTGGCCAACTCAGCCGGCTGGTCAGATCGTAAGGAATGCGAAACGGACTCCTTGATCGTTTCGCATCGACTGTCGCTGATCTCGGGGAACATTTTACGCCATATCGTCCACCATTCGTGAGAAGATTCGAGGATGATCTCCAGATCATGGGGCGAGGGTAGTAACTTGTGTAACGCAGCAAGCAGGGCCTTGTTCTTGTTGTACTTTTCTCTCGACACTACAGGCTGGCTGTCCTTTCTTTCAAGAACGGCATTGTCGAATAAAGTCAGCGCCGGAGCACCATCTCGGACACCACCAGGTAAAAGTATCGACTCTTCGACGTTTGCTTCGACTTGGCGGAATGAACTCTTCAGACTTTTCAATACCTCGGCAGCCTGTGCGTCAACATGGCTCTTGTCGGCGTCTGTATGGGACTGCGATCCAGAGGGGTTTTCTCCTTTCTCGGGCAGCCGATGTAGTACCTGTTTGACCAGGTCTTCGAGTTGTGATACCCTTTCGCGCAAACTATAGTTCGACTGTTCTACACTTGTCTGCGTGTACGAGTGTATGTCCCCGTGTTCTTGATCGATACAGGCAGAGCCACGGGCATAGCATTCATTGCATACTGCCGGTCTTCCGGGCTCGAAGTTACACTTGATCTTTCTGCGCCTGCATTCTAAACAACTCTTCGTTCCTTTGCGCATCTTCTTTCGCGGTGGACCCTGAGTGTGATCGGAGCCCATGGCATGGGCGTCATTGTATGGGGAGGTGGAATTGCTCATTGCGATTGGGCCGAAGCCGGAGCAGTGGTATACGATGGCCGAGATGCGGTCGAAGGCGTAAGAGGTGTCTCTAAAGAGGTCGTCACACGGAGTGAATGAATCTGCAGCGACCCTGAATATGCACAAGATGACGCTCGTTCAGTAGGCTGATGTAGCAAAAGTCATATCGATACACCCATCAACCTTAAACTGCGATGCTGACAGATACCCGGACTGGTACAGTGGGCGTGATTGGTGTCGTGAGGATTTGTGTGGGTAAAGATCGGTCTTAGCTCCCTCGATGTCAGCAATAGCAGCGAATACCTGGGTTGACGTTCTGGAAGTTTCAAGGGAGCACTTCAGGCTGTCTTGGGCAGTACTCCGTACAGAATAGCCAGGCAGGCTCCAGTCAATTGACGCACATGGGAAGAAGGCCTCTCAATGTTACTCCGGGCGAGATTGGAAAAAGGCGCAGGGAGTTGAGTCACGCACTGGTCGATTCTGGGCTCTGGCACTTCGGCTTGTCCTTTGTCGTCCGTATTTCGTCCGTCCGTGAATGAGTCAAAGCTTGTCTGTGCTTTGCTTACAAAAGCCCAACAAACTAGGGTAGACAGAAGGACAATAAGCCAGTCAATTTCGTATGGAGAGGATAGTGGGACTGGGCTCCAGCCGCTCTTGTCATCCATGGAGAATGGAAAATTTCAAACGACCGACGATACGAAGTGCAGCTAGAGAGGAATTTGGTGTGGACCAAGTTGCTTCCATAAGCCAAAATAGAAAAACATCGGATCTGGATCTCAATTCAGGCGACCAACGGACCAAATATTGAATTGTCAGACGATGCTAGAATGCTGTGTCTTCCCACCAACTCAGCAATCGTCAGACGAAATATCTTATCGCTGAGCCAAGACTCGGGAACCGGAAGATGGTCTTTCCAGGCCACTTTAATGAGCCCAGATAAGGAAGGTCAGCCTCGTTCGAACTTTTGCGCCGCAATTACCTTACGTTACGCACTGGTGAATCCGTGGAACGGCCATGGCATTTTTTCAATCATGGAGAGTCCGTGTCGGTGATACCCGTATTGGCTTATTCTCATGATTCATCGCTCCGTGCTTTTACAATAGATTCTGTCGTCGTCGGATGCCTGATTGTTCGCCTGAAGCATGTATTCCCTTTCCAGTACTGCTTGGGTTGCTCTCCGGTCCCGCCCAAAAGTCTCCGGTCCCAGAAACCCAGGACCTTGGAGTCGGCCGACAAGAGGATGGCGCTCGAACTGCAGTTCCCGAGACCCTTGGCAGGTCAGGCTTTTGTCCGGCTGGCTGTTGCCCTGCTGGAAAAAAAAGGACACCAAACGTTCGGATTTCGGAATACAGCCTCAACCGATTTAGATCAGCCATACACAGGCGCCCGTTCGTTCAGCCTTGCATCCACAATTGCTTCAACGACGTATCCCACGTAACTTTAATCCAGGATACGATACCACGATGATCCACGTTTGACTCCTATTCTGACGATTTTCCCCTTTCGAGCATGTCGCGCCCAGTGACAGACGGACAAATTCGTCCAGAAGCCTTCGGACACTTGAAAGAATCGCCGTCCTTTGTTATGGCGTCCATGCGCAATACCAACGTTATGTCCCTTAACTCCACTACAGGACCAGATGTCTCCTTGACAATGTCTCCGAAACGCTGAGAGTATATATCTAGGTGGTAGGTATTGTCCTTATCAGTTGCTCTCTCTCTCCCCTAGCAAGTAAATCGTCTCCTTGTTTCTCATCCCTCTGTCCTTCGCTTCCACATAGCATCAAGATGGCAGCTCTACAACCCTCCGCAGATGCGTCCGCTGCTACCTCCCAAACAGATTTCTCGAAGCCTCCTCAACCTGTTGTCGAGTCAGACAATGAGAAGAAGCAAGAGCAAGAGGTCAGCCTGTCTCGACAAATCTCTGGATCTGACAACTCGGTGACTGTCGAGAAAGATGACGCCCTGGGTCGTGAGATGTCACGCATCGACACATCCGATTACCCTTCTGCCTTCCCCTTGGCCATGATCGTCGTGGCTTTGGCCTGCAGTATTTTCCTGGTGGCCTTGGACATGACCATTGTCGCTACAGCTATCCCGCGTATCACCGATCAGTTCCACAGTCTTGACCAGGTCGGCTGGTATGGATCTGCCTTCTTCTTGACCATCGGCTCGTTCCAAGCGACGTGGGGAAAGCTCTACAAATACTTCCCTTTGAAGATTTCATACCTGGCCAGCATCTTCATCTTTGAGATCGGCTCTCTCATCTGCGCCGTGGCCAACAACTCCACCACGTTGATCGTGGGGAGAGCCATCGCTGGTATGGGAGGAGCGGGTATCGCTTCAGGCTCCTACACCATCATCGCCTTTTCAGCTCGCCCTAAACACCGACCGGCCTTTACTGGTCTGATGGGAGCCACCTTTGGTGTCGCCTCGGTCATTGGCCCTCTCCTGGGCGGCGTCTTCACTGACAACCTCACATGGCGTTGGTGTTTCTACATCAATCTACCTATCGGAGGCGCGGCCGCAGCCATCATCTTCCTGTTTTTCCGAACACCCAAAGCCGCACGTCCACAAAGCGCGACACTGAGGGAGAAGCTCCTCCAGATGGACTTTCCCGGCACATTCACCATCATGGCGGCCATCATCTGTTATCTGCTCGCCATGCAATGGGGTGGCACCACCAAGGCCTGGTCCAACGGGTCCGTCGTCGCTACTCTCGTCCTATTCGGCGTCCTGGTTCTTGCCTTCCTTGCCATCGAATACTTCCAGGGTGATCGAGCACTCCTCCAGGGTCGTCTGATCAAGGACCGAACCATCGGCGCCATGTGCGCATTCATCTTCTTCACCGCCGGCTGTTTCTTCATTCTCTTGTACTACCTGCCCATCTACTTCCAAGCGACTCGCAACGTGTCTGCCGCCAAGTCTGGGATCGACAACCTCCCTCTCGTCCTGGGCGCCTCTCTCTTCACAATCGTCTCCGGTGGTCTCTTGACGGTCTGGGGCCACTACATCCCCCTCATGGCCCTGGGTTCCATCCTGGCCTCTGTCGGCTCCGGCATGATCTACACCCTCGAGATCGACTCCGGCAGCGACAAGTGGATCGGCTACCAAGCCCTCGTCGGCATCGGTTTGGGTCTGATCTTCCAGATTCCCGTCATCGTCGGGCAGGCCGTCGTCACCCCGTCAGATTTGAGCTCGGTGTCCGCCATCATCTTGTTCTTCCAGACCATCGGCGGTGCCATTTTCATCTCGGCCGGCCAATCCGGCTTCACCAACAAGATGCTCAAGGAGATCCCCAAGAGGGCTCCAGGGATCAACCCGGGCCTCGTCATCGCGACCGGGGCCACCGACTTGAGAAAGGTGTTCAACGCGGAACAACTCTCCGGGATCCTGTCGGCCTACATGGAAGGCCTGCGTGTACCGTTCGCCATCGCCATTGCGTGTGCCTGTGTCACGTTCGTGCTGGCCTTCACCCCCAAGTGGGAGAGTATCAAGGGTAAGGTCAAGTTGGACGCAGGTGCCTAGAGGCCTTTTTCTTCTTTTTTTTGGTTGTGAGAGAAAGTGTATGGATATGTACGTGTGTGTGGACGTGCCTTGTGTGTGTGTCGCCGTCAATCACCATCAAGTTGTTGTAACGAAACGAAATTTCTTTTATTACGATGGTTGACCTTTTTGTTTTTTCTTACGAGTATACAAACCATCTGGTTCGGTTTTGTCGTCGTCATTTTCCAACATCCAAAGGTGTTGCAGCGTACGGGGGACGGGGGTGTTTCTCTCAACGGGACCTGGGGATCCAGGAATTCAGTAATCATGGGAAAATATAGAAATCCAAACAAGTCGGGTTTCAGATTCAGATCCCCTCTCATCATCTTATCAGGTCACCAGCTATTTTGTTTCTTAATATGACGAGCCGAGCTAGGTGTTGGTGTGCCGTGGAGACTGTCATCTCTCTAGATTTGAGATCAACAGGAATTCATTTGCTTACCAGAATCGACGCAACTTTTTGCCAAAAAAACCCCCCAACCTCCTAGGTACATGATGAATATCAAACTACCTACCTACCTACCTACCTGAACAGGTACATTGAAACCCGGCTCACCCCCCAGAATTTGGAAGACCTCGGTAGGGGTTTGGGGACAGAAAAAGGAGCAGTGGTTGACAAATCAATCGACAGGACGGATGGATCATTCAATCGTCCATCTGAACCGTTCAAGACCAAATTAGGATGTAGAGGGTCCCTTTTTCCGGCCATTCTTTTTCCTGTTCTGTACTATACTGTGTAGGAACAAAACACAAAATGGACCCTTTCCCTTTACCCTTGCAAGGACTATATGCATTTGTTCCCTTCCACTTCCCCCATCCCGGTCATCTCAAGAATAAAGATTCACGACGTCTTCTTTATCGGTAATACAACCGTGACTGGCATCACTCACGAGCTTCGCATACTTTGCCAAAACGCCCCTCCGGTACCTGGGTTCCGGTTTGTTCTTGGACCATTCTTCCCTCCGTTTCGCCAATTCACCCTCGCTCACACTGACATCCAAGGTCCTCGTCTCGGCGTCGATGACAATCTCGTCCCCGTCCTCGACCAACCCGATCGGCCCACCTTCCATGGCCTCGGGCACGATGTGCCCGATCAAGAAACCGTGCGAGCCTCCACTGAATCTTCCGTCCGTGATGAGCGCGACGTCCTTGCCCAACCCCGCTCCCATGATGGCCGAGCTGGGCTTCAACATCTCCGGCATGCCCGGGCCACCTTTGGGCCCTTCGTAGCGGATGACGACCACCGTCTTCTCGCCCTTTTTGATCTCCCCGCGCTCGAGGGCCTCGATGAACAAATCCTCGGCGTCGTAGACCTTGGCCTTGCCGGTGAACCGGAGTCCTTCTTTGCCGGTGATTTTGCCCACGCTGCCACCGGGCGCCAGACTACCTCGGAGGATCTGAATGTGGCCCGTCGGCTTGATGGGGTCGCTAAAAGGCTTGATGATGGTCTGGTCGCTAGGAAAGTCTGGTGCATTCTCGACGTTCTTCTTGAGTGTCTGTCCGGTGACGGTCATCCCTTCACCCTTGACCACACCCTCTTTGATCAAGAATTTCAACAGTGTCGGGATACCGCCAATGTGGTGTAGATCGTTGAACACGTATTTGCCGCTCGGTTTGAGGTCGGACAAGAATGGAGTTCGGTCGCTGACGGCTTGGAAATCGTCAATGGACAACTTGACACCTACCGCGTCTGCCATGGCGATCAGATGGAGCACGGCGTTCGTGCTGCCGCCCGTGATCATGACCAGGACCATGGCGTCCTCGAACGCGGCTCGTGTCATGATTTCGCGGGGACGTAGGTCCAATTTGAGCAGGTTCTTGATCGCGCCACCCGCGGCGAGACACTCGAGTTGTTTCGCCTTCGACACGGCCGGGTTGCTAGAGCTGCCGGGCAACGACATACCCAGAGTCTCGATCGCACTGGCCATGGTGTTGGCTGTGTACATGCCACCGCAAGCGCCGCTACCGGGACACGCGTGGCGAATAATGTCGAATCGTTGTGTCTCGTCGATTTCACCAGTGATGAATTGTCCGTAGGCTTGGAAAGCCGACACGATGTCGATGGGGGCATTGTTCTGTGTCGAAGCACATCCGGCCGCAATCGACCCACCGTAGACCATGATGGACGGTCTGTTGACACGGCCCATGGCCATGATCACGCCGGGCATGTTCTTGTCACAACCAGGGAGTGAGATGTTGGCGTCGTACCATTGGCCATTCATGACGGTTTCGATCGAGTCGGCAATGATTTCCCGCGACTGCAGCGAGTACCGCATGCCGGATGTGCCCATGGAGATGCCGTCGGATACACCAATTGTGTTGAACTGCATAGGCGCCAGGCCCGCATCGGAGACACCTTTGCGTACGATGTTGGAGAGATCCATCAGGTGCATATTGCATGGGTTGCCGGTGTACCACACCGACGAGATACCGACTTGGGGCTTGGCCATGTCGGTCTCCGACAGCCCAGTGGCATATAGCATGGCCTGTGAGGCGCCTTGGGACTTGGGTTGGGTGATGGTGCGCGAAACACGATTGAGACCGGTGTCATTGGCATCTTGTTCAGACGAGGAGCGGCGTTGTGAGGATGTTAAGGTACGGCTGTGGTTTGGACGACGATTAGCATTCCTTACTCCTGCTTGACCTGCGCACGATGAACAAGGAGGAGCAACATACATGTTTTGAGAGAAAAGGCGGCCTTTTGCCTGGCGCAGGCGCAGGCTTCGCAGTGATGCCGAGGCCTTCATTGTGTATGAAATTGAGAGGAGAGGAGGAAGTGCTTCGGTTTGCCCTGCGGCCCGATGTCTTGACAAACTCCCACAAAAAGGATCAAGTGAGTCACAATCTACCCCAGCCGCCTGATCTACAGCTGAAAGCCAGCTGTGAAGCTTGACCGACACTCCAATACCGTGAACGAGGTTGTTGCAGGGGAGGAAATGTCACGATGGGCGCAGGCGAGTTTCTCCAAAATCCGAAAATTATTAACCCAGGTCGAGAGAGCAAAGAATCAAATCGCGGGCATCGAATGAACCGGGATCGGACTTGGACCAATCGGAGCCTGCATAATTCGAACCTGATCGGGGAGGCTCAATCAACTCCGGCCGCATATACGGAGTACAACGACTACTATAACTCAAGGGCTGTACTCTGCGATATCCGTGGCCAACAGGAGCATCAATAACCAGAATGTATGTTCAGTAGGCAGTGAAGAATCTCGTCTTGTCGTTTCGTCCAAACTGTTGTTCAAAAGTACAGAGGAAGAAACAGAAGAAGAAGCCCTCGCCATGGACATGGTCAAAAATAAATCCGAGCACCCTTTTTCCTCGGCAGTCGGATGAATCACGATCTTAACCAATCCCGTATCAGCGATTTACCAAACCCTGGTCCGTCTATCGCGCGTTTCAAGACATAATACAGGCTCATACCACAGAAAGACATTTCTCGTCACTATGTTGTTGTTACAGCCTCTCCTCTTCGACCCATCTAAGGCCTCCGTCGACTTGAATTCCGTCCTTGACCCAAGGCATCTCACGGATCTCGGCCAGTGGTTTCCGCCGTGTGTTTCGTTTCAAGAGCGCGTCCACACATAGTTCCGCCCCATTGAACTCCTTTCCCTTTTCAGGATCCCAATTCCCGTCCTCGTCTCCGTATTTGACCCAAGCCCATTCACATCGTGCGATTCGGTGAGGTGTGCGCGCTCTCAAGGTGGCTGGATCTCCTCTCGCACCAGGCAGGGGGTCAAAGGGCAAGCGACCTTCCATCAGTGCATATAAAAGAACACCCAAAGCCCATGCGTCCGTCTGGCGGCCATCGTATGGCTGGCCCATCAAGATTTCCGGAGCAGCATAATCTTCACTCCCGCATCTGGTGCTTAGTAGCGGGCTCTCTGGTGGCTCAGGTATCCGCCGCGACAGACCCATATCAGTCAAAGTCACCACAGCACGGTCTAGTGTCTGCCAATCCTCGACATCGGAGTGTACTCGCACTGGAATATTGAGCAGCACGTCTGTCCCGGTCAGCGCAAGAAACCAATATAGCAAGTGGGTGACCTACTTTCCAACTTGATGTCTCGGTGCACAACGAACTTCTGATGAAGATATCGTGCGGCTGAAACAAGCTCGGCGAAAATTCTTCGCACAAGTGCTGGAACCAGAACCTCTCGGTATTTGGTAGCAACCTCAAATAGATCTCCACCAGGACAGTAATTCATGACCAGCAGAGCTCGCGCACGCCCGTCGGTTCCAAAGGCTTTCAAATGGACCAAAGAGGGATGTTGAATAGCGTTGAGAATGTCCACTTCTCGCTTCAGCCCAATCTCGATTCGGTCGGCATCTGCACCACCAGCAGGTCCATGTTCAACTACCTTCACAGCCACCAGTCTTCGAGATCGGGCCTTGACTCCAGCCATATTCATGCTCTCTTGCCGATAATCAACACTGTCTTGTCGATCTTTATGAATCAATCGCACTGCCAGATAGACCTTGCTGAACGTTCCCTGACCAAGGATACGGATCGCTTCATAAGATCTCGGCTCCCCAGTAGTGATGCTCTTCGCGTGGAAAACCTCCAATCGGGGACGCTTGGCCGCTGGTTCATCTTCATCGATAGGCTCAGTTGTAGGGGTAATCGGTGGTGGGGTCGTCGGTCTGGCATGAGATTTGGTGGTTCTCCTGTCGGGGCCGATGAATTCTTCACGATGCATGGGAGTGTCCGTCAGGCCAGAGGGCGGGCCAGTGGTCGATACAGCCACATATCGAGGTTTCGGGACTGCTAAGGCCTCCGGGACATAGTCGCTTACACTTCTAGGATGCGACTCTTCACTCGAAATACCCTGCTCATCGGACAAGTTTGATTTCGGGGGAGATCTGAGTACACCATATCCTTTCCGGCGGGGTGAAGTAGGTGACAAGACAGCCGTAGCAGCAGCAGCAGCAGCAGGGGAAGCCGAAGACTCTGCCTTTGTAGATTTCAAAGAAGAGATCGAGGAGCCACGGGATCGAGTTCTCGACAGCGCTCTCAATGACTCGAACGTACCGATGGTCGGAGAAGGTAGGGGTGTGATATCCAGCATGGCAGCAATTTGTGGAGAGGAGATACTCGTTCCCGGAGAGACAGAGCCCGCAGACGAATGGAGATGTGCTCGAATGCTCGGATGTCGGAGAGGAAGGCTTGAAGCAGAGGAACTCGATCTTAAGCGCGAGTCAGAGTCTATCGAGTGTCCTGAGTTCGACCGATTCATGGCATTGTTGCCATCTGTCCGAATATGCAAGCCACCGAGCAGGATCGCCGCCTCATGAGGGATGGTTTGATAGCGTTCTGGGGAAGTTGACAATTGTGCACTGGGGAATGGGGCATGTTGATTTGCCTGAGAAGCACGGATATTGTTGTGGAAGATGGCCTGTTGCATAGGATCGACATGAGAGGTGTGTGCCGGTGGTGTCAACAGAAAGCGATCTTGAGCCCCCGCCTCCGACTCTTTTCCTTGGTTCTGGGGGAAACGCGACTCGCTCAGGTTGTCATGCACATCTTGAGACCGAGACTGGGGTCGAGGGTGCTTCTGTGACACGACCCGCGGGTCTGCCATGATGCGTGAGAAGGAGGGAAAAGGTGAGACGACAAGTGATGCCCTGAGCGTGGTGTCTGCTTCACTAGCGGGCGCATGGGACAGGCGAGGCGGCGCTGTGAAGACTCATAATTTGGTTAGACAGGAACAGTGGATCAGTCGGTGCTAGCTTGTCAGCAGACATTCTCTGTCGCTGTGGAAGGATGTGGTGGTGAAGGATAGAATGCGCATTTGTTGTGAAGTGACTGACTGTGAAGGGTTACAAAAAGACAAGGGCACCTTCTCAGGCGCGCAGGCAGATGGAGCACCCACCGAAGAAGTGCCATACATAAGCAGCTGAGGGGCTTTGGCCATCCAGGCCTCAGTGGGCGTGGGGCGCCCTGAGTACCTGAGACGCTGTGAGATCAAGCCTGTTCCTGTTTAATCCAGGCGGCTGGACCCCGATTTAGCGCCCGGAAGTGGCAGATCAAGTCTGGATCGTTCACCAATCAAGAAATCTTCCAGGCACTTTTGTAGGGCCTCCGGTTACTAACCTTCTGCCTCTAGACTAACTCGCTTAGGGCATTTACCGTCTTTAAAGATCATGATTAAGGGCAAGTCGACCGATGGGTCCTTCGCTTACTAACTTTATAAATGCTCCTCAGCGGTATTATCCGTGCTCAATTGACCTCGACGTCAATGACCCTGCATATACTCCGTATTAGCTGGACCCAAAACGAACCATGATGAATCATTTCTCATAAATACGACTTCAACTCCCAGCACAAGGTTCCCAATGTCACCCCTTCTCGTGCTTTGATCTCCCGACCTGGCCAAGATTCAGATCCCCATCCAAGACTGGGCTGACGAGGCCGATGACCTTGTCTCACGCCAATTAACAAACTGATGCATATCTTGTCATCTCCGGACAGTGTGGTTCATAGCAAGTGCTCTGCAACATATCTTTGTTCATTGCTGAGCTCTACTCTAAAAAATAGAGAAAAGAAGGCGCATAGCCCCGAACAGCGGATCGAAGGATATTGAAATTGTTATGATCATTGTGGTCCAGTCTGGATTGATTCAAGTGTGCCTCCTGTTCAGCGGGTTGCTTATTTTGCTGCGTACTACGAGTATTATTCCACACAATTCCCCCCTCCATGACAGCCATTTCGGTGAGGGCATATTGGACTATTTGAAAAACGACTTGCCGAAAATGTGGGTATTGTCTCATCTCAGAGCCTCCGTCTCGCCATCTAACATTTCACTCCAATCGATCTCAACTTTTCCAGCTTTTCCAGTGTTTTCGTGTCTGTGGACTTCAGCTTGCTTCACACAAAGGTGGATCGTCTTACCACAAGTGTCCTGTTCGCTCTCTTCCAGCACCTCAAACACAGGCGAATACAGGCAAGGTAGAATTGTGGGTTCGCCGTCCGCTTGTTGCATGAAAGTTCTGTGTACCATGATCAGAACGCCCCCAGAGCGTTCATCAATGCGACTTACCTATTCATGTCGATGATGTACACCTTGATTCGGTACCGCCCGGGCTCGGTTATGACGATGTCCGTAAAGGTTGCATAGGCAAGTGTAGGAATGTCCCCTTCCTGCTCCTGGCTGATAGCATGTATAGAGTCCGCTGTTCTACCACGCAGCAGATCTGTTCGTGGCGGAGCCAAGCTCTGGTCCATCTGTGGTGTCGTAAGAGAGACCAGCACCCAGACTCCATCAAAGTCAGCAATCATCATCCCTTCAACGTCTTCGAAATCATCGTCGCTCTCGTCCTTCGTCTTGTAGTTCTCCGGCTTGGCAGCAGCAAATGTCACAACGATGGGTGACTCGATCGGCACTCCAGCAGCAATTCTGGAGGGTGGTCCGATTGCGAGCTCCATGAAGCAGTGCAAATAGCAATCGAGGGCGGAGATGGAGTCGAGGACCGTCTTTAAAGAGTATCACTCTCCGAAACTGGGAAAAGGCGAGATCGATACCTGGTAGCGATTAGTAGTCTTCTGCATCACGTGGTTGTTAATCTGCACCTTTGGTGTACTCTGATCAATCAAGCCTGAGATGTTTGTGTTTGATCTGGAGAGGGTTGGAACAAAGCGGTGGCGGCTCCTCCAATATGTGTCGATGACTTCAAGGACTTTAGCCCTTCAATACTGAAATGTGATGCATTGTACTTCTGCAGGTATGACTTGGACACTTGGAACTCGTATCCTGGTGTCTACGTGATATGACTCTTGGTACTGACGAGAAGTTATGGATAAGGACTCGTGTTCGAAAGATATTGTATCGCAATTCCTGAGTTCTGCTCAATTGTTGGGCAACGTCTCCACCGGTTCAGGATGTGAAGGGTCCTCTCGTGACAAAACGAGGAACCGAAGCCAAATGGCGCTGGGTGAATCCGACTTTGGCATCTGTGGGCAGTGTGAGGGCGCAAGTCAAGTGCCAATCGACACCTTCCGATTCGTCTTCAAAGGCTGTAAAGGCACCCATAGGGAGGAGATAGTGAGAGACCCGTTTGCCACAAAGACTAGTAGCTAGATCGTATGCTAGGATGTATGCCTATGGACTTGGGCAGCCTACGCCACTTGCATGACCAGATGAACATGGATAGATGTGGTAGACAAACCATAATGGATCATTAACCAAAAGAAGACCGCCACAAAGGGAACCGGCGGTGACAGCTGACCGCCGTGTTGATAGAACAGTGTGCCACCTACTCACACAGGAGGCAGTGCCCACCTCTAGCAAAAAGGGTCGCCCAAGCGCAACGAATCTCGCATCTCGGCTGTGGGTGGATCGACCCCAGTGGTAGAGTCAACGCCAGTTCGGGGTCGTCCATCGGTGACAGGCGAGAGACCAGGTGCTCTGGGACATGGATCTGTGGTTTGGCTGCAGATTGTAGATTCGCGATCGGGTATTGCCTGCCCGTTTCAGCATAAATGATGTAAGATTGTGGCGTCTGCCGTGTGGTATGGTGCCGGGGTTGGCTTGTCCTCCGCCCCTTCAGCCGCGGAAAGCTGGTCGCTTCACAAAGAGCACAGATCCGAGGTCGACATCACACTGAACCACTGTCCTGGGACCTGATCGCCGACATTGATAGATCATTCTGACAGGCACACGCTTGAAGTATGATTGGTGTATCTGTGTAACCTGTGCATGGCGACCGGTGCTGAAGAGAAATATCTGCACACTCTGACCACCGGACAGTAGGGCAAAAACCACGGGAGCAGTGGTATGCCTCCGTGGGTCGACGCCGAGAGGTCGTGGGTTGAGCACGATACGAGAGACGAGGGCAGGCCGCAGAAGTGCTAGTAGGGGCTTGCAGCAGCCTCAAGGCTCCAGGGACGGGGATCAAGCGAAGAATTGCGGAACCGCGGTTGACAGATGCAGGGCCGGAATAAGCCACGTCGCAAACAAATTGCAAATTCATTGAACATATGGAGTATTCTGGTGCCGATCAAGAGAAAGGTAGAAATAGAGATGGACGTGGGTGGTAGTTGACCAGATTTCCTCATGAAATAGTTTTAATGTCAGATAAACAGTCACGAGGTGGATGAGACAGCGACATCTAGCACAGTCGCTCTCCCTTTGGCTCCCTTTTTCTGACACCGACATCGACACTGGCACTCGCTCTGTAGCTCCTGTCATGACTGAATTTGATGCTGGCAATGTCCATGGCTCATTCCTGGAAGAAGAAAGACACGGGATCAAGCCACCAAATCGACACTTTTCCTGATCTCACGTCGACATGTCGTGGCCTCGATTGATGTCAACTGCTATTTTCAGGCATTGACCTTGCATGGATTCTATCATGCGACATTGAACCCTCACACAGAGAGAGATCTACCTCCATCACGACGCCCTTCATGTCTCGAAATGCAAATACAAGAGTCATGGTGATACAGAACAGGCAGTCAAGGCAATATCCGCGAGAGCCGATCTGCCAGCCTGACCATCCTCGCGTCCACCACCTCCACACGGGCAGGACCGATCTTCTCTGCGAGCCCACCTGATTCACGGAGAGCCCCGTTCCATCTCAAATGATTGACGCCGCTCTCATCGCTTCCGGGCCGGGGAAAGAGGTGCTCTACGCAAGCCCGAATCATGAACGAGAAGTCAACTTGATCAGGCTGTCGAAGACATCGCAGCAGTGGGAGCTCCATGGTACTGTGCATACGGAGTCCACCTCCAACAATCGCCAAAACGCCGAGCGACCATGCGGTGATCTGGTCCGATCTTGGTGTCATGTTACACAAATCCCAAGATCGGTGCCACTGCAGCCCTCATCTCACCTGCTGAGCGATGCTGCACAACAGGCGTCTGAGACTGATGACATCTGAGACTTTAAACCATTCTCGCCTACTGCAAGTTGGCATGCGCCACTAAATGCCATTTCCGGTGCAATTTTCACGAGGAACGTCCACAAACAGACAGCTTACTCGCATCAATCGATCTGTTGTAGAGCTGCTCTGGCTCGGAGGGTTTTTTCCCTCAGGGTAGGCACTCGAACTATTACAAAGTCATACCTGTGTAAAAATTTCACTTCAGAACTCAACCTCATACAACATTTTCCACCTACTTCCACAGCCAATCCTTGCCGATAATCCTAATGATCCTTGCATATCTCGAGATTCTTGGTCAACGCCTCGTTTTTGTCTAGTCCAATCAGCTTACCTCGATGGCCAGTGTGCATGAGGCAGTGAGCTCTAGCTATACTTGGGGCACACAGCTCAGAAGTGCAGGGGTCCCAAGATCGAGGAGTCTCATGTTAATTTTTGGGGATAAACGAATCTCCAGCCTAACCAGAGGCCCGAAGCAGAACTTTGGTTGGACCAGTCACCTTTTTATTCTACCTAGACCCGGATGAATCTTGAATGCCTCCCACTTTATCCTTGGTCGCTTCGGAAATAATACGAGAACCATCCACTGGGGAAAAAGACATTGAAGAATTGTAGACTCTTCATCCGGTGTGTGAACCGTCAGTCATTGGTCAAATGAGTCTCTCGATTACACAAGACGCCGGTGACATTGTTTGCGTGACACAACCATACAGGAGGCCGAGAGCCGAGAAGGCAAAGAATACCTTGTGGGGCCTCTGATTGAGGTCATCACCTTGGCCGCGATCCAAGACCAAGCCCTTTGTGTATAACCAGTGATCAAGGTCATCGGTGAACTGTGCTCGGGCCAATCATCGCCTCCAGATATTCACGATGTACTCTCTGAATCGACAGTCACACATGGAAAAGCCACAAAACTCTCGCTCATGTTTTCCTGAGTCAATGTCCGAGACGAGATCTCATTCTGCAATACTCTGCTCGAACGTGCAATGAGAAGTCGGTGATTGACTAGTGCAAGACTCGATGCGGAATCTCGATAGGGAGAATACGACTAAAATGAGCACCACCTCCCGCCTCCCCATATTGGCAAAGGCTATTATCTGGAGAGTGGAGGGGGGGGGGGGAAGGTCAAGTTGAGCACCGTGAATTAAGAGATTACCTACCTGGGTAGTAGATTGGCTTGTCGTAATTTGTCAGAATCTTTCAGGCCACTCCGATTGAACCAATTGGAACAAATGAAACCGAAACTCGGGATCCCCGGGGAAAAGGGGGCCCCATTTCAGGGTCCTCCCTCGACACCTTCTGTCGATAACTCGCAGAGGAGACGCAGCCATAAAGTTTTCGGTGGCTGATTCCCCCGATGATACAGTTAGATGGAAAGGAGAATCTAGATGGAGTTTGTAACCAAGGCAGGTTGGGTGCTCTCTACTACTCACGAGGTCGGCTGCTTCTCTCTCTCTCTCTCTCTCTCTCTCTCTCTCAAGAACTCTACCCAGTACCTACGCACTTTCTTCCCGTATTATTGACCTTACAGCGAGTGGACCAAGGAGCTGGGGAGATCAAGAAAACACAATGTATGCAAAACACAATATGTGATGAGGCAAAAGGACATGCATTACGAATCGTGAAAGAACAAGGAACTCGGAGAAATCTCACAAGCACGAGCGAGTTGGCTTCCAATTTACAATTTTACCTCCAAGCAAGTAAAGTCTGTGTTATTGACAAAACAAAAAACCAATCCCCAGTCCAGGTTCCAAGCTCCTATCTCTAGAAAGGCCCCTGAACAGTCTGTGCCATCCCAAATCGTAAGCATACCTTGATTGAAGTTGACCATAAGGAGAGTCCATTCTGACTTCATTTTTCGCCCGACACTCCCTTTTGGTCATGAGTTCACTTAGTCCAACCTTCAGGACTTCCGACTCCCTTCACTCTATCATCACTCGTGGCCACTCGCTGTTTCTCATTTCGAGGTGTATCAAATGTAAAACATGGCGTTCTTGATATTGTCGTGGACACGCAGCTGAGAACAGCTCGGATCGATTGGATCCTTGTCCTTGCCTTTTCCTTCGCCCGAAGTGCTGCTGCCGCTCAATGTCATTGAGTTCGTCTCCGAAGAATCCGGATCGAAAAACTTGCTCAGATAACACCGAGCTCTCTCACAAGCGAGATCGGCATAGTAGGCGGGCGGACAGATACTGACCGCCTTCGTAGCACGACCGAACATGTAGCAGAGATTATGAGTCAGATCTTCAACCGTGTCCGCGGTGTTCTGCACCTGATTTTCCAACTGCGGTCTCATGTTCCCACTTCCACCTCCACCAGCAGGTCTGCGAAAGATCTCGTCGAGCACGACGTAGTAGTGCGCCGGACGTGCTGTGCCTTTGATGGCGGCGTGGGCTTGCAGGAAGAAATCCCAGTTACGGGCCTCGGTGACGCCGCGATCAACGACGGTGCCGTTCTTGGGGTTCATCATCCGGTCGGCATCCTCGGATCTTGTGGGGTAGAAGCGAGTGTGATGCCGCTTGCCGACAACGATAACGCAGATGCGAGGAAAACCCTCCTTAATTCGGTCGGCAGGGTATAGTTCTTTGCTGGCCTCGCGGAAAAGGGGCACTTCTTGTTCGAGGACCTGGCTGTATTGTCCTTCCGACACTCCGTCGCGATACACCAGGATGTTGTCGGGGAGGGATCTGTTGTTCTTCTGCCACAGCACGAGGCGTGTCTTGACCAACTCCTTCAAGCCTGTGATCATTTCTTGTCGTGACGGCAACATCAGCAATTCCGCGGGGAATTGACTGAGTGAGCGATCAACAGAGGCCACCACGGCGGCGACGCTCGGAGCATTCCGGACCGATCCTGGCGATGGATGGGTAACATCAAGTCCGACGAGCATGGTTTTGCCATCTGCGATGATACCGAGTTTGTTGCCCTCAAGGCAATGGTTATGACCGCCTAGCTTGAGATTGAGCTTGAGGCACACATTACTAGTAGTGGAAATCTTGGTCAGTGTGGTTGTCAGGCGTACAGCGACATGTTAGATGTGCAGGGGAAGGATGTCGGGGAAAGCGATAGAGAGCACTCACGCAAGATACTGTTCGTTCCTCTCACTGAAGAATTTTTCCGCAACACAAATATTTAGCACGCCCTCCAGGACGTCGCAAGTGTATTTGACCTGGTTGTAAATGGCCGTGTCTTTCCGTGACAGACACACCAAGAGGAAGTTTGGGGGCGGTAGCCTCTCGGAGTGCATGAACTGATCAATAGCACCTCTGATTTTGTCTCGGGTGGTGTCTGGCGTCACGGAGATTTCTATCCCATCAAACGGGCGTTCCACGGTAATGCCTAGCTCTTCCATCTTCGACATAAACTGCTCGATGGCTTGTTTGAACTTGCCTTGGCCTCCCCACGGGACAGGCCGACCTGCTATTCCTATCCTCAAAAATGTCCACCTCTTCAATGGCATCGGCGCAGAAAAACGCACATTTCTGAGATTCCAGCTTGCGAAGGAGGGCTTGACGGAATTATTCCCAGTGTACACGACTTTGGGCCCATCAAGTATGCGTGCTGGAACCGAGATTAGTTCTGGATTGATCTTGAGACCAAATGTGTCCTGCCCATGTCTTAGTAAATATCTTATATGAAGACCGATGTCAACTGAACATACCAGGGTCTGATTTGCAGGTGCGAAACCGACAAGCCCTGCGCCACGCGCGGCTGTCCAATCCTGGTTTTCCCCAGGTGTTTTCACAGCAAAGCCGATCATGTTCGAGGTTTGAATTGGGCTCAATTTCATAGAGGCACTTTGACCATCCCGAACATGGCAAACTTGGGCTGGCAGGTACACGAGTCTCTGTCTATTTCCAACATTGATGACGGGCAAATGTGTGTGCTTGATGACGATGTTGTATTCTGATGCACGCCGTTAGAGCATATCCCAATGCGATGGCTTTGTGGCGACTCACCCTTCTTGAAGAAGTCAAAAACGGAAATATAGCTGTTTTCGCTGTCTAGCCAGAACTTGACATCCTTTGGACCCGCTCCATATTCGGTGACATGTGGTCGATGAGGTTGTCCTTCGCCGTCACGAGGTGAAGCGAATGCTTGAATCTGTCTCATGCGGAACACCTGTCGACCTGGGCCCTTGCGTTTCTTGAGGTGAGTTGCGTAGACTGTGACCTTCTTCAAGAACGCTTCCAGCTTTGCTTTGTTAGGACCATTGACCTCCTGATAGTTGAAGATTAAATTCTCCAAGGGCCCAGCCTCGTAGAAGGTGCAGTGTGAGATTTGGGCATTGATCAGGATCCGAGCAGTGGCGGCACGAGCACTGGTGAAAAGCCCTCGCATAGCATTGAGGCCGGCGCCCAAGGATCTCGCAGCAAATGCACCCGAATTTCGGTCCAGGCTGAAGTACCTTTTTGATCCGACAGAGACAATCCGCGGCGATGACCTGGGATAGTGACCAAGGATGATATTGAGAACGTGTATGAGTTCTTCTTTGGAATCGAGAACGGCCGCAGCCGAGGTAGAAGTGACATAATTCAGCAAATCCGAGAATCGCATGACTCCCGTTGGCTGTACTGACACCTGGTACACCATGGCATCGTCTTGCACATCGTCACCTTCGTCTCGATACCGCACTGGATAAGGGTTCTGCAATTCCAGTGGGATGTTGCTGATCATGTTAGAGAAGAAATCTGTGGCGATGTTGGGCTTCTGGTCGACGAAATGATCATCAATTAAGAGGTGGATGATTTGTCGCTGTTTCATTTTGCCTGGAGTACGTCCGTTCCGGTCTGGAGCAACACCGACTGCGTAACGATACACCGTGAGATCAACCAATCCTTTCAATTCGAAATGGTTCGTCCACACGAGTGTTGGTTTTCCTTTCGTTCCATAACCAGGCCGCAGGGGAAGGGTGGAGGCATTCGTTGTTTTCACTGATTCGAGGGCAGCCTGAGTATCGTCTTCCACCTGTCTAACACGCATATCTTCTGCTGCCTTACTGGATCCTGGTCTGCAGGTCGATCAGCGTTTGCAAACCATTATCTGTAGTCAACATACCTTGGGCCGAGAGATGGATTGGGTTGAACTGGCCGAGCTGGCCTACCCCACTGGCCATCTCTACCGCTGCCGCCGCCGCCGCCGCGAGATGCTCTGCCACGGCCAGAAGACATGGTGTACTTCCGTGTCAAAAATAAAAGATGCAAGAAGAAATGAAGTGATATAATATGAAGTGGTAGAGATGTAACAAAGACGCGATGATAACGAACAATAAAGCGACCGCAGGCTGAACATCACCGAGACTCGAGTGAGCAATCAATGAGAGGCAGTCAGCCCTGTGACCGTGTACTTGCTGAGGCAGGTACCTTGGTCGGCAGTGGTAATCAGTCTGAGAAGGCACCATGGACCTTCATTCATCCCTGTATTGTGTCGGTCACAGGAGCGCAGGATTGATGCCAGTTAGAAGAAGGCACACAAAGCTCTCAGAGAAGCCAGTTCAGCCAGACACATGCAATATCGCGTTCTCTGTCGAACCAGCCATCTTTCTGTTCCCTGCGCATGATCGTCATGGCCATTCCTTGGGATAGAAGTGTCAACCAATTCTTTCACCTGCATTACCCCTCTCTTTGTGCGGCATCGACAGGGGTGGTGAAATCAGAAGGTTGCAAACCAAGATTTCCAACTCTCCTACTTGTGTCAATCAATTCAGAGACCAGCTCGCAGAAAAGAACTCGGCGAAAGTCCATATTGAGCTGAAAGGACAAGATTGAAAGGACTGTTTAGCATGACGGGCCCGTCAAAGAGACCTTTGATTGCAGGCGGCATTGCCAGTCAGATTCATCTCTCATCCACAAGGGTCTTTCTCACCAACATTCAGTCTTTCTTAGGTCGCAACAGCTGCCATCATCCTTTCGGGGTATGTCTCTCCTGGTCTGATAAGCAACATGTTTCCTGACCAGTCCAAGTGTCTCTTGGGCACTAGCCATCCGATACTCGCTGCCGTTCCCATCCGCTCTTCCTGTCCTCAACATCGCCTTAACACTAGCAGTCCCCTTCTTAATGCCTTTGATGGCAAGACTGGGTGGCCGAGCCAGAAAAGGTGTCCGTGAAACCCTATATCCATACGCCTGGTACTTTACGACCTTGATCCCATTGATTATCCTGGTGGTAGCTGCAGTATACGGTTCCCCATCTGACATGATACAATGCAACATGGAAAATTGACGGAAGCGCATGTTCCGGAATAAGAACGAAGCAGGTGTTCGTGCCGTACAGAATGCCTTCCGCTGCTGCGGGTACAACTCCTTGCATGATCGCGCATGGCCTTTTCCAAGACACGATATTGATGCTCAAGCTTGTGAACGGACACAAGGGTATACAAGAAGATGTTTAGAACCTTGGACAAGACAAGAAACACTGGTCGCCATAGTGACGGTGCTTGCAGCAGTGTTGAACTGGATCTTGCTGGTAAGTCGAGCCTCTCGGCACAACGAATGCATTAGTTCCTAATCGACAGCAAAGCAAATCATAGGCAATAGGGCTCGATTCACGTACCCTATCATCGCGACCTCGAGCAGACGGCAGTTCCAGGCCGAAGAGAGACGATTGCTTCGTGAGTCAGACGAAGACAATTTAGGCACAGGAAAAGAATATCAGTCGACAGCAAGAGACTGACTGATGGATCAAGGCCGGCGAGCTGGCCTCGAGTAGATGGCCATGTCATGGATAATGCTGAAATGGAGCCGACGACACGGAATCACTATCGGAAAATTGAGATGCAACAGCTGCGTGGCAATCTGGAAACTCGTTGTAAGCACATTGAATGAGATATTTATGGTACTGAAGGTGATTTCCTGCTGGCCTTTACCTCCGGGCGTTGCGTAACCTCGTTATTCTGTCTCTGTGATCCATCAATATCAATAAACTCTACTGGCGCTCTGGGGCACATTCAACATTCTTAGAAAACAGTGCCATCCGATATGATGCCAATGGGTGGGCCGCCAGTAATTGGACGGGACACTTTTGCAATTTCACGTCCTCCCTGCTGCGATGTTAGCACCACCTCGGCAGGGTTGCTTGAGCTTGATTGCTCACCTTCCACGTGCCAGCTTCAAGCATCTGAGCAAGAGTCAGCTGCTCGGAAGCTTCCAAACCGAGGCCCTTGTTCACAGCAGCAAGTAATTCGTCAAGGAATCCAACAGTGGCAGCTCTCCATTCGACAATCACATCGTCACTGGGCTCAAAAGTTGGTACAACCTCGACTGCGTTTCCGTCTCCAACCATTTGGTGGTAATTCTTGAGCCCTCTTTGCCTATCTCCCTCTTTAAGCGTCAAGAGGCCGGTGTCGACCAACAGGCCTCCGTTTCGATATTCTGGCAGACCTGTCATCAGATCCTCGCCGGCGAAATGAACATTGAGCAATTTGGTCATCGGGACCATGAGAGAATAGCACAACCACTGTGTCAGCTTGTGGAAAGGCACAATCGTCTCCCAAGGATGAGCAGGCGGTGATTTAGGCATAGCTTGACAAGGCCAGGCGTCTCCCAAAGGTGTTCCCTTTATGTTCGTTCGGGTTGCTGGCCAAATGCTCGACAGGCCGTCCATCAGAACACTCCATAAGGTAGGCATCAAGATGATGGGTACGGACGCAGCCTGTGTGGTAGGGTGAGACAACAAATAATCTACTCGCCTTAGCAAGTATCAACTCACGAGATCATCACGCACCTACCTATCATATTTCCAGGTCGCCCATCATGACCAAAGATCTCGGCATTTTGAAGAGCTTTTCCAAGTCTGACAAGGAGTCCAGCCCTGCCTTCAAGGCCTGACATGGGATTTGCCTCTGTTACTTGCATTCCTTTCGCCAATGTGTCGGTGGTGACTTTTTGGAGGCCGGCGGCATCAACTTGGTGGGGCTGGTTAGGGTCACTGCTAAATGCGCCAGTTTTGAACATCTCTAGACTCGCCACGGCCAGACCTTCGCTTCGGTTATAGACCTTGCCCGATTCCTTGGACTTGTAGGACCATTTGGTGCCAGCCCCAGCGTCCAAAAGTACCGAAACGAGGAAAAGATCGATAAGTCGGCGCGTCCTCTCCTGATTGTCGACTGAATTTGGCCATGACTGAAGCAGCTGGGTAACTCTCGGCCGTCCCCCAACTTCGAAATGCTGCCATCGCCCATGAGGAGGGATCGAGGCATAGTTGCCCTGAAAGTCTCGCTATCTGTCGTTAGTTTGAGCTTGATTTTGTTGCTTTTGAACCTACCTTGATGATGGCAACTACATAATCTGCCGTATCCTTGAACTTGGACAAGTCGACATCGAAGTGGTAGAGTGCATTGCCTTTAGCCTCATCAAGCACCAAGCGTGTTCGTTGTCTTACGGCATGTATGCTCCGAAGATAAGCGGCCGGATGCGATCTCGGATCAGGAGGATCAGGGATGGAAATGTTGGGCATGTTGTGGCCCAATGCCGAAGAAGTGAATTTGTCGCTGATCAATCTCGGTGACTTATGAGAGTAGTCTTGTATACGATCGGGGCCAACGGCAGGGGTTAAGCGTGCTCTGTTTGATCTGGGATCATGGTGACTCGACCTGGGATCTTTTCTTCTGAAGATGCCCTTCATGGCGGGGGAAGGTTTGTCGAGCCAGCGGAGGATGGCACTGGTCTCGGGTAAGCGTGGAATGCAGCAAGCCGCTGGAGCGCCACCAAATGATCACTGTATGATAGGCCAAGTTACTGTCCTGGGCCCCAGAAGCTCGGCCATGCGCTAAATCGCAGGGATGGGAATGTGTTTCACAGGCGAGTTTGCGTGGTGCTTGACTCGTGCAAGATTGCTCCTTGGGTCCAGTGCCACTTCGATGCTCAGAAGCAGTCGGAATACGTGGTCCCGAATGAAATCAGCATATCTGTCGATTGTTGAAGGTGATGAGAGCGAAAGGACCGGAGTGAACGATCGACAAAGAATTGGATCAAGTTAAGTAAATCTGAAATGAAGGTAGTGAAGGTGATTTTCCCTGGCTTCCTAATGACTTGAGTCAAGCTGTGTGTGTGTATATGTGTGTGTGTGTGTGTGTGTGTCGCAAATACAGAAGGAAGGAACGAACGATCAAGGCGGGCGCACTCTGCGAGCAGGTCTACAGTCACGTTTATCAAGTGCTTTCTCACACCATGCCCAGCAACCTCTCAAACAACCTTCGCCCAAGGACTTCCTCTTCAAGAGCCAGGGCTAGTTGAGGCCCCATAACTGACTAACAACTTAGAGCTGTGGTTGGAACGCTCTTCCATGCAGAGTCCAGGAGAAAAGCTCGCAATGCTGCATGAACCGGAGAACACAATTTGCCTAACCTATGGGTGCACTCCCCTGGGAAGGACACCCCTACAGGCGCCGCTAAACCCTGGTCGATCGGGCCTGCTGTTTATCCCACCGGCCTACTTAAGAGTCCGTACGCCAGGTAGATGACCTTGTTCACGGCACCGGCTGCGTTGGTGTCTAACTTGTGCTTTGATATACTCAGTAGTGTCTGTGTTTGATTGTGTCTCTTAAATAGTGGCCATAAATCAATCATGCTCCATACACATATCTGTGAATGTATTGGACACCTGGATGGCGTTGCAACATCGTCAGGAATGATCGTCGTGGCAGCCGGTTGACGCCAATCTCTCTGATCCTGTGTGTCTTCGCTAGGATCGTAAGCACTTCGCGCCCCAGCTTGTCGACGCCATTAAGCGGATTGCCGGCGATACGACGCCATGCTCTCGGTTGATGAGGCAGACGCGTTTCAACATGGGACGCGGGCAAGGCAGCCAGGCAACAACATACCTGACATATCAAAATACGTCGCATCTCTCGCATATAGAGTTCTTGAAGCGGAACAACAGTGACTCCCAAGAAGGAACGCATCATCGACGACTATCTGCTGAAAAGAATCTAAGATCTCTGATCTCCTCGTGGTCATCCCGTAATTTGGGCTGAAACACCCGGCACCGCCCGTTGTTAGGGAGCTACGAGTAGAGTACTCCGTACAAAACGTTTACTCGGGTAAGCTCCCGAGGTCCACAGGCCGAGCAGGCCATGACACCATCAGCCGACGGTGATATGTACTCGTACACTGTCGGAGTCGACGTACAGGACAGTAGTCCTCTGTTTGCGAAATTGCCAGCTGAGACTCGGATCGAGATCTTTTCATTGGCTTTGACAGCAGATATCGATACATCGAAACCATACAGACCAGACCGGTTCTTCTACAGGCCAGGCTATCACAGTCACACGAAGATCAACCAGGCACTGCTGCTGACCTGTAAGCGGATTTACGAAGAGGCTCGTCTTCTGCCCATCGCCGTCAACGAACATGTCTTCTGGCTCTTCAATGGTCCTTGGACATCGATTGGTCGCCGAGAGAGATATCCTGCGAGATGGGACGACTACTTTCATAAATTGAACGCGGACCAAAAACAAGCTGTCCAGACGGTTCATATCTTCGCGCAACAGATGTACCTCGAGAGCCTGACAAATATCTTTGGCCGGCATGCGTTCAACTTCAGAACCACATGCTTGCACCTTACCATTCGCCACTTTGACTGGTGGTCCTGGGAGAGTCCTCCAATGAGCAATGATCGGCTAGGGATCTGTCCCTGGAGAGAATCTAGGACTTCGTGTCAACAAATGTTGGCTGAGCCACTAGATCCTGACGTGGACTATATCAAACCGCGAATCGGTAGTTTGTCGACCTGGGGAGGTCAGGTATGCCAAATCAAAGGGCTTAAAGTGCTCAAGATTGAGTTTGAGATTGGGATCCCAAAGGAACAACAGCTTCAGATGGTCATCGAACGAGCTAAAACGTGGAAATTCCCCCTTGCCGGAGCAGATGCTGTGCTCGTATGGACGGGCACGATGGAAGACTTTTTCTGGGAGGGCCTTCAATCTGTCAAGGGGGACTTCATGCCGTTGAGGGAGAAGCCCATTGCAGGAGATCTCCCAACACGCAAGTATCATGTTGTAACGATGACTTGGGTTGCTGTTCCATCTTCCAGAGTCGGGTTATTCAGAATAGGATAATAGCAAGGTAGCATAACAGGAATGAATTCCCTAGCTTTTTAATCTCGAGACTCCTTCTGGGACGAGAGTATAGGGAAGATTTCATAGTTGCAGTGAGCGAGAAGTATTTATTGTTGGTGCTGGCAATTCGTACTATGTACTCTGTATTTGTGAAATTCTGTGGCGCCACAAACTGTCACTGTGGCGCAGGGGCACGGAACTTCTAGACCACGTTATCCATGCACCGACAAAATAGTTGCGCAGATTCCGCTGGAAACCAAGTCTATCGCTGTTCACTTTGCTTGTTCCGCGACGAGCTATTTTAGCATGATAACCCTTTCTTGTTTAGCATCCTCCCCTTGTTGCTAATATGGACGACATCGCGGGGTTGAAATGGACTTCAACCCCGGCAAATGGCCAACCACGCCCAACATCCAACTACACTGCCTTTTCTACATCAAAGCCTACGCCGCCCAATTCTGGACGAGCAACACCTCTCGATGCATCCTCTGCGCAGCCTCAATCGAAATCCACCACTCCACTGGGCGATAGCTTTGCCAATCTCGTGTCGTTTGGGCCCGGCGCAAACAAGAACCTATCACTTTTAGAGCAGCAAAAGAGACAGACGGAGGCCAGGCTTCAGCAGCAGCAAAAGACAGCTCAAAGTATAAACGATCAATATACTGGCGGGGATGATCAGTTTTGGAATAACCTGGGGAGCGGAAGAGGTACCCCTGCTATGGATGGTGTAAACAATGTCTCTAGAGACGCGCAAAATCGTACACCAAACAACAACAACGATGATGAAGATGATCTATTTGCGGCCTTCAATAAGCCAGCCCCACGACAGAGTCGGCCTGCCACGACAAGTCCAAATGACAATATGGCGAATAATGAAGAAGACGACCCCTTCGAACTGTTAAATTCAGCACCGCATCGGACTGACACAGCGCCGACCGATACCTCTGCGGACGATGACGATGTCCTTGGATTGCTTGGAGAATCTGCCTCGGCTCATCCAAGAACCAAACAGCCTTCTCTCGAGGGAAAGAGTCGTGGTCAAGATCTACATCCCCAAGACAAGGCCATAGCTGAACTTGTAGATATGGGATTTCCCACAGAAAAAGCACGGCGTGCTCTCGAAGCCACCGAGACAGGCACGGATGTACAGGCTGCTGTGGGATATCTACTGAACCAGGCCCACGCTGAAGCGAGACAAAAATCCTTAGGCCGAGATTCACCCCAACCAGCACAGGACAGGGAAAGCAGACTAAGGAATGGTCACCCAGGTTCAGGAGCGTCTCGAAGCCGAACAAGATGTGACGTTGGGGTCGCGTCTCGGAGTCGGCAGCAGGGACAATCAGGTACTGCAGAAAAGGATTTTGAGCAGATGGCAGCAGAATTTGGCAGCAACTTTCTCAAGACAGCTGGATCGTTCTGGAAACAGAGCACAAAACGTGTTCAGCAAGCTGTTCAGGATTTCAATGCCGACGGCGAATCTTCGAGTCAGCCACGCTGGATGCGAGAAGTGGAGCGGCCACAGCGTATTGATCACCATGAGCATTCACGTGAAGATGGTAATCGTATGACAGTGCCCACTAGACGTGGCTCTGGAGGCCAGAAATCATCAAAGCCAACAGATGAGGCCCTGATGCTGGAGTCTGATCGGCCGACTCCACCACCACGACCTACAGTCTCATCTAGGCCTGATAATCGGCTTGATACCAGCGCTGGTTCCTCGAGAGATCACTCTCCAGCCATCCCGCATCGCTTGAGAGAATCGATTCCTCAAAAACAGCCTGCATTCTTACGCCAACAGACTCCATCACCTGCAGCAACATCAAGGGCCGCATTGAACAGGACAGCCGCGGATGACGAAGCTGCCCAAGCATATGTCAGTTCTGCACGAAGACGAAAACCCCCGGCGAACAGTCAACCAGTAGTTTCTGCTTCTGAACCCGATCTTCTTGATGGAAACTTCAAAGATGCTGCGCGCTCGCAGCAAGGCTCAAGAGCTGCAGCCACAGCAATGCCTCCCTCACGCTCTCAATCACAACCTTACCGGCACACAGATATACCCGTCAGACCTCCTCCACCAACCCGCACCATTCCCACGGTCACAGCTATTAGCCTCCAGGCAAGCCATTCGCACCGTGAAAAGGGTAACGAGCACTTCAAGCGTGGAGACTATTCCTCCGCCCATACTTCCTATACCACTTCGATATCCCACCTTCCTGACACTCACCCACTCCTAATCGTACTTCTAACCAACCGTGCACTCACCGCGCTCAAGATAGGCGAACCTAAAACTGCCATATCTGATGCCGATCGTGCCATGACCGTCATAGGCATTTCCAAGGGCGAAAACGAGACCATCAACATGGCTACAGGTAACGGTCAAGATAACAAGCCCATGCGCGATTACTACGGCAAGGCCCTCATGCGCAAGGCCGAGGCGCTTGAACAAATGGAGAAATGGACCGACGCGGCGCTCGTGTGGCGCGAAGCTGTCGAAGGCGGCCACGGTGGTGCGACCAGTATTCAAGGACGCATGCGTGCGGAGAAAGCAGCCAGGCCTCAGCCTTCAAAACCGCAGCCGAAGCCTAAACCCGCATCCAGACCCCGTCCGATGCCTGCAAAGGCTGCATCGGCGCCGCCTGCAGCAGCAGTGAACAGACTACGTGCCGCGAATATGGCGGCTGAAAAGGCCGACGACGAGAAATTCCGGTTATCGGACTCTGTTGACGCACGCATCCAAGCGTGGAAAGGCGGAAAGGCGGACAATCTACGTGCTTTGCTGGGCAGTCTGGAAAATGTACTCTGGGAAGGGTCAGGGTGGAAGAAGATTAGCATGGCTGATCTGGTGTTGCCCGGGAAGGTCAAGATTCAATACATGAAAGGCATAGCGAAGGTGCATCCTGACAAGGTAAGTTCTGGTTCAGAATCCCCTCCGGGCTCAAGAAGCATTGTAATGATCTCGGACTAATTCGGTACCTTTGCTAGATTCCCACGGACGCAACGACAGAACAGCGAATGATTGCGGGAGCGGTATTTAGTGCCTTGAACGAGGCATGGGACAAATTCAAGACCGAAAATGGTCTTTAGTACTGCTGTGTATATAGCGCTGTCCTCGAAGTTCATGGTTGAAAAGAGAAGCGAGAAAGGTCAATGCTGTTGGAAATACCGGTTCCCCGGATGTGTGCTTCAACTGCCACATCACACGACCGTGTGTGTGATTGTGAGGAATAATCCTTCTTGCAGATATATTTATACAATGTTTAGATTTGAAGACCGAGGAGAAAGAGAGATAACTCCTCGTCCACTATCTCTTCTTCCCACCGATCTTTGCGCCTTTGTTTGACTTTTTGCCCTTTGACTTCTTGGTGCCTTTGGCGGCCTTGGATTCCATGGTAGTCTTGATCCGAGCGGCTCGCTTTCTCCAAGCCATCCACCTGTCCGACCGGTCGTACCTGGGGACGCTGATGCCCTTTCTCTCCGCGGCCCGGCCGATCGAGACGTTTGCTTCCCTATACGTTCCTTCGCGCATGATCGTGGGCGGGGGCGGCGCCGGCGTCGCGCCTCCGTTCTTGAAAGCGGCGCGGCTGTTTGCGCTCAGGTGGGCTTCCATGAAGTCCCTCTCGGACGACTCGGGCTGCCGTGTGATGGGCGTGGCGTACATGCCCAGCCGTCTCCGCGTGGGAGCGTTGCGAGGCAGCGGGAGTTGCGAGCCCGGGCCTTCCTTCTCGAGCGCGACGCCGATGTACCGTCTCTTGGGGTGTTTGAGGGGGTCGCGGTAGTACCGCACGTAGCCGTACTCGAGGGCGTAGATGGTGTGGTCTTTGCCGACGCCGACGTTCTCGCCCGGGTGCCATTTCGTGCCTGTCGTGGTCGCGCAAGTCAGTGATTCTGTGTGGATTTTCCCCTGCCGCGCCAAACGGCGAAAAAAAGGGCAAGACAACTTTACCTCTCTGTTTGAATATGATGTTTCCGGGCGCCACGTATTCCGACGCAGACTTTTTGGCTCCCAAGCGCCGTCCGGCAGAGTCGGTCGGCCCATTGGCACGGCCTTGAGCTGCGTGCGAAGCATGTCGGACGAAATTTGTGCACGGTCGGGGTTGGAGGGTTTGGTGTCTGGAACATAAACTCAGGGCGTTCAATGAAGATACGAGGGCTGCGAATGACGTGTCCGCAGACACGGCAGACCTAGATAATCGAGGCTGCAGCATGGCGATGGTTCGTGAATGCCTAATCGTCGTGGTAGTCCTGGCCGTCAAACAGCTCGATTTCTTTAATCGGAGCAAGTTGGAAATCGAGGGTGATCGCCCATAATTCACGCTAACCATTTCTGGCGATTTAATTGTCGGCGGATTGTCAGGACAAGAGACCAACTGTCCGCTTTTCACGATTCATGTTCCGTCCTTGTTATGTACTAGTAAAACGTTTTCGTCTTCCGTTCGAGACTTATACGAGAGTGCAATCTGCTTCTACAACCATGAAGATCATCGCCAGTCTTCTCTTCCTTTTCTCAAGCCTGGCCGCCGCCCAATTTCAATTCTTCGAGCAATTCTTCCAGGGGGGACAGCAAGCTCAAGGACAACAAGAGAAACAAAACGTCCCGAGTGACTCGAGCTGGTATCGACAAAATTGGGAGGGCGGTGAGTAGAAGTCGCCCAAATCTGTTCTGTTTTTGGGTGGGCGAAATACTTCTTCGCCCTCCTCTTCGTCGCTAAGACACCCACTAATCACTACTACCTCCAGCAACGTGCTCGAATTATCTATGTCCAGACACCCTGGCATGTGTGCACTTCCCGCACCATTGTCCATGCCAATTTCCAGATGTGGAGGAAAAGGTCGAATTGAGTGATGGCATCGCCGTCTGCGCCAGCAAGGGAGGCTTCAAACCCGGCGAAGCTGTGCGGAAGATTGAGTTGGCGAGAAAAGGTCTGATTTGATGGACGCAGCTCACTCGGCAATGTCAGCGTTACCGCACCTTCGGCATGCTACTCTTTTCGATTTGGGATGTTTTCGCAATATCAGGATGCAGCACGACTGGCGCGACATCCCAATTTGCTATAGACTTCTGACAGAGGCCTCACATGCACCTAAAGAAATGTGATGTCCTGGCAAGAATGACGAACTCACTCAATCGCGACTTTCATACTGAGTTTCCCACGCAGTCCTCCACCTGCCGAGTATTCGTCGAGAGTTGACGCACAGAAGGGCGAATCTCGTCGTGCGGACTATCGGTCACTATCCCCATGTGCATCTTCGCTGAGGCGTTTCTGATGGCTGCGGACGAAAATCGTGAATGCTGACCCTGTAACTGCCAAGCTGCAACTACGTGGCCTTGCTGAAGCTCCTATCATTGTGCTGCGTATAAGACTTGCTGTGTGGACGGGCTGTTCATGCGGTCGGAAACCCCTGGTCATCCATCTATGCGAAACGCAGCAAACAAGGTGTCTAACTTTTGTCTTGATATATCCCTGTCCTAGAAATTTACCTTCGGGTGCAAGTCTCCGGAATCGTGGCGTTAGAGCCAGAGGCTGATACCATAAACAGTGTGCCGCTTACGTGCGCCGGTAGTTCGTCCTCAGGCCAGCCTCTTGCATGCATAGTGGCATCATCACGCGGTAGTGCTTCAATCGTTGTGTCAAGAGTTGATATCGGATCCGCATCTCGAATGTCTGGTTCAATGTTTTGACACATGTCCGTCTGCTGACAAAAGGATCACAATTCTCGGACCTTTCTCAGCACCCAAAGTGTTTTCGACCGCACGAAAGGAGGACGATGACGGGAAACACGAGATATTCAAGAATCCTACCACGACGGCTGGATGACGATATTTCGTGTTCCAAAGATCGTCATAATCCAAACCATGTGGTCAACGGGATACAACAGAAGCAGCATCAACCTCTACAAGGATACTTCAGCCAATGCCCTATCTCTTATATCTGGGATTGTTGGTGCAAAGAGTCAAATCAATTGCGTCCGTCGAAGCCGTTACAAAGCTTTTCATCCACTGCGGACCGAGTTTGGCAATCTCTTCTTCTGCAGGGCCCAACCAGTAGCTTAGAACGGCAGCTCGAACAGTGATTTGCCTACATCTCGCATCGTTACCACGATCTCCAAACTGAAAGACCCTCCGTTTCGTCTCAAGATGGTCAGGTGTACTGTCAAAGCAGTCCGTACGCGCACCTTCACTTGACGGGAAGTCAGTGAAATGAGTTCCAGGAGAGTTCGGAAAGCCGGCAACAGCCCCGACTTTTTCAATCAAATAATAATGCTGTGGCTTCATGGACGACTGCACGAAGGCACGAGACCCATGCGCTTTGTCTCCGTCGACTTCGAAAAAGGTGGTACTTTACGCGAAGAGGACCATAAATGAAGTCTCCTATTCGTGTGCAACGGCGCCGCGGCCGAGAGTTATGGTGGCTCGGTAGGAAAGCGAATGTCACAGGCCCCAATTTGTACTCTGACATGATTGCCTATAGCAGCCCTGTACGGCGTAAGGCATTTCAGCCTTCGGGCGCCACGCGATTCGCCTACCCGGAGGCGTTGACACAGGGCCGGGCGACGGAGCGATCGCAACCCTGATTTGTCCTTCTGATTTCTTTACGCCATATGGCTTCCGCACCTTTCTTCGGATAGGAACTCCACATGAGGTCAGAATCAGGCCGAATTTCTGGCGGCGCTTACACTTGAGAGATAGTCTCTTGGCCAAGCCCCTCTATCCCTTCGCTTTGTCGCCAAAGGTGGTCCACACGTAGAGATGAATTCTGGTGCAGCGCTGCAGATCACACGTTTGCATTATGGGCTAGTAGCCTCGACATTGTTCTTCTAAAGAAGGACTCCTGCGCCGGGCTTTGCCTGACGCACACGCGTCCTCGGCCTGCTGTTCGAAGGCCAGCGCAATGATACAGAATGAGTGATAGCCAAGCGACCTCACCATCAACTTCCAAGCGAAGGCGCTATTCAAGAGTGAGCCGAGCGTGCAATGAGTGCAGGTATGGATGTATTCACAGGTAACTCCGAGATCCAGCATGCAGGACACTAACAGCCAGTAAGAATCAGAAAAGTCCGCTGCGATGGCCGCATGCCTTGTGAGCCTTGTCAAGACTTCGACCGACGTAAGTATTGTGGTACAAAGAGAAATGCGTCATTGTGATTGAACGACGCAGACTGTACTTTCACATCCACAAAGGGGCAACGAACGGCAGGAGCACCTCGAACCAAGATTCTCGAAGATCGACTACGACGCGCCAAAGCCTTGCTCTATAAGATACAAGCTCAAAACCCTTCAGCGCAGCACAATGTCGAGATCAGTAGTATCTTCGAGTCTCCGCCTGGATCACCATCATCCGTATCGGATACACCGGGTTTGGCGGATGACAATCCCGGAGATCACCTCGAGAACATGCTGGACGGTCGAGGTCGATTGACTGCCAACAAAAAATCCACCGAATATTATGGAGGTGGCTCAGGATTTGCCTTTCTTCAACGTACTCAGGAGCTCTTCAACCCCGAAGCCGCATTACATGGACACCCAAGGACCGGTAACATTGGTTCGGACGTTATCTCCAGGTTGTTTGACTCTCCACTTCCAGACAAGCAAGCTCTTGCTACGGACGTCCCTTTCTCTCAACTGCTGCCTTCGAGACAAACAGCTACAGGCTTGCTGAACATAGTGTTCGGCCAGACATATCACTTGTTGCACTTCCTCCACGAGCCTGCCTTCCAGAAACAAACGGAACGTATCTACGACTTGGATCCTATCGAATTTTCAGATTCAGACCATGACTTTCTGCCTTTGTTCTATGCTGTTACTGCCCTGGGGTATCTATTCAACGGACAACTCCACCGTAGTTATGGCTGTAAAGGGGCGGTCAACCAAGCGTAAGTGAAAGTATTCGATGATACGGAATACGAACCTGACAGTTACAGGATGCGCCATTTCATTGCCGCACGCAGAATGGTAAATCTTGATCATTGTACAGACATTCTAAGCTTACAAACTATCCTTTGCTTCATTCTTTTTCTAATGTCCACGGCTCGCCTCGCATCTGCCCATACTTATATCGGACTGGCTGTGGCAGCCTCTATGAGGATGGGACTTCATACGCAGGCGTGTTCGACCCTTGAGCATCTCACGGAGTTGGAAAAGGATATTAGACGTCGAGTGTTTTGGACCATCGTCAAACTTGACATCTACAGTGGCACCGTCCTCGGACTGCCGGGGATGATTAATTTAGACTATGTTGACCAGATAAAGCCTAGCGGTCATATCAAAGATTATGCGGACGAACATCACGGCGGCTTCGTTTCCCTCAAAACGAAGCGTTTACTTGCAGCTTCTGCTCAATATTTCGAAGTCTTAGGGATTACAAGCAAAGTCAGTCAGAAACTCTACCCCAAAACAAACGAAGAAGCCCATCGAGGGAACGAGTCAAAAATATATGTCAGTAACGCAATAATTTTGGAAATCGAAGAAGATTTCAAACAATGGCGTGAAGGACTGCCAGATGCCCTTGGCTCGGATGACGAGACCGAATCTATGAGCAGGTAAGAGGACCCTTATTACCAACGCATGCTCGACTGATCACAGTTTAGTGTGCTATACGAACTCGAAATGGTTCACAACTTTGGACATATTCTACTCTACAGGCCATTCTTACATTATCTGGCGAGAACACGGGAAGATCAACCTCCGGATCCGCGCTTGATACGCTGTGCGACTGCGTGTGTCAAGATTTCGAGAACGACCATCTCACGGTCTGCTGGGATGCTCAAGAATGGATTTCTAGCTCCTGCAGCATGGCAATCTGTGTACACAATTTTTTTATCGCTGGTAACGCTTGTTTTCTATCTTGCCACTCAACATGGAAACCCTGAGTGCAATGCCATTCAGCGGGAAGCGGAGGAGGGAATCCGAATTTTGGCCAGGACTTCGTGCCAGGACATTGGATCAAAGAGGTGCTTGGATGTATTGAGGGTATGTGCGAGAGCGCGATGTTGAGACGGAGGTTGCTAATTTCTCGTGCCAGGTCCTGATTCGCAGATTGTCACACATTGTTGATCTGGATGTGGATGATGTATGCACTTCAGTTGTACCACTCTGTAACAATCCCAATGACGATGATGATGAGGCCCTTCCAGAACAAAGTGAATCTATGAACCCTGCGCGAGCCGAGGTTTCCTCCTCAGATACTTCAGCAAGCAGAGTTGGAAGACTCATGATTCTCCCATCACATCCACCACAGAATGTCCAGCCTCCCCCAACATATCGTTCTCGATCAACACCGGTAGCCGTACACGGTGTTAATGTACCGGGTTATCAGCAAATGCACTACCCAGCGACCACTCCAATGTGGGATTCGTCAGGAAGGACTCCGTTAGCTGGTCAAACCCAATACTTCACTTCCCATTCTTTACCTTATAGCATGTCGCCACCACCTCCGCCTACCAGGTCCGATGGCACAGAGCAGTATGGCTCTGCGCAGATGGAAGTGCCTTATACCCAAGGTTTTGCCTGGCCATTCTCACTACAAGGTGATAACACCGGTGCTAGTCATCCCTCAGGCAGAGAGTCACATCCCGGCCAGATGAATACGTTGACAGAGCAGGATATTGCTGCATTCATGCGGATCAACCCTGGGGAAGAGCCTTTTCTGTAAGCAGAGCCTACCGCGTTCGACCACAAGTCGACTGCCTGTCATTGTCAGGAACGAGTGGAGTCGCGAGCCCCCCTGCCCCTCGTGATCGACATCTACAGCATGACCTAGCTTTCACGCCATCAGTCGAGGTACCGATGGGATCTGTCCTATACCAGACAATGCAGATGAGCCCTCGTGCGATTGACAGATCAAGTAGCTTTTCTGGAGCCGCTGTCATTACCACATCGCACCGCAAAGGCACCACTACCAGCAGCGATGTAGTCAATGTGTTCCCTGGTTTGACAAAGACTTTTTCAAAACGCTCTTAGATCGATACATCAAATTTCAATCAAGACTCAAAGACAGGAATCCCAAGTGGCCCAATGTTACACTCGCATTATACACTCCATTGCATGAGAGTTCTAGAAACGTCCCATACGTGTTACTTTTGAACACACTGCTCCTCATTGAAGTACTATGCATACTAAGTGAGCCGACAAGCGCGCATAAGACGTCTTGTCGAGTCTTGTCTTGAGATCGGCATCACCATCGTGGTTCCGCTTCCGCGAAGTGATCCAAATATATATTCTGCGAATGCATATCGTGTTCCTCGTGACGGGTCCAGTTTCGAAATCTCCGCCGCGAATCACCCACAAGACCTGCCGATATTTCCCGTTCGCTTCAAAACAAACATCCTGGCTAGCGAGTCAGGCAACTGCAGATCAAAGGCTGCTTTGATTGTAGTGAGTGTGTCACGAGAGACCCAACGGCTAACAAGGCTTTGGTGCTGGGTGGTTCGCCCGGCGCCTTTTACAACACAGCCGCGTCTTAAATTGCACGTGGACCAATGAGCCTAGGCATGGCCCTCGCCAGCCCGCGCAACGATTCCACCAAATCTCCATTATTGCAGTGCCGGGGGGTTCTCCAGGGGAGGTAGACCCAGTTAGCACCCATCAAGGACGCCATGGGGAACAGCATCCCCATGTCTGCACTGCCACCCACTTATTAGAAGTGAGGCTGCTCCGCCGAGTACTGGTACCTCGTGCTTCCTCGCTCATGCCCGTTCGCACTCAGAGACAGGCCTCACTTCTTCGTCAGGGCACACTGAGCGGAAGCCTGATGATCCTAGACCAACACCCGTAACTAAAGGCGGTATCATTTCTGCCAGAACTCGAGATTCTTTCTTGAAACATCATCAAAGATTCTATGGCGGCGCGAACTGTCCAGGAAACTTTACTGCAATGGATCCTTTCTCAATCACATTAGGAGCTCTACAGATCGCCGGCGCATGCGCACAGGTCACGATAACGATCATCAAATGGGTAGGAGAGGTCAGGACAGTCGATGCACGAATCTCATGCTTCTGTGACGAAGTGACAGCCCTTCAGACTACATATGAAGGCCTTGAACGAAGCTTGTCGTCTCCTTTGATGGCAGAGGCTGCTCGTGTGGCTAGCAAAACCTCAGATGGGTCGCACCTCTGGCGCCAGATCAAAGAAACCCTGGACGATTCCAAGCGGACGATTCAGCGAGTCAATGATGTCCTCGACAACATTGTTCGTACGTCTGGCTTTGGACGGAAATTCAAGGCACAACTGCAGGAATCATTGTCTTCTGGCGAGCTCTCCCGGCTTCGGCAACGTATTCAGATTTTCAATACCGCCCTTTCCCTGCCCATACAGATGGTTTGCGTCATGCTGCAGCTTGAGCAAAGGGATCTCACCAGTGATCACCAAGCCTCACTAGATGCGAAGCTGACGGGTTTAGAGAAGTCTGTGAGGGACCTTGTCCGAAGTCTTGGCCCGCGGTCGCGCTCGCAATCCCTCTCCAGTGCTACACTTGTCGCCACAGAGCCTGAGGCGCTGATGCCCGACGACGATATCGATACATATATCAAATTTGCAAAGAAGTTCCTGGCTACTGCATCTGCTGCTGCCAGTACTAGATCCTCTTTGAGTACAGTCTCACCAGTAATGGAGCCAGATATCCTCCTTGATCGAAGAAAACCATCCATACCCGACCTTCCACAGCCACTGACCGAAAGAGAAAGACTAGCACAGTGGATTCCCGAGCCAGGTCTGGCGACAGATATAAGCCGCAGTCGACACTCGAATAAGCTTCAGCATGGCTCAATATCGGATGATGCTGTTCTCGATGCCGAAGATGATACAGAGATCACCTTTATGAGAACGAAGCGACATCTCAACCTTGGGCAAGAGCGGGTGGAAAAGGGAAACCATGCCGGAGCTGAGACGCACTTCCGAAAAGCCATTACCCTGATGGAAAAGCACGACTTTGACGGGAGGATATCGTTGCATCCAGCAGACGTTGTCTTAATGCTGGCTGACACATGTGTCAAACAGGAAAAGCTTGACGAAGCTATAAGCCTGCTGAAACCCGTAGCTGGTATGCGCGAGGATATATTCCCAGCTACAACGGAGGCGACAGAAGCTAAAACAAGATTGCCATCGCCCCCTTATCAACAAGTCGACAAGTTCCAGGCTCTGGCCGCAAGTCATATGCTGGGTCAAGTTTTTATGCTCAAGTCAGACTACGACTCGGCCGAAGACCACGCACTGAAAGCATTCATGGAACGAAGAAAAGAGCTCGGTCCACAAGATGCAAAGACTTTGGAATCAGTGCAATTGGTCATAGACATTTATCGAGCTCAAGGCGATGAGGAGGAAGCCGAAGGATACGAAGTGTTCCTTCTACCTCCGGAGAAGCCCCCCAGAAATCTGCCTCGCGAGCCGTCGACCTCTTCTTTCGAGGAACCGCTGCTGGTACAGAAGACGATCGCATTTGAGAGCAAGGCTCCACCCGTGCAGCCACAGACCAACCACCGCAATAGTCGTTCCAGTTTCGCGCAGCGGCTTCGACACCTCGGACGATCACCTCAGTCTTCGTACACCCAATCTCCTCCAGCTGTAGACCTTCACAGGCTATCGATATCGAGGTCTACGACACTGAACGACAACCTGCAGGATATCGATGCCGACCAATCTCGTATCGACTGCTTGAGGAGCTTCAGTTCGCCTTCGGACTCCTCCACTCACGACCGAAGCATGTCAATCTACGACGATGACTCTGTCAACACTCCCTCCACCGGCATCATCGAGCGATCGAGCCGGACCATCGAGCCTACCTTCCTGGCCATCTCGCAGTTGTGTGCGGAGAAGAAGGTCGATCGCGCCGCCAAAGTAGCGCTGCAATTTCTAGACACTTACCACTCCAACGTCATGGTGATCCGCAAGATGGAAATGGAGAAGAACATCCGCCGTGGTAGCGGACAGGGCCTGGCCCGGACGGGTCGTGGCTATGCGCCCTTGCATTTCTTCTGCGAACTAAAGGAGGAGCACGCAGAAGAGGTGCACTTGCTGATCCGACAAGGAGTCAACGTCAACGCCGTTGCTTATCAAGCTGGCTACACCGAGTCCAATCCTAAAAACGCGTTTACGGCGCTACAAGCTGCCACCGACCGGGGTTACTCGACCATCACCTCCCTCTTACTCGCTTGTAAAGGTATCAGGACGGAAGTCCGGAACACGGACGGCCTGACACCGCTCATGGTCGCATGCCGACGTGGCCATTATCCCATCGTCAAACAATTGCTCGGCTTTCCCCTTCCCACCGAGTTTCCGCATTGGCATGGGAATACCCTGCTCCACGATGCAGCTCGACGCTGCGACCCGAGACTGGTAGAAATGCTGATCGATTTCCACCCCGACCTCGATGCTCGAGATACATTCGGCAAGACGGCCTTGATGCACGCGCTCACGTTGGACGATGTCATCGACGAAGCGGAACGGAAGAAGAGAGATAGAGGCAGGTGCAAGACGGTGAAAGTACTGCTCGAGGCAGGGGCAGATCCAACGCTTAGGGACAATCGTACGAACCTAGGTATTAGGGATTCTGCGGCAAAGTCAAAGGATCCAGATTTATTGGCGTTGCTTGATCGCGTTCCCAGGATGGGTGTGAGTGAATTGCTGGCTTGATTTCCTTTTTCTGCGTATTGTGAGATACCTATTAGGGAGCATACGATTATGGCTTGTGATGTTCTGAATGTGTGAAATATGATGTTGAGGATCAGACATTTCGTAACAGCTAGGTAGATACCACCAGCACTCGGTATGAGCTATCTATCTGAGGTTCGGGGTGCACTACCTTATATATGGTACTATGTATTGAGTGACCTCTAGAGATATTTGTTTTGCACAGCCACATTTCTTCAGCCACATTCTTCTCCTGTGCGCCACAGTTACGTCATCTAACTCAATGGTGTTTCTTTTTGCCCAGTTTGTTTCATCATGCGCCCGTCACCTGCTTCCCAGGCATAAATAAAGACCTGGCCTTTGCTATCATACTATCGCATCCCATCTCGTTGTACTCTCAAACCTCCAAAGAGACTACTGGACATCAACTGATCACCACCACTTCTTCGAATCGATCATATCGCTGTGAAAAGAGCAACAAACCATCACCATGTCGGACGCAGCTCCCGCCCTCTTAATCGTCCTCATCACCATACTTCTCCCTCCCGTGGGTGTCGCCATGGTCGCTGGATGCGGATTTGATCTCTTTGTCAACATCTGTCTGACCCTTCTCGGTTACATCCCGGGCCACATCCACGCCTTTTACATCGAATACGTCTACTTTGACCGTCGCGACCGCGCGAGACACGGACAGCTCACCGGTCGTCCAGCGCCAGGCGTCTACTCTGATCGGGTCCAGAGCGGCGGCATTCAAGGCTACGGGACTATCTAGGAGAGGTCCCGAGGTGGAAAGAAGAAGAAGACGACGACGACGGGAAATGAAATCGCGGTTGAGGGGCCGCCTTTGCCAACAAACTAGAATCGATAAGATCGTGCGAGGCTCAAATGCATCTCAAAATGACACGCAGCTAACTAGTGCTGCTATGACGGCGTGGACGGCGTTTCGGTTTGGAAGGAGACGACAGGAGAATGGACGATGGAAAATTCAACCACTCTAGTCCAAAGCCTTGTATTCGGTGCAAGACGGGCAAAGCTCGGGCTGGCATGTAAATCTTAAGAGAGAGTTGGGAGCATGGGTCCAACAGTTGTATCCATTGATGGGTTTCAAGAGAGGAGAAAATTACAAGAAAAATTCCAGACGAGTGTGATCTTTTGTGTGTATAGTAGTATAGTAAGCTTTGAAGTGCCGGTCGACTAGTAATGTGTAGATAATTAGGCAAGAAAGAATTCATTGGGTGGTCATTCCGTCTTCCGTATCTAGTCCTCGTAGTAAGCATAGTGAGGGACGATGAGTTACTCGTCCTCGTAATAGATGCATCTGGAGTTCCAAGGGTGAGGTAAGGCTTCGCTCCATCAGGCGGAACGAACGCACCACAACAAACCACCAGGTGGAGGAGGAGGGACATGGTCAAGGCTGGCAGTGATTTCATCCTTCGAGACGCTGATCCAATTGATTCTCTACGAACTTTGGAACTACTGCACATACATACGACAGGGCAAGGACTCCATCAGATCTTTCAGGGGCAAAAAATCAACTTCGTGGGCCCGTCGAAGCTCCTCAGACACCAATGATCACGCCAATCTCGGGCCCGCTCACCGAGAGACGATTGGTATGAGATGTGGCGCAGAGTTACGCTGTACCACCAGCATGTCTCAAATTTCTATCGTAAGGTTTGTGAAGTCGACCACTTTACTATACGGTTCGGAGGAGTTGGGCCAAGTCAGTGATTGAAGGGATATCAAGAAGCTGACAGTTTTTCATCCGACAAAATCATCTTCTTTTTCTTCTTTTCCTATCTTTTTTTCACCTTTTGAATTTTGACGCGGACGGCATTTCAGACTCAAGTTTGAGGCCATGCTCTCAAGTCGCCCGCCGCCTTCATCACCACCTGATTGAGATTTATTTCTCTTTTCCAGCCTCTCGACGATCACAACAACAACAATTAACGATAACGAACTCGGATCAGAGCTCAGTTTCTCGCGCGCGGTTTCCGTCTGGCACGACCTGTCCATGTCGCGCCCGGACCTTGTTGAACTCTCTAGTCCTTCTTATTACTCAAACCCATATCTCTCTAGTTCTGGTGGCTATGGCTCCAGGAGCGGTCACCATTCGCCAGCCAGGTCATTCGGCTTCGGTCGAAAAGCTGCATCCGTCGTATACGACCCTATCCTCACGCCACAAGATGAATACGACAGCCGAGGGTTGAGACCAGGTTTCGATCGCCCTCCACCCGCATCTACCGACCTTGGAACGGGCAGGGTTGGCAAGTTCGGGGTGGACTTGATCTTGGAAGTCGCCCTCTGCACATTCGCTGTGGGTGCTGCTGTTCCGTTCATCTGGTTGGCAGTGGTGGTTTCAAAGTACGACGGTGACCCAGTGACGGAGCACAAAACGAACTATGTCCGACAAGCCACGAGCACGGTACGCATCTCCATCATCACGACCGTGTACGGAGTCCGGATTTGATAAATTGACCCGACTGACTTAATCCTTTGTTTGTCTAGATTTCTACTTTGTTCACCATCCTCTTTGCCGCTGTCCTCGGATCGACACTGAAACGTTTCGCAACATGGCGCTTGGAAAAGGGGATCCGGCTTGGCCTGTTGGAGCAAATCATGCAGAGCAGGACCGTGTTCTCGGCCTTCACGACTCAACTGTCTTTGCGAAATGTCAATGTCATGTCCCTCGTGCTGCTGGTGTGCTGGACGTGCTCGCCTCTGGGCTCCCAGGCGTCGCTGCGCCTGTTCTCGACTGGCATCGATCTGAAGACGAGCAGCGGTCTGGTCGACTATCCCGACACCATAACCAATCAAGTCTTTGACGGCGTGTCCAGCGTCGACTCACTCCTGACGGCTCTCAAACCTACTTACATCAGCTCCATATTGGCTTCGAACGCCATGAAGTCCGGCACGATGGACCTCTGGGGCAACGTCAGAATTCCCTGGCTCGACGGAACCCTACCCCAAACCCAAGACGGCTGGACCGATCTTTCCAACATTAACATCCCGGAGGGCATGTACTCTTCTCTGGTCGGTCTGCCGGTTGCGTCGCTGGCGAACCGCAATTCTACGTTCGGCGTCGAAACCACGTACATGAGCCTCGACTGCAAGACGTCGCAGCCCGACGAACTCGTCGACATCAACTACAACGTGACGGCGGGCAACGGCACGTTCCTCGGCGCCAACGCCACGAGCCTCGAGACGGCCGAAGTCATCTACCCCTTTTGGCGTGTGGCCATGGACCAATTCGTCAACAACAACCTCTACTTTTACGGTTATCCGGAACTTTTGGTCAACGTGACGGACAACGACCTCCCACAGGCGACCTTTTTGTTCCAGACACGCGGGCCGTGGGTGGCGCGTTGCAAAATCAACCAGATGTATGTCGAGAGCAACGTATCGTGCCGGACAACGACGAGGCATTCGAGTGTATCGTCGTCGTCGTCGTCGTCGTCAGACCTCAATGACGAGGGCGGCAACACTCTTCTGCCAAGCTGCGCGGTCGTGGCACAACGCAAATCCGTGAGGCACCACTCCCCTTCCACGGTCACGACTTTTAGTTTTCCGACCACGTTTGACATGATGGCTTCGCACTGGATCATGGCGACCGACCCGCTCTTGAGTTCGGCTTACTCCAGCCTGAGCGAGTACTACCTGCAAAACACTTCGGCTGGATTCATCCTCAGTGGCAACAGTCGTAACTACGCGGATTACACCAACGTGTCCGACACGGAATTTTCGCACCGCCTCGCCCAACTCGCCAACACTTGGGTGTTGGCCGCTCAGGTCTCGGCCGACACCATGTCATTTCCGGACCTGAACCGCCGCCAGGTGGGTGTGATCTACACCGACGCAGAGGCCGTGTACGTCGTTTCGAGGCCCTGGCTGGCAGTCTACTGCACCTGCACGGCCGTCATGGTTCTCGCGGCCCTCGTCGGCATAGCCTGCGTCATCAACACCACCGTCCCGGACGTGTTAGGGTATTCTTCCACCCTCACTCGCGATAGTAGGTTCTTTGACTTCGCAAGAGGGGGGAGTACTCTAGACGGTATCACTCGTACCAAATTGTTGAGTCATGTACGATTGAAAATGGGCGAGACTCGAGCAAAACCAAGCCCAAACGATGATGACCAATACGACGACCCTCGGTCAGGCGGAACAGGAGTAGGGGGATCAGGAGCAAGTGACTCTCACTCTCAATTTCGGAATGACTTTGTCAATGACTTTACTTATAATCCTACCCCTGACAGATCTGCTGGCAAGGCGTCATCGTCACTCGCAATTGCTCCGCCAGAGTATCTGACAGGCTCGCCAAAAAGGGGCATGCTTTATTCTTGACGGTGCACATGTACCCGTACTGTTGTCCATGAAGGACGAGAGCCTGAAAAGAAAAAAAAACCATGGCTTTTGGAATCCAAAGTTATAACGTCGCAGATTGCTGCCTAATAATTGCATTACACTACATTGAAACGAAATGAACTGAACGAGATAAAATAAAGGGCGGGGTCCTGGAAACAAATATATAGAGTCATTTGTACAGTACAGTATACTATAATATTTGTTCACCTAATCACTTCTGCTCGTTTCAAGGAGTCAACGCAACGAGTATGCTCCGAGAACCCGAGGTTGAAGTTCGTCATGAAAACAACTCGAATCGAGTGGTGATGCCAGGTGAGGCGGCCAAGAATTGAGCTGGCTGGTGGTGGTGGTATAAGTCCTATAGTTTGCGGTCGACCAAGATCGTGGTCTCAGCCAGGGCCAAATGCATCCCCATAGACATCCCATAGTACAATGAAACCAGGTGGTGTGCTGGACATCTGGAGCAAGGTAAGGTAGAATCTATCTATCTACCTTCAGGTATCTTACTCTACGGAGTACGAGTCCGAAGTATTTAAACGGTCACGTGGGTACCGTCTTGGCGTAGCGACGCGCGCCTCTTCGTGGAACGCGTTTTCGCGTCTCTACAATTCCCAGCATTCACCAGGGTTGCTAGGCACGCCGCTCCTCAACTGCATATGCATTCACTGCCTCCCTTTGTAGGAGATTCGATATAACGACTCTTGTACTCCTTTGTCTTTGTATCAAATTGTTGTACGGCACTATGGAACCTCAACCTTCCACCATGGCGTGCGTGCCTTCCCATCCACCTCCGCACCTCACACCTTCCAAGAAACGAAAATACGAGGGCGACTTCGTCGACGCCCCTTCCTCCACATCACCACCATTAGACTTCCAAAGCACTCCTGTGACTCGCTCACGTTCTGTTTCCCCTGCCCTCAGCACCGCCAGCACGCCTTTGACTGAGTTGGGGTCCACCCCTGTTATAAGTCCTTCCAAACCCGAGATGGCACCCTCCGATTCCAAGAAACGCAAACTCACCTTTGCTGAACGTGAAGTCGAGAGAGCACTGAAGAGGCAGGAGAAAGAAGAAAAGGAACGACAAAAGGCGGAGTCGAAAGCCAAGAAGGAAGAAGAGAAGAAGCAGAAAGAGGTAGAAAAGAAACGTAGGGAAGAAGAGAAGAAGCAAAAAGACGAAGAAAAGAAGCGGAAGGAAGAGGAGAAGAAGGCCAAAGATGCCGTCAAGGAGGAGAAACAGCGTCAGAAAGACGCCATCAAGGCCGAGAAGGAAGCAGAGAAAGGACGAAAAGCTGCCGAGGCCTTGAAGAAGGAGAGAGTATGCTACCCTTGAATTTGTCTAGAACCAAAGCTAACTTGCCCAGTCACAAATGCGTATTGGCGCTTTCTTTGGCCGTCCAGCTGCAGCATCTACGCCTCCTGACAGTGCAGATGATGTCTCAATGGGAACGCGGAGTCGACGATCTTCAGTTGCCTCGCTCGATATGGCACCACCACTCATCGAAACCAAGATTCGTGAACCAGCAAATCCAGAATTCAACAAGTGGATTCTGCCGTTCTTTGTCAGTGAAAACATGGAACTGGCCCCATTCAATCGCTTCCACAAGTCAACAACCGATGCCAATCTACCTCTCAATCAGGGCATTACACCAGACAAGGTCAACAAGCAATTCCGCAAACGTAGACGGGCCGCACAAATCAAGCCTGTCAGAGCGATTTTGGAGGAAATGAATGACTCGGCAGAAACAGCCTCTGCTCTTTCGGACTCCAAGGACCCCTTCACGACGATCCCAACTAAATACCTCTACTTCCATCAAGATGTTCGGCCAGCATACCAGGGGACTTATACAAGAGTTGTCTCGCCTCGAACTAGTCGCAAGATTGCCGTCAACCCGACTCATCGGGGTTTGCCAAACACAGATTATGACTACGACAGCGAGGCTGAATGGCAAGAACCTGAAGAGGGCGATGTGGACCTAATGGACGAGGATGAGAAGTCCGAAGATGAAGATGCAGATGAAGAGATGGACGATTTTCTTGACGACGAAAACGACATGTTGAAGCGACAGACGGTATCTGAAATGGAGCCCAAATCGAGTGGATTGTGCTGGCAAGGCACGCACATATCACCGAAAGAAGGACTCGACCTCTCAGTCTATCGGATCGATGTCTTGCACGATTCAACCACGTTTCCCATTGATCCGTTCTCGACAAAGCACTGGTCTGATGTAGGCAAGCCGTCACCTAGCAAACGGGAGAAAACTCATACGATGAATACACAAACGCCGATGCAGCCTCCGAGGCTGCCACTGATGGCGGTTGACCCTAATAGTGGAAACTTGACTCTATCTTCAGTTCAACCGGACAACACGCACGACCACGCTGGAAAGAAACTAGCACATGCCAAAGCCAAATCTGACAAACCGATCAAATTGATTGATACAAACCTGTTGCCAGCATTCAAAAGTGCCGTATCAGGAAGTACCCTGACGAAGATCGGCTTGGTAGAAGTGCTGAAACAGCAATTCCCCAAATGTGCCAAAGATGCCATTAAGAACACTCTCGAGTCTGTTGCCACCAGGCAAGGAACGAAAGAGGCAGAGAAGAAGTGGGTCTTGACCGACTAGGAGAAGCTGTGATGGCACTCTTCGGCGAGATGAGCATGAAGACCTTGTTAAATATCATGTGGAGGACCACAAAATGGCAGACACTTGTCCTGAGGATGCTCAACACTACACGATGTAATTGCAAGCAGTATCGATACGAGAACAGCGAGATTACAGTATGGTGCCTCACTTTATAGAAGAGCTTATGCCTCACTCCATAACTTAATCGATTAACGACATTGCCCTGTTCAAGATCTAGCCTGTTGGCAGCATCCTAGTTCAACCACTGCCAGGTGTATATACTACATTGGCACACAGAGGGCTGTCGGAGATGTCCATTAATTATTACCCTCGTACTGGATCGTCGTAACGGGCATTGAGACATCATTGGCCAAGGCGTAGCGGCGTTCCCCAGCAGCGTACTTCATACTTGGGGGGAGTCCGATCGAGCATTCTGTTGACTGATGCGGACACACCTTGAGTATATAGGACATTCTGGCAGCAAAGGGCATTTCGAAAAGGGCGATTGTTGCATCTTCAGTGGTATCCATTCGTACCTGCGATCAACCTATTCGGATATAATCCACTCCCCCCCAATTCCATCTCTTGAGCAAACTTGTCTGGATACGGAGAAAGCACGACTTTTTCTGTGAATCAAGAACATCTCATACATCGTCACGAGCAGAAAGTGATCAAGATGGGCGATGCCGGCCCTTCTTCTCCTTCGCTGTTGACAGGCCGAGCGGGCCTCCCGTCAGCCAACCCGACCGAATCATTTTGGCAGACATCACACCCAAATGCGCTGGCGGACCACCGCTCGACGGCCGCTCTCCCTGACGGTGCCGACGTCGTGGTCATCGGGACGGGCATCTCGGGGACTTTTGCCACGCATGAGCTACTCACCAGGGCGGCGGCCGCCGCAGCGACTGACACGGACCACGCAGCTCTTGATGTCGTGGTCCTCGAAGCCCGCACGACGTGTTCGGCCGCCACGGGCCGCAACGGCGGACACTGTCAGCCCCTGGTGCACGCGGAGCGGTCGGCCATCATCGACTTTGAGATGCGCAACTACGAGCACATCCGGGAACTGGTCGAGCGGCACGACGTGCCGTGCGACTTTCGTCGGATCCCGGGCGTCTTGGGGTTCTGGAACAGGACGTACTTTGACGAGGCCAAGGCCGCGTTGGACTCCGCTCTCGTCACGGCCGAGCACAGGAGCCTGGTCAAGGTGGTGGAGGGGCCTGAGGAACTCGAAAGGCTCAGGTTGACGGGAGGCGTGGTGGGGGCCATCGTCCAGACCGTCGCGGCGAGTTTGAGTCCTTACAAGCTCATGGTTTGGCTTTGGGACCGGATGGTCCAAGAATATGAGAGGGAGAAGAAGAGTGAAGAAGGAGGAGGAGGAGGAGGTGGAGCAAGGTCCCCGACAAAACAGGTGACTCTGAATTTGCAGACCAACACGCCCGTCACGAGCATCGAAAAAGTGCAAGGAGGGGACGGCGGGGTCGGGTGGACGGTCAAGACGGGCAGGGGGAATGTGCGAGCGAAACATGTCGTCCTCGCCACGAACGGATACACGTCGCACCTGGTGCCGGAGTTTGAGGGCCTGATCTCGCCCGTGCAAGCTCAGATGTCGGCGTTGTTACCCCCGGACGGTTCGCCATTCAGAGAGCACTTGATGCCCGTGAGTTACGGGATGATGGGAGTCGAGGGTCAAGACAGGGTCATGAGTGATTACCTTGTCCAGAATCCGATTTTGCCACCATCAGGTGAGGACGTGGTCGCGGTCGGACGCGGCGGACACCTCATGTTTGGAGGCGGACGAGCGCAGGCCAGGGGACACGGGGTGGGCGTGAGTGACGACGACTATGTCGATGCCGACGCAGAGATTTATCTGAGGAGTTTACCCGAACGGTTGAACCTGGTGGAGGCCGATGCGTCGACGGCGGCGGGCACGAGCAAGGGCGGACTGCTGGACATCGCGGCCTCCTGGACGGGGATCATCGGGAGCTCGGCGGATGGCCATCCTTGGGTCGGAGGTGTGCCGGGCCAGGATGGTCTGTTCGTGGCGGCCGGCTACAGCGGTCATGGCATGACGAACGCCGCACTGTGCGGCAGACACGTTGCGCAGTTGGCGCTGACGAGCTTGAACGAGGGACGAGACTGGAAGGCTCTGCAGGCCCAAGGGGTGGAACTCGCCGAGCAAGGCAACGGTGGTGGTGGTGGTGTGCCGAGGGAGTACGTGATCACTCAACAAAGGATGGATGCAGCTCGGGGACCAAGGCACTGAGTGGTGGTGTACGGCAAGCCTGTAGAATGCCTATAGACATTAGATACTGCGAGCTATCATATCATCTTCCACCTCCATCTCTGGCAAGGTCACCACCACCACCACCATTCAGCCGTTCTATTTCCTTTTCTCGCATTGTACTCAGCCGTCCATATGTCAATGGTAACGCGCCCCTTGGTCTGTAGAAGCTAATCCCGTAGGCGAAAATGACAAAGATCGCCCAGGCAGCCGTGAGGTATGCCGTCTGTGGCGCCCGCATCGCCATGCCCTGAGCATAATCCACACTCAGACATATCGCAAAGAACCAATGTAGGACGGGTTTGAACAACAACAAAACAGCATTCGGCGGCGATCGGAGCGGTGCCATGACGGAACTGAGCGACGACCAACTTGTGCTTCCGCAAGCTGAAGATTTCTGCCACGTGGCCTCGTCACGCAGCATGAGGACTTGGAGCTCGGCGCTGTGGAGGCCGATGGTGACGAGGGACTGGAGAACGACGTAGAGCAGGAGAATCCCGAAAAGATTGGATTCGGACACGTAGTCGGGGCCCAAGGTGCCGCCGCGGTTTTCGTACACCTCGTTGTGGACCTTGAAGAACTTGAGAAAGATGGTCATCGTGTTGGGATCCTCGTCGTCGTCGCCGTTGGTCGAGGTGGGAAAGAATGCCCAGCTGCCACGCGGCTGATTGCGGATACCGTAGGGGATGAGCAGAGCCGTCCAGACCATGAATGCGAGGAACACAACCGTCACGATGGCAAGGGCAAGACGCACCCTAGGGTGCGAGGCGTAGGGAGACCGTCTCTTGTCGGAGCGCGAAGGTCTCGCTTCAGATGTCCCGGATTGGGCAATCAGCTCATCACCGCGCAATCCGAACGCTGCCAGAGTCGTGAGTGGACTCGAATCCCAACTGGCGAATGTCTGGCTTTGCAGACACCATATCGACAGAGCGCATTGAATTAGTATTGCGAAGCCCAGACTCAAAGGTCCAACACGACTGAAGTTTGCGTCGTGGCTATGTTTTTCCCATTCATCGGCCAATGATCCCAGAGCTTCCGCCCGGATCACATAAGTGTTGCGCACGACAACGACGGACGCAGCTCCGTAACAGAACGACAGTGTGATGAAATAAGCAATGTTGGCCAGGAGTCCGTTTGCAGGGGTTTCTTTGGCCACCGTGAGGAGACGGAGACTGCTATTGAAGTCGAGTCTACCTTCGTGGTAGAGTGCCCATCTCAGTGAAAGACTATGTATCTGTTCGAATGATGCTGGGTTAGAAGGTGAAAATCGCATTGGGCAGTTCGAGTAACCTCCAGAAATCAAATGGGTCTGCTCCAGGCGTAAGAGGGCACCGAGAACTGAGCCATATACAATACTTACATAGCCATTGATTTCCGTCACAATGAGCACTGCAAAGTCGATGCCGAGGGTGAGCAGCTCCAAGCCTACTGGTGAAAATGCAATGACATCGTCTTCGCCGTTGAATCTGTGCGGTACAATGCAACCCAGGAGAAAGAAAATGACTCCAACCAAGACGCTGAAGCCTAAGCCAACCAAGCAAACCTTCCTTGTACCTGAGCCCTTCTCGTATGTCACTTCAGTCGTCGTCTGCAATGCCTGTTGGCCGATATTTGTCATTTCATGATATTCGGCTTGTGAGTGCATTGTTCTGGAGTCAAGGAGCCTGAATGATGGAATTTCATGGGGAGCCAGGCCGATGTATTCGTGAACTCTTCACGAGCGGACCACTCTTGTAAGTCCAAATTATGTGGGAAAGAAAGGTCCATGTAATCTGGTGCCTTCGAAAAGACCAATTCCGGAGTTGACTGTGCTAGCATTCAGCATGATCTGGGGTCGAAGTGGGAAGCTAGCTGCTAGAGCGCCTCGGGAGGGATATCCCAGGGCAGACTTTCAAAATGTGGTGAGTACCCATGGTGATTTGGGAAGTAGGCGTCACACTTGTAGTACGTGGGTGACATCGCGTCTGCAGAAAGACCAGGGTTGTGAAACCTGTGCCAAAGACCATTCGAAGCTTATGAGCCGGAAATGATACACGATCGTACTCGCAGAGTGGGTGGCCTTCACCTTGTTCTTCGTTTTGAGCCTCACCGGTTTTAATTCTATATCGACATTCGACAATTGTCGGAGACCCTAAAACACGAGATGCAGAGTACATGGCGACAATTTGTCCTACGCTCTTAGAGGGCTGTATTGGCCTTGGATGAGGTAAGGAAGAATTGCATGATCTTATTCATGCTTCACCGTATAGAAATGTACTGTAGCCGCCAAGACTCCCGATATGCAACTCCTCCGATTGGTTGCGCCCTCCAAAGCTCAATGACCTCCAGATTCATCGAGCAACACATACAATTGTACGAGCCTCTACTCCTCGACTCCCACCACAATGTCTTCCCTAGTCCCCTCGCTGCGGGCGAAAGTCCCTCGAATTCTATCACGAACAACATGCCGTCCCATATCTGCCTCAGCTCGCCTCCTTCGCCAGGGTCCCGGTACAGGCGAGAACTTTCAACAAGCCAACGATCCCCAATCGCGGAAACTCACTCCCAATGTATCAAAGACCGACGAAACCCCTGTGGACTCCATGGGTGCTTCAGATGCGCCATTGCAAGAAATGGTTACTGATGGCGAGAGGGCAAGACAATTACAAGCACCCAACAGAGCCAAACCCTGGTCTCGGAGCCAAATGCCCAGAGAGCTCGCAATGACAGGACCAAGATTTGAACAGACGATTATTGAATCCCAGGTAGGCATGCCGGTACGCGTAAAGAGATGGAAGAATGTACTGAGAAACATCTCATAGCCTGCTCCCTATGCCGCGATCGAGCTCATCCATAAACAACCCGTTCGATGGGTAGACGATAAACGGGTAGCATGTGACGGCGGTGGCGGTCCATTGGGACACCCAAAGATCTATATCAACGTGGACAAGCCACAAATCTGTTGGTGCACCTACTGCGGATTGCCATATGTAAGGAAGGACCCGGAGAAATCTCTTGTCGCATGGCATCCTTGCTAACAAAGAACAGGCTAAAAAGGAGCACAAAAAACACCTCGAATCGCTACCGAGCACAACTTACCCATTAGCACCAACAGGCGATCCTATGGAAGTGCAGATGCCGGCTACCCCTAGTCAAAAGGGGGAGATCCAGGGGCAGTATCCTCATGTTAGAGGAGAGCATCTGGCCGAGTCTTTGGGTGAAACGACATTTGAGCAAAGATGATTTCTGACGAATGGGTGTATTGTACATATTGCGGAACTGAGGTCTCAATAAAAGACTGGAGTTGTATGAGGTTGTGTGGCCTTGATACTGATCTTTCCACGACGGGAATTTCGCGGCCCAGCACAATGACACAGAACTTGCGACACAAAAGTGATCGCTACAGGTCGATCTATGAAGTCTGTGTTGCCTGACTCGATCTTGGCCGTTCGAAGATAGAGATGAAAGAAGTCTCGTTACAAAGTCCTTGTCCTTTTCTGTTCTTACCGAGTTGATGTGCCAGGATGAGACCCGTCTGGGTTTTGCACTTGCTAACAACAAACATCTGCTGCTAACATACACTTAGATGGGACATATTTGAGCCGTGACTGGCTCGTTGATCATTGCCTGTAAACAGAAGGAGCAGAAGCAACATGATCTTGCTGCAAATAGGCCCTGACATCACACCAAGTCTCTCCCTGACGTTATGGACTATGATCAGACTTCCACCCGCCCATGTGTCATGCTTGTCAATCACCACGATTCAGCCATTTGTCTTGTATTCGCTCAAGTCCGTAGAGCCCGGCTTCCTCCGTTCAAAAGGTGGAAACTAACAAAAGAAACAAAGCAGAGGCGTAGCTACACTTTTGTATCATCACTTTGGAGCAAGTGTATCTCGAGATCAACTTTCCCACTGGAATCTCAGGCATAGCTCTTTCCTCAGGAGTAAACACCAAACATGCCTTACACTCGCGAAGCCGTCTGGGCTCCGAATGCGCCAAAGCCGAACGGGAAATATAGTCACGTCGTCAAATCGAAAAGTGGCATGGTATACCTAGCAGGATGGATGGGTGACGATCCGGAAACAGGCAAGATTGTATCGGGGGGAATTGAGGCTCAAACGGTAGGCAGGCATTATTGACCACGTCTTACAAAGTCCCCTCCCCTCACTGACTTCCATCGTCAAAGGGGGTTGACTGTTTTCGAGAATGAGTGGGATGTTGACTGGTCCCCGAGTAGGAGCGTGTAATTCTCAACATCAGGGCCTGCCTTGAGGCTTGCGGGTTGACTTTTGACAATATCATCTCGAGAAGAATTTACATCATCCCAATGCAAGATTACAAAAAGGTCCTGGGTGTATGGGATAAGTATGTCACCATCGATGCATGACAACGCTTTCTTTCTTGCTCATAGCTGATGGGACAATTAGGTATTTCGAGGAGCCATATCCTGTATCAACGCTGATTGGGGTACGTCGTCTATTCCCGAATATTGATCTCATGACACTTCACAGGATATATTGACTTGGTTGTACAGGTGACATCTCTCGCGAAAGAAGATGCTTTGGTAGAGATTGAAGTGGTGGCAGAACAATAGTTCCCTTCGTAAACGGAGGCATCTGAGGAACAGACAATTAGATCGATATTATCGACAAAGATCATGCTATTCAATGTCGTCTCCTGTGCCTTGACTCTGCTTGGTGTTTGTAAGTCGTATATCTACGGCAAATTGTTCAAAAAGCGGCGATATAGTGGGGAGTGCCTCAAGTGGACATTCTGACGTATGTTAGTTTTGTCCATGTGAACCACATCAACTTTTTATTTAATCGATATGCCTACGACGACGACGACGAGTCTTACCGATTCGAAATACTTTACCGTCACTTGCGTCTTCATACTGCTACTCGCTTTGTTCCCCGGTCTACCACAGTTTCTCGTCGGACTACCACTCTGCGCCTTGAACCTAGCCATTTCAGCAACAACCCGTCAATCCTCTTCTTCATCTTCATCATCGTCGCCCATCGTCAGTTGTCCTTTGAATAGCCTCAACAACGACAACATGTCTACTTCTTGGTTCCAAAAGACCTTCACCCTACCCTCCAAGTCCAGAGGCTCGTACCTGATCACCGACCATGTCGAGTCCTCTCTGCCCGAGATCAAGGACTACAAAGTCGGTATCCTGAACCTCTTCATCCAACACACGTCGTGTGCTCTGTCGTTGAATGAAAACTGGGATTCCGACGTGAGGGAGGACATGAGCGACGCCCTGGACAGAATTGCTCCTGAGGATCGAAAGGGTAACCTTTACCGACACTCTGCCGAAGGTTTGGATGATATGCCGGTGCGTTCCAAATCATACACCTTCCCGACTTGAGAGATAGAGACGGCGCGCCCCTTGTTCGTGACTTGTTCAGTTAACAGCTAACTGTCATCCATAGGCACATATAAAATCAGCATTGGTGGGGGCGAGTGTGACGATCCCCATCACCGACGGTACATTGAACACTGGCACGTGGCAAGGGATTTGGTATCTAGAATTTCGGGCTTCGAAACACACGAGGAAAGTGGTTGCCACGATTCAAGGAGAGAAACGATGAGAAGAGGCACAGTCGTCCTCAACTTCTCCAAAGTTGGTATTGCAGAATCACAATGTCTAGCTAGAATCAGCTAGAAAATCAAAAATAATCCCGACTTGAGAAGGAAATCGGCTTTCTTTGAAACAAAAAAAAGGAGAGGAAGTGAGGTGACATGTTATTATTGTCCTGGGCAAAGGGGGGCAAGGGAGGCAGAAGAAGAGGGGAAAGGTTATACAATACACGTTGTGTTTCTTCTCTTTTGTTTTTGGTTGGCTGTCCATCACATAAGCCCATGTGATTTCACTCTGAGCCATCATTGAAGGGTCTTGGTGATTGTTGAGGAAAGATTCACGGGATCAATTGATGGTCGAGTGTTTGTTTGCGAGGCTGGCCAGCGTGCGAATTCATCTACACTGCCCGATAGACTGGTATATGTACATCCTCAAGCCTCAGCCAAGATAACCCAGATCAAAGATAGCCTTATCGCCCGTTTCTACCCTGCGCCGGATAGTAGGTATGCGGAAATGATGTACAGTACTGTCTATCCATCATTTCTTGACTTGTGACCGCTTCCCACTCCAGACCAGCCATGCCATTACCATGCAGCCCTTGACGCCCGTGGCAATCCACAGTGCCCCAGAGTAACCTATCGACGTCTTGATCAAAGCTCCAGACACCGTCGCCCCGCAGAACAAAAAGACCGCTCCCAATGCCCGCCTGTTTCGATCCGGATCCTGGAGTAGTCCCGCCGTGAACAGGTCCGGGTCGCTCATCAGATCACAAAACAGGCTCGTCAAGACCACTGTCGGCAAGGCATTGTACTTGAGCATCCGGCTTGCGACGATTTGCCCTGCACTCTGGAATGCCAGCAGGGCGATCGGACAGAGTTCGTACCAAGGGAACCTGCCTCGTCCGTCCACGGTCTCGGCGAGTTCTGTCTTTGCAACTACGTCCCCAGATATCAACGACGCCGTGATGATCATGAACATGGTCTGAATGAGGAAGGATGAGGTGATGACCCATCGTCTGAGCGGTCCGAGGTGTCGATGGAATCTGGAGAAGAACAATGCGCCGAGACAAAATGACAGGATGGCGGCCAAGGATTTCGTCCAAGTGTACTTTGGGATCGTGCTGGGTAAATCGCTGACTCCGAGACCGGCAAAGATAGTGTTACCTGTCCCACGGGGGTTAGTCGAGCACTGGACGACGTGAAACCTTTGGTGGGAACATACCAGTTTGCATCCCAACGAAACAGTCCCAGGTGTTGAAGGCTATAGAGTCAACCATTCCCGTCGTGAAGAAACATGCCAGCAGGATCGTGTCCGCCCACGCCGGGTCGATATCCTGCGCGAACCGCAATCGCAACCTCGTCGTCCAAGGTAGACTGTCGAGTGGTAACTCCTTCGAGGGCTCCATGGTCTGGGGAACATCCCCCGACAGAGGAGTGTCCATGTTTCTTTGATCACTTTCGGGATATGAAGGTGTTGTGATCTGAAGGTGACGAGATTTTCACAAAGATAAGGAGAAGGAAAGATCCTCTCACCTGGCGGTGTCCATTATTGATAAGTTCTAATATGTTAATTTTTGGGTGTACCTCAGTTTTTCTTTTCTTCCATGTGCAATGGCGCAAGGCCATGTCCGATGGACTAACATCAGCCTCTTTTTATCGGCGACTCCATCGCCACGAGAAAAAAATTGGCATTTGATAGGAAAAGGTGATTATCGTGAGCTCCAGCCTTATCAAATGAGAGATTAAAAGCCTTGTCTTCGGTAAAACGTTTAACCTTCCGCTCGCTTTAGCCTTTAATCTGTACCCTGCGGATAATGGACTTGTACTGTAGCCATTTCTTTTTGGAGCCATATCACAATGCACTCATTTCTCCACGCGTTAACAATTTTCCCACGTCAAATGTTTATCAGTATTGCTTAATTCGGTCCTTGGTATCCGTTACGAGCACGGTTTCATACGGTCGCAACACAGTCCGAGAATCGGGGCCACTTGTGGTACACTGAGCGGTGTTTGTTGCGATTGATGTTGTCGACGACTTACCCGCCCTTGTCCACGGTGTGAAGAAAGGACTACCTTGACGAGACCATCGTGCAAGTCACAATTGATCACAACTACTAACCACAAGTCACTTCCCATTTAGCCTATTGTCTACACTTCTTTCGTTTTCTTCATAGGAGTTACAGAGGGAGACGGAGGGAGAAGATGGCAGGATTCAGCACTCCCAGCGCGCAGGCGCAACATCCTCCAAAGTCAATGTCGTCTCGTTTGCTGAACATGAAGGTAAGGTTCTCGAAAAATACTCTACCGTGACCGTCCCATGCAGATCGGAGACTGACCCAGCTTGTCTTCATGAACAGTTTATGCAACGTGCAGCAGCATCTACTTCTTCATCACCGGCCGCAGCAACACCATCATCATCATCATCTCGGGGAGATTATCAACCCTCAAAACGACGTCGGTTTGACCTCGAATCGTTTTCTGCTTCGTCGACACCTGGAACGCCCCAGGCACCCACAACGTCAGAACCACAGATTTCCACTTTCGGGCAATCAAGAGGAGGTACAAGTACGTTCGACCGTGGGGAAGGCGCAGACACAGAATGGGTTCTCGATCTGAAAATGTCATTTCCTGATGCGAACCAGAAAAACGGTGACAGTGTGAATGGAACTCGATTTGGACGACTACCACAAGACAATGATGGAGATGCCGATTCCGACGAGGAAGATATTTGGAGCAACAGACCTTCCGGACGACAAACCTACGGCTCGTTCAAGACGAAACGCAAATCAAGACCACAGGCGAAAAGAGACGTCGATGGCGGTGAGGAATCCCCATCAGAAGAAGAGGAAGATGAAGAGGAACATGACCATTCGAAGCATCGCACACCCACAAGAAATCGGAAAAAGAGGTCCTCCTCCAATGGTGCTGATTCCGATGAAGAGATGAGACAAGTACGGAGAGCCATTGAAACAAAGCATCGCAACATGTCGGGCCAAGGGCAAACACCTCGAGCGTCTCCCGCTGGAACTGGGTGGAATTCTCGTTTGCCAATAACCGGAGGCGGGGTTCACGGACAAAAAAGGCGACGGGACGATGGAAACTACAAAGCTCACAAGAAGGCCAGGAAGACGATATGAAGTGAGGACAACCAGGTAAAAGTGCCGATTGTGACTGTTGTCTCTGCGGAGGACTACGAGTACTTCTGGCCTTTGCCTTGTTTTGCTAGACTTTGGTCTTGCGAGTCGGTGATATCTTACCTCGTTGAGGAGGTTTTCTTTTTGCCTGCTTTGAACCAATTTCCATCCTGCTGCCGAGATGAAAGTGAGGCTGGGTGAAACGGTCAAAGGTGCACGACGAGACGAGGCTTCGAATAGCGTTCTGCGCCCTGGATACATGTAGTACAGATACCTTTTCTTAATGGGGAGCGATTTTCCTTGCAGGCTTTTCACAACGTTGCACATGTGGTCCCGTAGAACGATGCAGACAGGTCTCGACCCTTGGATGCGAGACAAGTAGTCTCACTTTCAGAGCGACCTCGACGATGCCATCAAGGTCTCAATACGCATGGTCTTTTTCTGGTATTGTTGGCTCTAGATGTCCTCCCATGGATGTACCCCATGTCAGTGATTTTCCCACATCGCATGTAAGTGTGCATATTTTATACGTTCTCACCACTAGTACTCTCTTCCCAATCTATATTTTTTTTTTATTTTATTTTCATTTTCTCGAGGAAAAACGTTGTCTAATCCCTATATTCTCTACATGATGTACGTGTTTCTTCCTGTCTTCCGTGAGAAAGGGGCTAGATTCTCAACTCAACCCCCATAATGTCTGTTCAACCACTCTGCATTCGCGGCCGCCCTTTTTTGTAGCCTCGCAGCCTCCTTGATATCATTCATGTACCATTCTGCCCGCCTCCTTTGTCTTTCCAGGTCCCTTTTGTCGTCGCGGTCATCACCGTATCCACCGAACCCATCAACGGTGAAGTAGTGACGATTCTGACCACGGCCATGACCATCCCTACATCGACCTCGGCGCTCTTCTTCCTCGCCATCCCTGAACGCGTAGACGCGAATCTCGGAAGTTCCGTCGTCATACTCAATCTCCTTTTCTCGAATCTGAATCTTCTCGTCGCCGCCGCAAGCAGGGTGTCGTCGTCGTCGTCGTCGTCCCCAGCCTCGTTCTCCCCCGTGGTCTCGTGTAGTAGTTGGCCACCACCACCACCACCATGTTGTCCTCCAATCTTCCGATCGATCACGGTGATCACGTCTGCAATCTCCCCAATAGTGGTGGCGAGCCGGTGTCCGTCTCCGTGGCCATGTCCATTCTTCGTGTTCCCTCTCCTCCTCGTTGTTGTCGTCGCCGTCGTACGTTGTAATCCGGCCGCTTGAATTCGTTGACGACCGGCTCCGTCCGCGCGTCGAGAGTGACCTTGACCTTTCTCTTGTCCTTCCTCGACCACGAGATCGACCTCGACTCCTATTTCGACTTCGACCTCGATCTCGACTTTGACTTCGACCTCGTCCTCGTCTTCGATCCATCTCGTGGTCGCGATAGACGTACTCATAATCATCCTCGTCCTCGTCCTTGTCAACGTCTTGATTTCTTCGCCGCCACTCTCTGTCGGCCTTTTCGCGCTCACACCTTCCACACGCCTGGGGGTATTCTCCGTGCCTGCACATGCGTATTCCCCTCCTCCCTCCTCTGGGGTCGGCGAGGTCGTAGTAAACGGCCCTCCCCGTTCGATCGTGCCCTTGCACGAGGTTCATGCATTGTCGGCGGCCATTGTCGGGGTTGCGAGTTCTGGCCTCGTAACGATCCATTTTCCTCCGACTATCTCTGCTTTTGTTTCTGGTCCTGGTGCCGTTTCGACCTCTGCAATCACTCGAAAAACGTTCATGTTAGCACATTTCTTTTTTTTTTCCCTCGAGCTGAAGGTGCGTCACGTTTCGATTTGGTCACTTTGACTTTTGTTTGGTTGACATGATAGACCATTCGAAATGCACGACCCAACCAAAAGCAAAGAGGCAGAAACTCGAGCGCAAAAACACAAGTTAACATGTCACAATCATAGTCACACACCTTCCACCCACAGCGTGATGGTTCTCTTCTTCTCCGCTCCACTCTCGACCATTCCCGTGCTCGGTCCCGATATCTAGTTGGTTCTTTCCCGTCCCGACGTTGCATTGCCTTCTCGTGAAAGCGACCACAGCGCCAAAAGCAGCCAAGGAAATAGAAAGGACAACGTCCAACAATAACAAAGATGGGGATGAGCAGTGCTTTTCTGAATTGGACGGTGCTGACCTTCTCTCTCGACTTCTTTGTCTACCCCTCCCTCTTTCTTCGACGGTGTGGCGAGCAGATGTTGTCGATGACGGTGAGCGTCCTTTCTTTCCTTTTCGCAAGCCCCCCAGAAATCGTACCGTGTGACCCTTGAAGTTTGGTTTGGAGTTCGGACGTGCCGGGTAGACACGTCGGTATCCGTTGCTGTCGATGTCAGAGCCCGAGTCGAAGGCCGTTGGCATTGCTTGCTTTTCGTGGCCGTCGTCGTTTCGTTCTGGCAACCGAAAGCAGCAGCAGCGATTCGTGTTTGCTAGCTGCCCTCTCCCGCTGACGGCGATTATTCAAGAGGAATAGTGTATGGCAACGAACAAAGGCAGAGAGGTTGATGAAAGCAAACCAGGGGATTCACTTGACGGACTCAGCGTCGAATGTGAGTGAGCCTAGTAGAACGGACCGGCCGTGAAGAAGACACAAAACGAAAGGCATGACCAAAGGCAAGGGCATCATCGTGACTTTTTTTATATCGACCCATAAAGAGGTTGTGAGCTGACATGGGCAAAATCCTCTCAACGGCCGCCCGTTCAACCAAACTCGGGACACGGAGAAAGGGCGAGCCAGTGGTGGTTGTCACACAGGATCACTGCTTCAGCGCCCGAAAAGCTGACGAGTTGCAAGGCCTTGTGTTTCTTTGAACGAGGCATCCTCCGTATACGTGTAAGGACCTCGCTTGTACAGGACCGATCTGACGACTCTGATAAAACAAAAACAGAACGACATGGCAACGAACACTTGATCACAGTTTGGGTTTGGAAACTCAAGAGACTGACGCACCTAGGATTCACCATTTGTAACAAATCAGAGTCCCGGCTCAATCCCGATATATCGGCGTGAAGAAGCAAACGCGCACATTGAAAGAGGAACAGATCGAGGACGAAGCAACAATGTTCCAATTCCGTATTTGGGCGCTCAGACAACCCTTGGGGTCTTCAAACACCGGCATCGACAGTCGGCATGTCCCAACATCGACGATTTCCACACGCCTCGCTTCTCTCTCGCCGGCAACCGTCTCAGCCTCCGAGTCTTTGGACGGGGAAATCTTCGGTCGTCACACGGACCCTGTGTGACTTTTTCCCAACACATGTCGGGTCGACGGGGGTAAACATACGTACCTTTTTCCTGAATCCAATCACCAATTCTCCTACTTCTGCCGTCTCCCTATAGGGCGTACCAGACCCCCCTCCCCCGACAATGTCTGCCTCTTACCGTACGGTGTCCCCTCCTACGAGTCGGGCTCAAACTGCCATCCTCCAAGGCGCGCGATGAGCGGTGAAGTGAGAGTCGTGGGGTCGTTGGATTGGATGTTGCCTGACTGAGACGGATACTCGTGGCCTGACACATCCAGCATGGCGAAATAACCAGGGAACATACGGAGCCATTCCTCTGACCAAGGCGCCGGGAGGTAATGGACTTGTAGTACTCCGTATCGCTCTTCTAGATTTCAAGTCTGAGGATAGTTCTGTTGGTTGCTGATGCGCACTGAGATCATTCATGGTAACACGAGTTCACGCAATTGTCCGAACATAATTTGGTCAAAAACAGCAATCGAATCCAAGTACGCGCGTGTCTCACAAAATATAGGCAGACGGCGGCAAGTGAGGGACAGTAAAACACAAAATCCCTAATAATAGATCAGAACAATTTCATACGAAAAGCTAGCAAAGAGAGGGTGTTCTGTTTGAGCGAGCCAGCCTCGCAGCCAGGTCGCAGACCGGATCCTCTTCCAATACCGGAAAGCAATAACAACACACACATGCAACGATAACCTCCTGGGATTTAGATCCATTTCCTCTTTGGTTGTTGGCAGAAAAACACAAGTACCATCATCGTACAATCATCTCAATGATTTTCCCCGTAGCCCAGCAACGCCTTCATGTCCGCCTGATTGTAGAATGCCCGATAGACGCCGACGATTCGACTCTGTTTGCGTGTCTATTGTCGCACATCTTCTACTCAGCCTTGCTCTTCTTCTTTTGTTCGACCTTGAGGAGAAGTGCTCTGTTGATGTGTGGGAGAACACCACCAAAGGCGATGGTCGCGCGGATCAAAGTATCTAATTCCTCGTCGCCACGGATTGCGAGTTGGAGATGTCGAGGGGTAATACGCTTGACCTTCAGATCCTTGGCGGCGTTGCCTGCGAGTTCTAGGACTTCAGCGGTGAGGTATTCCAGCACAGCGGTGACGTAGACGGCGGCTACAAAAAGGGTCAACATCTTTCCATGAAAATCTACGCGCACAGAAATCATACCTTTGGCGCCAACGCGCATCTTGTTCTGAGTGTTGTTCTTGAGGAAACGCTTGACTCGGCCACATGGGAACTGTTAAATGACGCGTCAGTGCTTTGCCATCAATCTGAAAATAATGCGCGCAGCCAGAGGAGGCGAAACCAAGATGAGAAAATAAGAAGGGCAGTGCTGCCTAATCAATGCTGGGATCGGCCGAACACAATGCGTCGACGCTTTGCGCGCGTGTGATTGTCCGAATTGAAACGGCAATGAAGCGCGTCTCTCGCATAACATTGAGCAACATTGAGCGAAAGACATGAAAATGCTCACCTGCAAACCAGCCTTCGCACTGTGTGACTTCTGACTCTTCACGGAGGAGTCTTTTGCGCCTGTGGCTTTTCCGCCAATGCTCTTTCCCTTGCCTCCGGCCATTGCGAAAGATATTGATGAATGAGTTTTGGGTGTCTGTTTGAATACGCGCCAAAAGTTGTGGTGGGATGCGATGGATGGAGTATCGACGACGCGTCTGATGTGGTGTTGATAAAGTACGGCACGAAGGTAAAAGCAAAACTGGGTGGCAGGAATGACCTGCAGAGGATAATGAGCAGGCGCAGATCGGTTCGGAATAACAATGGATATACTAGGCCTAAAGTGGTTAGTGTTAGCTTGGCGTCTGGTGCTCGACAATCGTGGCCGCAACGAAGGATATCGCGCTGGGTGATGACACTCGTAGTCTCTGGCAGTCTGTAAGATGGTCACAGTGTTTCCTGAGCCGGCTTCTCACAAGACCAATGTATCAGCAAAGAAAAAAGAGATCGTACAAAGGACGACCGTTGAGGTAGAGACCTCACTCAACGGAGTGACGGCTTTGCCTGTCCGTGCATTTTCGCCGGGGCGCAGACCGCAGAGTTGCACGCGCAGAAATGCAAAGACCAGGAAGCACAACAATACAATACCTAGAAGTCTTCTGGTCTCGCAGACCTCATAACAACATGTTGAGATTGACCAGATAGGGGTCGAAGGAAGTTGAAATGCGAGCAGATTCATTATCTCCAAGTCTTGGCGTTGCCTTAGGTAATCGACCAGACCACATACGAGTACGAACAGAGTACGTAGTACCGGAGTACAGGTTACAGAGTATTGCACCGGGTCGAACGAGGACGTTACCAATCATATACAAGTATCAAACGTCGAGAGTTGCCTGCACACAAGTGCAGTCAGAGCATGACGAATGTCAAAGACTTTTTAAATAACGCAGCATTCGGTATTACGTGCAGAAGCCCTCGGGTTTCTGCTAAGCTAATTAAAACGAGTGTAACTTATACATCAATCTCAGTAACCACACACCAATCGAGCAAGATAAGGGAGGCTAGCTCCATCGTATCTAACCCGGCATACAACAGGCAAGCCATGCCGTCTCTTGCTCCAAGTGATCCTCGATAATCAACGCCTAGACATGCATCACCTGACCACCTCAAGATCCCACAAATGGAAAAAGTATACAAGTCAATCAATCAGTCTTCTCGGCGTTCTCATGAAATATAATGCTGTATTGCCGCACCATGAAGCCTGTCAAGTCGTTACAACAATCTTTTTCTGTAGTCCAATCATGCAGTCGTGCAAGGCTGCCCTATGCGTCTAACTTTTGTGTTTTAGGTTGGAGGATGGTCGTGTCATTCGTGGATCATTGACTCGTCATTCGCTCAGTTACGAGCATCATCATAGGGGGTATATTGGGGATATGTCTTGTTCATTCGGCGATCGCTGAAGCGGCCGCTCTCATTTCGTCACTGCCACGTCCATTTTGGCGGCGAAATCCGATGGTGTTGTTGGCACTGGGTCCTCGTGACTGGCGCATTGGGTTGGAGGTTTGCGGAGTTGGCTCTGGTCCGATACTGACGGTTCGTTTACTGCCAATAGGGCCTGCGCCTTGATAATTCTGGTTGTCGCTCCATTCGGGTCCATTGCCGAAGAAGCTTCGTTGACGTCTAGGACTGGTCTGGTTTCCTCCACTACTAACTGACATGTTGTTGAACGCGGATATCAAGAAAGGTTCGTCTCTGTTGGGGCCTGGGTTAGAGGCAGTAGCGTTCACAGGCAACGTGGGTGTATTAGAGCCGGCGGTGTCGTTCAAGCCTTGAAGACGTGCCCCATTGGTCTGCAGAGCAGCTGGGAAGCTGGCAGAGGAAGGAACTGGTGATGGACTCCAGGAGCGCAGGTCTGCGAACGACTTTGCATTGCGAAGATTGTTATCAGCAACTCTGTTGAAGGCGTTTGAGTCGACATCCAAAAGTCCGACGGACGACTGACCGCGTAGAGTATTGAAGACGGGGCCTTCATACTGTCTGCTCTCGGCGAAGTCGGCGGTGGAGGAGCGACCGAGAGTTTGCCTCAGGCCATCATTACCGCCGAAAGGTCCGGGAAGTGGTGGGCTAACGTTGGTCCCCGGGGCGGCTCTATGAATGTGCACTTGGCGTTGATCGCCACTTCCACGAGAGGTATGCATCAGACCCATGTGGTGTGCAAGCGTATGAACAATTCGACGGGAGGCAGGGTCCAGGGTGGGAGGAAATATGAGCACTTCGCGGCTAACATCTCTCTTGAAAAGGGTCATTTCCGTGTAGAATTCCAAGGTTTTGGGATCATTCATGTCGATATCTGTTGTATAGGTTAGGCCATTCCCGGGCGATCCAGGTATGGCAGACGTACCAGGCTTGTTGCCGCCGCGATGAGATAGGGGTGATGGAGTGTTCCTCGGGATCGACGATAACGAGAGTTGATTGTGAAGCTGTGACTGAGGCACCGGCCGATGTTGTTCTTCCAGTTGGCCGCGGCGCTCACGCTTCTCTCTTTCGATGCGTTCTCGCTCGGCCAATGGAAGCATCTTTTTATACTCGACTCGTAGCTTGCGTCCACTCAGGTCCATATGGTTCAGCGCTTGTATAACCTGTTCGGTCTCCTGGGGCGAAGTAAAATTCGCAAAGGCCAATCCTCGGAACACGCCATTATCGAAATGGTAGTTGAACGCGTACGGCAAAGGCAGGTTCATGTCGACCATAAGCTGAACGAGTTGCTCTTTCTTGACAGCAAATGGAATGTTTTTGATTACTATGGCTGTCGGGATCAATTCATCGTCGTCTTCGTTGGGATCGTTACGCCCTTGAGGCCCAGCTCGAGGGCCAACAAGAGAAGGATGTTGTTGGGACTGTTGCATTGGACCAGGTTGTTCTTGGAACCATAACTGGAGTAACAAATCAGTTCAGTCTTCACCAGTGAGTATTGGGATTACTTACATTGGAGATGGCGGCACGGCCTCGACTGGGCTTTACGCCTCGAGATGGCCCGTAGGTCGGGTTTTGAGGCATAGTCCCCATGCCGTTGCCGAAAGATTGCATGTTCGAAGGGGCAGTGGAATTCCAAGTCTGGGCCGCGCCTGCATCATAGGGGAAGTGTACGTTTCCTGCGCCTGGGTTTGGCATCGGCGCGCCAAAATTGTCTCTCATGTTATCAAAGCGCATGGATGGGAGAGGACCCTCATTGCCGAACATTGGCTGATTGGCACCTCCATATCCTTCATTTCTTCCCATCTGTCGGTTCAAGGGAGGATTGCGAAACGCTCGCGGAGAAGAGTCTGTCAGCCCATCGTAAAATGGCTCGGAAGCATTCGAAAACGTTGCCATGGTATCCGTGCAATTTTTTTCTTAATTCTACTTCTCGGTGTTGCAACGAACGGTGATCGTTCTTATCGTGATATCGCAGGGGCTCTGAAGATGGAATTTTTCTCCTCCTTCAGAAGATGGTGTTGTGTCGTATTTTGGTTTTGTTATTAGGCACTTGGTGTGAGGCCGTGAGGATAGAAAGGGAGTTGCGAGAGATGCGGATCAATTATGAGCTAGATTGTCGCAAAGGACTCAGCAGTCAAATACGATCATAAAAGCTGGTTCTGAATGTTGATTCGAGGGTCTAATGGTGTCATTCAAGCGTGGTGAACAGAGGTGCGCCGAGATGAGGCCGACGTGAAAAGATCAATGAGTCGAGTGGACTTGGAATAGGCAGGGACAGACGTGGGAAATTTTGGACAGCTGCGTTTGAGGTCGTTCAGGGAAACATGATCAAGGATAGACAGGTCGATAGGACGACGTGTAAGGATGGAAGGACGGCGATGATTGCAAGCGAACGAGGCATGCAACAGAGACGACCTGGATGATATGAAGAGAGAGAGATGAAATTCGAATGAATGAGGCGTTAGGATGGAGATGTGTTTTGGCAAGAAATTAGGAGAAGCGAGCAGTTTGGTGGACGGACTAGGGACTCGTCGCCTTTCGGGAGGGTCGTTGGATGCATCGAGGAGAAGATTAAAACTGCCCATTGACAGCCGGGAGAGTCTGATCAGTTCCTCCTGCTCCCACCTCCACTTGATCCAATTAACGCATCTACCAATCCCTCCTCTGCTTTCTTAGCACCTTTCAGCACCAAGCATGGCACTATTATTTTGCAGCCATCACACAGACGCTCATCCCATCTGCCTGACGCGCATCCACGCGATCCCCCGGAGCAACAGAAGAGAATGCACAGTCCCTGTTCAATGGCTCCCACCTACCCCGTACGTGCTGCAGAAGGCCCAAAGAAAAACCCAGGCCCTGGACATCTCTGGCCGCCCATTCTTTTGGCTGCTACGGCTACTGACCTAGTGAAAAGGCTACCAATCTTCCCCATCGCACCATCTTCCGAGTCCACCCTCCTTCGAGAGCCGAGCGCAGACGCAATCAAACTCATCCATGACCTTCCCATTCCCCCCTGTTGAACACTTTCTCTCACAGCCAGTCCACGTACGGAGTAGGGCACACGATGATGGGGGTTGCCACTAATACAAATTACCCAGTGCTAACCATGAAGATCTGGTGCCCGGGTTTCATATGTGCCTCCTCTACTCCGTATAGCATCGTTCCGCTGACGCCAGGAGAGCGTTTCTGCCAAAAGCCATGCCGTCGGAGCCTCGTTCCCACTTCCACTCCTTTCTACCCCTTTATTCTGTCTTCAGCCATACCGTAAGCTGTTAGCAGATGGCATATCACCACTGTCGCTCGCCGTCCAGGGTCGTTCGCCCCGTTGACCAGAGCCTTGGCTTCCCAATTATGACTGCATTCAACTGTCTAGCGATAGAATTCTTGAACATCAGTAATACTTGCATACCCGGTCGCATGGAGCGATCTGCTGTCCGCACCACGAACTACTCCGAGACCCGGCCATTTAATATCACTGATTCCGCAACAGGCCCTCATCGACCATGGTACGGAGTACAACGAGATTGTGGTGGCAATTGGGTCGGCCCCAACCTCGAAAAACCTGGACTTTCTACCTGACGAACACTACACAGCCGTTCGGATCTGTCACTGTAGAGACCAGATACAAGTGTCCATCAATTCAATCCTTCGTCGGCCGCTGCCTTGGCTTGACTGGTAAGTTACCGTGTCCCTGTGATCAACTTACCCAGTAGACCGGAAAAGAGATCTGCATTCTAGGCGCGGATGTGTCCCAGCTTGCGAATCAGAAGCCTCTCCGGCCCCTGGGGGCATTGAATGGTGCAGCTTGCAAGTCTGCAGGCTTCATCGACCTGGTATTCCAGGTATTTGTAGGCTAGTCTTCCTCGTGGCGGTTGAGAGCAGATGCTTGGGGAGTGTCACAGGCTGCAGCAACACGCCACACTCAATCCTGACAGCTGCAACTGATTTCCATAGGATCTAGACACGTAGTATTTGACTAGCTATGCATCAAGCACAAACAGGTTTATCGGGGATCATCAGGATATTCTGCAGCCAGCCAGACCGACAGCAACGCGATACCCCCTTTTCCATGATCCCCGTCGACCGTGGACAGTAGAAGTGGACTAGGGTCCAGTAGTTCTTCCCTTTGAATTTGCGGTTGCCATTTTATCACGCCTAGGCATTGACCCTGGTCATTACACACGTCGCTGATCATCAACCCCAGAGTACGCGTACAAAGGCGAATGCCTGGCGATGCTACTTGTGAGGTGCTCAATCCGTCTCGTCAGCCACATGAAGCGAACATGACTTCGGCAATTTTCGAGAAGCTGGTCCTACATGCACCGCATATCTCCGGCAAGCAATTGATCCCTGCCTTCATTTATGGAACGGCTTGGAAGAAAGAGGCCACCACAGATCTGGTCTATCAAGCTCTTTGCAATGGCTTCACAGCTGTTGACACGGCTGCTCAGCCGAAGCATTACAGGGAAGACCTCGTGGCTGCAGGAATTGCCAGAGCGATCAATGATGCAAAGGTCAAACGATCAGACCTCTACTTACAGACCAAATTCACAAGTGTTCAAGGCCAAGATCCTGACCACATGCCTTACGACAAGGATAGTCCCTTGATAGAGCAGGTGAACGCTTCTATCATGAGCTCACTACTGAACTTCAATTTTGCCAATGTGGTGAAGGAGGGCGATGTAAAAGATCCGTACATTGACACCCTTGTTCTGCATTCTCCTATGGACACATTTGACGAGACCTTGGAGGTATGGCGCGCCCTGGAACAATATGTGCCTAATGAGATCCGCAACTTGGGCATCTCCAACTGTAACCTATTCACACTGATGGAATTGTATGAGCGGTCAACCATCAAACCAAGTGTGGTGCAGAACCGCTTTTATCCCTCGACAAAATTCGACATTGGAGTGCGCAAATTCTGTCAAGAGAAGAACATCCTATACGAGAGTTTCTGGACTCTGAGCGCCAATCCGAAGCTTGTCTGGTCGGCAGAGGTCGGGTCCCTTGCAAACCAGGTGGGCATCAGCACTCAGTCGGCACTGTACTGTCTCGTGCTTGCGCTTGGGAATATTACAATCCTCAACGGAACCAAGAGTCCGAGGCATATACAGGAAGACTGGGAGGCGATAGATAAAGTTAAGCAATTCGCAGAGAAGCATCCGCAGCATTGGGAGAGTGCCGTCGCTCGCTTCCGCGCTCTGATCGGTCAGTCAAAGCCTTGATATATACAAGTCCACTGTCTTGCCAGATCAATTACAAGATGGGGACTCCAAGAGGTCGCGTTCCTATACTCGGGTAGCCATTCTTCTCATTCGTTTTGAGTCCCAATCGTCAAAGCATTCCGTGCTCCATTTTCCATATTGTTGGCCTGAAGCACCCAGTCTAATCCGGGTCATTGTTCCGGCAGGACTGGGAGAAAGCGGCCAAAAGTGGCACCATGCAACAACGGTGGAGCATCGACTGTGGTATCTGCGTCTTCTCGAATTGAACTCTGTGGTGGGATTATTTTGAACGGTCCTCACATCCTCGCCGGTGCCTTTACGGACTAATTAAGGCTTTTAGTAGTCGAATGACCGGAACTGGGGACCCGATGTCATAGGCTCCTCAGGTACTACAACAATACCCAGCCTGAGAGTCGCAGCTTTTTACCAAATGCCACATTTGCATATTCTTTCTCTATACAGTCTATCAGACTTTTCATTATATGTCGCCTATATGCTCTGAATAGCGACGACTTCTTTATCCCACGTATCCCCCCCCCAGATCCTGTGAACCGTCTGCACAGTCGCTCACCTATCGCGCACCCGACAGATTCCTCCCGCCTGCTCAGACTGCCTTCCTCCACCCACCCATATATCAAACCTCGAGCCTACCTTGCGCGTTGCAGACATAACCGCTTAGTCGTCGTTTTGTGCTTTATTGGTCGGGGTCATCGCTGTGGCTTGGCTGATATTTCCACGAATTCTACCACAAAATTAAATCTGTTGAACCACAAAATCACAGACGATTGTCTTACGAAGATATCTCGAGTCTAGTTCTAAATACCCGCTATCATCGCCTGGATGGCTTCACAGGGTTTCTCGAGGAAGCGTCCTGCGCCTGGCGCGGACCCATATCCTCCTCAGATGCAGAATCCTACACCCGCATACCCCGACGGCATGGGAGGACATGATCTCTCAAATGATGAGTTCTTCCAATGGGGTCAGACTGGTCAACCGGCTGTCCCTTACAACGATAACAGTTATGTAATGAATGCGAACACCTTCCCTCAAGCCAACCCTCCGCCGCAAACCTCTACCCAACTGACCCGGAGACCCATGACCCAACTCGCCGCACCTGCTCATCCTCGGATCGATCAGGACGCGAGTGCGTGGATGGACAACGCGAATGCGCCTCATGGTCAGGAAGCTGAGTGGGCTGACGACATAACCGTACTCGAGGCTCGGGCACAAGTTGCGAAGAGAGAGGCGCAAGCGAAAAGAAAACAGATTCCTCCTTTTGTCCAGAAATTAAACAGGTGATTTTCCCGTCATAGGTAAAAGTGAAATAGACAGCGCTGACTATATACAGCTTTCTCGAAGATGGCAGGAATACTGATCTCATCCGCTGGTCCGACGATGGTAATTCGTTCATCGTCCTCGACGAGGATGAATTCGCGAAAACGCTCATCCCCGAGTTGTTCAAGCACAACAACTATGCGTCCTTCGTTCGCCAGCTGAACATGTACGGTTTCCACAAGAAAGTGGGTCTTTCTGATAATTCAATGCGGGCGAGTGAAAGAAAGAACAAGAGTCCAAGTGAATATTCCAATCCTTACTTCCGCCGTGGCCACCCTGATCTCTTGTGGTTGATCCAAAAGCCTAAGAATGCATCCGGACCATCCTCGAAGAGAAAGAAAACGGACAATGATGCCAACGAAGAAGAGGTGGAAGAGTATGGCGAGGAAGGCATACCCACAACGGAGACTCGTGTTCGACCACATCCAGGTCAACTCACCCTGGGAAACACCCAGACGGCCCTGACTCAAGAACAATTCAAGAGTGTGCAGCGCGAACTGGCTGCGATTAGGCATCAGCAAGCTCAGATCGGCCGCATGATGCAGCAGATCAAGCGCGAGCATGAACAGCTGTACGGTCAGGCAGCGACATTCCAAGACCAACACAATCGACACGAGAACTCAATTAATGCCATCCTGACTTTCCTTGCCACTGTGTACAACCGCAGCATCCAAGGTGGTCATGACGGTATCCCAAATATGGCTGCGCTTTTCGGCAACAATGCCATGCCTGTCGACGGTACGAGCCAAGCCAATGTAGTCGACGTTGGAGATTTCCCAATCAATGACATCAACTTTGAGACAAACAGCCCGGGTCTAGGAAAGCCGTTCAAGCGACAGCCCCTCCTCTTGACCAATGGCACTGGCCACCAAGGTCGAGCAAGCACCATTTCTCCTCGAGCAAGCGCCTCCAACAGTCCCTATACAGCCAGATCACAGGGAGTTCGCAACACTCAACAGACCAACTTCGCTCCTAATGTTGAGGAGGTCTTTGATCCAGGTGTAAACAGCCCCGATACTGCAATACCATCTCAACCAGCCAATCAGGCCCAAAACGTTCCTCAACGTGACATGATGTCCATGATTCAGAATGCCAACGCCCGCAACAATTCAGGCAGCCCGACTACTCCAGCGCAGGACTTTTCCAACGTGCTCAATAACCTAGAGGCATCTGGAGGGGCGGGACCGTTGAGCAACTCCCAGCGTGCAGACGTGTTGAAGATGATCAATGACTCGACCCGGCAGCCATCGGGCAGCGATAACGCGCTGATCAACTCGACTCCGCCACCAGGCCCAGCCAACTTCCATCGTCGTCTTGCAAGTACGGGTGCCGATCTTGATCATCTCGCCAAACTCCAAGCCGAGCAAGATAAGAGCGTGCAAACATTGACCAATCTGTTACAGCCACTCAGTCCTACCGGTTCTATTCCTGGCATCAATGATGGCCAAAACCTACCTCCGCCGCCGCTGGACATTGATGATTTTCTGAATCAAGCTGAATACTTCGGTGACTACGGCAGTGATAACAATGCCAACTACGATTTTGGAAACACAGGTCTCGATCCGACTGGGCACAATGACAATATCAACTTTGATTACAAGGATGAGGATGAGTTGTTTGGCAACCTGAACGACCAAGCTGGACCTAGCAACACTGGTGGCAAATACAACCTTGGATTTGACGGTACTACAGATGGCAATGTGGGAAACCAGTACGAACCAGTCAAGTATGAGACCAACAGTGATTACGAGCAAGATGGCGGTGGCCGTGTTGAGAGCATGCCGAGCAGTACAGTCACCACTCCAAAGTCCGCCGGTGATGATGGACCTGCTACTCGCAGCAAGGGTAGAGGTGTTGTTACGGGGGTGGGCTCAGCCATCGAGAATGACTTGCCCGCCAAAAAACGTCGTTCTTGAAGGGCTCCGTTCTCCAAGGGCTGGCTCAGCAGCTAGATTCAGTTCAGCAAGTCATGAGATGGTCGAGACATGTTAATCCAGTCAGTCCATCAGGAGACGGCAAGACAAAACAGGGTCGAATCGAGTGCGAGGTTTATTGTGACGAAACTTGATGAGATGATGAAAAAAATGGACCATATGCGTCAAAGCAAAGCATAGTATCTGAAGAAGAGGAGTTGTACCAGATACTGGGTCTACGAGGAAGTTACTTTACCTAACTGAGGTAAAGACGGCAGTCTTTGATGATATCCAGCCATGATGCGACATGGCTTTAGTGAGTCCTCTCTCTCTCTCCCAAACTGGAGAGGTGGTGATGATTTTATCCTGATAGAAAAGAAAAAAGTTGTTTCAATCATGTCTGTTTTTCTGATGAGTAGGATTGCTCTTGACGACTTAGAGGTCGTATTTTAGGATTGCGTGGCCCTTCATCTGACGACCGAGCCGGAGAATCTGGGACTGACTCGCTGATTTGTGTACCTAGTTTAGTCGTAACCTCATGTAAGGTGCTCTTGTTGTCGGCGTACCGCCCTATGTGTGTAAGTGTACACACATCCGTGGGTGTAGTGGTGTAAGTTGTGTGTAAGCGTATGTAATGAGTTCTATACCACCTAGGCATCTATCTGTGTTGTGGCTGTATGAGTACGAGTGTGTATGGGTCCTGTTTACAGGTGTTTTTGCCCTCGAAAAAAAAACAACATCACTGCTCCCTCTTCTTCACCTTGGGGAAACTCAACCAGATCCCCACGAGGACGACGATGAGACTGAGGATGACGGGTTGTAGGACCTTGACTCCTTTGCTGGCCGCGATGGCTCCGATCGCGAAAGGGAAGACCGTACCTCCCGTCCCCCCCATGGCCATGGCGAAACCGATGCTGCTGACGTGGATGCGACGGGGTAGGAGTTTGGCGGCCATCATGACCCCTCCCGGGAACATGGGACCCAGAAAGAAGCCCAGGAGAGCAACCGCCACGGCGGAGACGACGAACTTCGGCACCAACCAAAACACCAGTTCCAGGGCGAAACAAGCCACGAGGTAGACCGAGACGCAGACCCTCTCGCCGAACCTCTCCGTCACGAAACCCAGGCACGCCCTGCCCAGGGCCTGCCCGGCCCAGAACCCCGAACCCGAGTAGCCCGAGGCGGACGGGGAGGCGGATCGGACCCGGAGCATGAACGTGACGATCCAGCCTCCCAGTCCGACCTCGATGCCCATGTAGACGAAGAAGAAGGCGGCACACAACCAGGTGATTTTCGACTTGAGCGCCTCTCGCGTCGTCCCACCTCCTGACCCTGACCCTGACCCTGATGCCGACGAAGACTCTGTCATTTCGTCGCGAGGGTGTTCCCGTCGGTACAATTCCCCGGTCTTGCGCCAAAAGGTGATTGTCAGCCCGAAAAGTTCGAGTACTGACGCACCGACCTGGAAAAACGAGTTACGAGGTTAGAATGCTTCCTGATATTTTTTCCCCTGGGAAAATGGGGGGATAAAACGGAGCAGAAGGAAGGAGAAGGAGGAGGAGAAGGACGGAGGCCACCACGAAAGACATGATGAAAGGTCCCGATTTGAACGTACCATGACGAGATAAAAATTCCACCAAGGCATTTTGGCCTTGACCACCATACTCGTGGCGATCAAGGGAGCCAAGAGGGCGCCGACGGAGTAACAGCTGTGCAGACAACCTTGGACGGCGTTGGGGTTGTCCATGACGCCTATCCAGGCGCAGAAACAGGCGTCGGTCAAACCGTTCCCGAACCCGGACACGGCGTTGGCGACCACCAGGACCGGAAAGGGAGGGTGCGCGGCCAGGACGGAGTAGGTGATGATGTGACATATCGGGGCCATGATGGCGATCCCACGTTGACCGAATCGGGCGTGGATGCTGGCGTTGGTGAAGGCGGCCAACGAGTAGCCGGCGAAGGGGGTCAAGAAGATGAGTGAGATGATGGTGTAACTCAACGAGTAATACGATTCGAGCTGTTGTCGAGACAAAAGATTAGAATGGAGAATTTTGTTTTTTTGATTTCAATCATTCTCTTCCCATTTACACCAGGACAAAAAGGAAAAGGAAAGAGAGGTGTTCTTGTGGTGGGAGTTGACTCACATATGGTATAAGAGCCTATATTGGTTTTGACAGGCAGTGTTAGCAAATGTGTCCTTTTGTACTTTGTACATTTTGTTCGTCTTCGAAGCAAGAAACAAGGTATTGGATAGGGTCTAAAAAAAGATGCACATACGCCGACAGCACCATCATTCATGCCAGCAATTATAAATGACCAAAATGCGAAACCCAAACGGGGAACGTTCCCTCTGGGTTTGTTCCATCTCTGTGTCACGACCTGTGCGGTAGGAGGTGGATCGACATCATCTCGAATATTATCTTCTTCGTCAGAAGAGGATGAATTCTCTTGGGTCCGGGACGGCGACGATGATGATGATGATGATGATGTGCCGCCGTTGACGACTCGACGAGATATTTCCCTCAATGACCTTCCTGGAGATTTGAAGCTGAGTTCGAAACTTTCAGGTTCTGGTGGTGTGGCGTGTGTGGACGTTGACGATATCGTCATGGTCTGTGTGGTGGCCATTTTTGAGAGAGAGACTCTTCAGGAGGTCGTTGATGAGATGCGTGACTGAACTATGAAATGGTCAATCATCAATCATGTGTATTACCAAGGTCAAGTCGCTCAAGGTGGTGGTGGTGATGTTGGTAACGTCGTCAACTGTGGCCTCTCGTATCCAAAAGCCATGTATGCAGTCTTTGCTTGACTGGAGATTCGAATGCTGAAATCTAGGGTATGTGACCTTTCCTTTTTTTCCTTTTAGAAAAAAGGCGGTGAGGTTTTTGTTCAAGAGCCAGACTTGAGGTGGAAAATACTGACAATGAGACGAGTATTAATCAAGAAATTAGCCTGATGTCCATGTCCGCATAAGAGGCCAAGATGTCAATTGCGGAAAACAGCGTTACAATGACGAAGTTTACGGAGTATTAATCGGAACATTTCTTGAACATGTAACTGAATAAGTACGGATGCTCGTACTTGTAGATGCTTGTATGCTGTCACCATCTCCACCAGATCGACATATAGTCAATGAACTCCCCCACGGCGAAGCAGGACAAAGAGAGACCGAGCCCCGCAGATGAATTGCTTTGGCGCGACTTTGGACCTATTAAAATACAAATCATTCGGATCTCGATATGTCAAAACGAGGATGCCACAAACGACGATGCCATAGTCCTCGTTACTTGTAGCCGAACTAGCATCCTTGGACAAAATCCCATTCATCGGGACATCTTTGCATTAATCTTCGAGTACGAGTATATATATACCCTGCTTTTGTTTCCGTAATGTCAATAATATGTACAGTAACATCCCATCTCTCTCACAACGCAAGTTTCCATGCCTCATTAGGACTTGCCCACAGTTCCAGGAAGTTTGGACCGAGTGATTGATATGTAGAGTCGGTCTTGAGTCCCTTGACCGAGTTCCTCACACACCCACTGGAGGGAATCTGCTTGCCGGCAAATCGGTCCTTGACCCATGTCAACCATCTCATCTCGCTGGCTTGGATGGTGGGGAAGTGGTTCATGGCCGAGTACGTGACCATTTGCAAAGATTCATTCCATTTCTGCTGCGAGAGCATTGTACAAGTGTCGTTTACTGCAGAGTCGACCGTGAACAACGGCACGACCAGATCATCTTCACCAGCAAGCACCAGCAACGGACCCTTGAACTTCTTGCGTCCAGTTTCGGACATGGCTGCATACCTCTCAACCGAGCTGTCATTGTTCCACCCCGCGCGCGTGAGTTGGTTCAGCGGCACATCCGCAAAGACCTCGCTGACCGTAGGGAGACAACCTTGAAGCGGCTCCAGCACGTTATGGAATCTATCGTAGGCCAGCGGGGTCATCCCGGAATCGTTATAAGCGGGAAATACGGCCGTGACGGCGTGGACGAGGGAAGGTTGCTGACTGAGAAGTGTCTGAGCCCAAGGTTGGGTGCTGTTCAACATGGCCTGCGCTAATAGATCGAACGTACGTGTGGGAGGAGCGATGGCCACCGTACCCTGATATCCAGGAATTGGCTTCATGACCAGTTGTTCGGCAAATGACCAGGCGGCTCCTCCACCTTGAGAATGTCCCATGGCGACAAATGGGCCCGTGGGTGGAAGTTCAGTGGGGAAAGCTTTGCGAACGGCGGTGATGGCATCCGCCAGATTCATGGCTTGAGCCGGTCCGTTCAACCAAGGGTGCCCGATAGGTTTGCCAGACGGCAACGAGTCGAAACCGAGTCCAGCATAGTCGGGGGCCACGACGGCCATGCCTTGTAACGCGAGAAGGAAAGGCACCATGAAGTGGTACTGTAGGTTGCGATAGTTGCTGGGGGCACAAGCCTTCAGAACGCCAGAGGTGCCGTGGGCCCAAGCGACCAGAGGATACTGGGTGTCTTGGATGCCAGGAGCGGCAAGCGGCGCGTAAGGCCAGAGAACGTACGCCGAAGCCGGGAGTATCGTCCCATTCTGGTCGGTGGTGGTGTATATGATCCGGGACATGGAAAGGCCACTGGGGACACTGTACACCGATAGATTTGTTGCTTCTTCGACGTGAAGTAGACTACCTGGTGCGAGGTTTGCTGAAAAGTTGGAAGGGATGGTGTAGAATGAGTAGTCTGGGTCGGCATGTTGGTCGGACTCCCAGGATGAAGCGGTCGCGCTGAGTGACTGACACTGTGCGTCACAGGTCGTGCTTGACGTGATATTCGCGGCACTGATGATGCCTGAGAGCGCGAGGACTGTCAAGAGGGCAGAGCGCCAACGTATGGTCATGTTTAATTGTGAGGACAAGTGATCTCGTAGGGGTTGGTGAAGTGGCAGATGAAGAATACATGATAACAAAACATTCCTTCCTTTTCGCCTTTATAACGGGCCTGGTCACCTACCTCCTAGTATGGCAAAGGTCCATTTTACAAATTGTCAGTGATATCAGTTAAACATCATTGGTAAACGAATACGCATCTGCCGTCGTCGTGGGACTTTTCTGGGCTTTGATCTGACTAAATTAGACACTGGGGCCCGCGTTGTTCTGGCAATTTGAGATCCGATGGTAAGCTAGTGATCTTTGCAAAGTGAGAGAGTGAATGACCTGAGCAATACATTGACCATTCTGCTATTTGAAATAGTGTCCAGCGCCACAATATGCCACTAGGAACGATCTCAGAAAAAGTGGAAGAAGGAGAAGACGATGATGGAAATGTGGCTCTGGTTATTTGTGTTTAGTTATGGACCTGCTGAATTTCGATTGTCAGACGACGGGATTGGGGGGTGGCTTCTGCAAGATATAGTGGTCAATTGCGTGGGAATTTTTGTCAGACAGAAAGACATAGGATTTTAAGGCCCTCGACCTCTTCCGTGCATTGTTGTTTGAAGCTGCCTCGTTCCGATCCAATGCCGCTATCAATACGGAGTATGATGATGACCCTTCCCTTACTCATTCACAGCCTCGCCCTTTCTAGCAAGAGGAGCCAAATCTCGGCTTTTCAGGCTAGAGGAGTAGAGTTTGATGACCTGGTACGGAGGTTATGATCGATACGAGTACGGAGTCCCGAGTTTGTACAAGTGTTGACCTCAAGTAGTTAGGTAATCTCAATGGTCCAGAAGCCTCAGAAAAAGCAGACTCGAAATGACACATATTACGCCGTCATTCATGCAAGCCATGATTTCAATCCTGATGCTTCTACCTCGATCCCGACTGTACCGTAGGATGCAACTTCTTCTCCTTGGCCGCCTTGGTCGACCCTGCAAAAGCCTTCTTCTCGAAACCCGCTTCCAGAGTCTTGGTCTTTGTGTCGTCCCGGTACGTCGTTTTTTCCTTGGTGACTGACTTTGTCGTGACAACACCGCCGCCCCTCTTGACCTCGACCGTTTCCTGGCTCAACGATACATTGGCCGGACTCGCCTCGAGTGGGTTGCCGTATGAATTGTCACGACCGGACTGCTTCTGCACCTCATCAGGGTCGGTGGTCTCGTCAAATGCCACTGACTGTGCGGCCACGGCGTCGTCGGTGCCGGACTTGGACTGTTCATCTGATTGGCGGTCGATGGTTTGACGATTCTGCTGGGCCATGCGTTTGTCGACACTATTCGGTGTGGATTTCAGGGCACTCTCGGCCTCGGTGGCGTAGTGTTGACGGGCGAGATGGACATGGCGTGGGCCTGGATGGGTTTGCACCTGGCGAGAGGTAAGACTCCTCAACAAAGGACGGGCGGTAATTGGAGGCATGTTGTGTCGTTCTCGATAGTCCCCCAGAATGAGTTTTGGTAGAGAGGGTTGCTCGGTTCTCAAGTGTAGGTGTTGACCTTGATGTAGAAAATATGGAAAGAATGTGGTTGGTACCTGTCTCTGACAAAGAGACGATACCTACCTATATGATCGGCATGAGGGTGAAGTCAGTGACAAGTATTACATCAGGGGGGGAAGTGGCCCATCGAGCCTATCGGATATTCATCTCCTTTTACTCCGTATTTCCCCCCCGCAAAAGGCTTTAAGCACAGTACCGAGAGATCCTTAGCGAGCCACCCAATCGATACCTACAATAGGACTTAATGTATTCGTACCCCTGAAATAGTGTACTACTATTCAAACACCTACAGTACCTATTCTTTTAGGGCATTGGAGTACAGAGCAACTACTATTATCCACCTGCCTAAGGTAGGTATCTACTGTGCTCTACTATCAGGTGGCTTGATTGTTCTGATTCAGCTTTATTTGACCTGTTCACAACCGGCCTTTAGAGCACTTGCTAAAGCAAAACCATCATAATCATTATCATCTGCCATCATTGAAGCTATCCCCCTCTTCCATCCCACTTACGACACCTAGAGGCACATTCACATGTTCCGTCAGGTGAAGGCGAAGACAGTGCGATTTCCTTCAGCTGCCTGACGACATCCAATTGTTCCGCTTCCCAACGCTGGTCTGTTGCCTCCACCTCCAGTTTGCATAGTATTCCGTGAGCTGAAATTCCCCTCGGATTTTCCAGGTGCAGATCCGCGCCATACTCTACTAGCCACGTCAGACAGGCACTCAAGCCGTTCAAAATCTTCTTGGGGAGGCCGGTAAATAATAGTCCAACTCCTCGCAGTAGATGATGGGACACGGTTCGTCCCAAGTGGTCGCGCTGGTTGATGTCAGAAACGAAGGGCGCGAGGAAGATCACAATATCCATGCGGATGCACCGCGCAGCCCACATAATAGGTGTGTTGCCAGTGCGGTCTACCGAATCCACGTCGGCTTGATATGTGCTTGTCAGCAACTTCACGAGTTCCAGATTTGGAGTCATTGCGGCAACTGACAAGGCACTCTGGCCAGATTTATCTTGAAAGTTGATTTTGATCTTGTACTCAGATCGGAGAGCCTCAGGTTTTTGGAGAAGACCGAGCACAATCGAGTACTTCCTAGCCCTCAATGCATGCATTAGAGCAGTGGAACCATTGCAATCTGTTTCATTCAACATGTTTTTATTTGCATGGTGCAGCGCTTCCATTGTCGACAGGTGACCTCCTTGAGCAGCATAGAATAATGCGGGCATTCCGTCGCTATCTTTCAGGCTTGTGATTGCTTCTTGCCAGGAAGATTGTCTACTTTCGAGAAAATCAATGTGCGATGATGTTATTCTCTTGCACTCTTCGCAAAAGATGTCACCATTTTGCATAGATCCGGCCGAAGAAACACGATCAAGATAGGTCTTTAAGACCGCGGTGGTACCCATTGATGCCAGTAAGTGGAGTGCAGAAATGCCATGAGAATTATCTTGAAGCATTCCGGGATTGACAATTTGCAATGTTTCCCATGCACTGGCGACGAAGCCGAAGTTGTCGAGGAATGAGAATACTTGTTTTTGCAAGGACTGATCATACCCTCCACGTTCCCAGTGTGTTGCCCAAAATTCTGCGGAATAGGCATGAAAGGGGAATTCCCGCCATCGTGTCAACGGCGGCGAGATGTCATCGAGATGTCCTGTCGCATATAAGCTCAGCTGCAGATAGCTCAAGCAACAAGAAGCCAAGACTGTGTGCGGACTCGAAAGAAATCCGTTGTCCAAGGATTCAAGAAAGGTCTGTGTGGTATAATGGACGATTCGAATGACCTGGCTTTGCATATCAACCGTCACGAGGCCAGCACACACCGATATCATGAGGTCGGGATCGTCTAGATCATATTCGGGATCGATATTCTCAGAGTTTTCATCAACCGCAATACCACGACGAACCTCATCCATAGCTAACGGCTTGAAGCTGAAAGTAACACATGTCAAGATCTTTCGAGCCAGCTCTCGATGCTCTTCTGGTTGACACTGTATTCTTCGTAAGCTGTCTTCATATGCTCGGGTGAGGGTATCACCAATATTTCCGGTCTTCTTGAATTCATCGAGAGCTTTCAAGATGTCTTTGGGTTTTGTCTTAGCGGATAAAGTGTCACAGTGCAATTTAGCGAGCAGAAACCTGCAATTAGGTTAGTACCACGACACAGAGATACAACTGACATTTGCGTACATTCCTTGAGCACCCTCACAGACCTCTTGTATGATCCGTAGATGTAGCTCTGGTTTTTTAGCAATGCATGTGATGTTTGGTATTGTTGCTCGGCAAAAGGTCTCCAGATCATGGCTACTGGCCTCAATATGCTGGCGTTTGTGATTCTCGGGAACGCCGTCAATTGTCACGAACGGCCGAAACGTTGCCAGGATGCGAATGCCGACTTGGGGTTTGAGGGCCGCTTGCAGACGAAACAAGAGTTCGAACACACGGTGCCACGGTTTTCCGCCTTCTTCATTTGGGCCTTCACATTCGTCTAGTGCGTCGATCACGAAAAATGCTGTGTGAGACCCTCGCAGCGTGCTTTCCAAAGTTTGGCACAGTTCAGTCCAGCCGGGACGCTTTTCTATCCCTTTGTACTTGTTGAACATATCCCTGACCGCATGAGCTTTCCCAGATTGGTGCTGGAAAAGCTGCCTCAAGAGGCTGCTGATAATGTCAACTGGTGACTGGATTTCGTGCCTCCTGAAGCTGCTGTAGAAGTATGCTAGTGCCAGGGTATCGCTCTGTGAGGTATAAGTCTGCAAGTCATCGATGAGCATCGACGCAAGGAAAGTCTTTCCAACACCGGGGTGCCCATCAAAGAATAGATTTGCAAGGTCTCCATTCCGCCAGTCGCGATACGAAGGATCGGTAAGGATCCATTGTCCGGTACCAGGCAGTATTTTGCTGAAATAGTCATTCTGCCATTCAGAGTAAGTCGCAGGTGCAACCCAATCAGCAATGTCCCGGATTTCTGCAGCGTCCGCGGCGACTGCGAGTGTCTTCACTCCTTGTGCAATATTATTAAGCTGCGTTCTGAGGATGGTCAATAGGTGAACAAGGCGAAGACCTTCCCAGCGTCAACTCACCCATCAAGCACAGCTTTCAGAAGCTGGGTTGCCGAAACTAGTCGTAGACTGAGCTTGGAAGCCACAGCAGGATCCCATTTCATACGCTTCCACAAGCGACTCGTTCGTTTGGTTGTCGTTGAATTCACCGTGTCGAGTTCGGTGTGAGAGTCAATGACGGCGTTCAAATCGACCAAGACGGATTCACAATTGGTCGCGGCACTCTGTAAGTTGGCCTTGACCGAATCTTCATGGTCATCATCTTCGATTTGGACTTTGAGGTCATTGATCACAATCTGGAGAGTGCGTGTTCTTGCTGAGTTAGCATACTCGATCCCGGTGATGTGGGAAGAGAAACTCCGCACTCATCAACTAGCGCAGCATATTCAGCCGGCGCTCCCTTGAATCGTTTCCTCGTCCCTTCTACCAGTCGCACAAGCGCAAGGAAATCACCAATGGAAAAACCGAAACTCATGGCGTATGGAGAACAATTAAATGCCTGGTTGCTCTTATAGATGGATACAGCTTGGGGACTGCGAAGGAGAGAAACTCAGAGCAAGAGCGAGCAGTCAGGCTGAAATAGGCGCCTCTCAGAAGACAAGCTGGCCAACCACAGCGTAGTGGGTGAATGAAGCCTCATTTTCTGCGCCAAGGGAGGGATCAAAGTGGCTGAGTAGCATACATTTGACTGGGATTGAATTCAAACCCGCGGCGTCCTCGAGCTGTAGCAATGGTGACCATCGCCAATGAAAACGGTGCTGTGTCACAAGAGTCACCCAAGTAGCCAAAGCCAAAAATTCAGAATCATGGTTCAAGAACATATTTTGCATTATGATAAGGTACTGCGCATTATCTGCGAGGAGCATACTCTTGGCCTACGACGTCGTGGTCGAAGACGGAGCTGAGCTCGTCGCCGAAGCAGTTGTACTTGTGCTTCCGCCAGTGGACTTCTGCACCTGTGCCTGTACTACTTGACCGGCAGTGTTGAAGACAATGTCCACCAGGGCGTTGAGTGGGCTATAAGAATACGTCTTCTCAGTGAGACCTCCGGATAATGATTTGCTTTGACCGGTGTAGGTCATGTTGGTGAGGTAGTCGCCCACTATGGTAGACACTCCTCCGACCTCCTGTACAATGTTCCCGAGATTGTCGATGAGGAAGGACAAACTAGTACCTCCTTGAGTGATTGTCCCCAACAAACCGTCGACTGCTCCGACGATAGGTTCCAGCAAAGAAGTGACGTTGTTGATGGCAGAGATGAGTAGTGGATTGAGATCGAGGGACTCGAATACTCTGTTGACAATGTCCACCAAATGCCCAAGTCGGACGATGAGTTCCAGGTTGGCATCGACATCCGAAATGGTGAGGTTGACTTCTTGAATTGACAATGCGACACCAGCGTTCAGAGTCACCAGCGATGCCACCTGGGCGTTCAAGTTGATGTCTGCTCGGAGATCCTCGACGTCGAGCTCGATGCGCCCAACAGATAGTGTGGGCACATTCAGATAGACGTCAGGCACAGTCCCCGTCGATGCTGGTACGGACGTTGTGGTTGGGGGCCTGGTGGTGGTTGTATTTGAGAAGGGCGTTGTGGTTTGTGCATAAACACTCTGGCCGTAGAACAATACAGACAACAAGGTCAGACTGACCTGAAATATTGACCTGGACAACATGTTGGAAGGAGTAACTGCGTCTCGAGTAGAACAGAAGAAAGACAACGAGCGAAAGATCTTCTTTCCTGCCCAAGGTATTTACCCTCCGCTCGCCATCGACTTCTCAATTTCCGCAATGCAATTTCGCAGACAAGGTCGCTGGCGAGGGTAAAAGTCCATTCTTCATGATGGAGCTTTTTTGCCGCAGGTGTTTCAGGTAGAACAAAATAGCCTTCAGGCTTGTCTGCAATGATCCTCATAGCCGTTCGAAAAACAGGTTTGGTGGAAGATCCCCCGGTTTCTTCACCATCGGTTCGAGCCTTACCCCTGTCAACCGAGATTAGCGGCGTCTCACCCCTAACCTAGCCCTGTGAGATTCCAGGCTTTTTGCTGGGTTCTCCCACTTCGTCTGTAAGAACACCAGGTGTTCTGCATAGAATGAACTCCTGTCGGTAATGCAGATGAAATTAGATTTGCTCAAGACGGGCAACTATCATGTCGACGCACTGCTCTCGTTATTTTGCAACTGTCACTGGCAACAATTTTTGGACCTGAAATCTTTTTCTTCAGGCGTTTCTCAAACATCTCCAGACAGTATCGCACGTTGTGCTGTACCAGTTTGTGATGTTGTCCATACTCTTGTTCGTGTTGTCCACATTGTTGGCTCTTGCGTCTTCGCAAACGATATCCTCCGGGGATGGCTATACTGGGTACTCACTGTCTGTGAGTGGCGACGGCGAGTCAACAGTGTACGAGACCGACAATACCGACACTTCGAACGGAACTGCTGTGACGCCACCGGATGTCTATCTGAATGCCAGTGTATTCGTCGGAGAGATCGACATCACAGTTTCGAATCTGACAGCAAAAATCAATCTTGATGCTCAAGTTCTTTCGTTGCTGCAATTCAACGCTGGTGTCGACTTGAGCATCAATCGTGTGGCGCTGACCATTCAAAATGTGTCGGCCAAGGTCGAACTGGAGGCAAGGCTCGAAAACCTGGTTCTCATGATCAACGACACACTCAACTCCATCGACTTGAACCCAATTATTGCAACCTTGGGCCAAGATGTCGGCACATTGGTGAACGACACCGTTGGAGGGCTCGGAGGTGACTCGACCTCGGATTCCAGCGACTTGTCGGCTCGTTCATTCAACCTCGACCAGGGCATTCTGTTTTCAGTCAACAACTACCAGGGAAACACCCACAAAAACCGAATCTTGGATCAAGCGGGAAACATAGTCGACCAGTATCTTCACAATGATGGGACGGTTTACCGAAGTGAAATCGTTGGGTCATATTGGCATGATATGACTTTCACTGGAGAAGAGAGAAGTGCTGTCTTTGACGGCGAAAACGTCAAGGAACTCGAATACTCGTATACCCCTTACAACGGGTTGAGTATAATAGCTTCAATCTTCCTTGACACGCAGAGCAATGTGGTGGGAACAAGAGTACTGAGTGAACTAGAGGGTGGTGGATCAAGCACAATCAGTGCGGACTGAGTACTTGTAGATGTTAAGAGAAGCAAAATTTATGCACACATGTCTCTGAGATTCTTCGTGACGCGCTCTTGATGTCCACCTGGTCGCTTCTGGTGGTCTTCATGGCTTCCATATCCACGCGATTGGAGGAAGAACGGGAGTCCAATTGACTGGTTCTCCCAGACTTTGATTAAACGGGTGATGCAATACTCGTTACAATCCCAATTCTTGATCATGACTTGTTTAGCGCGCTGTCGTCTAGGCGTAAGTCGAGCACCTTGATTTTGAGTCAGGACGCAATTAGTTTGACCTGTCAAAAGTTCATTGTAAAGTCAGCACCCCAAACCCATATCACGTGTCAGGCTGAACTGTGATTTTTCAAGATCGACGTCAAGGAGAACATTTTAGATCGTCACCTGCAAAACATTGTTGGGATACTTGACCAGCGAGACCAATGGCGCTCATGGATTAAAAAGAGATCACTTGAACACTGGCCAGCAGCGCCACCTCCCCCCACGTCACAAGCATGTCGTCTCATTACACGACGGAACCTCCGCCAACAGCGTCCGTCCTCCTTCACACCACGGCCGGCCCTCTGACGCTCTCCCTCTTCGCGAACCAGACGCCTCTGACATGCCGGAACTTCCTGCAACATGTCCTGGACGAGGACTACAACAACAACATCTTCCATCGCATCGTACCGGGCTTCGTCATCCAGACTGGCGACCCGACGGGCACCGGCGAAGGCGGGCAGAACATTTATGAAGACCGAGAATTTGAGCGCTACGATGAAGACTGGGCCAGGGTGATGGGCCGGGAAAAGGACGAGAGGATCAGGTTCGGAGATGAGATACACAGCAGGCTAAAATTCAATCGAAGAGGCCTGGTGGGCATGGCAAAAGGCTCGGGCGAGGGTGGAGGTTATGGAAGCCAGTTCTTCATCACGCTGGGGGATTGCAGGGCGGAACTGGACGGCAAGTGCACCATGTTCGGCCGTGTCGAAGGCGAGGGTATATACAACATCGTCAAGATTGCAGAAGGCGAGCTCGTTGAGGGTACAGAACGACCCATATACCCCGAAAAGATTCTCAGAGTCGAAATCCTCGAGTTGCCAAAAGGAGACGCGTGGCAGAAGATGCGCAAGAGGGACAAGGTCGCGGCCCGTGTCGTTGAGGCACCGACAAAGAAGAAGGTTCCCAAAAAGAAAGGTGGAAAGACCCTGCTCAGTTTCGGAGGTGATGAAGGCGACGACAATGGAGGAGACGTAGCCGTCCGACCCAAGAAGGCGAAATTCAATCCAGCATTGATCGATGCAAGTGAAGAGGCCGATTCTATACCAAAGAAGACAGGAGCTGCACCGAAACCAACACCCAAGCGCTCACCGTCGCCGAGTACAGTTCCGCAAAAACGTAAAGCAAGCCCGGCCCACGAACCATCCTCAAAGAAATCAGCCTCGCCAGTGCAACGTCGAAAACCATCATTCCACGATCCGATGACACAATTACCATTACGTGACCCCGAATCGCCGTCTCGCTCACCCACGCCAGACGAAGAACAGCCATCCAAGTCCCAAAATTCGACGTCGGCAAACTTGCAAGCTGAGATAGCCGCACTCAAGGCCTCGATGCGCCGCGGTACGGTGACCACGACAACTGACACGACGCACAAAAAGTCGGCGTTGGAAGCCTTGATCCCATCCACCAGTACCCGTGGCCGTAAGCGTCCTAGGCCAGGTGAATCCAACTCCAAAGAAGACGCCAACGCTCTCAAGATGCTCAATGCGTTCAAAGCTCGTCTAGAATCTTCATCATCTACAGCATCATCAAAACCGATATCGTCACACAAAACAAACGGCGAGAAAGCTCATGACGTTTCAGAAACAAAAGTGGTCAGCACAGCTAATGATGACGACAACCAAAACAGTGATAACGATGACGGGGAGGCAGAATTGTGCGACCTCCACTTCATCGCAAATTGTCAATCATGCTCGAAATGGGACGAAGAGGGTGCAGCACAGAACCCAGACGCCGAAAACGACGACGACGACAAGGAATGGCTCAGTCACACGTTGAGTTTCGCCAAGGACAGACTCGGCAAGGACTTGACATGGAAGAAGAAAAACGAAGAGGAACTCGTGGTGATTGATCCACGCGAAAAGGAGCGTGAGCTCAAGACCGATCGGAAGAAACGTGATCGCGATCGTGGTGGCAAGAACCGTGACAAGGACAAGGGAAAGTCCAGGGAGGGACGATGGTGAAACCCTGAGCTGTGCGAGTTGTGCAAGTCGTGCTTGACCTCCCATCTGGAGTATAGATACATCTCTCGTACTTTTTTGGCAGGATGTTGAACTTGCACGGAGAATGAATCATGTGGCTCCGTAATGTCCGCCCGCCTATCCGTCTGTACAAGATGAAAATTAATTGATACGATTCAAAGAAGCACAAAAGCCTACAAAAGACAACCTTTTTTCTACCTTCTTCGTAGCTTTAACGTATCTTTTCCAAAAATATAAATGTCAAGATGTCGAGGGGTAATTTTTGTTATTAACGATCTTTGGCGAAGATATATACACCACGCTTTTCTATCTATATGTATTTGTACGGATTCATGATGCCGTTCGGGTCATACAGATTCTTGATCTGCTTCATCAACCCAAGCATGGTCTCGCTGCGACTGTACCCGATGTACTTCTTCTTCGCGATCCCGAGGCCGTGCTCGGCGCTGATGCTGCCGTTTCTCTTCTGGATCCACTCGTACACCCAGGGCTCGATGGCCTCCTCGACCTCCTTGGTGTACCTCCGCACGGGGACGTTGAGATGGAGGTTCGAGTCGCCCATGTGACCGTACCCGACGACGCCGATCGCGGGGTGTGAGTCGTCCTCCCCGATCAGGCCCTTGGAGGTCAGTCGTTCCCTCGTGTCCTCGACCAGCTTGTAGAGCTCGGCGAGCGGTATCGACACGTCGTACTTGTACGTGCCGCCAAAGTGTCCGATGGCCTCGGTGATGCCCTCCCGCCAGCCCCACAGTGCGCGGACCTGGGTCTCGTCCTGGGCCAAAACGCCGTCGGACACAATCTCCTCGCCCATGACGTGCTCCAGGAACTTTTCCAGCTTCTCGTTGTCGTGCTCGGCGTTGGACCCGCTGGTTTCGATCAGGCAGTAGAAAGGGTGGTCGCCCTCGAGGGGTCTCTTGTTGCCGGTGACCTTGTGGACGAAATCTTGACTTTGCGAATCCATCAACTCAAACGCCGACAAGATCTCGCCGAGCTGGACCTTGGCCTCCTTGAATGCCTTTTGGACGTGTTCAAAGGACGGGAGGCCAAAGTAGGCGACGTTGACGGCTTTGGACCGTTGCGGGCATTGCACCGAGACACCCGTGATGATGCCGATGGTACCTTCTCCGCCGATGAACAGTTGTTTCATGTCGTAGCCGGTATTGTTCTTCCGTAACTTGGAAAGGTCGTCGACGATGGTACCGTCGGGAAGCACAGCTTCAAGGCCAAGGACGTTGCCGTGCAAAGAGCCGTACCGCAACAGCCTCAGACCTCCAGCATTCGTGGCTACGTTACCACCGATATGGCATGATCCTTTTGCTCCCAGGTCCAGAGGGAACAGGTGGTTATGCTGAGCCAGGAAGTTGTCCGTCACCTCGAGGATGACACCTCCGTCCACGACCAAGATCCCACTCACGTCGTCGAAGCTGCGGATCTGGTTCATGCGTGCTAGCGAGATGACAATCTCGTCAAAGACAGGCACGCTTCCTCCCACCAGGCCGGAGTTACCTCCTTGCGGCACAACGGCCAGTTTGTTCTCGTTGCAGTATTTCAGCACCTTGCTCACTTCTTCCGTGCTCTTCGGCTTCAACACCAGCTTCGTGTGTCCTCTGTATTTCTTCATCCAGTCTCGGTTGAACGCTTCAAGGTCATCTGTAGCGTCTTTGGTTACACCGTCGATCACGGCTGCGTCGTCGCCAAGTGCGGATTTGAAGAACTGGACATGGTCCGGGGTGATCTCGGCGAACCTCGAGTCACGCTTGATGTTGTACATGTCTGTCGTGTACTTTACATTGTGTTGCGGCTCTGCGGTGTCCTCTCGCCGCCGGGAGGTGCTGGTGAAACTGCGTATGGGTTCGTAGAGCGTTCGGGCGCATTGTGGTTGTCGCGCCCGAGGGATTGAAGGCTTTTTCAGTTGGCGCAGAGCACGAGTAACGCTCCTTGATGTCGTTGGCACAGCCATGTTGCGTCTGGGCGACCAAAGCGAGGCAGGGGAAGTGTGGAAGATGAGGACACAGCAAGTGGAACGCTAACAAAAGAACCGAGAGAATGGAAATAGAATGAGTGACTTGAGGCAGTTTGTACTTTTACGAGTCTTTAGAATTGGGGAAAGCGACTTCGGGCAATTATCGCAGAGGGGCGTTTTCTCCCCCACTCTTCCTCTTCCTCTCCCTTCTTCTCGGGGAGAAAACCATCCACATCTTAGAGCTATAACATTCCTTGCCACCAGGGCAATGTAGGCTATAGCCGCTTGCTGTAGGAAGCTCAACACTACCCGTTCCCGTTGGGTTCACGTAACAAGAGACAAAGCCTCTGTGCGGTATCTATCCTCCTTCCGACTCACAACATTTCCCCTGCACAACGCCTGATCCAATCCGCCGTTTCCTCGGATCGACTCAAGAACGGACAATGCCCTGAGTCCATCATCGTCACTCTGACCTGTTTCCCAGCCGGCATTTCCTTGTTTGCCGCTTCCACGATGAGCCTCTGCGCCTCCAGAGTCAACATGAGATCATTCTTGCACATCAGATAGTAGGTTGGGACCATAAGGTGTCCGGCGAATGACACGGGGGTCCGATAGCCCTCGAAAAGATGCGTTTTGAGCATCGAGGCCCATCGCTGAGCGGCGCTGACCGGTAGGTCGTGGTACAAGAGCTCGATTGCACCAGGAGGAGTGGCTGGCTTGCTGACTTCGTATTGACGTCCATCAGAGTAAGTCGAATGCCAGACCTTTATGGAAGGCGGGATGTGGCCCCCTGTGCAGTCCAGAACCGACATTCCTGCTGGAATCAGTAAACCGGAGATGGTCAACAATCCCGCAATGCCATTCGTGTACCCAGCTGCGCGACGTGAGAGCTTGTCGAGATCCTGGCAGGCGGCCGAACCAGGGATAGAGCTATATGAATGGGTCAGAATGACAATGTCATAGTCGGGATAATCGTTCAGCTCGCGGCCAGCAGTGGACTTGATAGCCTCAACGTCCTCAATGACTGCGTCGGTTACAGGCTGGTTGGGTCTGGAGGAGAGGAGGCTCGGTAACCGGACCAAGATGACCTTGTACTCCTTTGCTCGTAAAGCAGTTGCAAGAGGCTCGAAATGTGCTGGTTCATGCCACTCGCCAGGCACCACCTTCGCCATGTTAGTATCCGATCATTAAAGGGACATAGGAGGCTCGCCAGATGTTTCTCGGAGCCGTGTGAAGGGAGATTTCAGACACTTACTACGACAGTGGGCTTCGGCGGTGGCATGTCAAGATGGGATGGGTGAGTGTTCCCTATTTTCAACATCAACCAGGAAACATCTATATACATAGATGCTTGCACCGGACGATGCGTGCGATTGGTATTGACCGGGAGATTCTTCACTTCGCTGAGTGGTCGTGCGGATTGTTGAACAGGTCGTATCTTTTCCTCGTACACTCTTTGCACCTTCCATCTTAATCATGACCTTTAATTTTGAGCTTTTCCACCCTACATATATATAGTCTTTAACGGTATCTTTCAAGAGTAACTGTGGTCGTATGTTTGGCGTCGGCCCTTGATCGCACGAAGTCGCAAAGACTGTGCACATGAGGATAGTCGTTTGCGCCATGACTGTTGTTCAAACGTCACAGCCATAGAGTCCTAGTCTTCATCTATTGCAAAGCCACCGATCGAGACGAATGCATCTCCGAAAGAGTCAAATGCTTGCGAATTAGGTACCAGTCAATTGCACTCAGCGTGGAAGAGACTTGGAGTTTGTGGCTTTATGTGCCGCTTCAGCTGCGGCCCCCTTTCCTCATTCTGGCCCGAAGAATCCACCTTGAGATTCGATTCGCTTCAGCCTGATCATCACCACCTGGTCTGCTTGGCCTAACCTGGGACCACGGATCATCTTTCCCTGCTACGAGGACGGAGACCGAGGACGGATCATTTCCCTTCAGCCGTACGATACACGCTTTTTTTCGTTTCTAGGTTTGGTTCTTTTGATATTGGAGACAGGATGCCGACCCCCTATTCTTTGGCCTTGCTGAACTCTGTACTTGGTCTGATGCCGTGTTTCACGACCGGACTATCCAGAAAGCGAGCATGATCATGGAATGCATCAGTCTGCACCCGAGAGATCTCTACTTCCTGCCGACCTCTAGTCATGACGTCCTTGTCGTACTCTCCCAGCGCTTCAACAAGAGAGAGTCTTCCAGACTTGACCTTTATCATGGCATCGACAAACATCTTGCTATCCTTGACCGCGTTATTGGCGCCTTGACCACGATCTGGGATGGGCCAAAACGTCAGTGATGTCTCTTCCGTGGCATGATACGAGCTGTACTTACGGAACGTCATACTGTGCGCCGCGTCTCCTGCCAATGTCACCCGACCATCTCGATTATCCCAGTCAGAGATAGGACTCCAGATCTTGAGCTGGACCGCCTTCGCCTTGACGTCGTCCGGCATCCACTCGACGGCAGACTTGAAGGGATCAGCCCAACCATCTGCCCGTTTCCGGAGTTCGTCTGCCATGTTCTGGTCTTTGTATTCGTCTTCACTGGTCTGCTGTTTTGGCCACGTTGCGAGAATGTAAAAGATCCATGTCTCGGGCCTGTCGAGGTCGGGTTTATCCAGCAGGAAAATACCAATGTACATCGACTTTGGATGGACGCCTACATCAACGATAGGGTGCATCATCTTGTCCATCTTCAAGGCCCTCTCGGCGGTGAATTTGAAGGGAAAGTTGAGAAAGACATATGGTAAGACCCTGGCGTCAGCCTCGTCACCTAGAAGCCATCGTCGCACCCATGAGCCCCCCCCGTCCGCGCCGACGAGGACCGTACCCGATTCCGAAGTGCCGTCTTGGAAGTGTGCGATAACCCCATCAGACGTCAGTTCGATGTTTGTGACTGTTTTGCCGAACTAGGTATTGTGAGTAATGGCTTGTGCAGCAACAGGACCAACAGCATCATCATCAACTCACCTGGACATTGACGTCCTTGGACCATAGAGTTCGCGTCTTCTGAATGTTCAATCTCCGCACCGCCGGGAAGGGAGGTTCGACAATGGTTTCTCCTGTCGCCCCATCTCTGATCATGACACTTTCGCACCCTGACTCTTTCGAGTTCAGCTTGATATCAGGCTGACACTCCGCCAGGCGGTCGAACAGCTCTTTCGGCAGGAGTTCTTGGAGAAATGGATGCGACCAAGCTATCGTCACTCCCCAATTACGGTCTCGTGGTTCACTTTCCTTGTCGACCACGACATAGTCGATTCCATTCTGGCAATACAATTAGTATGTCCTAGGTTCTTTGATCGTGATTCCGGGCCCCGGACCTTTTTCAACCCCTGAGCAATGGCCAAACCGGACAATCCTTAAAGGCCAGCATTAGTTCTGGAATATCAGAAGAGCAGGACCTTGATGATAAACCTACCGGCACCGACAATTATAACTTTCAGAGGTTGACCCATTTTGTTATTTTCAAGTGTTGGTGGGCGGCGGGCAATCTATTTTTGGGCCTAATTCCCCCGCCGAGAAGAAGATTCTTTACAGTAGGTCTGCGGGGTCAAGGTCTGGGGAGAGCTGGAGCACACCGTGTGACACAAACGAGAGGAGCTGTCTTTGACGATTTCAATGTAGATTCTTTGAAAAATACACGAGTCCCTCAATAGATACAAGCAAAAACAAAAAGCACACTTAACTTTCAAGTGTTGTTGACACAAAGTAAAGTCGGACTTTTCAAGTGTCACTTGTATTTAGCTTCATGTGAGACAAGACGCCAACACGGAGAGCATCAAGGCCCGAGTGCGAACTTTCCAGGTAAATATCTAAATCCGGTAGTAGGCACGAACTCCCAAAGGAGAAATCAGATTGGCGCATCCCTAATAGTTGATCTGAATCAATCAATTTATACGGAGTACAGAGTACTTAGGTAAGGCATCTTACATGGTACGGAGTACAGAGAACAAAATACGAGGCAGTGAGACTTTTTTCAAAGGTCAAACTTGTCATTCACATCCATCTGGGTCATTAGCACAATTAATGATCCATCATCATCATCATCATCATCATCATCATCACCACCTAGGGATAGAAAACGACAATCAATCGAGAGCATATACCTTGCGAGTAATCAGTATCTGTTTTCGGGGTCACATCTCACGTATCCCTTGATTACAGTAACATACGAGTAGTTGACAACTCGGCAATAACACTAATCATGGCGATCATCGAACTGGCCCACATCAGCCTGAAAGACGGACTCACGGCTACCGACCCGACACTGAAGAAGAACCTCAAGGAAGTCAAGAGGGTGATTGAAGAGTACAGCAGATTGGTCACCTTGTTCTACACCCAGGTCGACGACCCCACGAGCATGTTCGTCATCGGTGCCTGGGAGACCAAGGACGCTCACCAACACGGCTTCAACGGGTCGCCTCAGCAAGGCCAAATTTTGGGCCTGGTCAAAGATCAGATGGATATTGACTGGATGCACTACATGGACATTGAACAGTCTCGGATCCCTCTGGACGCGCCGGTGCTCATGTTAAACAAGGCCGTCTTCAAGCGTGGTGTGCATCACTTGGCCATCGATAACGAGTTTGCACAACGTACATCTACCATGGGCGGAGCGAGGCACGGCGCCGTGTCGACGTGGAACATACCAAAAGACGACAAGGAACATGCGGTTCGCGTTCATTTTTCAGGCTGGGATACGGCAGACGAAGCTGTAGAGAGCGTGGCGGGTGTCATTGCGACCGGCAAGACTTTCGTACCTCACATACTAGAGGCGAGATTGTTCATCACCGAGAGGACCGTTTTGGATTGAAACAGCAAAGGTCTACAGGTCCATGGGTCGAAATAAGACATCCTATGATGATATAGATCTCTTTAGGTAGACTTTGGACGGAGTAAACACATTAAGCACTAATTTCCCTACTCTGACTCCGTAAAAACATGAGAATTCGTCTTCTCAGTGCATTTCTCCCGTACTGTCGATCTGTTGTTTCTGTTTTGCTCACATCCCTATCCCTGTCCAATACCCCTCCCTCCCTCTTTTTCTTGCTTCTACGAGTACTGTACAATCGTCTCCTCACTATTACCGAAGGTAGACACGGAGTATTCTCCCCCCGCCTTTCTCGTCTCACCTCTAGGCGGGTGAATATCACTCTGATGTCGTACACAGTATCACTCAAGCTACTGTTGTAGGTAAGATTCCCCCGGGGCTCCATCGGACGTGTGACCAATTTCCCTACCCCTCGGTGATACTGCACATTCACTGCTCGGTGTCGGTCTCTGTTACATGGCGAGCACCAGTGACTACTACCGTAAGTTGAACGTGACTTCACCTTCAGCTGAATCACTTGCCCTTTCTACTTCCCAACCATCAACACAACTCCCCCATCACATACACCTTGACAACTTTACGTAGTCTTGACCCTACTACTACTTGAAATCCAAGAAAAAGGCGAGCACTGAAGTTTCTCAAATCATCATCTCACTCAACTACTCCATCTCACATTCCCCAAACTTGAGCCCTCTCAAACCCCCCCTCTCTCTCTCCATACAAAATGACAACCACCACCACCGCCACCAACGACGACGACACCCTCACTGCCGGCCTTCGCGACCTGATTTATGCCAACCACATCCTCCACCACCACGGCGTGGTCGACGCCTACGGGCACGTATCGATCCGCCACCCGACGGACCCCTCGGTGTACATCATGTGCGGCTACATGGCCCCCGCCATGGTGTCCTCGCCCGCCGACCTGATCCACTACCACGTCTCGACGTCGGACCCGGTCGACCCGGCCGCGAAGAAGGGGTACTCGGAACGCTTCATCCACGGCGAGATCTTTCGTCGCTTCCCCACCGTCAACTGCGTCATCCACAGCCACGCCGAGGAGGTGTTGCCCTACGTCGTGAGCACGGGGGTCCCCATGCGGGCCGTCTACCACATGGCCGGGTTCCTAGGGTCCACCCCGGCAAAGGTCTTCGACATCGACCCTCACTACCGGGACGGCGACCAGAGGGACATGCTGGTCCGCCACGCCCACACGGGGACCGCGCTCGCCGGTTGTTTCGGCGGCGTGGGTGAGAAGCCCCACGAGACGGTCGTGCTGATGAAACGTCACGGCTTCACCGCCGTCGCCGAGAACCTCGTCACCGCCGTCTACCGGGCCATATACACCCGAATCAACGCCGAGGCACAGACCAAGGCCATGACCGTCGCGAGGAACATGTACGGCGATCAGGAGCTACAGAAGGCCGGGTTTGAGGGGCTCACTGACTTGCAAGGGGAAGGGTGCAGTCTCATGTGTGAACAGTACCAGGACAAACCTTGGAGGTTGTGGGTCAGGGAGGTCCAGATGAATCCACTCTATGACAATTCGTTGAGATGGGAACTGAGGGAATGACGAAGACGAAGACGTGAGTCAACAGTGAGTAAAACATCGGTCAGTACCTAGGGGCGACAAACAACAAATCTTTGGCCGAAGTTGTCTCTTCGAATGGGAGAGGATTGACTACGGAACGAGTTTAATGATGAACCACACGCGTCGACTACGGAATCAAGGATTGACGGGACCATAGTGCAAAGAAAGACGAGGCCAATAAAACATATGAATACCCCCCTTGCTTGCCAGAAAGAAAAGATAGTTGTAAAACACCACAAAGTGTGGTTGGAATAAAACAATTGTCAAGTCCTTTTTCATTGTTGCAGAGGTATCAAAACTCAGCTTTCACTGTCTGGATATATCAACTTGCCCGATCTTTCTCGCCTTGCAAGTACAAAACATGACGACGATGGTTCATTCATGTCGCGTATTCCCGTGTCCCATTTGTTTCATCTGATTTAGTTCGGTTCGGTTCGGATTCCAAATTCCATTCCCTTGAAAGAAGCTACAATTCCGAGTTTGTAATCAATTCTTCGAACCAACTCCGGCCTCGCTCGAGCCACGGCCCGTCTCTCCACGTGCCCCCAATGGTTTGGGACCAGAAACAAAAGGACATGTACAAGGACGGTGTGTGTCAGGTCAACCCAAGACGGTCGTGACGCCGCTGACCCAGGCGATGCCCGCCTCGACGAACCTTTCGACGACGTCGACCTCTTCCATGGTCCTGGGGGCGTAGACCATGATCCAACCCCTCGGGATCCCGGGCAAAGGGAACCTCTGACCCCAACCCTTGGCGACGACCACCTTGGCGTCGGCCTCGCTCAACCAGACGTGTAGACTGTTCTCGGCCGGGTGGGCGTGGGCCACTTCTGTCCCGATGAGTCTTTGGTCCCTGCACTCGACGTTGACGGTCGGTAAGGATTCTCGAACATAAATCCCGTCCGCGCTGTAACCTTCGGACCGACTGGGCCTCAATTCCAAAATGTCCGGATACCTGGCCGCGAAGGTGGCCGCCATGTTCGCCGTGCGTTCCTCCACCCCCTCGGCGACGGTCCCGGACTTGTAAGGGACCTGACGGTGCGGCATGGTCCGAGACACGATGCGAGGTCTCGGACCGTCACGGACCGGAAGGGACTCTCCGTCGATGTAAGACGGTCCCGCCGAAGAAGAAAGGCCCGTCGAGTCGGTGAGGTCGTCCCCGGAAAACATCCTCCCCAACCTCAACTTCGTCATCCGCCAGTAACCGGACCACGTCGGTGGGGTGCCCCCCGTCCCGAAGGCCTTCCAGGCGCGGAAGTCGGAAACCACCCACGCCGCGAACAGAGTGACGGCGGCGGCGGCGGACGACGTCAGTGCCGCGTTCGCCGGTCGTGATTTGATGGTGTCGACGAGGTGGGAGTATCGAAGTTGAAGGTCCGACGTCGACATTGTGAAGAGGTTGGGAAAATTTTCGAAGACCAAGTAAGCAAAGCTGATGAGGCTGTGTCGGGGTTTGTGTTTTGTTTGGATAGATTGGTCGTTTTTTTTTATCTCGCGGTGGGAGGCCGATGCAAGGTAGCTATTCAGAGAAAGGAAATCGCGTTGGATTTCAACTGTTGCGTTGAAGGTATTGTCGATAGGAATTGATGAATGGGCGTTTGATGGGTGATGGTGATGATGATGAAAGGGAGAGAAATGATCTAGGCCCCGATAGGTACCACTAATAAAACCCAGGTAGGCAATTCACTCCATAGTGGACCAAGATTCAAATGTCCGTGGGCGTTAATCCACTCACCAGAGGTGGCCTTTTTGGGGGGGGAAGGGGGAGGAGGAGACCTGGGGTATAAATTGGACCACAACGGGACGGAGTACCAAAGACGGAAGCTCAATCTAGGGACGAGGCGGCACCCGGAGTATACCAATCCCGACTGGTACAGTACACGGGAGTACATTGTGTAGACAGTGGGAGATTGCCAAAGAGGGTCAACATACAGACGAATAGATTGGATATTCGTACAGAGTCTATTTTACTTTCCCGTACGGAGTACAAGCAGCTCATCAAGTCAAAATATTGTACTTCATGGCCTCCTTTTCCATATCTACACTCTGTACTCTGTATGTACAGCGGCTACTATTCTTGTAATACTGTTGGGCCATGCTCATCAACCTCTCTTCGACATGGTCAAGGCAGTAATCACTGCAGCTCCGATACCACTCCCATCCTCTGCACCGGTCAACTTGATCTTTCCCCTCTCCAGGTCCAGAACTTCAGCCACGGCCACCTCCCATCGCTTCTGGAAATGAGGATGCTTGATCGCCACCGACCCGTCTGCCGCCACATGCCCACTCTCGACCCCCAGTCTCCGACAGATTGCCGACACGCCACACACACAGAGCCTCGCGCCTCGGATGGCGATGAGCTGCGCGACATGTCTCATCAGCAGGAGTTCCCCTGAGGTCGGCGACAGAAGCCTGGTTCCATAGTCCGAGTCAGGAAGACAAAGTTGTTCCGTAAACAGTTTCCTTGACTCGATCAAACCATCAGACTGGTCGTTTTCAATTTGTGAAAGGAGTCCCGTGTCAATGATGTACGGCTCGTCGATGCTCTTCTTCTTCGTTTCTTTTCGGACGTCGTTGTGATTGCTCGTATCGCCGATCCCGTCCACCTCAGTGTCGTGCTCTTCTGAGTCGGACCCGGACTCGAAGATGACACCTCGTCTCCACATATCCACAACCACCTGGCGGAATATCTCACCGAGATACAACCCAGCAGACATCTTCTCAAATGTCTGCTCTCCAGGCCGTGGCGACTCTCTGTCAATGATCTCGTCGTAACTCGTGCGCGGTAGGACGGTGTGTGAATTGTCAAAGGCGCCATATTCGCAGTTGATAGCCATCACGTCATCGTCCCCTTCATGTCCTCTACTATCAGCGTACAACTTCATCTTTGGAATATTCTTGATCTTCTCAATGTATGCGGCGTTGCACCCGGTGCCGAAAACAGCTCCGATGATCGTATCAGGATCTTTGTACTTCGAGGCAATCAAGGCACCGGTCGTGTCGTTTGTCAACGCGACCAGTTTTGTCGGCAGGTTCTAATCAGGTCAATCAGTATCATGAAAATCATGGTAGATCATAGATATGCCAGCTTGCCCTTTCTTCCATGGCACTCTTCAGCATTGCCGCCACGTCCTGTCCTTCCACGCCATCAATGTCCCAACCTTTCGTCCATGTTTGTAGAGCACCATGATCGATTCTATCTTGCGTTGCCGGATAGCTGAACGTGAAACCGAGAGGCAAGGTTCCGTCATCCTGCGGTTCAATCTGATGCTGTTGAATGAATTGCTGCAGTGAGTCCGCGATAAAAGACCAGAGTTCTTCGGAAGTGCCGTTTTTGAGCTTGGAAGGTAACTCATATCTCTCTTGGATGACTTGTACGCCGCTGCTGTCTCCATGCAGAGTAACTTGGCACACGCGAAGGTTAGTCCCCCCAAGATCCAATGCTATACATGTTCCGGTTTCGTCGCCAGTTGGTAGGGATGTTACCCAGGTGATGTTCATGGGCTTGGATACAATCAGCAAGGGCTCCTCTGGGATGATGACAGTGCCGATCATACGATATTCTGTCCTTGTTTCTCAAGACCTTGTATTTGAAAATGGTTAGTATGGGTCGAACGACCACAAACGTGCCTGGGCGTCCAATCTAAATATGAATACTGTGTCGAAGAACGGACAGGAGCATTTCCAGTATGAACACGGCTTATAGCGACACACCTTGCTGTAACTCCTGGCCAAACCTCTCAGTAATCCTTTGCAATGTAGCCGTGTCCACCGTGAAGATTTCTTCCAGCTTCTGCCGCTCATTTTCGAGATCAGGAGGGAGCGCTCCTAGAGGATCTAAACCAGACTTTGAGTTCCATGAGACAAAAGTCTGTGGCTGATACATACCTGGATGTTCTACATCTGTAAGAAACTCATCGTCACCCCTGGGCTGAGCTGACATCTTTGTCGTTAGTCTTACTCTGTTGAAAACAAATCTCAGGCTTCAAACACAGAACCGAAGGAGTACAAACTCTGCCAGAAGAAGCATTTGAAAGGGAGAAACAGCTGGCCAAAGACAAAAATGAACTGGAAAGAAGAAACCGGATAAAAAGAGCGAGGGCCAATCTGCGGAATATATCAATCTGCACATGGTCGGCAATTGGCCGTCTGATATCGAGATGCTCCTCATTTTCGGGTTCAAGGAACGAAGCTCATTATGACGTCAATCTTACAAACTCGTTCGAGAGACAATAGAAGAAAGTGCTGTGATATACTTGAATATATTATGCTGTAGTCTTTCGAGATAGGATCAGCAACTGAGACTGCTAAGGTGGTATCATGAATGTGGAAGAATACTGAGAGGTGCTTTTCTGGTCCGGCGAGAGTTTATCTTCGAGATAACAAGGCTAGCATTGCCAAGACAAGGCTGAACGTTGAGTCGTACTCGTATCCGAATGCTTCTCAACTCCAGACGAGCCCTGAATCTCTCACGAAATGTTCGTACCCGGTGTGACTGGAGGAGCAATATTATGTCTTTGACTGCTCTGCGGTTATACCGGACCTTGTGGCCTTGCCATCAGGCCAAGATCTTGCTCCACTTCGCCGCCATCTTGAATGCTGTTGGTTTGCCGTGCCCACGTGGCCGGCTTGAAACGGTCATCTACCTTCATTTGCGCTCTTGACTTGTCAATATTTGCTAAAAGCTCTGTCTCGGTCTTTTCGGGATCATTATCTGGTGGAGACAATAGTGAGTATGGACTGTACGGATCTGGTGCTAGAAGCTCTGTTTCTTCTTGATCTTGTTTTGATTTCGCTTGCCCGACAATCGGCGTAATATAGATATCGAAGGCCAGTGACAGACTCCAAGAGGCCGTGGTAAGTGCATATACCCACTCGGCAGGCGCCCCTGCTGCTATAATCCGGTAGCATTTCGTTCCCGAGGTCTGGATGTCCTTTGCCGTAGCACTGTGACAGCCAAAGATAGCCACCTCCATCATCGTCGCCGTGGCTGTAACGTATTAGCAAAGTAGAAGCAGGTGAGAGAGCTTGGACATACGTAAAGCAACCACGAGAGTAGCTACTCTCCACCAATACAAAAATCTAACGACGCCAATGTCCAAGAGACCAGGGTATTTTCGCCGTTGGAGATGATCTGTGATCCAGCCAGACGTTTTGATGCAGAATATTGACAGGGCCTTTGCAGCCGTTACCGTCAGATGAAGATGTCTATCAGGATTCGCCGCTGCGAATACCACCCAAATTGCCAATCCTCCGGATACTACACTGACGAGCCAGGTCGTCCGTCGGCTCTGCCATCCGATTACTTCGTCTCGTCCTCGGTAAAGGCTTATACATGCGGACGTGAAGTTGAAGAGCACGACACACATTGTCAGTCCTTGGTACACTGGCAGCCTTTTGGAACCAATGCAGCTGATGAAAGGGAACACACTGTACAGATTAGCGATCCGAGGAGGTCGTTCTCCAGTTTCAGGGTCTGCTGGTAAGGTATAATAAAAGGCAAACAGAAAAAGAAGCAGTGTAGTTTCCAGCAATGCAGCAGTGATGGGAAGAAGTGGTCCAATGGTGTACCAGTGGCTGTCGACGTAGTCGAATAATGGATGCCATGCTCGTGACTTCCGTCGTGACCTCCGTGTGAGCTTTTCAAGGGTGGTTTTTTGTCGGTAGAAACGAGGGCTGAATGTGGTGAAGCGACGTTGGACTATCTCGGGGCTGTAATGATCGAGGAATGAAGCAGCTTCGGATTGATACCAGCTGCCCCGGAGCTTTGAAGATTCCTGTCGAGTTGGCGGCATCTGCCCATTATACCAAATAAAGATATGTTTATGAAGAGCCTTACCACTTATTATATTCAACATGGGTGAAGTCTACTTGAAAATGAGTGTCGTGAGGCTCATCAGGCGTCCACTGCCACAAATGCATGTCCAATCAGAGAGACACGGTGTGCTGGCGAGCTGGACTGTCGATGATCCCTGGCTGAACATCCTCATGGAAACTTACCGGACTGGCCAAGCAAGATCATCTCTCCGGTATCCGATGATAAGCATGAGAAAGAAAGGAATTCCTTCCTTGCTGCAGATTGACTGCTTGACTATTCTGTATATAGAAGGGTGGGTGTGGTGTTGGGTCAGCACGTTGAATCCAGCTTGCCCAGTAATTAAAGAGCTTAAATTAACTTAGTTAGGTGTCTTGGGTGAGATTCTTTGTACAGGTTGCCCCTGTGAGAAGGCGATCTCATTCACTAGCCCCGGCGATAAATCACCTGTGGATTAGGTCTTTAGCTAGGTATTTAGAGCACCCCGATGCCGCTCTACAAAGGCTCAAGCCCCAACCAAAACTGCCTAGAAATTTCTCCCTTGGCGTGCCGGCACCAGCAACTCAGCTCTTACTCATTATTAGGCCGAGTGTCTTGTGCTCCATCACATGCAGTGGCGCATCTTCCATCATGTCATCGTCGACCTTCTCAAGCATCATCACCCAATCGGCTCAGCATCCCGACTTCATCGTCGACTAATTGCCAGATGGAAGGTGGTCACCAGGCGATACCAAGTGCCTCCATCTTGAACAATGACGTTTGACAGGTTGGGAAGCTTCGTTCACCTTGAAAACTGGGAAAAGGTGTAACTTCCACTGTAAGAAACGCTGGAGTAAAGAACAACTGTATCTATGCAATTTATCGTATTCTGGTAGTGCTATTGCCATTTACTAAGTTAGAAAAATATCTTTCTTCAGTCACTCCCTTCGCAATGCCTTTCCTGTGCCATTGACACATGATGGGCTATTGCCTGCACACAACTGACTTACGTCCTACTATTGAAGACGATTGCTTACCGTGAACGATGGAGAACAACCCCCAAAGCAATGATCCAGAAGAGCAACGACCACGAGTTTCATCTCGAGAGTATTCTGGCCAGAGTGTTCCTGAATCATCTTCACCGGCACACTCACGTCCGAGATATGCAGAATTCAGCTTCGGTCCAGCTAGTTTGAGGCATCGAGTTGCGAGCACAGCTGGAAGCCCAGGCCCAGCGAGATCCTTTCTTGCCCCACGCGACTACAACAGAACCTCTGTCGCTATTGCACCATCGACCTTCCATGATCCAGATACAGCCTCAAGGACATTCTCTTTGGCAGGGCCAGCACCTATCGATGCCAACACGTCTAATCAACCATACGTTGACCCTGGTTACGCACAACTGAACCCTGCCTATGATCAACCGCCTAACGTTCGGCCAGTATGGGGTCTGGCAAAACCTTTGCCACGAGTGCTGCGACCTGGCATGGTCCCAGCCAAAGATGAGCTAGAACAGGAAGCTGTGGAAGAGAGAGAAGCACCACCGCATGCAGACATCGAAGCTGGTAGAATCGAGCCGACACTTCGTCTGGACAAGGCGTCTTCTCAACTTGACACGATTCGCCGCGAGAGAGAACTATCGCTTTTCCGAGCCTATCAACACCACCTTTCTGAATCCCCGACACTGTCAGCCGTTGGGGCTAGAAGAAGATCGTCAGATGCGCGGACCGAGACACCCACAACTCGCGTCCGGACTCATCAGACTATACCAGAAGAGTCATTGCCAGATGTGGAAGCATTTCCTCAGTTGAGCGAGGCTATTGCGACAGTCCACCAAGCACGCGAGGAGCAGGAGGAAACAAAAGCTCCTTACCAAGATGCTGTACCCTTGCCTGCGTATCAAGCTGAGGATGACGAGATTCATAACCTTCATACCTATTGGTCAATCGTTCGTTTGAGATTCCGTGAACCTCTTGCGGAACTTCTCGCGGTATGTACCGCACACGGGGCGTTCTGCCTCTGTTCCCACAAAAACTGACCTCCGCGGCCCAGATAACTGTCCAATACACTCTCGGATTCAGCGTAAATCTCTCGCTCACAGTCTCTCGTGGTACAGCCGGCGCCGGTGATACAGGGTCTTGGGCTTGGGGTCTTGCCACCATGGTTGCTATTTACATCGCAGGTGGCATCTCTGGAGCTCACCTCAACCCAGCAATTTCAGTCATGCTTTATATTTTCCGCGGCTTCCCCCTTTCCAAAATCCCCAGCTACGTCGCTGCGCAGATGTTGGGAGCTTTTCTTGCCACTTTGATTGCTTTCGGGATTTTCAAACCAGGCTTAATGGCGCTGCTACATGAGCAAGGATCGTTGTCACTTCAGAGTGGGATCAACGATCTCTCCTCGTCATCCATGTCGACATTGTCTCCGACGATCGTACTGTCTAATTTCATCACGTTCCCGCGCACACCGTGGGTCGACACAGGCACCGCATTCCTGACCGAGCTTAGTGGGACCACAATACTTGTCATATCTGTTCTGGCGCTGGGAGACAACACCAACGCCCCCCCTGGGGCGGGCATGAATGCCTTCGTCGTCGGACTTCTTATCGCCGTGCTAGGTATGGCGTTTGGGTACAACACAGGGCTGGCAATGAACCCCGTGCGCGACTTTGGTCCCCGTCTCGCGCTATGGGTTTTAGGATATGATCCAGAGCTCCTCTTTGCCGATGGTTACTGGTTCAAAGTCAACTGGCTTGGTCCTTTGACCGGGGCAATCCTAGGTGGCTTCTTGTACGATGCCTTCATCTTTGTTGGCGGAGAGTCGCCTGTTAACTATCCGACCAGGCGGATCAGACGAGCTGCCAGGAAGTGGAGGAAGAGGTGGAGGGCCAGGATGAGGAGGACGAAGAAGAAGGTTGGAGGAATCAAAGGCGGCGTGCTTGGAGGTGGGAACAGAGGCTACGAGGCTGTCGAAGGATAAAGCTTTCGTGTCTTTAGTTGATTGTTCGGATATCTGAAACACGGCGGATAGCTAGAGTTGCGATCTGCATAGCATCCTGAGGCATACACGATTGTCCAAAAGGAAATGTATTTGCAATATATACTTAGAGGGCTATGGGAGGCGTGAGGATGAGTCGAAGATGGAGTGTCTAGCAGAAACTGTGGATGCGTGTCAGGGTAATAATGCCTCGATATTGATTAAAAACACCCTATGGGTAATCGTGGTATACGCTTTAAAAATATGATAATAACTACATAGTGCTTGCAACGCTCACGATAGTAGGCGAATGTCGTAAGAGCGCGCCATAAAAGGATACCGTGGGAGGATCGCTTTCAGGGCAAAGGGCGTATTCTCATCATCTGAACAATCGTCTTCCCGAGGCGCCGTCGCCTACTCTCCAAGCAGTGGGTCCTGGCACACCGAGTAGACCGTGGCTCATTCCCTGGAAACCCACGCCTCCGCCCTCACCGTCGGCCTTGTACCTCCGCAGGGCCTCTCGCAGGTGGTCCGGCAGCAGTCCCCCGCGGTGCGGGTTAGGGATGTACTCCTTGACCTCTCGCTTCAAGCGTTCAATGTCCCTGGTGAGCATGCGAGACTGCATGTCCGCCGGGGTCCCTGGTCGGGCGCCGGCACCGTTGTTCTGGGATTGGGTTTGTTTTTCCTTTTGCTTCTCTTCCAGAGCCTCCAGGTCCCTCCTTCGACGCTCCTTCTCGACCTCCCGGGTCGCCTCGTAGGCCCTTGCGTGTTCCTCTTGGACCTCTCGCGCCCGCTCCACGATCTCGCCGACGAACCATTTGCCGTAGATGCGGATGGCCTGCAGCGGGGCCGACGTGACCGACTGTGACACTATCGAGTTGACGAGCCGCTTCACCGTGGTGTTGTTGAGGGACAGGGCCCGCCATTGGTTGTACCGCGAGTACTGGTCCGGGTCGAGGGTGTCGGCCAGGCGCTCCCGGCGCTGTTCCTGTCGGATTTCTTCCTCCTCGGCCTGTCTGCGTTCCTGCTCGTCCATGTTCTCCAGCATGCCGTCGATCTCGACCTCGTCCTCCTCCTCGGCGTCGGCGTCGGCCCCTCCTCCGCCAGCGCCACTAGCGACTGACTTTGTGCCGCCCCGCCCGCCGGTTGCGCTCCTCGCGCCGCCGCCTTCGACCTGCGAGGCCGAGTCGGCTGGAGGCTGACGACGCGACGAGCGAATGTCGTCGGCGTTGAGCTGGGCCGATTTCCTGGGTCGGCCTCGTCCTCGACCGGGCACCTTGCCGCTGCTGACGCCCGAGACGGCGCTGTTGGCCACGCTGCCTGTCTCGGATCGCGCGCTGGTGACCGCCGAACTCTGTCGGGCATCGCGGGCGGGGAACGAGGTCTGTCTGAGCGGGTGGAGTTTGGGCCGCTTTGAACCTCCTGGCCCCGAGGCTTGGGAACTCATCGACGGTCGCTTCTTTGGGTTGGGGAGGCTGGCGGGAAAGGGTGCTGGAGGAGAACTCGCCATAACTGTTGTGGGTTGGGTGGGCGGAAGGTGGTTCGATGCTGTGATGTCAAGATCCGAGCAGTCGCTGTCGTTGTCGCTGGACGTGCGAAGACAACGGCTAGTCAACAAGCGAAGTTGCCCCTGGGATACTCGACTTCTGTAAAGGTCGATGCTGTTGATGGAATTCAAGCAGTTGTAGTGTCAAGTCTTTCTGCGCAGATTAATGGGATTTGAGATGCCGCGACGTTGGATTTCTTGGGGCGCGTTGACGTCGCTGCTTTTACAAATCCACATTGAGCAGTTTCAACAACTGCTTCAATTCAACGTCCATCATCACCTCTTCACTGCTCGATCAATTAACTTGTATACTTTCTAGGTATTCTGTCTCCTGCTTTGGACTTCGACATATCGACAGTCTATGGTCATATAAAAAATGATCATTGCGACTTGACCAGCGGCAGAACCTCAAGAGGCACAGAGCCCATCCTCGACATCTGCCCCCAGTAATAACAATTGTTCAACGAAGTGCTCATGACCAGCTTCACATTCGCTGCAGATTCTGAAACCTGTTCGGCATGAACGGCGATGGTTCTTGACCATGCGTCTGTGTCGACACGGTTCAAGAGTTCTCATGATCCACGATCCACACACGTGCCTCGCATCGCGGGCTTCGTGCCGGACGAGGGTATTGATTCACGTATTTCGGGGCTATATCAAGTTGCCTCTTCCGCTAGAATGGAGACGAAAACAAGGTAATCACATTCTTTGCAAGCTTACATTGATCGTTATTTTTGAATTCTAGCGATCGATCCTGATTAATCACAATTCATCCGCTTCCATACCACCGCCTGTTTGCATTCGTCAACTGCGAAGATGGACTTTGATCCAAGTGAGGTCGCCTATGTTCCCACTACCGGGGTACGAAAGGAATTCAAATTAGCTGTGGTGAAGGCCACTCCCGAGAGCGTCAAGGGCTACGGCCACATCGTCGACTCGCCGGACAACTTCCCAATTGAAATCGTCCGATGGCCCGCTCAAGGTTGGAGACCCATCGACAAGAACTCTGGTGATCAAGGCGGGACCACCGAGGGACTCTTCGAGTTCTGGTGGAAAGGCGACACGTTGTATGCACGCAACAACGCCGTGGGCGACAGCTATCTGTTTGCGTGGAGCCAATTCCCAGAAGAGGCTTCCAGCGTCGGTGACGCCAACGCCCGCGACAAAGTCCTCATATGGCGAGCCAACTATCACCCGGATGGAGGACAGATGTTCTTCCCCATGGATGGGCAGAGTTTCATCGTCCCTGTGGCTTTGCCCGGGGACGACGTGACGCCGGAGAAGTTTGTCGCTTTCAGGGTCGACGGTGGGAAAGGCCTCTACATTCATCCAAACATATGGCATGGGGCGGTCGTTCCTCTTGATGATCACAGTCGTTTCATCGACCGTCAAGGCAAAGTCCACGCTCGGGTATCTGTTGACTTTGCGAAGGAGTTTGGGGGCTATCTATCCATACCGCTGCCTTCGGTCAATGGTACGAATGGGACAGGACATTGATGCACAAGTTCTGGTTGTGGCCAGGAGCTTTTCCGGTCCAATCTTTACCACGCATGTTCAGCAACCCTCAGACACATTATCCCTACAGAGAAAAGCTCCACGATTGCGCTCATCAGCACTACACGATGTGATTTAAATATAGGATTGGACACTTTCTACCTCATCAGTCTAATTCGAAGAACATATAAGTCTTCAGCCTTACCGTGGATGCTCATTGCGCTCGATCATCTCTATATGTACGAGTTATGCCACCCTACCGTCAAGGATGATGCTTCAACAAAAAAAATGCCTGCAAACTCACTTCGCTCCCAGCCTCTCCCCTCCCTCTTTGTCGCCATCTCGAGTACGAGTACCGTCCTCCGTACGGCTGGATACAGGTATTCCCTTTACTAGGTAGTTGATCATCTATTGAGTACAAGGGTCTCAGAATTTACATTTCCGAAACCAAAAAGCCGTTGGCTTTTTTTGTTACGTTGTTCTTCACCGTCTTTTTCCCCTACCTAATGCAACAGTCCCCTACCTAATGCAATAGCCACCACCACCGTCACCACCATGTACGTACTGAAAACCCAAAGTATATTCTGCAGCAGCTGACATGTCTTTTGGTGTGTGTGTGTGTGTGTGTGTGTGTCAATTTACATCATGAGCCCATGCCCACATAATAACCTGAGTGGAAATCCTACTCCGTAAATACCCCTGTGAATCTGATCCTTGCAGAGCCACAAACTTTGTCCCATTGATACTTTTTCGTCTCTATCGTACAGTTCAATACCTCCGTGTACCCTATGTACAGTACAAATTATGTGTCAATCTCCCTCGACGAGTATCACTTCCGCTTTCCGGCAAACACCGGGGCGTGGATGTCAACAAACGTCAAAGAAAATCTTGACACGGGTAATTTGAGAAACCTTTTTTTGGTTTCCCTTGCTCTGCTCTGCCCAAGCTCTGGCTCCTCGTTTTAGCTTTACTCAAAAGTCCCCTCGATGTGAAGGAAAGTTTTTCTTCTTTTGTGGATTCACCAAGACGAGAGAGAGAGATCTCAAATCAGCCGTACTCCGGTGATCCATACTCCGTACTCCATACTCTGTCCAAAAAAAAAAAAAAGCAAAAGAGCAGCAATGTCAAATAATACCGGCGAAAACCCGCAAAAGCATAATCAAACCCTGTTCGAAACGAGACTCGTTGTTTGATTCGTACTTGCCCAATGTGTGCTTTGTTCGTTCACAAAAAAAACAACTTGGATTTCAGTTCTGGTATGTAAACAAACCTTGAGGCGTAACGAAATACCATCACTCGTACGGATCTTTACGTTTCCGTCACCACCCTCACCCCTCCCTCCCCCCTCCCCTGAGCCCTCGTTTTGTGACAACTCTTCATCAACGCGGTCAAGAGAGAGAGAGAGAAAAGGAGATTGATGGGGCAAAAAAAAGAAACAAAAAAGTGGCAAACACAATTCTGTCACGTCCTCACATCGATTTTGACACCCACACACACCCACTAATACACCCACAAACACACACACAAACACATCATCTCTCACACCACGTCTCTCACTGATCTCCCCTGCCCGTCACAGAACCCTTGATGGCTGTGTGATGGAAAAACGAATCTGCAAAGTTGACAAGGGGGCTTCTCTCTCTCTCTCTCTCGGGCGAGATCGATGGAAGGAATCTCCTACCGAGAGCCAGCCACAACAACAGGTCTTTTTTTGTTCATCACCCTCAACTACTACCACCACTTCGCCTTCACTTCCCGTTGACCCATGAACGATCTTACTCCCCATCTCGGCATGTACACTCGGTGCCTTTGTCCGTACGAAGTAGTCATGACAGTCATGTCGTACAGAAATGCTCCAAGGTAAAATCTGTCTTGTTTTTTTGTTCTTGTAGATCTTTGAAACTATGGTAGAATAAATCTCAACCTCGTCCTCGTCATAGAAAGTCTGGCCTGTCAACGGACGAGACACTCCGTTCCCGATCAAGGGTACGAAACTGCAAACACTGCACACTCCGTGTACAAATGAAACAACAACAAAAACACACATTGGTTCATCATCAAATATCTTTTCTTTCCACAGTCCCTGTTCCACTGGTGGCGAAAGTTGGAGAGAAGAACAATAGAGGAACGAGGAATACTCCTCCCGGCCATGGGAACGACTTGGGCCACCGGTAAAACTCCTCAAACGCCGCTCGAGAGTACTCGTCATGTTGGTAACCTACCAAAGAACATAGAGGTAGATTCTCGACTGCCCAACCCAATTCAATCCCAAAGATACAACCATCCTTTTCCCATGTCGTACATGTCGTGATAATGTGCTTCCTCGACGCTTTCTTCTCCTCGAGATTCCATACCCGTAGTACGTCCTACATCGACAGGATCCCTCTGGCAATATTGATTTGGCCATGATCGGTCAGAAATTCATTCCCAATCACATGGTCGCAGTTGAGAAATAGTAACCACTCCAAAGCCACTCATAGTCTTCCACCACACCACCGACAAGATCCAGGATCGGTTTCCCCTTCAAACCCTGTGCGGCACCATGGATCCATCTCTTCGTGACGTTCTCATAGAATGCCCCCCTCATCCCCCACCACGCGAGACTCCAACCTCGCTTCTTGAGTTCCTCTCTCTCCAGCGCCGACAACCCACTCTTCGCGCCTCCAGGCACACGAGAAGTCAGATCCTTCTTGGCCAGCTGCCGTGCAACATACTCCATCGCGAACCCCACGAGCCAAGGAGTCCAGTGTTTCTTCCACTTGGTCCCTTCGTACCCGTACATGGCCACGACGCGCTGCATCATGAGTGCGTAGACGACGGGGCGCAAGATGTACAGAACCTCGGCGCCCTGGCCACGCAACGTCGTCAAACGGTGCAACAATTGCTTCGCGGGCTTGACGTCGTCCGCCGTGAGAACGTGGTTGAGCAAGTACGCCGACACACTGTCGGGCGTGGGCAGCGTGGGCAACGTGAAACCAGTGCGCGGCATGTTGTACGGTTCCGAAATCGACAGACTCGACGTCGGTTTGCCGTTCGACCCGGAATCCGACAACGGCGGTGTCGGCACACCCGCCTCGCCCAGCGCGGTCTTGACGTCGAACGCGGTATTGCCCTCTCCACGCATCAGTTCCTCTTCCACCACGAGTTCGTCATCGTCCTCGCCCGGTTCGATGCGGGCAAAGTCCTCGCGCAACGGCAAGGGCGGGCTGACCAGGGGCCGCGAGTTGGTCAAGCGCATCAGCAAGAGTCGACAAACGGCCTTGAACGACTCGAGCAGCACGACCACGCGCCACCGCGTCTTCTCGCCTCCCCTTCTCCGCGCCAGCATCTCCCACAGCAACTCGGTGTATTGCGCCATCTTCAACAGCGTCGCGATCTTGGTGTAGAGAGTAGAGGTGGTGGTCCAGAATGTGGTGTAGCGCGCGTGCAAGGACGGTTTCGGCTTCTGAGCGGCGGCGGCATTTCGAGCCTTGAGAATTGTGGGGGAGATGGCGAGCACCGCGGCGCGCTTCTTGAGAAGATGGTCATGGTAAATCGATAGAAGTTGGACAAAGGTGTGGACGGATTCGGAGGCGAGTTCGGAGTCGTGGAAGCGTGCGCCGGGGAGGAGGTACGTTAGGGAGCGAAGGGAACTTTCGATATTCGATACTGCAGCGGCATTATGAGCGACGTAGTTGTGGTATGTTGATGGAAGGTTCATGGCGGCCTTGGTGACTTCGGCGGATGCGCTGGACAAGGTGGTCATGGTCGCGTGCATTGACTGGTGGAATTTACTCGTAGACGAGACCATGATTCTCGAGTCCCTCGGAGGGTGGTCGTTCAAGACGACCTGGCGATTAGAATGTGTCGCCTCCTCTGTTGATGAAGTCGATGATGAATGTCGAGGGGGGGGTTGTAAAGAATGAAGTGAAGTCGGAGGATAGTTGATTGATGGCGACGGGATGGGAGAGAACGGGATTCCAGTCAGCGAGTTGAAGATGCTGTGCTGGTTGTGATTGGTTGTGAGATATGCCGAGGTATCTCAGGTATCTACGTACTACAAGATCGTTCTCCGTATCTAATTCGACTAATAAGAGTACGAGATTGTAGGTGCCTCAGTAACTTCATATACTTGAGAATCCTGTTCCATGAATTATGATGAAGACATGAGAATAAGGCTCTGTGGTTGCATCAAGCATGTCTATTCGTGACAACAGGCCCACTCTGAGCAATGGTTGTGATTTTTACAAGTAGAGCCTTGTCATTCGCTTCAACACAATGTCAGTGTTCTTCTTCCACAACTAAAACAGATTGTGAGAGGAATAAACAACTTCATCACTTCATCTCGTCGCCACAACATCACCAAGGACATTTTCGAGCGAGACAGGAGTAGCCGCGACAGTCACAATATCATACCTGGCGCTATTAAATCAATCACAACACTCTCACCGGCGGAAGACTTGTCTTTCGTTCCACGCCCTCACTTTCTCTCTTCACAATGCCACCAAAGAAAGTCACCTCCAGATCCAAGGCCAAGTCTACCCTTCCTCCCGCTCCTGTCGCCCCAAAATCTGGTCCTTGGTCGACAGCCCGAATCCTCAACTCAACCTCGCCCATCACACAAAAAGATATTCACTCTTTCCTCGTCCGAGCCGTGTCCGACTGGTCCACCAGCTACACCGAAGACGAGAAACGAGCAATCATCGACTCCCTCCCACCGCGCCTGCGTATCTACGACGTCGACTCGTCCGGCAAGCTTGTCTGTCCAGTCACCCCCGACTTTGTGCTTGGAGACCCGCACGTCAAAGCGGCCATTCCGAAATTCAAACGACAAGTCACAGAGGGATATTACGAGAAGGGATGGCAGAAACGTGCTATGGCCGCCACGAGGGAGAGGGTAGATGGAAGGTTCGATGCATACCTACAGGAACAGGTTGACGCATTTTTCGGAGGAGATGAGGACGATGAGGAAGATGGTGGTGGTGGCGGCGGTGGTGTTACTGGTACCGTCGAAGATGTCGCCAGTAGCGATGGGGAGTGGAAAGGCCGTTGAAATTCCCAGTACGGTCGCAGTCACCTGCCTACCTACCTAGGTACACGGTGCTGTGTATCACGAATGGAATGATGAATGAATGAATTCACCCAGACTGCGGACAGGCTTTGGGCACCAATCGGGGAAAGAGATACAGATACGGGAGTACACCTACTACTTCCTCCTCGACTACAGGTGCATGCCTTTGCCTTGCCAGAAGTTCCCACGATATTTGTCTCGGAACCAACAGGTGGAAACAACGTCATGATCATGACACATTGCAAAGGGGACCACAGATTATCGAACGTGTTCGAACAAAACCAACCTGGGGGTTGTGAAATGGTCCGATCTGCAAGTAGCAGGCAAGCAGCCATGTTCTGTTCCCCTTGTCAATTGTCCCTTCTCATTGTCCACGAGGCCAAGAGGCCCAAACGCACGCAGTCTCTCCCCCCCACCGCTACTGCACGCCACTTGGGTACCAAACTGTACGAGTACAGAACAGGTATGATTGTGGCTTGCTGCAGATGAGCGAAAGGAAACAGATATGCAATGCTGGGTTATGGAGTACTTGGTTTCAAGACAAAGTACTTTGTTGTCCCTGCAGGTAATGTAGCTAGACAAGAATAGAAGAAGTATCAGGGAACTCTTTACCCCATTAATGAAATTTCTTTGACAAAAAGAACATGATGACGGAGTTTCTAGAAGTGTTCCAAAGGTCTTTTCTTTTCCGTCAGTGTTCCATGGAACTCGGCCAGCCCAGCGCCATTGTAATGTAGGCGAGGTGTCTTTTGGGGGGGGGAAAGAAGTGGGAGAATGGTCACGCTCATGGAAACATTGGGTCACACAAACCGTTATCCTGTGTAACAATTTCCCACACCTGTCATATGTCAGTGACGGTTGTAATCATCCTTGGATCGGACCGGCGTGTGTGTAACGTGTCAATCTGCTGATAGCCTATGTTTCGTGTAACCATTTTTGTCAGGACGACAACGACAAGAACAAGAACAAGACAACGGACGGAAGAAATGTTCGCAACTGAATATCGGTACAATGTACAGTATGCGGGCGGGTATATGCGTTGTTGGATCTGGAGCAGGAGCAGCGGTGTGACGTGTCTCTCTTTTTTGTTTCTTTTCCTATCGTCTCTCTGTCTCTCTCGCTTTCTCTCCAAGCAAATGTAACGCATGCAGAGAAGCAAAGACTTGAAGAAAAAGAATCAGACAGGCCAGTTAGGTAGATACTCTGTGTAGGTAGGTCGGTACTCCAACGTCCGTGAAACCCGTCGTAACCCGTCGTACTCTTTTCGTAATCTGATAAACGAATAGATGATGACGAGTACTACTCCTTTAAAAGGAAAAAAAAAGGACCCAAAAAAAAGACTATTGTTCCAGTCTCGAACACTTTGCACTCAAGCTCAAGCGAAGGAACTACGAGTAAGCGAGTAAGCGCGAGAGAGAGAGAGAGAGAGAGAGAATGTGTCGAGTACTCATACGGAATAAAAAGTAGTTCTAGTATTATGAGTACTGGTACTCCGTACTCCGTAGGGGATTCGCATCAATAAACCCGTTTCCGGGAAATCATTTTTAGTGCTAGGCTAGGTGTCTAGGTAGGTAGTTATTGTATCCGTACACAGTTGTGGTCCTTTTTTTTTGTTCTTCTTTTCTCATCAGTAAGCCCCCCCCGTCCATCCCTATCCCCTTTTGGAGGAGATCATTGACTACTTTAGTAGGTATCTACCCAAGGTACGGAGTAGAAATTGACAATCGGAATCCCCCTTATTTCTTATCTACTGTTACGGCGTAAGTAGTGTAGAGAACGCTTCCGAGACCCTACCTAGATACTACGTAAAGCTTGCTTGTTATTCTTACTCCGTACGAGTATGTACCATTGTAGAATCTAGGTAGCCATAGCGAATTCGAATCATCATCATCATCACCATCATCATCACCATGAATCACTAGCTCCTTCGTCCATTTTGAACCCCCCAAAAAAGAGTCCATTCTATTGCGCCAATCAATCATTCTGACAATAAAACTAGAAAAATAAAAGACAGGGATTACGGAGTTATTAATTATTCATTATTATTATTATCATTATTATTATCATTATTATTATCATTATTATTATCATTATTTCACAATCACGCCAATGGTGAGAGGGTGACTTGTGACTTGCTCTAAAACCAGCCAGTCATTTCTAATCTGTTCCCATCCGGAACAAAAACAATTTTATTGTACTCGTACTTCTTCTTCTTCTTCTTCTTCTGCTCCCCTATGGAGTACTTCCTCCTCCTCCCTTTTACCGAGTGAGAATAAGTAGTCGTACCAAAGTGCCATCCTCGCTTACGAGTTTCATGGACCTGGTCCGGCGGCCCCATTTTTGGAACCCGATTATGCTCCGGGTACTCCGTATTGTCGTTGTCTTTGGTCTTTGACGGCTCGGTTCGTTAACCGGCCCAGGAAATTCAAAAGAGTCTGGCCTGTTTCAATCTGGGTGTGAAACAACGCCATCGACACCTTTTTTTTTTCTTTTCCCGCTCAATCCCGACAAAAGACTGCGAAAAGCGAAACGAGGACCGGATGACCTCCCCCCCTCTCCCAGCTTGGCTTGCTCACCACTGCTTGTCATTTAAAATCATGACCCAATCAATAACAGGCGAGAAACGTAAAACCACATCCCACCCCTGGTTTTTTGCGAATCTGACTGATGTGGGTGGATGGCTGGGTCGACCGATGGTGGTCCCGGATAGACCTGTCAACTCATCCGATCCCGGTGTTTGTCACTTTTCTCATCCCGGACGTGATTTGTTTCTTGATCCATGGATGGATCTCTCCAAGTCCAGGGTATCCCTACCAAAAAAAAAGGGCTGGGGCTGCCGCATCGAGCGCATTGCATACTCCCTGTACGTTCCCAAGGCGAAGCCAGCGTTTCTGCATCATCCCATCTGCATTCATCTGCATCACGCGCGCGCGCGCACCCGCGTGTCTGCCCTGCGTTCCTTGATCCCGGGGAACCACGTTTGTGCTCTGTGCCCTCGAATTGCGTGTTGGCGACGCTTTCCCTTTCCAGATTGTCGGTGTGTTCACCGCTTCCCACCAGCGCGACAATCCGCCGCGGGCGTGGCCACAAGTTTTGACTCGTTCGACACCTTGGGGCCAGACAACTCGTAGGCTTCTCCAACCGTCTCGCCGCCGCCGACACCGTCACTCCGTACCGTGCAGGGCGTCGGTCGCTATTGTCGTCACGACCAGAACCTGCAGGCGAAAGGTAAAAAAATGAAGTGCGGCAAGCGACATTGGCTACCGAGGTCATGAGATCACTGTAAAATCCTGGCGAGGGAGAGAAAACCTCGACGGCGAGCTGCTTCTCAGAGATCATATGTATACCTTTTGTTGGAATGCAGACCTCCGCTTTTCCGAATCATCCGACCTTCGGCAGGTCACTCTTTGAATTTTCAAACCGAGAACAATGGCCTTGGTTGGATACATCCGATGCCGCCTATTTTTTTTTGGCCGCAGAGCAGATGGATATCTCTGACCCCCGACCGTTCAAAGACCATTCGCGCGCGCAAACCTGGACCCTCCCTCGGTGAGCTCATTGTTGTATGTAGGGCATGCCTTTAGCTTCCCGCTTTCGTTCGTTCCTGCGAGTGATGGGACTTGTCAATAGTATGGCAAGCGTTATTGTGTGCTCTCGACGATGCATCAATGGTGGATCACTGGGTTGAACGGTGGATCCTGCGGTGTAGACCTAGTGGTTTAGTATTAGGATCTATCCGCTTCACTTTGCTGAACTCTGTACAATCTGAGGGAGACCCGTTGAGGTGCGAACACGTACATAGTTTTGAGCAAAAATGATATAGTGCCCGACTGGACCGGCGCGACGGAGTGGACTGCCTGATTTTTGTTCTCTTTCCCTTTTCAATGGTCACTTCTTCTCTCTGAACGTTCGAGGGTGACCGCCCCTTCTTGGAAGCTCGCCAGAAAATACCCTTCGGTTCCCTTGGGCGGATTCTCGACAAACTTTCACCCGCATTCCCCGGCTAGACTAGAGGAGCGGGACGGCGTCGACGGTCATCCGCTTCACACACACACACACACAAGGGTGGCTGACAAGTGGACACGACTTTGTACCCTTGGGTCAGAAGGGGGCCCATTTCCGGTTTGGACGAGAAGCAAAGACGGTGACAGATGGAGAAAAAAGGGGAAACCGCAGATCGTCCGATGATACGGAGTACGTGTATTTTGATGTGCTCGCTTGCAAAGGCCAAAGCCGTCACTTTCAGCTATCACTGTGTCGCTCAGGGTCAGTGCTTTTCGGTGACTGTGTGTGTGTGTGTGTAGTCGTCAGTGGGGGCCAACACCTTGTATCGCCCTTGAACGTCTTTTCCGGATCAGAGAGATTTGGGCCGGTCGACTCAGTCGGCCGCTTTTCCTCCCAAACCAACAAGATCGGTGTTTTGTATGGGGTACCTAGGTAGGAACTCTCTCGTATTGGTATTCGTATTGTACTCGTATTGTACAACAACAATCAACACCGTGTCCGAGAAAAAGGACGGGACCGGTTTCTTCCCAAGGCTCCCCCCAGAGGACCCAGTGTCAACGTCTTGCGCGCTTCCACAAACGGCTTGTAACGAACAGCATCGTGAAATCTTACGAACTTTATCTCATCATCCTGTCAAGATTGTCAAAGCCTAATTCGCTTGATGGAGACGTCTCCCTCTCCCTTCGGACGGGCGCCACTGAGAGAGGCTCCGCTCCATGCTCTCCTCCTTGTAGCAGTGTGAACTTGAACCCTGGTACACTCCTCCTGACTTGTTGGGAGTGTCCCTTCAATGTGGACTATCTCCCGGGTCCCCCCTCCCCTCAAATGCAGTTCTCCTATCGGTGTGGTGTATGTCTAGTCTGAGGACAGTAGAAAACGGGTCTCCTGGTTCTTCTTAGTGGCTTCCTATCGAAAGCTGCCAGGGGGGATCCCTTTCTCTCTCTCTGTGTACTCGTATACTCCGTAGTCCGTAGTCCAGTCCCTCCCGGTAGCCCAATGATGATATCAGGTGTTCCTCGGGTGTCTTTGGTACCAAGAGTAGACGACGAACTCCGGTTGGGCATAGTGTGCCTCTGTGTCTCTTTGGAGCCGTGCCCGGCTGCATGAGAATGGATCTTCGAAGGCGAAGTACATTCGTCCTCGCTCCGCTCGAGCTTGTTTGCGCCTCAATGCTGTGACAAGTGCCAATAGCCAGCGCAAGAGCCAGGCTGTGGGCTCAGGGTTTGTCTATTCTGCCTGCCAACACTTACGATCCCTGGTATATGCAAAAGCACGACCGATCCATTCCTGTCTTCTTTCTACCAGCCTGACCCGCACTTTGACCGCACTTTTGGAACTTCAACCGGACAAAGGGCCCTTCTTATAAGCAAGCCTGTTTTGTTCCATTGCAATTGCCAAACACACAACCCCCCCTTCGACTTCATCGCCAACCTTTTCTTGTTCCCCAGACCTTCTACGACAAACTAGATCCTATCCAGGTATTCTGGAACCATCCTGGTGGAAACGCCGGCGCCTTGCTTGGGTTCTCGCTACGAGGATCAGCATTTGAGCACACAGAAACGAAAAAAATAGCCCGCCCGTGTTAGTAGTACCTTTCTGCTGGCCCTGTTCAAGCCTGAGACATACCCGGATTCACCTTGTGCAACTTCCCTCGCTCTCAAACATTTGTTCCATGTGTGTATGGCCTCGACCACTCACCGTGCGCCACGACCTCGCCCTCATATTCTCTCCGCGGATACACCGTCATATCACTCATCGTGGATATCTCGTCGCTGCTCAAGTCGAACGAGGAAGACGAAAGCCAGTCGGTCAGTTCTCTTACTTCCGTGTCTCGCTCAGAATCTGCGCCATCGAGCGTCGCCACCAGCGTGGCGCCCGTGCCACCGCACCCGCGCTCAGCGGTGCCTGCGAAACGCCTGTCTTCCACCCAGGACCATCCCATCCAGTCTCCAGCCAAGAAGCAGTCCAAATGGTCCCCCGAGGAAGACACCAGAATCATCCAACTTCGTCAGGATGGGATGAAGTGGGAGGACATCAGCAAGCACCTGCCCGGTCGAAGTGCCATCAGTTGTAGGCTGCATTATCAGAACTACCTGGAGCGCAGAAGTGAGTGGGACGAGGACCGCAAGAATAAGCTTGCAAGGTTGTACGAGAGGTATGTCGAGAAACGTGGCACCCAGATCGTGAAACCTTGAGAATCATCGCCTGCGTGCCTGACAGCCGGACCCAAGACTGTGAACTGACATCGACCAAACCAGGTTCCGTGCAGAAATGTGGTCAAGAGTGGCCGAAGAGATGGCCATGCCGTGGAGGGCCGTCGAGGCGATGCACTGGCAGATGGGAGAGCATGAGATGGCTAAACGCGCCGGAGTAACACCCTTCTCTCTCAGCAACCCTACCAGCGCATACGAGTCCATCTCTCTACCTCCTCGTGGACATCTTCGGCACATTGGGCCTCCTCCTCGATCACGACGGGAGTCCATACCGCCGCCCGATGTCTCATACACAAGTCCTCATCAACTGCCATCGTTGGCCGAACTCACGGCAGGGCTGCCAGCATTTTCGGCTCCTCCCTACCATACAACCGACCCTTTCCACCACGTGTACAACAAATCTAGAGATCGAAATTCTCCTTTTCGGTGATATTTCTGGGCAGCTTTGAAATTTGAGCGAGCATCATTGGGATAAAATAGCAGGCGGGCGTAGCGATATGGTTCCGGGTTTCACGAGTCTTCGGTTGGTCATCGAGTTGAGCATGCGTCTTTGCCCCAGTCAACCAGAGAACCAAGAAGGAGGCTGTAATATAGTGGAAGGAGGAGATACGCCTCGAGAGGATCAGGCGAAAATGCTGAACAAATAATGAAAACGAGCGTCTTGTTTTTTCCTTCAGCCTTGCCGTCCGATGATGACCCACCAGTTGTCCCGATCGTAGCCAGATTTGACTATCCGGGCACCTGCAGTCTTCGCATCGTCCTCGAGTTCTCCTTCATGGTATAGGTGATAGTAACGATGATAGGTTTTCGGCGGTTCAGTATTAGTGTTGTGATCTGGCTTGAGAACCCACGGGACCAACACATCTTGATTGTCGCCCTTGTCCCAGCCTCGCCGGCTACTTTTCTGTTCCAGTGCCCAGACGAAAATCAACGCTTGGCCACTGTCCGCTTTCTGAGAGGGCGGCTTGAGTGTCTGCAGAATCCTCGAGATTGCTTCGATCCTCCTCTCTTTCGTGGAGAGATGGTGTATGACTGCAATCGAGATGGCGAAATCAAATCGTGAGTCTGGATGAGGCAGGTTCAACGTGTCTGCCAGCAGTGCGCTGTGGGGCTGGTGCTGACTTGCAATGTCCACGAGTGCTTTTGATCTAGTGGAAAGAGTCAATGGCCACCTTCACACATAATTGAAGGGAGACTGGGCATGCCTATCCGAAGCGACAATAAAGACGTCTTTGTTGACCGTCAAATACTTCCCGTTTCCGCAACCGATGTCTAGGCCGACGGATCCAACCGGTAGACCACGTAGAAACCAATCCACCACCGGCCACGGCTGTTAGTGGTGGTTAGCAGGGCAGGTCAAAGGAGGAGGTTCATAACAACCTTGTAGCGTGTGGCAGAGAAATGAGATGCAATCTCTTCATATACCTGATGTACATGCCTGTCCTCATAGTCCAGTTGGCCCGTCTGGGCAGCCATGGAGACGTCAGCCTCGCCTTTGCCGTCTATAGTCTGACGTTAGCCTCTAGCAAGCATTATCTGGGTTCATAGTTCATAACATGTGGTCAAGAAAACTGGTCAAGGGAGAACTGGCTTGTATCGAGCAGAGTGCTGAGCCTGGATATCGAGATCGAGGGGCAGATGTGTTGGAACGAGGGCAAGCGAAAAAAAATAATTCGAGGCTAAATATCGGCAAATATTGAATGCGGGGACTTCGTTGGATCTCGGAATAGATTATCCGTTCCGCGCAGCCTTGCACCACCTTACTGAGTACGTGACGCAGAAATACCGCCTACATTCTCCATCGAAACATGTATTAAAGTAGCTCTAGGGGGGGAAATATGAATAAAAACATATATGATGCTCATACAAGAATCGCAAGAGATATTTGGGGCCTCCATGCACATCGTTTCAAGTCGTAGATCCTGTTCAGCACCTCGCTGACTGTGGAAGCATGAAAACCAATTATTGATGCTCATAGAACCTCGATGACCTGCCCCCCAACCGTTGTTTCAATATTACTCGAAGATTCAAAAACACTCAGAATGCCAGAGCTCCTGATCATGAGTGCCAATACAATTGCAAGCAAAGGGATCTGTGCGGATTCGTTAGATATCAAGGCTGAGAGTAATCGACGATTTGGCTTACCCAGAAAAAGAACAGTTTCCTATCTCGACTCAGCTCAACTCTCTCTACCGCTTTCCTCATGGGGATTGTAGAGTTGAGAGCTGATCCTGACGCTTCCGCGTGCTGACTAGTGGATTGGCCCTCAAAGTGCAGATCGGCTGCGGCATCAGTGGCAGCTTGAAGCGCAGACGATTTCTTGAGGCTCCAGTCCTCGGCGCTGCCACCATCGTCGGGATAAAGATCGCCATAAGCAGGGGGAGAAGATGGCGTTGGCGACGATGTGCCCGTTAGAGTTTCCCACCAGCCTTCTCTTTGACCATTCTGTTGTCTTGAGCTGGGGCGTTGCGGGAAGAGTGAGCTAACCCGACGCACCATTGGGTACGCTTGATAGTCTTGTAAAGCGGCCAGATGTCCTTCTAGACTAGGCATCAGAGATTGGGCGCTTTCGTTGAATTGGTGCAACTGGGCAACCAGATGATCCCGCCATGCCATCATGTAGGCTGATGGCGCCATATTTGGAGCTTGGTTGTTGACACCGGGTTGTGTCGTCTCTGGAGCGACGATGTGGTGTGCACTGTTTCTTCTCGTGCCTGGTATGCTCACTATGGCTTTATTTATGCCGGGCCTGCTTAACGGCCGGTGTAGGCTCAGATCTTCTGTCGCTCCTTCGGCAGGATTGTCATCTTCTATGCCAGAATCATCGGTATCGTCGGAGTCAGTAGTGGGATATTGACTTGAATCGTGCTCCCAGAAAGATCGAAGAGATGACGAACTCCTGCTATGTAGGAGCATCGGGGTTCCTCCAGCACTGCGAGATCGATAATGTTCCATCCTATTCATAGTAGCTTGATATGCCAACAATGACGTCGCCAGGTCTGCAGGAGTAAAGTGGCGGATACTACGTGCCTTGTGATTAGCACCTGCCAGTCGTAGTCGATGTATCACATGCGTGTGTCCGTTCATCGACGCGTGGTGCATGGGTGTGTAGCCATTGTTGTCGAAGACGTTCGGATCAGCACCCCTTGCCAGAAGACCGGCAACAAAGCGAGTGAGGCCCAAGGACGAGGCCAGGTGAAGAAGTGTAAGACCAGAAGGGCGGCGAAGGTCGAACCGGGGAGGTCTGATGTTGTTTTGCGCATCCATGTGGTCGAGAGCACGCAACATGAGTGCTTCAAGTTCAAGAGTATCCATGGGAACACCATTAGCAAGCCTAGAATTGCGCTGATGGCCTCCGTTCATGCCGTAGCTTCCATGTGAAGGCCACATTGAATGGGACTGCCCTTGTAGAAGCTGTTGAGCCGCAGAATATGGGTCATCGGTAGGGTGCTGTAGTTGTTTGCCCAATGTTCTCAAAGCAAGGCGGAACATTTCCAGCTCTCGATCGTCGACGTAGGTGAAAAGGGATGGCCGGGTCTGGGATTGCTGTTGCAGACCAGAGTACTGTGGGTGATCATGTTTGAAGACAACAGCCACGACGCCAGGCTGAAGAGCAGGCGGTGCAATGCAGTTAAGGCACTTCTCGCCCCAGAAAGTAGTGGTTGTCGCCTCAGTATCACCGAACATGACTTCCAGCCCTTGGTAAAATCCATTTCCGAGCAACGTCACTTCCGTGCCTCCGGTTACGGACCCTTCAGCAGGAACCAGCTTGTGTATCAAAGGATGCGGCGGGCGCCGACTTGGCTGACCCATGAGCTGATTACTGACAGCCTGACCGAGCACGGCATCTGATGCACCAAAGCTATTTCTTGCAGACCCAGGGCTGCTGGGACGACTGGGCTGTCGCGATGGTGGAGCAGAAAGTAACGTCGTGCCGCGGGGGATGTTTTCCAGGCTAAAAGACCGATTGAGACTGGAGTTAAAGGTCGTCTCGTTACCACCGGGTGTGGGGGGGCTCGTGCCAAAGGGTCCTGGACGGGATGATGGCATCACGAATTGGCGTTCGTTGGGAGGCATGTACGAGGCCATATTTTGGGGCCAAGGCGATGGCGCGATGGTACTAGGCACAGTGGTCGAAGAGGAATGGGAGTGCTGAGCAGTATCAAGGCGTGTCATTGTCAGACCTGACGGTAGCTTTCCTGAGCCACTCTGCTTTCGTCTCTTGGTTGTCGGCCCTGGAACTCCATTAGGGGAAGCAGGCCTCGAAAGGTTTCGAGGCGTAAGCGTATTGGACGTTTGGAGGGACAAGGTTGAAGGAATCGCGAACGGATTCGATGCCGGAGCCATTGGAAACTTCGGGTTGAAATTATTCTGGAGACCATGTAGATCGGTCGTGGAAAAGGACTGCTTGCTGATCCTGGGATGAACGACGGCCGTTTGTGCTCCTTCATTACTTGTGGCTGCAAAGACTCCTGCGCCGGGTAACTGAGGCGCAGTAATCGGAATTGTAGCAGGATGGTTCGCGGTAGTAGCAGGAGGATTGTGGGTTTTGTGATCGTCAGTGATCATGATAGGGTTGGTCAAGGCCTGCGCAATCACTTTGTCCTTGCAATCTTTGATGGTGAATATGACCTGGAAACCCATCTTCTCGTTCTGATGGCGACAGTAACATGCTATCCGCATCGGTAATTCAACCTGCATCGCGGTTGATGGATTGAGTCTCCGTGAGAGGTCGGGTTGGACATCCCCGGAAACTCCGACCCAGTCCTTGAGTTCATTGGTATTGAAAACCACTACTCTCCTTTCTTCATCCTTCTGGAACATCTCCTCTTCCTCGGGCTTCTTTTGCTTTTTCCGGGAAGCCCGTTTCCTCTCGCGCTGGATGCAACCCGGACATATCTTGACTTCGCCACCATTAAGTGGTCTATCCTCATCGTCCTTCAGGGTCGAGGAATCGTCGGAAGAAGCAGGGCTGGGTCTGTTTAGAGGCGCCGATTCCTCGCCTCTAGCTCTTGCCAAAGCTCTTTGTAATTTGTTGGGGTCTTGCATCGCGCTCGTACAAACCAAGGAAGTGTGAAGCTCCAGGATTTCCGGCGATCGACTGATTTCGCTTTTAGAAAGGAATTTGGGCTTTGATATTGTGTGTCTGGGTAGCCTCAATTTTTTAGCACCCGACGGGAGTGTTGACAAAGTCAGTTTGATAGGTATTTGCGTCTCAACCCTGGACTTGAGAGAAGTGGGATGCACGGTAAGGATAGGATTGCCGTCGGCAGAATTGACGGTGGAAGGAGGCGTTGATACATCCTTTGTAAAGGTCGAGGGTGTCGCGGTCGACTCAGGATCGAACGTGAGGCCGTTGGTCGAGAATTGGACATTCGGAGAGAACATTGCATTACCAGGGGAGTCACCGTTCATGGTGATATGGTTGAACGTCTCCTCGAGGCCAGATGAGGGTGAGTGCTTGCTCCAGGGGGACTGACCCTGGGTGGAGGGAAGCATCGCGTTCAACGGTGAGGCTTCTCTGGATCCAGCAAAGAAGAATTGGGCCTGGCCTGAACCTGGGAAAGCGGCACCGGAGTTCTGCTTCGCATAAGGCACAAAATGTCCCTGCTGATTCAAAGGCCGCGCCATCGCATTGGTCTTGCCCTTATTCGTATTCATGGCGTCAAATCCGCTCGGGGTGCTTGCAGCAGTCTCAAAATCAAAATCGGAGGCCATTTGTTGGTTGCTGGCCTCGAAGTCCTGATCGATGTCCGCCATAGCTGCATCGTCAAAACCATGCTCGTTAGAGATCGAGAATCCATTGATTCCGCTGCCCCAGGCTCCTTGAACGGGGTTGTGCGCGGGAGGAGAAGCGGTGGAAGGAGCAGAAGTATCGCGCTGCTGGTCAACCGGGGATGCTGATGATGAATTGCTGGACCCAGAGCCAGATCCTCGGGGGAAGCGCGAGAAAGAAGTTCCATCTGGCATGGGACTGTAGTCATTGTACTCGCGCTTTATCGACAAGTCGTTTGGGTTGAGATACCCAGCCGTCATGATCGTCGAGTCATCGGGATCAGATTCAGTTGAGGTCAAGAATGTATCAAATTCTTGACCTGCAAAGGCGGGGGTTTGTTCCAAACCTCCCCCAAACAAATACATGTCTTCATCCTGCGTCGAAGCCATCGTTAAAAGGCCCGACTACCTGATGTGAAATATCCAGTTATCTGCGCCGCCTTTTACGCCATCTCTTTCCCAAGCCTCCACTTTTGTCAGGTCAAAGGATCGACGGAGGTGTGTAACAGGAATCGTGAAGCAGGAAATTTCGTAGAGCAATTGTATGTAATCGGAAGGAGATAGAGGGCGTCGCTTTACTTCGAAGAAATCGTGGACAAGTCTTGCCAGGACAGTGTGTGGCTGGTGAGATTCTCAGCGCAGCCTATTTTGGACCAAGTGACTCGGAACCGTTGGAAGGTTTTCAACGCGAAGCTCCTTGCCGAACTATGCGCCAAAATTATATCGTCGACCTCCCTACGCGATGTGATTGAGGTATTAACGATAAGCGACGAGCGAGGAAGCAGGGTTTGTGTAGTAGTCGAGATTTGGTGAATAGGTGAGTGTGTAAATGTGTGTGGTGCAGAGATACTGTTCAGGTGGTAGACAAATCGCAGAGCGTTCCAACGATGGAGTAGGCAAAGAGTGTGAAGAAGAAAGTGTGGAGTAGAGATTGGCAGTAATTGTACTGTAGGCAGGCAAGAGGAGACGCTTCTGTAGGACGCCTGTCGTTCTCCCTGTGGGTGCTGCAAGTAGCGCCCAGTGAGCCCTGGTTGAACCCGCGGAGTCTCTGGGACAAGCCTATAAGAACCTCTGTCCTCATCTTAGGCAGAGAGTTTAATGGCCTTAGCGGCGACTGAAGCCTGGATCCTGTTGCGCCCCAGACTTGCACTTCGCTTCTAATTGACAAATGTGTGCCTTGTGCGTCGTATGCCTCTTACCATCCGCGAACAAGGTACGGAGTACGAGATACGGAACAGAATAATCAGTAATCACCATCAAGACACATTGTCGTCGCTTCTCATCAGGACAGCGTGGTTTCTTCTTGTGAGCGACTTCATTTCTGCCATCCACCACCAATGACTGCGAAATGCTCCCTTCAGTAGCAAGCTTCATGGCCACAATTTCATCATTCTCATTACATGCATGGAGATCCCGTCTACTCCCCTCGTCTCCAGACAGAAGCGTTGAACCCTTGCAAATCATTCGCTCCGATTGCGACGATCCTTCTTGATATGATACGCCAGCTTCACGCTCGCTCAGCAACACACCACCACACCTGTCAACGCCACCGGTCTCTCGGAACGACTCGTTTTCTTGAGAGATTTCGTAACCCTGCTCTTGCATAAGAGCAACTCGGCTGCACCCTTGGCGCTTCGGAGTCCAGAGTACCACCTTGTCAAGTCGATTTTCGCGGTTGAATTATCCAGACACAGCGTTGTACCTTTCCGGGAAGCTAAATTACACTGCTCGTCACGGAGTACAGATCAGTGAAGAAGGTGAGGCTTTCATTTTGCTCGTGAACCTTCCCACTTGACAGCAGTGCGGCGCAGTTGTTCCTCGAGTACATACCCTAGAAGTCACTTCTTTGTCGAACGCGCTCAGCACGCCACTGGTGTTATCAACCCTAACGCCCTGTTCGCAATATTATTGATGGGCTTCTAAGACCAGCCGCAGCCGAGGCGACTCCCAACAACATAAGACCCAGTAGCTGACGCATCTAGCCATGTACGCTGTAGCATTGTGGCACAACAAACACTACTGCACATAGCTGGGGAGTTTTTCTGATCAACCTGGGAAGGCTGGGAAGAACGAGAAGAATGCTAAGCACGGTATTTAAAAGTCTGGGAGCCAGGCTCACGCCACTTACTCTTGCGATGGCTTCCTGGAACCCGACATAAGACTCTAGGCTAATATAAAGTGCGATTCCAACAGTGACGGGCTAATGTGCTTTCGACAGTCGGCATCGCTTACGGAGCTCTCTCGGCTTTTGCTTTGCAGTACAAGCCCGACATCTTTCTCGAGGATCACATCCAGAACGTCCAACCTTTCGTACAGGTTATAATACAATACACATTTCGAGTGACCGAGATATTGCTGCCCCCCAAAGCATGACCGACTTGCTACCTCCATATCATTATCATCAGCCATTGACCGCGTTTCCTGATCAATACATTCCTTGAAGTGAAACATGGCAAGTTAATACAAATTAGCGCCGAGAAAGAGACGATCTGGACATGATCAAGCCTCTTTCTCGCCTGGAAGCCAGAACAAGGTACCACTCTTTCCACAATCTACCGGCAGCAATTGTCCAGTGATATTCCCAGCATAGTTATCACTTGCCAGAAAGAGACATGCCCTTGCAACTGCTTCTGGAGCCACCGTCCTCCTGAGAGCCACTGTCGCCTCAGCCTCGCGCCACAATAATTGGTCACTCTCGTCACACTCTTTCCTGAATTGAGCAGTGTCCACAGGCCCTGGTGCAACGGCATTGATTCGGCATTTAGAGTTGATATTCACGGCGTCTCGAGCAAGTGACTTCACCAGGCCATATTGAATTGCTGCCTTCGATGTCGCGTATGGTGCACAATCCGCGACGCCAAATCTCCCAGCCTCGGACCCAAATATAACTGAGGAAATGTTCTTTGTGTCCGCAGTGGCATGGTCGCGGAGAGCCCGTAGCCATGCTCGACATGTCAAGAATGTCCCATCGACATTGACGTTCATGATTCTTTTCCAGTCTGCCAGCGGCATATCGACCAGGGAGACATGTGGTAGATATGACAGGTCCAACCCGGCGACAGCTATGCAAGTCGATATCACTCCAAACTTCTCTCTTGCCTTGTCCATTCCCTGTTCCAGCCCGACTTCGTCCGTAATATCCACTTTCTGGAACTGCAGCCTTTCGTGAGATAAGCCGTATTTGGCCTCTGCAATGTCAAACGCAGTAACGAATGCTCCCGCAGACAAAAAAGCTCGAACAACCACCGACCCGATGGCGCCACTTGACCCAGTCACCAACACGTGTGACCCTTCAAATCCAAGACTCGTATCAAAGCCTGCTCCGTCCATTATGTTGACTGAACTCCCAACGAATTAATCGGCACACTGCCCATTCACGCGAAGAATTTCAGGATAAGTGTCACATTGATATATATATATATATATACGTGAACTCCGTATCCAACGGCTTGCGGAGAAGCCCGCAACGTCAAGACAATTGAATCCTGTAAAGTATTGATATCAGTCTTTAATTTTCTGGATACTGTATATGGAATATCACCTAATAAGATCAGGACACTTTGTTCAGAGAATTCAATCCCATTTTGGCAGACGAGAGACGCATGCATCGAAAACTGTAAGAAGGTCAAGTAACGTGCCACAGTCCGCAGGTCCCCTTTCCCCCTCCATCACCAGATGCCTGGCATCAACGCGTACGGCACCTTTTTCTTGACCTGGGCCCATTGATCACCGTACCGCTCGGTCATGTACCTGTCGAGCGAGGGCACCGAGGAATTCACGAACTGCCCTCCCGCGGCGACCGCGTAGCCCGTCTGCCACAGGGTGAAGGCCGCGTAGGGTGGGTGTCGCACGACGCCAAACAACCCGCCACTGTACACCTTGCCTCGATTCCTGGGGTCGTCGTTGAACCGTTTCCGCTGGACCTCGCAGACCGTCTCGCACGCGACGCCAACCGCGTACATGGCGCCTCCCACGTAGACGCTCCATGATGGGAAGTGGTAGTACGTCGGGTTCTCGGCGCAGAGGTCGAACGCGAGCGTGTTGAGCGTGTCGCAGGCCAGGTTGAACAGGCCCACGACGAGAGCCGCGGAGGGCGTCATGGGCTCGTTGGCGACCGCGGCGCACCAGAAGATGTGCTTGGCCGCCCCACCGACCGACATGGCTCAGATGACGCTTTGGAAGGGCGTCATGCCCGTCCCTCTCGCCAGAAGGAGTCCGCCGCCCGTGAGTACCGGTCGTGGCGTCGGGAGACCCAGACGGCGCGCCCACCCTGGCAAGGGGGAGTCGAGGAGGAGGTGATGTTGTAGGTACGGATCCAAGGCGCGGAGGCCGATGAAGATGGCGGAGCCGACGAGGTTGGTCCCACGTGAGCCGCGGTCGATTATGTCTGCCATCTCTTTTGGAATCGAGTATGGAGTACTACGTGGTGACTCTGATCACTGTACGCCGTATGCGGTAATCACAGGTTCCGTGGGAGAGAGAGTCGGACGTACGTACTGTATAGAACGAAAACGTGGTGTGCGCGCGTGTGTGTGTGAGAGAGAATAAAGGAATCGACCACTTTACTCTCGAGGTACCTAGGTAAATATATAAAGTCACGGTCCGGTATACCTACACACTCGTAGGCCTCGTAGCTACGACTTAACCCTGTACAAGGTACGAATATGGTAGGCCTGAAATGCGGGGTGGATCCGTGAGGCTGCCTCACGTACTAGGCTTGGGATACTGCACAGGCGACTGTACGAATACCTGATCTACTATGACGGTGGCAGGCCAAGGAGAGCATCGGAAAGAAGAAAGTAGACTACGACTTGGATCGAAGCAAGAAAAGACGGCAGCTTGCTGAGTGACTTTGGTATATTCACTGTTTGACTATCTTGCTAAACAAAATTTCTTCATCTCGTGCAACATTCATCGTCATGAAAAAGTATTAGAATTACACTGTCCACATGCTCCGCATCAAGCCAACGATACTCCCTGAGGGCCTCTTACACTTACGACATACCCCATGGATCAATCTCTTTGTGGGTTCATAATAATGATCGACAGTCTCTATCCGTCACTTCAAGTCTATCGGTATCGAGTCGAACGGCCGAGGGACTCTTCACTCTCGTCGTATGACGGTAGGGGGCCTGTCTCTTTCCTGGCCGCGGCGGCGTCGCCTCTGGTCTGTCGCTCCTGACCGACGTGCCTCGCCCGACGGATCTCAAAGGCGACCACGAAGAAGAGGTACGAGGCAAACATGACGGCGGCTATGACAGCGTATACAATCTTGGCCGTCCTGCTCTGCGAGTCCGTCTGGAATGGGCTTTCCGACGCCAACTTGATACCCAGCCCCCCCGTGACGATTCCCAGGACGATGAGGATGCGACCGAGCCAGAGGTGGGTGCGGCCTATGGGGGTCCTGCCGGGTGCCTTGGTGCGTTGGCGGGCTTCGACTTTGGCGGCGCGTTTCTTGTAGATGCGGTGGTGGACGTAGCCCAAGATGGGCTGGAAGAAGGCGAGGGCGAGGACGGCCAGACCCATGCGAGGATGAGGGTCGTTCCAAACGCCGTAGTCTTTGAATTGCTCGGCGAGCCAGATGCCTAACCCCGCGGCGGCGATGAAGAGGGTGTAGCTGAGGACCTGACCGACGGCGTGGATGCGCAAGATGATGGGGTTCTTGATGTTCAGCCGGAGTAGGATGGCGAGGGATGGGATGAACAGGACCCAAACCAGCGACGCCAGGACCGCGTGGGCGATGAGGATGTGTGTGGCTTTGTCGAATTCGCCTGCTGAACTGAAAAGAGAGCCTTGACCGAATGTAGAGCCGCTCGATGACGATGAGCCACTGTTACCGTTGCCGTCGCCGCCGCCACCGTCGTTGTTGTTGTTGTCGCCATTAGACCAGGGATTGTCCCCATTGCCGCTGCCGAACCCGCCCCAGCTTGCTTTGGTGGTGGTCACCAGCAAGGCTGTGGAAAGGAGAATACTCGTGATTGACGTGCTTGGGGCCATGGTTGTGGTTGGGATTGAATACCTTGCTTGTTGTTGTTCGTGCTCTTGTGTACGGAGTACTTGAGCTCAACTCCGCCGGGAAAAAAATACAGTCGAAGAAGAGAGAAGCAAGAGAAGATGATGATGAGCTGGGGATGACAGAGGTCCTTTTGAAACATGATGGATATTACGGAGTATTCAAGAGACAAAATGCCAAAGTCCGCCGATCGCCCAAAGGGGGGCCGAATGAATACTCGAATTCGTTGGTATCAGAAATGTGGCAGTACCCAAATGGGGCATTGTCAACCAAGAATAGTCCGGACATGGACTGGTCACCATCAGTCCGGCGAATCGAGATAGAGGTATTTCTGGCCTGTTGTCATGGTTGATTGGAAGATCCGCCAGGAATTGCTTTGAGGCGTCCAGGGCAGAAAAGTCTTGGGAGGATACGTAGTCCTTGTACTCCATACCACCCCCCGACGTTGGGCCCCGGTGTATACCTCCCTTGTGTGCCAATAGGAACGCTCGAGCGGTACCCGGCCTCCGATCCGCCGACATGATTCCAACTACCCTTTTGATATACTCCGTACACTTGCTGCATCTCATCTTGCGCGTCGATGCCCTTGGGACAACGCACCGTCCTTCTGGGCATCGTCAATTGGAGTCGTAGGATCTTACCTTGTATTTCTTGATCGCAAATTGATACTCTCTATACATGTCTGGGCAACATATCTGACGTGTCCTGCATTCACCGAGGAGAGGCTGTTGGCGAGTATTCGTAATGTTGTTCCTAAAAGAGTTGTACGGGTACGAGTACTTCATACGCAGTCAGCAATATTTGATCATCGACCGGAGTCAGAAAGCACGGCATCACCCCAAAGACCAAAGGACATTGTTTTACCTCCAGCGATCGAATTGATCATCTTGAGAGTATCATCCGACTGAACACTTTGTTGTGACGATTAGTTGATTAAAGGAGTCGAGCAAGATGGCGCACAAATTGATGATCTTGATACTAATTAGCCACTTTCTGTTATGTCTGTACAGAGTATGTGATTAAGAACCTCATTCAAGTCTTTTTTGGTGACTTGTTGGAAAATCAATCTAATGGTCTGACCGAACAAATTTTGATTGACCTGACCATCCAGTGCAGATATTTCTCCCAAAGTTGCCAAGATGACCCTGCCAGACCGAATAAATTTCTTTAACAGTCTCGATGGGCCACTGTTTTGATTCATCCATCACCACGTCTTCAATTCGCAGTTAACATGGGTGGACTGACATGATCTCATTATACACGCGTGTCCACATCAGCAAGAGCTAGACACACAACATGACCACACGGTGCTTGTTCTTTCGCCAGCCCTGCCCATCAACACAAGATCTGCAAGCCCCATTTTGCCCGCCGTCTGTCAACTTGTGATCACGTACAGCCCCCAACTCCCCTGTCTCGATCGTTAACTGGTCTACTCAGTTAAAAACGTCCAATTGTGAGCAATGCGGTGGGTCTGATCATGCTCGCTCATTGTCACTAACGGCGGAATCCTCTATCTACAGCCTGAGGGCAATATCGAACATCATGTCGCCCAGAACCCGGCGATCGGGTCGCGAACGTAAAGTGAATCCAAAATACGCCAATGACGGATGGGACAAGGACACTCTTCGGATTCTACGAGCCTCTTCAGAGTCGTCAGGATCAAGTCCAGACGAAGAGCAAAGGATCGAGAAACCGGAAAACGTCACGCAGGATGCTGAAGGCTCATTCGATGAGGATGACGACGCTTCCGATGCTTCTGACATTCAGTCCCAAGCGTCAGATGTTCAAACACCAAATGAAGATGAAGATAACATGAGCGTGGTGTCCGATGGCCATACACTGGGAAACGTGCCATTTCGAACGAATCGTCGCCGATCTGCTACTGGGACAGGGGCAGGGGTAGGCAACTCAACTACTACAACAACGACATCAACAATCCATTCTCGGGGCCTTGCACCTCTCAACGCCAAAGGTGCAAAGAGCCTAGTGTATCATCATATGTTTGGACCCGATGTAGAGGACTTGGAAGATACCCTCGACGCTCGGGATACCTGGTTGCTGGGACGCGACGTGACGCTCCCAAGTCGTAAGACCCTATCTATCGCACTCCAGCGAGCCGAACAAAGAAGACGAGATAAAGGGTCAGATTCTTCCACGAACCCAAACTTCCACATCCTTCCACCAAGACTACCTGAATCCATCGTCGACCTGATACTCAATCGTCAGATCCTGAAGCCACTCGAACACCAAGAACTTTATGAGCGTTATCTTCACCGTCATAGACCTTCTCATTCTGTCGTCCTTGGACCGTTTGGTCGCCAACAGCAGTATCCATTGGATTACAATTTCCCGATGGATTTCGGTTGGGCATGGCCGAAGTTTCGCGATGCTGAAGTGGACCAGGCGTCCCAGACGGGTCAACGTTATCATGAAGGCTGGCTTATCAATGCTGGCGAAAAGATCAACTGTCTGGCGTGGGCTCCTCAACAGCAGGACGCTCAATACTTGGCCATGGCCACCAGATGCACATCTCACCAGAGACGACAACACGAAAAGGAGGAGAACTTGCGAGCAGCATTCCATCCGTCACCACCGTACCCCTCGGCGATTCAGATCTGGGCATTCCCTACCAAACCCACTCCGACTCCAGGGATACGGACCATTGCAATGAATCTCAAGCCAAAACTCTGTACCGTCATGGGCACAGAGTGCGGCAACATTCGCGCCATGAGATGGTGTCCATCAACCCAGATGACTCCGTCAACGACAACAGCAACCTCCACGGCGACAGCATCCACCATAGGTATCCTGGCCATTCTTTCCACCGACGGCAAGGTACACGTTTTCGCCATCCCAGCACAATTGACCAGTCCCGTCGTCGTCGCCCTGAAAGCCGAACGCGCCGGACTCACCTTGTCCCCACCTGGAGACACGGTCTTCACCACGCTCACTTTCGCCACGCCGACGGACCTCATCCTAGGCGCGGCAGACGGCACCGTCCACCTCTTCGACCTCTCGGACCCGGACCATGTCGACCCGCCACGAAGCTACGCGACACACCGGATCCACAACACGTACATCACGTCCCTGAGCGCCGCCTCCCCGGTCCACCTCGCCCCCTTCGTCGCCACGGCCTCGTCGGCCGGCGACATCGCCCTCACGGACCTCCGCGCGCCGGCGCAGGACAAGGTCACCGTCACGCGGGCCTGCTTCCCGGCCCGGGACATCCACTTCGCCCCCTTCACGCGGAGCTTCATCACGGGCCTCGACCGCGTCGGCAGCACGCGCATGGACACGCAGTCGGCCACGTTCCTGTCCTGCCACCACGTCCGCCAGTTCCACGTGAGCCTGCGCATCGCCAAGCTGCCCGACCAGGCCGGCACCGCCACCGCCCTGTCCGGCTCGCCTCACCACCCTTGCGTCCTGGTCGGCAACGCCAGAGGTCAACTCCACGCGACCAACTACCTGCGAAAAGTCCTGCCGTACCGGAGGAACGACCCGGGGAAGGCCGTGCAGGCGTACCTACAAAAGGTATGTGAGTACGACTGGCGACCTCTGACGAGTACGGGAAATACGAAGCGAACAGCGACAACGGCAAGTCCGGAACCTCGTCAGGTCTCGCAGACCGAAGACGACGACGAGGAGGAATACGACGACGGAGAAGAGGAAGAAGCGGAAGCGGAAACAAAGCCAGAAACAGAAATTGACCTCTTCCACGGTCACGACGTCAGACCCGGCGTGTCGAGGTTCCACGAAGGGTTCAAGCCCGAAAAGATCAACATGGCGTACATGCCCGACAGCAAGAAAAAGGGGCCCCACAAGGACACCGGGGCCGCAGAGGTCATCTTTGAAGAAGAGCAAGGCGTCACCGTGTTGGAATGGAACCCGAACCCGTCTTGCGCGGGCATGGCGGCCATGGGTTGGGCCAGCGGCATGGTGAGGGTCCAGGATCTGGCTCATGACTTGGAATGAGGGAAGTTTGGGCTCCTCTCATCGCTTGGTGCCCTATTCTGTTGCAACCTCAGCCAGAGCCAGAGCTAGAGCCGATCAACTCAATCTCAAACATGTCAAAACGATCAAGGCTTCTAAAACCAAAACAAAATACCAGAACGCAGTCAGTAAAACATGAGCACAAGAACGAGTTATGTCTGATAGCCAAATGGTATTGTCATTTGATATTACCCTCTCTCTCGCACACTTCCTCAGATTTGAGAGGTGTCATCAGCAACTCCCCTCCCCATCATCTCCATGTTCAGGAACAACAACTTTTCTGTTTCATTCTGCTTTTCCCCTTCCCTTCCAAGTCCTCACAATACATTGTTCGATTTTACTAGAGACATGCTTTTGCCAACTGCTGTTTGTTGGTTGTTGTACACCTGCATGCATTCTCTGCAAAATGAAAATTCCATTGGTGAAATTTCACTTTTCTTCTTTTGTCCCTTTCCCTAAAAAAACACAAAGAAGAAGACTTCGTCCTTTTTCGCCTGCCTGCTCGCTTTTGAAAAATTTCCCGTGGACCCGATGCAATGCCGAAGAACCAAGAAGAAACAAGATAGCAAAGGTTTCCTGTTACACTTTTCGTCCAGCCTCGAGAGATGTAGCGAATGCAAGTGGCCGCAACGATTCAAGCAATAGAAAGGATCTTTCGCTAGATCATGCCGCAACCCGCCCCCGGCTCATGCGTAGACCTCTCTAGCTCTGAGCACCACCACCACCACCACGTTGACCACCTCGTCCTTTGTTCTGTCCGCCACGGCCGCCGCGATAGCCGTCTCCACGGTTGCCGCCTCTTCCACGTCCTCTGAAGTCTCCGCGACCTCCTCGGCCACCTCGACCACGGCCTCGCTCACGGCGAACTTGCTCAAACCCATCGTTGTCAGCATTGGCCTTCTCTTCGACCGCAGCTGCCGCACCAACCTCCTCAGCCCAGCTACTAGATCCGTGCATGGCAGCCGGAGTAGCAGCTACACCGGTTTCCGTTTCAGCAGGGTCACGTGGGACCTGTACCCATTCCTCGTTCGTCGCGCTGGTGTCGGTGATCTGTGAAGCCTGAGGATCCCATGAAGATTCAGCCACCGCATTGGCCGCCTCGTCACCAGTAGTGGCTTGCTCGGCGACTTGCACGATTTGAGGTTCGGCACCATCACCGCCAGCAACGGGAACGGTAGCAGTGTCTCCGAGTTCGGTCAGACCGGCATTTGCCACAGTCTGGTCGACTTGAATTTCCACGGCAGATGCTTCTGCAAGAGGGACAGCCTCAACCTCTTGAGGGTTCGGTTGCACCAATTCTTGGGCTTCCTGAAGAGCAGACTGCTTGACCTGTGCGAACGTGTAGTCGAGAGCCTCGCCTTGGACATCCAGAACCTTTTCTTCAGTGCCGTAGATCAAGCTCTTGAGCGTCATCAGGGAAGTCTCATTGCCTTGATACACAAGCAGCAAAGCACCCTCGAAGGCCCGACCCTCTTCGGAATCGGCATCTTCAGACTGGCGTTTGGAGGCAGCAGTGTGCAGGAAATGTGTGATGACTCGTAAGCCGTCCTCGATTGCCTTTGACTTGGCATCTTCGGCCTCTTGGAGGACCTTCTGCTTGAGGCTAGCAACTTCAGCTTCGTGTGACTCGACCAATGCAGACTTCTCTTTTGCAAACTTATCCTCGAGGTCCTGGGCGAAGGTACGGAAGGATTGTAGTTGTTCTTCGAGCTGTGAGAGTTGAGCTTGGAGGGCGGGTTTCTTGAGGATTTGGGCTTTCTGGTCTGCGTTGAGCTTCTTCTGTGCCACAAGGTCATCGAGTGACACCTTGGGGTTCTCGGCGATTACAGAGTCTGCTTTGTGCGAAGCGGCAAGTTTCTTGTGGATATTGCGAATGTTCCTGCACATGAATCAGTCACAGGCCTTCCACCAAAGAGGACGAAAGCTGTGTCTCTTTACCTCTGAAGATCTTTGACGAAGGTGCTGTCGCCATGAGAATCGACACCATTAGTAGTAGGCTGCGCTTCGGAGGGGGTTGCGTCAACCGAAGGTGCAGGTGCGTCACTCTCAGAGGTCGGCTTCTCAACCTTTGCCTTGCGCTTTTTTGCAGACTTGCTATCGACTGGAGCGGGAGCGGCAGAAGACATTTTGGAAATGTGAGTCGAGGCTAATTCGATCGGATTTAAAAGCAGAACACAATCGGAGTAGCAGGGCTGGTTTGTAGCGGCAGTTCGTCAACGTAGACCAGGTATCTTGGGGAGTTGAAACCGATGGTCGTGACGAGTAGCTTTACAGTTTTGAGTATTGATAGAGGGAGAAGTAATCTTGAGTCTTTGTGTTTTGACAATTGCTCGCGTGAGTTTCGTCAAGAAATAGTTGTACAACCTCTATGAGGTTCCGCCAAGCTTCAGCCTTGTTTGTCTCCGAATTTGCTCTAGAAGCATCTCCATCACATAAGGCTGAAGAGAACTTCCTACAACCAACACCAGCTCAGATTCGACGATGATGGGTGGGCGATCACCCTTGACCCACCAGGGCGCGTACTACACAACGGTTGACTTAGTATTGTTTTTACGGCAGTCTCATAACTTTCAACAGTTCCCAACCTGGTATCAGCATAAGTCGCTTGTATCAAAACCCATGGGGATCACGAGTAGAAGTATCTTTTCGTGGCAAGAATGTCTGAGCAATGTTGTTTACGTTAGCGGTCTACGTAGGTTCAATATTATCTCTTGGCATCATTAGACAAGCAGAAGGTCGATGGCCGATTCGACGTGTATTCTCATCATCAGAGATTCTGCATGGTGAGATTCAGGAACTCCACAATGTCGTCCACACCTTCAGGCTCGTTCACCCAATGACCCCCATCCGCGTACTCGTGTAACTGAGCGTTCAATCTCAAGGAACGCACTAGGACATCCCTCATTCGCCTTCCATGCTTAATGGGTACAGTGTCATCATCGATTGAGTGGCCGAGAAAGATGGGAGTAGACCGGAGGAACGGCGATGATGGTTCCTCTAAAGACCGCTGACCGAAGTAAATCCTGTGAACTGCATCGAAAAGCTGCTCGTCATTGGCGCTAGATGTTTTCAGACCTTCGACAAGGGTGACGAAAGGCATCCAGCTACATAGGCCAATTAGGCCGGCGAACCCTTGGCCGTCTGCGAAGAAGGTAGACAACGCTGTCGCAAATCCCTGGCTGATACCTCCTAAAAAGATGTTTTGTCGAGGCACATGCATTTCTTCGGCTCTTATCACCTCCAGCAGGGCGGCAACACTTTGTTTCAATCCATTCATTTGGATTCCGACTTCTTCCTCAGGATCTTCGACTGACCATATATCGAACCATTGCGACATCGTGGTATTGAAGCGTTTCGAGTAAAGAGCTGGTGCTGTGGGAAAGACCCATCTGATCCCTGGAAACAGATCTGGAAGGGTGCGTGGTCTCCCAGCATGTTCGGATGCCTCGCTCTCGAAGAACTCGTCCGCAAATTCTTGGGCGTCACTGTCTCGGCCGTGGAGGAAGATGACTGTGTGAGTGTGCTTGCTGGTCTCTCTTTGAGTAACGATAGACATGTTGTCGGGATGAGTGGGAGTACAGTGGTGATGGATATAGTTATGGACGAGCAAACATGGAATGAAGGAGAGAAAAAGTGATAGAGAAGGGAAACGGGTAAATATGGAAATGTATAGATCAGAGCATGTTTGGGGCACTAAACTGAGAACTTGGGACAAATCTGGCTCGCACCCAATTCGGCTAGACTTGGCGATATAGTACCAACTGCGTGCTCATTCTTCCAAGTGGTACGTCTAGATGATCGATGGATTGGATAAGGTTGATGAGTCTTACTTTTTAGGTTCAATTATATAAATCTGTATGGCCAGGTCGCATGGTAGAGTATAAGAATCGGCAGTCTCTCGTTCCCACCTCCACCTCGGATTTGGCTCTGTAATAAAAAAGAAAGCTTGTCTCTGAGGACCTTGATTTACTTCGTTCGAGGAGAGACGACACCTCCAGTGAGGGCTGAAGGGTGTGGTGTCGAGAGGGGAGATCGCGCCCGGCAGACTGAGACGTGGAATGGCCGCCAGACCCGAAACACTAAGAGCGGAAATGTTGAGACTGGTGATTCAGCTGTCGTCAGGAATATTTGCTTCAAGGATGCACGCTGTTCAATTGCATGATAGACTCGATGTTGTCTCTGGCCAAGACTAAGTTGATGAAGTCTTCAGCATTTTCGCGCCTTGCGATCGTTGAATATCAAAGATCTGCCTTGGGACGTGGATGGCCTTTTCGCACAGTGCGTGCCTGAGCCACAATTTGCTGTCTGTTCCATCAAGAGTGTGCAGTATGATGCACTGTGCAATCTCTTTTGACGATTCGAATATCGTGAGTGTCGGCGGCATCTCGTTATCTCCTTGGCCGTATCCTTCAGAGTGCTGACCTCGGTGGTGATGCGCCAGCCAAAGGAAGACAGACGAAGAGTCGAAGTGTCCTGGTTCCTCGCTATGCAGCTTCAACCCTTGAATCGCCGCAAAGTAGTCTGAACAGTAGTTAGTTTGGCAGAACTGCCCAATTGCACAGAATGCAAACACACCATGGTGACTTTTCTGATGTCTTTTGCTGCAATAGACTTCTCTCCATCATTGCGTGCTTTCCTGGTCGCATTTTGCATCAACCTAGAAGCGACATTTAGCACTCATACTTTATAATGACAACATCAGACCATACTCTTCGATGAACAAGACGTAGTTCAAAAAGACCAACGAATCTACTCCCTTGCTCACATTCTTTCTCGAGTGCGCCTTGACGATTTTGCGCAAAGTCGCCCGGGGATAACTCTTCTTGCCAGTCGCCATGGTACGTCGATTCACAAACGTGGATGTAGTCTTGAGTTTGTTTGCCTGAACATTACGCGAGACTGACTTGCGGGACTCGGTGTTTCTTTCTCAGGTAAACAAAGACTCGCTTAGACGCGGCCAAAATGTCGACACTAGTTAGTCAGCAACAGACTGCGCTGGCTCAACTTCGGTAGAATTTTGATTCCTATTCGCAAAATTTCCTGGAGAACATCACGATTTGCATTGCAACAATCGTCGCGAATCTCCTCAAGAACCTCAGACCCTACCTATACGCAACATGGCGTCCGCATACAAATCAGCCTTGCGCTCCGGTCACCTGTCAGAGTCCGACTCGGATTCGGAATCAGTGTCTTCAGCAGAACAAAGCAGCAACACAGTAGAAGCAGAAGAATCGGATGAGGATGAACAACACAGCAGTTCGAAGCCAAAGGAAAAGCAAAATGGCCTCTCCTCTGTACCGGTCGAGGTCAGAAATCGAATACTCATGCTCACATCTCGAGGAGTATCGTATCGGTAAGATGAGATGCCCTTCTCCCGCAAAGATTTTGACAAGACCGGGCGAAAAAAGGCTGACGAGTGACCGACCTACAGACACCGTCACCTTCTCAGTGATTTACATTCCCTCCTTCCACACACCTACAAGGACACCAAACTCGACACGAAGTCGTCCAACAACTACAACTCCGCCCTCAACGGCCTGGCCGACCTTCATTCCTGCAACTACGTCTTTTTTCTGGAGGCGCGAAAGCACGGTCAAGATTTGTACCTGTGGCTGGCGCGGGCTCCCAATGGCCCCACGATCAAGTTCAGCGTGACCAACGTACACACCATGGCGGAACTCGGCTTCGGCGGCAACTGTCTGAAAGGAGGACGAGGTCTCGTGGTGTTCGACAAGAGTTTCGACGAACAGGTTGCAGCAGGCCAGGAACATCGATCCCTGATCCGGGAAATGCTTCGAGGGGTCTTCTGCGTACCCCCCAAAGGTGTGAGAGGCATGAAACCGTTCGTCGATCGCATCATCGGCATTTATGGGCTCGATGGCAAGATTTGGATCCGAGTCTACGAGATCCGTGAGGCCGAACCCGACAAGGCCGACAACGCAGAACCCGGCAAAGGGGCGGACGTTTCCTTGGTCGAGATCGGACCTCGCTTCGTCCTGACACCAGTGGTCATCTTGGAAGGAAGTTTCGGCGGGCCGGTGATATATGAGAACAAGCAATTCGTCAGCCCCAACCAGTTGAGAGCCGAGACAAGATTGAAGAGAGCTGGAAGGTATGCGAGCAGGAAAGGAGGCGCAGAGGATCTCGCCATCAAGAAAAAGAGTCTGGGGATCGAACCAGGAATGAAGAGGAAGGTTTCGGCTTTGGACAATGCCCAATTATTTGGTTGATCTGGTACCCAGAAATTTTCCCTCCGGTCTGGTTTTTTGAGTATTGCCCAATCACCAGGCCTGAAGGATGGGATTGTCACGAACATGGATTTGGATGCGTCGTCGACTTGACGAGGGCAAAATTCCTCGTTACGTCGCGTCCGAGTTTGCACCTGTTTCTAGCGACACCGAGATCCAGGTGGTCTTGACAGGAGACTGCAGTGTTGGTCAAAAGATCATGGACTTCGTCCCAGAGTCATGAAGCCTTATCCCGGTATGGGTGCCTATGGGCTCTATTTCCTCGGGACACTTTTACCGAGCCGCAAAATATCGACGAGATGTGCTGGAGGTGAAAGATTCGAGCCTGACCACACAAGCACACCATTTCAGTCCATGTCCACGAACCAACGCACAGAATTACCAAATCATTCCGACCCAGAGCTGATACTGGCGCTCTTTGTCTTTGTCCCTCAAGCCATGACCATGTACACATGGGTACGTCTTCCATGGGTTGGTTCATGACGACTTTTTTTTAAAACCTGGTACGAATCTCGAAGACGCAACATTTGGACGGGGATCAACAACGACGACGATGCGATCATTGAGTGACCGGCCATGAACAAAAAGTGAGATCATCAGCCGGGGGTGGAGAGGGTGGAAGCGAAGGTGACTGACTGGAGGGGCCTTGGGCCGTAATGAACCTTTGAAAGCCTATCAATCCTCATTTCTCCCTCTTTTGTTCCGCGGTACATCGCGACAGCGATCGAATAGAAAGAAACAACTCGATATGTGAACGAGGTTTTGGGACTTTCAAAAAAAGTCACAGAGGCCCATGCCTACCTACCTTAGCCAGAGGTCCACAGGTAGATGCTTCAAACCGTCAAGGTATTACTATCGAGGACCTTTCTGCTCTCGCGGTGCTTGACTTGGATCTGGTCACGGTGTTTACCGAAAATATCATTGGACAAAAACTCTCGTCTTCAGACACCTCAACAAAAAAAATCCAATATTGACTCTCTCTTTCTCTCTCTCTCTCTGTCGGACCTTGTGTTTCAATTATGCTTAGTTTCAATGCTCATCATTGGCGACAAGTCGCCGCCTTTGCTTTCTATAATTCTTTTCAACTTCTTCATTCCCGAACTTCATCCCAGGCTAACCATCCAATGTCCCTCGACTCGTGAGAGGAAATGCTTCCCAACCTCCCCAGGAGATGATCATATGCGACATGTCGTCTCAAAGTGCATACCGGGCCAAGAATACCGACTTAGTCCTGAACCCTCCCTGGTCGTCCAGTCAAGGCTTGCAACACGCTACGTTGTCCAAAGGAATGACCATATTGCATACCAGCTCCTGTTGCGCAGTCTTTTGCATGCCATGTTTGTACGAGAAGGCCCCCGTCGATTATGTTCCCCGTTTTCCTTCTCACACAAAACGTCGTCCTCACTCATGACTCATGATCAGACATTTTACCTTCTTCAGCTCTATCGACAATCTCCCACTCGGCATCAAAATATTCCGATGATCCAGTGGAATCGCTGTTGTTTGCCAATTTCTCTGAACTACTCTTCAGATTCACCCTGGTAGTCGACTTGGATCCGCCGTTACAAGCGTCGTCCCTGGCACAAGCTCCATCGTAGCTCGATACGACGACTGTTTTCGTTGTTGTTTCGTCACACTGATTCTCCTCCTAGATGAAATCTGCTGTATACGAAAAGCCTCTGAACTCTTCTTGGTGAGCGGGAGAGAGGACTACAGATAAAGGTCAGCACTGCTCGAAACATCAATTCTTAGGCTTCTCCACTTACCGCTCTGCACCGGAGTCAAAACCGGGGTCACACTTGTAAACTCCTGGTCAAAGTTGCTGGTATCTTTCTCGTTCTTAACGGTTGGCTTGAAAGGTGTCGGTACTCTCTTGTGATAAATGTCGTCCCAATTGACGCCTTTAAAAAAGGCATGGCTCATAACTTCTTGAGCGTCACCAGGCCCACTACCCAAACGCAATTCCGGCTCCCTCGTTAGGAGTTTTTGAAGGATCGACACACTGTCGCGCGGCATATGAATGGGGTATAGAGGCTCGTCGGCGAGGATAGCGTCGTAAATTTCGTCCTCGTCCTCGCCTCTGAATGGGGACTGCTGAAGGAGCATTTGATAGATCAGGACACCAAACGCCCACCAATCAACTGCTCGGCCATATTTCTTGTCAAGAAGAATCTCGGGAGCCATGAATTCTGGAGTACCACAGAACGTCGAGGTCGTCGAACCATACCACATGTCTTCCTTGCAGAGACCATAGTCGGCAACCTTTATATGACCGTCCAAGGTCAGCATAATGTTGTCCAATTTAAGATCTCGGTAAATGACACCATTCTCATGGAAGTATTTCAAAGCCAGGCACACTTCTGCAGCATAGAATTGAGCTCGTTTGAGACCGAATTGGCCGCGTTGGATGTGCAACATCAAATCACCGCCCGAGATGTATTCCATAACAAAGTAGACTCTGGTCTCTGTCTGGAAACAGGCATGCAAACTAAGCAAGAAAGGATGTCTCTCCTTGTTGGCAATCAAGAAGACTCGCTTTTCGGATTTGGTTGATTCGACTTCGTCATTCTCAATAATGAACTCCTTTTTAAGAACCTTGATTGCGTACAGCTTCTTGGAGCTCTTCGCCTCCGCAAGCATGACTTTACCAAAGTTACCCTTACCCAGCACAGCCAGGAAGTTGAAATGGTCGAGGCCAATTCGTGGACCGGAGCCTCGTCCGGACGGAGGTGTAGCGACTTGCTGCTGCTGTTGCTGTTGTTGCTGTTGAGGCGCCGGCTTGACCGGAGCAGGGGAGTAAGTTTGTTGAGCTTGTTGTGGAGGAGGCCTCTGCTGTGGCACCATAGCTGGCTGAGGTTGTTGGTGTGGCATCATTTGCTGCTGGATTGGCTGTCGGTCATACTGCTGATATGCACGAGGATCATAAGACGCGTGAGGAGGCTGCGCTTCTGGAACCGGTGGTCGTGCGTTGGCATACCGGTCGGGCGCAATCTTTTGAGGGCTGTAGTCGCTGAAGCTTTGATGGTAGTTCTGTGAGGACGGCCGGCTGGTCGCTGCAGCTGCAGCCTGGACAGCAGCGGTCGAAACGGCTCTCTGTTGTAATGGTCGTTGTTGCTGTGGAGATTGCGGCGGCGGAGTTTGATTGTACATCATGTTCTGAGCTGCAGCTGTGGCCGCCGCAGAAGGCTTAGCAGTCTCTGCATGTTGATCGTATGATTGATTAGATACAGATTGTGTCAATGTACTTCCGTCAGAGACAAAGCTTTGAGTTGGTGATTGAGGGCCTGGCCTGCCAGAGTTCGGCCTCAAAGTCCTGCTGCTCATGCCGGAACTGACCGATGAAGACTTATTGTGGTGCTTTGTCCGCTGAATGGTTTCCAGAATCTCGTTGGCGACGATCATTGACATGCCGCAGAAGTCCGGCACGAGATGCTGGCATTGCGTGTGGCATGTGAGACCACATTCTGAGCACTTCTTCGCATTTCGTCTACCCAGCGGAAGTAAATAACCGCAGTGACAGCACCAGTTGGCCCCAATATTCGAAAAATTGTCGAAGCGATGTGGTATTCGGTGATTGATCTTCTCCTCGTCCGGATCGGTCTCATAGTTCGCTTTACTAATACACTTCGTGACAACCTTGGGATAGCATTTGGTGTGGCAAGTATACTTGCAATCTGCACATTGCATGCCGGCCGAGTACTTGAGGAAGTCCCCACACAAAGCACATCGCATGACATTGTAGAACTGTTGCTTGACGAATTTGTGGCCTTGTTTCTCGTGAACGACTTCCTTCTTCTGGCGCACAGCACCTTGACGATTTAGGCCAATGTCGAACGGACGCCGCGCACCTGTCTGCTTCTGGAAACTCATGGTGAGATGAATACGACCTGCCGGTTCCAACGAAAACCATGAGTCGATCATTACAGGTTGAACCTGTTGAGGATTTTGAGGAAAGCCGGCGGCGGATCCGGCACCAGCCGCATCACCAGGTGGCATAAACGCGGTGCCTTGTAACTGGTGCTGCTGTTGTTGCTGTTGGTGAAATTCAGAGCCAGGTTTTCCCGGACTGCCACCGTTGGCCATCTTGTCCGCTGATACCCAACCATTCTGTTGAAATTCAGTTTCCATCTTCTTACGGCGCATCTCTTCCGCGATATCCGAGATGCGAATCCAGAGGAATCCAATCGGGGTTGGGCGGTCACCTGCTTTGTCATAGACGGTCAATTCAATTTCATTGGCTTTGTCGATGTCGACGTTGTGAGTCTCTTCTGTCCATTTATCTGTACGGGTAGCTCGAGTTTTGGCGCGAATGTTGTCCTCTACCTTCATGATCACAAAGGTCTCGGGCCCTCTCGAGAATCGTGAGGATGCCGCGTGATCAACATCTTTGATCGCATGAATGCGCATCTCCAGATGACCCGTTAATGGTTTCCGCATGTTTGGTGCGTTCAGACTGTCATCTGATGTCTAGTCAGCCTAACAGAAAAGGTTAAATTGGGGAGACGGGTTGCTCACCATCGCCGCCATCAGAGGTCTCAATATCGACATGAAGATCCATGTATCTTTTCAGGGCTTGTTTTAATAATTGGATCTTTTGGGTGCTTTCGATGCGACGGCCTTCGGCGTCCGATCTGCTCTTCCTATCGCCCTCATCCTGGTATAGTCGCACCATTTTCTCGATTCCTGCCTTGTACTGCTTTTCGACCGAGAGTTTGAACTCGAGCTGCGATAGCATGAGCTGGATTTTGGGACCGAGGTATGGAGTATCATATTTGATTAGGTCTAATGTCTGTGTCAGAACTCTGTCATTTAGCATTCACGACGTCAACATACCTAGTTTTGAGAAATTGGGACGCGGTTTGGGAACCGGAGTGTTGTAGGGTCGCGGATCACCATAGATGGCTCGCGGTGGCATCATGCCGGTATTTCCCTGACTGTAACCACCTGGTCCTGGATCACCATAGTCCCCTCTTTCGTTGGCGAAGTAGCCTCGGGTGTCTTTGGGAGGAGGAGTAGGCGCGTTTCCTGCTTGATAGCCTCGCTGACTGCGGCCATCAGCTGTTGGATAGCCACCGCCACCACCGCCGCTGCCGCCATGCACGGGAGGGGCAGGAGGGCCGTCATCATATGTGCCGCGCTGGCGCAGTTGCAACTCTTGCAATTTATCCTCTAGGTAAGTGATGTTTCGTCTCCCATCGCGGATGGTACTATCGACACGTGCCTGGACTGCAGCATTGTTTGTCGACTGTCGCATGTGCGTCGCGGCTGTGATTAGCGTCTTTTCTCGCTCGATCTTTTTGTAGATATCATCAATGGCTTTTTCGGTGTCCGCCATGGTGGCAGACTTGGGCAATAAACGGTTTCGTGAATGGCGTTTTTGTTAGGAACCGCAGGCAGAATTCATGCGGTCAGGCCGTGTGCATCAATAGCAAGACTGGTACCGCATCCGTTGACTAGGGTGGACTGGAGGGGATCGTATCTGTGCACGACCAAAAAGGCGGCGGGGTCAAGGCGAAGCGAGGACGAGGGTCATTAGAAGTGAAGGATTCGATGACCGAGAACAATGCGACGGGAAAAGCAACACGCATTCGAGGACTATGGTGTGTGCGTGTTGTGGTGAGCAATAAAAGGATGTATGTAGGTCGCGGAGATGGTGTGGTGGTGCTTTGGTCCAAGTTCCGGTCAGTCAGTCACGGTCCACCTGCAACAAGTTGCGCTTTCTAGGATGCCGTAATATGATAATGCAAGTAACTGCGCCAACAAACGCCACAGGGATTACTTGAGACTGGTTGCCACTGCGAGAATCCTCTTGGGCTAACAATAAGCAGATAGTGATTCTCCTCAAGGAGAGGTCGAGGTTAAAGATGATGGAGACGAGGGGGAAAAAAGACAGAAGAGTACCTTAGGTCGGGAGGTGAAGGATGAGGATGCCACTGTGGATTTGGGGATGTTTTGGCTGAAACTGAGACGACGACGATTATGATGGTGATGATGATGATGATCGTGTGTGTGGTGAGAGGCAACCGGGAGTATTTACCAGCATTAGCACAAGGGGGCCCGTAACAGGCCTCGGGCCACTATTACTTTACGCCGAACTGCTTGTACCAGCTGTCTTACGGGCACATTTCCAGGCACTGGAGGGACGCTGAACTGGCTCTTTCCAGGCACCTCGGCCCCCCACTCAACCCACCCAACCAACTAGCCAGTCAATATGGGGTACACCACGCTGGGCACTTCCAGGTACAGGCATGTGCGGCATACGGCTCTGTCCTCGACTGACAGGTACACGAACCTCGCCCTCACTTTCGGCCACTGGGGTCCTTCAGAAGAAGGCGAGGGCTGCATATCCCCCGGATGAGTAGGAGTACTCGTCCACTTCGAACACGCACCAAGAATATCAAAGGAAACATAGCCCTTCCGACTAGTCTGACCCGAAGCTTTTGCTCTAGCGAGTCCCCGTCCCGTTATTCTGTATAGAAGCATTCACAGATCAGTCCCCGCGACGATATCCTGGCTAATGTTCCAACATAATGGTACGCCTGGTCGTCGATCCTTCACACAAGACAACCACACGACAATCAAGTTCAATAACAGACCATGTGCTTATCATCCCATCATGTTGTGTTCATGGTCTGGCTTTCAGCAAGGAACCCATTTCCTCGATCCTCTACTGCTCCCCGCCACGCCACCAGACTCCACCGCTATACCAGCCAGAACTTAGGCTCGCGAACCCCGGTCGAGGCGCAGCCCTACAAATAGAAAAACGTCTCACTACGAGTCGACAAAATCTGTATGTCCCACCTGCAGCGATACCTCAGTAGATACTCTGAAGGTGACCCACGAATGACTCAGGCGAGTCTCACGCCGTTCCTGCAATGTGCTTATCGCTACATTCCGCTGAGGCTATGGAGGCTGAGTTTCGATTTCTGTTGGGATCCGGGTTGTACCACGAACTCGTACTCGTACAGGACTTGGCTCTCATTGCACAGAGGTGCAACCCTTGAGGGACGCATGCCGTTCACCCCCACCATCGTCATCTGGCCCGATCGTCGCTAGGCTTTGCGTCTGTTCTCGGGATAGGCTCTGGGCTATTCAATCGCACCAAGTTACTTGTATGTCCAGCGCTGCCCCCAGGATCAATTGCGATATTTGAAATTCGTCTTTCTTCTGCCCGATGACCTAATCATTCTGCTGCAGGTATTGTGCCCATCACACCACGTCCGAAGAATTCGCTCACGGTCTCAAATCGGCTGTTGCTTCGGGCCAAGGCTGCCTTGAAGAGATCGTGTTGCTCGGTACTCTCCACTTGCTGTCGGCGAATTGCTCGAATAGTGTCGTTGCCCGGTTTGCATATAGGGCACTCGATCTGGTCGTCCTCGTCCTCGTCCAAACCAAGACCTGGCTTGTTTAAACATTCTTGATGAAACGAGTGTTTGCACATGAAGTGAACCGTAGGTAATGTCAGATTTCGGGCACAAGAGGAGCAGCGTCGTGCCTGAAACACAACAGGCTTCGTCTCAAGATCCGTCAATTCAGACCTTTTCGACGCGGTTTCTGTTCGGTAGGAGTCGATCAAACGACGATTAGTTTGGATTTCCTTTCTTTCTCGTTGAATGTTGTCAGATAGATACGCCTTGACCATGCCCATACTCACCGCCCCTCCTTGGGAGAGAACCTTGACCACTTGGAGCGGCGCCATTAGTTTCTCCTGGTCAATTTTCTTGAGAACATTCTGAAGCTCATCCTTGACTCCTGGCTCCTTGAGGATCCCTTCCGAGGAAGAAAAATACCCTAATGCGAGTGGATATAGTGAAGGATCCTTTTCACCGTACTTTCTCAACGCTGAAATGGCGCCAGAGGTGTCTTTTGCTGAAGTGAAGGATCGGAAAATATCTGCATAGAGGTTTTCTCGTTCTCGTACTAATGTCGTGCCGGTTGGGAATTTCGACAATGACGACAACAAGAGGACATTGGAGGTGTCGATTGTGGACTCATCTAGTGACTCTGTCTTATTGTCCGCAATCAAGCTGGTTGCCTTGACCTGCCAGTTGTCCCTTTCACCAGGATCTCGAGAACTGTTTGCTGCCTCGAGGTACATTTCGAAGAGGGTAGTCGACAAATCCGACCTGTCTTCTTTCGCTAGACTTTCCTGACGGACGAGCGCTTCGAGGAATTGGATAAATTCAACGGGACGTGCAATGAAGGCAGAGAATGCACTTCGGGGTCGAGGAACAAGATATGACGGAGTTACAACGACTGACGTTGGCTGTGTCTCCTCCCCGAGGGGTTTCTGTTCATCGCCTGTTGGTATCCCATTGACGTTGGATGCTCTACTCATGAATGGCAGCGTCCAGAGTGCTGACAAAGTCTGAAATGCGCCTCCGCCACTCTGCGCCTGGACCTCCGATACAGCTGGTATGTCTTGCTTCGGAGCATATCGGCCAGTGTAGTACTCGATGAACAACTTTGTTGTCTCTTCTGGACAATGTTCAATGAGGCTTCGGGCGTACTTCATCAATACTGGGTACGCTGTATCTGGGTTGAGTCGCCAGATATACTGCAAGGCTTCGGCATATTTTTTCGAGTCCTCAATCAAAATGTCAATCACCAACTCGTTCTCACCATGTTTCGTGGCGAGGTATGCTGCTTGATCATAATATCCACCCTGACGGCACATTGCAATGGCTGTCTCGATGTCGAATCTTGCTGTGCCAGATGCCCGGATGAAGGCGTCGAGCTTCTCGGTGTCCTTCAGTTTCGCGTAACAGTTCAGGAGCAATGTTGTATGGTCAGGAGATGCTTTATCATGTTCGTGTAACTCTTCAAGGTAATCAATGAGGTTGTGGATTCTCTGTGTGTCTAGGAACCGCCGTATGACCTGTGATGGTTCTGTATTGTCTATCGCCCTCAAATATTGCTGCATTGCTGTGTCATAGTCACCTTTCTGATATAAATAATCACCGTACTTCCGGAAAATGATGTTCTGCTGGACTTTGTCGGCCCCGGCCTTCTGGGCAAGGTTTATGGCGTAAATATACAAGTTGCGCTGATAGAGGATCTCAAGCTTCTGCTGAAGTGTTTTTTCCTGGTACCTGAACAGCTGTTTGCGTTAGCAGAGAACAGATCTGAATGGTGATGACTTTTACCTTGCCCTCAGAAGTCAAAAGGAACAGCTCATCCCATTCGACAAAGACATCCTTGACCTGCGCCGGTAATGACTCGGTATGAGCGATGAATTTGAGGTCGGTATCAAGCAAGGTGAACGACGAACTACTGAATAGCTCGTGAATCTCGTCGCCTGCCAATCGTCTGAAGGTCTTGGATTTGGAGACTTGTGCCACTCGAGGTGGACAGACTAAACCAACGTATTCCTTGTACATCTTGACTATCTTTTTCGGTCCTTCGAAGGCATAGCTGGGCCCGCGCCCTCCTGGGCCATAGTAATGAATGGCGTCTTCCCGAGCAATCACGATGTCGCCAGTTTCGCGATCTTGTGTCATACAGCCGACATTGCACCCTCGATTGTCTACCGTACGTGCAGTCTGGCCCTGACCTTTGCCAGAAATAATGAGACTGCATATTTTCGCCGTGTTTGCGATGTATAGGACCTTTGTGGCGTTCTGTCGGATCTCGAGACCAGTTATGGGATCCTCCGATTCGAACACAGTCCGCTGCTTGGTTCCTCTGTCATGAACGAAGTCTCCCCGTATGACAGTCACAGAGCCATTTGCAAAGCCGACAGCCACTTGACTCATATCATCTAGAACGACAAGTGCCGAGACAGGGAACTGTCTTCTGCCATTCTGAACCGCAATTGTACACAGACACCGAGGTCCTCCCGTCTTCTTCTCGGTCTTGTCCAGCGCCCATACCTTCAGGAAGGGTTCCGATGATAGATTCTCAGAGATTGTAACCAGAAAAGGTGTCTCAGGTATCTGTTTAATGTGCGTGATAGAAGCATCTGACGTGTCGGATGCCTGGAATGTTCGGACGACTTTCAGCGCTCGAGAAAGGACGCGCACCGAGCCGTTCGAGGAGCCGAGGAACAGAGAATCGGAGCCAGTAGCTATAGATACAATATCATTCTGACATCGGGAGTTAGGGCACGTCTCGAGGCTGACCGGTAAGACACACCTCGAAGATATACGATCCCTCTTCATCTGCAGGCACAGGAACCTGAGATACGTTGAAGAAGGGGAATTGCTTCCAGCTCGAAAGCGCCATTGCTGCTACCTGCACGAAGATCGGAGATGATCATGAGAAGCCATTGTAGTCTCTCCCGTTGTGGTGCATGTTGTGCGCAGGCTGGTGTCGGGGTGCTGCACTAATTGTTTGGTGATGCGTGACGTACGATTTGGGGTTTTACGTTTGCCTTCGGTAAGGACGAGCAGCCTGGTGGATAGCCTCGCCAGCCTTGCATGTATTCCTTAGGATTGCCAATGCAAGCACGACATACTCCGTACTCCCTCACGAAATACTTCTCAAGAAACCCTCGGAAAAGTCCAAAATTGGTAAATATACACGTATAACAATGAATGACATTTAACATCCAACAGGATCACTCAACATTACGGGCTACACCAGAACGTCTCATTTTAATACAATAACAACAGGTCTGCTACAGAAAAAAATCCATTCCAGACTTTCCCCCAGCATTAAAGGCATCTCGGTCATGGCATCGTTAAACAGCACTAGATAGCTGCGACCTGCGCACGAAGAATCAATCTTCCCAGCTGAATCTAGGGCTCGGACGGCCTTCTGGAGGGCTTGACGCTCGCTCTTCTGACACGGTGCTTAAGCCTTCTTCAACGAATCTGCTGCCGGTACTTGGAGATCGCGATGGAGGACGACCATTGAGTTGCGGTACCATCAGGCTGGAACGACTAGTATCGGTTAGAGGACTATCGCCTGAGCTGCCTGAAAAGTTTTGTGGAGGTCTGGAGGTCGTTTCGGGCGACACAGGACTAGGGAGTGACCTGCTATTGCTGTTGCTTGATTGTCTCGAGTGTCCATTGCTGCTTACGCCAATTGGACTGATTCCTTGCTCTCCAGACGAAACAGTCCCAAAAGCCCGACTGTTCCGTAGGCTATTGGGACTGATGCTGCTGCTAAGGCGGCCATTGTTGGCTTCTGGAGGTGAATAAGGTGGCACAGGAGAGCTAGACCGCTCAGTCATGGCTGCCTCGGCCGCCTTCGTCGTTGAATCTTGATTCTCGAGCTCCGCTGGCCGTCTGGGGTCGTTTCTAACCAGCATTGATCCTCTGTGCCCTTCTTGTACATTGCTTGTGTAGAACTGCGGGGACACGGGCGCTGCTGGCATCTCAATTGCTGTATTGGCTGACAGTTCGAATCTGGTGGCTGATGTATCGGCAGGAACTTCAGTAGGGTGGCGCTTGTCGCCCAAAAGCTCGGAAACCGAAGTCTTAGATCCCGGTCCCTTGTGTAAGCGGGTGAATATACTGCGCCTTTTCGGCTTCTCAGCAGTGTCTGCATCTTTCGAAGTTTGTTTGCGGAAGCAGAAAACCCAGATCAACACGGCCGCTATTATGACAACCGCAGCACATCCTACACCAATGCCTGCAGCGGCGCCGGTGGAAAGCCCAGAGTGGCCATTTAATTCAGGACCCGGGAAGATGCTATCAGCTGGTCGTGTAATAGCTAGTAGGTTTACATTACCAACGGCATCCAAATTGAAGACGGCTTGTGAAAGGGTGAAATTGTTGCGCTCATAGTCGACTGTCAAGTAGGTCTCCTGCAGAAAGGCTCGTCCGATGGTATATTGAGTTGAATTTGCTGCTTTTCGTAATGGGAAGTAGTTGGTCGGGGGTGATGAGAAATCCGCGTCGAGTTTCGGGAATGGATATGACAACTGGAGGTTAAAAGCATCGTAGGGAAGTGTTAGCTTGATCTCTTCGGATGATCCGGGCAGATTGCTGAGAGCGAAGGTAAATGTTAGATTCCAACCGGAAAGTCTATCTGGCGATGAAGAGTTGCCGTCTGGAAACAGGTACAATTGGAGGTTGTCGTCGTAGGTCAAATTCAAGGAGTCAGCGAAGGCATCACAAGCTGCCGCCGGAAGCCAGAGGAAAGGCGTAGACGTGTCTATGGTGAACAAGCTCGAATCTACCTGGCTCGAATGAAATAATTGTTGTGGGTTGGAGTTCCAGTTAGATGGCAAAGATTCGCCGTTCGAGGGCGAGGAAGTGACTGATATGGCATTGATGGCCACTACAGGAGCGTAATCGGCACTCAGAGTAAATGTCAAGTCATTGGCGACAAATCGATTCGCATCAACACCACCCAGAGTAAGGGAAGCCGGAACGCCTTTGAGGCCTACAACGATGTTAGTACCTCCCACAAGATCTGGGACGTTAACACCCACGATATGAGGCTCCCGCAGTATATCCATAGCTGTGGCTAGGAATGAAGCTACCATTCTGCACTAGGCTTGATAGAAATGGGAGATTGTTCCTGTCACCAGTGAAGCGAGTCTGTTGGACACCCAGACCCAATGTCCCAATCCAGTGATCGGTGGAGTTTACGAGGGCGAGAATCTGGTCGGGAACCGATACGCGATCGTCGAGTGCGATTGTATCGAGACCATAGTATCCAGAACCATCAGTACCTAGCTGCGCGTCCGTGTTGAGCTCAAAGTATCCTTTCGGAATGAATGTGGATGACTGATTCGCCGAAAAAAGCCCTCCTCTTTTGTTCTGGCAAGTCGAAGTTCCGTCGCATCCAAGAGGACCGACAACCCACGTCTCTTGACTCAGAGTACTCGGGAAGACACTCAGCCATTGCTCAGGCGTACCCACGCGGATGCTAACTGCAGACCAGGCGCCATCGTATCCCAGAAAATTGGTGGTAGTAGTCGCGACAACTGGCTCGGGGTGCGCATTGGCAGCAGAGCATTGTCGCGGAAGAACGAGGGAAAGGAGGAGAAGACCACCATAGGCGATACTCGAGTAATGAAAAATGCAGGTCGTCCACAGGCAGCACATCACGTTGTGAGTACTGAAGAGGTGAAGTCCATCGACGCCAGCTGCAGACCAAGCGAAATCGTGGAAATGGTGGGAGGCTCCAGATATAAGAATGGGCTCAATGATCTTTTGCGAGTGAAGGATGATATGGTAGCGAGCGTATATGATGGGAAATAGTATAACAAGGCCACTTGAACGAGTGAATATGTCAAGATGCTTTTCTTCTGAGCGCGAGTTGCGAGATGTGAAAAGGAACAAACCCTCGGGTCTCAATGAGGCTGAGGGGAAGTACGGAGTACCAGAACCTGAACTAGACTGTACCAATTAGCACCCAGGTACGGAGCACAGCTCAACCGGTTATGGAGGCTGGGGCCTCGGTGTGTACTGTACCGTACAGTGCAAGCCCTGTGAACTGGGAGTTTTTAGTCGTACCTGCTGTTCCTAATTTAAGGATTTCCTAGGCTATCGGGTCAACAATAGGGGCCCCCTAGAGGCTCTTCCTCAAAGCCTATGCCTGCATTTAAGGCAACTGGTACTCCAGAAAATGTGCTTAAATGTGGCCCATGCTCGCTGCATCTTATTCAGTACGTACAGCCCAGAAATCATAAAAAAGGCTTTCACGTCCTCCCACGTCCCTGTTACAGAATTTTCTCAAGGTTGCCCATGCGAGACCATTCCTCCTTGCGAAGGTCCATCCTAGACTTCGTGGTGGGACGCACCCTCGAACCTTGAAGGAGTTCACGGCAAATATCAGCGTGGGAACAGCTGCCATGTAACCCATCTGCCCAGTAACACTCGCAAGTCGAACAGTATCTCGTTCACTCGGGTTCAAATTTACCGACTATCGAAGTCCTACTCGATTGAAGGGATCACCGTACCTAGGAATGCATCTGACACGTTATCGCCGTTTGAAACTTCCTGGGCATACTCGTACGCGAGACCTGAACGTTGGCGGGCAAGAGGGCACTACGACCAAGGAGTGATTGCAATTGTGAAACTCGTGTTCTGTACAAAGTAGTCCCTGGACATGTGCTACACGATCACCTGCAATTCCTCAGAGTCTGATGGTTCCCCCGGCCGCCACCATGCCGAGTTGAGCAGGTTTCCCAGCTTGTTGTAGTGGCAAGGCAGACAGGTGGATCTTTGATTGTTTGTCTTATTTTCTTAGGGGTCCCAGAGCCTTCTCAGAAGTCCATTGAAATGACGCGACACGGAGCCTGCCAAGCGGTCGCAGGTGAATTGACTGGAGTAGTTTGCAGACTTTTAGCGAGACCGGTGTAACATTCTCCGTACAGTATGTACATTCGCAGGAGACAAAGGAAGATGCGTCACCAGGCGCAAGGGGCATGTGGCATCCGCTCGTATGATAGTAACACACATTCAAGGACTTGAGCCAGACCAACACCTCGTCTCAGGTCGAGTTTGTTCCTTGGAAGACTTGCGCACGTACTGGTCGGGAGGTGAAATTCAGACTGCTGACCATCTAAACATCTAACAAAATATCGTTAGATGCAGCGGGAGATAGACATCTAGGATCGTTAGCCTCATCCTGTACCGAGATGGCGATAACGTATGGGGGACGAGAAAGGCGCAGTAGATGGCCAGAAAGTCAGCAAAGGAGATGGAAGGTGAGGTGACGGTGGAGAGAGATGTACCAATTCATCAATTGTACCCCTGTCCCTGCAGCTGTCGCCCTTGTCTCTCGCCCTCGCCGTCCGCCGTGACTTCAGGTTTCCGATGCCACGGCTCGACGGCAAGCATAGCATCCACCCTATTGTACTCGCAGCCGGGGGACATCAAGCACGCGTTCGTGTGTCTCGAAATGAGTGGCCTTGAGGACCAGGTGAGCCAATCTCTCGCCCATCGACCGGGAAGCATTATTTCCAGGTACCGTACAATTTGATGGGAATACGGATACTCCGTACCTCCACTCACCGTTCACACCACAATTAGAATCACCAGCAGCTGTCAGCCACCCGACAATCCCAAGGCTGAGAACCACTGGCGCCCTCCAAGCCGCCTAGTGGGGTGTTGATCATGCTGTTTGCAAGCAAGTCTAATGTGCACGAATTATTGCTAAATCCTTCAACCCCTGCTTAGTCCTTTCCCGGCCAGAGATATCCTGGCACTATCCTTTCGCCGATGGGTACGAGTAGGTAGTGAGGTCTGCGATAGCCTGCGAATCCTCAGCCATCTCTTCTCCGCTGGTTTGCTGGTATCTTTCCCGACCTCGACCACGCACTCACACTCGCTTTGACCTTGCCGACATAGACACGTTCGCGACATGCAGCCTGCCCGTCCCTGATCTCTCTTGTCCCTACCCTCTTTATGCGCTTCGCCTCTCGCTTGGAACACCGTGGCAGGCACTCTTGAGCAACTATTGTTGAAGGAAGTAGAGGAGGAAGTGGTCGCGCACAGTCCTATTCGCGGATAGTTGTGATGCTGGATTGAGCCATCTGGCAAGGTGCGCATTTTGCACGTTCACTCGTTACAAGAAGAATCAAACATTCGCTCCGAGACATAAGAAAAGAGTTGGGTGAATTTTCACAAGCGACAGAATGCGTCGCTTTTGGTCCCTCGTTTCACTCTATGTGGCCGTGGTCCATGCGGAGGACTTCAGAGGGAATGCGAGGACACCGCTCAGGTTCATACCTAAAGGAACTGTTGGCTACACAAATTCGACGATATTATATCAGAACACGACCACTTCTCCTACAGAATCACCTTCGTTCCCAACATCTTCGGACGATGCTATCACACACTCAATAACCTCAACGCCCCATACGGTCATAGGGATATACACCAACACCTCCACCACTCTACCAGAGACTACGACTAACAATACTACGGACGACACTCCATCATGTACCGGGTCAATCACGTATTATGGCTCCGTCCCACCGACAGTCTATGTCACAGTCACAGAGGGCTTCGATGTGACTGTCACGGCTAGCAATGTATCCATCACTGACACTCCTACCCTAATCACTCCTCTGCCATACTGCCAACAGACCATCATGCCCGGTGCAGGCCCAGTCGCTCCCGACGCATCTTTTGTTTCGGCCTCGTTCGCTGCTTCTTCTCCTCCGGCCGTTGCAAAATCATCTGGTAATCTCCCTTTTCTCAGTCTGAGTAAAGGCCCACCAGCGCCAGCTCCCCCAGAACCAACGGAAACCACGGCTCTAGCGGGTTCTTCAGTCTACGCAAGCGTTCCTTATACCAGCACAGTTATCATTACCAAGAAGACACCGGTCACAGTGGTGGCACCTCCGACCAGTTCGCCGGACATCAACTTCCATCCTACTCCTCCCAGTTCGAGGCCACCGTCAGGACCGTCTTCTGTCAACGCAAACGCTAGCGGGGGTAAAAATGATGGCAATCCTGGAAACAACGGCAGTGGAAACCATAACGGTAATGATGCAAATCCTCTCTCGCCTGGTGGAGTTGGCGCCTCTCCAACGAAGAGCACAGTGACAACCTTCCCATCCCTGACCAATACTGCTGGACCAACACCGGGCACACTGGTCGTGCCGTCAACCACGCGGTCCGGTATCGGCAACATCATTGCTTCAATCATCTATTCACCATTCGCAACGCGCTTACCTACTGGACGACCAGCATTCGCACCCACCACCACCACAGTCGACAACATCCCCATTGTGGTTTCCGAATCTAGGGTTATCATTGGAACCCAAACTGTGGATGTACCCAGATCTTCGTCAACAGTAGTACACGCCGGGGGAGACGACTTTACTGTCCGGCCAAGCATCATCGTTGCGCCGACGGCTACCATAACCTTAACACCCGTTCAACAGCACGATGCATCTACAGTCTCTCCTGCGACAACCACATTCACCACTGCTATCGGAGACCTGACGATTACAGTCGGCCCAACTGTAGCCATTATTTCGGGGACAACATATCGGATCGGCGATAACGCTCCAGCAACAACTATCTCTGTGCACGGAACAAAGGTCTCGATTGGCTCGGAAGGTATAGGCCTCCCAAGTACAACAATAGTCCCTGGGGGAGCGTCGTTTGTCGTGGTCACCGCAGAAGGATTGACGTTCTCCTTGGACGAGAGTGAAGCAATCTTTAGTGGTACGACATACCGCATCGGCTCAAACGCGCCTCAAGTTACCACGACAGTTGCGACTGACAGTATTTCCTTTGGCCCTGGTGGAATCGGATTGAAGTCGACGACGATTCTGCCAACTGCTGCTCCACATCCAACGGTGCAAACTAGCGAGCCATCAGTCACCTCGGCGCGTGGCGCTGCGGCAAGCGAATCTGCAAGCGCTGATAGTGCAGCGTCTTCCAGGTTCAAACCTCTGGATATTATCTTCAGCTGGAATGCATTGGCCATATTGCTGTGTTTATTTGTTTGATCTCACTTTCTCACTTTGGCATGTATGGTGTTGGAGGAGCAAGGAGATACTGGCGTGGATGGCAAAATGTTTTTGATTTGCAACGGGTGATAATGGACACTCTTTTTGGCGGCAATTTTCAGCCGTCCGTACGACTTGATATGATACCCAGCTATATAATGCGGCACATGAACTTGGATACGGTATTGGGGCTCGAGTTGGACTTGGGACGATGCTTTGTTTTGTGCAGGCTGGGTCGGAGGAATTGAAACTGGACAAAAGCCCAGTCTGACGATAGATAACTGGAATCTGAATATAGAATAATAAGTAAAATAAGATCTCTATCGCAATCACTCTGCCTGGCAACGCTATGCCCTCATCAGGAACTGTCCCGCAACCATGCCTGAGACACTCATGATGCCGGCCATCAGGAAATTAATTTGATTGTTGTCCAAAATGTCATGGCCAGAATTGATCATCCTGCTTTCATGACCTTCTTTCTCTTTCATGTCTCCCTGGTACGAGTTGGGACCTGGTCTCGGCTTCGTCAAGACCTTACCACCTCCAGGCGCCTCGACGATTTTGCCCGTCCTGCGATCGACGACCGATGCTTGCAGGATCGCTCCCAGCAGTGAGTCCAGCAAAGTTCCTGCGGTGCCGAGCAGGGTGACCAGCGTGAACGTGTCAGTTCGTGTGAGCGAGCTGTCTTTGCAGAACGTGAGGAACAACAGACTCGTCAGTGCGATCGCCGTGGACCCGGCAACGCCTGCCCCTAGTCCCGCGAGCGAGACACCACCGTTCGTGCCTGGCGGGACGGTGCGGAGGGTCGTTAACAGTCTGGGCTTGCTGCGGGAGAGGATCCCCAGTTCGGAGGAGAGCGTGTCGGACGTCGTGGCGGCGTAGTTTGACATAATACCCAGTAGTATCAGATCTGGAACGATCGAAGAAGAGGAAGAGAAACAGGTGCCAGTAGCGGTCGGAGACAGGCCATAGAGGTAGATGTGAACGAGGACCAGTAGTGTCGCGGCCCCGCTGTTGGCAAAGACCTGGACGCTCGTTCGCGGACCCTCTCCTCCCGAGCTCCCACTCGAAGATTGGGTCAGCGTCGCTTTGATGTCGTGTTTGACCTTGGTCGCCTGGGTCCCGAGGAGGAAGAAAGTGCCCAGGAGTGTGAAGGGGAGAGCGGATGGGTGCAGGGCGTGGACAGAGGCGCTCAGCCCGGCTGACAGCAGGCCCAAGGGTGTCAGGGAGCGGCGGGTGTATGCACGGAGGAGGAGGGCGACGATGCAGGGAATCGCAATTGTTGCTCGCATCGTGGGTTCAGGTTCTCTTCTGGAGGACGTCCTATGAACGGAGGGGAGCAGGTGGTGGTGCTGCCTAGAGACAGGATCGTCCAGGTAGGCTGAGGCGGTGAACAGGTGTGACTGGGACGGAGGCGAAGCTACGGAACAGCTTGAACAAGTACAAGCAGCCTCAAGGACACATCCAGGCCATGTCGTTGTATCACAGGAGGATTATATGAGCAACAAGGCGGTAAGAAAGGTTGGTGGGATCCTCGGGCGCATGTGATCCCGGCTTCAAAAAGTCCGCAGTTTTGTAAGTAAAATAGTCAGGGCTGATGACGTGCATCGCGGCCAATGGATGAGTTTGGGATTCATATCTATTCGATTGTTCTGGATACAAAACTCCGTCTCTCAACGTCCATAACTAGGTACTCTTCCTACGTACAAAATAAGTCGATGACTCGAGTCTTTAAGAGACCAAAATACAATGATTGAAATGTTTCCCAACGTCCGTCATGTTCAGATCGATCCTCGCTAGGCCGACCGTCCTACAGCAGCCGAGCAACGTGCTACCTTCAAGTATACCTCCTCTCCGACGGAAACTCCATCTTGCTCCTCCGTTTCTGCTGGAGGACTACATTCCTCGATACCATCTCATCTCCTCGGTCGATGCCGCCAGGAAACGTTCCGCGGCCTATGCACACCTCCGCCGTTGTAACCTATGTCCTCGCCTCTGCGACGTGAATAGATACGAGACCACCGGCCATTGCCTGATTGGCGCAGAGAAGGTCAAGGTCGGGACTATTGCACCGCACTTTGGAGAGGAACCCTGCCTGCAAGGGCACAATGGCTCCGGCTCGGTGTTCTTCAGCGGATGCAACCTGCGCTGCGTCTTCTGTCAGAACCACGACATCGCACATCAAAAGGTCGGCTTCGACCTGACGCCGGAAGAGCTGGCGGAATGGATGGTCAAATTGCAAGAGGTGGGCAACGTGCACAACATCAACTTTGTCACTCCGGAGCACGTGGTGCCTCAGGTCGCCCTGGCCATCCTGGCCGCACGGGAAATGGGGCTGCGGGTGCCCATTGTGTACAACACGAGTGCCTTTGACAGCCTCAAGAGCCTAGAACTCATGGATGGCCTGGTCGATATTTATCTACCCGACTTCAAGGTGTGGCACAATGAGACCAGCAAGAGACTGCTCAAAGCCGATGCGTACGCCGATACAGCCAGGGAGAGCATACAAGAGATGTACAGACAGGTAGGGGATCTGTGTTTCACCGGGGACGGGATCGCAAAGAAGGGGCTTTTGGTGAGACATCTTGTCATGCCTGGAAAGGAAGAAGAGGGTGTCCGAATCATGCAGTGGCTGGCAGAAGTCTTGGGAAAGGATGTCTTTGTCAATGTCATGGAACAGTATTACCCAGACGCTCATGTCGGCAGGGAGAAACGAGGGCCCAAGACCAACAAGGATGAAAAGCGATATTCTGAAATCAATCGACCCGTCAGCAAAGAAGAAATTGGCGTTGTGCAAAAGGCCGCAAGAGATGCTGGTCTATGGAGGTTTGCCGAGCCTGCCAGGCATGGTGGATGGAATGTGTGATTCTGAGACTGTCCACGGCTTTCAGTGGTTGACTCACATTGCAGTGGGTGGCCAAATGTTCTTCGAACTACGAGATCCGAGCTTCTTTGTTCCTGTCTTTAGCTACCAGATCGTTATGATCAATTCGGCCTCCCTCTTTGTTTGTTCAGTTAGACAGTCAGGAAATTATCACACAAAGAAGTTGGGATGACAGTGGTCATGATACTGCCCTCAAAAGCCTGCAGAATCCCACCATGGACAACATTCACACATAGGAAAGCTCTTCGGGAATGTCATCCTCGGAAGTATTCCATTCACTGTCCAAGCCGACACTCTGTGCGTCTCAATACTCATGGTTGCAGCAGGAACGCCTTTATCTGGAACAGGTTCTGGGTGACCAACAACACCGCAGCAAACAGCTCAACAAGATACTGCAGAATGTTGAATCGAAGATTGCCAAAGCATTGTCGGAGCAGTCCACTTCAGAAGTCCTTAAACCATTGAGGAAGAGCAGGAAGAGTCTGCGTGGGAAATTGGGAAGATGCATGAAATTGTTACACTCTACAGGGGAGTCACTCAACAATATACTATCGCGAATGGAAAGTCTGCAGCAAACCCAGTTCAGTCCACCAAGTTTCACCAGCCAAGTACAGCAAACGATGCATGAATTGCCTCCACTACGTTCCAGTTGGACAACAAAGACCTTCTCTACATCGATACAGCCATATGATGTTTGCCGACAGATCAGCTACTCCACAACACCCTTCAATCGCATTGTACCAGGGTATCGACCAATGTTCTATCATGTACCACAAACTCCTTTCTTGCGACCTCTGCACTCCTTACGTCCTGACGCTCACATGCACCCACAAATCCCATCTTTTGAGCTTGCTCCATACGCACAGGCGGTATTCAGCCCTCCTAGCCCAGCCGAAACAGTCTCAATGTATAACTTGAATTCTACCACGGTGATGGCGCCTCTGGTTCCGAACAAGTTTGCCTATCTAGTCTAGCCGCTACTCAACCGCCACAGATCCTTTCGGTAATCTTGTATTCTCTCTTGACGAAGAATGAATCAATACACAATGTTAAATGTCAGCCAAAAATCGCTATCGCCCATACACTGTATAGCAATCATCCAGCCAATATGTTCATACAACCAGCCAATTCACACAACACAAGGCCATACTGCCGCTGCGGTTGCTAGGTCCTGTTTGCGCAGTGACTTGCAAACGTTTGATCCAGACCTTCTCTAGTTCGTCTTCAGAACAGTCCTGCGTGTCTTACACGTATTCACTGGCGATATTATGACTCTCGGCATACTTCTTGCGTTGTCAACAGACCCTATATCCTCTACGTTGTGATTTCATCCCGAGGTTCTCTTTGATTGTGCAGAATACCAGTACGTTGGCAAGCTCTACCGATAGTGATAGTCATCATCCTCTCATCCTTTTCTTCAAGATGACATCCACTCGATTTCTCACGCTGCTACTTGTGCTTGCGAGTTTTGTATTCTGTTTGCCTTACCCTTCTCGTCACGACATCTGGTGGAATGATACCCAGAGCACCTTTGATTATGTTGTTGTTGGATGTGGTATCTCTGGCTTGGTCGTGGCAACAAGGTTGAGTGAAGACCCTGGCATTTCTGTCCTCTGTATCGAGGCTGGCTCACTGTATTTCTCTCTGGCTTTGCCTTTATTCTTGTTGAAAACTGATTTTCCTAGGGATCATGGCGAGAATATGATCAACATTCCAGCGTTTATCGGCGAACAACCACCAGACTTTTACGTTTACAATCTCTTGACTCTCCCACAAACACAGCTAGACAATCGTACCCACGTCCTACCCATGGGCAGAGGTGTTGGAGGAGGCAGTCTCGTCAATGGCATGATCTGGAACCGTGGCAATCAAGAGGATTTCAATCTCTGGGCTTCTCTCGGCAATCCAGGATGGGATTGGAACAGTCTGCTTCCCTACTTTACGAAATCCGAAACGTACACTCCGCGTGCCTACGCCGATGTTAACCGCCAGCCTGTGACTTTTGATCCGGCTGTCCACGGCTCCTCTGGGCCCGTCCAGGTTAGCTATCCGGCCTTTTACTGGCCGCAAACAGGTACGTTACTACTGCTCTCAAGACCTGGCTGAACGGACCGATGTACTGACCGCCAGGTAAGACAATTGGTTTGCTGCTCTCGACACTCTTGAGATTCCGTCGCCCATCGATCCCAATGAGGGCACCTCCGCTGGGAGCTACTTCCTCCCCTCGTCCATGGACCCGGCCAGCCAGACTCGCTCCGACGCCCGTCGTGCGTACCACGACAAGGCCGCCAACCGATCCAACTACCACGTCCTGACCAATGCGCAAGTAGGGCGCATCTTGTTCAGGCGTGGCGTGGTCCCACAGGCCATTGGCGTCAGGGTAAGTGTATTGTTGTTCTGTGAGTTTGTACCGTGCCGTTCTCATCTAACCGAGCCGAGCAGACCCTCGATGGACGCCGTTTCTTGGCCCGCCGTGAGGTCATTCTGGCCGCGGGAGCCATCCATACACCACAAGTGCTCGAGCTCTCGGGTGTCGGCGACGGCCAGCTGTTGTCTTCTCTCAACATCTCTGTCGTGGTGGATCTCGCCGGCGTGGGTAATAACCTCCAAGACCACGCTCTTCTCAGGGTGACGTACCCTTATCAGAATCCGGCATATCCAAACCCTCAATGGCTCCTCACGAATTCCACGTTCAACTCTACGTCCGCACAAGAGTACTTTTCCTCTCACACTGGACCTTGGACAGCGAAGCCCAGTACGGCGATTGCGTTTCCGTCTCTGGCTCAGATCACGAACAACACGTATGCCCGCAGCCTCATTCTCTCAGCCACACAAGATTCTCAAGGGTACTATTCGTCGCCACGTGTGCTTCCCAGTAACAAGACCAACAGACCATTCCTCCAGGCAGGATACCAAGCTCAGTACCCCTTGATCCTGCAGAATCTCATGTCAGAATCGACACCAGCATACGAAATCCTGAATGACAACTCTGGCGGTCTCGACATAGCTCTCATGCGTCCACTGTCAAGAGGGACCACGCACATCACATGTCAGGACGCGACCGTAGATCCGGCGATAAACCCAAACTGGCTCTGCCACCCGCTCGACTTTGAGATCATGCTCGCGGCGATGGAATTCAATCAACGCATCCTCGACACCGACGCCGTACAAACCCTAGAGCCGTCTTACGGTCAAGTCCCCGCGAACGCGACCAGACCTGAATTGGAAGGGATTGTACGACAAGGGATCAATACAGAGTACCACTACTCCGGCACGTGTGCGATGATGCCTCGCGGGCTGGGTGGAGTGGTCGACGCCGATCTCAACGTGTACGGCACCAAAGGATTGAGGATCGTCGACACGAGTGTGTACCCCGTCGTGCCGGGGGCTCATCTGCAGAGTGTGGCGTACGCGGTCGGGGAGCGTGCGGCGGACATCATTCGAGGAAGGATAGTGATGGTCGTTACACCTGTTGGTATTGGTACAGACGCGGGTCCCGTGTGAGTTGTGTCGGAGAGAAACAACATACACCCACAAACTACGACAACAATACCAAGATTCTTGCTTAACTTGATTGGAGACGCAAATGGGGCCACTAGGATAGCAGTGCTTCTGCGTCATGACGGGTTCAAATTGGAAAAGAAGACCTCAGGATATGATAGGAGGGTCTTGATGGGAGCTTTGAGGAGGACAATGGGATGGAAATCCTCGTCTCCGGGACTTGAAGGTTGTTGGATGGGAAGTAAACAGTCTGGGGGAGGAGCTAGCTAGTAAACCAACTAATAGGGTGAGAGAACAGCACTGGTGAGGGATCGTTGCTTTGGTTTGGTTTAATGACGATCCAAATGACTCAATCACCAACTACGGAGTATACATGCATGTACATGATGATGCCTCGTTATTCGTGAGGTAATGTATTGAACCTCATTCGTAACCTTGAATAGGTGGCTATATCTCGCCCGAACTCGGCCGAGGAATCATCCACACACACCACCACATTCAGAGCAAAGTCATCAAAAGATCTCGTCCGAGTATTTTCATCGAATAGACGTTGGACATTGGTTGGTTAGTATCCCATATGTGACACAGTTCGGTTCGTGTCAATGGTGGTAAGTAAAGCAAATGAATTAGATCGTACAAGTATCAGTCAAAAGGAGCCGGGTGGCACTCGAATCGACCTTTCTTCCTTTCTTTGGATCTCACTCCGCATACTTACTCCCTGGCAAAATCATACTACATAACAGCACCGCACCCATAAGCATACACACACACACACACACACACACACACACACACACACACACATATATATAACTCTCTCTCTCTCTCTCTATATATTGAAACACCAACCATCTCATCAAACTAACCATCATCAAAAAGTCATCCAAGAATGCCTCACAAAATCGAACAACCAATCTCATCAGTCGTCGACACAAGCATTCATCATGGTGATTGGCGTGATGATCTCTTTCGAGACGGATTTGTTGTTGTCAAAGGTGTAATCAGTCCTGAAAGGGCATCGTCATACGTCGAAAGAATGTACCGGTGGATGGAGACGTTTCCGTACGGGTTTGACAGGCACAATCCATCGACATGGGGACCAGAACATCTTCCTAGGAACATGAAGTAACGACAGAACCCCCAGAACAAAACCTTCATTGCTTTTGCTCTTCGAGAAGCTAACACATGCGTGCCCAGGGGAGGAATGTACCACGAATATGGAACTCCGCACGAGGACTTTGTCTGGGACGCTCGGACGTAAGTTGCACCGCGGCCGGGGCCTCAACTGCTCCAGATTCCGTCCCCAAACTGACAAGTACTCGCACACAGCGAACCGGGAGTCCTCGACGCCTTTGCCAAACTCTGGGGTACGGACGAATTGCTCGTCTCCTTTGACGGGATGAACTTCACACTGCCACAACCAGAGCGTGCCGACGTGAAGCCGTGGCCTCATATCGACCAGTCGCCGAAACGCAAGGGTCTAGTCTGTGCGCAGGGGATCATAAACTTCGCTCCCAATGGACCACAGGACGGGGGCCTGGTCGTGGTCCGAGGCTCCCATAACCTCATAGCAGAGTACTTCAAGAAACACGGCATGCCACCAGAGCCGAGGACGTGGGGTCCAGAGGACTATTTCTCCTTTATCGCCGAGGAAGTGGACTGGTTCAAGGAGGCCGGTTGCGAGGTCGTCAAAGTCTGCGCTGATCCAGGGGACTTGATCATCTGGGATTCCCGGACGATTCACTACAACAGGCTGCCGGAAAGTCAGCAGGTCAGATCAATCGTTTGTAAGATTGGCCCCCCACCTCCCCCAACAAGACACATCCTCAGTCGACGTTTGCTAACTGGCTGGCACACAAAAGACGCTTGTTACGCACCTGCCCGGTTCGCCAGTGAAAAAGATCTCAAGTTGAAGGCACAGCTCTTTCATGAGCGCAAGCCAACGGTAAGTATTCGTTTTGCTGTCGGACCAGAAAAGCATATTCACTGATCATTGCTTCAGACGCACTGGCCAAACATGAACATCTTTGACGGCACGAGTGTGGACGAATTGCGCTTCGGCAAACCGGATGCTTGTAAGAGAGTCAGGCCGGTGAACGATGTCGTCGAGACAGACACCGTGCTCCGGCTTGCAGGTGTGAAGAGTTACTGATGAGCCTACTGTTATATTCGGCTAGTTCCCGTAGTTTGGTGATGAATGCTGGTAGTGGTGTCAAGATGCTTGTTCATTTACCCAGATCTCGAGGTTATGGCGTGAAGCATTTCCAGAGCAGCAACTGCCACTTGATTGTGCTCCTGGACCGACTCAAAGAAAGCCATGCACCTCCGCACAGGGCTAGAAGGGTCCTCGTTGACACTGCCGCCTTGGAGTTGTTCTTCAGTGGCAATGGTCACTGCTGCAGAGAATAGATTCGCCACGACGGCCCTTATTTTTGAATGCATCAGTTAGCCCCCGAACCCCCCGAATGGAGAGAGTCCGTGTGGAGAAAGAAAGGTAGTATCACACACGTACCAAGAATTCAGCCTTTCGATAGGTTCGCCACCGTCTAGAGCCAAAGAGATGATTGCGTTCGAAGAGTCAAGACATATAGAGCGCACCCTTTGAAACACCAAGCCTTGATCCAACCACAAGTTCTGGAGAGACTTGTTGATGGTGATCCTCACGTTATGCAACAGCATGCTCAGTTTCGTCCTCTGCCCCGATATCCAAGGATAATCTACGTCTCGGTACTTGGGCCGCGGGTGCGCCGCCGCTGCTGGAAGGGCGCCACCGCCAGTGCCAGCATCGTTCTGGAGCCAGGTTGGGAGTTCGCCGATGATCTGAGCCAGTCTGTCGTCCGTCTTGGTGACCAGATCGACAATCGTCGAGTTCGTCCACCGGCCCAGCCTCAACGCGAGTCGGTACCGGTAATATACCGTGGCTATGCGGATCATGACGATGTGATAGTGGACTTTCCGAGGGTGGCTGGCCGGGCGAAGTTTGGCCCCAGCCAGCTCATCGTCGTCTTTAATGGCCGGTAGATTGACGTTGAAATCTTGTTCCAGAAGCGTGGGAGTTCTCTGTGGCAGTGGCAACCTAGGATATTAGTCAGTTTGTTTTTCTTTTTTTTTCGGAAAGACAGGGTAAAGATAAACCAGTCGCAGATGGTCAGGGTCCACCAAACCCTTCGGCAGACCTCCCGTTCTATTGGATGCCGTGAAGCCAAATACTGTTCATTGTTGATCTTGATCGTCTGCGCCGTTCGTACAGCAACACCCCATAGATTATGGTGGAAGTGAAAGTCGCCGACGTTGTTGAACACAATGCCTAGGATTGCTATCGTCTGTACAGTCATCAACGTGGGGACACGTAGGTAGTCGGCCTTTTCCAGGAAGAAAACTGCCGTATCATACCACTTCCGCATCGGTGATGGTACGAAAGACCTCGAGGCGGGGGAGGACGGGGTGTCCTCGTCGTGGAGAAACACTAGGACGGCCTGTGTTGGTTAGTGCGGATCGTATCTTTCTTTTTCTTTGTAGGGTTTAACTCGCGACTCACACTGAGTGTGCTAAAGTAGATAGCTAGCCATGCAGGGTCATAGGCCAGACGATCTTCATGAGTACTTGTTCGGTTCCAGAAATAGTCGTGCTCCTGCTCAAATGTCGGGTGATGCAAGGCGTAATGAATCCACGCAATCCTTTCTCGAGCCTGGAGGATGAGATAACCACTTTGCTCTCTGGTTGGAAAGACAACATCGTCCCAACACGACACTGTGCGAGGGGAATGCTTGTAGGTCATATGATCAAACAGGTGGACCGATGGAGCCTCAGTCATCTCATCGAGGACGAAAAGGTCGTCGCCGTCGGTGGCAGGATATTGCGCCACGCCAGACGCCGTCGCATGGACTTGTGCTTTCAGGGCCATGTTCTCGAGAACGAGGTCCTGATAAGTGGATCCGGAGTAATCGACATCGCCATTTACCCTCGTGGCCGGTTAGGGTCTCTCGTCTGAGATCATAAGAAGAAGAAACAAAAGGCTTACTGTATCAGCTGGCCTTTGACCTTGACCTGTTCTCGACGACAGGTTGACACTGCGCCGCGTCGAATACATTGTCCACAGGGGATTTTCTTATCGCACTTGACTTTCCTCTTGTAACAGCTTATGCATGAGAGCGGCGCACGCTGAGTATTGCGGATGCTGGCATCCATGGTCGGGCTGCTCATTGTCTGGCTATCGAAGACTTGAAGGTTTTTGTAGATTCAATCAAACCAATAACGCCGCGGGGGTTGATAAGCTGTCGAGTGAACCCGTGTTGGAATGGAGGGATATGTGGAAGTTAGTTCCGAAGATCGACTTCGATACATACACATCGTGAGCTATTGAGATAATGGCTGACCATTCCTCACCACCGGGAAGGGAGACCCAAGAAGAGTAACGATGGTGGTGGGTGGTGACAAAGCGATAGGACCATTGGTGTCGATGGAGCATGTAATCCAGAAGTGCAATTACTACGGTGGAGTGGATATTGATATAGATGCATCTCGATTCTCCTCAACTGCCACCACCGATATATCTCTCTGACACTTACTCATGCTTCTGCAGATAGAGGCGGGTGTGAGTCTGCTAGGTATATAGATACTATGAGAGCAGTACCATTATCCAACGAGAGTCTGTGTCGTTGTTGTTTGGCAGTGTTGTGAGAATAAAGCATACGGGATCACGATTGATCTCCACCTCAATGACTTCACTCCAGACCTACATACTAAAGAGATTTGCCGAAGCGGAGCCAGTTGGAGTCTTAGAAATCACCGGACCAAATTATCCAAGGCATGATGTATATAGCATCTAGTCTATTACGAGAACTACATCCGTTCACACAAGATACTCGTCATAACAGTTCGTTACCATCAACATGAAAAAGGTCGCTGTCTTCCCCGCCTCTGGTAGGCTAGGTTCTGCTACCAGATCTGCGCTGTGCAATCTACTTCCACCACAACAGGTTGTTCTTATTTCTCGACATCCGGAAAAGATTCCAGAAGATCTAATCAAAGCTGGCGTCGAGACCCGCAAGGCCGATTACGATGCGCCCGAGACACTCAAGGATGCCTTCAACGGTATATCGTATCTGCTGCTGATTTCATACCCTAGCATTCAAATCGAGCACCGCTTCCGGGTATGAGCTCCGAGTCGTTGAGTGGCTCATCTCGAAGATCTCCTCGCTGACTTGTGTCACCTAGGCCCATCAGAAAGCCATTACAGCGGCTCTAGAAAGTACGCCGGGCATCGAGCACGTCTTCTACACCTCGTTGGGGTTTGGGGGGGACGGTTAACCGACCTCGGCAGCATACGTCATGCAGGCACATGTGCGGACGGAGGCCTGGTTGAGAGAGGTATCGACAGGTCGTGAAAGGAAGAGAAACTTCACATTCACAGTCATCCGAGAGGGAATATACTCTGAGACGTGGCCGATGTATACCTCGTTCTTCGATCCGAAAGCGAGCAACAGCAAGGCTCAGTTACCTCACGACGGCACCGGACCTGGCATAGCTTGGGCTTGCATCAAGGACCTGGGAGAAGGAACGGCCAAACTTGTGAAGGAATATGTCGACGACCCAACCAATCCCCAGTATATCAACAAGATCATCATCCTCACCGGCCCCAAGGATTGGTCTTTGAAGGAGACCGTCAAGGTTCTCGGTAGGCTCGGTGGAGGAGACGCATCGATCGAACGGGTCTCTGTGGACGAACATGCACAAAATCCCAGGGTAGTGCAGAAGCTCGGATCTCATGGCCCGGGCAACACCGTAGCGAGAGACTGGACGACAGTATTTGAAGCGATACGCAATGGCGAAACCTCAGTCGTCAATGGCGAGCTCGGAAGATTGCTTGGACGACCTCCAGAGTCGTTTGAGGAGACTGCAAAGAGAATGCTTGCGAATTGATCAAAGGACAATACAGCAACATCAGTGAAGCAGGTTGTAAGACAGACAACGATATAGGTGAGCACTCATGAATTGATCATGACGTAGCAATGAAGTACTTTGAAGAGTTGGGATAGTACTCTGTATCAGGAAGTATACTATAGTCCAAAGAATACGAGTTTGACAAACACTTACCGGCCGAATTCGCCGAGTTCGATGTTTCTCCTCCCATCACGATTGATATTTTGTCAGTCTCTGTCTTGTGATTTGCTCTAACAGCGAGTGACCTTTTCGGGACAGAAGGTTCCCATCACATCATTCTTCATCAAAATCATCAAATGGCCAGTGCTTCAAAGTCATCTCCTTCTCCTCTTCAGTGTCAAGGCCATCCACACCCTGGGTTTTGATTAGTCTTGCCCGTTCTACAGCTCCCCTATACTCCTCCTTGGAGGTCCATCCGTCCGTACCAATCCCAATGGTACTCCGGATATTATCAAGCTGGGTGTCAATGTCCTCCTGTTGTTGTAGGATGTTGATGGTACGGTGGACATCAGGTTCAGTAAAGGCAATAGGACATCGAGGAATCGTCGGTCCAGAGGATCCGTTCTCCTCCATCAGCAGTTGCCAGACTCGCGTTACGTGGATCAGGTCTGCTTTGAGTGGGATATTGTTGCCCTCCCAGGGCTCGCCAGCATGGCTGAAGATCTTTCGAGTCAAGAGATCCGTCCGTCGATCCAACACCTCGAAATGCGCTCCATTAAGCCTCTGGGTGAAGCCTAGATAGAAAAAATGAAGATGACGTCGTCGAAATTTTTCCAAAGCTTCAGAACGTTCGTCATCGTCCATGTCAGCCAGATTTTCGGGTAATTTTGGCGGGAGAAAGTTTAGTGATACTTCGTCGTGGTAATTCTGCATGTAATTTGGAATACCAGCAGCCAGAAACTGGGGGAGCACAGAGCAATGCTGCCAGTCTATGATTCCAACAATATCTAGGTTCTCTGAAACGAATATGTTGTTTGGTTGGAGGTCGGGGTGCCGGAGAATTGGCCGGTGAAATTTTGCTTCCTTTGGGACCAAGTAGGGGGCTATCTTCAGATAGTTCCTCAAGCTTTCGATATGTTCTTCCGGTCGAGACTTTTTGTAGTTCATGCATTCACGATATGCCCGTTCAAACGGGAGGCGGGGACGCCCAAACGCTTTGAGCCATGACAATTCTTTAGCGGCGACGCAAGAAAGCAACTCGAGTGGGGATCGGTCTGCACAAGTGTTTAGTGTAAAGCCCGTAATGGTGAGCGATGAGATAACATACGAGGACCACGGTCAATATCCAAGGACTCACGCTCCTTGTACCACCATCTCAAGCTCGTGTGAGGGCCAATGCACAATTTTCTTCCGTCGAATGGCACGGGCATCATGCCGCTGGCGCGGGATGTATCAGGGGGCAGATCACATTCGTAGTAAATACTACCATATGCTGGTAGATCGATCCTGGAAAGTTTGAGTTCTGCTTGCACAATTTCTGAGACAATCTTAAGCCGCTGATCTTCAGTCAAATCGAACCACATATCTCCAATAGGACGACCGGGAAGTTTCTCCATGATCATGTACTCGGCTCCCACGGGATTTCCAGCATCTATAGAGTATTCCAGAACCTTTGGAACGGGTATGCCAGCAGCACGAACCAGGTCCAGAGTTGCAACTTCGCTGGCTAGAGCAAGTCGATGGGGTTGTGTTGAGGCGTACGGAAGGCGGGCCACAACATCAGTGCCATCTTCCATCGTAATCTGGAACACCTGGTTGAAGCCACCTTCGGCAAGCTTGAAGAATTGGCTAACTTCGGACTCTGGCTTGTGTACGCACCTGGCAGCGGCCCTTTTGAGCTCACTGACATTGAAAATTAGTCGTCGTTCTGAGAGTCGAAGGGACTCATTGTACCTGTGACAACGTCAACTTGTGATTCGTTGAAGAATTGAAATACCTACAGCCATCTACCAGAGGTGTATTCAAAGAGCTCCCGGCTGGGCTCCATGTCGACACTCGCGGCTCTTGGGAAGGAATGGGTGTGAAATGTAGCCTTCCACTAAGCTCTGTGCGTAAAACAGATGCGCGACGTCCAGCAGCGGCCGAGCGCCCTCGTTGTTATCGACATAGACCATCACACTCCAGTTGCCGGCCCAATAACAAATGCACGAGGTCTCGATTGTGCAGAAGGTCGAACTGAAACAGGGAGGCGATTTCGGCACCATCAAAGGCCGCAGTTCCTGGCATCCGCTAAACCATCAGATATATGGTGTGCCAATAAGAACACACGATAAGGAGGCAGTTGGTAATATACTACTTTGAGACTTTTGCACTTTTGGCCAACGAATAAGGCCTCAGACTAGGTGCTGCAGGGTATCTGAATGAAAGTAAGAGCAGTGCCCACCGCAGGTCGGCCACTTGTAATGCCTTCAGTGTTCAGATAGATGATTGATAGCACAGAGCCGAGATCGATCGGTAACCAGACTGCGAGCGCGATGGTCCATACCTGGTAAGAGTGCCGCTTCATGAGTCTCCTGTACTGTAACAAACAATATGACTAGAGAAAACGGAGCCTTTTGCCTTGCGGCCAGAAGAGAACGTTGAAGTTTTGCCAGCTTCGATTTGACCGTGTCCATGATAGGACACGGGGTTAAGCCTGCAGATTGATCCAATGAGCAGCCAGTATTGCAGACTGGAAGCGGTGATCCCCGTCGTCACGGAATTGCTTCTCAACAGGAGTGAACGCCAGGTTTTGGCGAAGCTGGGTGGCGATCATACGTCGATGAGTCAGGATGTGACAGAGGAATCGGCTTCCGCCGAGCAGAGGATCCGAGAGCTCTATACAAGGACACACCCCCTGATTGTTGAGAGAAAATGCATCCCGCCATACTATTGATTGATGGTGAACACTAACACTTCATACTTCCTGGCTCTATAGAGTGGTCTAAACGTCTTTGCACCCACGTCATCAAACGGAGGCTCCTCGACGTGCGTTCAATACATCCATTCAGGTTGTGGCTAAAGGCGTGATCTTTAGTCCCTTCAGGTCGCCATTGGCTCTCCATTTGGTCACAATGTCAATATAGCTCTGAACGCCTTCACCCCAAAGAGAGGCCCTGGCTGCCTTTGTCATGACTTCAGGAGACAGGGGCTTTCCCACAGCGCCTTCGCCGTTCAGATAACCAGGCGTACATGCGCCTAGTGCCGCAAACGCGGCAGCCTTGGACACAACTTGCTGGGACCAGTCTTCCATGGCGTCAGGCTCTCCCTCGATCAGGACTCGCCGGCCCGAGGACTTCCTATATGCTTCGTTGAGAATATAGGACAGATGATCGGCGAAGGTGGCCATTCCGTACACCATGTTCGCCGCAGCGCCGGACTGGTTTGGGCCGGGGAAGAAGTAGTTGGGGAACCCGTCCGTAATCAACCCATGGAGAGTGGTGATCTTCTCGGCCCATTTGTC